AGTACATATATTATTGTTAATATTGTTGAAATAACCATTAGGACAATTAGGTATGCATTGATTTTAATACAAAAATAAATTTCCAGTACATGATAAACAATTATTATTGCTGGGTCCTGAGCAAGTAGCACAAACAGAATTGCATGAAAAACAAATCTAATTAATAGTATTTTTATACTAATCAGTATTACAACTCGATACACAAGCTGAGGAGCTTACTTGATAAAATAAATTAGGAGCTTAACAACTTTAACAGTTATTGCTATTTTATCCATTACATGTTTTGCAAGATGAATCACATGGTTGGCAAATATTATTATTAGTTTCTAATAGAGATTAAAATTAATTAATTAATTTTGAATATTTTTAAATAAATAATATTACATTTTAAAGGGAATGTTCCAGGAGGACAAGTAGAAATGCACTAATTATTGCTCAAATATAAATTTCCGCTACAGCTTGTACAAGAACTTTTATCTCCTAATATTTAAAATATTATAGATTTAATTCAATTTAAATACTTAAAAATAAAATTGATGTTATATTTATTTTACCTGGACTTTTACAATTATAGCAAGTAGTATCACAGGTTTAACAAGCCAAATTAATAGTATTAGGCCAATATTAATTTGGGCAAGTGTTTTAGCACGAGTTATTTGGGTTCAAATATGTATTTGGCTTACAAGTTTTACAAGAAGTTGAGCTCTCTAATATTTTTTAACCAAAAAGATTTAGATAGATTAAGTTGAAAAATTGACTAAAAAGTAAAAAGTATAAAAAGAAGTATTTTTTTTTTTGACAATACTAATTAAATCTGTTTAATTTATATTAGTTAAAAAATCCTATCACTCTATTCAATAGATTTAAAAAAAAACTATAAAAAAATAAATAATATTTTACATGGAAGTGAGCATGTCATACATGTCACATCACAAAGCTGACAAGATTAACTAGCGTCAGGAGCATAGTTACTAGGACATTAGCTTAGGCATTAGAAGTTGTAAAGATAAAAATTTGTTTAGCATTTAGTACAACCTTAAGCATTACAAACTGAGCAATTAGTAGTACACTTTATAAATATTTTTTAATTATAAATATTTATAGATTTTGATTATTAATAAATTTAGCTTACGTAATCAACTAATATAAACATTTCTCTGATACCATACGATTCTACAAAGGGGGTTGAAGCTAATGTAGAACTAATTTTTAAATTAAGGGAGGTAGCTGTATGGGTAAAATTTTAAGTAACATATATAATTTAATCGTTGAATGAAACTCTTCCACAGATATTACTTGTCCCATCACCTGCGCTCTTAGTTGTAGTAGTTTTCACATCATTATCTACTATCATTTAAATTGATTCGTTGTTCCAATTATCAATTTTATATAATGTGTAACCTATTAATACTGTCCTATGAGGGGCTCTTTATTAATTAAAAGACATGAAATAATGTTATTTGTATTTTTCTTATAAAATCTAATTTACATTCCAGTAAAGTTTTTACTTATGTAAGAATTTACTGAGCTTAAATAAGCTCCTCCTAAAAGACTCTTTCCACCACAAACAGTTGTCATAGCTCTACTTGGATTTGTATTATAGCCCTGAAATCCTGAATATGATAATCCAGTTCCTGATATTTCACCTTCACCAAAGTATGTACTGAACATACCCTAATACAAGTATTATCCATCTATTTAAAATTTGAAAATTAGATTATATGATTAATTTATATAAAAATTTATACAGCTAGTATAAGTAATTATGTCGATGCATTATTAACCATTAACAGTAGTATAGGAAGGACAACTTTAAACACACTATCCATTGAGAAGATAATATCCAGATTGGCAAAGAGTACACATACTATTTGAGCAAGTCTAGCAATAAATATTATAACAAAAATCAATGACACAAAGTGTTCTGGTTGAATCTTAAATTTATCCAGCTGGGCAAAAATTTAAGCATTGGTTATCTAAAGCATAAGTTCCACTATTACAATTGCAAGTATTTCCATTTTAGGTAGAATTAGGTGGACAAGATATACACTAATTAGCTGCAGGTCCATTACAAGTTAGGCACGATTCATGGCAAGTATCTACTGACAAATATAGATTTTTGAGTCCAAAACCTTCATTAGTTATTAGCTCATCTGTTAAAGACCAAACAAGTATATTTATAAAAGAATCTGTATGGGAAGTAAAATTTTTATGAAAAAGGACTATCTCATCATAATAATTATTATTTAGATAGCAAAAATAATATCCAATGCAACACACATCTTTTTTATATGTGTCAGTTTATCCATTAATATTAACATAAACATAGTCATTTGGATCTAAAGACTGATAAAGAATAAGTTCAAACCTAATTGTGATACTCCAATGAGGAGGCAGATTGGTAAAATTCTTTGAAGTGCTATTATTTCCTAATCCAAACCACCCTAGTGCAGTAGTATTAGCAAATTCAGTAAAATCTGTTGCACCACACAAATAAATATTATTTGCATTCCATGAAATAGATGAGCTAGTGTATATACCAGTTAAATCTGTTAAAACTAGTTTTTCAGCTATATAAGGTTTTTTAAATCAAATAAAACTATATAAATTTCAATATATAAATTACATGCTAGAGCTAACTTTAGAATGAAGATTATCAAAAAAAGTGAATTAAGAAAGTAGTGAACCATTTCTTCTAATATTTATGAAATTTTTTTTTTTTTAATTTATTTGCAAAATAACATATGTTGAGTTTGTAAATATTTTGTTATTTATAATTCAGGATAATTATAGTTCTATAAATTAATCGTTCTACCTGAAAAATAATAATAACTTTTGATTCTAAATATATTTATAATTGAGAAAAGTAGTTGTAAAGTTATGTATTTAAATCAAGATAATTAATTTTTTGAAATGATATTATTTTTTTCTCCATTTTTAAACAAAAATAGGTTAGTTTACAAATTAATAAAGCGTAATAAATAAAATCAAATGATTAAATTAAATGAATTTACAATTTTTATTAAAATAAAGTTGGTAAACCTAAAAAATAATTAAAAAAATAAAATTAAAATATAGGTCTATAAATTAATAGTTCTACCTAAAAAATAATAATAAGTTTTGATTCCAAATATATTTATAATTGAGAAAAGTAATTGTAATATTACATATTTAAATCAAGATAATTAATTTTTTGAAAATGTGTTACTTTTTTCTCCACTTTTTAACAAAAATAGGCTAGTCTACAAATTAATAAATTGCAATAAATAAAATCAAACGACGATATCAGCCAAAAAAATTAGATCATTTCTATTTTACTTTTTAATGATTTAAATAAAACATAAATTAGCCTGATTATTATTTAAAGATTACAATTATGTACTATAAGATAAAAATCGCTTAAATCATATAGTAAATTATGCTATTAAGTTAAAAAACTAATAAAACTAATAATTAAATGTTATTTAAAACAAATTAAATAAATTATTTTATATATGTATTTTATTTTTGCTAAATTTTTATAATTTTACTCCTTAAATTATTTTATATGGCGAATATATCAAAAATTACATCAAACATTAAAATTAATTAACATTAATAACCATAAAAATAATAATATCAATCTAATGATTTCTATATTTTTAAATGTCTGCTCTAAATATTTTAAATCTAATGTAACTTAATATGAAAATCAGATTTTATCTTAAATGTAAAGAAAGAGCATTCTAAATAGAAAAAAGATAAAGCTTAAAATAACATTAAATTTTATCTTTTTTGCCATAGTATGCCAAATCGTTAGTAATAATATTAAGTAATAATTTTTTTAAGCTTTTTCCATATAAGTATCAAGATAATAAAGTCTGCAAGAAAATTAAATATTATCAATTAGTAAAAAAAATAATTGTAGCAAAATGCCATTCAAAAATCTAGTCGAAGTGAATGGCATTTATCTTTTTAAATTTAAATTAATTTAATTAGCTTCTTAGCTTAGTTAAACAAAATATATAATAGAAAATGATACAACTGTTTCATGAGACATAAATAAAATTTTTTAGATTGGGTCTTGGATAACTTGAATATTTTAAAATTAATATACTCAGAATAAATTCTGAATTTCTGAATATTTACTCAGTATACATTAAAAGATATTCTGAATATAAATTCATTGCTTCATGGTGAATACCTTTAACCACAAGCAAAGTAAAATTGTTAAAAGTATCAATCTTTATTTAACCTTGTATTATTAAATCGTTCATTAACAAATTCATCATGTCATGCGAATAATAATAATAATAAGAAGAAGTTTAGATTTTAAATGTATTTATTAGTTTGAATACAGAGAGTATTTGAAATATACTTTTAAAAACTATTAGCTTTTTCAAGTCACTCAATAAAAATAGACCAGTTTAGAACTAGTTATAGTATAATTAATTCAATCTAATTCATTTGATAAAATTAATATTAAAAATAGAAAATGAAATTAGAAAAATAGGATTAATAGAATAGACTGTTAATTTTAAACAATTAATTTAAATTGAGTAAAAAAAATACTCAATATTGGCTTCAAAAATTTTGAAATCAGATTTTCTCATATTTTGTTTTAAAATATGAGAGTTTTGAGAAAAAAAATGAAAGTTAAAATAATATTAAAACTTATATATTATTTGAAGTTTGCAACTAGTTAAAGCATTATCAAAATAATTAAATTCTTTTCATAAAATTAAGATTAAAAATAGAAAATAAAATTACAATAATATTATTTTTAGACTTTCATTTTTAAATATTAGTTTAAAATGAATCAAATAAAAAATTTCAATTACGATTGGCACAAAAAAGAAATAAGATTTTCTTTTTTTTAAAAACAAAAAATAAGGATTTTTGAAAATCATTAGAGTTAAAATAATATTAAAACTGATATTATATTTGAGAATTATGTTATTAATGATAACATAAATTAGTTGTAAGTAACTAAATATATATAATCCATAAGAAAAGTATATTTTGTCTACAGCAAATTAAATACAATATATGAAATAGAAAAAATTTAAATAAAAAAATAAAGCAGACGCATAAAGCTATATATAAATTACTGAAGAATATATGCTAATATAATTTTAGAGAGCTCATATAATTTGTATTTTTTGAAGGCAAATCATTTTTTAATTTTCCTTAGTATATTTATCAAAAAAATAACGGATACATTAAAATCAGATGAATATATCAAAATTTTAAGAGAATCCTTTGAAGAAATAAAAATAAAATATACTGATTTTACAATTTTATAAGACAACTCAAGTTATTACAAATCATAGAAGGCAACTAAGTGGCTAGAAGAGAAAGATATCAGAATATTGAAGTGGCTTGTTAAGAGAACAGACAATTTATTCTTTTTAAAAAAATTAAATAGCAAACCATTCTATATTTTTTCTTCATTTTCATTCTTTATTACAAATACTATAGTAGATAAAAAGTTCAATTGATATTTGCCGTTTGAGCCTTTGCAGTCATCTTTTATGAGTTTCTATCAATTTTCTTAATTTTGTAATTATTCTAACTGAAATCCTATCTTTTTCTATAAAATTTCTAAATTTAAAGGGCTTAATTTGACTCTATTCGTGTTTTTTTATTTTAATCATAAAATCCTTATATACGTTAATCACTCACTACTGTTGAAATTTTTAAACATTTAATTATTTTCATATTTTATTCCTAAATAAATTTTCAAATCTTAAAATATTTATAGCCTAAAATATAGATACTTCTCATATTTATCCATTATAATTAAATATATTTTTTTAATATCTCCTCTTACTTACTGCTAATCTTACATTTAAAATGGTAATATTTCAAAAATTACATCGAATGATATGATTAATTAACATTAATAACCATAAAAATAATAATATCAATCTAATGATTTCTATATTTTTAAATGTCTGCTCTAAATATTTTAAATCTAATGTAACTTAATATGAAAATCAGATTTTACATTAAATGTAAAGAAAGAGCATTCTAAATAGAAAAAAGATAAAGCTTAAAATAACATTAAATTTTTTCTTTTTTGCCATAGTATGCCCAAATCGTTAGTAATAAAATTAAGTAATTATTTTTTTAAGCTTTTTCCATTTAAGTATCAAGATAATAAAGTCTGCAAGAAAATTAAATATTATATATTAGTAAAAAAAATAATTATAGTAAAATGCCATTCAAAAATCTAGTCGTCTGAAAATGACTCGATAAGTGAATGGCATTTATCTTTTTAAATTTAAATTAATTTAATTAGCTTCTTAGCTTAGTTAAACAAAAAATATAATAGAAAATGATACAACTGTTTCACGAGACATAAATAAAATTTTTTAGATTGGGTCTTGGGTAGAGGAAATTTAGCTAAATTTAAAAATTTTGATGTAAAAAAATTATGTATTTTTGAAATTATAATAAATTAAAATATTAATTTTAATTCTATTATAAAATATAAAAATCTGATTTTTTAGTAAATAATTAAAAAATCTATTTCATTTTAAGTTAATTCCAAACGACGGAATTTTTTAATGGCATCTTGCTATATTTTAAGTTTCAAATAAAAATTATCATACAATTTATTTCTTTGAATAAAAGCTAACATTTTGAATCTTTTATTGTTGAAGCATTGTCATTATATTTTATCTTTAGCTTTTTAGATTAGTTTATAAAAAATTAAAAATAAATAAAAGTTTTTAATACACACTAAATATGTTTTAATATTTTCATATAAATATAAATATAAATTGATTTATTTTACTCTCAGTAAAAAAAGGCTATTTAACTAATTATTAAGATTTTAAGATAATTTAAATAACAAGTAATAAATAATATCATATTTCATTTTATTTAATTTTTTTTATAAATTATTAATTTATTACTAATTAGTAAATTTTAGAAAGTTTTAGTCTGTTAAATTAGTTATTTAGGTATTTTATGGAATAAATGTATTCAAAAAAGCTAAATAATTGTTAAAATACAACAAAATCAGTAGCAGATACTATTCCATAATACAAGCTCCATGTTTCATCCTTAAGAAATTTAAGACTCATTAGCTATGGAACAAACCAAAAATACATATGAACAGAAATTAAAGCTAAGAAAGTCAATAAAATTAATTGAATAAATTTTGAAGATATTTTTGTAAGTAGCTAGTGAATATATTTAAGCCACTGTTTTGAAGTCCATCCAAATAACAGACATGTTATCAATAAGTAGTATGATTACTATTTAAGAAAATTTAGTTAATTTAATAAATAAAATTAATAAAATTTTACACTATAAATCAGTTCAGTTGAGAAAAAGAAAGCCAGATACTTCAAAAAGATTAAAGTAGCTCTAGTTAATCTATTTAAATTGTGGTCATAAAAGTAAAATAGTGAAACCCACTCATTTCCTAACTGTTAATTTTTAATAACTAATTAGTTAATCACAATTTATAATAATAAATTTAAATTTTTTACTATTGTGAACTTAAATATTTCATTCATTTTATATTTATAAATATAAGGCCTAGTTATTTTTACTTCTTAAATGCCTGACATTTAAGTTTTTACTTATGACAAATTAGGTACGGTAGTTACAGTTCCTCCTAGTTCATTAGGATTCCTTGTGTGGGAGCTAGAATTCATATTAAAGGCAATCGAAGGTAATTAAAATTCAAACGTCTACATGGATCTATCATAAAAAGCATTTTTGTAAAATTTTTATCTTGGTCTCCTATTTCCTACTCTTTTCATTTTATCTAAATCTACTTTCATTTAAAATTAAAGAGCTTGCTATTTTAAATTAATTAGATCTTATTAATTTTATTAGGAGGCAGTTTCTGACTTAAATTTAGTAGAAGATTTTTCTCCATTTTATTATTGTCTGTCATAATATTCCTCTATTTATGGTGAATCTTACAAATTGTCTAATTTATCACTTTCTACTGAGACTTTACGGGCAAATGTTTCTACTTACACCCTAGACTACTTTTTATCCATTATAAATCCTAAAATAGAAGAAGTACACCATAGGAAAAATTTTCCTGCCAAAATGTAAGATATAATTTAATATTAGTATTTAATAGAGTCACAATCTTCAGCAAGTGGGCCACTACATCCTAATTTGCATTAGTAATTACAGAGTTTGCATTCTTTAGTTTGTGATTCTTATGAAGTATAATACTCAGATGGACATTCAGAATAGCATTAAGAGTTCAAGAATATTAAATTTGTTGCGCATGAAGTACACTTTTTTACATTTCATAAATTTAATTATTATTTTTAAACATTTATATGAATTTAATATACTTCTTAAGAAGAAGGGCCGCTACATGTCAAGCATGAGGAATCGCATTACTAACAAATATTAGTATTGGGTTTGACATAATAAGATTAACTACATTGTTAAACACATTAATTATTCTCTAAGTAAAGACCTTTTCAAAAATAAATTTTAACAAATTGTTTTCTATGAAAAATAATTTTACCATTCCCACAACTTGTGCATTATGTTGCTGAAGGTCCATTGCATGTCAAACATTTTGAATCACAAGATTTACATTAAATAGATGTTGGATCAGGATATTAGTTTGAATTACAAGTGTAAACACATTAGTTTGAGACAGGATTAAAATATCTTTAAAGCTAACATGAGAGACAATTATTTGGCGCATTTCCATTGCATGTGTAGCAAGAACTATCACAAGGAGTACATGTATTATTATTAGTATTGTTGAAATAGCCATTAGGACAATTAGGAATACATTGATTTTAATACAAAAATGAATTTCCAGTACATGATGAACAATTATTATTGTTGGGTCCTGAGCAAGTAGCACATATTGAATTGCATTAAGAGCAAGTCTAATTAATAGTATTTTTATACTAATCAGTATTACAGCTAGATACACAAGTTGATGAGCTTGCTTGATAAAATAAATTAGGAGCTTAACAACTTTAACAGTTATTGCTATTTTATCCATTACATGTTTTGCAAGATGAATCACATGGTTGGCAAATATTATTATTAGTTTCTAATAAAGATTAAAATTAATTATTTAATTTTGAATGTTTTTAAATAAATAATATTACATTTTAAAGGGAATGTTCCAGGAGGACAAGTAGAAATGCACTAATTATTGCTCAAATATACATTTCCACTACAGCTTGTACAAGAATTTTAATCTCCTAATTATATTAAATATTATAGATTTAATAAAATTTAAATACTTTATTATAAAATTGCTAAAATATTTATTTTACCTGGACTTTTACAATTATAACAATTGGTATCACAGGTTTAACAAGTCAAATTAGATGTATTAGGCCAGTATTTATCTGGACAAGTGCTTTAGCATGAATTATTTGGGTTCAAATATGTATTTGGCTTACAAGTTTTACAGGAAGTTGAACTCTCTAATATTTTTTAACCAAAAAGATTTAGATAAATTAAGTTGAATAATTGACTAAGAAGTAAAAAATATAAAAGTAGTATCCTATATAACAATACTAATTAAATCTGTTTAATTTACATTAATTAAAAAATCCTATTAGTCTCTTCAATAGATTAAAAAAAAACAAAAAAAAAATAAATAATATTTTTTACATGGAAATGAGCATGTCAGACATGTCGCATCACAAGGCTGACAAGATTAATTAGTGTCAGGAGCATAGTTGCTTGGGCATTAGCTTACGCATTAGAAATTATATAGATAAAAATTTGTTTAGCATTTAGTACAACCTTAAGCATTACAAACTGCGCAATTAGTAGTACACTATATTAATATTTTTAATTATGAATTTTAGTGGATTTTGATAGTTAAAAAAATTTAGCTTACGTAATCAACTAATATAAACATTTCTCTGATACCATACGATTCTGTAAAAGGGGTTGAAGCTAATGTAGAACTAATTTTTAAATTAAGGGAGGTAGCTGTATGGGTAAAGTTTTATGTAACATATATAATTTAATCCTTGAATGAAACTCTTCCACAGATATTACTCGTTCCATCACTTGCGCTCTTAGTTGTAGTATTTTTCACATCATTATCTACTATCATTTAAATTGATTCGTTGTTCCAATTATCAATTTTATATAATGTGTAACCTATTAATACTGTCCAATGAGGGGCTCTTTATTAATTAAAAAACAAGAAGTATTGTTATTTGTATTTTTCTTATAAAATCTAATAAAATTACATTCCAGTAAAGTTTTTACTTATATAAGAATTTACTGAGCTTAAATAAGCTCCACCTAAAAGACTCTTACCTCCACAAACAGTTGTCATAGCTCTACTCGGGTTTGTTAAATATCCTTGAAATCCTGAATATGATAATCCAGTTCCTGATATTTCGCCTTCCCCAAAGTATGTACTGAACATACCCTTATACAAATATTATCCATCTGTTTAAATTTTGATAATTATATTATATGATTAATTTATTTAAAAAATTTATACAGCTAGTCTTAGTAATTATGTCGATGCATTATTAACCATTAACAGTAGTATATGAAGGGCAACTTTAAACGCACTATCCATTGAGGAGATAATATCCAGATTGGCAAAGAGTACAAATACTGTTTGAGCAAGTTTAGCATTAAACGCTGTAACAAAAATCTTATATACAAAGTGTTCCTGTTGAATCTTTAATTTATCCGGCTGGGCAAACATTTACACATTTGTTATCTTATGCATAAGTGCCACTATTACATTTACAAGTATTTCCATTTTAGGTGGAATTAGGTGGGCAAGATGTACATTAGTTAGCTGTTGGTCCATTACAAGTTAGGCATGATTCATGACAAGTATCTACTGACAAATAAAGATTTTTTAGTCCAAAACCTTCATTGAGTATTGATTCATCTGTTTTCGACCAAACAAGTATATTTATAAAAGAATCTGTATGGGAAGTAAAATTTTTATGAAAAAGGACTATCTCATCATAATAATAATTATTTAGATAGCAAAAATAATATCCAAGCCAATATGCATCTTTTTAGTATGCGTCAGTTTATCCATTAATATTAACATAAATATAATCATTTGGATCTAAAGACTCATAAAGAATGAGTTCAAACCTAATTGTTATACTCCAATGAGGAGGTAGATTGGTAAAATTCTTTGAAGTGCTGTTATTTCCATATCCAAACCACCCAAGCGCAGTAGTATTAGCAAATTCAGTAAAATCTGTTGCACCACATAAATAAACATTATTTGCATTCCATGAAATTGATGAGCTAGTGTATACACCAGTTAAATCTGTTAAGACTAGTTTTTCAGCTATATAAGGTTTTTTAAATTAAGTAAAACTTTATAAATTTCAATATATAAATTACATGCTAGAGCGAACCTTAGAATGGAGATTACTAAAAAAAGTGAATTAAGAATTGTGTAAACCATTTTTTCAAATATAATATGAATTTTTTTGTTTTTAAATTTATTTGCGAAATGATATTTGTTTGGTTTGTAAATTTTTTGCAATAAATATTATATATAATTCCAGATATATTTTCGATAAGCACTTATCTAAATAAATTAAGCAAATTTATAATTCTTTTTTAAATAAAGTTAATGAAGCTAAAAAATAATCACAAAATAAAATTAGAATATAGTCCTAGAAAAAATAGATGTTAAATATCAATAAAAATCTAAAATTAAAAAAATGCTAATATTTTATCAATTCTAAATGCCTATCAAGCATAATGTTAAAAAAAGCACCAAAAATAAATGTCATATTTTACTTTTAATTATTAAAAAAAAAAACTAGAGATGAATAGCTTAAGCTTACATAAAAAATTAGATTAATAATAAATTATCATACTTTCTGAAAAATAAAAACTTTTGATTCCAAATATATTTATTTATGAGCTTGAATTGAGAAAAGTATTTTTAATATTAATTATTTAAATTATGATAATTAATTTTTTGAAAACAGATTAGTTTTTTCCAGTCTTTTGAAAAAAGTGACTAGTTTACAACTAATTAAAGTGTAATAAATATAATCTAATGATTCTCATCAGCCAAAAAAATTAGATCATTGTTATTTTACTTTTTCATGTTTGAAACGAAACAGAAATCAGGCTGCTTATTATTTAAAGATTACAATCAAGTATTATGAGATAAAAATCGCATAATAATGACAAATTATAGAAAAAAGTTAAACTGTTAAGTTAAAAAAGTTTTGATAAAACTAAAAATTAAACGTTTTTAAAAAACCAATTAAATAAATTATTTTATATATGTATAGCAATTAAGTTTTTTACTAAAATGTTATATTTTTGTTTCAGGAATTAATTTATCTAAAATACTAAAATGTACCAAAAATTGCAAAATTAATGAATATAAATAATAATAAAAATTATATTCAGTCCAAGATTTCCTCTATTTTTAAATGCATTTTACTTACATATATTTTAAATCTAGATTAACCTAATTTGAAAATCAGATTTTATGTGATAATATAATGAAAAAGCATTCATTTCAGAAAAAAAGATAGAGTTTAAAGTAACATTAAATTTGATCTTTTTATCATAGCCTGCCCAAATCGTTTGTGAAAAAATTTATTAATTATTTTTTTAGGTTTTTACCATACAAGTATCAAGATTAATTAAGACTGCAAGTATATTAAATATTATCTAATTTAAATAAAATATGAGCTAGTAAAAAATAATTAACAGAATTAGGCTGATACGTTAGTAAAACCTGTTAAAATACTAAATTATTTAATTAAATTCTAATTTAGATAGTCCATATTAAGATCATTTACTGGCATCTAAAAAATAAATAATTTGTTGTTTCTACTGAGTATTTTTATCAAAAATAAATTCAGTTCAAACCTCATTTCATATTTAACTGACTTAAATTATATGAAAAAATAAATTATAATCACTTCTATTGTTAAATAATATATTTTCAAATAATCATCATAAAAATTTTAAATATTTCTTGTATTTGTTTATATATAATTGATTTTGAATTAAATATTATTTGTTTAGCTAGATTTTGGTATCAAATGTTTAATTTATGAAATGTTTCTCAGTAGAAATGTGAGGTATTTAATAAATATATTATTTTTAGTTATACATTAGCAAAATTAGTATTCATTAATTAAAACAATTTTATTTTATTTTGATGGCTATTATTTAATTTTAAGGTTTATTTTTGAGCTGATAGTTTTATATTTTTATTAATTATTTATATTTATTAAAAAATTTATCTAAATTGTCATAAATATTTTTTATATACTAAGAACAGAATAAAACTTTGATTAATATTCTATTTCAAAAAATAGATTTGAATTATGGAAATCCTTTTCAAAATATATTAAAAATAATGAACTATTATCATCTTCAGTCTTATTCCTATTCTTCTATATATATTCAATTTATTTATTTATCATCAATTTTTTGTCTTAACATATTTTAAAAGCTTTTTCAAAACATTTTTATAATTATAAACCATTTTATTTTAAGCTATTATATTCAAACAAAAATCATATATGCAATTTATTTGTTAGAAAAAAATTTCTATTTATTTTTTAAGTGAAAAAAGGTGGTTAACTAACTAACTAACTATTAAGATTTAACAGGTAATTTAAACAACAAGTAATAAATAATATCATATTTAATTTTATTAAATTTTTTTTATAAATTATTGATTTATAAGTAATAAGTATATTTTAGAAAGTTTTAGTTTATTAGATTAGTTATTTAGGTATTTTATGGAATAAATATATTCAAAAAAGCTAAATAATTGTTAAAATACAACAAAATCAACAGTAGATACTATTGCATAATAAAAGCTCCATGTTTCATCCTTCAGGAATTTAAGGCTCATTAGCTACGGAATAAACCAAAAATACATATTAACAGCAATCAAAGCTAAAAAAGCCAGTAAAATTAATTGAATAAATTTTAAAGATATGTTTATAAGCAACTAGTGAACATATTTAAACAACTGTTTAGAAATCTATCCAAACAACATGCATGCTATCAATAAGTAATATGATTGCTAATTTAAAAAATTAGTTAATTTAGTAACTAAAAGTAATAAAATTTTACATTATAAATCAATTCAGTTGAAAAAAAGAAAGCCAGATACTTCAAAAAGATTAAAGTAGCCCTTGTTAATCTATTTAAGCTTTGATCATAAAAATAAAATAGAGAAACCCACTCATTTCCTAACTGTTAATTTTTAATAATTAAATAATCACAATTTATAAAAATAAATTTAATTTTTTTACTATTATGAACTTACATATTTCATTCATTTTATATTTATAAATATAAGGTCTTGCTATTTTTACTTCTTAAATTCCCTATATTTAAGTTTACACTTATGACATATTTGGTAGAGTAGTTATAGTTCCTCCTAGTTCATAGGGATTCCTTGTGTGGGTACAATTATTCATGTTAAAAGCAATCGAAGGCAATTAAAACTCAAATGTCTACATGGATCTATCATAAAAAGCATTTTTGTAAAATTTTTATCTTGGTCTCCTATTTCCTACTCTTTTCATTTTATCTAAATCAAGTTTCATTTAAAATTAAAGAGCTTGTTATTATAAATAAATTAGATCTTGTTAATTTTATTAGGAGGCAGATTCTGACTTAAATTTAATAGAAGATTTCTCTCCATTCTTTTATGATCTGCCATAATATTCCTCTATTTATGGTGAATTTTACTAAATGTCTAATTTATCAATATCTTCTGAAACTTTATGCCTTAATTTTTCCACTTATACTCTAGACTACTTTTTATCCATTATATACCCTAAAATAGAAGAAGTAAACCAAAGGAAAAATTTTCCTATCAAGATGTAAAATATAATTTAATATTAGTATTTAATAGAATCGCAATCTTCAGCAAGTGGACCAATACATCCCAATTTACATTAGTAATTACACAGTTTGCATTCTTTAGTTTCTGATTCTTACGAAATATAATAATTAGATGGACATTCAGAATAGCATTAAGAGTTCAAGAGTATTAAATTTAGCGCGCATGAAATACACTTTACATTTCATAAATTTAATTATTACTTTTTTAAGATTGATTATCTAATTTAATTACTTCTTAAGAAGAAGGCCCGCTACATATCAAGCATGAGGAATCGCACTACTAACAAATATTAGTATTTTGCTAGACAAAATAAGATTAGCTGCATTGTTAAACACATTAATTATTCTCTAAGAAAAGACCTTTTCAAAAATAAATTTTAATAAATAGTTTTCTATGAAAAATAATTTTACCATTCACGCAACTTGTACATTATGTTGCTGAAGGTCCATTACATGTCATGCATTTTTAATCACAAGGTTTACACTGTACAGAATTTGGGTCAGGATATTAGTTTGAATTACAAGTGTAAACACATTCATTTGAGATAGGATTAAAGTATCTTTAAAGCTAACAAGAGAGACAATTATTTAGAGCACTCCCATTACAAGTGAAGCAAGAACTATCACAAGGAGTACAAGTATTATTGTTAATATTGTTGAAATAGCCATTAGGACAATTAGGAATACATTAATTTTAATACAAAAATACATTTCCTGAACATGATAAACAATTATTATTATTGGGTCCTGAGCAAGTAGCACATTCAGAATTACATGAAGAGCAAATCTAAGTAGATGTATTTTAATACTAATCAGTATTACAGATAGATACACAAGTTGAGGAGCTTTCTTGATAAAATAAATTAGGAGCTTAACAACTTTAACAGTTATTGCTATTTTATCCATTACATGTTTTGCAAGATGGATCACATTGTTGGCAAATATTATTATTGGTTTCTATTTTAGATAAAAATAATTAATTATTTAATTTTGAATACTTATAAAAAAATAAAATTACATTATAAAGGGAATGTTCCAGGGGGACAAGTAGAAATGCACTAATTATTACTCAAATATACATTTCCTATACACGATAAACAATTATTATTGTTGGGTCCTGAGCAAGTAGCACATTCAGAATTACATGAAGAGCAAATCTAAGTAGATGTATTTTAATACTAATCAGTATTACAGATAGATACACAAGTTGAGGAGCTTTCTTGATAAAATAAATTAGGAGCTTAACAACTTTAACAGTTATTGCTATTTTATCCATTACATGTTTTGCAAGATGGATCACATTGTGCGCAAATATTACTATTGGTTTCTAATATAGATAAAAATAATTAATTATTTAATTTTAAATACTTTTAAAAAAATTACATTTTAAAGGGAATGTTCCAGGGGGACAAGTAGAAATACATTAATTACTACTTAAATATAAATTTCCACTACAGCTTGTACAAGAATTTTTATCTCCTAATTATATATAAATATTATAGATTTAATGCAAAGTTAAATACTTTACTACAAAATTTAGTTTACCTGGACTTTTACAATTATAGCAAGTGGTATCACATGTCTAGCAAGTCAAATTAGCTGTATTGAGCCAGTATTAATCCGGGCATGTGCTTTAGCATGAATAATTTGGGTTCAAATATGTATTTGGTTTACAGGTTTCACAAGAAGTAGAGTTCTCTATATTTTTAAAATGAAGAAATATATAGATGAATTAATAAGTTGACTAAAAGGTAAAAATTATAAAAAGAAGTATTAAAATACTAATTATTTCTGTTATATTTACATTAATTAAAAAATCCTATCACTCTATTCTATAGATTTAAAAAAACTATAAAAAATGAATAATATTTTACATGGAATTGAGCATGTCAGGCATGTCACATCACAAGGCTAACAAGATTAACTGGTGTCAAGAGCATAGTTACTAGGGCATTAGCTTACGCATTAGAAATTGTATAGATAAAAGTTTGTTTAGCATTTAGTACAACCTTAAGCATTACAAATTGCGCAATTAGAAGTACACTTTATAAATATTTTTTAAATATGAATTTTATTAGGTTTTTATTATTAATAAATTTAGCTTACATAATCAACTAATATAAACATTTCTCTAATACCATATGATTCTACAAAAGGGGTTGAAGCAAGTGTAGAACTAATTTTTAAATTTAGAGAGGTAGCTGTATGGGTAAAGTTTTATGTAACATATATAATTTAATCCTTGAATGAAACTCTTCCACATATATTACTAGTTCCATCATTTGCGTTCTTTGTTGTAGTAACTTTCACATTATTATCTACTATCATTTAAATTGATTCGTTGTTCCAATAATCAATTTTATACAATGTGTAACCTACTAATACTGTCCAATGAGGGGAGCTTAATTAAAAAAAATTAAAATTAATAATTTAATTTGTATTCTTCTAATAAAATTACAGCCCAGAAAAGTTTTTACTTATGTAAGAATTTACTGAGCTTAAATAAGCTCCGCCTAAAAGGCTCTTTCCACCACAAACAGTTGTCATAGCTCTACTTGGATTTGTATTATAGCCCTGAAATCCTGAATATGATAATCCAGTTCCTGATATTTCACCTTCCCCAAAGTATGTATTGAACATACCCTAATACAAATATTATCCATCTATTAAAATAAAGATTTTTTAAATTAGATTACATGATTAATTTATATAAAAAATTCTACAGCTAGTCTTAGTAATTATGTCGATACATTATTATCCACTAACATTCGTATAGGATGGGCAACTTTAAACACACTATCCATTGAGGAGGTAATACCCAGATTAGCAAAGAGTACACATACCATTTGAGCAAGTTTAGCATTAAGCGCTATAACAAAAATTAACTACACAAAGTGTTCCGGTTGAATCTTAAATGTATCCAGCTGGACAAACATTTACACATTAGTTATATTAAGCATAAAGACCACTATTACATTTACAAGTATTTCCATTTTTGGTGGAATTAGGTGGACAAGATGTACACTAGTTAGCTGCCGGTCCATTGCAAGTTAAGCATGAATCATGACAAGTATCTACTGACAAGTATAGATTTTTGAGTCCAAAACCTTCATTGCTTATTAACTCATCTGTTATAGACCAAACAAGTATATTTATAAAAGAATCTGTATGGGAAGTAAAATTTTTATGAAAAAGGACTATTTCATCATAACAATAATTATTTGGTACGCAGAAATAATATCCAAGCTAAGGTCCATCTTTTTAATATGTGTCAGTTTGTCCATTAATAGTAACATAAATATAGTCATTTGGATCTAAAGATTGATAAAGAATGAGTTCAAACCTAATTGTGATACTCCAATGAGGAGGCAGATTGGTAAAATTCTTTGAAGTGCTATTGTTTCCTAATCCAAACCACCCTAGTGCAGAAGTATTAGCAAACTCAGTAAAATCTACAGCACCACATAAATAAACATCATTTGCTCTCCATGAAATTGATGAGCTAGTGTATACGCCAGTTAAATCTGTTAAGACAAGTTTTTCAGCTGTATAAGGTTTTTAAATCAAGTAAAATTTTATATATTTAAATGTGTAAATTACATGCAAGAGCAAACCTTAGAATGAAGATAGTTAAAAATAGTGAATTTTTAATATTGTAAACCATTTCTTCTAATATTTATAAAATTTTTTTGTTTTTAAACCTTTTTGCAAAATTATATTTTTTTTTATGTAAAATTTTTGTAATTTTAATTATATTTAAATCAGATTCTTCAATCAATAAGTGCTTTTTGAAATAAATTAAGTAAATTTATATTCTTATTTAAACAAAGTTAATGAAGCTAAATAATAATAACATAATATAATTAGAATATAGTCCATAAAATATAGGTTATAAATGTAAATAAAAACCTAAAATTTAAAAATGATAATATTTCATCAATTTTAGCTGGCTTATTAATCATAATATAAAAAAATAAGCCAAAAATAAATGTTTTCTTTTACTTTTAAAAGCAAATAAAAAAAGATATGAATACTTTAAACCTACTTTACAGAATAGACTAATAATTAATTAATGATAGTATCCTGAAAAAAAATAAAAACAAACAAAAGATTATATTATATTTATGAGCTTAAATTGTATTTTTCGTATTTTTTATTTCAATCAAAATAATTAATTTTTCGAAAATAGATTTTTTTCCAACTTTTTGAATAATAAATAGGTAATTTACAACTTAATAAAGCATAATAAATTAAGTCTAATGATTTTCATAAACCAAAAAATAAGATTAATCCTAATTTACTTTTAATAATTGAAACAAAAAAAATCAGACTGATTTTTATTAAAACATTACTCTAAATATAATGAGATAAATAGCACTTTAAATTGATAAATAATAGACTAAATTAAGCCACTAAAATCAAAAAATAGATAATTTTTTATTTCGTGAATTACTTTACCTTCTTTACAAAGTGTGTCTGTCTAAAAATACATAGAACTACAAAATCCATATTTATAATAATTAAAATAGTATTAGCAAATTTTCTTTATTTTTAAATACGTATTTTAAATCTAATATAGCTAAACAAAATAATTAGATTTTATCTTAAAATGTAATGAAACAGCATGTTAATAGAAAAAAGAAAAATTTATTTGCCCCAATCTTGCAATCATGCATAATAAATTAACTAATTATTTTTTTAAGCTTCTTCCATACAAATATCAAGGTAAATAAAGACAGCAAGAAAATTAAATTTCATCTTTTGTAAATAATATATTGTTAATAAAAAAATAATTAAGAGTATGAAAATCGTATAAAAATAAATTTAAAGAAGTCAGTGTCTCTTTTGAGCAATTTATATTTTGCATAGTTAAAATACTTATATAAATCTATTTCCATTCAACTCAAAGAAAATTGTATAATTAACAACTCTAACACTAAGGTAACTTCTTAAGATCAACTTTAAAATATTTAATAATAATTTCCTTTATATTTATTAACGATTGGATTAGATGTGAAATTCCCAGAGTAATTTTTAATTAAATCTATCTTACTAAAAAAAGTTCCTTCCCTTAGAAAATATGAAAAATAAAATTTTTCCCACTTATCAACTCCCCCACTTTTTTATTATTAAAGATTTTAGGTTTTTAATTTTTAGATTTAATCAATCTCATATTTTTTATATTTTTAGATTTTAATCAGTTTGTTAGACTATTTATCTATATATCTATCTATTTAATCAATAAATCTAGCTTTAAATTGTAACTAAGATTATTTTTGATTTTTATTTTTCCAAAATATTATTGGAAGTTTTTAAAAATGATAAACTTAATTTGATGTGTTTTATGGAATTTTAAAAAAATTAGATTTTGCAAATAATGATATTGTTTTACATATTTTTATTACTTTTTATTTTCCAAAATATTATTGGAATTTTTATATAATTAAATTACTAATTTGATCAATTTAATTTAAATGTTTGAAAGAATTTTATTAAAATTTTGGCAAGTAATTTTTTCTACTTCTTACTGACCTTAATTACAATTTTTTAGATATAATAATAAAATGAACTTTTTTATATAAGCTAAAAATCATATTATTTTACATTCTTTAATCTTAAAAAATTTAGATTTACCATATCAATAAAACTACAAGGGAATTTCCTTTCTTTTTAAAAATAATTATTTAATTTTTTACTTGTTTCTTACTAAGTCTTCTCTTAATTTTCTGAAATAAAATACCAATTAAAGAATTAGAAAAAAAAAAAATTTGAATTAATATTTATTTTAAAATTAATTAATTAACTCTCTATAATAAAATTTCATTAATTATGATTTAATATTTTTGGATATTTAAATGATTTATCATAGTTAATCTTTTTTTGATCCACAATAATACTTAACAAATATTAATTTTACTATTTAACTGTTAAATGCTTGTTCTAAATTTAGTTTAATTAGAAATTAAATTTTTTTTTTATCGAGGACTGACTTTATAAAAAATTATATAATTATTAAAGTAACTTATTTACACATATTTATATATATTTTTAACTATATTCAAAATAACTTTTAAATTTTTTTCCAAAATTATATGAAGTAAACTTTAAAATAAGTAAACTCAATTTTTTTTTAAAAGAAAAATGATTTTTGATAGTATTCTTTATTTTTTTTTATGACTAGTATGAATTTCATTTCTTAACAGAATTAAGAATAGTGTTTCTAATACTAGATTAAGCAAGAATATTTTAGAATCTTCCACCTTTACTAGGTGTAGATATTACATTCTTTTATAAGCTTTATTTTCCTTGATTATTCATGGGTGAAATTGACCTTTAACTTTACGAAATTCCAATTGTATTTTATTCAGTTTTATTTTAACACTATTTAGCTTAATCAGCAAATCTTAAAGTAGTAAGTGTAGGATAAAATGAAGATGGGGCTGGTGATATGTTTACCATCATGAGAGTTTTTGATTTACCACCTAAATACTCATGGAGATAATAAGTCAATTTTGAATTTCTGAAAGCCGTGAATGTTTCCTTTTTGGCTAGACTTGTTATCACAGCTGCCAAAGAAGTTAAACTTTTATTAATATTTTAGGTTTCTTTTAATCTTTCACCTGCAACATTTGATTAATTAATTCTTTCTGACCCTATTCATTTTATTCATTTATTTATCAAAATTATAAATTGCATTATGTTTTTTTGCAAATAAATTTCCATAAATCAGAATTGTTTTCTGTTCAAAATAAAAACTTACAAAAAAATAATAATTTTACCAGCCAAATCAACTAAGTTCAGACTTCCCTTAAGAAGCGGTTGCTAAGGATTCTTCCCCTGCTTTTAGGTATTATAGATATCTAAGTTCATTCTAAAAATAGAATGTGATCTTGAACTGTATTCGTTGCAATCAGTAGATGCTACTTTACGAGAGATATAGCCTTTTTATAAAAGCTTCATTATTTCTTCTGGGCCTTAAGTAATTACTTTATCCTATACTTCATCTTTTTTTCCATCAGGATGTAAGAGATCTATTAAAGTCTCATTGTATATCTCACTGAATTAGATTTTTATTTTATGTTCCCAGCCATAGCTTTACATCTTTTCAATTTCTGAATAAATGTACTCTATTGAGCGAGGTATTATTCCCCATTTATTATAATCTTCTTCTCCTTACATAGTGTAAGTTTTCCCACTGCCTGTAGGCCCATAAGCAAATATACAAACATTGTAGCTAATTTTATGAATAGTTTTGTTAAAAAATAGTAATAATATATAAAATTATTAACCCATCTAACACAGATTAAATCAATTCTTGCAAGTTGGAAAAGACTTCCATTTATGTGGCATCTTCTTCAAAAATATGTTCTAATTTAAAACTGTATTCTTTGATGTTATTTTCTGATTTCATGTTTTAGAAAGGAACAACCAACTTTAAATTTTAAGAATTTTATGTTTTTATAATTCTATTTTATTGTGTCATTTAATAAAGAAGGTTATCATCGTCCTTTATGATATCAAGCATATTTTAAACATAAATTTGCATTTCTTGTTAAAAGTTTGGGTTGTTCTCATCAATTTTACCCACAGATCCCACTCCTTTTATATTTTCTACTTTACCAACACTGCCTTTTTATACACTAGCTTTGCTCAATGGAGTTATTTTAGGATTTTAAACATTTTATTGTTTTTCTTCATATTGCTTTTTAAATGAATTTTGAAGCATAGCTATCTTTTCTTCTTGTCTTAAGGGTCTGATCCTACAATACACTCTAATATTCCCTTTCATAGATTAAAGTTTTTCATTTAAATTTTATTTTTATTGAGTAAATTGCAAAAGTTATGCATCTAGATGAGTCCCATCTTGTATGCTCTTTATCTCTTCTTATAAAGATTTTTATTTTTCATTTATACATAATAAATTCTCTTTATAATATTAATACTATTTTTCCAAACTTTAGTAAATTTATTTATAATTCATGGTCTTTTCTATTGTTTTTTAAAGAGAGAATTTATGATGATTCAGCAAAGACAAAGTTTCAGCTTCCTTTTTTTATAGGTTAGTCTTATCTTGTAACAACTTGTCTTATTTTGAAGTGGTTTCTTCAGCTAAGCTTTTACACTCTGATATTAAGTTTAGTAAATCTGAATCAACTCCTTAAACTTTTGATTTCGAAATAGCAAGATTCATTTGTAGTTGCTTTCTTTTTTCTTCCTAAATATTTTCTTATTATTACAGCTCTTCTAAAAAAATGATCCTTTGTTTAACCATTTTATTTAAGTAGGCATTTTACTACTAATATTCCTTTATATATTCCTCATTACTGAAATCATCTGTGTAATAATCTTCGAAAGCTAAATCCTCATCGTTTCTATATTTTCCAGCACTTTTAGATTAATCTATTTTATTAAAAATTATTAACTACTTTTTACAAGTCCTCTTTCTCTTAAATAAAATTGTTTTTACACGGGCTTCTATTTTATAAAAAAAATGATCTATCCATTTTAAGAAACTATTTATTTCTTATATTAATTAAAATTTTGAATTTTAAGTAAAAACTTCATCAGTATCTATCTTTCTATCAATCTTTATGAGCAAAATTTAAATTAATAAAAATAAGTTAATAATTTTTTAGCGGTAACAATTTTTTATCAAGACTTAATTTAACTCTAAATGAATAATATGTTTATGTTTTAATTTTTTTATTCCTTTTTTAATGTTTTTTATTTAATTTTAATAATTCTAACTCATAAAGCATAAAATAAAACAATTATTTTGTTCTCTTTTTTGATAAAATAGTAAAATAATTCATTTAATATCTCATTATAATTTAGTTTCATATTTACATTTTAAATCCTAATTTTTTCGAAATTTTTTGAAATCGTGAAGATTCAACAAACAAACGTATTTTTATTTGAAATTAGTAAATTTAAAATTAAATTTAAAAACAAAAATTAATTTTTAGATTTTTATAAAATTATTATTGTCACTTTTCTGTTAGTGTTTTATTTTAAATAGTTATCAAAATAAAGAGTAAATTTGTTAAGAAATGTTTGATTAAATGTTTATATAAAAGTTTATTTTAATTTTATGCTTTAGTTAAATAAAAAAGCACTGATTAATTATTTTTACTCAATGAAAACTGTATATTTTTAATTTATTTATTGATTAATATTGATTGATGGGTTTAGGATAAAATCAGTCTTTTTATTTTTATTATTACTTTAGATTAATATTTTTAAGATTTAAATATCAAAAAATTAATCATTTTGAATAAAAATTATTTGATTGTTATGTTTTCACCCCCAAAATTTGAAAGTGAATCAAAATCAATCCATAATTAATAAAAGATTTAAGAAATGTCATAGAAGAAGGGTAATCTTGTATAAAGTAGTTCTTAGTAGTATGTGAATTCATTTTAAGGAACTACAGTCCAACTACAAAAACAGAATAATGAGGCTTAAAATTAATTCTCAAGTCAGCAAAATCAATAGCAATTTAACCTTGCTAATGAAAATACAAATTTAATTCAAAATCTAATTTTAGGATATAAGAATAGCAAAGATTATGAATAGCAAACTAAAGAGCAGTAGGGTACTAGGTCTATGAATAACCTTCACTAGGCCTAATAGGCTTCTCAAAATATTTAATATTAACAATTATAAAGAAGCTATTAAAAGGAATAGGTATCTGCATTTAATCCAAACACTGGTAGCAATATGAAAAATGATAATAGTTTAAATTAATCAAACGATTATGTTATTGCAAATTCTGCTTAAAAGAATCAAAATACGAGTAGTTACTACTAGAATTTGTAGACTAATTAACATATTTCAGCTGCTGATTTCTTAGTTATGAATGGTAATAAAATTACCTGTGGAAATGCCAATTGTAATTGTAGTGAAAGTAGCTGGGCTTTAGTCAGAGATTATCTCAAGCAATTAAAGTAGTTATCAAGCGAGCATCTATTTACTAGTCAAGAAAATAAAAGACTCTTAGAATAAAACTAAGAGTTGCTTAATGAGAATTTAAATTTAAAGAATTAGATTAGCATTATGGAGCAAAAGATGGTTTTATATGAAAAAGAAAATATGAATAAATTGAATAGCAATAAAGAAAAAATAAAATCTTTAGAAATTTTCAACAAAGATTTATTTAATAAAATTACATATTACGAGCAAGCTATTCTTAATTATGAGCAAGAGCTAAAAAATGTCAGGCAAGAATGTTACTAAAAGATTTAACAAGTAGAAGATGAAAAGGAATATTTAAAACAGAACTTGGAAACTCTGCATGACACCATGAATGATGCTATTGCCTCTAGTGAAGAAAGATATAAATCTAAAATAGAAAGCAAAAATAGTAAAATTAAATAGCTCAAACATCAAGCTAATACTGATAAAAACCTTATTGAAAGCTATCAGACAGAGCTTGTTCAGCTTCAAACAGAAAACAAGCAACTTAAAGATGACTTGGAGTCTCTCTAGTAGGCATACACCTAATAGCAGTATGAAAATGAAGATACCCTTCATAAATTTTAGGTAATTTTTATAAATTTAGATATATTTTTACATCATAAATAGCAATTATATACTTTAAAAATAATGACACATATTAGGTATTAATTCTAATTAATAGCTTTATTTTATCCTTCACACAACACAAACACACACCTCTTTTGATTTGATAAATTTTTAAATATGAATTTAATTAATAATATTAAGAATATTATTATTAATTTTAAATCTCTTTTAAATTTATTTTTTGAAATTATTTATTTATTTATTTTTTATATTAAACAGATGCAAGAAATAGAATTACAAGCTTCTTACAAATTATGTGAAGAACTAAGAAAGAAAAATGAAGAATTATAAAATCACATTGCTTTATTAATAAACAATTAATAATTTGAAGGAGAAGATAAATTGAAAGCTTATTAACAAATAAATTAGTAGTAAATTTCTTAACTTTATAATGAAAACTAAGATTTGAGAAAGGAGCTCCAAGAGTGGCAAGAAAAAGCTTAAGTTTTGAAAGAAGGCATAGAAATGGAAACTGAAAAGAGCTCAACTTTAATCAAAAATCTCCTAATTCATATGAAAACACTAATTGAGACTAAGGGGAAAGAAGATATTGAAGAGCAGGAAAGCCCCTATTTTACTTAATAGTACATGCAATTAGACATATTTGAAGAAGTTAGATCTTAAATTATTAAATTGATAAGTTCTAGACACTCTCTCAAAAAGAAAAAGAAAGCTTTGCAACAAAAAAATGATGATTTAAAAGAATAAATAGAAGATCTCTAAAATACTTTGCATTAAGTTGTCAATGAAAGATAAGAAGAAATCATTCAAAATGAACAATAACAAATATAATTGCAGCTTCTTTAATAACAACAGCAACTTGATTAACATTTACTATAACAAAATTAAATGTAAAATAGGTAAAACTTAGAAGAAATTTAATAGCAAACACAAATAAATTCTGCTTAATCAACTCCTATTTCACAGTTCCAAAGAATTTCTGTTAAAACAGCTATTCCTCAATCCTCTTATCACAATTAACAGTTAATTAATGCATAGAATTGGATTGAAGACTCAACTGTGCAACAAAATAGAGGATCTCAAATGATATCCTTCTAAAATCCAAATTTGAACAACTCTCAAAATAAGATCTCTAATGTTGATTTATAATAAATAAGAAGGAGTGTAGCTCAAAATGTCAACAATATAAGTTTAAATTAAGATAATTAATAAAACATGATAAATCCTTAGTTGATTAACAGTTAAGAAAGCGATTATGCTAGATATTAAAGCCAAATTGACGAAATCTTAACACTTAAGGATACTCACTATACCACTATAATTAATGATTTGCAAAAGCAATAAACAGAAGCAAACAATAACACTAGCTGTATAGTTTATATCCTCTGTAAAATTATTTAAAATCATTAATAGAGAATAGCTAGACTCAACGCTCTTTTAAAATAACAAACATAAATTGTTTTTGCCTTTACAGATTCCTATAAAATTTCAAAATAAGCAGAAGAAAAACCTAAAAAGTTGCTATAAAAATTAAAAAATGTTTTTAATTAAGCAATATTCATTAGTAGACTAAAGAATGCATCCATAAATAGTATTTCAAAAGGAAGATCATCATTAAAATTGTTGTCTCTAAATTTAGCTAACTTAAATAATGGACAAGGCTTAAAGAAATATGTTACTAGTATGATTAAAGACCTAGAAGGTGATTTTGGTTTATACAGTTCAATAAAATAAATTGTAGAAGGTAGTACATAGCTAGAAAGCAATCTCTCGTTATAAATAGTTAAATTTTAGCAAAATAAATTTGATTAGCTCATAAATCTGATTGATGAAAAATAGAAAGATTACTAAAATTAATTTCCTATCTTTTTGAGTTAAACTCAAACAAAGCAAGTTAAAATTAACTAATAGTAAAGTGAAAGATAAAAGCACTCTTAATAATCAAGCAAAATAGGCGAATCTGTTGAAGGCAGTGGAAGAAAGAATGATATAATGAATGAGAAGGAAATCATAGAAACAGAAAATATCTAGCTCAAAAACCTAATAGTAAATTTAAAGGAAGAAAATGAGGAAATAAGAAACAAAATTTAAGAGTAAACTAGAAACTATGCTAAGGTAATCGAAAACTATGAATTTCAGATATAAAAGCTACAAAACGAAAATGAAATACACCTCGAAAAAAACAGTAAGTTGATAGATATGATAGATCCAAAGAATAGAGCAATTTTAGAGTAATAACCATTTTTAAATGACATTTAATACGACGATTTTTTGGATTCCTAAGATTAAAATATTAACGATATCATTCCTATTTCCACAAATCCAAAACTCGATGAAAACAAAGAACAAACAAACTGATTTGCATTTTTATTTATTAAAATTATGAAATAAAAAGATAGATTAACATATACTACCTACCATTTTTATTGAATTTTTTATATTATTTATTATTTTCACATCATTTAACAAAATAAAAATAAATTTAATACATTTAAATCTTTATCTTTACAATATTATTTATAAAAAATTATTTTATTTTTTTCAACTTGGAATAATCTTAACGATTAAAGCTAAGATTAGAAAAATCAAATTCACTGCATAAAATCAATTAAATGAGTACGTACATTCAAAGTTTAGTTTAATTTAAAGTATTTTTTATTATATTAGATGAGATCAATGTCATGAATTATTTATTATGTAAATTTAATATTATATATTAGATCAAACTATCAAAGTAAATAAAATAAGATTTAATTCTATTGTTACTTTTAATCAAAAATATGTGTAAAATTAAGTAAAAAATTATATTATAGTGTAGAACATGTTAAGATTCATTTGAAATAGCATTAATAAAAACAAAATTTGTAAAGATGAATTTGATAAATTAATTAATAATGAATTTCAGTTAAAGATAAATAAAGAAAAGATATAAATATTAAATTCAAAAATTGAAAAATAATTTAGAATAATTGCTATACTTTGATAATTATTTCTCTAGTAGGAAATAAATATTAAGTAAAATAATAAATATTTTTGAAAAAAATTTAAATTAAAAAATTTTTAGCTGAAATTAGGGCTGAAAATTTAATGCTGAATCATATTCCCCTACATCATATATTTAATGTAATGAGTGCTCTTTTTTTTAGAATTTTTTAATAATAACAGAGAGGCATAAGAGAGATAATTTGAATAATTTTTATTCTTTTTCGATTTTTATAATTTATTTACAGTATAAATTACATACATTATTTTGACAGATATGAACATACTTAGTACTTATTTTGTTATATTTTGTTTTTTTAAATTTATTTAATTATATTATAAACTAGTTTAGTATTTATATTTATTTTTTACTAAAAAGAGAAAAAAGAAAATAAAATTTATTTATTTTTTAATTAATAATATGAATTAACTTTTTTCAGGATATTTCATTTTATTCTTATTGTTTTTTAATACAATCATCACAATTTATTGATACATCTGTAGGAAAATCTACTTTGAAAACTGATAGGCACTTCATGCAATATCTTTTACTTGGATTTGTAATTTTAGGTTAATGTTTACAGAATTTGTAATGACACTATACACATTAATAAGCTTGCTAGCAACATTCGAAAATTGGAGTTGTGTTACAAATTATTCCTGCTTCAGTTAAATGATAACAATTATTATTATATGTATTGTAAGGAAAAGTAGGTTCTATCCTTTTGAGCAATTTGTTTTAAGTACGAGCTTAATCTTATTGTATAATATTTTATTTTGCCAGCTTAAGCTACTTTTTCTTATACTTAATTTCTAACTCTAATTATTAGTATTGATTCACCAAATCGTTTTTTATTTATGTGGGAGAATATTGATCGGGAAGAGGTATTTTAAAATCTGTATGGTTGTTAAACACCTCTTTCAAAGCAAGCTAGAGTTTTTATGTATATTAATAAACTGCTTCATTAAAAGTATTTTCTAACTTATTATATTTAGTACTCAATGTATTATGCAATTAATCAATTTTAAGATAATGAGATCTACTCACTAATCCAAGTGACATATTTATTTCTTTTTTAGTTAAATCAAAAAAATTTTTTTAAACAATGCTCTGCATAAATTAATCAATTTTTTCCAATCTTTCAATTTCTTATTCAATACCATCAGCTGAAACTTTTAAATGACTGCTGCTCTATCCTTATTAAAATCTATCTTTTTATATTTGCTAGTTATTTATTTACTAAAGATATCCTCCAACGTATTTAATTTCTGAATAATCTTAAATTTTAGATTTCCTTCTTTATTCTTCAGATTCTTATTACTTTTCTTCTTTATCCATTTATTGTAATATTATTTAGTATTGATTTTAAATTTTATCTTTGATTTCATCAAGATTTTAACATATTTATTCTTTTATTTAATTAATTAGTTAATTTATATTTCCAAGAAACGAAGGATGTTCCAATTCTTCTTTTATACTCTTGAAGTGAAAGAATTTCCTTAAAAAAGTTTCATAAGAGCTCTCCAGTTGCAAAATAAATTCCTCGATTGTTTTTAAATCATGAAATTCATGGTCAAAACTTGAAATACATTTTTCACATAAAACTCTCTCCTTATCCAAGCATTTTTAGTCTACACAAATATATTTAAGTTGTTAGTGTTTGTGAGCAGAGCAAACTGGCTTCAATGTTAACCCTAGTCTATTTAAAGCAGATTTTTTTAAAATATCATCAAAGTTATTTAACTTTTAACTCTATTTCATACTTTTTTATTAAATAATATTTTATTAATTGAGGTTATTTTTATTAGAAACAGTGCTTTTATTCAAAGATGCAGTGCTTTTATTCATAGAATTAGTGCTCCTATTGAGTAAAGATGTGCTTTTATTAAGTATTGTTGAGCAACTTATGCTTCCAATGATTTCTGTGTTTGAAAGAGGAATGAGACTAGATGCATTTAATTTCGTTTATTTCTAAGGAGAGAAGTATTTATCCTTAAGACTTTTGGACATATAAAATTCGCTGCTATTTAAGCTACTTTAAGGGCGTTATTAATAAATACTATTTTTGCTAAAACTTCTATCCATTTAACTTTATTTAGTAGAAGATCTCATTAAAACAGAATCACTTTATTTGGATTATGATGCCTCCTAAGGAGATTTTTCAAAAATTATATGTGATTGCCTTGAAAGCTTATCTGTAGGAGTGCTAATCTCCTACGAAATATAATTCGAACTGCATTATTTACCTAGAAAATTTCTTTTCATAGAATTTTAGCTAGAATTTGTATTTCTAATTACCTCTGGGCTGCTTCTTTAATTTGGAGATTGAAACTGATTTAAATATTAATTTGTGTAATCATCCAGTTCTTATTTTTTTAGGTTTTAAGAAATAGGGCTTAATTATGAATAATGAGATTTATCATTGCTGCTGATTTAGTTCTGATCTATTTCAAAATGTTGATCATTTGGAGAAAAGGACATATTAAGCTTATCTTAACAATCTTAAGTCTACTGCAATTAAGAGACTATATTTTTAACATCGCTATCCCTATGTTCATTCTATTTTTTGTAGCTTAAACTCATTAAGATTTGGTATCAATTTGTAAATTTGCTAATTTAATCTCTTTAAAAATAAAAAATATCACAAAATTTTAATTAAATTTTGTGTAGTAATTAATGTTCTATTAGGTATAACGCTGAAAGTAGCTAGCTACTGTTCTAAAATAAATCATGAATATTATTCGTTATAGTTAAATTATATTTACTTACTTTTACAAATTCAAATCAAATCAAATTATACATCAATCACTATTACAATAAATAACAACTATAATCCACTTTTGATATTTTGTAACCAATTTATAATAAATAATAAAATAAAAAAAATATACATAAAATTTATTTATTTTTGGCAATATTTCAATTCTTTTTAAAATTATTTTAATTTAAGTCTTAATATTCCATCAATTTTTTGTAAGTAATTAAATGATATTAAATTTAATAAATATAAATTTAACTGTTCTTTAATCAAATTAGATTTATTTTATACAATATATCTAAAATTTTATATAAATAATGTTTTACAGCTTATATTATTGCTATTATTGCTAAATATTTGATGAAATAGATGTTGAAAATTACTTAAATTTCATAAAATATATAAAAAAATAAACAAATTTTTATTATTTTCATCAACATTTTATTTAATAGCTGTTTTAAATATATATTAATATTTTTTTATTCATATAATACATCTATCTAAAATTTTAGATAATTAAATTAAGATTTCCAAATTTATATTGAGTATTATTTAGATAATTAATTAATTAATTTAGTTATTATATTTGTTTATATGAGACAATTATTAGTATGTATATTTATTTATTTATTTGTTTATTTATTTTGACTTTAGTTAAAATAGTTCAGAAAATTTAAAGGCAAACTAAATTTCATTTGATAGCAATTTTTCTTTATTTAATAAATTGAATTTCTATTTGAATCTTGAATATTTATTTTTTAATTCATTTATTTGCTTTAGGAAAAAATTAATTAATTTGTAAGTAGTTAAATTTATTTTAGATTATATTTCAATTTTAAGTTTAGATTATTTTATCATCTTCATCAAAATCGTGAAGAACTTCTTCGTAGCTTGTTACGAATTCTAACTCTGTTTTGATATTAGATATTTTGTTTTTAATCTCTGAATCTAATAAACATATCGATTTTTTAAGTATTTCTATTTTATCCTAAAATTAAAATTTATATCGTAAATAAATAAATAAAATTAAATAAGAATCAGATTAATTAAAAATTTACATTGAGATCTTTAGCAAGTTTCAGTATTTCATTTTTTCTGTTTTCTTCCTCGTAGTTATAAATAGTTTACATACTTTCATTATGACTATCTTTTGGACTTTTAGAGCCCTGATTGCTTACTGCTTCTTTAATGTATTACTTGAACTAGCTTTAGATTTGATTTACCTAATCTAATTCTTTTTGTAGTGCCACTTTTTTTAACTCTGTCTCTTCTACAAACTCTATAAAATGAGGAATCTCTTGTATTTCATTTAGTTAAACACTTTCTGTTTTGAATCGATTACTTTAAATGCTATAATTTTATTCTTTTTAACTTTCTATTTATTTTTTGCTCTATAGGGCTTGATCATAGCTTTATAAATCTTTATTAAATTCTTTTTCTTAAGCCTAATTAGCAAAATTAGTTTTTAAGGCAGGACTTTAAACTTTAGAATCATTATCTGGATTCATGAGTCTATCAGCTATAGCCTAGTTGAAACTTATCTGGTTAGCTTTGGAATTTTTGTTAGAATTTTGATGAGAATTAGATAAAAATTGCGTATGCCCATTAATGTTATTTTCTATTTAGTTTGCCGAATATTTAGGTCTTTACATCTCTTCCAACTCCATAACCTTTTCTTTTATTTCTCTAAAATGTTTACGTCTAGCATAGGCTTTATACTTTAATATTTTATGGCTATAAGGATAAAAATCGCATAAATCCAAAAGTATTTTGCGGTCTATACACATGCATTCTACATCCTCATCAATAGCTCTTTATATTTAAAAAAACTCTTCAAATAATCATTCATTTTTCACATATATTTATTACATAAAAGCATTCGAAGACTTTAGATTGAATAAAATTAGATGATCACCAAAGTAAGAACCAGGACCTAATGTGATATATTTATGAACACCATCCTTTGAGCCTATTGTTACCTAGTATTAATAATAAAAGATATTTAATTATGAATTTTTTATAAAATTTGACTTAATTTACATTTCCTTTTGTAATAAAAAAGAGATCATTTGGACAGGTATCTATAGGAATAATGTCTATTTATTTCAATCCATCGTATTCAGCTTAAGTATATTTTTTAGGATAGAGATTTACTACAACAGCATGAACAAACTATATTTCTAGCCCTTTAAAGAAGACAGAAAACCTGTCAATAAATCCTTTAAAAATGTGATCAACAAGCTTATTTCAATATAAGAATATTTTTTTATTTATTTATTTTAAAAATATTTGTTAAAATTTACTTGACTTCTTAAATCCACTGGAAGCTAATTAAAGAAAGGAAACTCCTGCACAACAGTTGTGTGATCTCTTTACCAATAAATTGTAAATCTTTTTCTTAAATCATCAACAAATGACTATGGTAATTTTCTTGTAGGATTTGCTCTATCTATTTTGATTATCCACTGATCAAGATTTTCATTTTCATTTTAAATATATTCTAAATGGTCATCATTAAGCTTTTCAATAAGATTGTTTATATTTCCCATCATATAAGCAAAAATGAATACACCTAAGAACTTTTTTGTTATTTAAAAATATGAGTGAGCAATTAATTAAGCCTTTATTTTATCTTCTTAATAATTAATTTATTTGTAAAAAACTGAGAAAAACTTTTGATTGATTGATTTATTTACTTATACAAACATAGTAAATATTCTTTCGTAGCTTGTTTATCCATAAAAATCACCATAACCTAGTGTTGTCAATGTTGTGAATACCCAATAGAGTGATGCAACAAATTCAGTTTATAAATTATTTCCAATTTCAGATGCGGGATTATCATCACTCGAGAATAGTTACTCATATACCCATCCCGACATTAGTCTAAATTCTTTTGCATTTTTATCATATCCATATTCTACATTCTTTTTGATACCAAGATAATACCAAAAGCAAGAAAGATATTATGCTATAATACATAGTAGCAACAAAAATTATAGAATGGTTGTTAAGCTCTTAGTCAAGTTGATATTAGAAGTAAAAAACCCTAAAACCTTTTTAAATTAAATTGATGAAAATCAGATCGATTGTAGACTTTTAATTAATTATAATTTACTTTGTTACAAAATATTTAGAAATAATCTAAAACACAGCCAATCTAGAGCATCCTGAGAAATCTTGTGCCATACCAAGTGTTAAAAATATAATAAGGAAACAAAGCTGTAACTTCAAAAAAGAATAATCCGTCGGAATCCATCCATAAGAAACCACTTTTTTTATAAATAATAAAAAGTAAAATTAGCATTAATTGATTGAGTTAAAAAATCAATTAAATTTACAAACAATATCTAAATGCAATAGAGTTAAAATCCTTAACGACTCTTGTTTTGTCAACATAAGCACAAAAAAATTTAATAATTATCGTGCAAAGAAAAAAAGAATCCATAACAATATCTATGACCATCAAATTCTCCTAACGAATCAAACTAAATGCATATCTATAAAGTTAACAAAAAAAAGTTTTTTTTAATAAACATTTTATAGCTGTTTGAAATTAATTAATTTATTTTACCTAAAGGGAACAAGAAATATGTTGTATATAATGAAAAACGATTCAATCAATAAAAAGTAAAATCTGAAGTTTGAGAATGGTAATAGTAAAAATTTAGAGTAAGCCCATTTAGATTCTTTAGGTTAGTAGCTATCCAAAATACCTACTTTCCTATTTTATAAGACAAACATAATTAGTCAATATTATAAACATAAATAAATAAATAAATAAGTTAAAATTTTTCTTAAGTTTTAACAAATCTCACCTTTTATACTAAATGATTCTTAGTACTGACTTAACTTTTTTCCAACCTTTCATAGCGATTTAATATCTCCTATTTTATTCTTCCTCATTCACATTTTCATCTAAAAATGTTGTTTGTTTTTTTTACAAAAGATTTTTAAGTTTATCCATAAAACCTCTTTATGAACTCTATTTAATTTCAATACTTTCTGTTAATTAGTTAGCTTTTACTTGTTAATTCTAGCTTTTATTTTAAGTCACATTGCTTCCATCTTAATTTTATTATTCGCTATCGATCTATTTTTAAATTAAGAAATCAACAATAGCTAAAAATTACTACATTTAGAATAAAGCATTTAGTCAAGTTTGACATTTAATAAACAAATAATATTAAAACTGATGCTTAATTTAATTATATATACCTAAGGTTGCATTAAACCATTAACTATGTCTAATTCTCGCTATTCTGTAATTAATTCATCTTAATTAGTATTTTATTGATCAGTAAATAAAATGTCTGTATTCATAAATAAAAATTAGTTTCAATTATTTATCTTTCGCTTTAATGCAACAGATCACTATCGGCTCTTGTATTTAATAGTAGCTCTATTTTTTTAAATATTTTCTATTTCACTGCTTTAAGGCTTCTTGAATAAAATACTAATAGCTCTAATATTTATATCTACTAATATACAATTTCACAAAAACTGCTTTTGTATTTGAAGTAATTTAAATTGAAATATATAAAAAACAAACAATTATTCTGATTATAATTCTTGTAAACCAAAGAAAATTTAACTATTACATGACCATATAAAAAAGCCTTGTTTAAGCAAGCTATTTTAGATTAAAAATTATTAAAGTGGTTAAAATTTAACAAAAAAATAAAATAAGCTTAAAAAACAATTTTAATAATATTTATTTTATGATATTCTCAAATTTTTTTTAATTTAAATTTCTTTTAAATTTTTTCTGTTTATTTTTTGTTTTCATATTTATTATTCACAAATACGTTAATAATTCATAGCTTTTTAAAACTTCAAATTTATTTCAAGCTTATTTTTAGCTATAATTCAAAAAATAATGATTTTGATTATCTATCATAAAAATATAATTTTAAAATCAATTTGTAAAAATTCCCTTTTAAAATAATTTTTGCTTGAAATATTCATTTATTAGCTCATTCATTTGTTTTGATATTATGTAAATTTTAATTAGAATTAATAACCTTTCCTTTTGCTGAACAATCAATCAATAAATTAATAAATGAATGAATGATTGCTTATCAAATAATAACTATGTTAGTATAGTTTGATTTTTGATATACCTAAAAAAATATATGAATGTATTATATATATGCTTCTTAATAGAATGTGAAAACAAAGAAAATCTTAACATAGGGAAAAGTATATTTTTAATACAAAAAATATAAAAAATAAATAAATAAAAAGAAAGAAAGATTTATTTAATTAATTAATTTATAAATAGATAGCAGTCTTTACAATTTATCATGAATCCCAGAAATATCTTCAATTTAGCAAAGAAAGTTTAAAATTTCAATTCTATTACATAGAAGGCTTTTAAGAGATTCGGAGGTGCTGCAGCTCATCACGATGACCACCATGATGATCATCATGGACATGGTGGACATGGTTATGTATGATATTCTAGCTATAAATAGATTATAATTATATTATGATTATTATTAGATAAAATCAATTAATGATTAATTTAATTTAAAAATATTTTTTTAAATATAAAAAATAGGAAGTCCATTTAGTTAAAGATAAGAATCTTATTGGTAACAAGAGCTTTGTAAGTTTTACAAATATTTTAATTTTATTTGCAAAAATGAAATGAGGTCTTAGAAGGAAGAAATATAAAATACAATCAATTTTTGTTGCAATTAGAAGATGATTTAAATAGTGATTGGTTATTTTAGATACAAATAGAAGCAAACAAAATATCTATTGATAATTAATTTAGTAGAAATTAAAATAGCTCTTAAGTATAATTTGAATAGATAAATCTAATAATGATAAGATAGATAGATAAATGTCTCTTTTTAGAATAACTCATTTGAATTTGATAAACATTTTTCTAAATAAACAAACAATTTGTTATGAATTAAAAATGATAGAAAATGATTAATAAATAAAAGTAGATGTTATATTTTATAGAAATCATAAGCACAAATAAAATATAAGATTATTCAATTAATTATATAATAGGATAATTACAGCAATATTACTCTTTAATCCTAAAATAGTGTTTGCTTTCTAGAGATATTTCTTTCTTTGATTCTCATAAATCTTCAATGATTTGTTTTATCAATAAAATATCTAAATAATTTTTAATCACATATTAAAATAAAAGAAAGACGATTTGGTTGCTGTCTATGGCTTTACTGATGTAAATGATCACCACCATCATGACGAAACCGATCCTTATCACCATCTTAGAGGAGTTCCTACTCTTTCGTAATTAGATTTGCTTTGATATGATTATTAGAAATTAAATGTTTATATATTTAAATAGCTTCGAAAGAATGTACTTTGCTGATGCTTATTACCATGACGATACTCATGAAGGATTAATGAACGAACCCCACGGTTATTTAACTATGGATGACGTATATTATTTATTTATTTCTTAATTGTTTTTATATTTCAAATTTTTAATTTTTAGCCTATGGATCTTAGACCTAATTATGAAAAATCTGCTTTAGAATTATTATTCCTTGTTAGTGGTGGTGCTATCTTAGCTCTCATGTTAGGTTATTAAGGTCTTAACTTAGCTAATCCTGCAGGTAAAAATAAAATATTTGGAAAATATTAATAAGAATTTTATTTATATATTAGAAAGTCTTTTCAGCTTGAATACTGCTGCTGAAGAAATTGAAGATAAAATTAGACAAATTAGAATAGATAATGATAAATTACTTTAGAGAAAGGCTTAATTAGAAGAAGAATTAGCTTCCCTCAATAACTGAGATGATTTTAAGCTCAAAACAAAAATTATTCATATTTTTTCTCAAGAAGTAACAAACAAACGAAATAAAGAAAGAGTAAAACTCTTTTAATTGGCCTACGAAAGTTTGAAATTTAAAAAAAATATACACGAAATTAAACAATAACTGAAACTCACATCTATTTTATGCGATTGCTTTTTGTTTATATTCGTATTTTAGATGGCTTTTTACTAATATATCCTTAATATCTATCACTCATTCATAAACAAACAATTCTCAAGTATTTTCTAACACATAAACCTTTATATCGAATTATTAAAAAAATTAATTTATCAAATATCCATCTATCTCCAAATTAATTTAAAAATTTATATTATCAAAAACAATTAAAATATTTTTGTTTTTGCTAAGGTAAGGTAAGGTTTTTTTATTTACTTTAAAAAAAGTAAAAAAGTATTAATGTATTTTTTAATTTTTTAAATGTCCAGACTCTTCAATTTGAAAATATGTCCCCCATATGATAGGATTTAACTAAATTTTACATGACTATATGCTATTCATATGATAAAAGTTATTTATGTAAAAAATAATAATAAATTTAATTTATTTAAATCATGTTATTTGTTTTCTTAATAAAGAATATTTTTATAACTTAAAGATACTTTTTTAGAAAAAATATTTAATAATCTATTGAGAGAAATTAAAATTTACGAATTATAATAAAAAGAAAAATATGATAAATTTTTAAAGAAGAGATAGTTTATTTATAAAATAAGATACTTCATATCACAACTAAAGCGAAAATGTTGATTTGTTGTTTAACATATATCAAAATACTGTTTTTTAATAAATATCATAGAATTTCTTAGTAATAATTATTATTTTTATTGTATTGTTATAATAACTTATATATATATCTCATAATTAAGAGCATGAAATATAATTAAATTATAATCTACTATTAATATGAGGGTAGTTATTATTTTAAGTTTATTTTCTCATTTTTAATTGTTTATTTGTTTGTTGTATATTAGAGGATATCGAAACACATTTAAGTTACAAAGCATTCATTATTTATAAAGATTTGAGTCTTTGAGTAATAAATATTCAATCTAAAAAGAAATTTAAAGAGCAGAATATTTATTTTAATTATTATATTTTGTTAAATTTCAACAATTCACATTTATAAAACAAAATATGTTTTAATATTTTTTTAGATTATAAAAGATATTATTTTAATAGACAGATCAGATCATGTGTGAGTGAGTGAGTGATTAAGTAAGTAGGCAGGTAAGTTTTTACTTGATAATTAGTAATTTCTGCACTGAAACCAAAATAAAATTAAGTATTATTATTAATTTTTTTTGTTTTTTGAGAATGATTTTATATATTAAAGAAGATAAGAATACTAAAAAATTATTTAAAAATAAGGACTTTTAAATGTTCTCTTTTAGTTACTTTCCTCATAAGAAATAGGGAAGAACTTGCTTGTAGCTGGTAGCTCTAGAGCTCTCTGGGACAGCATTAAAGAAGGTAAACTATCTTTGCATATTTTCATCAAAGGATAATATACTTGCAGCATTACCCATTCTGTAGCAATAATTAGGAGCACTCCATACAGTAACTAGATTCTACTTTGTAAACCAATATTTATAGCCCTCTTAAGCAAGTTAATGAGCTCTACAGATCAATTGAAGACCATTTATTCTACAAAATTCTTCAGTTGGTTTCCAGCCAAAAATCCAACCTGCGCCTCTTGGAGATAATTGCCATGATTCTAAGTCATCTGGATCACTCCACATTAAATCACAGAAGGGTCCATCATGAGGAATTTCAATTTTGCGGTTTATTGTTCTTATTTAGTCCAGAGTCTTAATGTCTGGAGATAAACCACCATGGATGCAAAGTACAGTCCCATCTATTATAGCAGCTAGAGCTAAGTGATCAAATAGATCTGTAAATATTTTCCATGGGTTAGAATTACCATATTTACGAGATATTTCATCAAAGAAACCGTACGCTGAAGTAATTTGGCGAGATTCGTGATTTCCTCTGAGAAGGGTAATATTACCAGGGTACTTCAGCTTCAAGCAAAGCAAATATTCTATTGTTTCTACACTGTTATGTCCCCTGTCTACAAAATCTCCAATAAAAATATAATTGCTTGTAGGTATTTCTCCACCTTTTTGAAAAAGTTCAAGTAAATCATAAAATTATCCATGAATATCTCCACAAACTGTAACTGGAGCACTAACTGGCTAAACATTAGACTCTTCAATTAGGATTTCCTTTACTTTTTCACAGAGCAATCTTAAATCTCTCTCAGTAAGAATTTCTTTGTCTACCTTTAAAGTATACAACCACTAATCTACATCCGCTTTCATTCTACCTGCACTTAAAATAATAAAATGTCAAAAAAAAATGATAAACATCTTTAAAATGATAGCAGATAGTATAGTCACTTAATAAGAAGAGTATAATTAGAAAAACACTAAATATTTACCAATAGATTTTTCAATAATTTTGATAAAATAATTTATTTTAAATTGACTAGAAGTAATTATTTGAAAATTTTGTCTTGTTCAGCTTTAGCTCCTAATTTAAAGTTTATTTAATGTTATGAAATTTAATAAATTTTTTATTGTCCGATTGATTGATACTTAGGGAATTTGTTTGTTTGTTTGATTGCTAAGTCGTTTTCTGATTAAATAATTAATGCATAAAAATAAGTAAGCAATCTGTCAAATATGTTTTCATTCTTAACAATAATAAACAAACATTTATAATTCTTATGCATATGCCCAAAGTGGAAATAAAGTAAGCGATTAAAAATTCAAGTTATTTATTTTCTTTCAATATAAATTTAGAAATTCATTCATTTATTTATTTATTTCTTTATTTATTTACTTGCTTGTTGATTAATTTGTTGTTTATTTGCATTGATTTGCTTTATCTTAAATGAGTATTTTGATGGAAAGAATTAAATATTTTTAAGTAATAATAAAAAATATTTTACTAAAAATACATAGAAAGATAGATAGATACAAATAATAAAAGTGGTTGAGTTTTTATTTTTAGTTTAATCATTAGAATTCAGTCTTTTTGGGCATAGGTAACTTGTAAGGAAGGAAATCAGTACCAACAAAGGGAACCTATTAAGATTTAAAGTAAAATTAAAATTAAATTAAAAAAAAAAATTGATGATTACGAGGCATTTAGGAACACGAACACCGTCCTTTTCTTGATAATTTTCTAAAATACAAGTTAAGGTTCTTTAAGCAGCACATAAAGTACCATTAAGCATGTGAACGAACTTCTTTTCATTACCCTTATCACCGTCCTTCTTACCAGGAATGACTTCACCGGTAGTGACGTTCAAACCTCTGGATTAGAAGTCAGTACAGTTAGAGCAAGAAACCAATTCCTTTTAAATTAATTATAATTTTTATAAAGATTCATTTTTTCAAGTATTTGAATTTACCTTGTATTGACCATAACCGGGGAACCAAGCTTCAAGATCGTACTTTTTAGCAGCAGCATCATTAAGAGCACCAGAGACGATATTAACAACTCTGTAGGGTAAGCCGAGTTCTTACATGAATTCTTCAGAAATTTTAATCATTCTTTCGAGTTCATCCCAAGAGTCTTCAGGCTTGCAGAGAACGAATTATTCGACCTTTTCGAATTAGTGGACTCTGTAGACACCCCAGGTTTCTCTTCCAGCAGCACCAGCTTCCTTTCTGAAGCAAGTGGAAAGACCAGCATATCTTAAGGGAAGTTCCTTAGAATCAATCCATTCACCAGAATGGAAGGCAGAAATGGGTTGTTCAGAAGTGGCAATCAAGTATTTTTCCTTATCTTCGTTTAAGGTCTTTTATTCTTCAGCATGCATGACACTGGTGGAGTCAACCTATTTTTTTTTTGTGTTAATAAAACCAATTAATATTTAACTGCCTGATTTATTTAATTTTTTTCAAATAAATGCTTTGAAGAAAAGATTTCATTAATAATTCTATTTTTGCTAATTACCTTGTAAAGTTGTTCATCAAAGTCAGACAATTAGCAAGTTTCACCCATAACATCCTTCTTCATGAAGAAAGGAGTGTACATAGGGCAGTAACCCTTCTTCATTAAGAATTATTAACCGAAAGTACATAAAGCTTGAACTAAAAGAACACCGTAGTTCTTTAAGAAATAACCTCTGTGACCAGCAATCTTTTAACCTTTTCGTAAATAATTTAAAAAGAATTAGAATAATTAAAATATTGATAAAAGTCAATTTTTCTTTAATAATCCTTTGTTCGTTTTTTTATTTTAAGGAATTTTCGCTTATCTTCTGAAAATTTTCAATATTTTCTAAATCTAAAAAAATAAAAGAAGATATTTATTTATTTATTTTCTTTTTAGATAGTTAGATTGATGGAAACAAATGCTATTTTTAAATAATTTTCTTTTTTTTTGCAAACTTCTCCTTTTAATCTTTTTTATGCTTTGTACATTTATTTATTCATTCATTCATTTATGCATAGACGCTATTTGATTCTATTTAAGATTTTGGTAACAAAGAAAAGGAAAACTAAAGAAAGATATTGATTGGTTCTATGTATCTATTTTTTTAGATCTGTATAAATAAGATAATATCATTTTACCTCTCTTTTGGTCGAAGCCATCGAGCATGTAGAGAATTTGATGGTGGTGAGCAGCACCAGGAGTTTCGTCAATCTTAATAACTCTCTTGATATCATCACCCCAAGTTCTAACAACTCCGTTGAAGTCTTCGTTGTTGTGAACAACGACAGAGTCATGAACGATGTTACCAATCTTCTTCAAAGTAACTTCTAACTTTTCTTTCTTTTCACTGCTTTCAACTTCTAAAGCCTTGATCTTTTCTTCGATTTTAGCTTTTTCAGCAAGGAGATCTTCACAAGCATCAGTCTTATCTTTCTTCTTTCTCTCACCGATAGCAGTTTGAACAATTCTCAATTCCTTTCTGGCTTGTTCGTAGTTATATTAGGCTGTTTTAAATTAAGATAAATTTTGAATAATGAGAGCATTAACTAAAATCTAATTATTTAAATCATCATCAGACTTAATTTTTCTAATGGCTATTCAAACATTTTTTCCTTTAGTTTAATTTGTATATAACTTCTTGCTTTTTTGGCACTTTCGAATGGGTAGTTAGCCATTTCGTTCTTGGTAAAGTAAGTAATTAATAAAATTTAAAGAATGCTTACACTTTCTCCATTCTTCGTCTAATGCAACGACTTCGTCAACTAATTCAACTTTTGCGTATCTTCTTCTTTGAGATTCCTTAATCTTTTCGGGATCACCACCTATAATATTTGAAAAAAATAGATAAATTCAAATAATTAATTAAGGTTGATTGTTTTATGTATAGATATTTAGTGATCGCTTCAATTAAGAAAATATTTTTAAAATAGAGAGTTTGCTCTAAAACAAGAATAGTATGATGTGAAGAAAACAAAGCTATTTACCCTTTTCCTTTCTGAAGTCGTTAATGTCAAGACCCATTTAATAAGTAAGTTTGAAATTTAGATTGTTATAGTAATTGGTTTTTTAAAAAGGTAAAATATTTATATTTTTATTAAATTTATATAATTTTTGAAAATTGTTCAATCTTCTTAAAGCCAGCATGATTCGTTTGGGGAAATTTGATTAAATAATTATTATTCTATAAAAATTATCTTTTATTTTGAGGTAGCGAGATAGAAATTTTATTCAATTAATTACTCTCTCTGTTTTTAAAAAAGATTTTTTTAGTTTAAGTATCTTTTAAGTTCTCTTAAATATTTCGTTAATATTTAAATTTATTTGTGTTATTTCTACTATAATTCTCAAGCAAGCAAGTATTCGATAACAATTCTTTTTAATTTCTTTTTTTAAATCAATAAATGTTTACTTATTGAGTGCTAAAAGAAAAATACTATTTAACTTTTTTTGTTTTTCGCGCAATTTTAGAAGCGGTTTTGATACTTTTTTCCTTGCAATAGAAAAAAATTACACTTTTTGTGAAATATTTTTTGTTATTATTATAAAATTTGCTCACAAACTGTTTTTGTTTGTATTCTTTCAAACTTCTAAAACATTCTAAGATATTTTTTCTAGCACATTTACTTGCTTTTCTAATAATCCCTTTCCAAAATTTCATCCATTTTATTTACGATAAGTCTTAGTACTTATCGCTAATAGATAGAGTCTACTGCATTTGAATTACTAAACACGTAGGAAAAATTTTAGATTAGAAAATTGTGGATTAAATGACATAAGAAAGTATGCAATCTAATTACTATGTAGTATTGCCTAAAATTTATTAACAATTGTTAATTAATAAATCGTATCAGCTCATAATTTTTTGAATCTTATTTATGAAATTAAAAAATTTTACGTCACAATTCGACCTAATTTTAACAGTGAATAAAAAAATTGCAAAATATACTAATAGACATTTCAAATCATTAAAAGAGAATTTCTTGTCAATCAAGAAAACTTAAATTTAAATAATTATTATATTCCACATTTGATTTTTAAAATTGAGTAAAAAATACAAATCTTATATTACTTAATTTGATGCATATTTTAATTTAATCATTTCTAATACTTCTAGTAAAGTCCTCTTTTTAATCTTTTTAATTTCCCTATTTTTTTCATACCAATTGTGAAGATTTGTGAAGGATTTTAACTTCAAATAAATCTATTTAAATTGTAATATTTATTTTTTTTTAATTCTTAAAATTTATTTCAATAATTACATGTTTTACTAATCAATCTTTTAAGCAAATCACAGAAAGTAAGTTAAAAAATTTTCTCAAAACATTCGATAAATATATTAATATATTAACATAAAGTTAAACACATATAAAGCCAGAGGAAAAATTATTTAAATATTCTATCTCAATTAATAATTTATATTTAGTTTAATCTAGTAATAAATAATATTCTAAAAGAAAGTTGATTTAAGCTTTTAATTTTTTTTATTAAGCAATTATAAACAGGTATTAAACAATAAGAAAAGTTAATTAAATATTCTAACACAATAAATTTTATTTGGCTTTGTATTAAAATTAATATTCCAAAACAATGTTGATTTAACTTCTTTCTTTATTTAGTAACAATCACTGTTTAAAATTTTAAAAATTTTTATATTCTAAACTGATTGATTTAGTAAAAATTTTAAATTGACAAAAATATTTAAATAAAAGAGTGATAGCTTAATAACTTAATAACCTTAATTAAAATTAATCGCCTTCTTTTTTTTGAGTTTTTTTTAAAAAAGCCATAAATTATCAATTATATTTTATTATTTAATCAACTGATCAAAATAAGTTGGATTGAATTAAAATATAGTGGCTTATGAAATTATAAATACAGTCTTAATTAACGAGGATTAATGGTAGTAAATATTTAGTAAAATTTTAAGATAATTACTGAATAAAATAGATGGAAAAGCTTATGAAATAGTAAATTTAAATACCCTAATTTCTACATGTGAGAGTGTGACGTTTTTATCAAGGAGAGGAGTATATTTTTTTAATGTATTTTAATATGAGCTTGGCTATATAAATATATTATTATTTTAAACTTCCTCCTCCCTTTTAAAAACTGGTTGGTTATTAATCCTAAATTTATGGCAAATTCTATTTCTTATCAAAACAAAATAGGTAAATGCTTTATAATAACAACAATTAATATCAGATATATTTAATTTTAAAAGTTTAGATAGCTGTGAGTGTTATTTTATGAATGATAATAATTTTATAAAATTCAAGCTACTTTTGATATATGTATACATATTTAATAAAAATAAATACTTTCTTTTTAAATATGATAATATATATTTATACCTAATTAAGTTAATTCATTTTTTTATTTATATCAAAATAATAAATACATTTGAATATCTAAATTTAGAAATAATTTATAATTAATTAATATATTTTTACATAATAGTCTTATTAAAGAACTAACTAAATAACTAACTATCCAATCAGAAATATGAAATTCAGGAAGTAATGAATGAATTTTCTAACTATAGTTTATTAATTGTTTTTATTTAAAATAATTTCACTGTTCCTAATAATCTTCTTCTTTGAAGAAAATAATTTTCAAGATAGTTCTTACAACGAAACCAAAAATAGCTCCTTTTTTAGTTTTTTTAGGGTAGTAACAGCAAAATACAGCAAACAAACCTACAAAGTCTAAGAAAAATACAAGAAAGAACCCAAACCAGAAATCACAAGTAGTTCCTTCCATTTCAAAAGTATTTTAATTTATCATGTCTTATTATTGTTATTAAATATTTTATGCTTATTGCTGATGTTATTAAATTATTTGAGCTGCTAATGCTTAAAAGTTATTAACTTGGTTAGGAGGAATAACTCCTTATAATTAGTTTTGCTGATTTTCAATATCTCCTCCTTAAGGGTTTTATTATTGCCCTACTTAGTTAGCAGGTGGATTTATCTAAGCGTGCATAACGGGATTTCCTATAAACTCTAAACTACCTAAAATTTCATCATCTCTAACTAGTCTTCCTCTATAAATGAATCTAATAGAATAGCCTTCGGCAACTTGCTAAGGAAAAGCTCGCTATTTGAGAGCGTTAATATTAATTTATTTAAGTTCATCTGTATAAGGGATGCAAATAGGCTCACCATTAAGTTTTTTTATAGTCAAAACAGGTGGCTAGTTGTTTTCTTACTACTTTTTTTCTAAATCCTAATCTCCCTATTAATTTTATTGTCCAGCTTTATTTTCTTAAGAAATTTGATTTAATTCTATATTAGTTGCCTGCGAAGACCTGCTCTCTACATCAGTTTCAATTTCTTCAATTAATTTTTCGTGCTTAGGCAAGCCTTGTGTGTCCATCTAATTAGCAGTGACTTTTTTTAATTCAATGTATATATTTGAACTTTATGATAAATTAGTTTTAATTATATTCTATCAATAGCAATCAATAACAATAATGATAATAAATAATAATAATTTCAGAATTTTTATGTAAATAAATAAATAAATTTTTTTGATAAAATTCATTATTTTTAAATTTGATTAAAATTTTATTTGCTTGTCCTAGAATTTTTGTTATAGACTAAATGGATAATTAATTGTAATTGCAAAAAGTAAACATTCTATTTTAAAATCAATTATATATATTATAGGTATAAACCAATACAACTCTTTAATTTTGGTCATCTGCATTTTAAATATCCTATATTCATCTTTTTAGGTATGTGTTTTCTTCTACAACATTAAATGATAATAAAGAGTTTCTTGAAATTGATATAACAAAATATAAAAATTAAACATTATCATACAAGTTTTAATAGTTAATTAATATTTCAATCATTCTAATTTTTTATAAATTATTCTATATTGAATAAGAATTTATTTACTCTTATTAAAAGTTAGTTTTAAATATTTAAAAAATAATTAATATTAATTAAATATTTTAAAAATTTTAATATCAATAAGTTAATTAAATGTTTGATAATTATGGTTGAATGATAAGCTAGAATCAGAACTGGATGTGCATTTATCAAAGATTATATAAGAGTAAAGCGTTATTTAAATCTCATACAACTACTTTTCCAGTGTTTTATAATAAGAAAACATCATATTCATTTTTACATCATAATTTATATCAAATAGATTCATCTTTTTTTTGTTTTTTTAGAATTTCAGTTGATATCCAAATATAATTATTTGTCTTTTTTTGATTTTTTAGATTTTTTAGATTTTTTAACCAACAAATATAAATGAATACTTTGTTAAAAAAACATAAATCTCTATAAAATTTATTTGTTTAAGTATCAGGTTTTAGTGAAGAAGTTTTATTTTATTATCAATAAAATTTTTATTAAAATTTTTAAAATTAATGAATTTATTTTTCATTTTTTTGAGATAGATAAAATTAAAATTATTTTTTATTATCTAATTTATAATTTGAAGATTTTAATTTTAAATAGAACGTCTAGATAGATAATTTGACTCTTTGGTTGATTTAGTGATTCTATTATTTAATAAAGTTCTTTAGGTTTTTTATTAACTTGAAGCTAGAGAGCTTGTTTGATGAATAAATATCATATCAATTGAATTTTAATTAAAAGTTAGAATTAGCAAAATATAGTCATCAAAAAGAAATACATAAAATATTCACGTTAAATAGAAATGGTAAAAATAGCATCTTACTTTTGAAAAATTTCACAGTCTTTTATGGTTAAAATATAGGAATTTTAATAATCATTTTGAAGTTAAAGTGTCGTTAAAATAAGTTAGGATGAGATAGTTTCAAGGCTAATCTATTTATTGATTAGAAACAAATATTCCTAAATGAATCAACAATTTCCAACAAATTTGCAATAAAAAATCTACTTCTATGAATTTTGTTTGAATCCTTAAATAGGATTAATAATGAAAGAAAATATAATATAAAAGATGAATAAATTATTCCAATTAGCGATAAGAATAAACTTCCTAAATTCATTTATAAATTATTATGATTTTGGTTGAAAATAAAAATATTTGTTTGCCAGCCAAACGAAGCTTATATTTAATGATAATAAAGTTCTATATATTTATAACCATAGAGACTGAAAATATATAAGTGAAATAACTTCTAACATTTTTAAAAAATAAATTAGAATCAAGACTTTTTGAAAGATTTAGATGATTTGGATGATGGTAATTAAATTTTATTTCAATTTTAATATTTATTTATTAAAAAATTATTTGTTTAAATTAACAAAGATGAGGAAATAGTTGTAGATGATGGGTATGGCGATGATGATAACAATGAAGAAGATGAAATGAATGATGAAGATTTGTAGAATCTTGAAGGTTTTGATGATGAGGATTTGGAGGGTGATAATCTAGAAGAATAAATTGTTAAAAAAGTAAAAACACAAAATAGAGAAAATGAAAAGGAAAATGCTATTTAAGAGTTTAAGACAGCTTTTTAAAAAGTTTAATCCAAGCCTATTTCAAATTTACTAAATGATGCTGAGTTCAAAAAGCTCTATCAAGTAAAATTAATTTCAAGATTTTTCATCTTATTTATCTTCTTAATTTGTAGAAAATCCAAGAGTATAAAGGAAAATAAAATGTTTCTAACTTGACAGCTCAAGATGATGAATATCATGTTATAATAAGATCAAATGAATATGCTGCTATTATTGAAAGAGAGTAAATAAATATACTTTGTATTTATTATTCCTTATTAAAGTTTCTTTTTTAATTTAATTTATTTTAGAATCTAAGCTGTGCATAAATTTGCAAAGGACATCTTCTTAAAGAGATTAGCTGAATTGCAAGATATTGTTATCAATCCTATTGATTATGCAAAATGTGTCAAGTTAATTAAAAATGAATCGGATATCATGAAATTAGATTTTTCTAGCATTCCTACATTAACTATGCAGTAAATTACTTCTATTTCTGTTGCAGCTTCGCAAGAAGAAGGAAAGTATTTAAATGCTAGCGAATACAAATAAGTCATAGCTGCTTGTGACAATATTTTAGAACTTCACGAGATGTCATTATAAGTAATTAATTTTTCATATTTATTATATATTTTATTTATCATAAAAATATATTTTAATTAGATATAAGCTTACATAGAGAGTCGTATGAAATTTATTGCTCCAAATTTAAGTGCTCTCGTAGGAAGTACTTGTGCTTCTCGTTTGGTTACAGCAGCTGGTGGTGTGGAAGCTCTCTAAAGAATGCCTGCTTGCAATATCTAAGTTATGGGTTCCTAGAAAAAATCACTGTTAGGTATGTCTAAAGAAGGATAAGGAAATAACAGAGGTTATTTCGCATAATTAGAAATGGTCTAAAAAGCTCCTCCCTAGTTTTAGACAAAACTAGTCAGAATGCTTTCTACTAATGTTGCAAAAGCTGTTCGTATTGATTTCTTGAAGACATGTCCTAGTGGATCTGCTGGAAAAAGATTGTATGATTTAATGATTTAAAGATTCTCAAAAGTCTAAGAACCTCCTCCAGCCAAGATGAACAAACCTTTAGCTAAACCTGATGACAAGCCCAGCAGAAAAAGAGGTGGTGAGAAATATAGAAAGATTAAAGAGCGTTTAGGATTAACTAATTTGAGAGCTTTATCACAAAGAATGATGTTTGGTGATTAAGTAATTTTGAAAAAATTGATAAAAACTTAAATATTCTAAATAATTTATTAATTAAATTAAATAAAAGGCAGAAGAAGAATTTAGAGACACAGGAAAGGGCTTTGGTCTATTGGGAGTTTAAGCTGGTACTATTAAGGTCAATGTAAGCAAGAGGAAGATTAAATTAAGTAATGTTATTAAATTTTATTTATATATTCTAAATTTAATATAAAAATAGCTCAAAAGCAATAAAAGCAGCAAGCTAAATAAGAATAAAGATAGGTTCCACTTAAAATAGCTGGCGGAGATATGCAAGATGGTCTTGCATCTAGCTTATAATTTACTTCAAATTAGGGAATAGAACTTATAAGTAAATAATAACTTTTTAAGATAAATCTCTATTTAAATTTATTTGTAAAAATAAAGATCCTTACCTTCTCAAGCAAGATGGTATCAAGACAGAAAATTATTTTAACAAAGATGTTGGTTTCAGAACTGTTGTAGAAACAAAAAACAATGTAGGCTTACTCCCAGGTCAATTTAAGGCTCCTAATTGAGTTTACTACTTAATCTATCTTAAAATTTAAATGTTGGTTGTGTTTGTTTTTAAACTTGTTTTTCATAAAAATTATCTTTAAATTTGCAATAAAAGTTGTTTAAAATTTTTAAAAAAATAATTAGGGTGTTTTTTTTGTTTTAAACAGTAAAAATTAGTAAAAAAATTAATTTTTGCTAAAATTTACTCAAAAAAATTTAGTTTGAAATGAATTAGATAATTTTTAAATTCAAACCCAAAAATTTTAAATAGGTTTTTGTTATAGTTAAATTAATTGTTAAAATTAAGTAAATAAGTAAAAAAATATAAGCAAAATGAGTTCACTATTTGGAAATAAGAATAAAGAAGTCATATTCAACTTTTGTTAAAAAAGTTAGGAAGAAGATTAAGATATGTTTGCTGATCATGAAATATTGATAGATGAATAGTTATAATGCTTTAATTGCAACAAATATTTTGATCCTACAAAATATGGTTTTTATTTTATTTAAATTTCTCTATTTAATCACAATGCTCAAACTTATAAATAAGAAATATAATTTTAATGATATCCATTATGATGTTTTAATTTACTAACTTATATTTTTAAATTTTTTAATTTTTCCTAAAATTATATTTTTAAATTATTTTTTTTCAATTAAAAATTTTAAAAAGGAATTGATTTGTTAGATGAAATGGATTTCAATAAGAATTTAGATACTTTTTGTTGTGAAAACTGCTATCTCAGTCTGCATTTTCCTTTTTATTATTAATTAGATTTGCTTTTGAAAATGAGTAATTTAGAAGTAAACACTAAGTATGAATTTAATCTAGTATTGCAAGAAGAGTGCTATTAAGACAGCTGTATTTTAGGAGTATTTTTGTCTAAATAGAATCTTATCAACGTATTTAAAAAATAAACAGGATCACATAATTTCATTCTCAATGTTAAAATGAATGGACAGGATCCTAGCTAAGAGGGAAGCAATTTTTTTGTTATTGATTCTGATGATTTGACATAAATGCAAAACACTTTAAACTTTGAGTGCTTAAATTTTTCTTTCTAAAAAAGTTTCATAAGCAACATTATTTTAATGAATGATTAATAAAAATCATAATTAAAGACTGCCTCACCGAATATAATATCAGTAATATTGCATTGTAGGAAAATAAGAGTTAGTGCTTATGTAGCTAAGCTATTCAAAAAGAAGTTCTTTAACTGTCTTAATCATGAAAGTCTCTTTAAAGTCTTCGAAGAATAAGAGTAAAAATATAAACAAAAAGATTAAATTCAAAAAATCAAATTATAAACTAAGTAAAATAGCTTAAGCACTAGTCAAATACATTAAAGCTCTACTTTAAATGAAATTTAGCCATCCTAACTTTAAACACATAAAGAAACATCAAACATTAGTCAGAGTTCATAATTAAATAAAGATTTTTGTGAAAAAAAAGAGCTTACTGAAATATATCTTAGAATTAAAAATTTTCATCAAATGTTTCCATTTATGTATAAAAATGAAATGGTTGTTAAAATGGATGATAATGCTGTGATTTAGTATCCAGCATTCACTTATCATCATTCTCATCCATTTGATTTGAGAGATTATTGCTATCTAAATTAAGTTAACCCTACTTGGCTGTGTCCTATTTGTAATAAGCACAAAATTTTTTTAAAAGAAATTTAGTTGGACTTCTATTTATTCGCTTTGATTTAAACTCAGTACCTTAAAGATTCATATATTTCAGATAAAATTTAATAAATATTACAAAGCAAACCATAATTTGATTCTGAATTCTTTAGCAATCAATTAAAATAACTAAATCTGCATAGCATGAAGGTATTAGAACAAACCCAATAGAGGACTTAGTCAAATGAAATAAAAATTTAGCAAAATTTATCAAATAAATTAAATTAAACAAATAAAAATTTCATCTAAATTTATAAAAAAAGCAATCAATTAGGTCAAAAAGAAAATATCTTGAAAAACAGTACTAAAATTAAATAATTTAAATGTAAAAGCAGCATAGATTAAAATACAAATTATGAGTAAAGAAATCATAAAAATGGCAATTAAAACTAAAAAAGTAAAACATCAGAGTTTTTTAACGAGAATCTGAATTGTACAGACTTATCATAAGATAATTATTTAGATTTTATCTAAGATTTTGATGAATTTTAATCTTTTTTAAATCCGTATTAGAAGTAGCATTCTATGAGGAACAGTAAGGATATCAGTGTTAGGCATAACATGGATTAAGCAAATTTAATTGATGAGATGAGTATTTTAAATATTTAATGTAATGAAATTGCCTCTTAAAAAAGTTCCACTAGAGTGTATTCGAAGCTAGTAAATAAATCTAAATCAAAGACAAGTTCTTCAAATAAAGAAGAAAAACAAAAACAAAATGATGCTTTTAAAGAAAATTAAATTGATATAGAATAGTCAGGTTAAATAATAGAAGAAAAAGTTCAAGAAAAACCATCCTTAAATGACTAAATAGATGCAAATAAAAATATATAATTCAGCTAATAAATTGAAAGCTTTTCTGATTTGAGTTAAAAATTTATTTCATAATAAAAAGAGGAGAGAACTCTTGAGGTTGCTAATCAATTCTATCTAGACACATCATTTTTACGGTCTCCATTAGAAATTAATGTTCTGTTTGATGTTTCTTACTTGCAATTTAATAAAGAAGAATAAGAATATTAATCTGTTTAATAAATAATACAATTAATTGACTTTTAAGAAGATAAATAAATGTTAGAAAAGCTATTTAATATAGATATTCTTTAAAATCATTACTTTATCTTTAACATATTTAATCTTTCTTATGTTAATAATCGTCAATACTAAGATTTACACACTATTCTCAACCAAAATCCTTCAACAAAAACATTCTTTTAAGTTCTGATTAATGTTTAAGAACAATTTATTAACCTTGGTATGTCATCTGAATTTTACACTCTAATATCTTAATTTTATTATAAAGTAATGTCAAACAAATAGAGGAATAACAAAATCTCTTATGATTTGTTAGACTCAGAAAGTTAAATAACAAGCTTAAACTACAGTCAAAATAAAAATTTTCTTGAAAAACTCATCGAATGCTTCCTAGGAATGTCTATATTTAAATAACTATCAAATGAAGATGTTATAGAAAATTTTCAATAAATGGTATTTGAGTATCTATTATTTAAATAATAAAATATTCCAACTTTGATAAATATTCACAATATAATCATAAACTACTTCCCAAATTAATGCTTAAATCTTATTGAATCTATTAAAAAATCTCTTAACTCTTTGAATATTTGCATTTGATTCCATTTTATTTGTTTGTCTTTATCTCGTAGTCATATTTGTATAAATTAATTCTTTATTTTAATAGAATAATATTAATAATAAATTAATTTTTGACTCCCTAAATTAATTTTTAAAGAAATTATTTTATTAATTAATTTATTTTAAACTTTATTCAAATATTCTTTAATTAAAGTCATTTTTTTGCATTTAATTCAATGTTATTTATTTGTTTCTGTCTTATTTATGGTCATATTTGTGTGAAATATTTGTTTATTTTACCTGTTTATTTTTTAATAACAAATCCTTTTTTTTGTTTCACTAAATTAATTTTGTTTAAAATCATTTATTTAACTAGTAAATTTTTAAAAAAATTTTCTACAAATATTCTTGAAGTAAAATTATTTTATAATTTTCTTTCAAAAAAAAATGATAAATAATAAGGCTAGCACATTATTATTTATAATTATATGTTGCATTTTCTGTTAGATAAGACAAATAAATTTTCATTCTAATTTATCTTAAGGAAAAATTTATTTCAGTGGAAAATTATTAGAATGATTTTAAGGAATTTATTTGTTTCTAAATTTCTAAATAACTTCTTATAATAATTATTTATTAAAAAAAAATAGGCTGAATAAAAAACAAGAAATTTATTTTGCTTTTAATTGATTGATAATAAGAATATTAAATATCAATAATATATTTTAATATACAGCTACAAGTCTTTCTCATAAAAAAATAAATTATCATTAATCGAAAAGAAAATATTTTAACAACAACATAAACAGTTTTCATTTCTTAAAATTTATTTGTTCACTCTATTAGTTATCCTAGAAAAAAAAATATCTTCTCAATAAATTCATAATTATTTCATATATTGAAAGACTAAAATATTTTATAAACGAAAAAAAAAAAAAGCATAATATTTAATAAAGCAGTAAAACAATTAACAAAGCTTCAGCATGAAGTAATAATAATAATAGCAACAACATCTATATAGAGAAAGTAAATCTTAAAAAAATTAAAATTACATGAGTGATTATTAGGATTTTGAAAATCAAGATAGTAGCTTTGAATTTGATGAAAAGTCTTACAAATAATAACCTAGTTAACTTAAATATCCTAATTAGTCTGAATGCGTGAATCTAGAAAATTAAAAATTAAGATCTGTTAGCGTTCTTGAAAACAAAAACAAGTTTAAGAGGTAGAAAAATAAAAAGCTAACTTTTAAAATTGATTTGAATAAGATGAAGAATCCTTACAAATAGACTCTAAAGGGGAAAAATAAAAATAAAAGTATATTTGATGATCCGGAGTTTTCTGGTATAGCAAACACTGACATCAATCTTTATGCTTTACATAAACAAGGAGTTATAGACGAAGAAAATAATTAGTGGGGAAAACTTTAGAAATAAATAGATGAAATAAATCCAAAGCCTGATATTAACATAGTTTTAGATTCACTTGTTACCTAAAAATTCTCTAGACCTATTTAAGAATTTAAACTATAAAAGCATTTAGCATTGCCAGAATATAATCAAAGTGAGGTTAGCTCTAGATATAAATAAAACTCTATTTGTGAAATCCTTGATGAAGATCCAGAAATTGATAAGTATATCGAAGAAACAAAACAGTAAATACTCTAAAAAAAGAAATAAATAGATGATAATCTTAAATGCTAAAAATCTAGTAATCCTATCCTAAATTAACCACACAAAGAGAAGTCAAATGAGTAAAAATATTTAAAAAAAGAATTTTCCTCATAAATTTATTTTTTAATTGTCAAAATATCTTAAAATTTTTTAATTTTAAAACAAAAAACTTTACGAAAAATTATATTTATTTTGAAAATAGAAATTAACATTTAATTTTAAAAAACAGTGATTGTAGCATTTCTAGCGATGAATAGCAAGAAAATCAGTTCGAAAATGGAGTAAAAAGTAGAACATCAAATAAGAAAAATGAATATATTTTATCAGAAGAAGAACATAAAGAGTTATTCTTACTGTATTGTGCTAAAGGACATTCTCCTGAAAGTGCTTGCCAGTAAGCTCGTGTGCCAATCAAATGCGCTAAAAGATGGATATGCAATTTAACTCCTTCTAGACTTACTGGAGGTGGTAGGAAGATTATTGATGGTATGCTTGAGTAGAAGCTAAGACTATGGATATTGTTGAAGTTGTATAAGGAATTAAAGATCCCTAGCAGAGATCAGCAAATAAAATATTCACTATCTTAAATTAAATAAAATAGCTTTGGTTGTAGCAAAGGATGGCTAGAAAAATATTTAGATAGAAACTTACTTAAATTTATTGTTGCACATTTGAGAAATTTGGAAGTATTTAGATTGGAAGAAGTGGCTAAGTTTTTTATTGTGATTCCTTCTGTAAACTAAGATCTCGGACAAGTTTAAAAAGAAATAAAATTAGTTCAGAGTTATCAAAAGCGTTTAGAATTAGAATTAGAAACAACTTAATTGTAAAATAATGATAGAGAATAAAGCAATTATGTGCCTGGCACTAAAGTAAAAAGGGAAGATTTAATTATTCAACCTTTTATTCATAATGATTAGAATTATTTTTTTAATAAAATGCTGCAATCAGTGAAAGAAAAAAATAACCTAATTATAGAACCAAAGTATGCTTCAAATAAAGATATGTTGAATACGACATTTAATAGTAGTAATCCTTAATAAAAACCTTTGCTGAGCTAAGTTCCATTTATTATTAATAAAATTCCATAAGATGGATTTACTTAATATTAAAATAAAAGCACAACAAATAATAAGAAACTTAATATTTAAGTTCCTGATTGGTCTCCTTATTTGTAAATGATAGAAAGAGCTAACGCTATGAAATAGTTGTAATATTACTTAACCGATAACAAAAATATTAAAAAGCTAGAAATAGAAGATAACTAGTTGCTATCAATCAAAGCTCAAATGATAGAGAGGTTAAAGTAAAATACATAAATTTCCTAAGAAACATTAGCTAAATTTGGAAATCTTTACAAATTCTAAGAAGTTCAAAAACTTCAGGAAACCCAAAAGTAAAAATTAGAAAAGAGATAAAGCAGTCAAATGCAAATTGAATAAACATAAGCAGACTAAGAAACTCACAAAAAAAGTGACTTGAAATAAACCAAGACTAAGCTAAAAAAATTAAATATAGAAAATGAGGAGGAAGAGGACGAAGAAGAAGATTTTTAAACAAAATGTAAAAATGAGTTTTAGACTAAATTTGATGAGAGAGAATTTTATGTCGATACCAAAAAACCATTGCCATTGCATATAAGAAAATTGTTAAAATTAAGTGCTATAAATTCTAGATCTGATAGACTTTCATAATAACCTAAAAACCTTGAGTATTACCTAAAAGGCTGTGTCTTTGAGATAGAAGCATAAAATTTCTTTGATGTTGCTGTAAAAACTCTAAATTACAAAATAGAGTCACTAATACAAGTTTTTAAATTCAGGTTTTGAGTCTATTTATTTTCTTGCAATCACATCAAAATATTTATCTAAAATGAATATTGTTTGTTAATTTATTTTTAATTGCTATAAAAAAAAATAAAAATATTCCATTAAATTTGTTGTTTGTTTGTTTGTTTTAAAAGTTAAAAAAAATTTGCAATTTATATAAAATATGAATTTAAAAATATTTTTTATTCTTCTATCACTAAATAAAATATTTTCTAAGAAAATATTATTATATTATCAAAGCAACAAAAAAAATAATTTATTAAAAAAAAGTTAAATTTTAGTTAAAAAAAAGTTAAAATTGAATTTTTTATGATAATTAAAAGGTTTTTATTTATTAAATTATTTTACAATCAATTTTTATAAATAATTCATTGAACACTGTTGATTAAAAATAGGTATCAACATTTAATTAGTAACTATTTTTTTGTTTATCAAAGCTATAAAAAGTAAATAAATAACCTTTAAAGTAAAACTATAACTTTAATGAAAACAAAATTCATTTACTTTTTAAAAATCATGTAAACATTATAAAATATATTTGAACTTTTTGCTTTTAAAATGAATCATTTATTTTAATAAATACAATTTATATTTGAACCTAATGTTAGTTGATAATAAAAATAAAAATTCATTTTATTGTAGAAAAATTTATTTTAATTTAACCATCAAAAATTGAATAGTAAATATAACCACTTAAGTTCAGTTTTTTAAGTATTGAAAATTAAATAAATTTGAATTAATTTTTAAAAAGAAATTTTAATAAAATAATTTATTTCCAATTAAAATGAATGCACTTTTTAATGATTTTAATTATTTTTCTTCTCAAAATTAATGGTTTTATCTGTAGTGAGTGTCTCTTAGCTATAATATTAATAGCAATCGACTACTTTAATTAGAGTAAATATTAGCTTGAGTTAGAATAAGAAAATTTGAGCCAATTTATAAAGAATTATAGATTTTAAAATTTTTGGTTGAATAGATTTTAATTCAAAAATTTGTAGTAAGAAAATTAATTAATTAATTATTTATTTATTTATTAATTTATAGATTTTTAAGTTTGAAAATGGATAAAGATATTTTAGGCAGATTTTTGTAAGAGTTAGATTCTTTTTCAAAGACTATTTAGAGTAAAATAATTTTTTAAAGCGCATAGTTTTTTGTAGTTTAGACCAACAATTATTTATTTGAAAAGAATCGAGTGTTTTAAATAATTCCTTTTTTGGTTAAAAATAATGATTATCAAAATCTAACACAATAAAATAAATCAAGATTTAATAATTGGTGCGTCTATCCAATATATTTTTAAAGATTAGCTACTTTAAAGTAATGAGATATATTTTAATTTATAAAAAATATAGATGTTTCTTAGTATTGCTGTTAATATGATAAGCAAGCACCTGAAATTACAGAAGTTTTCATTTAATACTTCACTAAGGCTAGAAAAGATAAAAAGATTTATTTCTTTTATTCAATTCACGAGATTTTTATGGAGTCTTAAAGAAAATAAAGCTCATACTTCGTTAAATCATTTGGCGCTAAGCTTAAAGATATTGTCAGATAAATCTGCGAGTAATTAAAAATAATTTTATTCCAAATTAGCTTAAAATTTCTAAAAAAATAGATCAACTGAAGTTTTTGATACAATTAAGAAAGTTGTCCAAATAGTAGATAGATGGAAAAGCGATAAGATATATCATCCTGAATTTTGTGAAAAACTCAAAAGTATTGTCGTAATTAACTCTCTTTTATTATTAGTCTAGATTAAAAATAAAATATATTAATTTCTAATAATTAAAGGGACCTTACTACAAGGACTTAAAGGAATAATATTAAAAGTACTATGGAGAAAAAGATAAAGAAGGAAAGTACACTAAAACTTTCCTTGTTAACTATTAAATTGTTAATGTAATTAATTAATAATATTATTAAGAATAAAATAATTTAATAATTAATTAATTATTTATTTGTGTTAAATAGGAAGATCAATTATGTAGTGATATTTATAAAGTATTTTCAGACTCAGAATACATGATTTAGGCTATTGATAAACATAGCAAAATTTGTGACCAATTCCTCAAGAGATGTCCCAGCTCCTAGTAAGTTAGAGATGAGAAGGATAAAGAATCCCTCGACCAAATTATTAGTTAGGGAAAAGAATATATTGAAAATATGATATAGGTAATTAATTTAGTTTTAGAAAATAAATTATATTTGTTAATTAGTTAAAATGTAAATTTGAATTTAATTTTTTAGTTCGAACTTATTTTGTTTGAGATGAAAGAAATATTTGTTAAAAAGATGCTAAATAAATAAATTTGTTGATTTTTATTTTAAATAGTCACTCATTCGATATTATTTACAAACAAAAATATTTTGATAGAAATTAAAATTTTATCAAGAAATTTAACATTTTTTTTTTGCATTCAGCTTCTCAATATTCATTAAGTGAGAAGCAAGATAATAAGAAGCAAATAAATATTTATTTTGTTAGCTATTAAAGAAATCCTTAATTTAATACTTTATTTAATAAATTCAAATAGAAAATAGACACTCTCCAGAAAGTTTACATGTAAGTTGGCGATTCTTCATAGAAAGAAGTGAATGATTACATGAATTTTTCTATGGAAGTATATTTAGATTTAAATTAATAAATAAATAATAAATCAATCATACTAATTAATTAATTCATAGGACATTACAAATTGGTAACAGAAATTCAAAGAACTTATAGATAATAATTGAAAGGAAGGGGTAGATAAAAATATTAATTGCTAGCAAGATAGCTAGCTAGCTATCTGGCTAACTAGACTAAATTACTGTTAGTTGCTTGAATCGTTTTAAGACTAGAACAAAATTAGATTTAATTAAATATTTTACACTACAAAATTGCCACGAATTAATTTCTCCTAGTTTTTTCTTACAGATTACAAACCAAACTCATTATATTAAATGTAATCATACAAATTTAGCTATCAGGATTTTACTCATGATTATTAATTAATTGTATTTATTTATATTTTCTGTAAACTACGCAAGCCTATTTTATTAAGATAATCTAAAGGAAGGAAGGAAATTCATAAATTAGTTAATTAAAAAGCTAGTTAAATCACTTAATTTTTTTAGTGATATTGCAAATTAGTTTACTTATTTAAAAAAATAATGTTTCTTATTAAAATACATCTTCAATTATATTAATTTTTTAGTAAGATTACTCATCAAATAACTTCAATTATTTCTAAGATAATTGCAATAACTAACTTTACATTTATAATTTAAAATTAAAAATGGCAGCAAAATATTTTTTGTTAAAAACAAACAGAAATTTCTTTGTACTTTGTGAACTTTTTAAATACAAAAAAAATAAATTTAGCTTGCCAACAAAATCAAAACTTTATCTTTAAATAAAATTGTTTTGTGGTCATGAAATATTTAACTATTTCGTACTTAATTTTTATAATCTTCATTTTGAATGCAAATAAATAGATAAAAGTAGTAATTAATCAACCAAGAAATATTTTACTCGAAAAATCTATCCTATATAATTTATAATAAGCATAACACTAATTTATTAAAGTAATTGAACGGCAAATATTTTTAATTGGCTAAATTAATATTCTCTTGGTAATATAACAAATTCATTTTTATAATTTACAGCATTAATTAATATTAAATTTCTTCTATTTTTATAAATCCTCTAAATTAAATTTTCAGTGATAATATTAATAAACATTTTTATCTAAAAAAACATTACTACAGCTAACATTTTTTATGAAATACAGAGTAAAATTTCTTCTTTTTTAAGTTGTTAAAATACATTAGAAGTAAATAAGTAAGTAAATTAAGCTCTAAAAAAATATATTTACCTTATATTTATATTATAAGATTGACTTGAAAATGAAATATTAAAATTGCTGATATTCACATAATTTTCACTTTAAATATAATTAGATAAATTAAATAATCAAGATTTATTATATTTAAACTATTGTTCTGTATTTTATAAATAATATCTATGGCTTAAGTAGGACTAAATATTTTACCTAACCGAATAGAAGTTAATTATGATAGACTTAAATCAATTTTCTTTTGCAAATAAATTTTGAATAATTTACAGCTTCAAAAAGCAAGATATCAATTAATAATTAAGCTTCTTCTATTTTTAGAAATTCTAAATTAAATAAATTCACTATTTTCCTTGACAATGACAATAGAAATTATATTATAAACAAAAATTCTTGCAGCTAACATTTTTCATAAGATAAATAATATAATAAATAATCTCTCTATTCTAATTTTGAGGTCTTAAAAAGTATTCAGAATGAAATCCATCTGAAACAAAATCAAAACTACTTTCTTTAAATAAAATTGCTTTTAATAAAGAAAAATTTTTAATTTTCATATTGAATTTCACACAATTTTCATTGAAACTGTAATTAAACAAAATTAAAAATAAAAGCTGATTTGACTCGAACTATAATCTTTTGTGTTTTTTTATACTATCTTTAATTTAGGTAAGGTTAATTTATTAAGATAACCATATAATAGGCAACTAAGTAAGTAAATGCTGTTTTTTAAATAAAATTTCTTAGGGAATGCAACCAATTAATCTTTTTATAATTTACAGTTTCAAAGGAAAGATCTCAAATTAAAATTAACTTTTTACTATTTTTGAAGTTTTTTAAAGGTAAATAAATAATTTGAGTAGTTTGTATGGTAATAGTAATAAGCTTTACACATACAAAGAAACATTATTACATCTAAAATAACTTTTAAAACCAATACAATATCTTTTTATTTATTTTTGAGCTCCTTAAAAATATTCAAAAGGAAATTCAATTTATTTCATTTTCTTTAAATTTTGTTTGAAAATGAAACAGTTAAATTTTTCACACAATTTTCATAAATAGAATTTAAGATTGATTTTATTCAAATAATCTTTTGTATTAAACTAAAACTATCTGGAATTTATATAAGATTATTTTATTAAGAAAGCATGTGTATTATGTATGTATTGTAGGTGTGTGTTTTACTATTAGAATAAATTTTGTTTTTGTAATATTACCAATTAATTATTTTATAATTTACAGTTTCAAAAAGTATGTAGACAAATGAAAAGAATACTTTGTTCTATTTTAAAAAATCTTTCTGTTAAATATTATGAATAATTTCTGTAGCTATAGTAAAAAGTTATGTTTTTAAAGAAATGTCACTACAACTAAAATTTTTATGAAATTTGGATTTAAAATTTTACTTTGTTTTTTTGGAATATATTCAAAAATAGTATAATTGATTAAATAAAACCAAAAAGCATTTAAAAATAAAGGTATTTATTTGAAAATCAAGAATGTAGTTTTTCAGATTAATTTGATAAAGTTTTCAAGCTCGAATGTATGAATGTATTTATGTATGTATGTATGCATTTATATCTTAACGCATTAGTTTTTTTTTTTATTAAGTTACTAATTTTAATAAAATGAAAAATTTTGCTAGTATATTATATTTAATTTTACAATATAATTTGATAAATAAAATAAGCTATTATTATAATAATTATTATCTTCAAATAAGATCATAGTCATAACGCATTTCAAATTGATAAAATTAATTAGATCTATTTTAATATTTTGTTAATTCCTTTTAATGGATTTATTTTCTAAATAAAATATACATATGTACAATACACTTTTAAAAGGAGTATATTTTAGAAATAGCTTTTTAGTTAGATTTTAATAAATATTTGATGAGATAGTTTGTGTGCTTACTCATTTGCTTTATTAAAAAACTAGTTGATTCAAAGATAACTTTGTAAAAAGGCATTTGTTGAATTTACATTTATTTACAAAAACAATTGATAATATTTGCCTTTTTATTTGCTTAATTTATATACATAAACAAATATTTATAATTTTTATTTGAGATTATTATAAACTCTATTTGTTTTTTGAATTAAATAAGTTAAAAGTTTAGCATAATTCGAGATTTTTGATATTAATTATAATATTATATTTATGGTGATAAAAATATGTTTTAAATACTTTAATTTATTATAATTCGATAGTCAAAGATAAAATTGGATAAAATGAATAGAAAAAATTTGAATTTTAATGGTTTGAATTAATTGGTGCGGATAGACACATTTAATCTACTAAATTAAATAATTATAAAAAATGAAGACTTTGAAGTTTGTGAATTAGCTAAATTATTTGTAGTTTAAGTATTCTTTTATTTAGCTTGTATTTAGTTATTTGGTAAATTAATTAAAGTCTTCTGCGTTAGGACTACTGCCTGGTATTCTCTTCATAAATAAGCAGTTTCAAGCTATATATAATTTAATTATAAATATCTTAGGGTAAGTAAGTAAGTAGTTCGAAACTTTCTAATTCTTAAAATAGAAGAAAAAAAATTTACTTATTTATTTATTTATTATTAGATATGGGAGAAATACTAGATGAAATTTAATTAAAAAAAGAATGAAAATAATATTTGCCCTATAAGCATTTATTATATTTAGCCTAATTTTTTTGAATATCAATCAGTAAAGTTGATCTAATGTTCTCTTAGATTAAAATTATATCAGTAAATACTTACCTTAATATATTTTTATAATTAGCTAATAATTTTAGTGAGGTAGAATACTCAGTTTGCTTACTTAACTAAACCTAACTAAAATAAAAATTTAATTTCATATAAGTAAAATTTATTTAAGCCATTTGCTTATTATTTGTTTTCTAATTCAAATAGAAAAATACTTTTTATAACTTAATTCAAAATAAGTTATTATTTTCTGAATATTTTTTATTAAATCAGCAAAAATAAATTTGATTCAGAAGAGTTTTGTTTGCATTAGCTTTTTACCCATTTTTAGTCTAGGGAAAAATCATTATCCCTTTCATCATTAATAATTCCTCCTGCTTCATTAGCATTAGGTTTTGGCATTAAGTAATCAAAATGTAGTAATTTAATTATTTTAAATTCATAAACAATCGTCATTTACTTTACTTTTAAATGTAAACTAAATGACAAAAAGCATTCCATGCCATGGCTAAAGAAATAGATTTTGTTCTAGTTAAATAGTGGCAATAGAAATTTAATATTTTTTATGTAAAAATTCAAAAAATTTTATATCAGTAAATGGTTTTGATTTTTCATATTAGTTTCTAGATTTGTTCGATTGATTATTATCAAATGATAATCAATCAACCAAGAATGAATGAATGAATGCTCATTGATTTAAAAATTATATCTTTATATAGTATTGTTTATTCTCATATCTAATAATAACTTTTTTTACAAATAGTTTTTCAGATAGTCGACGATATAATTTTCTTTTTTTAATATTATAATCTCTCTTACCCCTCCCTTTCTTTACAAGGAATTTATTGTTAATCAAAATGGAATAGAATAGAATAGCTAATTAATCAAATTTACAAGAAAAAAAAAGTAAATGCAAAAATTTTATTTAGAATTCTGCTTTGGTTTTGAAATTAATTTTTAAAAAATAAAGAGAAAACTTAATACTTGCATTTATATTTATATATATATATATATATATATAAATATAATTATTAATTTGTAATAGCCAAGGCTAGCTCGATAATAGATTGGATTAATTTAGAATCCTTAATATAATAAGTTATGAATCGAGCTTATATAATAGCTCTTATGTTAGATAAAGCTGAATATTTATTTTTCCTAAGCAGTAAGCTGATTTGTCTTATAATTAATCAATTAATTTACATACTTATATCAATATAAATCGTTTGAAGATATTTTGAAATTAATGGATAGTTTTTATGTATCAATTAAGGTTACTTAGGAACATATATTTGAAATGTCTTATCACTTTTTCAATGAAAGGAACCACTAGTTTTCTATTTCGTACTTTTTCTAGTTTAGTGAATACATTGATACCAAAAATCCAATCAATATAAAAATAAAAAAGTAATGACTATTTTTAAAGAGTTTTGTATCTTTATCTGCACAAGCATGATATTCCATTTCTTCGAAGCTGTCATTTTCGTCTTTTACATTTTAGTAATAGCATTTATTTGTGTATATAAATGAGTTTTACTTGCATTCAGCTATTTACTTTAGTTCCTAGTACGAGCACTCACGACATGAGTCTAATAGAATGCAATTTACTTATTTATATTCTTCAGAATCAACATTTACTTAATCTTCGCTCTTTCCTTCGCAAAAAATGATAAAAATTGACATAAGAATAAGGAAAGAAACAAATTGAATTGGAGCTCTCATTTGTTTATAAATATGCTAGATTTAAAAGCAGATAAATGCTGGATTTAACCAATTTAAAAGCAACTAAGCTAGTACTCTGAAAGAAAATTTAGATTTGCGATTATATTGCAAAATAAAGAAAAATATATTAAAATAAAAGTAATCAAGTAAAAGTAAATAAATTTATGAATATATATTTATCAGTATTCAAACAAATGAAAACACTTTTAAATTAAATTTTTCTATTTAATATATTCATGAATCTTATAAATCTTTTGTAATTGCATTTGTTTCAAATACTATTAATTATATGTAAGAATGAGCCTTTTTAATATCCTAAAGTTTATATGCATAAGTATGTATATAGGTATGTCTATCGCTGGTTGGTTTTTAATAAGTCCGAAACCATTTAATAAATAATACTAATGCAATAATAAGAAATATTAGATTTTATCATCTGACTGGATGGTGATTATATCAATAAAGAAGTCATTTAAATTTATAATATTTGTTTAATTTATAGAAGAAAAGTATATTGAATACGTAAATACTAATATGCAAGCAATATATATTATGCATGCATCCATCCATATCCATTGGTTATACAATTTCAGCTTAACATAACTAAATTAATATTCATAGACTTCAATTATTAGCATACATATAGGTATTCAAGTATTTTTTTTAGATAATTATATAATTTGAAATAAGAACTTATGAACAAATTTATTCATTCATCTTTCATTCATTTTTGGATTTGTAACCTAACACAATAATTTTTTAAATTTTAAATATTTAGTTTTTTTTAATTTAAATGATTTGTTACTAATTAATATAGAAATATGTTACAAATTTGAGAATAATCTACCGATTTTCTTACTCCTCTTTTATAATTTACAAATATGAATAAGTTTTTTTTTTTGGTGAAAATTTATTATTTTTGAAGTATCTGACATATTTATTTTTCATTTTATTGTTGAGAAAATTTTATTTACTTCTTACCTAATATTTGCATGTAACTTAACTAAATTTGTCCTATTAATTAGTTTGTTTAATTTAGTCTGCTTTTCCTTGAACCTTTCTAATTTTTTAAATTCAGTATAAGAGCTTGAGCTTTTTAGTGTTACACTTAGCTATTCCATAAAATATTTAATTTATTTTGCTTACATTCTGTGTAATATTTTTTAAATTATACCAAGATTAAAGAAAATTTAAATGTAAATTTCTAATTTATGGATGCTAAATACTTAATTAGGTCAATTAAAATAAAAAATTCTATAATGAAAAAAATGATGTTTGTTACTTATTATTATCTTCTAGGAATCAAATTAATTAATTATTCACTTTAAATCAAATATAATGCTTTCTTATCACTATTTTCATTAAAATATAAATTAATTCTAATGAAATAAATTTGTACATCTCAGTAACAATTTCTAAAATTTTAAAATAAATTATAAATTATTTTTTCTTTCAAAAATTAGCTAATGAAAATTTTATATTTTTTTTGCAAAAATTAATAAAAAATTTTGTAAAAACACAATTTAAAAATGGCTCTTTAAAATAAAAAAAAGAAATAAATATTTTATTTTTTATATTTTATGATTTATTTTTGAGGAGAAAAATCCTAATTAAATTTTTTGATATGTATAATTTTTGTGATAAGATTTGGTTTTTATGGAAATGCTGGTTGGTTCTCGAATAATTTGTTATTGTACAGTACTTTAACTTTAGATAGGTTTTGAAGGATAATTGATTTTTCTTTTACGTCTAATTAATTGCTGTGATTGAAGGACTGATTAAATTTAAGGAAGAAAATAGCTTGAATCTGAGATATACTTCATCGTTGAGAAGAGTATTCTATATAGTTTCTATTAGATGCTATTTACATATATGATAAATTAATTTGATATAAATCCTACCACTTCTATAAAAATCTATTTAGAGTTAGTATATCATTGTAGATAAGATCATTTTTCAAACAGTATATAGGTTAGAATGCATACCTATTCAGTGATTGATATTTATATAAAAAAGATATCTGCTATTTTAAGGTAAATATATTTAAGTTCAGCTAAATTACATACATTCATTTAATTTGATTTTATTCAAATTTTAGGCCAGCCTTTTTTATGATAATTGGAATCTATATAAAATCCAGATTAATAATTACTAACAATAAACTAAAAAAAAACAGGGGAAAATATTCGTAGAAATTATCAACATTATTTGAAGTAACCTAAGTAATTAGGGATGGCTTGACTTAATTTCAGCTTCAATAAAAAACAAAATAACCAAAAATACTTCGTTAGAACAATAAATTTAAATTTCTTTTAAATTGCTCTTTTTCTTAAAAACCATTAGTTATAGTTAGTTAGTTATTTAGTTAGTTATGCATGTAATTATGAATGAGATTCTTATAATATTTTGTTAACTTAAATCTTCATTCAACATTTCAAAATAAATATTGTTGTATCTAGAAGTGGAAGAATAAAATAATAATAGAAAGAATCCTTTGTTAAGAATTAATCCAACAAACACATCACAATAATAGTGAATAGCAATAATTAAATAAAATCTAGAAATATTCTTTGTTTGCATAATTATATCATATGAATGTAAAACGAATTTTGTTTAAATTAAAAGTAAATTACTATCATCTCGCTTTGGAAAAATTAATTGTAATTATCTATTCCAAAAAACTCCTTTAATCTCCTTCAATAGCAAAATCTATTTTAGCCTGAAATCTGATTGAAAAATATATAGAAAATATGATTCATTGTATTTTGTGTTTGTTTATGTGTTCTAATCTTTCGTTAATTTCAAAGGAGATCTTTAATTTAAATTTAGGAAATTCTCGAAAATATTTGTAAAAATCTTGTTTTCTAAATTATTTTAATTTTAAAAACTATGTAAACAAGTTTTTAGATGGCAATTATTTTCTTTTACTGGGTGCACTTCAGAAATAAATAAGTTAATGAAGATAAAAATAAACAAAGAAATAACAAAAAAACAAACAAAGAGGCTCTCACTTAGATATTGTTTCGATTCGGTCTATAGCAGTTTGTTTATTTGCTTATTTAAATAAATATTGTTCAAATTTACAAATAGAAATAAATCTTCATTCACTTGAATAACTAAAATTACCTAATTATTAAAAAACCTAAAATAGACAATTCACAGATAGCCAACATAGAATTATTAACAATGTTATAGCCAAATGTTTCCTTTTTCATATTTTTAAGATCTTCTTGCCAATAAATAATTTCAAACCTCAAAAATAAGAAAGTAATATAATTTTGCTTGACCCTTTATATTAAAAATACTATACATATTTTCATTTGATATTAATTGTTAGTTAATCAATAAACACAAAGGCTGGCTGGAGTAATTATTTTTCAGATATCTTTGTTTGAAAAACTAAAGCTTAAAAAATGTATTTTCGTACAATTATATTATAACAAACACTACTCACATAAGGGCTAATTAATTAAATTCCAAAATGATATAGTACTGAAAAGGTTTGAAGTAATTTTTATGACATTAATATATAATAAAGCATTCATGCAATCAATCATTAATGAATATATACATACATAGACCGATATTAGTCTTAATAGAATCTAGATATACCAAAACGAATCAATAATCTTAAACTTCATAGAAAAAAAAATAATGATTTCGCAATTTATTGATTTGTTTAATAGAAAAATAGCATGAATTTTAAGAAGAAAGTGTAATTTACAATTTTTAGAGAAAGTTGATCATTAATCAATAAGCTTTTAATAAATTTTCTTTATAGGTATACGCAAAAAGGAGTACGAATAAATGTAATTATATCAAAATCAATAGAAAGTAAATATAATTTATTAGATTCTTATAGAGCTAATTTTTTTACCCACCCCTTCCTTCGCTTCGCCTAACTAAATTATAATTAAATATATAAATTGTTAGCGTAAATAATTGAACACTAAAAAAGAATAAAGCAAAAAGCAAGCTAAGATATTAAGAATTAAATTAAATTTATTAATATAACAAGGCAAAATTTAGTACATTAAAAATTATAAACATTAATTTAATCAAAAAAATCATAAAGTCTCTTGTTTAAAAAAAGAGGAAAAATAAATAAATAAACAAACAAACAAAAAAAGACTTTCAAATAAATTGTGAACGTTTTCCATAATTACGAAGGGAAAAAAAATTCACCTTTTTAAAACAAAGAGTTAAATCTAATTCCAATCAAAACAATACAAATAAAAAAATATTTTCTGCTTGTCCATTTTAAATTTGATTTGATTATTCATTGATAAACTCGTTTTAAATCTATAACAAACAAACACACAGAAAAACAAACTAACTAATACAACTTAAGAAACAAAGATAAAAAAAGAAAGAAAATATGGGAAATTGTACCACCGCTAAATCAACATCATAAAACAAAAGGACTGAAAAACAAATAAAAGCTATTAAAATTGTGAAAGATGAAATAGAGCTACTTAAAAAAGAAGAAAAATTTAATCAAGCTCTTATGAAAATGAATAGATTAGTTAATTTACTTAAGACATACAGATAGGAAAACTCCTATTACTAAGAGATGATGGAATTATATATTGAAATGGGACGTATTAATTAAGATATTGCAGGAAACCACTACAAAGCACAAAAGTGCTTTGAAAATGCAATTGAAATGAGTTTTTATGCTTATGGTTAAAATAATGATATTGCTAATAAAATCATAACTCCTTATCTTAACATTAGTTTGAAAATACTTGAGGAAGCTAATGGTCCTCTCAAATAAATTCAAAAACAAGTTAAAATTAATTCTCCTTTAGAGGGTAATGGAAGAAAATATTTCAAACGTTCCTCCACTCATGCAACTACCCGTGTTTCTGCCATCCAACCCTCTCTTAACATAATTAAAGAAGAATCTTCTGAAAATGAAGAAGAAAACGTTAAGAACTGGGATGAAAAAGAAATCATTTAGAGTGTCTTCAACAGAAACAAAAATACCAACAACACTGAAATGTTGGCCACATTCTGAGAAACATTTAAATCTCCTTATTAAAACAAACATAAAATTATTTATCTAAAAAGTAAATGCTAAAAAAAATAATTATTTTAATCTAAAAATGTAAATAAAATAAATAAATAAAAACGAACTAATTTAAAAAATTTAAATACCAAAAATAGTAACTAACGATCTAACTAACAAAAATAATTAGCAAAACAAACACTTAATATTAAATTAAAATTTCTCCTTCCTCTTCTCCTCATTAATTATTTATATATTATTATCCACATACTCACTTTCTACAAATATTTTAATAACCAAAACAAGAAATATTCTTACCCATACAATTGATTGGATTATATGATTATAGACAAACATTCTATCTGATAGGATTTCTTTGCGAACGAATAGTTCCTTAGAGAAATAAAAGTAAATTATAACTATGCATGTAATTAATCTTGATTAATTAATTAATCGATTGATTTCTGAGAGTCGGAATATCATAATTATAGTTGGATAATAATAGATAAATACTTCAATAGGAGAATTATGGATGGAATATCAATAATAAATGAAATTATTTATTTAACCTTTCTTATTAATTCTCTCCATCTACCTACCTATCTATCTATCTTTCTTTCTTATACTCTTGATTACCAATTTATTATAATAAAATTAATAAATAATTTATCATCAAAATATTTATATTTATAATCATTTCTATTAATAATTAATTACATACTTCTAGTATTTCTATCTCAATATTACTAAAATGACTAATTATGAATTCCTTTTTCATTTTTACTTCCTCCTGTTTAAAATTTCTTTTAAATTATTTATTTTGCAATAATCTTCTTGATTGATTGGATCATATTTAATATGAAATTGATATCAAAGCATAAATCTAAAAATACGGCTAGGCTTTCTTTGAAAAAATTTTTATTTTTAAGCATAATTATTAATTAATTATACATTATCCAAGGATTTTCTTTGATTTTCATCTAGCATAAATTAAACATATTTATTACCACAAATTTTGTTAGATTCAATAATTTTCATAATTTTTAAACATTTCTTACTCTATTAATCAGCTTTTCTTTGGTAACCAAACCAAGTATTTTTTAATTGTTACATCATTGATATTAAGTCCAATATTATGGTTTTTATTTCGCAATGTAAATTTTTTAATTGTGTGGATTTTTTTTACTCTAGTAATAAACTAATCTAAGAGTTATTAACTCAAATTTTAATGTTATTTTCAGTAAGTAAATAATCCACTTTTTTAAAAATAAGCAAAATTAAAGCATTCTATTTTTTTTATTATTAAAAAAATTGCTTACACACATTAAATATGTTTTTCTTTAAAAAATAAAAAGTTATGTTTGATACATACTAAAACTTAACCAATTTTATATTTTTAATGTTTTTCTGAAAAAATAATTATTTATTTATTTATTTTAAAAATAAAAGACGATAGTTCGAACTGTTTTGTTTGTAGCGATTTCATTCCATTTAAATAAAAAATTGCTCTATTTTTTTTAAATTTTCAAGAGTTTTTCAAGCTTTTTTGTGAGAAAACTATTACCATCAATTTTATATGAAAAAAATAACATATATTAGAGCTACATGAATAAACTATAAATTAAATAATAAATAACCACTCATTCAAGCATGCAAATTATTGCATTAATTTTCAAGATAGTAAATCAGTTTGTTAATGAAATTAAATAAAACTTTAGGTTTAATGTGGCTTCTTCTTTCTAATCAAAAGATTTTAAAAAACAAAATGTTAAAAAATTTATCAAAATATTAAAAAATTTGTTTAAATATAATAAAAAATGCTAAGATACGTTTAATCAGATTTACAAAATAATAGAAACAAACTATTTTTTCTTTAACTCTAGAAATAAAATTATTTTTTAATTTTGTACAACAAGGAAAAAACTAATCATAAATTTCTTACAACTATGTCTATTTTATTTATATTTTTTTAATGTAAAAAAGAAATTCCTTCATTTATAATCTAAAATCTACATTTGTACAAATTACAAACAACAATTGAAAGAAAAAAAATTAACTTACATTGAAAAATAACCGAAATTTTTATCTTCAATTAATGAGCAAAAATTTAAATGAAATGGCTTAGTTTTTAATTATGTAAATTTTCTTATTGTAATTTTGTTGAAATAAGCCCAATTTGTCTATGTTTATGATCATCTTTGTATAAAAAAAAATAGTATTTTTAGAAAACATATAAATAAAAATAAGAACTAACATTTTAAAATCTATCTTAAAAATTACTAAAGTGTTAAGCATAAACCAATAATTAATTATTAAGACATAATTATATAACATATAAATTTAAATTAGTAGACTAAGATTTTAAATTTCAGTTATTTGAAATTTTTTTAAGAAAATAGAATAGAATAAATAAATAAACGTATTTACTTTTGAAAATAGCTGGCTGATTTTTAGAATCAAATCTTTGTAATAATTAAAAAAGACTAGGGTAGGTAAATTTAGTGATTAATTAATTAATTTATTTATTTATACTTGTATGTTTAGAATGTAATTATAATTCTTAAGCATGCATCACTCCTACTATTTCAGGATATTTATGATTGATTCATCCTAAAGAAAAGAATTCAATTTATAGTTGATTCACAAAAGGGAGAGCCTAAAATTAAATGGCTGAGAAGAAAAAAATAAGAATAAATACCCATTTTAATTACTTATATTTTATTTTTTGAGGAAAGTAAATTTATTATGACTCATTCATTATGTTCACATAAAATTTAATATGAATAATTATTTTCACTTTTGAAGTCACTTAAAAAAGTTTTTCTATTTCAATTTTTTCTACTGAAAATGTTTGAATGAATACTGTCTACATTTCTTTATTTATTTTTTAATATTTTAAACAATAATTAATATTTCTCACACTTAAGTTTTGTCAAATTAACTTGAGTTTTTTAAATTAAAAATTGGCAAAGTTACTACCTAAAATTTTTTATCTTGTTTGCTCCTCTACACAAAAACTTAAAGAATTAATTGAATACTTATTCATTTTTACAATTTCTAATTTTTCTGCTTACACAAAAATTAATAAATTTCTACTTGAAATTTCTTAACTTTTATCATAAAAGATAAAAAAATATCTTTAAAATTTTCTTTTAATTTTTTTCTAAGTAATATGGATCTATCTATCTATCTATCTTGTTGTTTTCAATACTCAAGTCGATTAAAAAATACAATAAATCTCAAATCGATAGAAAATTTCTTAATTTTATTATTTTTCTAGATAAATTGATAACATTTTAACTATCAATTTTATCTATTTGAATGTTTGTAATTTTTTTATATTTGTTACTAAATATTTTTATTTTTAGCTGTAAATAAATCAAAGTATCTCTCTCTCATATAAAGTGAATCAGCCAATTTATTTTGAAAAGCATCAAAAAATTATAATTGCTTTCATTTATCTATAAAAATTCTATATTTATATCATATTCTCTTATTAATTAACTAATTATGTATTGATAAAGAGATCTATTCTTAATCAAACCTCAAATAAAGGGAAAAAAATTAAACATTTGAAGCATATCTTTAAAAATCTTGAAATAAATAAATTTTTGCATTTCTTATTATTAAAAAGTGTCATTCACTTTTAATATAAAATATTTTTCAAAATACTTAACAAATATTAATTATTTACGTAAATACATACATGCAAATCTCAAATAAAAGAAATTCAAGTGTATCTAAAAATAAATAAATGATAATTAATTTTTGATGACAATCTTTTCTTCAGAAAAAGATCATATTTTAATTAATTAATTAAATATAAAAATTGAGTTCAGTGTAAGCTAATCAATCAATCAAACAAAAAAATACATACATACCTTCGCAAATATCTTAATAAAAATTTTATAAAAATTAAGCTAATAATTTTCGATGATTTTGCCACCAATTGGCTTAAATTGCATTTCTTTTATTTTTTGAATCTATCTGTTAAAAATTTGAAATTTAATAATTTAAAATTATAGCTTAAACCTTAAAGCAAAGCGGATATTTAAAAAATGACCGAAATATAATAAACTAAAATTGATAAGAAAAAGATAAATTTAACTTTAAAAAATATCCGTTCGTTCGTTGTTTTCCATCCCGATGTAAATTTATCTATTTTATCAATAAGAAAATAAAATTTAGTTATTTTTTATATTCTTTCATTCCCTAAAAATCGTATTTGATTTAAAATTACATAATTTATTAAATTTATAAGGAAAAAATTGATCTATTAACACAGTAATTCGATTTTTTTTTTTTGATTTCTTAATGATTAATTATATTTTACAATAGCAAAGATTTATTTTATATGATATGTCAAAATGAACAAAATGAACGAAATATAAATTTTGATTTATCTTTCTGCATTAATTTAAATAAATAAATATGCTAATTAGATAATAAAAATTAGCATTATTTTATGTATTTCTTTTTTAAACAACCAAATTTACTTTATTTTATCTTTTACAAATTTATTTTATATTAATAGAATTTTATTTGCTCTTGCACTATTATTTTCCTTTAGAGTATAGATATTTGCTTATTTATTACCACATAACTTTAGATCTAGTAGATATTTAGAAATATCCTTCAAGAAGCTTACATTTTACATGAGGAACATTATCAATTTAAAATGAGGAAAGTGGTACATTAGTCATAAGTTTATTTGTAAAATAATTTATGATAACATAAATAAATTGAAATTTTTCTTTTTCTTTCATACTATTTTAATGAACGTTCTAATAATAAATCTATTTATAGATAAATTGTTCAAGTCAACCAAAAAATTGTTTATTTCTTTTGATGGACTCTTTTTGTTTTATAGTAAATAAAAGCAATAAATAAAATTATTTAAAGATTTATTTTGTTTCAATTACACATTAACTCAAGAATTTAACCAAATATTTACAAAATTAGCTTTAAAGTAATTAAAATTTAATGCATTTCAACTCTGGCATATTTTTTCGCGAATAATTAAATAGGTGAGCAACTTTTCGAAAATAAATAACTATGTTTGTTTACTCACTCTAATTAACATGTAAAATTTTAATTGGAAAATACATTAATTTGATTAAGATTTCTCCTCATTCAATTAGTTGATCTTTTTTAAATTGGTTATTAAAATTCTGCGTATCATATTAATCATATTAACTTTAAACAATCTTAATAAGTTAAAAATCAAAAAAGAAGCTAACAAAAAAACATAATAAATATTCTAAAGTAAGTAAGTAAGTACAAAAGCTAAAAAATGGATGAACAAGATTAAAAAAAGAGTTAAAAGAGATTGAAATATTATAGATGCTTAATTTTTGGCCTAACCTTTTTTGGTTATGCCACTCTCCACTGTGCTCGTCAGTCCTGGTCTTTGATGAAGGCAAATATGGAAAGTGATAGCGATATTAGTAGCACTTTCCTTGGTTATATGGATTTCGCTTTTCTCATGTCATATTCTATTGGTCTCGCAACTTTAGGACATTATGGAGATAGAATGGATCTTAAATACTTCACAACTATTGGTATGCTCTGTGCAGTTGTTTGTCTTATGGTTGTTGGTATTTTGCAAACTACAGGAGCAGTAAAAGATATTTTTATTATTAGTTATTATTGTTATTACTACTACTTATTGTATCAAAGCTAATCAAGTTATTTAATTAATTTACTTTCCAATTTTACAAGTTAAAAGTTAAGCAAAGCAACAAACAATAAATAAAAATATATAAAAATAAGGTTGAAGGTACCACAAGAGAAGTTGTTTTTATCATCTTTTGGATTTTGAATGGGTTGAGCTAAAGTACTGCCATGCCTGGATTTGTAGCTGCCATGGGTAATTGGTTTGGAAAAAAGAAAAGAGGTTTGATCATGGGTTTTTGGATAGGTACTACTAATTTTGGAGACATCATGGGATACACTTTAGGTTGTGTGATGTCTGCAGGATTGAATATTCAATGGGGCTATGTACCAATAGCTTCAGCAACCTTAATATTCATCATGGTAGTAAACTTATTCTTATTTATGAAACCTTACCCTGAGAAAATAGGTAAAAATTAACAAAATATTATAAAATTCTTTAATTTTGCAATATGTAATTAGTAAGTATTCCATCCATACAAAACAGTAATAAAATTATTATAGCAAGCAAAATTAAGTTTAAAATATAATTTAAAGCAAATACTTAAAAAAGCAGCTGTGTTTGTTTTATTAATTTCTAGTTTCATTTTTTACTTAATAACTTACTTACTTACTAACTTAATAAATTTAGCATTATTATAAATTTATGTTGAAATTACTGATTTTATAATTGATTTTTTTAAACTGAATTAATTAAGGCATAGATGCATAAGCTGAGTGGGGAAGTATTATGGATGATGAAACAAAAACTGAGCAATAAGCATAACAAGAGCTGTTAAAGAAGTTCAACTCATCGTTATTTTCCTCTGTATTTTCTTAAAAGTAACCTTCTAACTTGAGTACTGACTAAGACAGAACACCTGTCAACTTTTTCAATGCCTGGTTGATTCCTAATGTTGCAATATATGCTCTCCTCTTCTCTGGATTAAAATCAACTGTTTATTGCATCCTCTTTTGGCTTCCCACCTTATTGAGCACAGGGGGTAATCACGTTTCTATGGTCAATAAATCTGTTGTTTGTTCTTTGTTCGATATTGGCATCTTCATTGGTGGTAAAATTATTTATTTACTTTTTTAACTTATTAATTAATGATTGAATAATTAAGTCTAACTATTTAATTCCAAATTAAAACATTTTTTTAATATATTCTAATTTAAAAGGAATGATCGTCGGTTAAGTAACAGATAGAATTCGTAAAAGAGCTGTCCTTATGGGCCCTTCAATTCTCTTTTCTGTAGGTTTGATGATTGTCTGTCTGATTCTTAATACAGATAGTCCTCTAGCAAACTCTATTCTTTTCTTTTTTATTGGTATATTCCTAGGAGGTCCATACAATGTATGCCAATCCGCTATCATGATTGATCTAGCTAAATAAAAAGCTTTAAAAAATTCTGCTGATGCTTTGTCTACAGTTACTTCATTAATAGGTAAATCAATTATTGCATAGTTAAATTTGAAATAAATTAATCCTTTAGTTTTTTAAAGCCATTTAAACAAACAAACAAACAAATAAAGAATTATTTTAAATTTTAATATTTTATCATGCTTTAAATAAACAATTTATTTAATTAATTTCTTTGATAACTTAATTTTAATATTTAAATCTTAAAAGATGGAACTGGAGCTTGTTTTGCAGCCATTACTTAACTTGTAGTCCCATATGCAGGTGTTGGTAATGTATTTTGGGTACTCTTAGGTCTTACTTTAGTTTCCTTAATCTTACTATCTCCTTTAACATTCAAAGATGTAGCTAGTTTGTTAAGAAGATAATAAAGAAAAAAATAATATTACAACGACTTAGAAGTTAATCCTCGTAAGATATTATTAAAAAATAGTGATGATGAATAATCAATACAAAATAAATGAAAATATTTTTTAATAAAAGACCTCTCTCTAACTAAAAATATAGATAGATATATATACAGAAATACATACATATAATTTGAATTTTAAAGACTAATTTGCATATATAATTTTATTTTACTTCAGTATTTAATTTATAACAAATTATACAAAATAAATAAATAATTAAAAACTAACTAACTAACTAACTTCTAAACTAAATATTTGTTTTTTATAAATTGTATCCTATAATTGGATGTAAATTTTAATATAGATTAAATATTCTGTATACTATAAAATCTCAAAAATTCAAAAAGTAATATATATTTACCAACCCCTTTATTTTATTTTAAAGGGCCATTTTTTTCAAAATAATTTGGGGGTAAGAAGCCTTAATTAATGTGGAATTACGGTATATACAAATCATAAATAAGCAAATCAAATAATGAACTAACAATTAAGAGTTATTTTATTTTATACTTAAAAAAATAAAGATAATAATTAATATTTATTGAATGAAATATTAATAACTGAATTGATAAATTAAAAAAAAAATTAATACTATTATAAATATAGTTTTTTACTATTATACAATTTAATTTGATTTTTATCTAAATAAATGTTTTTATATTTTTAAAAAATTATTTAATTTTAACCAATTCTACATATAATAAATGATAAAAATTGATATTTATTATTTATTTTATTGATTTACTTGAATTTATGTGATTAAAAAATTAAAACTATATAAATAGTGTATTTCCTTTTACATCAACCAGTCTGTCTTTAAGTGAAAATATACTTCAAATTATACTGATCTTAGTAAATAAAAGTTATACTTTTTTTAAATTACCTAGCTATTTTATATTTTCTAATCAAAATAGTTTTAAGCTAATTTATAAAAGTTTTGTATGTATAGATGTATGTATTTTTATTTTAGTAAAATTTTTAAATTATCTTGTTCTCTATTTTAAATTTACCAAAAAAAATACTAATAATTTCATAGACTATAAATAAATAAATAAATAAATAAATAAATAAATAAATAAATAAATAAAGTCTTTCTAGAGATTCTCTTATTACAAGATCAAACATTACAAATACATAATTCCTCTATTGAGGAAATTTCAAAAAAATTCATTCCTAATTAGTCAGCAATTTTTTTTACTTCATTTATTTATTTATACCTGTCTTTAATCATATAGATAGATCTTTTTTTAGTCCTATAAGAAAAATAATCATATTTTTTGAAAAACTTTATTCCATCAATAATTAATTATATTCTTTCCTATAAGGAATCAAAAGAGTCTCTGTTTGTCACATCACAAGCAAAAATAAGAGTAGTAGAATCTTAAAAATATTTTTTAGTTATTACTCTAAATCTACATCCTTCTTATTTAAAAGGAAAGATCATTACTTTAATCTTTTAATTATACTAAATAAATGCTTCATATAATATTTATATTAAAATTAATAATATTCATACATATTCTGTCCTGTAAATTTAAAAATCTAAATCGAAATATTTATCCAATAAACTAAATTAAATAAATTAATCATTTATTAATCGCTTAATTAAAGATTATTTTTCAATCTAACACTATCCATCAATATAGATTTTTATTAAAATTTAGGTGAATAATATTCACTTACTTATTGGGTAAATGATGTTGATAGATAAATGAATTTACCTAAAATTTTATAAAAAAATATTTTAGTTTCATTTTTATTAATTTTCCAAATAATTAAAAAGATAAATAAATACATTCCATATATAAATTTTTTATAATTATTTCGTTATTGAGTTTATTTTTCATCTTTGCTTGACTCAAATTAAATAATAAAAAATTTTGTCAAAGAAAAATAAAAAAGTTAAATTTATCAAAAATAAATATTAATTTATATAGACATCTTTTTTCAATATAAATTATTTTTTTAATTTTTAAAATATTTACAAAAATATTTTTATCATAGAATAATAAAAAATATATGTGAATCAACTATTTGTGAATAAAAGGTGATTCCTATTCAAATAAAAATGAATGAAACTGAAATTGCTCATATTCACACATTTAACTAAAGCCTATTAAACCAATTAGAAGTACTAATAAATCTAAAGCAATTAACAGATAAAATGATAAATGAGATAAAAAATTTAATAATATTTGGTAAGATTTTCACCTTATATATTATATTGTCTTGGTTTGGCTTTTGATATTCTCCACTTTTTGGTTATTGAATTTAAACTTGAAAACTGCTATTAAATTAAATTTAAAAAACTAATTTAAAGATAAAATAATAGCAAAAACTAAAATTTTCCATTACTAATTATAGTTAAAAAAGCTTACAATATAAAACTCATTTAATTATAACTTTATTTAAAACAAATAAATAAATAATTATTTGATAAAAAAATTTGAGATTTTAGAATTCTTAATTTATAAAATAAAAGTTTTGGAATATTTTTTCAATAAATAAACATTAATTTTATTTGAAATAATAAATAAAAATGTCAATTTAGTAATAATCGTTATCCTTAGATTCTATAAACCATGACATCTATACCAGATATTTTTTAAGAAGTAAAAAGAAAAAGGATAATAAATTTACTGAAGATGAATAATCAAAAGTTAGTTTGTAAAAATTTAGATTGATTAGGAAAAAAAATGTATCGAAAAGAAAAATTTTAAGAGCTGATTTTATTTAAAGAGAAGTTGTGTTAAATGACCAAATATTTTTAGGTACAGGAATTTGCATATCAAAAGAAGGAATTCTAAAATTCTACTATAGCATTAAACATTTCAGCTTTGGTTTTAACTATTATCAAAATACGTAAATAAAATACCTTAAAGAAGAATAGCTAATAGAAATAAACTTATCAATTTTATAAAAAAAATAGCTAACGCCTATTGATGAAGCTATAAAATATGTATCTAAAATAAATTCTCTTTAAAATAAAGAGTGCAAAAAAGCGTTGATTTAACTAAGAAGTTATAATAAATATGTTTAATCTATACTTGGGTCAATTTAAATAACTAAATAATTAATTAAAGAAAAGGATGAAGAAATGGAAAGGTTTGTGGAATTTTGTATGAAACAGATATCTGAATATTCAAAGAAGTCAGAAAATTAAATATTTCAATTCACTATAGGAAGGCTCAATTATGAGTTGGGAGATATTTAAATTGTTAAAACTGGTTTTTCTCAATCTTTTTTGAATTTAATTGGAATTGACTTTTCTAATCTGTGCAATTTACTATTAAGATAAAAAGAAATAGATCTTATGCTGAACAAAGAAGATATCATGAAGTATTCTATTGAAGGACTACATTTGAGGATATTGAAATAGTTAGAAATGGAGTATTAATGCTATATTTAAACTTTCGATGGATTTCCAATTAAGGTAAGCATTAAGAAAAAACAGATACTTCCTTGCAATGAAATAGTAAAAAACTAAACATGCTTGATATAAGAATATATCTTTGAGATATCCGAATTAGATGTAGATTTAAAAGATTTAGAAAATTTAATAAATTATAGAGAAAAAATAATGAATAATGATAAAATGTCATTTGATTAATTTATTAATAAGGAGTTGTCTATTATTCTTGAAGATGTAGAGTATTCTGTCCACTCAGAGTTATTTATGGAAAAATATTACAAAGATAATCTAATGTACCTAAATTCTTTAAAAAATTAATACAAAAACATCAAAGCCAACATTGATAAATCTAAGATGTGTAAATTTAAGCAAATTTATCCATCTGACGAGACAAAAAAATCAGAAATAATTAATTCTATCTTTTGATAAATCAAAAATATTGCTTTTGCAGTGAAAGTATTGCCATGTAAAAGAATTTTTTCTATTGAAAATCTTAAATAGATTTTTAAATAAATATAAAATTCATTCATAAATATATTGAAAATTGATGAAAAATTATATAAAATTATCAGAAAATGATTAAAATATATTCAAAAGTAGGTTATCAAAACAGTAAGTTTTATATTTGATTTATCTATTTTTTATTAAATATTTAGGTTAAAACAAATTTTTTTTTGGTTATTAATTATTACTAAATTTACTTAACTTAAAAAGTAAATGAACAAAAAATTTAATGTAAAACATTAATTAATTCTGACATAAAAGTTTAAAATTCAAGCAAACAAAAAAATTAAATAATTCGATTTTTATCGTATGATGAAATGAAATGCAAGATGATAAAACCCAAGAGTTTACAGTAATCATGGTAATTTAAAAAATGATTTATTTTTTTAGAATTAAATAGAAAATTTATGTTAATTCTAATTCTTGAAGAATTTTTCAGAAAAATTTTCTATAATTCTTAAAAATAATTTAGTAAAAAATAATGCAGAGGAAGTTTTAATTATTTTAGTTTTTAATTTTGTTTTCAATTAGCGTTTATAATACTTGTTCAACTTAAAGCTATCAGATATTCATTAGTACTAGATAGCAATTATCTAGGTTAGAATTACTTATGCACTAAATTTAATAAAGAAGCCTATATAGAGGAATATTAACCTGAATATCGAATTGAATACTATAATCTTTTGAGTGAATAATTACTATTGAAAATAATTGTGATCCTTAAGAACAATTATCTAAAATTTACTACATCTCAAATAGATCATTTCAGCTAATAAAATAAATATAAAAGAGGTTAAAAAACTTTAATTTAAAATTATTTATGACTATTAATTTAAATATAATATTATAATTGATTAAATTGCCATATTAAAATATTATCTTCAGCTTAAAAAACTAGCTGATGGTTAGTTAGTTAGTCTTAGCACTTATTTTGTAGTCTTTAAAGTTCTTTAATAAAAGAATAAACAATTATATAATATAGAGATATATTCAATCTCAAATTACATTAAATAGAATCAGTAATGATGTTAAATTAAAAAGCATTATTCATTATTATTATCAATAAATCAGATGAAATTTAAATTTATAATATTTTCTCTTAAATATAATATAGAAGCTAAAGGATAAGGAGGATCTATATATACTTTGATTAGATTAATAAATAGATATTATAAATAAGTGGTGGTATCTATTAGGAAAATCATTTATTAATAAAATTGAAGAATTATGTTTATATTCTTTGCTAATGCTACTTTATCTGCAAGAAAGTCAGACCACAAAACTCATAAATTTATTCTAAAAAGGAAGATTGTTTAATTTAGAATAATTAAGCAAATATTGGAGGAGATATATATTTATATACTATGATTAGATCACTCTAGTTTTGTAATATAATAAAAAAAATAATTCATAAAAATAACTAAATTCACAAATTTAGCTAAATTTAAAAACTTTGACATAAAAAAATTATTTATTTTTGATATTATAATAAATTAAATTATTGATAACAATTTTATTATAAAATATAAAAACAAATTTTTTTATAAATAAATAAAAAATCTATTAATAAGCGGCATGAAAACCATAAAATTTTTGTATGGCACCTTGCTATAATTTGAGGTATTATAAAAATTCGTAAAATTACAGAGCTAAAACAGAATAATCTACTTATAAACATTATGAAATACGAATAAATAACTGGCTATCTCTAATTCCTATTATTTTTGTAAGTATATGTTTTACATACAAATATTAAGTTTAAATAATGAATGTTAAATTAAATTTTCTATGATATCTATATCTTCATAAAACCAAAAATATAAATTAATATTTGATAATTAATATATTTATTTGTTCTTTTTATCCATTAATAATTAATTAATTAAATTTCATATATTTTTATTCTATATTTTTGAAAAAAAATAAATGATATAATAGATTTAATATTACAGGCAATTAAAAAAAGTAATTATTAATTTTTTTATTAATATCCTTTAAATTTATATAAATTAACAAAAAAGTTTTTAAGCTCTTCACTATCATCTCATTAGGTTCTCCATATTTATCTGAAGTATATTTAATTAAAAAATATTATTTTTATTATTATTAATATTTTTTATAAATTTAACTTTCAATTAATTATAACTTTTATTATAAAAATTATCATCATTATTTATAGATTTTTATTAAAACAAACATTTTTTAGTATTTTAACTTAATTTTCATTTCAATTTTTAATTATTTATTATTTTTTCTTCTTTTTTTCCTTCTATTTAACTTGAGTGAAATGCCTATTTAATTTATAAAAGGTGAAATGTAATATATCTTAATAACATAATAAATAAAGCTAAACTAGCTTAAAACAGATTTATTTTTGAGTTTTTAGAAAGCATTCACAAAATGCAAAATTTGAAATATTATTCACCGTATATTCTTATATCATATTTATTTTTGAAAAAATTTACGAACTCAAAAATCAAAATTTCCAACATTAAAAATACCTCAATAATTTAAAATAATAAAGCTATCTTTTCTTTTTATTTTTATAGTGCTTGCTTTTTTTGTTTGTTCTTTCTTTGTTAATTTAACTCATCATTTTATTTTTATTTTTATTTTTAATTTTATTTTTATTATTTCATATTCTTTCTTAATTTTTTCCTTCTAATTAACTATTTAATGATATTTTTTTTCTTCAATATTTAAAAAGTGGTAATTAAATTGGTGATGAAGGTATATCAGGCTTAGGTTTTGGTTTAGCAAATTGCATTAATCTCTCAAATTTGACACTTCAGCTTGAGTAAAGACAGTTTATTTGTTTTTGAATGTGATATTTTGAATTATAAAAACTAATTTAAAACAATAAAGCTCTCTTTTCTTTTCCTTTTTATTGTGCTTTTTTTGCTTTTTTTTTGTTCTTTCTTTATTAATTTAACTCATCATTTTATTTTCAACTTTTACTTTTATTATCAATTAATTAATCTTATTATTTCATATTCTTTCTTCATTTTTTCCTTTGAATTAACTATTTAATGAAATATTACTTCTTCAATATTTAAAAAGTGGCAATAAAATTGGTAAAAAGGGTGCATCAGGTTTAGGTTCTGGTTTAGCAAATTGCATTAATCTCTCAAATTTGTCACTTTACCTTGAGTAAAAATAATTTATTAGTTTTGGATTATGATATTTTGAATTATAAAAACTAATTTAACACAATATAGCTCTTTTTTCTTTTTCTTTTTATTGTGCTTTCTTTTTTTTTTTTGTTCTTTCTTTGTTAATTTAGCTCATCATTTTATTTTTAACTTTTGCTTTTATAATCATTTAATTAATTTTATTATTTCATATTCTTTCTTCATTTTTTCCTTCTAATTAACTATTTAATGATATATTTTTTCTTCGATATTTAAAAAGGAATAATTAAATTTGTGCAAAGGGTGTATCAGGTTTAGGTTCTGGTTTAGCAAATTGTGTTAATCTCTAAAATTTGACACTTAACCTTCGGTAAAAACAGTTTATTTGTTTTGGATTATGATATTTTGAATTATAAAAACTAATTTAAAACAATAAAGCTCTCTTTTCTTTTCCTTTTTATTGTTCTTGCTTTTTTTTTTTTATTCTTTCTTTGTTAATTTAACTCATCATTTTATTTTTAACTTTTACTTTTATTATCAATTAATTAATCTTATTATTTCATATTCTTTCTTCATTTTTTCCTTCTATTTAACTATTTAATGATATATTTTTTCTATAATATTTAAAAAGTGGCAACAAAATTGATGATGAAGGTGCATTAGGTTTAGGTTCTGGTTTAGCAAATTGCATTAATCTCTCAAATTTGACACTTAACGTTTCGTAAAAACAGTTTATTTGTTTTGGATTATGATACTTTGAATTATAAAAACTAATTTAAAACAATAAAGCTCTCTTTTATTTTTCTTTTTATTGTGCTTGATTTCTTTTTGTTCTTTTTTGTTAATTTATTAACTCATCATTTTATTTTCAACTTTTACTTTTATTATCAATTAATTAATCTTATTATTGCATATTCTTTCTTCATTTTTTCCTTCTACTTAACTATTTAATGATATATTTTTACTTCAATATTTAAAAAGGTATAATGAAATTGGTGATGAAGGTACATAAGGCTTATGTTCTGGTTTAGCAAAATACATTAATCTCTCAAATTTGTCACTTGACCTTGGGTAAAAACAGTTTATTTGTTTTGGATTGTGATATTTTGAATTATAAAAACTAATTTAAAACAATAAAGCTCTTTTTCTTTTCCTTTTTATTGTGCTTGCTTTTTTTTTTGTTCTTTCTTTTTTAATTTAAATCATCATTTTATTTTTAACATTTGCTTTTATTATCAATTAATTAATCTTATTATTTCATATTGTTTCTTCATTTTTTTCCTTCTAATTAACTATTTAATGATATATTATTTCTTCAATTTTTAAAAAGGAACAATTAAATTTGTGCAAAGGGTGTATTAGGTTTAGGTTCTGGTTTAGCAAATTGCGCTAATCTCTCAAATTTGACAATTAGCCTTTAGTAAAAACAGTTTATTTGTTTTGGATTGTGATATTTTGAATTATAAAAACTAATTTAAAATAATAAAGCTCTTTTTCTTTTCCTTTTTATTGTGCTTGCTTTTTTTTTTGTTCTTTGTTAATTTAAATCATCATTTTATTTTTAACTTTTGCTTTTATTATCAATTAATTGATCTTATTATTTCATATTCTTTCTTCATTTTTTTCTTCTAATTAACTATTTAATAATATATATTTTCTTCAATATTTAAAAAGCTACAATAAAATTGGTGATGAAGGTGCATCATGCTTAGGTTCTGGTTTAGCATATTGCATTAATCTCTCAAATTTGACACTTATCCTTTAGTAAAGACAGTTTATTTGTTTTGGATTGTGATATTTTGAATTATAAAAATTAATTTAAAACAATAAAGCTCTCTTTTCTTTTTATTTTTATTGTGCTTGCTTTTTTTTTTTCTTCTTTCTTTGTTAATTTAACTCATCATTCTATTTTTAACTTTTGCTTTTATTATGATTTAATTGATCTTATTATTTCTTATTCTTTCTTCATATTTTTACTTCTAATTAACTATTTAATGATATATGTTTTCTTCAATATTTAAAAAGGAACAATTAAATTTGTGCAAAGGGTGCATAAGGCTTATCTTCTGGTTTAGCAAATTGTGTTAATCTCTAAAATTTAACACTTAACATTAGGTAAAAACAGTTTATTTGTTTTGGATTGTGATATTTTGAATTATAAAAACAAATTTAAAACAATAAAGCTCTCTTTTCTTTTTATTTTTATTGTGCTTGCTTTTTTTGTTTGTTCTTTCTTTGTTAATTTAACTCTTATCATTTTATTTTTATTTTCAATTAATTAATTTTATTATTTGATATTCTTTCTTCATTTTTTCCTTCTAATTAACTATTTAATGATATATTTTTTCTTCAATATTTTAAAAGTGATAATAATATTGGTGATAGAATAGAATAGAAATACTCGCACATATAAATGCACTCAGAATACAACTTAAATTAAAAATTATTTATTTATTTATTATATTTATATGTATTATTGTTTGTTCTTTTTGTATTTATTAGGTCTTTAAATATATTATTTTTGATTTTTCTATGTAAAAACAGTTTATTTGTTTTGGATTGTGATATTTTGAATTATAAAAACTAATTTAAAACAATAAAGCTCTATTTTCTTTTCCTTTTTATTGTGCTTTTTTTGTTTTTTTTTTTCTTTCTTTATTAATTTAACTCATCATTTTATTTTCAACTTTTACTTTTATTATTAATTAATTAATCCTATTATTGCATATTCTTTCTTCATTTTTTCCTTCTACTTAACTATTTAATGATATATTTTTTCTTCAATATTTAAAAAGTTATAATAAAATTGATGCAAAGGGTGCATCAGGCTTAGGTTCTGGTTTAGCAAATTAAATTAATCTCTCAAATTTGTCACTTGATCTTGGGTAAAAACAGTTTATTTGTTTTGGATTGTGATATTTTGAATTATCAAAACTAATTTTAAATAATAAAGCTTTTTTTTTTGTTTGTTCTTTCTTTGTTAATTTAATACATCATTTTATTTTTAACTTTTGCTTTTATTATCAATTAATATATCTTATTATTTCAAATTGTTTCTTCATTTTTTGCTTCTAATTTACTATTTGATGATATATTTTTTGTTCAATATTTAAAAAGTTAAAATTAAATTGGTGATGAAGGGGTATCAGGCTTAGGTTCAGGTTTAGCAAATTGCATTAATCTCTCAAATTTGTCACTTTACCTTAAGTAAAAACAGTTTATTTGTTTTTGATTGTGATATTTTGAATTATAAAAATTAATTTAAAACAATAAAGATCTCTTTTCTTTTCCTTTTTATTGTGCTTGCTTTTTTTTTGTTATTTCTTTGTTAATTTAAATCATCATTTTATTTTTAACTTTTGCTTTTATAATCAATTAATTAATTTTATTATTTCATATTCTATCTTCATTTTTTCCTTCTAATTAACTATTTAATGATATATTTTTTCTTCAATATTTAAAAAGTTAAAATTAAATTGGTGATAAAGGGGTATCAGGCTTAGGTTTTGGTTTAGCAAATTGCATTAATCTCTCAAATTTGACACTTAGCCTTTTGTAAAAACAGTTTATTTGTTTTGGATTGTGATATTTTGAGTTATAAAAACTAAATTAAAACAATAAAGCTCTATTTTCTTTTCCTTTTTACTGTGCTTGCTTTTTTTTTTTGTTCTTTCTTTTTTAATTTAACTCATCATTTTATTTTTAACTTTTGCTTTTGTAATCAATTAATTAATTTTATTATTTCATATTCTTTCTTCATTTTTTCCTTCTAATTAACTATTTAATGATATATTATTTCTTCAATATTTAAAAAGGAAAAATAAAATTGGTGATGAAGGTGCATCAAGCTTAAGTTCTGGTTTAGCAAATTACATTAATTGCTCAAATTTGTCACTTGACCTTCGGTAAAACCAATTTATTTGTTTTAGATTGTGATATTTTGAATTATAAAAACTAATTTATAACAATAAAGCTCTTTTTCTTTTCCTTATTATTGTGCTTGCTTTTTTTTTTTTGTTCTTTCTTTGTTAATTTAACTCATCATTCTATTTTTAACTTTTGCTTTTATTATCAATTAATTAATTTTATTATTTCATATTTTTTCTTTATTATTTTCTTTCTAATTAAATATTTAATGATATATTATTTCTTCAATATTTAAAAAGTACCAATTTAATAGGTGAAATGGGTGCATCAATCTTAGGTTCTGGTTTAGCAAATTGCATTAATCTCTAAAATATGTTACTTTACCTTGAGTAAAAATAGTTTATTTGTTTTGGATTGTGATATTTTGAATTATAAAAACAAATTTAAAACAATAAAGATCTCTTTTCTTTTCCTTTTTATTGTGCTTGTTTTTGTTTTTTTTCTTTCTTTGTTAATTTAACTCTCATTTTCTTTTCAACTTTTGCTTTTATTATCAATTAATTAATCTTATTATTTCATATTCTATCTTCATTTTTTCCTTCTAATTTACTATTTAATGATATGTTTTTTCTTCAATATTTAAAAAGTTAAAATTAAATTGGTGATGAAGGGGTATCAGGCTTAGGTTCAGGTTTAGCAAATTGCATTAATCTCTCAAATTTGTCACTTTACCTTAAGTAAAAACAGTTTATTTGTTTTTGATTGTGATATTTTGAATTATAAAAATTAATTTAAAACAATAAAGATCTCTTTTCTTTTCCTTTTTATTGTGCTTGCTTTTTTTTGATCTTTTTTTATTAATTTAAATCATCATTTTATTTTTAACTTTTGCTTTTATTTTCAATTAATTAATTTTGTTATTTCATATTTTTTTTTTATTCTTTCCTACTAATTAACTATTTAATGATATATTTTTTCTACAATATTTAAAAAGTGGCAATAAAATTGGTGATGAAGGTGCATCAGGCTTAGGTTCTGGTTTAGCAAATTGCATTAATCTCTCAAATTTGTCACTTCACCTTATGTAAAAACAGTTTATTTATTTTGGATTGTGATATTTTGAATTATAAAAACTAATTTAAAACAATAAAACTCTCATTTCTTTTCTTTTTTATTGTGCTTTTTTTGCTTTTTTTTTTTTGTTCTTTCTTTCTTTTTAATTTAACTCATCATTCTATTTTTAACTTTTGATTTTATTATCAATTAATTAATTTTCTTATTTCATATTCTTTGTTCATTTTTTCCTATTTAATGATATATTTTTTATTCAATATTTAAAAAGGAACAATTAAATTTGTGCAATTGGTGCATCAGGCTTAGGTTCTGGTTTAGCAAATTGCATTAATCTCTCAAATTTGACACTTAATCTTCGGTAAAAACAGTTTATTTGTTTTGAATTGTGATATTTTTAAATATAAAAACTAATTTAAAACAATAAAGCTCTCTTTTCTTTTTTATTATTTTACTTTTTTTTTTTGTTCTTTCTTTGTTAATTTAACTCTCATCATTTTATATTTAACTTTTACTTTTATTTTCAACTAATTAATTTTATTATTTCATATTCTTTCTTCATTTTTTCCTTCTAATTAACTATTTAATTAAATATTTTTTCTTCAATATTTAAAAAGTGGTAATAAAATTAGTGATGAAGGTCCATCAGGCTTAGGTTCTGGTTTATCAAATTGCATTAATCTCTCAAATTTGTCACTTGACCTTATGTAAAAACAGTTTATTTGTTTTGGATTGTGATATTTTGAATTATAAAAACAAATTTAAAACAATAAAGATCTCTTTTCTTTTCCTTTTTATTGTGCTTGCTTTTTTTTTTTGTTCTTTCTTTGTTAATTTAACTCATCATTCTATTTTTAACTTTTCTTTTTATTATAAATTAATTATCTTATTATTTCATATTCTTTCTTCATTTTTTTCTTCTAATTAACTATTTAATAATATATTTTTTCTTCAATATTTAAAAAGTGAAAATTAAATTGGTGCAAAGGGTGCATCAGGCTTATCTTCTGGTTTAGCAAATTGCATTAATCTCTCAAATTTGTCACTTGACCTTAGGTAAAAACAGTTTATTTGTTTTGGATTGCGATATTTTGAATTATAAAAACTAATTTAAAACAATAAAGCTGTCTTTTCTTTTCATTTTTATTGTGCTTGCTTTTTTTTTTTTTTTTATTCTTTCTTTGTTAATTTAACTCTCATTTTCTTTTCAACTTTTGCTTTTATTATCAATTAATTATTGATCTTATTATTTCATATTCTTTCTTCATTTTTTCCCTCAAATTAACTATTTAATGATATATTTTTACTTCAATATTTAAAAAGGTGCAATCAAATTGGTGATGAAGGTACATCAGGCTTATCTTCTGGTTTAACAAATTGCATTAATCTCTCAAATTTGACACTTAAGCTTAAGTAAAAACAGTTTATTTATTTTAGATTGTGATATTTTGAGTTATAAAAACAAATTTAAAACAACAAAGCTCTCTTTTTTTTACTTTTTATTGTGCTTGCTTTTTTTTTGTTCTTTCTTTTTTAATTTAACTCATTATTTTATTTTTAACTTTTTCTTTTATTATCAATTAATTAATTTTATTATTTCATATTCTTTCTTCATTTTTTCCTTCTATTTAACTATTTAATGATATATTTTTTCTATAATATTTAAAAAGTGGCAATAAAATTGGTTATGAAGGTGCATCATGCTTAGGTTCTGGTTTAGCAAATTGCATTAATCTCTCAAATTTGATACTTCAGCTTGAGTAAAAATAGTTTATTTGTTTTGGATTGTGATATTTTGAATTATAAAAACTAATTTAAAATAAAAAATTTCTTTGAATTTATTTGATTTATTTTTTATCTATTTTATTTGACTAATATTATTTTATTTATTTATATATTAATTTAAGAAATAATTTTTAATTTGAAAGTTTATTCTATTAGATATTTATTTAAAATTTACACAAATTTATTATAAAATTTTAGCTACATGTGTTAATCATAAAATTTCAAAGTAATAAGCAAGTGTCTTAAATCAAAAAGATTAGTTGTCTTTCAAAAATAATTCTGTTGATAAGCAAATGGCGAAAAAAGGAAGAATAAATATTAAATGTTTAAATAATTGAATATTAAAGGTTTTTTTATTTTTAATATTTTGAAAAAGTTTTTTTAACCTTCTATATATTAGATTTTATTCTTGTTTTTTATTATAAATATCATTCATATTTATTTTTGTAAGTAAATAAATTGTTTGTAAAAATAAAAAATAAAAAAATTAAATTTACTTAAATAAATTAATTCCTCTTAAACCAACTCTCCTTTTTCTCTAAAAAGGATCAAATAATTAAAAATTTTTAGTGTTAAATTATATCTTATGAAATTATATAAATGCCAAACTTTTACATGCCAGTTAAATATATTTTAATCTTAAATATTGTCGATCAATCATATTTCTATCCTTTTTTTTATTTACCATGATTAATTAGATACCAAGACTTAAATAAAACCTAATAGAGAAATCAAATTTTACTTTTAAAATATTTTTAAATTTAAAAAAACTATTTAAAATTTTGACAAAAAAAATAAATAAAAATGGGGTAGGTAATTTGGATAAATAGTAAAAAAGATATTAGAAATATTGAAAAATCAATTAAAAAACTAAATTATCTCTTTTTAAGCAAAGTTTAAAGCAAACATAAATATAACAAACTTAAGAAAAAATAAGGTTTTAAAATAAAAAAAATAAATTTAATCTTAATTGATTAATTAAAAATTAATTTAATTAATAACTTTTGATGTTTATCTAATTTTATTATCCTTATAAGTTTAGTCAATACTAAGTGCATGCATTTGTTTCTCTTATTCAGATAAAAATTTATGTTTAATTCAAAGATAGATGCATACCTCTGAACTAACTATTAGTTAAAAATCCTATTAATTAGCAATTATTTTGATGTTAATAATCTCAAGTATTTTATATTATAATTATAAAAATAATATTTAGTTTATAATATTTATTTAATTTTCTAATTTATTTATTTAAATAGAAGACTTCTATTTAATTTAATTGTCTTCGCAATCTTAATCAATGAAAGATGCTTACTCTTCTTTCTTAAATAAGGCTTTCTGTTTAATTAGCTGTTTGAAAGTTATTTCTAAATTATTAACTCAAATGGTTACTCATTAACATACTAGTTGGAGATTAATCGAATGTAGTATTATCTTTTGAGATTAATAAATAAAAATATTATTTTTAAAAATAAATTTTAGATTATAAATTTTTTACCAAAATAAATAGAACATTTCTTCCTATTTTTAAATTATTCAAATACGGAAATTTATTCTTAATATTTATTTTCTGCTTCATTGTTGCATTATTGATTTGATTACTTCTAGATCAGTTGATATTTTTAGAGTGTTTCAAATGGTAAAAAATATTTGAATATATTTAATAGCTCAAAATCAGATATGGTTAATTATTTATTTTTTTCATTTGATAATACCTCTAATATTTTATCTTTTTGGCTTTAAATATCAGCTACCTATTCTTTTGTTGCGTTTTAATTGATTTTTTGGGTGATTAAATAATCTATTATATCAATTATAGCAAAACTTTATCTGCAAAGAGGACAACTATCATTTTAGCTAATCCACGAAATCAAGCAATTAGAATGAAACAAATGCCTGCAAATAGTTAACCTAAGCTCATCTTAAGTAACAATCTCAACCAAGCAAATAGAACAGTTATTTGTGTTATCCTTATCAACCTAAATATCTTCCTTTGTATTTTGGTCTTTTGAGTTTTTATCTTAATTTTAACGATCCTTACCTATATTCTGTTGTTAATCGCCTTCTATTCTATCTTTAATTATAAACATATTTTCTGTAAAGTTTTATTCATTTTAGTTTTATTCTTTCTTTATCATCTGGTTGTCTTATCTTATTTAAATTATGTTGATTTCATTTTATTTTTTGAAGGAATCATATTAAACAATTGGCATAAAGGCTTCTTGTAAAAAAAGTATTTTTGCCTTTGTCACATCAACTTTTATTTAAAAGTATTCATTATTTGGCCTTTATAAATTTTGATTAAGTCTATTTTAAGTTGAAGCTCTTCTTTTCCTCATTTTAACTAACACGAAAATAAAAATACAAAGAAGAAAAACTGACAAAGTTACTACTACTATTATTATTATTATTATTATTTTTATTTATGAAATGTCTTTATCTTGTTTAGATTATTCTGAAGAATTTTGCTAACTTATTGTTTATTGCGAATATTGGGCTGAAATGGAAAGCATTGTAGGTTCATCTGATATTGATTATTAAATACTTATCACTGCAAAGCAACTTTTTAATTAATAGTTATTTGAAAAGCTTTTATATGTTTAGTATTCATTACACTTTTGTTCTAAACTCAAAATAGTTATAATTTCATTTGTTTGTATTTTTTGTGAGATATTATTATTAAAAATAGAAGGTAATTCTAATTTGTTAAAAATTACTTAAAAATATATTATTGCCGTACCATTTAAATTTTATAAACAAATTTAAGTACTTTTACCATTTGATTTTGTTAAAGCATCTTCAAATTATAAAATAAAGTATCTCTACTCCATCGAGGAGATAGTTATGTTTTAAGTTTCACTTATATTTAATGCGTTCAATTATACACTGCAGTCGATCCCATAAAATTATGATTCACAAGTGCACTTTCCTAATTAGTTATCGCAATATCCTTGTTGATTGCAATTTTTATGGCATGGGTAAAGATAATCTTAATAAATTTTAACATTGTATTAAATTTGATGAAGTGATTAAAGGTTTTGTACAGTATTATCATTAAATTTTTAAGTGTATAGGATTGTTAAAAATGTAGGAGTTCTAGTAGAATAATCTGAATAATTGGTTTATATTATTAAAAGATGTTAACTTAACTATTATTGAGTAGCCAAAGTATCGATAAATTAGCAAGCATTAAGTTCTGTATATTATTAAGATTGCTAATCTAAGTTATTTTGATTGAAGTTAAGGCAAGCAACGAACTTATAAACAGGATACATGGGAGAAATAACATCTATCTGAATGATCAAATAATTGAATCTTGGATCAACAGAGAAAATATTTATTTGAAAATTCTCTGCTGTCTGGTTTTAGGTTATCTAATAAGTTGTGTCTAGGTAAAGATTCTGTGGTTCTGAATCACAGTTTACAATCTGGAAGGATAAAATAATTAGACTGTGCACTAAATAAATTGTGCTAAATTTCATTGCTATTATTTAATAGCTATTTTACTTAAGTTTTAATTTTCTCTCCTATATTAATTTACCTATTTTAATTTTCTTCTCAATTTTTTGAGTTTATTATTCAATTTAATGTAAATTTAAAAATAGCATAATCAATCATAAATAAAATCAATAATTGAAGCCACAAAAATAATTGATTTTGATTCTCAAAGTTAATTTATCTTTTAAAAAAACAAAAAAAAGCATGATAGTAATCAAAAATTTAATTGATTTACAGAAATATATTCTAGCTTGAATAATTATTTCGTGTGTTGGAAACATATATTTTTTATAAGTTAAAAGAAAACTTTAAAGAAATAAAATAAATGTCTCTAACCTCACTGATGAAAAAAATGAAAGTTTTTAATCAAAGATTTATTTGAGAAAAAAAATTAATAAAAGATTTTAATTTTGATATAAAAATGTTTCAAAAAATTAAATTTTAATTAAACATTTTAACTTTTTTGTTTGTTTGTTTTGAAGGTTAGTTAGTTAGATATTTTATTCAAAGCTTTTTTAATTTCATAAAAATTATCTTTTAATTTATAAAAAAATATGTATTGCTATTCTAACTATTTATTTTCTATTCATTAAATAATTATTCAATAATTGAAATTTTCTTGTTATTTATTTTTGATTAAAATGATAACTTTGACATATAATTATGTTCTATAAATAATAGCAATAAGATTTTACTATCAAAGTGAAATGTTTTAATTTTGGATTAAAATCTTATTAATTTCAATATTTTTTGGAAGAAAATAAAAATATACTGGTTTTTTTTTCTAACTTTATAAACTTACGTTATTTATTTATTAATTTAATATTATCAAAATATATCTAAAATAAAAAACTATGTTTTATAACATTTTTCAAAGTGAATAACTAAAAAATTAAAAATATTTTAATGATTTAACTATGATTTTAAAATTCACCCAAAAAAAAAATTTATAATCTAAATTTTGTTTTGAAAAACTAAAGCAAAGAAAGATTCTGAAATTTTCTAAGTCTCTTTGTTAATTTAATTAATATTTTTTAATATATTCTAAAGAATTTAAAAAAAATATTGAGTTTTTATTTATTATCTTAAAATTAATAAATGTCTGATAAATCTATGAAAAATACTGATTAAAATTTTCAAAATGATTGGTAAGAAATTAATTACACAAATGAAATAAATTATGATGCAGATTTTTTGAAAGCTTTGAAATAAAATTAAGAGTATTTTGAAAAGTGTCTCCAGCACGAAGCTTAAATATATAATATTTCTAATAATGATTAGATTAATGAAATAAATGGCTAATTGAATGTAATTCAGTAATCTCTGTTTTATATATAAAATAATAAAGACCTAAAATATGTTTAGTTCAAAGATTTAATTGATTTTCTTACAAACAATTTAGACTAGGAAGTAAAAAATAATCACCAAGTTATAAATCTTTAAGGCGCATTTATCCCTTCTAGCTCAGTACGCTCAAATATTAGTTTTGAACAAGTTGATTAACAGCTTGAAATAGGAAAATAGCTCAAAATACAACAAGAAAAGATTTGAATATATTTTATAAATAGTTTTTAATAAAAAATAACATGTTAAAAGTGTAGAATTTATTAAAATATGCTTGAGAAATCAAATAAGTACCCATTTATTTTTACTTTAAATACTGAAAAATAATAGTATAAATCAAGCAAGCAAGCAATTTTCAATCTACTTTGCTATGTATTATTTTAAAAGACTTGATTTAATAACAAGCACATTCGCTTACAATTTAAGATGTACAATAAGGAAAATAATCAGAAAAAATGATAAAAATAAATATATATTTCTACTTTAAACAGCTAAAATAGTTATATATATATAACATATCAAGAAAGCAATAAATTTATCAATCATCAAATTTGTTTCAAATTATTTTAAAAAACATGATATCGTTTGTATATAAGGAAATACTCTAAAAATAAATATGAATGAATATTTAATAATAGATTATAAATGAATAAGTTATTTTGTTTGTTTGTTTATTTATTTGTTATTGTATATTTTCTTCTTATTTATTTTTCATCACTTTTTCAAATTTGCAATTAGCTTATGAACTGAAGCATCCCAACTCATCTTCATATTTGTTACTGTGTTAAATAAAAATAAATAAGTAAATAAATTTTTGATTTCTTATAAAAATCTAAGTATTAATTAGCTATTTATTGAAGTATGTAAATAAATAAATATATACCTGGTAAAATACGTCTCATATTTTTAAAGAATTGATCTGACATTCTTTCATACATGCTTTCGAGAGAAGTTTAAACGCTTTATTCTAAGTTAATAATTTATTTAACAATCTTCTATGATTCATTTTCTATTTGACTGCCAGTAAATAACACTTCTTCTGTAAATTTTTTAGTTTCCTTCAACATAACATTACCTCCTTCAAAGAAATGAGAATTAATTCTAACTTTTCCCTATATAAAATTAAAAAAATGCATTAATACAATAGAATATAATATATCTTTGCAACAAAAATTAAAGCATAAAGATTAAAAATTGAATTCTTTACCTCAAAAGATTTCATATCGATCTTCCAATCAGATATCCATTCTCCTCCACTATAAATAAAATAAGATAATTTATTAACAAATTAAAATGATCTCTTTAAAATAAAATATTGATTTATTTATTTATTTACTGGAAACTGTTAAGCTTTAAGTTTTTGCAAGTAATAGCTATATAAATGGTAAAGTTCTCTTCATCCCAATCAAGATAAACTAACAAATTTATTTATTTATTTATTTAAAATAGGAATTTATTTAATTATTTTATATGTAAAGTCTAATTCTTTTTTAGTAAGGAACTTTTCAATTAAAATTATCTATTTATTTTGTAAACATTTAATGAAAATATTTAATTTAAATTACCTAATTAGCCAAATTCAGTACCAGAATAATAGTTTTTCAAATATTCTTAGATACCCTTTTCGATGAATCCTCTATATTTTATTTAAAAAAGATGATAGGATTATAAAATAATTATGTTTTTTTTTCTTTTTTTAATGTTTGTGGTATTTATTAATTACCTGTATTATCCAAGGACAGGGTTAGAAGCAATCTCTACTTCTTCAGTTCTTGTGACTTTTAAGGTTTTGTGATCAACAAAAACTTTAAGATTGTGTTATTAATCGAGATAGCAATCTTCCTATTCAATGTAATTGAGAGGAGTTAATAAAAATGTAGATTAAAGAGGATGATCCCTGACTATTGCAAAATGGTCTTATGCATGCTTAATCAATAAGGAATCGACGTAAGATTCGTATAAATGATAGTCATCGACGAGTTTTTTGAGATCTATAGTATTATTTAGATAAGTTCTGAATTTAAATAATATTTTAAGTCTTATGACAGACAGTAAATCCATAATCTTTGCTAATCTATAAATTGCATCAGCACTGATCTAAATTTTTTTATAGTATTCTGAAAAATAAATGCAAAATTTATACCTGCAATTACGTCATTAATTTCACCATATGGTGCATTCTTAATAATATATTCCATAATTGTCTTCTTATTTTCATCTAAAACAACCTAAGGCTATTCTTATTAGTCGTATTGAATATAATCGTCAGCCATCTATCTATCTATTTATCTCTTTTGAGCTAAAAACTTTTATAATTGATTGCACTTAAATATCTTATTTTATTTAATTTAATTATTAAATAATGAATTTCTTTTTTTGTTGCTTGATATTTTATTAAATTTTTGCTTGATATCTTAAAAATTAATAAAAGATGTATTTGGCTTAGCTGGCTGATGATTATCAATCTATATCCATCCTATCCTTATCTTTACCAAAAATTCCTCACAATTATTCCTTATCAAATAAAACTAAATATCTTTTTACAAATGAATAAGGTGAAGAACATTTATTCTATTGCTATCATTCCTTTTCTTGAATTTATTTAAAGATCAAAAATATAAATAAAAAACACTTGACCATTCCTTTATGATTTTTTTTCTGATTTTTAAGGTAAAAATATGAAATAAATGCAATTTTTTCTTAAATTAATTAATCTTTCCTTAAAATATATTTTTTAATCTGTGTCAAAACTCACTTTCAAAGCTTAAATGCTTCATAAGATTAATAGATTAAAATAAATTAAATTTACTCGATAAAAATAATTTTATCTAAATTTCACCAAAAAAAAAAAATTATATCAAATTAATTAAAAAAATTTAATTAATAATTTTTAAATTAAATTAAATTATTTTTTAATACAAAAAAACAAATAGGTTCAATTTAATTTCATTTAATTAATATATTAATTTTACTATATATTTTATTATTATTTATTTATCTTTTAACTTGATTCTAAGTTATTATCATTCATGGATGTAGCAACTATGTATTTTGGTTAAATTTCTGTCTTTTTCTGATCTAGAATCTGCTTAAATTAAGCAATTGATAAGTTTCCTCCAGAGCTTTAAACCATAGAAGAAATACTCAACAAAAACTCAGCTAATTTTATAAATTCATATCTGTAATTAAGATTTTCGCTTTATGATTTTTCTGGAGTAAATATAGTCTTTTCCCTTAGCTTTTTATTTTAAAATTAAAATATTTTAATTAATATTTTAAAAATATGTATTATTAAAAAGAATTAATCATTATTTTTTTATTATCATAAAAAGAGATAGTTTGTTTCATTAATGAGTTATCATTTAAAATAAATAAAATTATTTGCTAAATTAATTAATTACTTGCTAAGGAGATTATTAAGTGAATTAATTTTGTTAAAACTTAATTTTATGGCTATCAGGATTCTAAGGAGTAGTTATTCCAATTGATTAAATTTTACTAGAATTAAGCACATCATTAGCTTCAAAATTTAATTAGTTTATTTATTATTAGATTTGTTATTAATACATTTTTTCATTAAATTCTTAAGGATCAAAAGACTGTTCAACTTAGGGTGGAAGGAAAGTACTCGTAACGGAATTATCATATGGATTAAACGCTGAGCTCAGAATAGTTTGTCCCTTAGCCATAAATTAATAGTGTGAGTGATCTATTTCTTCAATTTTTTCAGATAATTGTTTACAAATTAAGTTGCTTTTCTTTAAGGCTAAATCTAAGTCCATATTGGCTTTTTTAATATTTTTCAAGTTTGTATTTAACTGCTACTTTTCAGCATGTAATAGATTTAATCTCTCTTAAAGTGTTTTGTTTTCTGTTTTTATTTCCTCAAGCTGCAACTAAAATTATCGCTTTATATCTTAAATGTACTGCTCTTTGGCTTATAAATTAGACTCCAATTAGCTAACATTATTCTCCATTTTCTTGTTTTAGGAGATAGTTAGTCTAGCTTTATCTATTTTAACATCAAAAGAGTCTATTTTTTATTGAAGTAGAGAAATAGTTTCTTTGCTCTATTCAATTATTTTATTTCTTTCTTATAATTTTTTTTCTAAAATAATAACGTCCTGCATTTGCAACTTCAGAGGCTCATCATTTAGAATTCTAAACTTTTAAAATAAGCTTTCTTTCTATTCATAACCAATAAAAATATTGTAAAGTCCCATTACCAAATACTTCATAACAAACATGTCCTCCTCTTACAAGTAATTATAAACTAAATGATTATTTTCATTGATTTACTTCTTAATTTACTTTTCAATATTTTCTTTACTATTCTAATCTACTGCAAATTTTTTCTTTGCTAATGCAGCATGCTGCTTGATAGAAATCAAATTTAGTTCTAAAATCTAACTTAACTTCTTGTTGAAGTCTTCAGCTGGCTTTAACTAACTCTATTTCACAGGTGAAAATTAGTTCTATTTTAAAGGGGATTGTAAAGAATTTTGCATGTGTTTATTTACTTGCTTGCTTGTTGAAATATTTTTTTAGCTGAAAACACAAATTAATTGCTACTTTTTTGATTAAATTTTAAGTACTTATTTTAGTATTCGCTTTTGAATTTAATTAATATTTAACTATTTCCACACAATTAATTTTATTTACTTATTTGAAGATTCAATGTAAATAAAATAAAAAAATATAATAATGTATACTATTTTTATTTATCATATCAAATATTTAATATAACTATTTATATAGCCAAATAATTAATTGTTAATTCTAAGATTTCTACTTTTATTAAGAATTTACAAAATCAGTTTGCTTATTAAAAATTTTAAATGATAAAATATTCTAAAATTAATTTATTCCTTTTTCACTGTAAAATTCAATAAAAAGCTATAATTTAATTAATAATTATTATAAATATTATTAAAACTTTTAATTTATGCAAGTTATTTTAGATACATTTAAAAACTATTTTTATCTATTGAAATGTAAGCTCTAACATAAAATATTTTTTGTTTACTATAAAATGTAAAATTCTTTCTTAGAATTATTTTATTCAAGAATTCTATTAACTTTTAATTTTAGTTACACAATAAATTTAAAAAATATACTTTTTAGAAACAAATATTTATTTTCCATCAAAATTAACAAAAAAGATTACAATTTTATGAGTAAATTTAATTAGACAATATAAATAGTTCTAGATAGGTTTCGCTTATTTATTTATTTACAAAATTTTATAAAATTAAAATTGTAAAAATGTGCATTTATTTTATTTTAAAAATTTTAAATGTAATTTTGTAGAGACATTGAAATTTATGATATCTAATAAAAATATTTAAACAACAACAACATAAAATTAAAGCTTATATTTTAGTTTATTCTGACTTGGGAACAAAATTAAAGTTAATTAACTTAATTTTGATAAATATAAAATATATAATAAATGCACAGCAAAATTATGATAACATAATTTAATTGTAATGATAGAGAAATTAAATAATGATAGATAATATAAATTTAATATTTAAGATCAAGCTTTTGGTAACTTATATATTATGAAGTGCATTCAACCCAGGTTTAACTAAATGTAAACTCAAAAGTAATGAATCGAAGAAGATAATTATTATATTTATAAATAGAAAATGTTATTATTAATTACATCCATCATTTATTTTTATTATTTTATAAGAGTTAAATTGAAATTTAGTGGTTAATTATTAAAATTGTAAGAGCTATTTCCAAATAGCTTAATAATTTTTAATTAGATTGAGAATCGATAGTAGAAAGAAATTCTTTTCATTATTTTTCCGTGTGGTAACAACAACTTAAAATAGATTTTCATGGATTTTCAATCTCAAAAGCATTGTCTACATATACACGACACATTGGGCAATTTCCATTGCGTTCAAGCCATTTCTTTACACATTCCTCATGAAAATAATGCAGCTTGTTACATGGCATAACTACAAGTTTATCATCAGGTTCGTACTACATGAAACAGATTGTGCAATCTTTTTCTACAGGTTGCTCAATTTCTTTATAACATTAAATTGTTAATTTATTCAGATTATCTTATCTTACAGGAGGTCTTTGTGATACTTCAGACCATATATCTGAGCAATAAGTATAAATAGCAATAAAAGGCCAGAAAAGGCATAGTAAAAGAGGAATAGATAAATAAATATAACCAAATATTAAGTAAACCACTGTTAAATAGTAATATATTTCATCTCTATCGGGGCTGCAAATTGCATCAGCACAAAAAATTACATTGCCATAAATAAATAAAATCATGTAAAAGAGCCTACAAAATTCTCCGTATCTAAGGTTATTTATAAATTTCTTTTCAGCATTTTCCTATAATTTTAACCCATTTATTGGTCTGCAGGACAGAAGGAACTGCTAAAATATAAATGACTGTAAATTTGTATCAGAAATCTCTTCTTAATCAGGATCTCCATAGAGTAAATCTTCTTCTGAGCAGCGTGCGACAGCAATAGTAGCACCTACCAAATGGAGTAAATAAGTTATGTCATAAATTAGCATTAGATAAACCCAAAGCAAAAGTGGTGAGAATGAAGTATCATTTGTTTAAAAGCAAATAGTAGTAGCAGTAATCTTAGATATACAAATAAAACCTAAAATCAAATTAATTATATAAGCTTCTTTCTTTGCCTTTTAAATCATGAGATCCAATCTAGTGTACGCACTCTGTTGGATAGCAACTTCGCCTAATTCATTTAACTGCAAATCACCACTTTATTAGTTTTAAATTAGAGATCTGTTATCTATCATCAGATATAAGTAATTTGAATAAATTTATATCTTCAACAAATTAATAAATAAATGCCTAGCTTAGCTTGTTAGAACTAAATATTGAATCCTTCTTGCTGGTTGAGGTTGATTATTACTTTTTTAAAGAAACTGAAAACCTCTTTTACAATAAAAAATAATTTTTTAGCTTTTGTTCTAAAAATTGAGTTTATTATCTCTTTCTCTCCCTCTCTCTCTTATAAGCTAATATATTTTTAATGCTTAAATCTGATTAATTAGTTAATATTATTATTATTATTATTATCAAATAATGATTCTAATTTTCAATTTTTGTTAATAACCTTTTAACTTTCTCAATTTTTTTGCAAAATTTTAATATTTAAATGGTAGTTTTGATGATGTCAAATAAAAAATAGATTTTTAAATTACTCAAACAAATTCACTTTTGAAAGTGAGAAAAAAAAAAATTAATTGTAATCTAATAATAATTATAATAATATTTAAAGTATTTTCTTCCCATAAGTTTGGTTTATTTATAGTCTATGATTTCTAAGTCATGTCTAGTTAAGGTATTTTTGGCTAATGAATGACTATGGATTAGCTTGAAAAATATATTTTCAATTTTGTTGATTGTTATCTTTTAAAAAATTAACCAATGAATATTTTAATTTTAATCATTTGAATGATGTTTATTAGTTAAAAAGTATATTAAGCAAAGTATGAATACTTTCTAAACTATCTTTGAATAGGTGTTTTTTTGAACAATTTGTGAGATAATCGTAATAGTAAAAATAAATTTTAATAAGTTACATATGAGAGTTTTCATCCTTATTTATTTTCAATAAAAGAGTAAATTTAATAAATAATTTAGACCATATTCTTCAAAAAAATTACTTCACAAAACTAAAATATTTTGTAATATTATTTAAAAATATTTTATCAAATAATTGTAATAATCCTGTTTTGGAGTTTTGTAGTAACAAAAAAATAGATAAGTATTATCTAAAAAAGAAAAAATTAAGTTAATGTTAAAGTAACAAGAATATTTTAAATAATATTAATTCATAAATTAACTGTTTTAAGATTATGAAACACGATTTAAAAAATAAGTATTATAATTAAACTGTGATTATAATAAAAAAAATAATTTTTAATCAACTATTTTAATATAAATAAATAAATAGATTGATGTGTAAATTAATTGAAAACTTCAAAGCATAATGTTATTTTTCATATAAGAATATTAATAGAATTGTAAAAGACTCAAACTTTAAATAAATCTAAATAATTTTAAAGAGACAAGAATTTTTTAAAATAATATTAAATCATAATTTAACTATTTTATGATTATGAAGCTGGATTTAAAAAATAGGTGCTATAATAAAAGATATTATTTTTAATCAACTGTTTTAAGATAAATAGATCTATATGTAAATTAATTCAAAAATTAAAAGCATAATGATATTTTTTATATTAGAAGATTAATTTAAAAGACTCAAACTATAAATAAATCTTTTTAGAAAGTTAATAATTTTAAAGAGACAATAATATTTTAAAATAGTATTAAATAATAAATTAACTATTTTATGATTACGAAGCTGGATTTAAAAAATATGTGCTATAATTAAAGTGTGATTATTATAAAATAAATCATTTTTAATCAGCTATTTTAAAATAAATAAGTAAATAGATTTTTTTATAAATTAATTAAAAACTTAAAAGCATAAAGATATTTTTCATATGATAATAGAATTGTAAAAGACCAAACAATTAATACTTCTTTTTAGAATGTTAATGAATTTTTAAAAAGATTAAAGAAAGAAAATAATAAGTGAAATGGGTATTAATGAAGAGCCTTTCACGCTTTTTCGATTATGAATATAAATGTAAAATGTAGATTTTACTTTTTTGCTTTAAATTATTTTAGGCTTTAATTTTCATAAAAATTGAGGTAATTTATTAAAACTTAAAAAAGGTAGGTAATTAGTTTCAAAATTAAAATGCTGCCTAGGTTATGTTTTATTTTTTAATCTAAAACAAAGTATAGCCATACATTTTTGAAGGTTAAAATTTGCATCAAATGCATAATAACTTACACAAAAAACCTTTTATAAAAAACTCAGGTTTAAATTGGCTAAATATGCAAATGCAATATAATATGAATTTAAATTCAATATTTTTTTTTATCAAGTTAGTATTTTGTTATTTCTTATTAGCCTAAATTTGTTTGTCAATAATTTATACTTTTATTGATTGAATAAAGGATACTACTATAATAGTGAAGATAGTTAAATTCAAATTGTTGCAAACACACGCACCTACTCACTCAATATACTATATTAAATTTTTGAATTGAAAAAATAAACTGAACACAACTAGTTTAAAATATATGTAATTAAACATAAAATTCAATGATTCAAGCAATTAATAAATAGTAAGAAGTAAAAATCAAAATAAATAAATCCTTATTATTGTAATTTTTTTATTGATTATTAAATATAAATGATTGATAGATAAATAAATAAATAGATTGTTTGTTTGTTTGTTTGTTTGCTTGCTTGCTTGTTTTGTAAATAAGATTTTGAAATTTAGAAGCATTAAAATAAATTACAATAATTGTTAGTAAAAAATATTAAGGAGAAAAATAATTACTATAAAATTTATTAAAGTAGCAAGAATGAATCCAAATTTAAAGAAGTAGCAGCCTCCGTCATCAACAAAATCATCATCAAATAAAGTTATAAGTACAGTTAAGAAGTCTCAATCGAATTAGATCCTTTAAAATAATGTAGGTAATTACCGAGCATTAGGACCAAAAATCCACGACTTTGCTCTCTCACCACAACAAATGCAATCACCATCTGCACAACAAAACTACAATAGCTCTGCTAACATAAATTATTAAAATAGTACCTAAAACAATTAAACTAATACCTAAAATTAATTGCTTTAGATTTCTTTATCATAATCTCAGTTTCAATAAAGTATTTTACCGAATTCAACCTCGTCCTAGTTAAATTCTAACAAGATGTACTTACTTATTCATTTTTCTTTTCCTTAAAAAATTAAATCAAAATTCAATTTAAAAATAGTGAAAAATAATATGCAAGTAATGGTTTTAGCACTCTAAATACCTAAGTAGATCACAATGGTTATGATTCCTTAAGGATAAACAATAAATCTTCTGCTAACCAGGTAGGAAACCATGCTTAAAATTAGCATAAGAAAAAGAATTCATTTAGCACCATTGGATCTCCATTAAATAATGCAAGCAATAGAAGTAGCGGATGGGCCGGAAACGGTTTAACTCCTACTAATGCAGATCACTCAAATTTTAGATAGAATAACCACTAAATCAGTAATAACAATGTAAGTGCTTTAAACAGTAACAATAACAATTCTAGAAATAGCGAAAATCATTAGAATGGACAGTATTTAGACAATTATGATAGCGTTTAAAGCATGGAGTAATTCAGTGAAGCAGAAGCAGGCTAAAATATAGTAGCATTGAAGATGCAGTTAAGAACTATTTTTCACTTCTACACTACTTTTGGTGATAGATAAAACATTACCTATCTTAAGTCAAATAAGTTTTACAAAATGATGGCTGATGCAAACATTATATCGAGCTCATCTCCCCATATCAATATTAATAGGTTGGATTTGTTGTTTTGCTAAGTAAATAAGCACAAAGCAAATATGAGCTTTGAAACCTTCCTTGACATGCTTCCTTAGCTAGCACAGCTTAAATATCCAAATACCTCTGCCGAAGAAGCCATGCTTTCTCTAATAACTAATGAACTTAATCCACTGTATTTGGGAATTATGGAAAAAACAGATTTAGGTATGCCTTTTAAAATAAATTTTTTTTTATAGACTTCATAAAAATCAAAGAATAGACTTAAAGAAAAATATCTATTTAGATTTGAATTAGTAATCAGAAAAAGTAGCACTAAATAAATTTTACTGAAATCTACTCAACTCAATATAAAAATTAATTAAGTGTAAAGTAGAAAATTAAATTTCATAAAGAATAAATCAAATTAAAAGCATTATTCCATTTTTTTTAGATTTCAGACAAATTTTTTAGATTTCAATCATAAAAAAAATTTATTATTTAAATTTAGATTTTAATTTAATGTAAAGACGTAGTGTTTTAAAATAAAAATAAAAATTATTAGGTCTAGAATTAAGGAGCTTCAACTTACCGTTGGAAATAGAATGTATAGAGGTGCTGACTCCTCTGTATCCAGTTCTACAAAAAATATATGAAGTAATTAATTATTTGATAGTTTCATTAATAATTTTAAATTGAATAATAAAAGTCTTATTTCAAATGGGAACCAACTAATTCGTTGAAAAAAGAGGATAACTACAGTAAGAGTCTGAAAGCGTTATATTAGTTTTTGAGTGAGTATAATATTTGTCCTACTTATTATACAAAAAGCACAGCATTTTTATTGTATAATTTTATTGTGGAGTTATAAAATCTAAATCTTCAGTTTGGAGTTGCTGAAAGCGCTACTACAATCTTTGGGTTCAAAGACTATGGAATGGTATTCACTTTTCAGAGATTCCTCTTGTTTTTAATAAGAAGCTCAATCATTTGCTATGAAAATAGAATAGAGACATCTAAATACGTATGCTCTTCTCATGTAGAAAAATTAAACTTACTCTTAGAAAAAATGGAAGTCTCAGAAGGTTTCTTGAATATTTAAAAAAAAACTCATATGACTAACAATTCTCATACTTCTCTATTAATCCCTTCTACTTTAGTAATGAGAGTAAGCGATTTTAAGATAGATTGATAAATTTTCATAATTAATTAATGGTTTTTTTGTTTTATAAAAGCTAAGTCAAAATAAGAGCATTGATTGGAGTACTCCAAGGACCAGTTAGTACTGCAGTTTCAGATCCAAATTGAATTCAGGTTTATAGAGTACACGCTAATAGAGCTTCTATAATCCACCAGCTTCAGGAAGTCCTAGTAGAAATAACTCAAACTTAAGAAAATCATTTTTAGCAGAAAAGCTAGGCTAATCCTTTGCAAATATAAATGTCTTCGAGAAGAATAATGAGAATTTACAGAAAATATTTAAATATTATTGCTCATATGGTGAACCAATGAATTAAGCAACACTAAAAACATTCAAATTAATTCGTCTTCTCACAGATGCAGGCATAATGAAGAAGGTAGAAAATTAATTAATTTTTTAAATATGATGATTTTAAAATGTATTTTTTTTAATTAGCCTAAAATTAGCACAAGTTAAAATCATTCATTAAATTTAAGTGATATTAAAGGCTTAAATAAATCTTCAACTTCAAGTCACTTGAAAGGCAGTTATACTCCTAATACTGCTTAGTATTCATCGCATAAGTATTCAAACAGCATAGCTTAAGGGTCTATATTAGCAGGTGGAGATGACTATTAGATAAAAGGATAAAGATATTTGAGTAAAATAGATATGGATTTTATGGTCGTTAAGCTAACTGGAAGCAAATGGATCAAAACATTTAACTAACAAACAAATAAAGTTTCCTAAATTGATCCAAAAATATCATCACCAAAGCTTGGATTCTCAAGTCATATGTATAAAAACGATGAATCATTAGGTGCAAAAGGTAAGATCGAATATGAGCATTTTGTAAAATTGCTAGAAATGATTGCTGAAAAATTGTACCCTGAGCTCGAAATAGAACAATCTCTTTAAATTATAGTTGAAGGTTAAATTTTAAAGCTTTTAGAATAAACGTAGCCAAACAGAAAAGGAATGCACGATTACTTAGCTAACTTGATGGACATCTTAAAAGACCAAGAAATTGTATTTATTTATTCTTTCTTTAAATAATTAAAGAGTATAAAATAAATATGAATTAAAAATATTTAGGTTAATTTACTAGGAGAAGTTCATTTAAGTTTAGTCATGTATTACAAAATATATTAGGATTAAAAAGGATATATGAATATCACAAATTTCATTAAATTCTTTTAAGATTTTGATGTATTCCCTAGTTTAGTCAGTAAAGCAAAGCTACAGGCAATATTTTACACATTAGCCTAAGTGCAAGCCAATTAAAAAAATTCGAGGTATTTCTTTAAAAGTAGCTTTTTAAAATTTTAATCAATGAAAAATTTGAAAAGATAAAAGCAATAAAATGAAACAATGCACAACACAAGCAGGGCAAGCCAAATGTTTTTAAATGACTCTCTGTCTTCAAATGCTCCAGATTAAAATGAAACTGAAATTATAGATTAGCATCTATTTGTTGAAGGAATAGCTCTTCTAGCGATAGAGATATATTCAGAAAAATAAAAAAACCTTCATAAAGTAAGATAAATAAGCAGTTAATAATTCAAAATATTTAAACAAATTTCAATTATATAAAAAGATTATTATGATCTTAGAAAGAATGAATAGTTCTCAAGGTCCTATCAAAATTTAAAAATAACTTGGTCATACAAGGTAAAAAAAATTTCTTTAATTTTCATTAACAAAAAGCTAATTTCAATGTTTTTTAAATAAATATGAAATGTTTTTTTGTTATTTAATATAAACATTCAAGACAAATAAATATTTATTATAATAATTAAAATTTTATTTGAAATTAGAAGCAAAACAAATCATTAGAATTATTTTTAGTTTTCAATCAAATTAAAATATTTGTTCATTTAAGTGAATTTTTAATTTTAAATAACAAAAATAGAATAATTTTTTGTGAAATTAAAAAAATTAAAATTTTAATTTTGACAATTAAAACTTTATTTGTTATTAAAAGCAAAATAATTTTTAGTATTCAATCAATAAAAATATTTTTAAAATTTGTCTATCCTATCCAAGTTAATTTTTTAATTTTAGATAAAAAAATAAAAAAAGGAAACCATAAAATCTAAATTTAACATTTATTAAATAAATTTAAAATAGGAGATTTTAAATTTCTAAATTTATCTCAAAAAGAAATTAATTTAATTCAAAAATTAATTATGTTTAAATGAATTTAGTTAAATCTATTTAAATTAATTTATATGTTTTGCCTCTAATCAGCAAATAAATAAATTTAATTTATTTTAATTAGTGAAAATATGTTTATTTATAAAAAAATTTTATTTTAAGAAACTCTTTTTTTAGATTAAATTTTTAGTTTAAAAAAAATAATTTTAATTAAATTAACTAAATTTATTGAATAGGAGCCCAGATGGACTTCATTGGGATATGCTTCATAATATTAGAAAGAAATACACTGAATTCTATAAAGTATCAAATTATGCTACAATCTCTAATTAGCAAAACTCATACTATTAGCTAGATTAAAATTAATCTGTATAAAAGAGCTTCATCTAAAACTCTCCTTCTACAGGAAGGTTTGACGAAGTACTCAAAAAGAGCTTGAATTCTATCAAGATGCAAAACTCAATTAATTTAAATTTAAGTTAGCAGTATTTGCTTTAGTAAAAGGATATCAATGAAAGATCGCAAATTTATTAGCTTAATTAAAACTCTAACAACTAGAGCTAGGCTCCTACTTAAAACTTTTCAAGCAACAACAATTCTGAAAGTTAAAGAATGAACAACAAAGATACAGTAATAAATGATAATAATATTGTCCAACAAAATAATGAGGAGTATTCCACTAATGAACCTCAACTAAGTCCATTGAATGTTTAAAATAAAAATAAATTTGACAATACTTCGACTGCGAAAAAAGCCAAAAACAACACTTTATAAATGAGTATTCAATAGTAATATAACTAATAGTAAATATAAAAAACATACGAATCACCCAACTTCTTGACCTAACAAAATCACAATTGAAATTATTAATCCAAAAAAACTAGAAATTGACTAATAATGAAGTTAGATAGTTAGTTAGTTAGTTAGTTAGTTAGTTAGTTAATTGGTTGTAAATTAAAAAAATAGGATTATAATGACACAATTAAAATCAATTATCTTACATTATTATTGATTTGAGAATAATCATAGTTATTAACCCAAAAAACACCAAAAATTATTGATCCTATTATATTGTAAATCTCTTTGTATTTTTAAACGTATATAACAACTTATTTATTATCCTTTTTAAGTTTACATTTAATTGCTCTTATTTTTTAATACGCTATTCTAAAATTATTAATTGGTTAAGTAAATAATGGATGAATCAATCAATCAATTAATTAAATTCATGTGTATCAAATAATTCAATTAAACACCTGAAATGGAAAATAATGTTCTTATCATAGAGAAATTGGTTTTATTTATTTATTTCTTATATTTTATGAGCAAATAAACTAAAATATAAATAAATGTCTATATAGATGGATAGATAGATAAATGATATTACTTTAATATATATATTTTTATTTAATTATGGATGGATGGATTGATGTTTGTTTTTATAATAAATAAAAGTTAAATTTAAATAAATAGTCTTGATAATGAGCTAAATATGAATTTTTTAGCTTTATCAAAAAATTTGTTGAATGCCTAGGGAAATAAATAATGACTGTAAAATTTTTTCTCCTTCTTTTGATATTTGGAATAGAATGAGAGTTAATATTTTATAATGTTAATCAATATTTAGAAATAAATGATTTGTTTTGTATTTATTATTAATATTTTTGTCTTATTCATCCACTATACTCTCTCCATACAATATTCAACTCTGAGTCAGTTTTTACCTCACATTCGCTAAGAGTTTACTTTTAGGTTAGGCGTTTCCCGTTAAATATTAACTAAAAAAATCTGAAATTCAAGCCTTCCATTTCATAGATTTTTTTTTGAACTTCTTCAATGGTGCTGTTCTTATTCATAACCAGTCGAATTTTTCTTCCTTCCATGACTATCCTTACAAAGAATTTAATCTACTCCATATTCAAGTTGAAAATCTAATATTACAAGAAAATAATGAGTTGCTTTGTAAGCAAAGTAAGTAATGTAAAAAGAACGAAAAGTATAAACATAATTTGACTCATAGAAAGCTAATCGCATAACTATAAATTTAATCATGATGAATAAATATACCTTTTTAGTAAATATCCTTACAAAATCTGCTATATTCTGTATATTTTTAAATAGATATTTCTAAGAAATTAGAATTTCAGATATGGTAAAGATTTTTGTTTGCACTTTGTTAATCTAATTTAATTATATTTCTATGATTGATCCTTGACTTATCTTTTTAACTAAATCAGGTTTAATATATAATAGACCATCGATAGTCAGATTTTATCAATTCTGATGTCTTTTTGTAATATTAATTCTGTTAGACTCTGATCAATCTATCATTTTTTTCGTGTAAAAAATAATTAGAATTTTTATCGAAATATGCAAATTAATTTTTAATTAAATTTAGAAAATTATTTTATTGAATAAAAGCTTATTGATAATTAAGTAAAATGAAATAAATTATTATGAATTAATTTTCATGCTTTATCAAAAAATTATTTAATAATATTTACGAAATTAAAAATACAATTTATTTGTTAATTTAAGAAGAAAAATTGATGATATAAAGATTTAAATATTAATAAATCAATAACTGATTCAAGCTTTATCCTGTTATCAAAATTGATTTTTTTTTAAAAAGAAAACAAAAAAGTAAAATTAATTAATTTTCAAGGATTTAATTAAATTCTTCAAAATTATATTGATAAAATTTATATGACATATTTATTCTTTTTTAACCAATTAACTTCATAATCTAATTTAATTAATTAAATCTTTTTGATTTATTAAATTGAAGCAATTCTTATTGTTAATAAAATAAATTTATTATTTATTATTATCTTCATAAATCATTTATTAAAAAGAGGTAAAAATGCAAAGTTTGTTTTAGGTTTAATAAGACCCTTAGAAGAATATTTCAAAATGAAATCAGTTATTAAATAAAAAAATAAATAAGGATTTTATTTATTTTAAATAATTTACTAAACACAATTAATTCATATTTAACTTGCAAAATTTAAAATTTAAATGAAATATCTGAAGAAAAATCAACTTAAACAATTGAAAAAACAAAATTCCTTTTATTTTAGTGAAATATTTAAAGACGGATATTTGTTTTAAATAAAAAAATAAATGCAAATCTTGACAAAAAAGTTATTGATTTTTAAATGAGCTGAATAAATTACAAATCCAAAATTTTAAGAGAAAATTTTATATTTTAATAACATAAAAATTGCAAAAAATTTAAAGTACATCAATGTAATTTATTCAAAATTTATAAATTCTTTATAGCCCTTTTTGAATTATTTTTCTATGTTTGTTTGTATGGTAATTTTATTAATTAAGGTAGAATTTTTCTTACTTTTCTAAGAAAGGACTAATCAATTCTAAATTGCTATAAACTAAGAAAAGGTGGAGTTTTTTATTACAAAAACTCTTAAAAAATTTGTATAAACAAAATTAGATTCATTAATATCATAAATTTTGAAGTTTAATATTGAAGAAGTTTTGAAAAATTGAAGCAATTATATTAAATCAATTCATATTAGTATGTATGTATGTATGTATGTATGTATGTATGTATGTATGTATGTATGTATGTATGTATGTATGTATGTATGTATGTATGTAAGCATGTATTATTTATTTCATCAAAATTTCAAATTAAATAGTGAAAGCTTGTGAAAAATATTCTATTTAATCATGAATGTATTATTTTGAGAGTTTTTGTAAACTTTTTTAGGAAAATAGGATTTACATTTAATTTTAAAATTGTAAAAAAGCATTTAAATTTAAAGATGATTGTAAGCACGGATTAAAATAAATAGATTGATTAAAATACGATACTTCGATAAATTTGATGGCTTAGAGAGGTATTAAATCGCTTTAATTACATAAAATAGTTTTTACATAGGAAAATTAAAAAAAATAGAAGAAAAAATAATTAAAAGTAAAAGCAAATAACATATTTACAAATTTTAAGAAGTAAAGCTGTTCTGATCAATGAACTTTCATCTAAAAATATCAGATTTTATAAGTCTTTATCAATCTATAATTTTCATTAATAATAAAATTTTATAATAATAATATAGTCTATGATTTTTACTCTCCTTTCTCTTTTATGTCCAATTTTTAAAATATCTAAAAATTATTAAACAATTTAGAGATGTTTCAGCTGGTTTTGTTATAAAATAAGACAAATAAAATAAATATACTCTTTGCTAAATTATTTGAATTTTTTAGCATTTTTATAAATTTATACTTTAATAATTATTCATCTATATTTCATTCTTCTATTAACGTTTAATAATGAATAATTTACTACAAATTATAGATAATTTTATTAAAAAAATTGTAAATGATGTATTGCGAAATTAAATTCAAATAGTAGGCACGAACTAAAACGATGAAATAATATTTTGAAAATTATAAAAGAATTTTTTTTTTACAGATTTTAAGCAATTGTTTACTTCAAAATTCAAGCAAGCACATTTTTTTAATGAGCTGATTATTTTTAAATTTTGTAATCTTTTAACAATATTTTTAAATTATGATTAGCATTTGTAAGATTCGCAGGTAAACAAACATACAAACTAATTAAAAATACAAAAATGTGGTTTTCTAATTGTATGATGGATGTATCCAATTAATATTTTAGAAAGAAAGAAAAATAATTTGAATAACAATTTTTATTTATTAGTTAGCTTTTACTGTCCTTAATTTAATATTTTTTCTTTTCTCTCCCTTTAGTAGTCAAATAATTTTTAATTGAAAAAAGCTATTCAGTCAACCAGTCAGATATCAATCGGTCTATCTGTTTGTCTGTCTGTCTGTCTGATTGATTGTCTGTTTATTTTATATTTTAATTTAGTACCAAATCTCATAGCAAGATATATTGAAAATTAGTCCATTATCAGAAAGAAGTTTTCAATTTAAATCTGATAGGAGTTTATTTAAATTTTTCCAAAGAACTTAAAGTTTAATTAACGTTTACTAATAAGTATATGCATGCAATTAAAATGTTTTTGTAAGATTCTTTTGGTTTGTAGTTTTGCTAATTTATGTTAAAATTTAGCAATTTTTTTTCACTTAGCAGCATTATGTTTGCTATACCAGTCTAATTATAAAAATTAGATTAAATTAAGAGAAAGAGAAAAATTGATAGTTTCGCCTCTTAATTTCTATTTCATTATTATTTTATCCCTTTTTTGGCGTACTGGATCTGAATGTAAAAATTGTTTTAACTAATGAGACTCATTTTATTTACAGTTCCTCTTCATATTAAAATATAAAAAGTATTTACCTAATTTACCAAAAGTATTTAGTAAAACAAATAAATATTTGTGGATAAATAAATAAAAAGTATTTAATACTTATGTAAAATGAAAGAAGCAAGGAATATAAATATATAAATCTACCTTAATTGAAATTTGTATTGGAATTAGGTTACAAATTTCATTTGGGAAATTTAATATTTGAAATGATGTTAAGAGAGAGTGAATGAATGCTTGAGAAGGAAATCAAATTAGTACTAAATTAATAAATAAATAATTCGTAATAAATTCTACATACAATCATAAAAGGATAGATTTTTTTTGATAAATTAATTGTTCCCTTGCTAATTTTGAAAGCCAGAAGTATTACCAAAAGATTTATACTAAGTGTTTGTGGATGTTTCGAAGCATTGCATTATTAAATACATTTACTTATGATAAATTATTGTTAGAAGTATTTTATATAAACTTTTTATGAAAAGGAAATTTCCTTAATAAAAACTTAGCAATGATCAAAGAAATTGCTAGGTTGGTGATTTTTTTTTTGAATTTTGTTGATTATAATTCGGGAAAAAGTAGTAATTTAGAGAGCTTTTTATGAAATATTATGTTCATTCATTTATACTATTTAGCATGATTAACTTAGTGCTTAATTATTTTTTTTTATTACTGTCTATTTCACCTAATATTTTATTAAAAAGGACGATACTTTTTCTATGTTTATGCTATTCACAAGCAAGCAAGCAATCAATCAAGCAAATAAACACATGAATCAATTTAGTCGGGTTAGAGTAATTTAATTATAATTGAATGAATTTTTATTATTTCTAGGGATATAAGCTTAATCTATAACCAAGCAAGCTTGCTAAGTGATATATATTTTAGCATTTTGAAACAAATGATTTTTTTAGTAAAAGTATATTTTCCTTTCATTTATTTTGGTAAATAATCCGATCTAAAAATTACAAAATTACATTTTACAAATAATTAAAGCTATTCCTAGCAATAAAGAGTCTTATAAATTATATTTAATCTTATAAGCATCACTAACTAATTCGAAACAAAGAGCAATACTTTTTATTAATTCCTTTATCTGTTATAAAGCAGATAGATTATTTATTATTTATAGATTATTAATAAAAAAAATGTAGATGAGTTAAAACATATTTTCTGTTACCTGCGTTTGTTTTTATTTAGGGAAATTTGAGTTTTAAATTCGATATATCAGATTTTAATTGTTTTTAGACTGCGTTAAAGTTACATAAAAAATCAGGTAGATATAATATTTTGTTAATTTAGATTTTATGGTGAAGTTGAATTCCAATAGAAAAAAAGAATGTTATTGATCTAAGCAAAAGCTTCGATAAAGAAAGCAACAGAGCATTTTAGGAGAATTTTCTATTCTAAAAGAATAACAGATTAAATGAAATTGAAATAAGATTGACTTAAATTAATTTTTTATACTTATTCAAAAGTTAAATACTATCGACAAAAGATCAATCAAAATATTCATCTATTTCCTTACATCTGGTTTTTTTAAATGCTTTGAAAATGATCAATAATATCGTTTTGCATAGATTATTGAATGATTTGTAAGTAGTAACAGATGTTGCCACATTATTAGATTAATTTCATTCAAATTTTAATCTTTATTTATAAAGATATTTGATTTTGAATTCTATCTTATAACTCAAGCAAATATTGCAGATTGATAGATAGATAGATAGTTAGATACATACATACAGATAGATAGATAGATATCAATCGTAATTTTATAATTTACTTTCCTGTAATGTAATAAATAGAAAAATTAAATTAACAAATTTTTTTTATATTAAATTTTACATGCCCAAAGAAAATCAAAAGAAGTTTAATAAATTGTAACTAAGAATTTATTTATTTATTTATTTATTTATTAATTTCCCTTCCAACTTATTAATTAAATTCATTCACCTTTTTAAATGTTTTTGCTCTCCCAAAAAAAATTATAATTTATTAATTCAAAAAAATTAAAAATAAAAACAATTACAGTAAATTAGAGAAATCAAAATCTAATAATATCCATAAATCATCAATTCTTAAAACCAATATATTTATTTATTTAATTGTTAACTCTCATAATAATCAACGCTCCTTGCTTTTATATAACAATCAAGCAAATACATTTTTAAAATGGGATGCTATCAAGCAAAGCAGATAAAAAGACATATTGAAAGAGAGAGCAGCAACATTAGTGATAAAGCTTTCAGGATAGAGGAAAAGCTAAAAAATGAAATCCTCCTTCTGAGAAGCTGCCTCTTCGAAGTTCTTGACATGAAAGAATACTAAAAGAGTTTAATTTCTATATAACAAGACATTTGTTTAATCAAAATGAAAAAACGTCATGAAGAAAACATTGAAGACATTATCAGATGCTATGAGTAAAACGTACTCTAAAGAGCTAAATAAATTGCAGCCATTATCAAACAATAAAAGGAAATTAACAGTGAAACTAGCCTTGTAATTGAGTAAAAGGGTGAAAGTCCCAATGAAAATACTAATTAAAATAGAGGACATATTCTTAAAAATATAAAATCACTCAATACAAATTGCAACTCCCTAAACGAAAGTAAAATTTTCCACAACGTGCAACACTATGACGTTTTCTAAGTATTGCGCTACTGCGAATCTCTAAATTTTGAAGAAAATTAAAATTACTCTTTAAACGTCGAGCCAATTTAAATTGACTGTGGAGACGAGCAAGAAGAAGTTGTAGAATTCAAGCTAAACTGATTGATTGATTAATTGATTTATTAACTGGCTGATAAATTATTAATATATCATTTTGATATTATTACACACTAATAATTAAAACATTTGATTTAACTGATCTTATAGCAATTAATCTAAACTAAAGCGTGCAAACAATAGAATATTTTTTAATTTAAATTTCTGCTTTAAAAAGCAAAGACTCATTCTCACAAATATAAGATAAATAAATAAACAAACAAACAAACAAGTATTCATCAACCTGTTTATAGCATATTTTCTAGATAATTAATTAAAAAGGATTGGAGTGAAAATTATTTAATTATTCACTCACTCACTCTTTGATTCATTCTTATAAACACAATATCTAATTTCAATCAAAAATACCCTCATTATAATAACATAATTAATTAATCATATAAACCAACAAAAAATTCATAAAATGTAAACACATTTCAAAGCTTGTAAACTGAAACTAAAAATCTATAATAAACAATCAGTATATAAAATACTCTCTTTTTAAAAGTAATTATAACTCATTAATTGTAATTATTGTTAATACTTACTTAGCTTATAAAATAAATATATATCTATCTATCTTAACAAAATCTATTTTTATTTATTGCATGCACTTCTTTAAAAATTTTAAATTTACTATAATCAATTACTTTAACACACATAGCTCATGTAAAATAGATAGTGTACAATCTATCTTTTTTAATAATTTAGCTTTTGGCTTTTTAATTTTATTTATTTATTTACAAAATTATGAAATAGACTGCTGTGTCTGTCATTTTTATCTCTATTAGATAAATATTATGTAAATAAATAAAATTGATAATTAATCTTTTGTACCAATCAAAATACTGCTTTCTATCTCAAGTAATTAACTTTTTTCCTGTTTTAATAAATGTTATTGAAAACATGTTCATTCGAATAAGCGAAAAAAAAAAAAAATTCTAACAAAAGTATCTGTCAATTTACCTTAGTATTTAAGGAGATTTTAATTTAAATATTCTTTATATTAAAAATGAGAAATAAATAAGTATGCATTTTTTTGTATTTTATGCAATTATAAAATGTAATAAATGATTTCTGACATGTAAGCTTTATAATAAAAAAGATTTATTTATTTCTTTTTAACTTTAAATTTGAAGTAGCTTCAATTGTATAAATACCATGTATTAAATATATGATTACATCCCATTCTATCACCTTAAATTCAAAAAAGTTCTCTATTTGATTTAGATGAAATTCACAAAATATAATTCTAAATACAAATAATATCACTCATTTTTTTCTTTTTTATATAAAAAAACTGACGTGAAATTGAATTCTACTCAAAATTTTGTAAATAGTCATTGCTAAAAAATAATTTATTTAGAAATACTAGATTTCCGACTATGAAATTATAAATTAGATTACTAATGACATAACAAACATTAATTTAATTTTTCTTCTAGCATTTTATATTTATCAATGTTTAACTTACTTTTACTGTGGCTTCTATTATTTTTATTCTGATTGCTTTCTAATCACTAAAGATTTTTGATTGAAATAATGATTGCTTACAATAAAATAAGATTCTTATTACACTAATAAAATAAAGCTGGTTTTAATCACTGTTAATTCATACTTTTTTTGTAAATTAGATCAGTTTTTAATAAGCCAATTCAATTTTTTAAAAAGAAGAAGAAATGTTGTAGAAAAGAGCATTGTATTATTCGTTTTTTTAAATTTGCTTTCTGTTCATAAAAAATCCCCAGATAATAAATTTGAAATTGATAAATTATCTTCAAAATATTAATTTTTTTGTTATACTTTCTGTTCAAAGTTCAAAATAAACACTAAAAATAAATATTTCTAGTACAAGCATTTCAAATAAAATATTTAATTCAAATACCATTTCATATGAATTACCTTCATACTTTATTTAATTTTAAATATTTTTTATAAAACTTTTTGTTTCCTTTGAAATCTTCTAAGTATCTATACTATTTCTTTATTTATTTAAAAGAAAGATCAAAAAATTGAAGAAGTAAATACCAATACATTCTCTTACTAATTTTAGAAAAGAGTCATCATAAGTTTAGGTCTATAAATTTTCTATTAAATTTGATCCATGTATAAATTTTAGATAAATCCAATGGTCCGTCCTATGATACCAACCATTTTGCTTAGATTACACTTAGAAAACTAAGAAGCCTTAAAAATAACAATTCTCTCAAAATGTGTAAAAAAAGTGAAGTTAATTTTTGCAAGTTTTTTTAAGAAATACAATAGCACAAATTTTATAATACCAAATCAAAGCCATATCTAACTAAAAAGATTCTGGTCTCTAACAAAGTTATAAAATAAATTAGTGTAATCTTTAAATTTATAGTACCAAAACATCCTAAAAAACTTTAAAATTTTATTTAGTTTTATTCATTCATTTTATTTGTTTGTTTTTAAAATATGTCAGAATATCAGATTTGTTATTTGCTTTTTGCCATTTTTATTACAATTTTAAAATAAACATGATAAACAATAAAAAGCCTTACACTTTTAAAAATTATAAGATTTATATTTTTAGTTAAATATCGATTGAATGACTGACTGACTGATGTATCCAGTATTTCAGTATGATTTTTTTTAAATCTAAAAATTAACAATTTAATTATTGCTTCGACATAAATTAAGTCATAAATCAAGAATTAGCATTAAGATCAATTTCAATACGTAATTTAATATATCATTCAATCTTTCTTTCGTTACACCTAATATTCTTAGCATTATTTATATTAAGTAAATAGGATTCTTCTAGAAGTATTGGGTATTTGCTAATTAATATTTTCTATTAATTTCATAGAAAACATTAAATAGAAATTATTGAATCAACTTTTTATCAATAAATTTCAAAAAATCAATTACTGATTACTTTTAAAAGAATTTTTAAATCTTTGTTGTTCTTTGTATTTTTAAATTTACTCAAATATTTTAAAATGCACTTAAATATCTATGAATAAACTATATTTTTAACTATTAATTTATATTCTGCTATCTTTTTTTATTTATCCTTAAAAACAAATCCATCCCATCAAAAAGTTAAAAATATTTAAAAAAAACAAAAGCTTTTTTTACTGCTTTAATCTGTTTTTATTTTTTTATAAAGCATTATCAAAAAATATTTTATCAAATCAAATAAATTTTATCACAACAAATTAAAAAAGCAGTAATAAAATAATCTTTAAATAATTATTAATAAATTAAAAACCTATTCAATTTTTTTATGTGAAGAAATTAAAGAAAATTATTTACTTACATACTTAATTTTTTAAATATTTTAATAATAAATTTAAACATTTATTTTGTTCTGGTTTTAATTTTTGCAATCATCTTATCAAATATATGAATGAAACTTAATTATTTTCTTTCATGCTTTAGTTCATAAAAAAAACTAGAAAAATAAAAGTATAAATTTATTTATTCCATTTATACTTATTAAACTTACTCGAAGAAATAATGTAATTTCTATCGAAATATTTTTCTCTTATTATCCCTCTAGTTAGAAGTCTATAAAATATAACTACTTTCAAAAATTATCAAAAATTTTATTTGGTTGTTAACAATCTCTAAAAATACCTACTAAATAAATATAATTCTCGAAAAGATGTATCAAAAAAGTAGTTGAATAAAAAAAATAGTAATCAGTTCTTTAAAATTAGAGAAGATACTTTTACTTTTTTCAATATTTTTTCACAATTAACACAAATTCTTTACTTAAAATAAAATTAAAAATTTTATAGAGTAAAGTTGAATTATATCATGTAATTATTAGCTAATAATAGTATAAATTATACTGTATTATACTATAAACCTAGTGAGAGCTGTTTTACCCAAATATATTTATTTTATTTTTTAAACAATATATAAGGTTTTCCTTCTTTATCATTCATTCATTCATTCATTCAATATCCTAAATTTCTTTTACTGATAATGATTAAATTGTGTGTTTACATATTTTACATAAACTATTATTTTTGAAGTTAAAATCAATAATTTACAAATGATCAATTAATAATTGCATATTATTTTAAGTAAGGAATAAATTATTACCATTTCCATAATTTTAAGAAGACAATTAAATAAATTAATAAATTAATCTACATCAATCAGTATTTATGTGAATGAAAATTCAAAGAAGATTGATTGAACGATTTATCTAAATTTTCAGAAAAATTTAAATTACATAATTAATCTAACTAGCTAGCATTTATAGAGCAAGTACTATTTAAAAAGTAAATTACATTCTCAAATAAATTAATTTTAAATATGCTAGTTACTAAACAATTTTTTATGTGTTGGATTTAGCTTTTAAACAAGTTTTTGAAGAGCTTTTGTAATTGATCTTACATTTACTCTAAAAATCTAAATGTAAAAAAATAAATTTTTACCGTACTATAAATAAATTTTAGATCGTACTGCAAATAACAATTATTATTTTTATTAAAAACTTGATATAATCATGAAAAAATTAAGCAAATATAAGCTTTTAAGCCTTTAAAGATAATTCATGAAGTAAATTTATAAGCATTAGGATATTTGATCTTTCTTATTAAGTCCTAATTAAAAAATCATAATAAAATTATACAATTTATAAGTTTAGAGCTAAAATTATTTGAAATTTAAATACTTTCAAATAAATTTTTTTTTTTCATTCTTCTATTAGAAAATTAATTTTATAAAAATAATATATTACTCTTTTAAATATCAATATATCTTAACTTTTACATTATATATATATATTTTTTTAATGATATGTTTCAGAATATTTAAGTGAATTAATTTTCAAGGTAACTAATTATTATAAATGAAAAAATTATTAAAAAGCAATCAATAATGTAGAATAATTTACTATTAAACTAATTTTTAATTTCATTATAATTAGATTATTGTTAATATACTTATATAGTAGAATATAAATTTAAAATATATAAATATTTATTTGAAACAAAAATAAAGTTTATAAAAAACTTAAAAATTAAAAATGAAATGTACTCAATACATTTAAAAATATCATATCATAAGAAATAATTAATTAAAGATAATAAGCTTTATTTATTAAATTTGTTTGTTTGTTTAGCATGCATAAAGAAAATTTATTTAAGATTTTTATTTGATTTGATTGCTCATTTTAAACAAATACAAAATCTTATTGCTCTTAAAATATTAATTTAAATTAAAAAACAAATATTCTGTTTTTCAATTCTTAAAGTTATTCAAAAAAATTAAACATACTAAACATCTAATTAAAATTTTAAAATAAAACAAACACTCAAGATTTAAAAATAAAATTAATAAGAAATAATTAACATTGCTGGTTAAAAATATTGTATCACATATTATTTTTAAATATAATAATAGGAAGGACTAACTAATCAAAAATAATAAATAATATTTTAATTAATTATTTTAGCAAAATTAATTTAAAAATTTTGACTATTAAATAGCAATTTTTTTTTAGCATTTTTAACAAATAAAATCAGCTCTCAAGGTTTATAAAATAAAATAAAATAAACAACAATTTTAAAATTTCAAATTTAAATTAAAGAATTTGATGGATAAATAAGATAATGAGTTCTTATTTATTAGTCTAATGCTTAAAAACTTATTAAAAAAATGAAAAATACTAATTAAATAATAAAATATTGCAAAATATCAATTTATTTTTATAATATTTAAATTAAAATTTTTTTTCTTTAAAAAAGAAAAGAATAGGAAAGACTAACTAATTAAAATAAAAATATTATTTTTTACTGATTATTTTAAACAGATAAAATAAATATTTAATAAAACTGCTGAAAAACAAATTCTTTAACTTAAAAAAAAAAGAAAATTAACTTTAAATATTTGTTAAATAAAATATTAACATTTTATGAAATTATAAATTTAAATTAAAGAAGTTGATGGATGAACAACATAGTAATTTTTTATTAGCTTTATGTTTAAATATTTGTTAAAAAAATATAATAATATTAATTAAATCAAATATTGTGTATTCATTCAACAATAAAATATTGCAAAATTTCAATTATTTTAAATGTAAGAAATTAATTAAATTTTGTATAAATAGGAATGTTTTAATATTGAAAAACTTAATTATATTTTACAAATGTTATTTATGTTTTAACTATGAAGATTATTAATAAATATAAAGGAATAAATAAATTTAAATGTTTCTACTTTATTCAAGATTCAATCTTAAATAAATAAAATTATTCTTTGTCTAAATATTATGCCAAAAATTTTATATAAATTTTTAGGGAATATAGTATTTTAAATAAATTTAAAGTATACAGATAGACAGACAACTATTTGGCATTATCTCAAAAAAATCTGGCTAATTTATAATATTTTTTTGGTAAAAGTAAAAAATTTAAAGTACTAAAAATAAAATTAACATTCATCCATAATAATAATTTTTAAATTAAATAAAATTGCTATTTTTAACAATTAATTTCTTAATATAATAACAATTTGTCCTAAAAAAGTATCAAAAATTTATTATCAAAACTATATTATTAGAAATAAAATTTGTTTAGAACTGCACTATTATAAGGATAAAATGAAATTTTTAAATTGGCATAAATGTCTACAAATATTAATTACTAAAAACAAAAATAATTCCATGATAAAATAAAATTGAAGTAATTAATTTTTAGATTCAATTTTTCGATCTTGAAAGATTATTATTTATTTTTTTTCTTTCTTTAAGTATTTTCTTTTTAATCAAATTATATGGCAATTAATGTATTTTTTAAACAATTTTCAGAACAAATATATTTCAAAAAGTAATATTTCAAGGTAATAATATTTAAAAATGATCAAAATAATAATTAATTAATTTTTTTAAAATAAATTAAATTGACTTAACCCATTATTCTTCTGAATGATTATTGAATAAATATTTCAAAATAGATAGAATTTCAATTTCAATTTATAAATATTATCTTACTCATAAAAATTTATATTAGATTTAAATATAAATTGAGTATTTTTAAAGGTATTTCATCTATTAAATGTTAGACTATTTTGTCATTTTATGTTGATCTTATTTTGATACATCTTGTTTATATTTTTATTAACAAACTTGATAAAAAAGTAAAATAATTGAGTGAATTCATCTGAAATTTATTAAACTAAAATCTGATTTCAAATTAGTAACATAAAAAACTATCTAAAAAAATAAAATGTCATTTCTTTATGTGAAATTTTGTTATGATTGTATGAATTATAAAATAGAGTAAACAGATATAAATTATAATCTTAGTAATATTTTATCAAGATATTAATTCAAAATCTCTTAATTTGATCCATAATAGTGCTGACTTCATCTTTGTTTCCATATTAAAAGTTGAAGTTAACAGGCTTGTATGTGAAGATGCTCTAGGTCTTGAATGACTTTTAAGGAGCAATTGAGTTAACTGACATTAAAAAGCTACAATCACCTTCAGTGTCATAACCATGACAAGTGTTACAATTGTTTTAGAAAGTGGTTTTACCAGGTTAGTAGGTATCTTAAACGATTTCAATATTTTAGTTCATTTTTAATAGTTTTTGTGATGATTGTTTGTTTATTTGTTTATACTTCGTTTTATTTTATTTTAGATTAATTATTATATGATATTGCATATACTATTTGATAACTTTTTAAACAAAAAAAACATTTCGATCTCAAGTAAATTTTTTGCAAATTTTCCATATGTAACTTCAAATTTGAGCCGTCAATATAATAATTAGAAAAGAATTTGCTTCTCTAAAAAATATAAAAGAATTTCATTTGTAATATGCGTCTCTTGCTGTATTTTGGTTTTATAACAAACGCTTATTTTATAAAATAAATTTATCACTTTATTTCATAATAAAATGGTAAAATGATTTCTTTTATGCGTTATTTTATTTTTTTAAATTATTTATTCTAATTTTTGAACCAAATAAAAATACTTTGGACATAAATGTTAATAAAAGATTTAATTTTTTAAATAATTTAATCTTCTTTTCAATATTTTATGAGATTGACTCAATTTCAGTCATAAAATATTAATTTATTGCGAATTTTCAATAAAATTTTCTTTCGAATAAATTAAGAATATGTTAGACCTAATTTTTTGTCAAATCTCATTTGCAAATAAGTAAACTAAAAATGATTTTAGGTTAAAATAAAAAATTATAAAATCGAAAGTAAATTAAAAGCATTTTTATATAAGATATTATCATTTCTTGAATATTTATATTTGATTGATTATAATTATCTGTTTATTCCTATCAAAAATTAATATATCAATTAAAAAGATGAAAAATGATTTTATTATTCTTATGAAAAGAAAGTATAATAAAACACATAAACATTATTAGAATATTTTAAAAAAACTTGAATTTAATCCAAAAAAAACTAATTCATACAAATAAAGTTAGCTTATAAATTAAAATTTAATGTATTTTCCATTAATTTATTAGCAAATAAAAATAAAAAATGTTTAAATTATTTATTTGTATTAAATTTTTTTGACATAAAAAATTAATGAAAAAAATGTTTAACTCAATATTATAAATCTTTGTCAACAAATTTTTATATGTTTCAAAACATTTTTATATTACTATTTATTAGAAAATCATTGATTACCCTTCTAAATATATATTTCCTGCCCATGAAATAATTAATTATTCAACAATATTTTTTATAAATTATCATTTTTTGAATAAAATGATGACTGTTTTATTTAAATACTTTAATGTATTAAAAAAAAATAAATCTATGAAAATGAAAGAAGCAATCTTTTATTTTATTTTATTTATTTTAAAAATATCAATTATTTAATATTACAGTTAGAAACTCAATTTAAAATAGATTAGAATTATAAAAATAAGAAATTAATTTAATTCTTGAATTTAAAGAAAAAAACATATTTAAAAATACAATACAACGTTTTTTGTGAGACAAGTTAGTTTTATTTATTTATTAAATTTAATAAATAATGAATAGTAAAATAAAAGCAGAATTGATTTTCAATATTCAAATTACTATTAAGTTGAGCAGTGAGCGCCTCCTCCACCATTTATAATATAATCAATATCAATCATTTCAATAGTTCTATTTTAGAATTATTACTACAAAATTTCTTTCACTTTATTATCTGTCTCATCATCACCAAATTTAGCCAATACTACTGCTTCATTCATCACCAAATAGTTACAATAGCTTAAAGCACTTTCTTTTATTTCAGATAGCTATTTTCTAATTTTATTATGGTCTGGAGCAGGTAAAATAACTGGAATTAACTTTCTTCCTTTAGCATCAGTAGAATTTTGTATTATTTACAAATTTTCATTTGTAGAAGGGTCTTTTGGGTCTAAATGAACAAATACGTGAGCAGGATTTGATTGGCCAACAAATCTAGCATATAAATCAATATGTCCATCAGTAATATCCATACCTCTAACTCCAGGAACCCATATTATTTTCTCTATACCCAAAATTCTATAAAGTTCTTACTCAACTTCACTTTTTGTCCAATTAGGATTTCTATTTTCATTTAGAATACAGCTTTCTGCTAAAATAGCTGTACCTTCTCCATCTACTTCAATTGCTCCTCCTTCAAGAACTAATTTTGTTGAAATTAAATTTGCTTTCTCATGTTGAATCATAAACTTTGCAATAAATCTGTCATCATTAGGCTCTAATTTATTTCCCCAAGCATTAAAGTTAAAATCAACAGCATATACTTGAGATTGATTTTCCAAACTCTTTACAAAAATGGCCCCAGTGTCTCTAAGCCATAAATCGAAGATAGGATTTAAAATGTATGTAATATTAAATTTTGACTAAAAATCAGTCTAATCAACAAATCTTTCAGCAATCTTCTAGGTTTCCTTGTCTGGAACTATAAGATTCACAGGTTCATATTTAGAAATAGTCTTAGCCAAAAGTGCTAAATTTTATTAAAGATTTAACAAATGCGGAGTGAATTCTGACGATTTAGGAAAGCCCATCCAAGTTAATTTATGTAAAGAACCTTCGTAAGGCATTTAATAGAGTTTTTTTCCAATCATTTTTTAATTTGTTTAGTTTATTGTTAACTTTTTATTAATTCAATTAATTATTTTTATTTAAGTAATAACTTATATTTAATTTTTATTCTGCTTTTTATATTAACTTTAAATAATTAATTTACAAACATAAGTAGAACAAAATATTGGATTTAATCAATATTCTTTTAAGTTATTCTTAAATAAAAAGCAAAAAATAAGCAAAATTAAAGAAGATTCTATTTAATTATCCTCACATCTGTCTACTGTTAATATTATTTATTCACAAAATGTTAAGATAACAATATGTAAATTAAAAATAATAAAAAAAGTTAATATTTTTACCTGTTATTAAATTAGAGTAGTATTTTTTAACTTATAGTAGTAAAAATAACAATTTTTCTTATCATTTATAATTGTATTTATTTTTGTAATGAACCTATTTATAGATTCAAAAAATCATAATTTTAGTTTTTTATCTTCTATTTCAATAAAATAATCTAATTGTAGACTCAACAATCTATTTTATTTCATTACAAAAAGATAGAAAATTCAATTTTTTTATTCTAAAATTTACTATTCTGAAAATATTTTTCCAAAATTAGGCTTATTAAATAAATCAATCAATTGAACAAAAAATACTAAAATAATTCTATTTATTCAAAAGATGCAATTTAAAAAAGCATTTTATAACCTTTTATTGAATAATAAAATACAACTTCAACATACTTTTACAAATTAATTAAAATTTATAATAAATAATTATTATCAAACATTATATTATTTTATTCAAGTTTTAAGAATTTAATTTTCAATTTGAAATGCTTCTAATGAAAATATTCTTCTATTCAATTTTAATATTCAAATATTATTATTTTTATTTAAATTTAATATTTTATTGAGTAAACAGGCTGGATATTTTAGCTACGTTTAAGCTTTAGTGAATATCTAAATAATTTAAATATAATTAAATTGAATTTATATTATTTTAATGATTTATTTATTTAGTACACTCATTCGTTAATTATTATTTTAATAAAAATGATATTTTAAGTTCAATGATATTCGTAAATTTCAATCGATAAATAAATCATTTGCATTTGTATTCTTTGAATCCAAAATTTGCTAAAAAAATATTTTTATTTAATTTCAAAATTAATTAATATTATTGGTATTCATTTTAACTTCAAATATATATTAGCAAATAACAGCTTTTAGTGTTTAAATACAAGATCTTAAGGTAAATAAAAAAAATAATTGTTAAGAGGGATAAGAAGATGATTGATTGAATGATTGATCTTTTCAAAAATTGTGTTTGAAATAAATTAAAAAACCGCAAATTTTAATTGGATTTTCTAGATTATACAATATATAAAAGATATATATCCTTAGGGAGATAGAATTCATTTAATAAGAATCAAAAATTTTAAATCAGATTAGCAGTTCTCCTTCTTAATAATTTGCTTTGCAGCTTTTATATGTAGGGATCATGCTTATTCCTTTATTTGTTAATTATTAATTAATTAATTATAATATCAAAATTGAGATTGTAGGATATTACTTATAATAAAATATAATCAAATTTGAGCATAATTATTGAAAAAATTTGTAGAGTTAAATAAATAAATAAGGACAATTACTTAGAAATTATAACAAGCTAGTTTTTATTATGGATAAGCCAAAGTAAGATAAAGTAATATGTCTTGATGATGAGGGGGAAGATGTTGCTGACTCAAACTCATCAGACATTATGGAAGAAGAGGAAAACGAAGTTGATAAACCTTCAATCGCAAAATTTAGTAATTTGAACAACAACAACAACAATAAGCTCGACTAAGTTAATGGCAACAAAAATTCAGTAAATGGATCAGCAGATAAGAAAAAAAAGAAATAAAGAAGCACTAATAAGGTGTCTATTGAGGAGCTAACTAAATAAATTAAACAAAATCAGTCAAAGCGTGTAAATGGATGTAATTAATTAGTTATTTGATCAGAATATTTTTTAATTGAGAAAATTTAAGCAGCAACAAGCATTAGAAGAAAATTCATTTTTTAATTTAAGATGAATATTGTTTCGAATAGGTTTTTTGAAATTAAATTGCTCTATTTATGTAAGATGTAGCAAATAGACATATGAATTATATTTTTAATAAAATAGAAGAAGACGGTGTAGTTATAAAGGCTAATTTCGATTGGGTTAATTATAATACTACCGAAGATAAGACACTTAATTATCTAAGCGATTTTTTAAAATTAAATGGAGAAAACAATTTAGATTACTTTAAGCTTGACTTGGTAGAGTTTGAAGATGTTAATATCGTATAACACCATTCTTAGGTTAGTAGCATAACGGATGACTTGTATAAGCGTATATTGAGATATGGTTAGATAGAAAATATATAGAGAATTGCCAAAAAGAGTGGTGCTATATCAAAAGGAGAAGGAACTAATGTTAACTTTAGAGATGAGCTGTACTATGATTAAAATGATCCTTTTATTGATGACGACGAGTATAATAATACATCTGTTAAAGTATCTCATAGAATGCAATTAGCTGAAGTGTTTATTGACGATTTTAGAACATTTGACGGTGATTTAAAAGACTTTATTAAGAGTGAAATATACAAAAATAGAGTAGAAATAATGCATAACTTAGAAAAGAAAAATGAAATTGAAGAAGAAACTGAAAATTTCAATAAAAAGAAAAAAAAACCAAATCCCCCAAGCAATCCAGCAATATCATCTTCAAATAATCTCTCATCTAATTTGGCAAACAACTCACTAACCGCTGCTCTCAATTCTGCAACAGCCACACTTAACAATAAAAGTAAGACTTGAATTATTCTTTATAAATTAATTACTGTTTTTATTGATTATAAAATCTTATTTAAAACAAACAGATTAGTAAATATAAATGAATAAATAAAAATTTTATTTTTAAAATTTAATTCAAATTTATTAAATTTATTTTTTAAACTTTACTTGAAGTTCAAAAGAAAGCTACAGCTGATGTGGAAAAAGATTTAAATTAAGTTGAAAGTGTCAAAACATAAGAAAAGAAAAAGTTTAAAAAAGATAATGTAAATAATACAACTTCTTTGTCTTCTGGATAACAATTACAAAATGCACAGAATATTTTGTAGGCTGCAGGATTAAATTAAAATTTATAATCTGTTTCTGGATCAGTGAATGCATAAAGTTTACCATAAGCTGTATAGGCATCAAATTTATTGTTAGGAGCAGATTTAAGTACATCTTAATTGAGCTAATTACTCTCTTAAGCATAATCTAGTAACAACAATAATCTTTTGTAAAATGCTGCTTCAGTTATGTAAATGGAATATTTAAAGCCTCAATCAGGATTAGGCTCATCGTCTTATTATTTGCAACCATACTATAACTAAGGAATAGCTTTCTCTAATTACTTGGATCCGTCTCAGTAATTAATGCTAGGATAATTAGATCTTTCATAAAATATGATGCTCTACTCAACTTAGCCATAAGCAAATCAAATTGCAAATAATTTTATGTTCAGTTAAGGTAATGCATTTAATTTGACTCCTGCTCCAGCACAAAGTTAAGCTAATTCTAATATTATAAAATCATCAAACGATCCTAAAGATAAGAAGAAGAAGAAAAAATCCTTTCCTACTCAAAATAATAATAATAATTCTTCTTAATTAAATAAGGATAATATTAATAACAAGAATAAAAATTAACAAATGAATTTAATAGAAATAGAAGATGATGATGATCCTTCATAAAATACACATACAAATTAGTCTACTAAACTAGGAGTAGATTCTGAATCTTAGAAGTGATATTTAGATTTAAATGTATTTACATATATTTGAGTTGTTTGTTATTTATAAAAGTAAATTTACAATGCATTTTTATTTGTTAAGTTTTCACCTTTTTACTAGAAATAATTATTGAATTTGAAGCGAACAATATTTATTAATTTATTAATTATTGATCAAGTAATTTAATAATCCATCAAAAATAAATTAATGGAATTTATTAAATACTGAGATTTGCAAAGATACTAATTTAACATTATTAAACAATATTAAATAAAAATTCTAAATTTAATAGATAAAAGTAATTTAAGCATAAAATATAAAGCAAATAAGTAACAATGGATTAAAATCCCCAAGAAAAAGCTAAGATAAGAGCAAAGTAAGTAGATGTAAAAACCGTTTATGAAGGAAAGTGGATTAAGATGAATTTAGTAGACTTCTAAAATGAAAAAGGCCATATATGCAAGGCTTGGGAGATGGTCGAAAGATAAGGTGTACGTCCAGATTAAGAGTGTAATGGTGTAGATGTTTGTCCTATTATTAAGTATAAAGATGGAAGAAGAAAGCTTCTTTTAATAGCTAACTATAGACCACCAGTAAATGCATATACAGTTGAATTTCCTGCAGGATTATTAGACGATGGAGACTTGTTAGAGAATGCTAGAAGAGAGTTGAAAGAAGAAACTGGATACACTGCAGATGAAATAAAGGTTCTCGATTACTGTCCTCTACTAAGAACTGATCCATGGAAAAGCAACGAAACTACAAAAGTTGTAATTGCTTACATAGATGGAGACAAAGAATGCAATATAAATCCCAAGTAAGACTTAGAAACAGAAGAAAATATAGATATTTTCACAGTTGATTTGAATGAAAAATTTATGGAAAATTTAAGAAAAATAGTGGAAGAGAATAATTATTAAATGACATTATAAATGTACTCTCTCTGTCTAGGTTTCAGCTTATTGGGATTGAGTCAATGAATAACCAATTTTATATTTTAAATTTATATTTTAAAAACTCTTAAATATATTTTTTTTTAGTGTGTATCTTTAAGTATATTTGTAAATATAAATGAAAGAATTATATAATACTTAATAGAAAAATGTATCAGAAATAATCAATAAACTTTTAAGTGCTCATATGATTAAATTTATCACTTTGAAATATTCACATAAAATTACAAATCAAAAAAATATTTTTAAAAGATGATCAAATAATTCTTTAAAATATTTATTTACAATTAATTAATTATTTTAAAATATTATATTTGATAATTTTTAAGCATTCTCAATTTTTAATGAAAGTATTGAGCTTGGTTTAAATTAGCTAATTTATTTTTGAGTAATTTTATGTTTAAAAAAACCATAAAAAGCTAATTATTATTAAGATTTCATTTTTAAATATTGCAATTATTTTATTTGATTTATAAGGATTAAATTTAATAATTTTATCTCTCTTGAATAAATTCTTAACAAATGAATTATAAAAGATGAAAATAGAATACTAAAAATAAATTAATTAATTAAAAACACTACAAACAGAAAATGAACAATAAAATGTATTTGTTTTAGTATAAGAAAATCTAAAAGGAAAAACTAAATAAACCTTTTTTTTATATCTAACGCTTTAATTTTAACATTGAAAATCATTTAAAGCAAAATATTGATCAAAATCAATTAAAAAAATCAAGAAATTTGATTAAAAATAAATTGTATTAGTAAAGAGAAATTAAATTACGTATAGAAAATTAAATAAATTTTGATAGGATAGCATTATATAGAAAAATGAATAAATTAATTCTTTTTACTAAAATTATCTAATAATAATTCTTTCTTAATTATCCTTTTTAGAGTGTTTAAAGAACGAATATATTCATAAATGTTTTCTCACGTTTATAAAAAACATATTTATATGAGAGCATAAAAAATTAATAAATTCTAAACAAGAAAAACTAAAATAAAGATTAAAAAAAATATTTAATTCTGAATATTTTTTCTCTTTACTGTTTTTGTTTTTAAAAGTTGTTCAAAAGTTTTGGTTATGACAATGAAGATGTTGATGTGATTTATTTATTTATCTATTTATTAACCTTATTTTAACTTTAGCTTCTTATTATATTTTAAATTATTTCAAAAAAATATTTAAATAAAGGTTCATAGATTGTATTTTTAAATATGTTTTTAGATAGTGTATGAAAAATTGAAAAAAATAAATTTTCGATTTTTTAAAATAATAAGAATAATAAAATTTTAGATTTAATTAGTTTGTATTTTGACATTATTTATTATTGTGATTAAGTTAAAAAATACTTAAAGTAAAAATAATATTTATTAGGTGAAAATAAAATTTCAATTAAAAAAAAGTAAACATGTTGCAAAGAAATAAGAAGAACATAAAGAAAATAATTATCTAATTTATAAAATAAATAACAATTAAATTTAAATTGATAAAAAAATAAAAATGAGAAATAATGAATTAATTCAAATTTAATTTGACAAATTTATTTACAAAAAAATAAATTTAATAAGACTATCTTCTTTGAAATTAAAATTTTTAGTAAGAAGTTAATATTGGCTATAATTAAACTAAAAATTTTTTGGTGATACCAACTGATTTAATTGTCAGTTTTTTATCATCAATTATTATGTTAACAAAGAATAATTTAAATTGAATTATTTAGAGATGCAAACAGCTTTTTTTTCAGATGAGAAAATTATTTCAACTCTAAAGAAATTTATGAAAATAAATTAAATAAATTGAAATAAATCCATTTTTTAAAGCATCTATTTACTCACTTCTAGACACTTTAAACGGTACAAAATAAGGAATATAATTTCAATTAAAATCAAAGATTTATTTATTAATAATAAAATGAGATAAAAAAGATTATTAAAAGTGTAAAAAAATGTGCTTACATATATACATACAAAACTACTTAACTTTGTATATGTCATAAATAAAGCTTTTGAATTATTTTATGAATGTAAATATAAAAATATAGACAATTTCTCTGAAAAATAATTTGATATATTTGTTATAAAACAATAATTCTCACTTTTAATTCATATCCCTACGAAGCAAGCATATATTGCCGCTTTTTTCAAAAGAAGTAAAATAGTAATTAAACTAACAAACTCATTAATTTTACAATGAGAAAATTGAAAATTAGAAAGTTTTAATTTTATCTAAATGGGTGCAAGTAATGTCTAGCCAAAACAAGCAATCGCTTCTTTGAAATTACCATAATTTTTACTAGTTAGTAATAGACACATTTTTGAATAGCAAAGGAATACATTTTAGCATAAGATAATATAAAATTAGTAGGATAAACAAATAAATTTATTATTATACTTAAATTGTTTGTTGTATAGTTATTTATCACTACAAATAATTTACCCTTTTAAGTTAATTACACTTATTTCGTACTCTCACAAGTTTATTCCTTTTTTATAAATGTTGGAAATATACAAACCACCAGAAAAAGATGAAAACGCCAAACCAAATTTTTCTAAATGGTCTAAATATTTGGATATTTGTGTGTTTTTTTTAGATTATAATTTATATAGAAAAACTTATTTAAAATGATTATTCATCAGTATGTGCAAACCTGATAAGAAAAAAATTGGTTTGAATCTTTATATTTAATTAGGATTACTAGCTAGAGAGAAAATATAATAAATTGGTAATGAGCTTTGTGAGAATGGTATTAATTTATATTAAAGAAAAATGCGTGTTATTGATAAAAGTGTTTTTAATAGATAACATCATAGCAATTTTTGATTAAATCCAATACTTTCTTATGTGGATAATATTTAATTACTTCAAAGTGACATAGAAAGCATTTCAAACTATTTAATTTAATGTTTAATAGTAAAGCAATTGATATGTCAATCAGGAAGGAATTACATCTAGAAGTTAAAAACACCAAATTACGAATTAGAAATTCTCAATATTAATTAATTACAAGAGTTAATATCCAAATAGTGAAAAAATTAATAAAAAAAGGATTTTACTCACAAATTTCTCAAAAATAGCAAGCGTACAAAACATTATGAATAAAAAGGTTGATAATTCTTTAAACACTCCTTTTATTGTTGATGAAGGAGAAGACGATGATGGTGAATCTTCAAATGTTCCATTCAATCTTAGTGATGTTTTACAAGATTCTTCAAAAGCTTAAAACGGAAATGGAGATTATTAAATTAAACAACTTCCTTTTAATTATGATTAATATTCTTAGTAGCCTGTCTCAAATTAGTAACCCTCTACATAGCCCAGTCTCTCCATTAAAAAAGAAAAGAGTACTAATCGCAAGCCAGGAACAGTCCACTTTTAAGACAAAAGTCAGGTTATTATTGAAGACAACAATGAAAACCACGAAAGCCCAAGAAATTCAAAATAATAATTAGACTTAAATTCAAATATTAGTAAAAAGTCTTATAATGAAGAAGTAAGCACAGAAAAAAACAATGTTCTGAATTTGAATGATGATGATATTGAAGTTAACTACGGTAAAGGTGAAACTCCTCTCGATTTGTTCTTAGAAGGTACTTACGAAGATGGTAAGAAAACTACTCTTGACCCTCTTACTGTTTTCAGACCTAAAGTTAAACCTAAAATATAAGATTTGAAGAATGGATAGTAGACTTATGTACACTTCGACGAAAAATCATACTACAACCCAGGGTAATATAATAAATACATTTTATTAATTTTCCTTGAATGTGCTTTGATAATAGTGGATATATTTATGAATTAAAAATACAGATTAAGATAAAACCTTTAATTAAACAAATCTCAAAAAAAAAAAAAAAAAAATTAAAATTGATGTTTGATTAGGATAATTAATTTATTTAGAGCCATTCAGAATTTAACATTAATTATTTTTATTATTAATTGTAATTAATTCGAGTGAAGATATTTTTTTTTTTTTTTTTCTTTTTGGAGAAAAGTAAAATAAATTATGATTGAATTGATTGAGCTTTTCATATTTTGTTTTATTAAAAATATTTTTAAAATTATTTAAATAGTGTCTTAAGATCAATTGATTAGAATGATGGGTTCTTGGGTTATTATTCAATGCCATGGACTAAGAAGAACTAAACTTTGAAGATGTTAGTTTGTGTTACTATGTATTCTGAAGAAAGAGTTTTCTTAGAGCAAACTTTGTACCACATCTTTAAGAATATGAGAGGATTTGAAGAAATTGGTTTAAAAGACTTCTAGATTGTTGTCGTTGTCATTCAAGATGGTATTACAAAGATGAAAGAAGAAGTTGTTGATTTCTATTGTGATTTGGAAGGTTAAAACAGAAACGTAGATAGAAATTTAAAGCTTAGACGTTATGAAATTTCTAAGCAAGAACAATTTTTATAATACAAAGGTTAATAAAAGGTTTTAGATTCAAATGAAGGTTTACCTTTAACTATTCCAAAGCGTACAGCACTAGTCTATCAAAATAGACTTTAATTCGTAAAGGAAAATTAAAATAAAAAGGAAGAAAGACCTAAGGTTTATAGTTCAAATCACTATCAATATGACACTTCAAAACCAGGTTTAACCGTTTTCAGTGTCTTTAAGCATAAAAATGCTAAAAAATTATCTTCCCATATGTGGTTTTTCGAAGGTTTCTGTCGTTAATTCAGACCTAAATATTGTGCTCTAGTCGATGTCGGAACTTTGGTAAAAAACAAACATCATCTTATTTTTTATTTTATTCATCAACAAAAAAAACTAAAAATTTATTTTATTTTTTAATAAGCCTGCTTCAGATGGTTTGCTAAAGTTTTACATAGCTATGGAAGGAAATTCAAAAGTAGGTGGTGTTTGTGGTTTCTTGGGTTTGGAAGATCCACCTGAGTATGACGAATTGCTTGATGAAGCAGAAACACCTCACATGATGGAATTAAATCAAATTCTTGATGAAAAAAAGAAGACTTTAGATAATTGGTAGAAGGACTTTGAAGAAAGAAAACGCATAGATAAACAAAAGCAAGAACAAAAAAATAGAGAAGAAAACTAGGTTTTTATAAATGAAGAATTAGAAGAAAGAAAGAAAAAACATTTTGATAGCAAACACAGAACTCATAAAATATTCTAATATACAATTTTCTTACCAGTAATGCTCCTTCAGATTGGAATTGGTCTTGTTTATTGGATTATAAGAAAAGCCATCTTTAAAGCTATTTTTAGATTTTTCAGATGGTTTGCAGTCAATTATTTAGATATATTCGCTAGTTTGAAAAAAGCTTAGCTCTATGAATACACAATGGCGCATATGGTAGATAAAAATTTCGAATCTTTACTAGGTTTTCTTCACGTGCTTCCCGGTGCTTGGTCTGCCTATAGGTAACAAACAAATAAACAAATTGCTTTACAACATTTTATAGAAATACAATCCTAGAATTTAATTCTTTAACAACTTAATAAAAATGACTCAAATAAATTAATTTATTTATCTAAATTTATTTTAATTAATTAATAGATACGAAGCTTTAGAAGTTAAGTTTTCAAATAGATAAAATTTATTGCAAAGAAAGTATTTTAAGTAATTAGTTAATCCTGATAAATTAGAAGGTAACATCAAAGAAGCTAATATGTTCTTGGCTGAAGATAGAATTTTATGTTTAGGTATTTACTGCTAACCTGATTCAAACTTTACGTAATTAATTTATTGATAAAAAACTTCTTTCATTTCAGAAATATATCAACTAAAAGAAAGAAATATATATATAGATAAATAGATAGATAGATAAATTTTATAAATAGCAATTAAATATAGACTTATAAATAATATTTATGACTTATATTTTTTTCAAATTATAGACTTAAATTTATCCCTGATGCTAAGGCTTTCACAGATCCTGTTGGTACTTTAGAAGAATTCATGAACTAAAGAAGAAGATGGATTAATAGTACTATGTTTGCCTTGGATTATGTGCTCAAACATTATTCATTCCACGTTGAAGAAAGTAGCCACTCCAGCACTGAAAAGGGTTTCTTACTGCCATTTAATATGTTATTCGCTAAAATAGGTGATATTAACTCTTACTTTATTCCTGCCTTTTACTTCTTTGTTGCTTTGATGAGTAGTTTCTAGCTTTTGTCACCTGAAATATAGAAAGGTTATTCTTATGTTCCTTTTGATGGCGAAACTGTCAAATTTAAGTGCATAGTTGGTAAAAAAATTGCGGATTACGAAAATGAATGTGATTATGATACTGGTATTTCAGAAGGCTGTTACCAATAATGTGAATCTACTGCCTATCCAAAGTAAACATAATTTTAAAATATTACCAACTAATTAATATTTATTTAATTATTATAAAAATAATAGAGCTTTCTATGTTACTCTTAACTTAATTCCTTTCATTTATATTGTTTGCTTCTTGCTTATTGTTTTTGCAAGTCTTACTTTCAAAGTTAGAAGATTAGCATAAAATGCTTATGAAAACCTCAGAAGAATGATATTGACTGATGAATAAAGAGGTGATATCAAAGCCATGGAAGACAACATTAAAGATTTGGAAGTTTCTATGTCAAGATTATAGGAAAAGAAAGATATTTAAAAGTAGAAGAAGGAAATCGAAAAGGAAAAAAGACGTGTCAGAGTTGAAATTTTTAAAGTGACCCAAACCACTTTTGAGATGCTTGTTGCTAAGATCAGTGAACATCACATTAAGCTATCTCCTTCTGAGAAAAAATTCAAAATTGAATATGATAAGATTGTAAATAAATAAATAAAAATTCAATTTAAAAAATAATATTTTCATAAATTTATTCAAAAAGACTTCTCAGGAATATGCAAATGATATCTTCAAAATTCTTGCTACTGTTATGTCTTTGATGGTAACTAATTAATTAATTAAACTTTCTTTTGAATAGTAAAAAATTTTAATTAATTTATTTATATAAATAAATAGAGTATTGTAATTATGCTTGTTGTTGGTTTGGCTATTGCTATGAATATATTCAATAGCGGTTTTGGTATCATTAATGGTTTCGTTAAGTTAGATGGCTGGTTAAGACTTTATATCATTATCATGGTTATCATAAACATGGGATCATTCTTTGGTATTCTATTGGTCCATCTTTTTATTTAACCCAAATTAGTGTGGTACATCTTTATTTCTTATTGGAGTTACATTGTCTATTAGCCTATTTATAACTTTATTTTGATCATCTTCTCTTTCTGTAACATTGACGATGTCACTTGGGGAACAAAGGGTCTCTCAGATTCTAAAGAAGCTAATAGCTACTATTAAGAAAAAGTTAAATTTTTGATCAGATGGTTTGCCTCTAACATTGTCCTCCTCTTAGCCTTAATTGGTGGTAATGTCTTTACTGGAAAGACACCATATATCATTCTCTTTATCGGTCTATATGGTACTGCATATCTAGCCATAAAAACAATATGTAAATTACACATTAAAAGCAAAAAAATAAATAAATATATTAATTAATTTTTTCTATAAAAAAGTGGCTATAATTAATTATATTAAGTATTTCATCTTCAATAAAATCTACTACAAATACCAAATTCACAAAACAAAGAAGAAAAACGAAGAATCTCAAGAACTTTTGAAATAAGAATATAACAGATTTATCTCTACTATGGAAAACAACAGATTAAGAAGTGTTTCTAGATACGACTATCCAATTTATAAATAAAACCCCTCTATTTCTGGATCAATGTACTAAGAAAACTTGATCTTCCACTCTAAATTCAATCAGAGAGTTTCTAACTTTTAAGGTATTGGATCTTCAAGTAATGTAACTGTAAATGTTAATTAACCTAATAACTAGTAACCTTAACATCCAACCCTTAACTAAAACTAAACCCCAATTTCTCCTTAACATTCTCAAAAATGAGGAGTTTTAAAACTAACTCTACTTTTAAAATATTACAAAAATATTAAACCATTTTAAATAAATATTTATTGTTTGTTTGTTTCTTTCTTATTTTTAGATAAATCTAATAAAGTTTTTAATTTCATGAGAATCCATAAATTTAAATTTAATCCTCTTTGAATACAAGTTGTAAGACTTTATTTTTTTAGTAAAAATTAAAGTTTTCATCTTTATTTTATTGATTTTATTTATATTTTTTGTACATGGGATATAAATATATATTTATCTATAGTAAAATACAAAATAGCAATCTAAAATATATATAGTTAGTCAATAAGTAGAATAAATTTTTAAATATGCTTGTTTACAAGTGAGTGAAAAAAACCAAATAATATTTCTTATAAATAACAAATTCTAAGATTTAGAAAAATAAACATGAATGTTTGTTTGTATCCCAAAATAGAATATAATTTTTTATTAGAATATTAAAGTTGATTATTTAGAATATTGATATCTTTTTCAAAAAATATCTTCGCTATATCGTTATTAATTTAATTAAAAATTAATTTAAATAACAATTATTAATTTATTATTGATCTAAAATGTCTCAAAGCAAAATATCATAGAGAATAGATCCTTATGATGAAATCTCTTAATTTCTTTTCGAAAACTAAGACAAAAAACTTTAAATAATAATTGTTATCGGATCTCCTGGAGCGGGAAAATCTCTATTTTCAAGCTATTTAGTTAGTGAATAATAAGAAAACCCTAGAAGTATGTTTCCTCCATCTCAATCTAGCCAAATAGAGTTTTTTGGAATAAAATTCTATCTATGTAAAGCAAAATTTTAACTGTTATTGGAGTTTGAAGGAATAGACTACTCTTAAGATAGCGAATAGATGAATTCTATTTAAAATTGTTTAAAAGATATTGCAGATACTTCTACCTTCATATTTTATATCCACAAAAACTGTAGAAATAATAAAGGTTTTGAATAAATTCTCAACTTAATAAATGCGCACGGATAAAAAAAATATCATTTGGTTGAAATACTCAACCAATGGAATGGAGACTCTATTCAATCTTACAGATAGTCACCATAGTATAAAGATGTTTTTTTAGATGAATATTATCTTAAATCCCTCAACTATAAAAATAATACTATTTAAAAAGATGATAACTTAAATTAATTTTTAGGTAAAATGAAAGAAATACACGAATTAATTAAGAATTGTGAACTTCAAAATTAAATATAATGTGATCAAGTTAATCCAAAAATATTTTAAAAATTTAGAGAAAATTAAGTTGAATTTTTGAATATGGAATAATTTGCTTAAATAAGCAAACCTCAAACAGGTTATTATTTCGAAATTAAGAAAATAATATAAAAAGTTTTACCTTCATTTTCGTTTTGTTTATCTATTATTATATCTATTATATAGATAAGTAATGAATGATTAAAAAATTAAAAATATTAGACATAAATAAATTAAAATAATTTATTACTATACTTCTTATTTTAATTATGAGTATTTTATAAACTTTATATTGAGTGTTATTTTAATAATACAATTTTTTAATGATTCAAATAATTTCAATAATAAATAAGCAAAATAGATTTACTCTAATTTTTCATCTTAGCTTCATCAAAAAAAATAAATAATTAAAGACAGAGGTCTGTGAAAAAAGAAAAGTTTCTTTAAAAGATATTAGTTAGTTAGTTAATTAGTTAGTAAGAAAATAAAGTATATTTTTAATGTTTACAAAAGATGATAGAATATTAAATTACTTTTAAACTTAAAATTCTAATAAATATTTAAAAATAGATAGATTATTAACTAACAAATAATATTAGAATAATAAATATTCTAATATCTAATAGATATTTATTTTGATTTAGAATGATTAATTTTTATTTAAATAATACTGTGCTTAGCTCAAACACAAACATAATCAAATAAATAAATAATCAAATAATATATTCATCTAAATCAAAAAATAATAAGTAAAAATTAATGACAGATTCCTTTTAGCTTTCTATCTAATAAAATTCTAGTAATGATACTTAGAGTTTGGAAGATTCAGAATTTATGAAATTTTTGGAAGATCATCCTGATAAAAAACTAATAACTTTAATAGGTCCACCTGGCTAAGGAAAGACTTAGATTTAGAATAGCATAATTAACATGCAGAAATAAAAAAATTGTGATGATTTTGCTTGTTAATCTAGCATTAGCTCTTATCCTGAGATCAAATTCTAGTGCGATGAAGATTCACCATATTTATTTGTGGAATTCGAGAATTTAGATTATTCTCAAGATAGTAAAATTAATTAATCTATGAGAGATCTTATGTTTCATTTTATATTTATTTCGACGTGTGTGATCTATGTACATCATAATATTAGAATCTCAAAAGGTTTTGAAGATATAGCCACCAAAATATTATAACAAAGTAAAACAAAAAAAATAACATTTGTTGAAATACTTAATAAGTGGAATGGAGATAGAGTATAATCTTACTAAGATTTGGAAAATTACTAAGGCCTTTTCTAAAAAACTTTCTATTTGAAATCTCTTAACTTTAGAAACTCTTAAATTAATAAAGACAATAATTTAGAGTAATTCTAAAGCTAAATAAAGGAATTAATTTCTTATATTGATAGTCTTCAAGTTAATAATCATTCTACTTTGGAGACTATCAGAATGTATATTAGAGATTTTGATACTTAAATAAAAGAAAAATTAAACCACAATTGTATCATCATAAAGAATGAGCCAAATAGATTAGGAGGTGCTAATTAAGAAGTTGAATATGATATAAGTGACCCACTTTTAGGCAATAATAATAACTAACCTAAAAAAAGTAAAATATTGATTTTGGCACTAATCATATTTTGGATAATCATTTATTACTTTCCTAATATTTCATAATCAAAAAAATTTATAATAACTTTTATCTCAATTTTTTTCTATTTAGCATTTTATTGGCGGACACTTTTTTTGAGATACATCAAAAAACTTTTTAGATTTTTCGAAAAAAAGCTAAGAAGATATTGAAAAACAAAAAAATGTATTTTTACATAGTATTTAGTTGTATAAATAAAATAAATAATTTGTATTATTTTATAAATATTATTTCCTAACCATTTTATATGATATTTTACTAATTGTAATTAATTAATAACTTACTTACATACTTGATTTTGAATATATATTTTTCTAAATTATTTAAAAATCTTTAAAATTCTCAGATAAAAGCCAATTGAAGAAAATATTTTCAGTAAATAATCCACATTTTAGAATAAAATGATTAATAAAATAAATGTGAATTCTAATATTATAATCTGAATTATAACAAGGTTAATTAAAATAAAGAATTTAAATAAATATATATAAAATGAAAATGATTAAATAATCTAAATATTTGATAAAAAATTTAGAAAGAATATACTATCCATAATAGACTATTTGGTTCAATCAAAATATATTTTTAATTTATTTTATAAATATTCTAATTAATTTAAAAGACTTTAAAATAAATAAATAAAAAATAATTTAAATATTCCAATTATTAATAGAAAACTAAATTAAAGATAGAAAAGATTAGAAATATAAATAAAAAATTTGTAAATATATTTTGTAATATTTAGATTATATTATTTAAATCGTATAATTAACAAAACCTAAAATTTATTTTCTTAATATTATAATTGCCAACCTTAACCAGTTTATATGATACTTCTACTAAATAATTAGCCTAAATTTGTTAGCATTTATTTAAAAATCTCTTGAAATTTTTAATACAATAAATAAGATAAAGATACATATCTGATATATAAGTATATATTATCTATCTATCTATCTGCACTTTTTAAATTTAAAAAAAATTATTTTTTGAGTACCTATCAACCTATTTTTTTAATTTAATAATAACAATAGTAAATTTTATTAATTATAATTATTTTTAATATTCAATTTTATTTATATTTTTTAGGTTAAACTAATAATTTTACATTCTTTGACATACTTGTAAGGCTTGATTAAATGTTTTAGCTAAGTATTAGATTTTTATTTTTGAAAGTAGTTAAATTTTAGACCTTTAATAAGTTTATTTGTGAAACGTTTATCACTTATTTATTTTTAAAATATATTAAGGAATTAGTTTTTTTGAAGTTGATTATAAATTTAATAGTTATTATAACATAATAACATTTTTTACTCTACTAAAATAACATTACAAATCATTAAAGATATATGATACTACATTTATTTAGACAAAAAAAACAACATGCAGATGGTAATTGAACTAAACCTAAGAAAATTTTAATAAAGCTAATCAGTAATAGAAGCATAAATATCCAATAAAACCTGAGTGTTTATTCTAATGTTTTTATTTATTTCTATTACTTGCTCACATTTTTTGAGTTTGAATTAATATAAAACTTCTTTCTCTACTCCTATCTAAAGAATAAAATCAAATGGTTTTTTAAAATAAATCAATAAAAAATAAAAATTCTTACAAAATACTCAATTTAAAATTATTAAATTAATTATAATAAAAATGAATTAAAATAATTTTTCAAACAAATTTAGTTAATTTGCTTATAAAGATATTTTAAAATATCTTTTTACTTTTTTTTTTAGCAAAATGAAAGCTTTTATTAGTTTATAAAAGATATTTAATATCTGATAAAAACACTTGAAATACGATAAGAAAAAAATTGTTTAGTTCTTTATAATGCATGAATTGATTTACATAATAACCAGGGTTTTAAATTTGGGGGTTTTTTCCGTCAAAATCGTCAAAAAATTTAAAAAAAATACAGTTAATTTTTAGATTTAAGTTTTTTATCGAAATTTTAAAGTATATTTAAAAAATATTAATTTAGCAGGCTTAAATTTTGTTTATTTTAGTGGTGATAAAGCTTTTTTAATTCTACTGATAAATATTTTTTTAAAATTTAATGGAAACTTGAATCATAAAATGTGATGGAGTCGAGTTAATTATAAGATTAATATTATTATAATAAATAAGCTGAATTTTAAGTTAAGTAGTTTTAGATTAAACAAAAACAAACACACACATAAATATTTTAAGCAACTTAGTCATTATTTCTTATTTTGCATTTGTATATAAATTTTTGAGAACTTAATTTGATTTATAAAATAATCCAAAATAGATATTAGAGAGAGTTTATTTTTCCTGATTTTGGTTTATTGAAAAAAGAAAAGAATAATTGCATAATCAGTAAAATCTTGGTAACTGAAGAAATAATAATAATAATATAAGCGAATCATAAAATTAATATATCTAAAAATTTACATCATCAATTATACCTATAAAAAATTAAATAAATAAATCATTAAAATTATGTATAATAATTTCAAATAAAAATATGAATCAAAATATTGAATAAACCAGATATAAAGATTATAACCTTGGTTAAATAAGAAACTCCTCAGCTTTTAGAAGTTTATAGTTATCTATTATAATTTAGCAAAACAATCAGAAAAAGACAGAGAGCGAAATCTAAGGCTTCATAATTGGTTTCTTACAATATCTACATCATCCAATTTCAGAAATTTATGAATCTTTAAATAAAAAAATGGGTTAACATATGATGTTCAAACAAAATATCTTTTAAACAATTTTTATAACTGAAAAGAACTCATAAAATATATGATGGTCCTTGATGTTTTAGAAGAATTCAGAATTTTACTCACAACATAGGATATATTCCATATTAGATAAATGCTCACTTACAAACTTAAGATTCAAAAAATTACTAGGATAACTTTAAAAATAAAAATTTTGATTAGAATTTAAATTTATAAAAGTCAATTTATTTTATTTATACTCTATAAATCAGTAACTCAATCAAGAATATAAATAATAAATTCTATATATCTATCTATTTAATTTTTTTTTTTTTTTTTTTTTAAAAGTTTTTAAATTTTCTTTTAAATTATGATAATGGGGAGGGAGAATGAATGATATTTAAAAAATTTAAATTTTAGTTTTGATGATTGTAATTTTAGGAAAAATTAATAATGATAAACCCATATTTCTACTTTGAAAATATTTTTTTCTAAAAACCAATAAACTTGTACTTATATTTTTTATTCCCTTTTTTTAATGAGAAGATATATATTTTTATATAATCTTTTATTTTAAAAATTTTTTTACAAGTCTAATTTTTAATAAATTTAATTAATTTTTTTTTTGTGAAAACTAAAAATTTACTTAAAAATAGAAAGGGCTTAATCAATTTTAAACATGCAAAACTAAATTTCATGTTTACTTTATATTTTTTAATAAACTAAAAATTCATTTTTGAGTTTTGAAGATAATTTAAATTACAAAAGATTTTTAAAAAATTAAAAAATCAATAAAAATGATTGTTATCTCAACAGCTTTAAAGCTTCTTTTAACGATTATATAAATGATAGAATATTACTTAATTTATTGGGTCTACTACTATTATAATGGGACAATCGCTATCTTTATAACTATGGTTTGTTTATTGCTTTTATAGAAGATATTTTGGGTTTTAATACTTCAAAACTTTAGTTTAGAGTGTTTACTCAAAGAAATAATTTGCGATCAATTCCAAAGCAAGGACTAAAAATATTATTAAGAGATTAAATGTCAATTTATTTCTTTTAAAATAATATTTCAAGTGGTTTACTATTTTAACTATCTACTACATTCAAATTAAGAAATTAAAGGTGAAATATTATGGCTATTTGCTATCAATTTAATAAGCCAAATTTTCTATCTAAACTTAGTCGATTAGTTTAGATAAGATAAATTTAAATTTTAGAAATTTCTATAATAATTATTCTTCTCAACTACATATTTCATATTAAATGGGCTTATACTTTTTTTCTATGGGATAACGTACACTCTTCTTGTGAATCTACTCATTTCAGCAATATTTTCTAAATCTATATCATGTTTATGGAAAGAATTTACTTTTTGTGAGCTCTTTTCTGAGTATTATAGTAATTATTTTAAATTTAATTTAATAAAAATTCAAAATAAGACAACTTTATACTTATAAAGAGCGCAATATTGTTTGGCTCATTTTTAAAATGTGATTATGGGCGTGATGATTTTTATTAGATACTTTGAAATTTCGAAAATGGATTCACTTGATTTAAGCTTACTTAATGAGTCCAAGATCTTAATTTTCTTAATTATTTTGTATTTTACTAATTTCGTTTTTTAGATTCCTGTCTTCATAAAATTATTTCGCAAAACAAAAGTGATTAGTAGTGAAAATGAACTTGAATACTTCAAATAGAGATCTCTTTAGGGTAGAGTTTACCATATGAAATTTATTATATAAATTGATAAAATTTACTGTAGAGTGGATTCATAAAGATTAATGAAAAAAAATACAACTAATTTTAATAATTAATGCAGAGTAATTACATTAAATGAGAAAATAGATTTCTTAAGTAAAATTAATAAAGTTTATGCAGATTAATGCAATATAAACTGCAAATGCGATAATATACTTTAGCTTATAGATAATGAAGGCTAACTAAGTCCTTTTATTTATTAAATGATTGGTAAGGCAAATTCAGATTAAATGGCATAGGTATTATTAGAAAGATATCTTAATGGCTATCTTTTTACAAAAGAAACCATTATGCTTATTGATAAATTCTCAAAACGTAAATCTGAGGAAGAATATTTGTTTATTGAAGAATTGTATGAAGATTTTACTGCAGAATTTTTAGAAATATATTAGATTAATAAAATATTAAATATGTATTCAATAGTAAACCCTTGCATTGTCTTATATGATTTATATGAGTGATTTTTAATTTTGTAATTAAAAAATATAATTAATTAAAAGTTTTATTAAATTCTAAAACAAAATAATATTTATTTTTGTTCTAATTTATCCAATTCAATTATTGATTATTTTAATTTTATGGTTTAAATGTCAAAAGCAAGTAAGTATAAATTAGTTTAAATCCACCTTATTCATTTAATTACATTTCAAAAATTATAAAAATGGAAAAGTATTTTTATCTTTACATTCATATTTAAATAAATAATAGTCTCATTTCAAAAATAAATCTTTTTCACTTTTAAAAGACCAAAAATATGTTAATTTTTTTATAAAAATATTAAATTTATTCAATTAATTCTATCTAAATTTGAAACTTTTAAATATAATCTAATAGTTTATTGTAACTAAATTATGTTATGCCTTTTGATTGTAATATTATTTTATTAATTAAAGGGTAAGAGGGAGAAGGTAAAAATTTTTATTTATTTATATCGAGGAAAATGTGAATTACAGATGTTGATTCAGAATAACACATTAGTTTTTGGGTTTTAGGATATGTTTGATTCATAAAATTCAAAATACTAATTACTAATATAGATAGATATTTTTTAAATGCCTAATATTTTTTATAAAAGTATCTAAAACTTATAATTTATTAAGCTTTAATTATTTTTACAATAAAGTTTAGTTTTTATTCATTTAAAGATTATGAAATGTTTTTAAAATGTCAATTTTTCAAAATTTCATTAAATATCTGCGAATGAAAATATTTTTTAGCTTCATACACATATTTTGATAGCCTATAATTTTAAGATAACTTTAAATGAAATATTTAATAATAACTTTTTTAAATCAGCATTATTAAAATAATTTAAGATTTTTTATTTAAATTAAAGATCAAATGTAAATTTGCTTGAAATTTATTAATCAAAAAAAAGCTGAGTATTGATTACTTTTTTCATTATTTATTAAATTTTTTCTATTAAGCATAATTATGAGTTATTTTTTTTAAGTTACTTATGTTTGATAATATTTTTGATAAACTATAAACCATAATCTTAGGTAAAATTAATCAATATTTAAATCAGATGTTTTTAACTTACTTTTATACATTATTTGAATTTTTTCTTCTTTTATATTTCAAAATGGTTCATTATGGTCACTATCTTTATGTTTCAAATAAGTTAAGCCCTTATAGGAGAAATTGAGAAATCAAATTGAAATAAAATTTTTTATAAATATCTTGTATTTCTGATCCATCCTAATGATTATCTAATTTGTCAATTTTTATAACAAAGATCAAATGTTTACCCTAATTAATCAAAAGTAAATATTTATTCATTCAATCTTTATAATAATTTATTAAAAAATAAATAAATAATTTATTTCTCAATATTGTTTTTATAATTCTTCATTTTTCTTGCCTAATATAAATGATTTCAGAATAGAGCCTAAATCAAAGACTGATCATTAATGAAAATGAATTTAATGCATCATGTTTAGACTAAACTTCTAATAATTCTGATTCTAAATAACAGACAGACCCATAAATGTATTAAAAACCATTAGATTTATTTATGGTTTGCACAGGATAAGATGATTAAGATGGAAAGCTACAACCTTTAAATATTTTCACTTAAAAAATTCAACCTAAAACTGAATATTTATAAGAAGAAAGTCCATATATTGTTAATTTTGATGAGAGCTCTTATCTCAATCCTAGGTAAAATATCAAAAAAATATTTATATTTTAAGAAAAAAAGATAAACTCCTTTATTCTTTGAACTCCCTTACCAGAATTATTTTAATTATGATTATTAATTACGTACGTCATAATTGTAATTTTACTTCTTTCAAATTACATTATTAAGTATTTAGGCAATATTTTATTCATATTTAAATTATTATCATTTGTTCATATTTAATTGATAGAAGAAGTTATTTTAATCTAGTTTACAAAATTTCATTATAAATTTGCTCTATTTAGAATTACATATTATAGTTAATTTTATACAATAACTTCCAAAGTAATTCAAATTAAATCAAGACCTTTAATTAATATAGATCTAAATTTACTCAGCCTAAATATTTTTACCAGAATTCCTTTATTATTTATTCTAATCATACTTTTAGTAAATTAATCAAATACAACGTATTATTCTATCATACTCAGAAAATTTTAAAAGGATTAAAGAATTGACAGATTAAATGCAATTATTTTGCTTTTTTTCATTTAATTACAAATAAATAAAAAATGTTAGGGTTTGCCAATACTATTTTTTAATATAAGAAAAAAATTTCTAATTTAAATAAATAGTAAATATTAATTTTAAATAAATTTAAATATAAAATCTATTATAAATTAAAAAAGAGAGAAACAACTAAAAAAAATAAATTATTTTTATAAACTTTAAAAACAAAATAATTTAATAATATTTTTTATTTCCCAAAAGTCAATTAAGACCAATAGCAGAAACAGATGGATTGATTGGTTATTATAGCAAAAATAAATATAAAAATGTCATTTAAATGCTAATATGTGTTACTATGTATAGTGAGGATAGGCACTTTCTTGAGTAAACTCTTCTTCACATACAAAAAAATCTTTAAGGATTTTCAGAATTAGGAGTGTAAAATTTTTAAATCGTTGTTGCTGTAATTTATGATGGCATAATGAAAATCAAAGAAGAAGTGGTTGAATTTTATTGTGAGCTTGAGAAAGGAGAGAGTATAGATCTAGATAGAAATCTTAAAACTAGAAGAGAGTTAATTCAAAACTAAATTGACTTCTTAGAGCTATAAAAATAATCATATCTTTTAGATGCAAATGAAGGACTACCTCCTTCAATACCCAAAAACATATCTCTATTTTATCAAAACAAAATATAAATAAAATAATTCGATAAATAAAATAGAAATTCAAAGATTAAAATTCTGTGTCCTTACAATGCAGAATTTAATTAAAATGAACCTAATTTAACAGTTTTTTCTATTTTTAAACATAAAAATGCCAAGAAACTATCTTCTCATCTATGGTTTTTTGAAGGTTTATGTAGGTAAGTGAGACCAAAATATGTGTCATTCGTAGATGTAGGCACACTGGTATTTTAATTACAAATTGTAATTTAAATAATTTATAGATTATTTTTTATTTATAAAAAGCCTTCTGAATTAGGACTTGTTTAGTTTTATAAAGTTATGGAAGGAAACTATCATATTGGGGGAGTATGTGGTTTCTTAGGGTTAGAAGAACCCCCTGAAGGAGGACAAGAAGATAACACAAATTAAAAAAAGAATATAAATTAGAAACATTTAAATAGTAAATTATCTAACCAAGATTAAAATAATTGGACCAAATAACTTAATCAAATAAAAAATGCTCATTAAACTAAAAGCAACAAAAATATAATTTATTCGAAAGAAGAAATTTGCTAAATTTACAACTAATTTGAAAATAACTTTAGAAACAAAAGTTAACAAAAGATATTTAATAAAAATTATTATGTTACAAATTTAATGCTTTGGATCTTATTATTTCCTCTATTTTTAATCAGATTTTTGTTAGTTCACATAATTTTTAGAATTTTAGCTAAACTTTGCAGCTTAATTGGGTTATTTTTAGAGAATTTTCTTTCAATCTTCTCTTCTTTAAGACTAGCTCAAGTATATGAATATACATCAGGACATATAATAGATAAAAACTTTGATTCTTTCTTAGGCTTCTTGCATGTTTTACCAGGAGCTTGGTCTGCTTATAGGTAGATAAATATTTATTATGTTTTTTACTTAGTAATTTTTATAATTTCATAAAAATAAAGATACGATGCTTTAGAAGTCTAGAGCAATTAAAAAACTAATTTTATGCAAGAGAACTATTTTCAGTCAGTTTTAAACCCTGATTTATTGACAAATGATATCAAAGAAGCAAATAAATTTCTAGCTGAAGACAGAATTTTGTGTTTAGGAATAATTTCAGCGAAAGGATAAAATTATCAGTAATGAATAACTTGTTTTTTATCAATAACCATGTTTTTATTTAAAAATTTATAAATTAAAAGATTAAAGTATATTCCAGATGCATATGCTGTGACTGATTCTCCATAAACTTTAGAGGAGTTCATCTAATAGCGCAGAAGATGGACTAACAGCATGATATTCGCCCTTAACCATGTTCTTAAAAATTATAAATAAAGTATTAAAGAAAGTATCCATTCTAAGTGGTTTAGTAAAGTTAGACTACCATTGAATATGTATTTTGCTTTTCTAGGTTTAATTAACTATATTCTGTTGCCAGCATTCTTTTTATTTATGGCTGTTTTGTCTGGATACCAATTCTACATACCCTCTAAATAACCTGGTAAATCTTATGTTGATTCAAGCTCTTAGTAATAGTCATGTATACTAGATTACGATTTAACTTCATCTGAAACAATGTGTGATACTAATATCAAACAAGATTGCTATTAAGAGTGCCAAACTGGAGAACTCACAATTTATTAAAAGTATTTATTTTATAATGTAAATATTTAATATAAAATTTAAATATTTTAATTAGAATCTTCAACATATTCATGAAAATACTACCTCTTAGTATTGTTATGACTGTGCTGTTATTTATGATTGTGTGTCTCACTTTTAAAATGAAAAAGCAGAATTTTTCAGAATATTTATAGCTATTCAACTCTGTTATCAACGAAGAAGATAAAAAGTAGATTGAAGAGTTCAGGTAAATCTTAAGAGCTTAGAATAAGTCTTCTTAATAGATTGAAACGAAAGTCAATAACCTAATTTAAAAGCTAGGAGAAAAAAGACTTAATGATTTCAAAATTTTATTTGAATCAAAGAAATCTCACAAGCTCCCTCAAGATCTAAGGAAAATTAAATCAGAATATGACAGATTAGTAATGAAATTTAAATAAAAAATAATATTTAATTTTATTTTAAAATTTTTAAATTTAGTATACACAAAAGTACTACAATAAAGTTTATAAAATATTTGCTTCACTTTTCTCCATTTAGGTAATTTTTTTCAATTTATAATATTTGATATCATTTTAATAAACATTTTTATTTCAAATATTTTTGTTTGGATAAAAAAATTTTTTATTTTTATTTTAATCCTTGAAAGAGTTAATTAAATTTTATTTGAAAAAATAGACTTTATTGCTTGTTTTTGTCATTACCTTCTCGCTATATATAAATATATTTGCTCCTTAAATTTATAAAGACATTGGATTCTACCCTTTACCAAAGTGGATGAGATTATACATTATTATAATTATAATCATAAACACTGGATTTTTCTTTATGATTATGGGATTTCATTTACTTTTCTAACCTAGATTAGTTTGGCTTGCCTTCAAATCTTACTTATCATTTACCTTTTATGCTCCTGTTTACTAAATATTTTTGTCTATTTACTCTTTTTGCAATCTAGATGATGTAACTTGGGGAACTAAAGGTTTGCAAAGCTCTACTTAAAATTAAATTTTTGTTTCAGACAAAGTTAGATATGTTAGATATTGGGTTTGGATAAACTCTTCTTTTATTTTAGCTTTCTTAAGTGCAAGTTTAATACCTTTAGATAAAACTCCTTATGTTGTTATTGGACTGGGTATTTATTGCACATTATATAATGTACTTAGGATATCAGGTAAATTTGTATTAATTGTGAATGATTTTTGTATAAAATTTGTTTCTATAAAACAATAATAGGAGGAACCATTAATTACTTAAAGTACTATCTTTTTGATAAATTGAAGATTAAAAAATAATTAAACAAAATTGTTACTAGTAATTTATAAAATTAAGAAGAGTTGAAAAGGGATTACTTAAAATCTTTATCCCTGACTACTGTTAAGTAGATTAATACTTAAGAAACTAGTTAGTAATAGTTTTTTGAAGATAAAGAATAACTAGTATTCTCTCGTTCAATTAGTAAAAATTATAGCTAAAATAATAGCTAATAAGAATTCTTTAGAACAGATGAAAAAGAAATCTTTAGATATTGAAAAAATTGGTGTTTTAATAAATAAAACATTGAACATTTGAAAAAGTTTAAAATGGGAATATGTCAATTGTAAAAAATGCATTTATTTTAATTTGTAAAAGAATAATAAATTATTTTTCATTAAAAATTTAATCTAATAATTTCATAATATATTAAATTATTTATTAATTTAATTAAAAAACTATTATTGTACTTTAACATAAATTAAGTACCAAAATAATAAATAATTTTGACAAGTCAAATTTAAAAATTCTTTTAAATTTAGTCTTTGTTTATTTTGTAAAAATCTATTTCTTATGAGTGAATACATTAATTAAAAATTTTAATTATTGAAGCATGCAAAAAATTATTTATTTTTTATTTTATATTTATCAAATTTTAGTAAATAAAAATGTCATAAATTAAATAATTAGATGAAATTTACAACAATTAATTACACTAATTATGTATTTTTAAATTTCTCTAAATTAAACAGCTGCTAACAACCCCTATATTTTCTCTAATGTTAGAGTCTATATAACTAAATTAAATTAATATCACCACTTCTATCTTCAAAGAAAATTATAGTGATTGCAATTCTGAGTATACTTCTTTTTATTAGCATTTTGATGATTAATTTATTTGATTAAAGTTACACAATTCAAATTTACTATAAAATTTAATTCTAGTTGATAGTTTTTCATGTAATTAATAATTTTATCATAAATTTAAAACACCAAAAATGTCTGAAGAATAATCACAATCAAAAAAGAGTTTACCTTAAACTGATTTTGAATTTTAATAGTCTAAAGATAATGAAACACTAATAAAAAATGCCCCATTATAAATTGATGAACATTCATTATATTAGAAACCATTAGACCTATATATGGTTTGCACAGGTTAAGATGATTTAAATGGTTAGTTAGAACCATTAAATGTGTATACATAAACTATTTAACCAAAGATTCATCAAATATTTAACGGATAGGCTTATTACACTTATTTTGATGAAGCATCTTATAGAAACTTAGGGTAAATAAAATCTTTAAAACAGTTAAATTTTTAGTATTTCTCGTTTTATTATTTTGTTTATATTTAGTTTTTTCATCATATTTTTTCCTAATTTTTTATTTATTTATATATTAAATCAATCAATCAATATTGATTATTTCTTAGTAATAGGAGTAAGTTATTAAGTAGATAAATATCAAAACAAAGTATATTTTTCATACTTAATTAAACAAAAAATTCCAATTATTTTTTCCTTAAAATATTTCGACAATAATTATCATATTTCAATATCAAAAATAAATACTTAATTTATTTGAATTATATCTTTAACCATGAAATTATTTTTAATACTAAAGTTGATAAAAAGTTTAAATGTAAGTGGAGTATTGTATTCCATTATTTGTCAAAAAGATAATTTAATATTCTAATTTTAATTTAATTATTTTTAATAAGTGAATGGTTCATTTTACCAAATTAAGCCATCCTCAATAGAATATTTAATTTTTGCTCATAATATTTTTATTAAATCACTTTCCAGTAATTTAAGTACAATAAATAACTAATATAATGTTTTAAAAATTTTTCTTATGCAATCTTATAAAATCTAATAAAGTTTTTAATTAATCCCTCAAAATAATATAGATCACTAAGAAATATAAATGAAAAAGATGGGCTGATAGGTTATTATAGCAGTAAAAAGCAAGGAAATATTCTTCAAATGCTTGTCTGTGTCACTATGTATAGTGAAGAGAGAAACTTTCTTGAATAGACTCTTCTTCATATACAAAATAATCTCAAAGGATTTTAAGAACTTGGAGTTTAAGATTTTTAGGTAGTTGTTGCCGTTATCTATGATGGAATCATGAAAGTAAAAGAAGAAGTTGTTGATTTTTATCTTGAAATTGATTCAGAAAATGGTTACAATCTTGATAAAAATTTAAAAAGGAGAAGAGAAGTTATTTAGAGCTAAATGGACTATCTAACATTTACTAATTAATCTCATCTCTTAGATACAAATGAAGGTCTTCCCCCAACTATACCTAAATAAATATCTTTATTGTATTAAAACAAATTTCAATTATATCTTTAAGATGAAAATAACCGCGATTCTAAAGTATAAATAATTTGCCCTCAAAATCCTCTATTTGACACTTATCATCCTACCTTAACAGTATTTTCTCTCTTTAAACATAAAAATGCAAAAAAGTTATCTTCTCATTTATGGTTCTTTGAAGGTTTGTGTCGTTAAACAAGGCCTAAGTATGTTTGCTTTGTGGATGCTGGAACATTAGTAAAAATAATTATATTAATTCCCTTTTAAAAATCTTTGTTTTTTCTATTTTAAAATTTTATATTTAAAATTAAGCCTTCTTAATATGGTATAGTCAAATTTTACTAAGCAATGGAGGGAAATTAAACAATAGGAGGAGTATGTGGCTTCTTGGGATTAGAAGAACCACCTGAAGGAGGAGGAGGATAAAGTAAATCTGATAATGAAAAATTAGTAAAATTAAAAAAGAATTTGAAATAATTAAAAGAGTAAGATTAACAGTTATGGGAAGAATAATTTTAAAAGGAGAAACAAAATAAATAAAAGGAATAAAAATAAATCAAAATTTATACAACGAGTGAAATTAATCAAATTTTTGATCAGTTATCAAATAATTTCAGAAATTAAAAGTAGAATCAAATATTCAAAAGAAATTACCTTATCACAAACGGAATACTTTTTTTTATTTTCTTTCCCTTTTATCTATCTAAATTTTTAATGATTAATGTTTTCTTTAAACTGATTTCTAAGCTTGGATCTCTTGTAGCCAAATTTTTAGAAAATTTCCTATAAATTTTTGCATCTATAAGGCTAGCATAAGTCCAAGAATATGCGATTGGCCATATCATAGATAAAAACTTTGATTCTTTTTTAGGATTTATGCATGTGCTACCAGGAGCTTGGTCTGCTTACAGGTGAAATAAAAAAGTTTTAATTATTTTTATTTATTTTTCATGCATTTATTTATAAAAGGTATGATGCTCTGGAAGTAAGAAAGGGTGAAAAATCTAATTTTATGCAAGATAGCTACTTTAAATCTGTTTTGAATCCTGAGCTATTAACAGATGACATCAAAGAAGCAAATAAATTTTTAGCAGAAGATAGAATACTTTGTCTAGGTATTATTTCAGCTAAAGGTTCTAATTACATGTATCTTGCTTATAAATTTTATAAAGAATGTTTCTTAATCTTCAAATTAAATTTGTCTATGAATTATAATTTTTGATGATTTTAATTGTGAATAATTTGTAAATTTAATTAAAACATAGATTAAAATATGTCCCTGAAGCACTTGCTGTAACAGACTCACCTGAAACATTAGAAGAATTCATACACTAACACAGAAGATGGACAAACAGCATGATTTTTGCACTCAACCATGTTTTATAAAATTATAAAGCCAGTATTTAAGGCAGTAAGCATTCAAAGTTTTATAGTAAAATTTGCTTACCTGTTAATATGCTTTTTGCTTATCTTGGATTAGTCAATTATATTATATTGCCATCGTTTTTTTTATTTATGGTAATATTATCAGGATATTAATTTTACATTCCATCCAACATACATGGAATTGCTTTAATTAATGAAAATCTTGCACAAAATAAATGCTAAATAGATTATCAACTTAAAGAATTTGATTTACAATGTAATTCTGAAATAAAATCAAATTGCTATTTAGATTGTTTAACTGGGGAGCTTAACATTTATCAAAAGTAATTTAACACTTTACATATAATACCATTAAAAATTATTATCTAAAATTAGGTTTTTTAATATGTTGATGAAAACTCTTCCTTTTGTTGTAGTAGTAACAGTAATTCTTTTTATGATAGTATGCTTGTCATTTAAAATGAAAAAATAAAATATTTCTGAGTATTTGAAACTATTTAATTATGTTTTAACATTAGAAGATAAGTAGAATATATCATCTTACTAGTAACAGCTCAAAGAAAGAAAAAAAACTCCCAAATAAATAGAAGCTTGTTCAAATAATTTAATTTTTAAACTTGGAGAAAAAAGATTGAAAGATCTTAAAATTATATTTGATTAAAACTAATCACATAAGCTTCCAAAAGATCTTTAGAATATAAAATCAGAATATGATAGAATAGTAATTCTTTTTTTATTAATTATAAATAAACTGGATATTTATTTTTTTTAATTTAAAGTACACACAAAAGCATAATAATAAAGTTTACAAAATATTTGCTTCTCTTTTTTCCATAGAGGTAAATCATCTTTTTTTTAATTAAATAAAATTAAGCTATTTTCATCAATTTTAAAACCATAAAAACACAAAATAAATTTAATAACTTAAAATTAATATTTTTGTAGGCTTCTATTTTTATGATCATACTCAGTGCTGCTTTATATATCAACTTATTTACTCCAGATATATACTCTGATCTTGGATTTTAAATGCTACCAAAATAGATGAGAGGCTATATAATCATAATTTTAATATTTAAAGGGGGTCTTATTTTACTTATTCTATTTCTCCATACTATCTTTTAGCCTAAGATATTGTGGTTATTTGTAAAATCTTACTTTTCTTATATTTTATACTCTCCAGTGTATTAAATATACCTAACAATTTTCTCATTCTGTAATCTTGATGATGTCACATGGGGTACAAAAGGCTTGCAAAATTCAACACAAAATTAAACATTTTTAACTGACAAAGTTAGGTATGTGAAGTATTGGGTGTTTCTGAATTCTTCTTTAATAATAGCATTCCTTTGTGCTAGCTTAATACCATTAGATAAAACTCCATATGTGATTATTGGAATAGGTATATATGATTCTCTTTACAATTCAGTTAGAATTATAGGTAAATTATATAATATAATTTATTAAGTATGAATATAATAATTGATAAAAAATAGGTGGATCAATAAATTACATAAAATACTTTGTTTTTGATAAAATTAAAATTAAAAATACATTTAAAAAAATAATATCAAGTAATTTATAGAAATAAGATGAAATTAGATATGACTACTAATAAATACTAAATAATTGCAAAAATACAGAATTTAAAGTTAATGAACTGAATGAACAAGAAATAAGTGAAGATAATATATAATTAATAAAATCTTGTATGATAAGCTAATAAAAAAGTAATTAAAGTGAGTATGAATTTAATATGGATAAGGAACAAAGCTGAAAAAATAAAAGAATAAAAAGAATATTTTATTTAATTTATTAGTAAACTGTAAAAATGTTCTTTATTTTATAAATAAATTTTAAGTAATTTGAAAAATATTTTAATAATTTACATAAAATAATTTTTGAACTTAATATTGAAACAAAATATAAGAATCAATAATAAAAAAGTACTTTTAATTATTATTAATTTCGTTTGTTTTTTTAAATTTAGTAAAAATTTTCTAAAAACCTTCTTAATATAATTCAGTCTTTAAAAATGAACATTTTACAGTATATTAAAGAAGATAAATTACTCAAATTTAGTTACTTTTGAAAATTATGGACTTTAAATGTTAAGTTTATTGTAATTAAAAATAACAAATTATTTTTAAATTTTGATAAGAATTTAAAGATTTTCTTTTAAATTTATTCTTTGTTTGATCAGTAAAAATCTTTTTCTTATCAGTGAATGCCTTACTTTGAAAATTTAATCTTTAATCCATGTAAAAAATTATTTATAAAATGATGTATTAAAATCAATTATTAGTAAATAAAAATGTCATATGTAAAATAATTTGACATTAACAATTATTAATTTTAATAGTTATGCAATTTAAATTTCTGCAAATTAAGCAGTAGCTAACAACCCCCACATTTTCTGCAATGTTACACTCTTTATGTGTAAATTAAATTAAATTCAAAATATATATATTATTTTGGTGAATCGTATTAAAATCCAATTTTTAATATATTTCTTTTTATTGGCATTTTGATGATTTCTTTGACTAAAGTTACATAGATCAATTAATCTATAAAATTTAATTGAAATTGATAATTTTATAGATAATTAATAATTTTGTCATTAATTAAAAAAAACCAAAAATGTCAGAAGAATAATCACAATTAAAAAAGAGATTAATTTAAACCGATTTTGAATTAGATCAATCTAAAGTTAATGAAAGGCTGATAAACAATACTCCATTATTAGTTGATAACCATTCACTATATTAGAAGCCGCTAGACCTTTATATGGTTTGCACAGGTTAAGATGACTTAGATGGGTAACTAGAACCATTAAACGTTTATACATAAACAATCTAACCAAAGACTCATTACTAATCTAATGGATAGGCTTATTATACTTACTTTGATGAAACATCTTATAGAAACTAAGGGTAAAAAGATTGTTTAAAACAGTTAAATTTAGTATTTGTTATTTTATTACTTTGTTTAGATTTAGTTTTTTCATCATATCTTATCCCTAACTTTTTACTTACTTACTTAATCAATTAATATTGATTGTTTCTTAGTAATAGAAGTAAGTTACTAAGTAAATAAATATCTTTAGAAAGTATACTAAGATTTCATTCATACTTAATTAAACTAAGAATTAAAAATATTTTATGATTAAAATATTTGACAATAATTATTTTATTTCAAAATTCTAAAAAAATACTTATTCATTTATTTGAATTATATTTTTAAACTCGAAGATATTTTTAATTACTAAAGTTGGTAATATATTAAAAAGTAAGAGGTGTATTGTATTCCATTATTTGCTTAAAAGATAATTAAATATTCTCATTTTAATTTAATTATTTTTAATTTGTGATTAATTTTGTCAAACTAAGTCATCCTTAATAGAATATTTAATTTTTAGCTCATAATATTTTTATTAAATCACCTTTTGAAAATTTGCGTGTCAAAAAGAACTAATAAAACTTATTAGAAATTTTTATTATGTGATCTAATAAAATCTAATAAATTTTTTATTTATTTTCTCAAAAAATATAGGTTACTAAGAAATATAAATGAAAAAGATGGGCTGATAGGTTATTATAGCAGTAAAAAGCAAGAAAATATTCTTCAAATGCTTGTTTGTGTCACTATGTATAGTGAAGAGAGAAACTTTCTTGAATAGACTCTTCTTCATATACAAAATAATCTCAAAGGATTTTAAGAACTTGAAGTTTAAGATTTTTAGGTAGTTGTTGCTGTTATCTATGATGGAATCATGAAAGCAAAAGAAGAAGTTGTTGATTTTTATCTTGAAATTGATTCCGAAAATGGTTTTGATCTTGATAAAAATTTAAAAAGGAGAAGAGAAATTATTTAGAGCCAAATGGACTATCTGACATTCACAAATTAATCTCATCTTTTAGATACAAATGAAGGTCTTCCCCCAACTATACCTAAATAAATATCTTTATTGTATTAAAATAGATTTCAATTAAGCCTTCAAGATAAAAGTAATCGCAATTCTAAAGTATAAATAATTTGCCCTCAAAATCCTCTATTTGACACTAATCATCCTTCCTTAACAGTGTTTTCTCTCTTTAAACATAAAAATGCAAAAAAGTTATCTTCTCATTTATGGTTCTTTGAAGGTTTATGTCGCTAAACAAGGCCTAAGTATGTTTGCTTTGTGGATGCTGGAACATTAGTAAAAATAATTATATTAATTCCCTTTTAAAAATCTTAATTTTTTCTATTTTAAAATTTTATATTTAAAATAAAGCCTTCTTAATATGGTATAGTCAAATTTTACTAAGCAATGGAGGGAAATTAAACAATAGGAGGAGTATGTGGCTTCTTGGGATTAGAAGAACCACCTGAAGGAGGAGGAGGAGGAGGAGGAGGAGAAAGTAAATCAGATAATGATAAATTAGAAAAATTAAAAAAGAATTTGCAATAATTAAAATAGTAAGATTAAATATAATGGGAGTAATAGTATTAATAGGAGAAATAAGATAAATAAAAGGAATTAAGATAAGTCAAAATTTATACAATGAGTGAAATTAATTAAATTTTTGATCAGTTATCAAGTAACTTCAGAAATTAAAAGTAGAATCAAATATTCAAAAGAAATTATATTATCACAAACGCAATACTTTTTTTTATTTTCTTACCCTTTTATTTATTTAAATTTGTACTGATTAATGTTTTATTTAAACTGATTTCTAAACTTGGATCTCTTGTAGCCAAATTTTTAGAAAATTTCCTATAAATTTTTGCATCTATAAGGCTTGCATAAGTCCAAGAATATGCTATTGGTCATATCATAGATAAAAACTTTGATTCTTTTTTAGGATTTATGCATGTGCTACCAGGAGCTTGGTCTGCTTACAGGTAAATTAAAAAAGCTTTAGTCATTTTAATATTATTTTTCATGCATTTATTTATAAAAGATATGATGCTCTGGAAGTAAGAAAGGGTGAAAAATCTAATTTTATGCAAGATAGCTACTTTAAATCTGTTTTGAATCCTGAGCTATTAACAGATGACATCAAAGAAGCAAATAAATTTTTAGCAGAAGATAGAATACTTTGTCTAGGTATCATTTCAGCAAAAGGATCTAACTACAAGTATATTCCTTATAAATTATAAAATGAATGTTTCATATTCTACAAATCAAATTTTTCTATGAATTATAATTTTTCACGATTTTAATTGTGAATAATTTGTAAATTTAATTAAAACATAGATTAAAATATATTCCCGAAGCACTTGCTGTAACAGACTCTCCTGAAACATTAGAAGAATTCATTCACTAGCACAGAAGATGGACAAATAGCATGATTTTTGCACTCAACCATGTTTTAAAAAATTATAAAGCCAGTATTTAAGGCAGTAAGCATTCAAATTTTTACAGAAAAATTTGCTTACCAGTTAATATGCTTTTTGCTTATCTTGGGTTAATCAATTATATTGTATTGCCAGCATTTTTCTTGTTTATGGTAATATTATCAGGATATTAATTTTACATTCCATCCAACATACATGGAGTTGCTTTTATTAATGAAGACCTTGCACAAAATAAATGCCAAATAGATTACCAACTAAAAGAATTTGATTTGCAATGTAATTCTGAAATAAAATCAAATTGCTATATAGATTGTTAAACAGGAGAGCTTAATATTTATCAAAAGTAATTTAACACTTTATATATAATACCATTAAATAGAATTATCTAAAATTAGAATATTTAATATGTTGATGAAAACTTTTCCTTTTGCTATTGTAGTTACAGTAGTTGTTTTTATGATAGTATGCCTGTCTTTTAAAATGAAAAAATAAAATCTTTCTGAGTATTTGAAACTATTTAATTAGGTTTTAACATAAGAGGATAAATAGAAAATATAATCTTAAAAGCAATAGCTAATAGAAAAATAAAAAACTCCTGAATAAATTGAAACTTGCTCAAATAATTTAATTTTTAAGCTTGGAGAAAAAAGATTGAAAGATCTTAAGATTATATTTGATCAAAACTAATCACATAAACTTCCAAAAGATCTGTAGAAGATAAAATCAGAATATGACAGAATAGTAATTCTTTTTTCATAAATAAAATAGAAATAAAATTAATATTTATTTTTTTAATATAAAGTACTCGCAAAAATATTATAACAAAGTTTACAAAATATTTGCTTCTCTCTTTTCAATAGAGGTAAATCATCTTTTTCTTTACTTAAATAAAATTATGCTATTTTCATAAACTTCAAGCATAAAAACACAAAATAAATTTAAAATTAATAATTTTTTAGGCTTCAATTTTAATGATCATACTCAGTGCTGCTTTATATATTAATATATTTACTCCAGATACATTCTCTGATCTAGGATTTTTCACACTACCAAAATGGATGAGAGATTATATTATCATAATTTTAATATTTAATATGGGGCTTATTTTACTTATTTTATTTTTCCATACAATCTTTTAACCAAAGATATTGTGGCTATTTGTAAAATCCTACTTTTCTTATATTTTATACTCTCCAGTGTATTAAATATACCTAACCATTTTTTCGTTTTGTAATCTTGATGATGTGACATGGGGCACAAAAGGCTTGCAAAACTCAACACAAAATTAGACATTTTTAACTGACAAAGTTAGATATGTGAAGTATTGGGTGTTTCTCAACTCTTCTTTAATAATTGCATTCCTTTGTGCTAGCTTGATACCATTAGATAAAACTCCATATGTGATTATTGGAATAGGTATATATGGTTCTCTTTACAACTCAGTAAGAATTATAGGTAAATTATAAAATTAATATATATTATGTATGAATCTAATAATTACTAAAAAAAATAGGAGGATCAATAAATTACATAAAATACTTTGTTTTTGATAAAATTAAAATTAAAAGTGCGTTTAAAAAAATAATATCAGATAATATATAGAAATAAGATGAAATTAGATATGACTACTAATAAATACTAAATAATTGTAAAAATATTGAATTTAAAATTCAAGAACTGAGTGAATCAGAAATAAGCGATGATAATATTTAATTAATAACATCTCGTATGATAAGTTAATAGTATAGTAATTAAAGCGATTATTAACTCAATATGAATAAGGAACAAAGCTGAATTAATAACATACAAAAATAAAAGAATGAAAAATAATATTTTAGTATGGTTAATAATATAAATTTATACTTTAGTGTACTTAAAAATTATAATGCTATTATATTTTATCGATTAATTTTTAGAAATTTTATTAAAATTTGAATAAAGATAATAATTATTAATTAATTAATTAATTAATAACTTAAATAAAATAATATTTTAATTTGTTGTCTTAAAATATAATTAATTATCAATCAAAAAATACTTTTTAAAATTTGTATATATTTTGAAAATAGTTCTTAAAATTTTTTGAAAATTCATCTTTATTAAATAATATTGTTTAATCAACTAATAAGATATAATTTATACCTTTATTTATTTTTTAAAATTAATTTAGCTGTTTTAATTTTATTTTAAAAGTTGATCTCTTGATATACTCTCCTATTTCAAAAATTATTTTTAGAATAAAAAAAAACAAATATGATAAAATAATTATATCAAATAAAGCAAGACATGTAAATTTATTGGATTTCTTTCAATTCTGCTTGCTTTGCTTGTACATTTTCTTTGTGAAAATTTCATTTCATTTGAAAAATAGCCCTATATAATTACTATTATTAGCATTACCAAACAATTAATAGAGGATTAAGACTCGTAAATATAATATATTACTTTTAGATTTGAAATATTATTTAATTTTAACATTATCATTGATTTATTGATTTAATATAAAAGACTGGTTTTTCAGTTATTTAAAGTATTCTTATGTGATAAAGAAGAAATAGTAATAGATTCAAACACTTTAAAGAAAATAATCTGAAATTGTGAAGTAGGATTAAATAAGTGATTTTTAGAAGATTTAAAATATTAAATTTAAGACATCAGTTTTAGTTATTTTAATATTTATTTGTTAATTTTAAAGCTAAATCCAATAAGTTTCAATGCATAAGTTAAAATGAGTAAAAGAAGTTATCATTATTTTATTTATGCGTTTCTATTGTTTTCTGATTAGCGAGTTCTAATAAATATTAAATTAAATTTATATTTTTAAAGATTTTTATTTATTAAATTTATAATTTTATTCCTCCCATTTTTTAAAACTAACCTAATTAATTAATTTGAAAGAAAAAACTAAATTTGAGGAGGGTGCTTTTGAAAAAATAGCTATTAACATATTTTTATAATTCTTTTGTATTATTAATAAAAGAAAATTTTGCTTTCAAAGAGTAAATTATAAATTTTTTACTTTAATTTCTAATAGAAGTTGATATAAATATAAAATTGATTATATTTTCTTTAAAAATTCGAGAAAAATATTATTTGAGACATAAACTTAAATTATTATGTTATTATTTAAATCAAATTTATAATATAATTAATAATTTATTTAAACACTTAGATAAAAAATATTATTTTCAAAATGATGCAAGAAGAAATTGATTTAAAACAAAGATTAATCATTAATGATAATTTTTAAAATGACCTAAAAATTATCGACAAAGCTGGATTAAAAAATATTTTTGAAATTAAAGACCATTCTTCCTACTAGAAGCCCTTAGATTTATTTATGGTTTGTACAGGATAAGATGATTAAGATGGAGAACTTTAACCTTTGAATGTTTACACTTAAGTGATTTAACCAAAAGTAGAATATAATTCTAACGAATAACCCTACTATGTCAACTTTGACGAAAATTCATACAGAAACAATGGGTATTTATAATATTTTCTTTATTTAAATATAATGCTTATAATAGTATTTAATGATTTAAAATATCAAACTTATCAATTTTGTTAATTTTTCAAAATATTAAAAATGGTATGATTAAAATAAACCTACGTTTAGATTGATCAAATAATCTTTGATTGTTCTAATAAATGCAAACAAATTTTAACTTTAATCTATCAAGATTTTTTGATAAGACATTTACTAATTAATATATTAGTGTTATTAAGTTTCTTATGAAATTTGAAATCAATTTGATTTTGGATTTTTTGTCCAGAATAATATAATCCTTAATTTAATTAACTTATATTTATTCTTACTTTCTATTGGGAATAAATTTTAATTTTACTCTCAAATATATTTGATACTCAATGTGTTTAGTGTTTATAAAAAATATCTTTTTTTTTCTTTTATACAATGAATAAAATTAAAAATATTGAATTATTGTTATTAAATCATACTCTTAGTTAAGCTTAACCAAATAAACGAATTAAATTTTTTGTGATTAGTTATGAAATGAATAGTCTTAAATTTGAGAATTTCTTTTATTAACATATGATGTTAACTAAAATATTTAATTATTCGAACTATTTATTTTTCTAAAATCTGATCAAAATATTGATGGTTTTAATTTTTTTCTTATTAAGTAAGTAATTTTTTTATCAACAGAAATCTAAGAAGAATTCAGGAACACGATGGTTTGATAGGGTATTATAGTAAAAAAAAGCAAGAAAATGTTATACAAATGCTTGTTTGTGTGACTATGTATAGTGAAGATAGACATTTTCTAGAGCAAACTCTTCTTCATATTCAAAAAAATCTAAAAGGATTCAAAGAGCTTGGAGTATCTGATTTTCAAGTTGTTGTTGCTGTAATATATGACGGTATCATGAAAACAAAAAAAGAAGTTGTTGACTTTTATTTGGAACTTGAAAGAGAAGATAACTTAGACGTACACAGAAACCTCAGACTTCGTAGAGAAGTTATTTAAAATTAAATAGACTTTTTAGATTTCTAAAATTAAAGCTATCTCTTAGATGCAAACGAAGGCCTTCCTCCTACAATCCCATAACAAATATCTCTATTGTATTAAAATAGATTTTAATTAAAGCTACAAGATTAAAATAACCGCAACTCCAAAGTCTAAATTATTAGCCCTTAAGATGATGATTTTAATTAAAATGAACCAGCCTTAATTGTATTTTCTTTGTTCAAACATAAAAATGCTAAGAAACTATCATCTCATTTATGGTTTTTCGAAGGATTATGCAGATAAACGAGACCTAAATATGTGTGTTTTGTCGATGTTGGAACTTTGGTAAAATTATTGCAAAAATTTTTAATTTCTTTAAATTTCTACCAAACTAAATTAATTTGTTTATAATAATAAAGCCCTGTGAATATGGAATTGTATAATTTTATAAAGCTATGGAAGGTAATTTAAATATTGGAGGAGTATGCGGCTTCTTAGGACTAGAAGAGCCACCTGAAGGTGAATAAAACAATGAAAAAAATGAATAAACTCAATATATAAACAAGTATTTAAAGTAAGCAAAAGGAGAGGATTAATGTGAGTGGAAATAAAAAATTCAATAAAAAAAATAATCAAATTTGGTCGTAAATTCCTCACATAAAATTTACTCAAAAGATTAAATTCTGAGCACTTACAGAGAGCACAAAATTAATTTTAGAAATCCAACCTAATAAAAAAATTTCAATAAAAACTACTTAATCACGAATATAATTTTATGGATTTTGCTATTTCCATTTTATTTGACAAAATTCATTCTGTTTAATGTTTTGTTAAGGTTTTTGAATAAATTAGGATCATTATTAGCTCTATTTTTAGAAAAATTTCTTGATATATTTTCATCACTAAGGCTCGCTCAAGTGTATGAATATGCTACAGGACATATTATAGACAAAAATTTTGACTCTTTTTTAGGATTTTTACATGTCTTGCCTGGAGCATGGTCAGCGTATAGGTATGAGAATAATATTAATATCTATGAATTGCTAATAAATTTTTTTATTATGAAGATATGATGCACTAGAACTGAGATATGATTAGAAATCAAATTTTATGTAAGACAGCTATTTCAAATCCGTTTTGAACCCTGATCTATTGACTGATGATATCAAGGAAGCCAATAAATTTTTGGCAGAAGATAGAATTCTATGTTTGGGAATAATTTCTGCTAAAGGATCAAATTATTAGTAAATTATGACAGATTATGATATAAATTTAATATTTTTATTTTTTCTAATTAAGTCTTACCAGACTAATTATAAGCTAATAAGGTTCACTTATCTTAATATTTTTTTCTTTTATAATTACAGGTTGAAATACCTTCCAGATGCTTATGCAGTAACTGACTCACCTGAAACTTTAGAAGAATTCATACACTAAAGAAGAAGATGGACAAATAGTATGATATTTGCTCTTCACCATGTCTTAAAGAACTACGAATCAAGTACCAAAGAAAGTAGCCATTCAGCTTGGTTTAGAAAGATTAGACTACCAATAAATATGTTCTTTGCTTAGCTTGGCTTGATAAATTATATCTTTTTACCTGCATTTTTCTTATTTATGGTACTTTTGTCTGGCTACTAATTCAACATACCCTCAAATTAAGTTGGAAAGGCATTTTTAGATGAATATAATATTTTAAAAAGCTGTGTTGCTAATTACGAATTGAAAGAATTTGAATAGAATTGCAATTCTGATAATGAAACGAAATGTTTTAAGGAATGTCAAACTGGCGATCTAAATATCTTTTAAAAGTATTTAATTTTATTCAAAACCAAACGACTTAAATTTATTTTATAAATTAGAATTTTCAATATTTTTATGAAGATTTTCCCCTTCTTTGTAATAATTACTTTCATACTATTTATGATCATTTGCCTAACTTTTAAGATGAAAAAATAAAATTTCTCAGAGTTTTTATAGCTCTTCAGATAAGTAATCACAGAAGAAGACATGTAAAAAATAGAAGAATTCAAGGAACAGTTAAGGTAAAAGTAAGTGTAACCAAAAGAAATAGAAACAGAATCAAATCAACTATTACAAAAGTTAGGCGAAAAAAGACTAAAAGAGCTAAAGATCCTTTTCGAATTGAAATAATCTCATAAGCTCCCAAGTGATTTACAAAAGATAAAATCAACATATGACAAACTTGTAAAATATTTCATTAAAATTAACTAATTTTAACCTAATTATTTAAAAATAAATAGTATACTTAGAAGTATTGTAATAAGATCTATAAGATATTTGCTTCCCTATTTTCTATAGAAGTAAATCATTTTAATTTAATAAATATAAATTTTTACTTTTTCAAATTCCAGAAATGCAAATTTTTATTTAATAAAACAAATTCTCCCCAAAATTATTCAAAAAAATATCCTAAAAAATTGATAAAATCTATAGCATGAATATATTTCAAAGAGTTTAGTCAGCAACCAACAAAAATAATTTTATGTGGGTTTGTAAATTGGTTTGTTTTCCTTTTTTTTAATTCTATTTCATTTAATTATCATCAAGAAATTAAATTTTAAATTATTATTTTCTTTAAACTTAATTTTATATTTTTTTTTAAATAAATAGAGCTCTGTTTTAATGATAATAATTAGCTCATAACTTTACATAAACATATTTGCACCTGAAGTTTATGTAGATTTAGGATTTAATCTCTTACCTTCATGGATGAGAAGCTATATAATTATAATTTTGATTATTAACACTGGTTTATTCTTACTAATTATGTTTTTCCATTTAATTTTCTAACCGAAATTAGTGCTGCTTGCTATAAAATCTTATTTTTCTTATGTTTTGTATGCTCCTGTTTACTAAATATTTTTAACAATCTATTCGTTCTGCAATTTAGACGATGTGACATGGGGTACAAAAGGGCTACAAAATTCTTCTTAAAATGAAATTTTTGTAACTGATAAGGTCAGATATGTAAAATATTGGATCTGGATTAACGCAGGTTTACTTTTAGCTTTTTTATGTTCAAGCTTGATACCTTTAGATAAAACCCCTTATGTAATTATTGGAATAGGTATTTATGGTACTTGTTACAATACTATTAGAATTACAGGTAAACAATAAAATATATTTGAGATTAGTTTAAGCAAGTTTTTTATTTTTAATTAATATAGGAGGAATCACGAATTATTTGAAATATTATCTATATGACAAGCTAAAAATCACAAAAAATTTGAAAAAAATAAAAGAAAACAATATTTAATAACAGGAACATTTATAAATGAAATATTTCTAAACAATTAAAAACAGTAGAAGTTAAGTTAATAAACCTTAAGAATTCCTTGAATCTTATAATAGTGAGGATAGTGAGTAGTTAGTTTTTTCTAGAGCTATCAGCGATAATATTTATCAAACTTAATTATAATAAAATTGTAACAAAGACAAAATGCATGAAAGTTGATTTCATATTTTTTAATTTGTAAATAAATTAAATTATTAACAACAATCTGTAAAAATAATTTAGCAAAATTTTTTTATTTTAACTGAATTTTAATCAAAATTTCTTAAGTAAAATTAAAATTATTTTTCACAAAATTATGATTAAAAGCTTTTTTATATTGATTAATAAAAGCATAAATAAAAATTGGATTTATTAAATCATTAACAAGATTTATATTTTTTTATGAAATCAGTAAAAAATAATTAGATTTTTCAAATTGGGGTGTTAATAAAGTGTCTCAGTTTTTAAATAATGTAATCAAGTTTTCCTAAATTAAGAATCTATTGCAAATTACAACAAATAAATAAGATTTTAATCCTTCTAGATAAAAAGCAAAAAACCAATTTCTTGGTATAAACAGTAAACAATTTATTTCAACTCAATACATCCTTAAGTTAATCAAGAAATTAAATCAAAAAATAAAAAATTTAATCTTAAAACTTTTTGGTCAAAAAAGTTAAATTGAATAAGTTTAAAAATAATACATTTTTTATTCTTATTTTTTAAATTGATTTTGATATTAATTAAGTAAATGCTACAAAATATTTTTTATTTACTAAAGATTTTAATTTTCACAACAATTTTAATATTTTTTATTTTTGAATAATAGAAATTTTTATTCAATAATTTTACAATAGAATTTATTAGTGTTTACTCTAACCTAAAATATCTTAAATACTTACCAATCTACAATATCTAAATCATTATTTAAATAAAAATAAATCCTATGTTTATTAATATTTTTGTTTATCAATTTTTACATAGAAAATAATCATAAAATCTACTTTTTAGTTATTTTGCTAAGAAACCATCAATTAAAAACTTAACATTTCATGTCTAAAACTTTTAGAATCTAAAAGATAATATCCTTTTTATCTTTTATAAATAATTAAATTTTATGGTAAATTATGAATCATTTAATTTTGAGGTTAATATTAATTAATACTCATCGTAAATTATTGATTTTTACAATTAGTTTGATCAAAATAAAAAATAAAAGAAAATTAAAATTGGTTATAAAATTAGTCTGTTAAAAGCTTTTTTTTTGACTTAAATCACATATAGAATTATATAAGTGTTAATTAAGGGTTTAAATATCAGAAACTTATTGTTAACTTTTTATTTAATAATGCATAATTAACAAAAATTTCTCTAAAGTTCAGAAAAATTGAATTTCCAATTTAATATGGGTTAATCAGAGTCTCTTAGCTAGTACTAATATGCTGTTCCTATTGGATAGGCTAAATAGGGAGAAAGTAGAATTTATAGAAATAAAGGTTTTACAAATGAGCTGATAAGTTCACCTTAACCTGAAATTAAAAATATGTAGGATTTAATTGAGTATGGCTATAAGAAATATAAAAAAAATCCTCTCATAGGAAAGTAAGCTGGGAAGCTCAAAAAATATTAATATAGAACTTATGAAGAAGAATATTTAGATGCAAGAAAAATAGGATCTTATATCTACAATTAAGAGATTTATTACTTAGCTTAGGAGTATAAAAATTATTCTATCAAGTTTGTTGGAATTTTCATGATGAATTGTGTTGAGTGGAATACAATAGATATGGCATGTAGTTTGTATGGAATAGTAATGGTACCGTTTTATGATAATCTAGAAGGCGAATAAATTACTTATATCTTGAAATAAACAAATTTGACTTCTGTTTTTTGTACAGAAAAGTAAGCCTAAGCATTGTTAATTACAGAAGATTTAGGAAATTTAAAAAATATAATTATGGTAGGTTAATTATCAACTGACGACAGATAAAAATTAAGGAGCAGAGGAATTACAATTATGGAATACTCTGACATTTTGCTAGAAGGAGAGAAAAATTAAAGAGATTTACCTAAAGACATTAAACCCACAGATATATTTACTTTTAGTTACACTTCAGGTAGTACAGGTATTCCAAAAGGAGTAATGATGACTCACGTTAGCTTTCTTTCTCCTATTGCAGCTATTTAGCATATGGGTATGAAATCCTCTGACAGAATGCTTTGTTATATGCCATTACCTCATGGGACATCTAGATTTTGCAACATGTTAGCATGGTATCACGGAAGTAAGATTGGATTATCATGTGGTGATATGACCAAACTTACTGATGATCTCAAAAAATTAAAACCTACAATATTTGTCACAGTTCCTACTCTATTTAATAAAATGTATGAAATAATTAATGAATAGTTTTCTAAGTTAATTGGTTGCAAAGGATCATTAATAAAACATGCTATTGCTACAAAATTAGATAATTTAAAAAATAAAAATTAATTAACTCATATTGTTTATGACACTTTAATATTTAACAAAATTAAAAATATCTTTGGCGGATCTGTGAGGGTTTGTTTTAGTGCTTCTTCGCCAATATCTAAGGAAGTTTTGGATTTTTTCAAGATTTCCTTAGGGATAAATGTGTAGGAGGCATTTGGCTTAACAGAAGCTGGAGGTGTGCAATTTTAGACAAGTAATAAAGATTTTAATGCTTCTGGAATGGTTGGAGGACCATGCTGCAATGTTGAAGTGAAGCTCATTGACATTCCATAATATGGATTTTTATCTTCAGATACGTCTGATGATGGTAAACCTCTCCCAAGAGGAGAAATATGTACAAGGGGACCTGGTTTGTTTGCTGGATATTATAAAGATGAAGTAAAGACTAACGAAATATATGACTAGGATGGCTGGTTACACTCTGGAGATATTGGTGTTATCTATCCGAATGGTTCTATTAGAGTGATAGGGAGAATAGCTAATGTATTTCAGCTTAAAAATGGCTCAGTAATATCGCCTGAAAGAATTGAGAATACATATATTAGAGTTAAGGGTGTTTCAGAAGTATTTATTACTTCAAATGGAGCAGAAGAATATGTTGTTGCAGTAGTGGTACCTTAGAAAGATTTTGTGTTAAATCTTTTAAAAGAATTTTAAGATAAAAAATAAATAGAAGTATAAAATAATATAAACAAAACTTAAGCTAGCAAAACAACAATTAATACTAACACAAAAATTTAAGACGAATGTGCCACTTTAAATTATGAAGATTCTTGTAAGCATGGAAGAGTCATAGAATACTTTAAATATAAATTTGATGAATAAGCGAAGCTAAATGGTTTGCAAGCAAAAGAATATGTTAAAAAAATTATCATTGAATCCTAGCCATTCTCTACATTAGGATTATATACTTAAAGTCTTAAACTATAGAGATTCTTTGCAAGAAAGCACTTTATGAGTCAATTAGAAAATATCTGATCAAATCATTTGGATTATTGTGAATTTTTAATTAAAATAGAAAAGTGAATTTTTTTTGTATAAATTTGTAATTTATGAGCATTTGTGTAAAAATAGATGTTTAATACTTTTACTGTTTAAAATTAATAAAAGTAACAAAATAAAATAAGTTGCTATGTATTTACTACATATAATCTTATCTATATCGATTGATTAATTTTAAGTTTAGAGTAAACATTCTTTCATGAAAATTTCACTAAATATTTCTAAACAAATATACTTTTAAATCTTGAAGTGATTATCCTAATTTGAAATATTTTGGAAATCATAATTGAATTATTTATTTTAGTGGTAACCTAAATTATTTTTATTTACTATTAACACACTTTTTTTATTGTAAGAAAAGCTTATATTTTTTTTAATTAATTGATCATTTTCATTTGAATATGTTTATTACTAATGTGCTATCTAATTTATTTGATATATCACGAATTTATTGTATTATTGGTATAAAAATTTTGCGTAAATTAATTATAAAGTCCTAAAACTTTAATTTATGCCCATTAAAAAGAAGATATTTACAGATGTTTAATCGAATCAAAATATATAAAATATATATCAATTAATAAATTTGTAAATAATATTATCAGAACATACATACACTTTCTGAATAAAATTCAAGTAAAATTTTAAAATTATTATAAATATAAACTAACTTAGTAACACTTATAATTTCTGTTTGAAGTATTAAATTAAATAAAGTATTAAGTAGATAAGTAGCTTTATATTGATAATAGTTAATAATTCTCGATAATAATATGTTAAATCTCTCAATTATTGAAAAAAAAAATTTTAATACTTTTTGTTATTTATGGAATCTGTAAAGATTTATGCACAACTATGATAAGGATGATGTAATATAAGTAACGCCATTTATCTATTTTATAATTTGAAATTTGAATAAAATTTTTTGTAAGTTAAGATAAATAAATTATCTATTATCTTAATAAGTGCATTAGTAATTTATCATCTGAAATAAGTAAATTAAGATTTCTTTTTACAGTTTTACATGAATTTTCTTGTAATGTTTTTAACATTCTCTTCGAAATAGAATTTTGTTCTGTTTGAAAAATTTTGATTCGCTATTATTAAAAATAATATTGAGAATTTTTGATTAGATAATTATCAAAAATGGATGATAAAATTTAGTCCATTTCCTATTTAGTTTATGTAAAATGCAAATAATAAAAATAAGAAATATCAAAAGTAATATAAAAATATACCTCAAATAACTAGGTAAATAGTAATTTGTTATAGTATCATATTGTATTTATAAATAACAAAAATTATTAGATTAGTTGATTAAAGAAATAATTAGAAGTGCAAAATATTAAATAGAAACCTTTTGATTGTTAAAAATATTGGCTAATGTAATTAAAGATTATACAAATAATTATAAATATGAGGAATCATATTTTTCTTTTTTCAGTAAAACTTCTCTAATTAATTTTAACATATTTATTATTGAGTCAGTTTTTTACTTAAAAGAAGCGAAAATGTTGAAATTTAAGCTGCTTTACGAAGTTAATTTAAGGAAGAATATAGTTTGAGATAAATAGAAGTGCATTTACTTTAAACCTAATTGGCACTTTAATAATATTAATAAATTTTGCATTATTATTTTTATAATTAATCCTCGATCAATCAATCAATTTGTCAGCCAATCAAGTCAATCTATTAATTTATCAAATCAACTCTCAGAATTGCAATTAATTGATAGTATTAAAAATCAATATCAAAAAGCTAAACCAAAATATTAATAGATTATAAGGAAAAACAATTCGTAAAAAGTTAATTTTTTTTCTTGATTAAATTAATCAACCTTTCATTTCAAGACCTCATTCTAAAGATCAAAATCATAGATCGATCATCAATCGCAAAGAAACAAAAAAAATAACTTTGATTTATTAAATAATATAAAGAGAAATCAAAACTAGGATACTATACAAGCAAAAGAAAAGGTTCTTTAGGAATCCCTGTTGTTAATAATAAATAGCTGATTTAAGTATAACAGAGCATTTTTTTTTTGCTAAAAAAAGAGAATAGCAAATTTACATTTGTAAAATTTCAAAGAAAAAAAAGAAGAGAAGCCATTTACTTTAAAAAATCTGTAGAGTTCTCTCAGATAATTCAAAGTAGGAAAAGATCTTAACAAGAGTGAACAAAAAAAATCAAGTAATACCTTTTGAAAGGTAGAAATGAAATAATAAAATTAAGCATAAGATTATAAGAAAATAAAGTTGCTAGGATAGGGGACCTATGGTAAAGCCTTTTTGGTAGAAAGGAAAAGCGATGGCTTAAAATGTGTTATTAAGTAGATTGAGATGTCGCATATGACTGAAGAAGAGCGCAAAGAAGCTTAAAAGGAAGCAAACATCCTCTAAATGTTGAATCATCACAACATCATAAAATATCATGAACAATATAAAACGAAAAAGGGACGCCTTTGCATCGTAATGGACTATGCAGAAGGTAATTAACTTCAAAATTATATATATATAAACAGACAAATAAATGGAAAATCTACATCATTCATCTATATGATAACATCAAATTCATAGAAAAGAAAAACTAGTCAAAAACAATAGAATTAAAACTAACTTTTCCCATATTTTTACTCATTTTAATCTCAAAAGAACTTCCTTCAAGATTAAAAATGTTTTGATAGCTTCTAACACACTACATATCTGCGGTAATTTTTCAATAGAATTTAGCTTGATACTTAAAAAGCTACATATTTTATAGTAGCAATTTCCAACATTAATCAAAGTAGCATCATTACCATTTGCATATTCGTTAATATGATTAGGAATTTAAAATGAGATGAGAAATTTAGCTTTTAAAAAAATATTTTACAAGCTGTTTTTAAGCATTGAATTTGAATTGAGAGAGCTCTAATTTAAATTTAATAACTAGCTCAACTCATCCCCATGTTATTTATTTATTGATTGAATTTACAGACAGCTTCTTACAGAAAATAGCAAGAAATATTAAAGAAAGTTTAAGATAAATATTCTTTTTTCTATTCCAAAAAAATAAGAGTTAAAAAGGAAGACTTATACAACTCTTGTAAAATTAGCAGAGAGTCTTACTTTTTTAAAAGTAAATAATTTCCCCTTTGTTATACACTCTTTTAAAAAATAAGTAAGCTTGAGAAATACATAAATAAATTCAAAAATATTTTGAAATCAATAAGAAACAAGCAAAAACAAAGAAGGAAAGCTAATCTATCCATTCAATTTAAAATTCAAATTCTGCCAAATGTTATCAAAAAAAGAAGGGCAAAGTTAAATTTTTATTCTGCATGAAAATTAATTAATCGTTATCGATCTAACCAATTTAAGGATAAATACTTCTTTAAATTAAAGATTAAGTAGAATAGTACAATTATACCAAAAACTATCATAAAATATATCAATTTTTATACAATTACAATTTTAAGCAAAAATTTTATTGGAATAATCACTTAGAAAACAAAAAAGAAATATCCAGAATATATTTTATTTTTAATATATTAATTGCCTAAAAATCCCTATTCTCAAAAGCAACTCACCTAATATTATTTACTAGCAAAGCTTACTAATTAATATTTCTAATTTTAATAAACTGCTTTTATTTCTTCTGTCTGTCTTTTACTTCTTCTTATCACTTTTATGATTTTTAAAATACAAAATTCTTTCATAATCAATACTTTTTTTCCACCTAATCTATTTTTTCTATCATCAAGCTGAAAATGAGCAATTCATACCATTTTCATTTAGATATAAAAGATTTTTATATGTCTAAATTTATCAATTACGCTTTACATTTTTTAATATTAGAAGCTATTACTTTATCATAAAAATCTTTTTCACTAGCCATCTTTTTTAAAAATAATTATATTCACAAAATAATAAATTTGCTTAAGATATCTAATTTTTTTGCGTATGGTATCGTCTCTAAAAAAATAATAATTGCAGAAGTATAAATTAAATACTATAAAATAGCAAAATAAACAAATTCACATAAAAATATTTAAATTTGAATATTTTTTCTCTAGTAATCATATTTTACTTACAATAAGTAATAACAATAGATTATTGCTATTCCATTATAATTCTTAAGTAAATAAATAATTCTTTGTTCTCAGCTTTTTTAAAGTACTTCTGCGCTTTCTGATGAAAAAATATTATATTAATTCTAATTGAATTTTAATATAATTCTAACCTTACAGTCTTATCATTTCTATTGTTAATATAATAATATAAAATACTCATAATTTTTGAAAATAGGGACGGTTTATTTTTCTATCTTACACTTTAATAAAATTTTGTATTTTAGCATAAACCCTTCATAGATATCAGATTAAATTTATAAAATTTAATCTAAAAAGCCAAAAAAAATTTTTTAATATCATTTTATTTTTATGATATGTATGTATGTATGAAAGATTGATTATCCATTTAAATTATTATCCAAATAAATTTAAAATTAAATTGTAACCTTAAAATTGTAACAGGGGGCGATTTGAACCAAGTGATTACAAAAGCTAGATCTAATATTCCAGAAGAGTAGATACTGAATTGGCTTCTATAAATGAGTCTTGCTCTCAATTATGTACACAATAAAAACATTATCCATAGAGATATTAAAGCTTAAAATGTTTTTTTATCTGCAAATAACATTGTTAAATTAGCAGATTTTGGTATTGCTCGCATACTTTCATGCACAAAAGATAAGGCACAAACATTCATTGGAACTCCATACTATCTAGCACCTGAACTTGTAAATAGCGATCCTTACACAACGAAAGCTGATATCTGGAGTTTAGGAGTTTTAATATACCATCTATGTGCTTTAAAACCTCCCTTCGAGGCAGATAACATTCCAAGCTTAATGATTAAAATTTCAAGAGGTTAATTCCCCCCAATACCTTAAATATACTCAAAAGAGCTTAGATATCTTGTTAATGAAATGCTTACTGTTGATCACAATTAAAGACCCTCAGCCTTGTAAATATTAGGTAGATTTTTTAAAAATTTAATTGTTTTTTTTTATTAATTTTTATAAAATTATTTTTTATTAATAGAAAAACCTTTAATTAAGGGCAGAGCTATGAGTTTAATGTCAGAAACAATAGCCATGTAAGTATAGCAAGACACTTAATGTGAAAATGATGAAAATTTAGGAAACAAACAATAAGCATAAAAGAAAGTGCAAGCTATTCCCTCCATAGATAATGATAGAAGATACGGATTTAAGGACAACTAGAAAAACAATAATATGAATATTCCTTAAACAAGATTTTATTCTCCATAACATAATATGGAGTAGAGAAACCTAGGTTTCAATAATAATCCTAAAGATAATGTACAAGATAAGCTATCTTATAATGATCTTCCAGTAATTAATGGAGATGACGTATAGAATAGACCCAAATCGAAGGCAGAGGCTTTAAAATATTTTAAGGCTTAGGATGAATATTTTAAATAGAATATTAATTAATAAGCAAATTAAGAAAATAAACGTTAATTAAATAGAGTTGAATCATTAAATGAGTTTTCAAATAATAATAACTTAGTAAATAATTAGAATAGCAATAATATTAATAAGAAAATCGGGTATGTAAAATAACCATCTTTCTAACCTGTAATACAGTAAGAAAATAATGTAAATGGTTCATAACATGGAATGGGTTTTCAAAACTACCCAAAAAAGTCATTTAGAGTACACTCTCCTGTTCATCATAAAATGCCTTCCCCTAACAATAGATTCAACGAAAACAAAAGTAATTAAAATTATAGTTAAGCTGCTGGCCCTATCAGCTCTTATAATAACTTTAGTAATGCAAATGAAAATTATAATTAAAATACAGAATAATAACAACAATTTAATAGCAAGTAAAGTGAATAGCTATAGTAACTTTAGAATAATTAGCAAAAAGTTCCTATTAGCAACAACTTTTTACTTGCCAATAATAATTAAAATAATTTGAATATGAACTAAAATAACAATATTTCTAATCTGGATAGAAATAGTAATCTACATGATTTCAAGTTTTAGAATAATAATATTAATAACAATAATGCTTAGCCTCAGTATAATAGGATAGGAAGTCCTGGTACTCGTCTTCCTCATTTGAATTACCAGCCTCCTCAAGCAAAAGTCAAGCATGGATCTAATTTTAGCGTAATGGATAATCTTCCTTAGACTCCTTAAGCTAATATCAATCGTAGGAACTTGGAAAAGATTTAAAAACCCTCAATATTAAGCAACAAAAACGAAGTTGGATCACCAAAATTCAGTCAGCGTCCCCCAAGCGCTTTTGTTGGATTGGGAAATTATAACAATCTTTAAAAGAAATAAGCTGCTTAAATTGGATAGGAATGTCATTCACCCTACGGCAATATAAATAAATTAAATCTGTAAGGCAACAAAAACTAATAACAATAATTCTAAGACGCTCTAAATAACCAAGAACAATAACAATAACAATAATAAATTTAAAATATTTAAATGATACGTGAGTAGCTTCAATCTGCAAACCCAACTAGTAATTCAAATAGATTAAAACTTCTTCAGCCTCCAAACCTATTGAACTTAAATTAATAAATAGCTTAACAATAAAATTTAATACAAAATTAACAATAACAGCAATAATCCACTAAAGAAACTTAAAAAAGTGAAGATAGTTCAGAGTCTTCTTAAGATGATTAACCTTAAAGTTCTTAAAACCAACTTGGTAAGAGCAATTAGTACAACAACTCTTCATAGCAGTAGTAAAATAAAAAGTTTGTTATCAAAAAAGGAGGACTTTAAGGATTACTACCCGGAAATCATATTTAAAATTAATAGCCCTAAGGAAATCATCATGCATAACCTATTTCTAGTGCTAATAGAGTAAGTTCCTAACCAACAGAAGAACATATCATTTAAGTTGGTTCTTAGATTGTTAATTTTAACACTCAACCTACTTTACTCAACTCATAAAATATTCAATTGCTTTGTGTTGACTCTGATACATCTTAAAGAGATACACCAAAATCTGAAAATGTTTCTTAAGCTACTATTAATTCAAGCATCGTTAACACTTAGTTGCTAAAGAAATCTGATTACAGCTAAATATCAGCTACCTAAGCCTCTTAATATGAAGCAACATAATCAATTAAGTCAAATGCCGCTGCCCAATCAGCATTTGAAGATTTAAAAACAGCAAAGAAAAATATCAACTCTATAAAATAAGTTTGCAGCTCAGATAATATTGATAATACAGATTCACAATTCAAAGCATCTTCCTCAACTTCTAGTTAGAATTCTTAGCCTAATAAAGTCGGACAATTTAAAAACTAAGTATAAAATGCCTACAAATAAGATTTTTCTGAGGCAAAAGGAAAGCGTAAAGATAGTTAAAGTGACGAAGACATAAGAATTTTCGATAGTGTAGATAGCCAAAAGAGTGTTAAATCTCCTACAAATATTATTCCAGCTCCTCAGTCTCATTTCAGCTAGAATGGTAGCAATAACTAATTAAGCTCAAACTTATAAACAAAAAACAAGCTAACAGCATCTGAGGATATTGACTATTAAAAAAGATAAGCTAACAATCTACCTGTAACTGCTAGTATACTAAATGCAGATAATGACAAAGAAACAAAAGTAGAAAGAAAACTCATTGTAAAATTGCCTCTCCCATTCCAAGAAGTAAATAAAATTTATAAACATTCATTAATTTTAAATTAAATATTTATTTTAAATATAGAATTAGTTAAAACTTAAAGAAAAAGAGAGGAAAAAAAATAAAAACAACGAAATTTCACCTGATATTAAAGCTGGAAATGAAGAACAAGAGACTGACTTAGAAAAAATGCTTAATGAATTGAACTAAATGGTAAATTTTTTTATTCATTTTGTAAATATTAATAAATAATTTCAATTTTATTTAAAGTTAACTGGAAATTTTGATGAGCAAATTCAAAATCTCTACAATAATGGATTTGAACTAGACACAATCGAAGACAAGGATGATTATCTCGATGAAGAGGAATATACTAGCAATAGTAATAATTACAACTTTGGTTCTAGTCCTTAAAATAACATTGGCAACAATCAAAATAATAAGCAATAGTTGAATTTCAATTCAAATATCCCTAGCAACATAAGTTGTATAGCACCAGCTTATAATAAGAGTTCTTAAAACAAAATGCATAGCAGCGGAAATCATAATAGTAACAGTAATAATATTGGCTCTAATTCAAACCTAAATGGAAATTCTTCATCAAATAATTAAAATAACATTTATAATAATCAATCAGCGGTATCTAAAGCTATTGCCACAAGCAACACTAACCAATCAGATTTATTTTCTAACTCTGAAGATCGTGTGAAGGTAATTTTTAAATAAATTTTAATATACCTTAATAAAAAATATTATTTTAAATTAATAGTTACTGAGATAATCTCTTGAAAAAGAAATTGGAACCATGCATTTCTCAAAAGTATACAAAATGGCCTTATCCTGTTTAAATAATGTTCAACAGCCTCTAGAAAGTAGCGAATTTTTCTAAAATTTGAAAATCATGTTCCCAAGCTGTAACAATTAAGAAATCCAAAGATATACTACTCTTTTCCATACACTTGTTATGCTTGAGTAGGATTGAAGGATGATAAAATACATAATATATTAAAATAAAATTGCTTTCTACTAATAAATAGCAACTTGAACTAACAAAAATCTATAAAAAACAAAAAAAACATTAAATTTAAAAATAACTTCTTTGAAGGATAATAATAATAATAATAATTTAAAAATATAAGCAAGAATCTGATAAATAAATTAACTCTTATATAATTTGTAAACAAATTAATTTTCTAATATAATTAATTATATTCAATAAAGAAATAGCTAAAACTTTAAAGCTTCTATTATATAATTAAAGAAAAGTAAACACTAAAAATACTTACTTAATAGATTAACCATGAGTTAATTTAGCAATTATTGATCATTTTAATCATAAACTAATACTATATTAATAACAATGTCATGAACTGCTCCTATGATTTTTTCCCTGAATTATTAAATTTAGTATTATTTTAGAATGTCTTCTTCTCCTATTATAACAAAAAATCTGAAATAAAATTAATAAAGAGTGAGAATCTAAAAGCTACAGACAACTTAAACAAAAACTAAAATTTAAATAAAATTCAGCATGTATATGAAAACCTAAGAAGCAGTTAATAAGATATTGAAAAACCTAGTAAATATTCGAATAAAACACATTAAATAATCTATCTATCTAAAAAACAAAAACATAATTAATTATCTAAAGCGATTTATTGAAATCCAAAAATATTTTTTAACTTAAAAGTAGTATTTATCTTATCTTATTAATTAACTACCGTTTTTTAAAGCTAAAATCTAATGTATTATTTCTAATAATAAATTTCTCTAATAATATATTAGCTAAGAGTCACATAAACTATATTAAAATTATATTAAACATTTAAAACTGCTAAAACTCACCCTAAAAATAGCAGTCATCTTTATATAAAACTAACCATTTATAAAAAAATACTTATACCGTTCTTTTATTTGTATATTTTAAATAGTGTATAATTTAATTTTAAACTTAATCTTACTCTTTATAATATTTTATTATTAGCTATTTTAATATCTTTTAATTAAAATTTATTATTTTTTGTAATTTTTTTAAAATCTCATAAGAAAGTAAATGTCTTTATTAAATACATTTCTTAAAAAATAACTTAAAATAAATTATTTGAACTAAATTTTTTTATAAAATAAAAATACAATTTTTAATTCTTATGAGTTATCATCAATAAAAAATGTTTAATATTTTGAATAAAGTAAAAACTTACAAAATTTATATAAAATTTTAACATTTTTTTTAAGCAATATTATTTTAGAAATTTTAAAAAGTAGAAGAAAAAAAAAATTATTATTAAGTTTTTCAAAAAGATTTTTTTACTTATTTAATTACAAAACAATATTAATTTGATTATAAAAGTAAGTAATATGGAAATACTTTTCTTATTATGTAACTCTGAATTTAAACTAAGTTAGTTGTTAAATTTCTTAAAATGTTTTATAGAAGAATCTACATTGCTTTTCTATTTTTAAAAGAAAAATATATTTATTAATATGATTTCGTTTAATTATTAGTTATTCCATACATACTAATATTCAATAATAACAGGAAGATTTGGTAATTTTTATTATTTTTTTATTTATGAACTTTGATAAACGATAACTTTACTTTTTTAATATTAAAAGCTTTTAAATAATTTGAAATAAACTTAATTTTTATTTAATATTTAGAACAACTTTTAAAAAAGATAATTAGTTTATTTAAATATTAAAAAAATCTTTCAAATGTATTACTAGAATAATTTTGTATTTTAAAAATACTCATTTATATATTTTTTTTAAATTTTGTCTAATTTGATTTACATTTTAATAATTTTAGAGATTTATTATAAGATTTTATTAGATTGCAAATATGTATTATTACATTTTCTTTTATTAAATATAAATTTAATATTGATTTTCAAATAAGATTCTTTTGATTGAGCAATAACTTTCTTTTATATAGTTAGGAAATTTATTTTTGTTTTTATAGATAAGATAAATCATGCAAAATTACCATATTATTTAAATTGATTTTAATTATTAATCAATACTCAACAACTCTTTCTTGGTCTTTTCTAGCTAAAGCAAATCCAATCTATTTGCCACTCAAATCAAAGTTAGTAAAATACTTTCTCATGAAAACGTCGCCAATAAGTAATGCGTTAGGTGTTGGCTCATCAAGATCTATCGCTTTTAAACCTAATAGGCATCCATATTATCCTTAACTTTTTATCTGTAATATATATTCATCTCCGTTTAATGTGTAAGTTTAGTTACCAATTACGATATGTATAGCAGGGTATTGCTTAATAGTGCTACAATCAACTACTCTTTCACCTTTGTTAGGTAGGCTTTAGAAAATTGCATTCATAAGCATGCTAGGTCCTGTTAAGATAGGAGTTCCTGTATCTACAATAGCTAAGCTGATATTAAAAGTCTGGTTTTAAAATTTAACACAATTGATTCCAATAGTCCATAACTCTTCTTATACCAAAGGATAATAATAGAAAGGAGAAACAGCATAGTATGGATCATAACCACCAATAAAAAGGGCAGATCCTTCTCCTCCGTGTTTTTCAGTGTAATAAAAAGCATATGAAATATTACTACCAGGATTTTACTAAAGATATTGCTGGAAAAAAGGAATAGTGCTATTACGCATCTAGTAGGAAAGACCAAATATACCACTAGTTTTAAAGTATTTAAAAATAAATCCTGTCACGTTTTAAGCTTCATCAATTTAGAACTATTTTAAAGTATAATTTCCAACACTCACAGTATCATTAGATCTGAAACCTTCTATTGAACCAGCAATATAATCTTCAACAAATGTTTCTCCATCAGCTGTGTAAGTAGATGAAGATGTATGATTATATGTTTTATGAACTCTACAAGTATAGGAAGCAGGACTACATGTAGAAGAAAGAATCACAAATTCAGGAGAGCCAGTATCAAAAATGACACTTAAATTTTAAGGAGGAGTTCCGACTTATATGTCACCATAGTATTGTGAGTGAATGTAAAAGTCTATTCTTTCATCAGTCCAATTTATTTACTTAGATTTTTGGGATAGAAGTTTTTTGTTTGTATTTAAGACTAACTTGATGTTTAATTATATGGAAGATCTGTTTCTTCAGTTTTTCGAAGAGGGATCTTTATAAAAGCTGTTGCTAAGTAAACTATAGTGAATAGTACAATTATTTTTTTCATTTTAGTTTTCTTTATTTTTGTATATAATTAATAATTATTATTTAATTTTTTTAGATTAAAATTTTTTGAGTATAAATTGTATCGAATTTTTATAATTGATGCAAATAATTAATAAATATTTCACAAACATTTGAAATATGTGGTTACTGAAATGACTTCCAGATAATAAATATTTCAAATTCTTTTATAACTTTGATTAAAAGATGATGTATCATTTCAAATTTTTTAATTTTTATGGATTTGATTAAGAGAATAGAAAAATTTTCATTATAATTTTTTCTTTTTATTGTAAATATTTTCAAGTTTATTATTTGAATTTTAAAAAAAGTAATTTAAAAAGTATTATAATAAATTATTAAATATGTTATCAATAATTAAAAGATTATTATCTGATTGAAATGAATAAAAAGAATATATGATATTCAGAGAAAGCATCTAATACTCTCCTGTTAGAGGTTATATTTATCAGAACAAGCAAACAACAAAAATTTATCCTAGGCAACTAAATTTAAAGCTAAAATTGAAATACAAAGAACAGTATATTTATCAAAAGCTGAATAAATCTTAAAGTTCTGAAAAATTAAAGAAAACAAATTCATCAATTTATATAAATTAAGTCTAGGTATCTGATAGAGTAATTCAAATAGTCCATATAATAATTTTTAGTACAACAATTATGATCTTTCAAATATTAAATCCATCCTTAATTTCCATAAGGGTTAATCATTTAAGCTCTTATTAGCATACTCAAACAAATGTATCCCCTTATAGATAGGTTATAAACTTAAAATATCAGTTTGCTTAAGTAGTTCTTTGTGAAAACTAAAATTCTATTTAATCTTATAGCTTATAAAATTATTAAGTAAATTAATTTTTATAACTAAAGCTAATTAAAGTATTAATAAAAAAATTATTAATAGGATAAAAATTAGAACCAATTCGGAAGTAACTATTATAACTTTTTAGAATAAAAAGTAGATTCTGATTTACTGTATTCTAATTTTACTAATGAAAATCACAACTTCTCCTTCTCTCCTTAAAAATGATAATAAGATTAATAAATTTAAATATTTAATATCTTTTAGCAATTAGTATTAAATACACAAAAACATCTTAATGGTAAATGTATAATGTATTTAAACTTAATTTAAAACAAAGCATTAAAAATAAAAAATATTATTTGCTTTTCAACAAATTTTAAACAAGAAAATATAATAATTGTAATTATTTTAAGTAAAAAAATGGATTCATTTAATTTTTTAAAATACTATTGAAAAATTTTTTTTATGGAGTTAATTAAATTCTAATATCCAACTTGATTTACATTTTTAAAAATTTAAGATATTTATTCTTAGATTTAATTAGAATTCAAATAGGGATTATTACATTTTCTTTTATAAAATATAAATTTAATATTGATTTTCAAATAAGATTCTATTTATTGAGCAATAATTTTCTTTTATATAGTTTTGAAATTTATTTTTGTTTATATAGATAGGATAAATCATGCAAAATTATCATATTATAAAAATTGATTTTATATATTAATCAATCAATACTCAACAACTCTTTCTTGATCTTTTCTAGCTAAAGCAAATCCTACCTATTTGCCATTTAAATCAAAGTTAGTAAAATACTTTCTCATGAAAACGTCACCAAAAATTAAAGCGTTAGGTGTTGGCTCACCAATATCTATTATTTTTAAACCTAAGAGACATCCATATTATCCTTAACTTTTTATCTATAATATATAGTCTTCTCCGTTTAATGTATAAGTTTAGTTACCTATTTCGAAATGTATCGCAGGGTATTATTTAATTGTGCTACAATCAACTATTCTTTCACCTTTGTTAGGAAGACTTTAGAAAATTGCATTCATAAGCATGCTAGGTCCTGTTAAGAGAGGAGTTCCTGAATCTACAATAGCATAGCTGATATTAAAAGTCTGGTTTTAGAATTTAACACAATTGATTCCAATAGTCCAAAAATCATCCTATACCAAAGGATAATAATAGAAAGGAGAAACAGCATAGTATGGATCAAAACCGCCAATAAAAAGGGCAGATCCCTCTCCTCCATACTTTTCAGTGTAATAAAAACCATATGAAATATTACTACCAGGATTTTCCTAAAGATATTGCTGGAAAAAAGGAACAGTGCTGTTACCTATCTAGTAGGAAAGACCAAAAATACCACTAGTTTTAAAGTATTTAAAAATAAATCCTGTTACATTTTAAACTTCATCAATTTAGAACTATTTCAAAGTATAATTTCCAACACTCACAGTGTCATTAGATCTGAAACCTGCTATTGAACCAGCATCATATTGCTCAACAAATGTTTCTCCATCAGCTGTGTATGTAGATGAAGATGTATGATTATATTTTTTATGAACTCCACAAGTATAGGTAGCAGGACTACATGTAGAAGAAAGAATCACAAATTCAGGAGAGCCAGTATCAAAAATGATACCTAAGTTTTAAGGAGGAGTTCCTACTTAAATGTCACCATAGTATTGTGAGTGAACATAAAAGTCTATTCTTTCATCAGTCCAATTTATTTACTTTGACTTTAGGGAAAGAAAGTTTTTCATTTGTAATTAAGACTGATTTGATGTTTAATTATATGGAAGATCTGTTTCTTCAGTTCTTCGAAGAGGGATCTTTATAAAAGCTGTGGCTAAGTAAACTATTGTTAATAGTACTAATATTTTTTTCATTTTAGTTTTCTTTATTTTTTATTATTAATAATTGTTATTTAACTTTTTTAGATTAAAATTTTATGAGTTTAAGGCGTATCAAATTTATAATTCTTCCAAATAAAAATAAATATTTCACATATATTTGTGAATCAATGAATGTGGTTACTGAAACGACTTCCAGATAATAAATATTTAAAATTCTTTTATAAATATACTTAAAAGATGATGTATCATTTCAAATTTTTCTATCAAATTAATATTTAAAATTAGTTGTTTATTTTTCTCTTTAAATCAAAAATATTTTCAAGTTTATAATTTAAAATTTGGAAAAAGTAAATTTATTATTAATAATTAAAAAACTATTATCTAATTTATTTCTGAATAAAAACAATCTATTATGTTAAACTTGCTATAAAAATTTACATTTCCCATCTAAATATAAATAAATATATATGTTTATTCTAAGTATCTCTACAGCTCAAAAAATATGTAAAATTATATTCCCAATTATAATTATTATAATTTGTATCTAAAAAGTTAAAAAATAAAATAAAAAATAATTAAAATAATTTTTTAATTTTAAAACTGGATAAATAAATTAATATAAAATTGTTAATTATTAAAAATATTTTATTAATTTCTAATGATCAAATAAATATTTTTTACTTAATAATTCAATTACATTTTATAAAATTTAAAATTTTAATAATGATTTTTTGAGCTTTTTTTTTGTAAAAAATTTTAATGAAGAGAAAAAAATATTTTTAATATCTAAGGTTATTTATTTATCAATTAATTCATTTTATATTAAAATAAATAAAGATTATCTAAAATATCAATATTATCTTTTTCGATGTAAATTTACTAATTAATTAGTCATCAAATTTTATTTGTTAATAAAAATTAATATTCATATTTTATGGTTGATTATTAATTCAAATATTAATAATTAATTTTTCGCAAACACCAAATATATTTTTAATTTTAAGTAAAATTAATTTTAATTTATGAATCCTATTAAGCCAAATTTTTAGCTTCCTACTAAATAGGATTACGCAAAAGTACTTGAGGAAATAGATAATGAAAGGGAAAAATTATTACAAAAGCCATATATAAAGCACCTATATATCGCTGATTAGTATTTAGAATTAGAATTACATACAATAGCACTTATGACATCTCTCCAACTGGAACTAGGCATAATTAATAAGAACAACTAAACATAACAAAAAGACGATGAAATACTTTAAATAGAAAGTATTATTCAGTAATAAATATTGCCATGACTAAAATACAATTTTTAAATTTTATATTAAAAGTACTTTCAATTACTACTTCATTAAAAAAATAAATTTAGAGCAAGCAGAGTTGCAATACAAAAAATGGTAAAAAAAATAATAATTATAAAATAAATGAATATAACATTTGCTGTTTTGTAAAATTTCATTTAGGTTGACATTAAAAGGCATATAAGATGAAAATGATATATTGACTAATACTAAGTACAATAGATTTATATCAAATATGGAATTTTCAGAGATAATTTTTAGTTTTTATGGGCATGGTTAGGATCCTTAGGAAGATATCAAGTATAATGTACCCCTTTTTTTACAAACAATAAAATGTTCATTTAAATAAAATTCTTACTTAAAAAGGTTTTGATGCAATTAGATTTTATTTATACTAATTTAAATAAGTTATTAATTGAAAAAATGAGTGAAAGCAAACTTCTCCTTAAACAAAATCCTCAAACCATTGTAAATAAAATTAAAAAATATCTTATAATAACTTTTTTTAATACAAATTATATAGATTGAACTCCTTGAAAAATTTTATTAGTATTTTGATGAAAAGATTGTAGGATATATCAAAAAAGAAAAATTAATATTCCTTTATTTTTCTTTAGTTGAAGCAAATTTGCTTAAGAAGCCGTTAAATAATAAATAAATTTAAAGCCAATTAATGAATCTGAGTCAAGAATTTTAAGAATATGAAGGAAAAATCTCTATGAGATATTTTAAGCTTTTCTTTTACAACAAGCGACTTATTAGTCAAAATATAGTATTTGAGCTGATTAAGTCTGTTGAAAAGTAGATATTATTTTTTATACCTTTTAAATAAAAGGCAAATTAGATAATAGATAACTTAAATCATTAACAACAATCTAGATCAAATTCATAAATGTAGTTTAGATAAAGCATAAATAAAGGAGACTAAAGTCATTTTATTAGAAATTAAACAGGTTAGAATCACTTTTAGCAAAATGAAGATTAAAAATTTTAAAATATAGCTCAAAACAATATACATTAAAATGCAAATAATCAAAATTAAAATTAAATGGAGTATAATACAGACTTTCTCCAATAATTTCCTAGTATTTTCGATTTAAGTTTTTGTAAAGCTTATTAATTAGTGTAAGAAAGATAAAATATTGAAGACTTATAGAATATACTTAACCAAAGTCCAATAGCAAAGTCTATTTATTATTGTCTAAATGATAACTACTCTGCAATTGTAAATACCTTTTACTATTTATCAATAATAAAATAATTATTTTATTTAATTCATTTTTATTATAATTAAATAGATGTATTGGATTAAAACTAATGATATTTAAGTTACTGATAAGCAATTAAAGTCTTAAATTTATTCTATTTATAAATAAAATTATATGGCAACATTCCTAAACGTTGAAGGCTAGTTCCCAAAGACTTATTAGCAATTCGTTAACTCGATAATTTTTAATTTTATATAATTATATTAGAATTTTGAAAAAGAAATCATTTAATATTATCTAACAGGTGGATTTTTAAATATATAAACACCAACTCATTCTTAAGCAGATTAATATTTACTAGATAATTTGAACAAAAATAATATAAACTAAATGAAATAAAATAAATCTCGTTCTTCTAGTCCTTAAAATTTTAACAAAATTTCTCCACAGAATCGAGGTAGTTAAACTTATTAATAAGAACATTATAAGAGATTTTCATAAAGCGATACTAAAAATAATCAAACAAATATTAACTAATTTAGATATTCAATTAAAAACCATACTCTCAAAAATTTCACTAATCCAACTGAATAAAAAGAATCTATGACATACAGAGAAAGCACCTAATACTCTCCAGTTAGAGACTATATTAATCATAACAGACAAACAACAAAAATTGATCCTAAGCAACTAAATTTAAAGCTAAAGTTGAAATACAAGGAACAGTATATTTATCAAAAGCTGGATAAATCTAAAAGTTCTGAAAAAATAAAGAAAACAAGCTCATCAATAAATATAAATTAAGTCTAGGCATCTCATAGAGTTAATTCAAATAGCCCCAGTAGTAATTTTTAGTACAGCAATAATGGTGTTTCAAATATTAAATCCATCCTTAATTCCCATAGAAGAATTAATCATTTAAGCTCTTATTAGCAAACTCAAACAAATGTATCTCCTTATAGATAGGCTACAAACTTAAAAAATCAATTTGTTTAAGTAGCACCTTTTAATAATTAAAACTAAACTTAATCTTATAACATTTATAATTAAGAAAATAATTTTCCCATATAAAATTATCAAGTAAATTAATTTTTATTACTAAAATTGATTAAAATATTTAATTAAATAACTATTAATAGGATAAAAATTAGAACCAATTTGGAAGTAACTATTATAACTTTTTAGAACAATAAAATAATTAAATAATAAAAGTAGATTCTGATTTACAGTATTCTAATTTTACTAATGAATATTATAACTTCTCCTTCTCTCCTTAAAAAGGATAGTAAGATTAATAAATTTAAACATTTAATAGCTTTTAATGATTAGTAAATGCACAAAAATTATCTTAATTGTAAATATATATATAAATATAAATATAAAATGTATTTAAACTAAATTTAAAACAAAAAATAAAACTAATTAGATTTATAAATAGTATTTGCTTTTCAAAAAATATTAAAAAATAAAATATCATAATTGTTTTTATTTTAAGTATTCAAAGATTTGCAATCCTTAAATTTATTAGGTTTAGATTTATTGAGCAAATTAATGCTCAAAACTATAAAAAATATTTTTCTTCAAATCTTTCATTTTTTCAAACCTTTAATTCCTATTTATTGCTAATCCAGGTATTCAAATTCCACAGAATGGCTGGGTACATAAAGTCAACGAATTTCAATAAATTTTTGTTTTAAAAAAATTTTTAATTTTACAAGATGGGCAAAAGATACAAAAAGTTCTTTTAAATAAAATTTTTAATATGCATAAGATTGTAAGAATTATGCGCACTTTAGTAGAGGAGAATATTTTAATTATGAAAATAAAAGAACTTAATAACTAAATCGTAAATATATATTTAATATCATATTATGCATATAAATAATTAATTCTGATAAATTGTTTGTTAGACAACGTTTTTTTAAGTAAAAAATGGATTTTTTTATTTTTATAATAATAATTATATTTTATTTATTTAAACATTAATAAATATTTGATTGTGTTATGGATTTTTACTATATATTTAGTGTATAAATTAATAATTTAAATATTGAATTCAAAAAAAATTTTATTGCTTAATTACTATAGTCTCATCAGAGTCTTTTTTATTTGATGTAGAATCTATAATTTATAATTCATTATTACATTAACTTTTTTATTATTTTGATTACTACTATTAAGGTTAATGAGGTTTTAAAGGTTAAACTTTGATAGATTTACTTTTAAATTAATCAGAATTATTTTATAAAATTTTATTTTAGCTATTTTTTCTTGAATTTGCAGATTAGATCCTACTTAAATTCTGTTAGCTCTTTTATTATGCAGGATAAAATTTGTTCTTAATTTAGTTTTCTAAATCATTTTTATATTAAGATTCAGAACAAGATTTTCTTAAGGATTTATTATTTGTTTCAGGTTTTTATATAATTTTCCTATTTTTAAATATGTTTTTAAATAGTGAATTTAAAAAATAAATACCTTCCATGGAATATAGCCACTTAATCTATTATTTCTTGATGAGTTTGCTAAGTCTATGCATCCTCATTTTGTCTATCAATTTCATTTTAAGTATCATTTTATATCGATAAATTGTCTTTTTTATCTTTATTCTAAATGCAATTCGGAGTATACTCATTGATTTAAGAATTTTAATTAGATAGTACTTCATCTGGATTAGAGAATTATAAAAAATTAATTTTCATATCTTAGCCTTAGATTCGTTCAACAATAACTGAAATTTCTTAATTATTCATTAGAATATTTTTAATAATTTTATTATTTTTATCTTTATTTTATTATGAATTAAAATATATTTTACCCAAATTGTTATTGCAAAATTGAGATCCAGTTTATAAGTTATTTTACTTTTTATCTAATAAAATATCATTTGTTTGGTTTAATGGATTAGTTCCAAAAATATGTTATAACTATTATTCTTGTTGATCTACTTTTTGTATTTAATTAGTCATTTCTAAATTTTAGCTTAATTTATTTTATTAGCTGTTATTTTATTGATTTTTACTATTAATAACCCCATGAGTTTAATCTAATATAGTTTAATTTCTTACTTGTTCTTTATTACTCTTTTTATAATCAATTTTATGTTTAGCCTTTTCCTAATTTATAATAAATTTAAATGTGAAAAAATTATAATATAATTTGTTCTCACTTATTATTTTTTCCTGTTTTTAACAATATGCTCATAAGTAGTTATTCCTTTAATTTTAAGCCACGCATGATACAAAACTAATTGTAAACAAAATAAAAACGAAACTATATTTATTATAATAACAGCTATTGAGAGCCCTAAAAAAGTCTTGCAAGATAATGAAAACTCACTTCTTTAAACATAACTCTCATAATCATTGCTATAGAGAGCAAGAGAATAGGCTGTATAAGATATGCTTGTCAATAGTTCGCCAATTAAAGAGCAAACAAGTAAAATAAAATATCTATTTTTTAAATAAACTAATTATTTCATATTTATCTCAATAATACAAAAGCAATTACTTATAATTTTTTGAACCTATACAATTATTTAGCCATTCACTATTCATAAAAATAATATTAATATTTTTTTATTTCTTTCTTTTTATTTATTAAATACCAGTGATGATCGAATTCGAAGACGCATTTATTACAGACACCACAATGTTTTGTTTTTTCACTAACAAACAAATTGCAAATCTTACACTAGTGAGTCTTTTTATTTTCATCTATCCTATTTTTAACAAAGAAAATAAAAATATTTAATTAGTGATTTAACTAAAGTCTACTAAATTCCATTCATTTGCTATGTAATCATATCATCTATTGGATTGCAATAACTAGCAATAGTTCCAAAAATGAGTATCAGAATATAAAATGCGCCATTCAGAGTTAGGTAAATAAACTTTTAAAAGATTATTAATATTAGCATCTAAAAAATAACATTTTTTTACATTTAAAGTGCTTTAATCTTTTAAAAATTCTCTAAAGATGTAAAAAACCCATATTGCTTAAGCTGTAAAAATTATCCAAGATGTTATTTGATAAAGAGTAAAAGGAGTTGAACATCCATTTACTTTCACCTTTCTTTTAATAATTTTATACTCTTTAATCTTTTCATCTTCATCACATTCATTCTTAAAAAGCTTATTTTCTTAATTGACTTCTTTATTGTCTTTTTGTAAATTATTTAGATCATTATCTTTTACATTCATGTTTGTTTTAGTAATCTTATTAAAAATAAATGATAATGCTAAATAGTATTTAATTATAATAATTAAATCTTTTAATAATTACTTTACCAATGACCATCAAATATATAAATATTTTTTTCTTTTTATCAAAATCTTATGAGAATCAATAATAGTATAGAAATCTATTAAAGTTTGATAAATAAATTTTCTATATAATTTTATTAATTTTAAACCATTTTTAATTTAATTAAATCCATTTTAAATATTATTCATTCTTAAAAAATTAATAAACATGAATTCAAACTCATTTATTCAATAAATTACTCTAAAAGCCATCTAAATTATAAACTTTTTTTCTTTTGTTTTTAGTAATAAAATAATTATTACTTTAATCAGAAGGAATAAAATACTTAGAAAACAAAAAAATAATAAAATTTCCAATATAATTTAATATGCATTAAGTAATTATAATTAGTTTGAATTAACATGATAAAAAAAGTTGTAATTTTCCTATCTTATGTTTTTGAAAAATTTAAAAATAATAATATAATTAATTTGAATAAATGTAAGAAAGAAATAGAATAAATTATTTAGAAAATTTAAATAACGAATTAAATCTAAAATTATTAAAATACGTCCATTAAATTGTAAGATTTCAGATTAACTTTTAAATAATAAAGAAAAAAAAAATTTATTTTAAACACGCTCAACTTCCCAAAAATTACAAAGCTCCATTTAAATAATAAATTTAAGCAAAAAATCAGATATTTTGAATAATAATTTAAATCAGATTAGAAAAAATCAAAAACATAAAAAAAAATGAATTTGAAAATCCTTATTTTTGCATTAGCAGCAATTTCATTTTGTAGATGCTACTATCCAACAAATGCAAAAATAGACTATACTAAACTTCCTGTACTTACTAACATGACTTTCCCTGAAATGATGAAATATTTAAATTATCCTATGGAAACTCATTACATAACCACTGAAGATGGGTACATTTTAACATTCTTTAGAATCCAAGCTAAAAACTCAACAATTTAGAGTAATTTACCTGCAGTCTACTTTTAGCATGGCCTAGGTGATAGTTCTGATACAATTTGTTTGAACAATGAGGAAATAGCCCCCGGTTTAATGATTGCTAATGCTGGGTATGACCTTTGGCTTGGAAATAGTAGAGGTAACAGATATAGTATGAACCATACTATATATTCTTCAAATGATACATAATTCTGGCAGTTTACCTATTAGCACATAGCTCATTATGACCTTCCAGCTGCTTTTGAGTACATAAAAAAAGTTACTCAATAAAAAATACATTATATTGGACATTCTTAAGGTACTATTGTTATGTTTATGGCTTTGGCCAGAAAAGATTCTAAGGTCATCAATAATCTCAAAAGCTATATTGCCCTTGGAGCAGTTGGTAAATTATGTAACATTAAATCTAAGCTTTTTTCCAATTTGGCAAGTTTACCTGTTATAGATGCTATTATTGCATCTGGAGCTTAATAGTTTTTTCCTTACAAAAATAAGCAGTTTACTTCAATTTTGTGTACTATCTCTCCTTAATTATGTGGATTAACGCTAGAAGCACTAATGGATTTAGATGATTCATATGATAATATAGATAGAATGAACATTTTAGTTGGTCATTGTCCTGCAGGAACTTCAACTCTAAATGCCAGACACTGGTAAATTTATTTACTTTTATTTTGTATGAAAATTATAAAATTAATGGCTAAAAAAGTATTCAGTAAAATTTATCTTAAACAAATGACTTAATTTTTAAAACCTTAATTTGAAAAAATAAGCATCATCAAAAAATACAAAAAAATTAGATAATTATCAAATTTTATAATTTTGATTTTAAATTAGAAAATACAAAGAATAAATGAAATGATCTTTAAAAATTAAAGATTATATCAAATTATCACCATTTAATATCAAAAAATATTTATAGATATTTCATATTTAAAAGGGCTTAAAACTCTCGTGATAAGGAATTCAGGTATTTTGATTATGGAAAGCTTGGAAATCTAAAGAACTATGGATCTGTACTTCCACCTTAAATTTAGCTATAAGACATAGATTTCCCTATTCATATATTTGCTGGTTTAACTGATGAACTTGCCCCATTTGATGATGTTCAAATTCTTAAAAATAGTCTTACTGGATCACCTAATGTTACATTAAACATCTACCCATTTGGTCATGCCTCTTTCTTATTTGCAAAAAATATGTCATATGTGAATGACGTATTTGCTATTTTTAAGCATTATGATTAAAATCAAATTCAATTAGAATACTGATATATATTCAGTTGATATCAATTATGATTAACCTTATATAATTTATATAATATAGTATCTTTATATTAAGTTAAGTTAAAATTTACATTTATCTGATTTTTCTTTTTGGGGAGATATTTTTGAGGCCATTTTTCCCCAGACCCAGCACAAAAAATTAAATTTATGCCCATGGACCTATTATATAATTTTTTATTTTATATTTTTATTCAATTAAATTAAATTACTTTTTGAACTATCAAATTTCTACTTAGCTTATCTAAGCTAAAAAATTAATTATTTAAAAATAAATATAAGGCATTTTGCTATTGTAGTTTGAATAAAACATTTAGAATAAAATAGACTTTTATTTAAATAAATCATTTATAGAATTAATTTTGTAAATTAAAATCCTCAGAAAATATTGTTAAATTAAAAATATTATAATTCAAAAATAAATAAATAAATAAATAAATAAATAAATAAAAAAATGAAAGCATAAACTGATTAGTTTCATAAGTAAAATTCTTATATGTAAATAATTTTCAAATTGGCTTTATAAAATAGTACAGTTGTCATGATTTGTATTAATTTAATTACCACATTTTTGATTTAAGGTATGATTTATTAATTTAAAATTAATTAAACTATTTTGTAAATAAAGATAACATAGGAAATTATGGATGAATAAATTATTGTAAAACCAATTATAATTAAATAAATTATTTAAGAACAAGGTTTAATAGTAATTTAATTCAAAATAAATTATTAATATTTTTTGATATTTTAGATAATTAAAAAACACTAAATCATGAATTCATATTTTTTAAAATAGATATTCATTATATGTTTTTTTTTAGAATTTTATATAGTTTTTAAGAAGTAATAATGACTAATATGTAAAATAATTACTTTCTACTTTCAAATCATTAACTATTTTTTATTTTTAAATATAAGTTTTTATTTTTGCTTTTTTTTAGATATTTATTAGCTTTCAAATAAAAATATTATGTTTTATAATTCTTATTTATTTTTATTTTTAGAAATAGTAAAAGATTTTAATCATATTCTTGGTCTTATATCCTTATTAATCTAACAAATTATTTAAAGATATAAAATTTTAGTATCACAATTGATAACATAAATAAATGAAATCTAGGTCCAAATGATATAATTTAAATCAAAAATTTACATAAAAAATTATAGTTTTAAAATAATAAATTAAATTTACATTACTATTTAATAAACTTAATCCTAAAAAATTACTATTGTTATCAGGAATATATTTAAAAATATAAAAATTATATTTGAATATATATTGACTAGAAATTTGATCACTTCTTTATTTAGAATTTGAGGGGAGATGAGATTTCTTCAATAATTTTATTGATTAAAAACATAAAATTATATTTCATAATGAATAAAAAAGTAAATGGAATTCTTTTATAATCATTTAATTTATAATATCTATTTAATTATTACGTAAGTTCCAACCTTTTTTAAAATTGATGCAAAAAAAAGAAAATTGATTGATGTGTGTTGAAAATAAATGTTATTGTTTTATTATTAAATTTGATATAAAAACAAATACTGTTATTATTAATCAAAACTAATTGATATTTATTTAATAAAATTAAATAGAGTAAAAGTTTAAAAAGAAACATCATTTAAATATATCATGGGCATTAAAGTGATTATTTTAACTGTAGCATTGCTTTCTCTAAGCAATTGCTTCTTCCCTACAAAAACTCCTATAGACTTAAATCATCTTCCTGCTCTCACAAATATGACCTTTCCTGAAGCTATGAATTACTTAAATTACCCTGTAGAAACTCACTATATCACTACTCAAGATGGATATATCCTAACTTTCTTTAGAATTCAAGCCAAGAATACTACTATTAAGAGCGGATTACCTGTTGTTTACTTCTAACATGGACTTGAAGATAGCTCAGATACCATATGCTTAAATGATGAAGAAAATGCTCCAGGTTTATTGATTGCTAATGAAGGTTATGACTTATGGTTGGGTAATAGTAGAGGTAACAGATATAGTTTAAATCATACTAAATACACTACTTCTGATAAATAATTTTGGTAATTCACTTTCTAACACATGGGTGAATATGATGTCCCAGCTGCTTTTGAGTATATTTCAAAGGCTACTAATCAAAAAATTAACTATATTGGACACTCTTAAGGTACTATTCAAATGTTTGTCGCTTTGTCTAGACATGAAAAGAAAGTCTTAAACAATTTAAAGAGTTATATTGCTCTTGGACCTGTAGCTTGGGTTGGTTAAATTAAATCAGTTCTTTTACGTTCTATGGGTGAAAGTAAGCCATTAATTGACGCAATTATTGCTACTGGAATTTAGCAATTCCTCCCTTATAAGTAAGAAGAAGTCTTACCTTTACTTTGCACATATGTTCCTCAATTATGTGGTTTAACTTTAGAAGCCTTAATGGATATGAATGACTCTTATGATAACTTAAAGAGAATGAACATTTTTGTTGGCCATCTTCCAGCAGGCACTTCTACCTTAAATATGAGACATTGGTAAATATTCATTTATTAAATTTTTAATGAATAAGATAAAGTCTTAGTTATTTCGAAAAGTGCAATATAAAGAGATAAAGTTTTGTTTATACAATTAATAAACTGGCAATTAAGAATTCAAATTAGGCTATAAAAAGTGTTCAAAAAAAAATTTTTATTACATCACTTATGTCAGTTTTGATAAATCAAAATTTATGAAATTTTAGAGTAATTTATCTAATAATTAGATTTTAATTCCAAAGAAATTTAGTTACTCACAAATTAAAATTTAATTATTAATTTAAAGACTAATTGAATGATTAATATGAATATCCAAAAAATTTATAATCTAAAATTTATTCTTTTATATATAAATAGGGCATAGAACATCCGTAGTAAGGAATACAGATACTTCGATTATGGAACAGCAGGAAATTATTTACATTATGGATAAGCCAAAGCACCTAAAATTGAAGTTGAAAAAATTAATGTACCTGTCCATTTATTTGTTGGCCAAACTGATGAACTCGCTGATGTTAGTGATGTTGAAATTCTTAGACAAAATCTCATAGGTTCTCCTAATGTAACATACAATTTATATCCTTTCGGACATGCTTCTTTCTTGATTGGCAAAAATGTGACATTCATGAATGATGTATTCGCTGTCCTTAATGACTATAATCAAAAGGAAACCAAAATTTAATTCTGATTACAAAAGTGATGACATATTAAATTTTTTAAGATTTTATAAGTATGATATATATTACTATCTATATTGGTAAATATTAATAAATATATAAATAATTACATCATTAGCTCATTACATCACTAAATTAGTTTATACATAAATAATTTTTTCTTATCAATAAAGCTGCAAAATTAGTCGAATGACTAAACTTTTATTATTTTATAATCTATATTAGATATTGAATTGAACTCTGATAGATAATTTATTTATTAAATAAAAATATGTAAAAATACTTCATCTATTTAAATAATTCATATATATTTAAGAATATAAATATTTAAAATTTTTTAGTTTATACTTATTTAGCTACAATAACTATTTAGGTTGAGAAATAGAATTTAATAAGAACATTTTGAAATAAATTTTTAATTACTATTTTTTATTTTTCATAAAGCAAGTAAATAGTTTGTTTTTTCTTAAATTTTTAATAAAATTAAATTAACATAGAATTTTTAAAAAATAATTATCAAAATTTTAATAAAAAATAAATATTATAAAAATATTAAAAGGATTTAAAGTTTTTAAAAATATTATTTTTTAATTATTTACTTTTATCAAATTATGATGAATTGGAATGTCTAAAAGAAAATTAAAGAAATTTAATTTAAACTCTAAATCAGTTTTATAACAAAATAAATCGATAAATCACCTCGAAAAAAAATATTTCTCATCTATTTTAAAAGTTATTAAAAGGGTTTTTGATAGAATCAACAAAATCGACTGATTATAAATTTTTGGTGAAATTTTTTAGGGATTTTAAGACTTTGATAATAAATAATCTGTAAAAAATTATTTTCTCTATTAATTTATTACTTTTAATAACAGCTATCATTAATATTAAAAATCCAATAATAATCCTTTGTTGAAAATTATTTTGTTCAGTTATTATGGTTTTTTTACCTAAATTATCTTTGTCTAAAGAAAAAAAATAGATGGCTAGCTGCTAAAACAAGGTAAATGATAAAACGATTTAATTGAAAAATAATTTTTTTAAATCATTTGCTTACTTTAATTACAAAAAGTTTGTAAGTTTGTTAGATAAATATTTTTTTCTTGATTTTAATTCAGTATGAAAACATTATTTATTTTGATTTAAGTATATTAATAATTTATTTGAAAAATATTTAATTTTTAAAATCAAATATGCTTTATTTTGTTTTTGAAAAATTTAATGATTAAAATTAATTTAAAAAACAAGTATTAGCGGGATATTTCAAATTTATTTTTTATTTTATAATTAATTTCCATTTAGATCTAAAAAATATGTGGAAATTAATTGTTTATTAGTCTAAATATATTTATCAAACATCAAAATTATAATAAATTAAATTATTAATAATTATAAGCAAAATATAAAAATAGATATTTATTAAATTAAATAAATAGATATAGCAAGCATAAAATGGGAGGAGATAATAGCAAGATTATTGGTCAATAAAGGAAAGAGTTATCAGATGGACTGAGAGTTCTAGAAAATAAAATGAATGATAGATTTAAAACTTTCTCTTCCACACAATAAATTTTAGACCAAATACTTAAATCTTAAAGTGACTTATCTAAATAAATGAAATCAATAGACAGCTAAAATAATGAATTAAAAGTTGAAATCTTAGGTGAGATGTCTAGAATAAGCAATTAATAAGAAAGTCTTAGCAATAGTTGCATAAAAGATCAGTAAATGGAAGTAGAATTTTCTTCTAAATTAGATATCCTAAAGGAATCTATTTCTAGAGAATAAGATAATAAACTAGTTAAGAGTTTTGAAGGTCTTCAGTCGAAGTTGACTTTAGTAGAAAAATAGCTAGACCTTATTAATAATTCATTCAACTAAAAATGCACAAATCTTGAATAATCTTTATTATCTTAAATTAAAGAAAGCTAAGAGTTGTCAAATATCTAAACTACTAAAATGGTTGAGGAGGTTGTTTCTACTCAAATTGAAAAAATTATCATCTCTCACTCTCAAAAAATTTCAAAAGTTGAAGAAGACATGGCTAACTAAAAAACTCGTATCGATAGTCTCGAATCATCTGTAAAAAATATTTAAGAATCTAGTCAATCTACCAATAAGGCAATTATCAAATCTATAACTGATTTAGAATAGAAGTTTTCATAAATATCATAAAAATTGGAAAGCTAAAAAGATAATTTGATTTTAACTACTAAAGATGAGATAAATTAACTTAAAAAAGAAGTTAACGAATATAAAACTTTAATCTTACGTTTAGAGAAGTAGATAGCATCCTAATAATAACAAAATCAAAAACTTATATCTTCTAATACAAGTAAACCTATCTAACAAGATATATCATAAGATATAGAAGAGGAATCACCAGCAAAAAAATTCAAGTAACCCTTATCTAAAGATCCTATTGATGCTCCAACTCCTAAATCCAAGAAAGAAAAAGACTAAATGGATATTTAGTAAGATATAACCACACCTAAATAAAAATAACAAGGCTAATTTAAACAGCAGTTGGCTGAATAATCATCTACACCTAAAGAAAAGAAAGATAAAGTCTAATAGTTCGAAATTTAAGAATTTAGCTAGAAAGCAATCCAAAAGTAAAATGAAAAGGAATAATCTTAAACACTCTAGAAAAGTTAGATCAAACAAGATAAAACTCCTTAAAATAATTCTGAAATAAAAGTAGATTAAACCCCAAAGTAAAGCAATCAATCTAAAACAGAAATAACACCTAAGTCATTTGCATAAGAATCAAAGTAAGCCCTGAAGATAATTAAAAAGGAGTAGCAAATCTAATTAAAAAATGATAATGATGATTATGGATCATCTAGCGAAGATGAAGAATCAAGTGAAAGTGAAAATTTACCAAGTAAGAGTAAAATTATGTCTAAATAAAATCAAAAAAAGAAGGAATAAAAAACTCCTTAAAGTGATAAAGATTTTAATAATTTGAATAAATTGAAAGAGAATACTAAAAATTTCATAAAACAAGAGTAAAATAACAACAATAAAGGAGAAAATACTCCTAATTAAAAGAAAAACTTGATTAATAACTAAAATATCACAAATAACTAATAAAACTAATAATCTAACTTTAATGGTAAAAATAAATAGAATTTAAAAGAATAATAGCAAGAATCAACTCCACAAAGCTAGCAGAAGGGTAAAAAAAACTTCAAAAATTAATATTGATAAATGTATCAGTATGATCTTAAATCTCATTTTAAAATTAGTAGATATACTTAATAAAACTGTAATAAAATTTTTGATATTGAATTAAGTAAAAATAATTAATCTACAAAAGTTAAGAGATTTATGTTTTGTTTTCGTTTATAAATAAAAAATGTTTCTTTCTAATTTATATATTCAGTCATTTTTGTGATAGTTTATACAATTTATTACTTATTTTTAATGCTATTTGATTTTTAATACTATTTCTTTCTAATTTATTAATTTAAAAAAATCAAATTTAATTATGTTTGCTATTTGTTCATGTATTTTACAAAAGGCCTAAATTATTATGATTATTATCAAAATTAGTAATCCCATGCAAATCAAAATTAAATAAAAAGAATTTGTTATTACCTCAAAATATCAAATATCATCAAAAAGTATTGAAAATAATTAAACTATAAATTCACTTCTATTAAATTTAATAAGTAAAAAGCAAGAAAAAAAAAAAAAAAATGAGATTAGACCCTTCAGTAAAGATTTATATTTAATATCAATTTAAGATGTTCAATTCCCATTTTTAAAGTATTTAGAATATATGACAAAGGATGAATTCCGTGTCTTGACAGCAATTGAAATCGGTATGAGAAATCATGAAGTAATTTAATTAATTTGTTATTTCTAAACTGAGTAATAATATTTTTTAATAAAGCTTGTACCTATGCATCTTATAGAAAGAATCTCTCATTTAAAGAGAGTATGTGCTAGTAAAGTAGTAAAGTTACTTCTTAAAAATAAGTTTATTGCACATGAAAATAAAAAATGTAAGTTTTAAAAATATTTTTGCTTGATTAACAAAACTCCTACTTGATTAAATTGAAATTTAAAAACAAATTTATTATAATATGGACACTTATTTTAAAAAATCAAAATAGTCGACGGTTATAAATTAACTTACTTGGGATATGATTATCTTGCTTTACAGGTACCTATTTAGCTAATCATTTTGAAATTTATTTATCAATAAATATTTTAATAACAGGTTTTTATCAGAAGAGGAGCTATTAAGGAAGTATTAGGAAAAGTAGGATGTGGTAAAGAGTCAGATATTTATAAATGTGTAAATGAAAATGGAGATTTTGTTATCTTGAAATTCACTCGTTTGGGCAGAACTTCATTTAGAACAATTAAAAAAAATAGAGATTATATTTAGCATAGAACAAGTTATAGTTGGTTATATTTATCCAGACTTTCTGCTATTAAAGAATACACTTTTATGGATCTTCTACATAAGGTATTTATTTTAATCAATATTTAGTATTTAGTAAGCTAAATTATTAACCATATAAATAGAATAACTTCCCTACACCTATTCCTATTGAGTAAAATAGACATGGTATTGTTATGAGCTTAATTAATGGTGTTCCTATGCAAAACATTTCTGAAATTGACAATCCAAAATATGTTTTTGACTAATGCTTTTATTTGATTAAAAGATTAGCTGAGGTAAAGAAATTATTAATTAATTACGTAAAAAATATTTATATTTATTACTTTAATAAAAAAGAATGGACTTATCCATAGTGATTTTAATGAGTTTAACTTGATGGTAGAAGATAATGGAAAAGTTATTATGATTGATTTTCCTCAGATGGTTAGCACAAAGCATAAAAATGCATAATTTTACTTTGATAGAGATGTTGAATGCATTCACGTTTTCTTTGAAAGAAGATTCAATTACCAGATTACTGATACTCTTGATTTCAACAAAATTGCTAGATTAAATGATCTTGATGTATAAGTAAAAGCTTCTGGATTTATCAAAAAGGAAATAAAGAATATTGATGATTTTGATATTGATTTGAGAGGTAGTGATGATGATGGCGACGATGATAATAGTGATGATGAAAATGAATAGAATGATTTAGATAAAAATATAGAATAAGAAGATAGCGATAATGAAATAGAAGAATCTAATAAGAGAATACAAAATTTAAATATCTTAAATGATGAAGATATTAGCTAAGATGAAAATGAAGAAGAGCAAAAAAATAACAAAAAATAAAAAAAGCATCACCTTAAAAAGCAATCAAAATCAAAATCTAAAAAGTAAAACTAAGAATAAGAAGGAAAAGATGGAGAAGATGATGAAGATAACTAAAAAAATAACTTTTCTCCTGATCTTTCTGAAATATCAATAGAAGATTTGAAAGAACTTTAAAAGGTAAACTAAGATTTATTTTCTGATGATGATAATGAAGATGATCCATTGGCTTTGAATGAGGTTAAAGATATTAATGGAAATATTGTAGTTCCTGAATAAAAAGAGAAGAAAAAACCTAAAAAGAAAATGGTAGATATTGCTAATGAATAAGACCAGGATAACAAACAAGACCTAAAAGAAAAAATATATATTAAAGAATCAGAATTAGCTGAAAAAGCAAAGGCTTATATTTAAAGATAAGTAGAAAAGTAATTTAAGTAAAAATATAAAATTCTTAAGAAAAATACAAAAAGCAGTAACAGTAATAAAGTTTTAGCTTCAGAGTATATGTGATAAAATAATTGTAGTTTTATGCTTTAAAAAAATTATTAAATAAAATGATTTTTTAAGTTTTAATAATATTTTTTCCTTTTTAAAATATCTTTATTTTTTTTAAATAATAAAATAATTAAAATTTTTTTTTGGTATAACCACACTTATAATTAAAATTAATGTTAACACTTCATAAAAAGTTATTCATACAACTTGATAAATTTAATTTGTGTCAATTTTCTGTAATTTCGTATTAAATAGTAAAAAATTGCAATTTTTTACACGCTTGCTTAGGTTAAGATTATAACTATATGTAAGAAAAATTTGAAGTAGCATTTTGAAAGAAAGATAGAAACAAATAAAAAGTATATACTTTTTAATATTTATTTCTAAGTTATAGAAAGTAATTACTAATTTTTCAAATTTAAAGAAAAGCAAATGATAGGTATCTTAAAAGTATTATTCTTTGCATTTAATATGCAAAAAATAATTTCATAATGCTAAAACGCATGCTTAAAATGTGAATAAGTCGGTACGCAAGTGAATTCCATTTGTACGTAGTGTGATTAGGGGTACTTACTAAATTAATCTCAAAACACTTGTGTAAGTTAATAGTGTGGGCAATACTTATACCTTTAAAAAAATTCAAGCTCAGATTAAGGATAGTGTTAAGCTATTTGTGATGATTATTATTCTACTAACCAGCTTTAAAATACTTGCGATATATTGAACTAATGTCCAGAGAATTTTTTTACACTTCCAGATTTTAGTAATAATACTAAAGTATAAAATATCCTTTATTATGATAATAATTCTTTTATTATTTAATACGATAATTTTCTTAATTATATTAACAAAACGAGCGGTGAGTTTATTTTGAGATTTAACTACACGAATAGCATTTTATCACTTTATGTTGTAAATGGCAATTTATTTGCTGTCTTGTAAGACTATTCTATAAATTTATGGAATCTAGAAAGAAATTCATTTTAATAGTTAAATTTAATCACTGTTGGTAAATTAACGTCGATTAGCTAAATATATCACATCTAGGATGATTATTATTATATTGTTACTTAAGATATATAAAAAAATATAAATTACATTACTTTAATAAGTACATCATAGTAATAAAATGAATTTATTGCCTATTAATTATCTAGTAATAACTAAAAGATGTATTTCTTTTCAAATCTAATTTTTATTTAAGATAACTCAAACGCTAAGATATCTTAAATCAATATGAATATTTCTGATATGTCAAAAATTTAAATATTAGAAGTTATTGCGAATGTCCTTTGTATTTAATAAAAAAACTCAATAATCTAAAATTTGATATTCTCTTCGACAAACAAATAGTATATTTTCTTTTTTCAAAGTTAATAAGTATTTTATATTGTTGATGAATAAAAACAAAATTGCAATTAAATTCAATTCCAATAGTAAATTTAGAAAATAATTATCTATCAAAGATAAAATATTTCAGATTTATTAATTATTTAACTTATGACATAAATAGTTATTAAAGATTTGAATTAAATATCCACTAATATTGCTAGCATATAAATTGATGGAACTCCATAAATATTAGATATACTGATTAATAATATTCCCTCCTATATTTAAATATTTATATTGACAAACTAAAATTAAGTTTTTAGCTTTCAATCGTCAGATCAAAATGAATCTATGGATTTTATTCTTTAATAAAAATTGCCTGTTTTAATTAATAATCCTTAATAATTAGTTTATCCTTCTTAATTTAATAAAATTTAGAATTTGTTTTTTGTCATTAGTAATGATTTATAGATGATTAAAATTAATAATTCTGATATCTAAGTAGGGTTTGTAGCAAAAAGCTTCTAGTAATCTTACTAATCTAATAAAGGTTAAATTAGTAAAATATTTTATGAAAATAATCAATCCTTACTCTATGTGTCATCCTTGGATGGAGTTTTGGCAGTTTGGAATATAATAACATAATATAGTTACAAGTATTTGAGAGAATACACTTTTATTAATGATAGCTGTAGAGACTTCGTACTGCTCTAAAATAAAATCTTTGCTATAGTTTTACAAAAATCAATAGTTCTTTTTGATATTGCAAGCGAAAATCAAAAGATGATACTTACTCAAAATGATAAATAATTTATTTAATAATACTCTCTCTACACAAATTAAAATTATATATTAATTTATTTAGATTCATGCTTAAAAGTTATTGATATTAGCTTAACAATTTTAATTAATTAATGCATGGTACTAAGCATAGTTAATTCTGTAATTTCTTCTTAATAAATAATTTACACATATGGATAGAAGTTTATTAATGCTTATTAATTAGATTTGGTAAATAAATAACTAGTTTTATAAAACTAAGGAATAACAAATGCCTCTAGCATTTAAATTTTTTATTTAGATGAAAGTTAACCTAACAATAATTAAATTATATACTTTGATTTTGCATCGCAAATATTATTTATCACTGATGATTAATTTAATACTATTATCTAATTTTAATTAAAATAAATTTAATAGCTTATATCTGTGAAACCATATACAGATTTAAATCAATAAATATGGTATTTTATAATATATAAACCAAATATTAAATCTTTAACTGATAATTACTTTGTGGCAGCAATTAATAAACAAAGTTAAATGTTTTAATAAATTTATAACATGACCAATATTTTAGGAATTTATGGCATTAACTGTCAAATAAATTATAATAATTAACTAATATTTTATCTAACAATAGCTTCTAATAATCTTAACACATCTTTTCTCTCTACTATTAAATGGAATAGTAATCAAAATGTTGGCATACTCTAATAGTTCATTTATAACACTGAAGGAAGTTAAATTAAATTTATAGAGTAAAATAACTAAAATAGGATGATCAGCATTGGTACTCTGAGTGGATTTACTGCATTAAATCCTACTAATACTCTCTATACTAAAAATATTTATCAAAGCAATTCAAACGATAATAGTTTAATATAGTAAGTAGCTCTAAGCTATTAGTTAAATAGAATTTTTATAATTAAAAAAACAATAATTGAATACGATTTAGTTTTAAATAGCTATGTTGATGAAGTTACATTTGATGAAAGTAATTAAAATACTATTGAGTATGTCTAAGGTTTTTAAGTTGTAAATAGTTTAAGAATTATCATGCTATTTAAGAGTTATTAATTTCTTATTAAATCATATGAGGATGATAATTCGGAAATCTATAAGCTAAATAATTTTGGGATCATATAAAATTATTACTTTTGTGAAAGCTCAAACTATCTATACATTTATGGAACTAAACTAAGCAGATTTGATCCAAAATTACAACAAGAGTAAATTATTATATCTTTTACATAACAAAATTAATTGATTTACTAATGCGTTTTCCCTACAGGCTTAATAATTTGTAAATATGGAGACTATTCTTTAGTATTTTTGAATAGTTAAGATTATAGTATCCTTAAAAAATTTGATGCTTCTGGAATAGAAATAGGCTTTAATTTAACTTTTGATTAATAAAATAATAAACTGTATTTATATAAATAGTCTATTTAAGTCTATACTCTTCAAGGATAATATCTATATTCAATGAATCAATAAAAATAACTTATTATAGAATTCAAATTTTGTTCAGATAAAATTGCTATTTTGACAGCTGGAAGTAAGATTTAATTTTTTTAATTGTCATTTTTATTTTATTTTTAAAGAAATTATTTTTTTAATTTCACAAATAAAATAATTTAATTTTTGTTGTTTAAAATAAAAACAAACCCGAAAAGAAATAATAATAATCTACAATTGATTTTATTTAAATAATAAATAACATGTTTTTCTTATATTTTATTTAAATTAATTAAAAAGATGGATACTTCTATGATAGAGCTTCATAGGCTTTTCTATCTAATTTTTTAAGTAACTAAGTTGGTGTCTTTTAGAAAAGCATTTATGTTCCTCAATACAATTAGCTGTTTTTTTATACCGATTATGTTACAGTTGGATAAATTTCAGTATATGATCTAACATAACTTGTATTAAAAGGCTTTTTATAGCTTACATTTAATGTATTTGTAAGAATTGCTGATCTTTTTTTTGATGATTCAACATAAATGTTTATTATTCTTAATTATTAAGGTAATATTCAAGCTTTTAATTATTAGCAAAGTATTACTTATAATATTTTAACGATTGATGACTTTGAAAACAGCCACCCTATAGGTTTTTCTGTTGATTATGTATCTAATTCATTAGTTGTTTACAATAACAATAAAGCTGTCTTAGTAAATTATGCTTTAATTGTTTAGAAACTGTAAAGAAATGTTGATCCAGTTTAATACTAAACTATATTAAAAATTAATTAACTGAATAATAAAAAATTTATTTTATTAGATTCAAAAAATATAGTTTACACTTATCAAAATTATTCTTTGTCTTATCAATCATACTTTTAAGATTAGATAAAAGGAATTTATTAAACTTAAGATTAGTCAGTTGTTTTAATATACTTTCTAGACTATTTTATTGTCTATTTTAATAAAAATTTTGAGTAAATGTATTTAAGTAATAATAGTAACTATATTGTAAAGGGTTATAGAATAAAATAATTCATTACAGACTACATTTTTCTCACAATAGATAATTAAGTAGTTCACTATGATTATGTTAATAATATAGTCCTTTTTACCTTCATTATACCTTTTCCATAATTTATTAAAAGCTAATTAGTGTAAAATGATCAAATTTTATTAGGAACTTCTTAGGGTACAATTATCTCATATATTATAAGTAAAAAGAGTATGTTTGCCATAAAACTGCCATCTCAATCACCAATAATGAACATTTTATAAACATCCTCAAGTTATTAGTTTGCTTAAAGAGATGGATCTTTAAATATTTACTTAAAAATTAACTTTAATGCTCTTTCATAACCTATTTCTAATTTAAATATAATTAATTTAATTCAACCAAATTCAAATAATGAATTAAATCTCATCTTTTTAGATGAAGATTAAAATCACTATTTTGTTTAGTTAAGTAACTAAAAAAGATGCACTGTAATTGATATGACTACAAATTTAATAATAAAAAATTTATCATTTCCTACTGATTAAATTAGTTAAATTATGATAACAGATAATTATTTAATTCTATACTCAACATCTTAATTGAATATACACAAAAGAGAAAGTCTCTTATTTTAGTATCAAATAAAATGTAATAGCTTGCTTGATCAAATAACGGATCTAAAAATTTTGTCTGATTAAATTTTCATAATTTCATTTATTGACAAATTGTAAATTTACTATTTTTTCTAGGATAAGTTAAATGTTTAACTAATTGATACAATAAGCATGAACTTTCCAATTATAATAAATTCAAATTATGATCCCATTTCAACATTATTAAATATAATTGGTTTTTCAAATAACAATATTTATGAAATGAAGTATTGGATAATAAGCTATATAACTACTTCACCAAAATGCAGCTCAGTTGTGAAAGGTTCCACAAATATAGATATAATAAAAAATATTAATTTATTATAAGCAGGTAATATAAAACTGTAATAATAGTAATTAATTTACCTGAGCCTTTTTGATTTTACATCAGTGAACTTTATTAACTAAGCATAGGTATCAATAATCTTATAGCCTTATAATTTATTATCTCCATTTAATATTAACACTTAAACTTTTAAAAATATTTAAAGTGATGCTTATCTCAAAAACTTTGAATTTAACTTTGAATAATAAGGATTATTTTAATTTAGCGAATAAACAAATAAAATTTTTTTGCAGAATATTTAAATAACATCTTAAAGCATATAAAAAATATAAATAAACTTTTCATAAAAATCCTTGGTTGTAATAAAAGGCTTAATAATTAACAATATTACTGATTAAGTTACAACAAGGTTATTATCTTAAACAGACTATCAAAATGATAAATTTAATTTTAGAAATTTAGAACAGTAAAATTATTCAAGTTTTCTGAATTTTTATGACTGTCAAAACGTAATTATTTATGACTTATAAATATCTAACACAATTATAAAAGATATTCAATAGCTAATATTTTTTTCTGAAATCGAAAATATTTTAATTAAGAATTTGACAGTGTATGAATCTGAATTCAATATTATGGCATAATTTTAAAACATATAAAATTTGACAATTTAGAACATTTAAATATACAATAATAAGGCACAAAAGTTAGATTTTAAAATTCCTAAGCAAATTTTATAAATTCAAGGTAGTATGAATACTTATATAAATAATTTATAATCAATAAATTGTAGTGATTATTAAATTTTAAATATTGTTAATTCTTACTAGCAAGGTAATTAGCTAATTCAATTTAAAAATGATGAAGTCTAGTTAAATACGATTTACTCTGCAAATAATAGTTTATCTTATATTGATAAAAATTAAGATTTTAATTAATACTTTCTCTAAATTTCAAACTTGAAAATTGATAACTTTACCTATATAAACAATTAAATGAATATGAAAGTCACTTCTTCTAGTTCTGTTTCAATAATTAACTCTAAGTTTTAAAATAATACAAATTTATTAGGTGGATCAATATAGTTCATATAAATTTCCAATTAAATTTTAATTAGTAACTCAGTCTTTTAATATAACATTGCAAGAGCTAGTGGAGGAGCCATTTATGCGGAAAATGTTGCTCAAATATTTATACAAGCGAATACTAAAATAATTAATAACCAAGCTTTAATTGGTGGAGGTATTAGAGTTATAGGGCAAAATGCATTACAAAATATTAGCTAGAACTCAGTTTCATAAAATTAAGCAAAGATATTTGGGAATAATATTGGAACCTTCCCAGTTGATATTGAAATTATTTCAGGTACTAAAAAAGAAAATTTAATCTTTACAAAAACTTAAAATGATATTACTAAATATGGGATAGTAGAGATGTATAATTATTAGAGTGGAAGTTCTACTAACCTATTAATTTCTTATGTTGATTCAGAAAATAGAAAAATAAATTTTACACCAGATGATGTTATGAATAAACTTTACCCATAAATAATAATTGATGAAATAACTTCTTGGTTATTCCAATTAGAAAGCCAAGATTCTACTTAAGTATAGTTAACAGGATAGTAATAGATTAACTATAATCAGTTTGATAGTGTTAATAAATTTTTTAGATTTGAAAATGTTTACATAAATGCAAACCCTGAAAGTAATTAGCAAATAAATTTGATTTACTTTATTAGCAAGTATTAAAAAAAAAATATTATTCAGTTAAACATACAATTAAGATAATGTATTTAAGGAGAAATTTATAAATAATTTTCAAAATAAATTTAAATATGTTAATCATGCACTGGAGGATATTATTCGATTTAACATCCTTAAAAAAACGAAACCACAGAATGTTAAAAAGTACTTTTTAAATTTTTTTATTTTTTAAAATGATTTTCATAAAATAATATTAATTTAATAACAAATAAAAAAAAATTTAATAGTGTCCTAGCGAAGCAGATTCTTGTGATAAAAACCAATTGATATTAAAGCCAGGCTATTGGAGAGAATAGTAAATAAGCTCTCTGAATATACTCTAATGTGATACTTAAAATAACTCTTGTGATGAAAGCAATTAATCTAACAAATTTGGATGTTTAGATGGATATTTAGGCCCAATTTGTGAATAGTGTGATTACTCTGGTTTAGTTTGGAGTAAGAGATATAGTGCCTATGGTTTTTTAAAAAAATGCTTTAGTTGTAGCTCTACTTAAACGCAAATAGTAGTTTTAGCATTATCAGGCCTTGGACTATTTTTTTATATTACTATATAGGTCTACGCATTTATGAAGAATTTTCAAATATATTTAACTTAACAATACCTAAGATTATCTAATATTTTACCTATTTCTGCTACTTAGATGAGCAAACTAAACAGCTTTTACATAAAATGCCTTTTAACCTACATCTAAATGCATTCGATAGTTGTAGACTTTGAGCTTTAATGGCTACCTTAGAGCATATTCTATATTTCTGATGCTTTTGGAAAACCTAATTCTCATATAATAGTGAATATAGTCTGTATAATTCCATCAAAAATTATAGATAACTATGGAATTGGTAAAATAAAAATGTTTTTAATCATCTTATAGCCTATAGCCTATTTAATTGCTACTTTAATATTTTTTTTAATAGCAATGAGAATCAAATCCTTAAAAATAAAATTCATATAAGCATATACAGCATTAAACTTTTTATATATCTTCTTCTAATCAGATTAAATAAGTTCTATTACATAATTTTTAACATGCAAGTCTATAGGAAGTAAAAGTTATATTTCTACTGATCTTCTTTATGAGTGCTAAAATGAAAGCTATAAAATATATTAATACTATGCTGGGATTCCTCTTTTGATATTTTGGACATTAATACCTGTTTTTATTCATTATCTATTGTTTAAAAGATAGAAAAAATTAATGTATTACTCTAGTGTTTTCATATTTGGGTTCTATTATTTAGAGTACAATGAAAAGTATTTTTATTGGGAGTTTATTAGAATCTATTTTAAAACAGGGATAGTAGTATTCTATACTTTATACAAATAAAACTTATATGAGTCTCATATGATCATACTTCTTTGCATAGCTTTATATCTAACATCTCTAAAAAAAGCAAGTCCTTTCATAAATCCAAATATGGTAAGATTAGAATAATACTCGTACATCACCCTTATGCTAGTAATTTTAATTAAGGACTTAAATATTACCTTCTAAAATGGATTTTTAGAATACATATACATTATAATCCATTCTGCTTTTATCATATACATAGTAGGTACAATTATATATAACAGATTTATATAAAATAATGACAAATTGAAAAAAATATATTTTTATATTGCTTCAAAAATATCCAGTAAATACAAGTACAAACCTCAAATTCAATTTAAGACTTTTAAAAACTGGAAAAAAATTAAGAAAAATATTAAATAGCTTATTAACTCAAAAGCAGTTGATATTGTGGAAAAAAATGGAGCAGAAGATTTATAAAGTAAATTATTGTATAATTATTATATTTAATTAAATTTTATTAATAGTTACTATAAACTAAAATGACTAAACTTTGAAATATCTAAAACTGAGTTAGGAAATATCTAATTAATTTAGTTAAAATGCATTAAGTAGCTTTAATTGTATTGTTTTTAGTACTAAAAAAGTTAAGAGTTTCTTAAATTAATTTGAAAATCTCAATAAGTAGATTCCCTAATAGAAATAATAAAAAAATTAAGCTTTAAAAGTAATCTAAAATAACCAAATAGATTGCATTCAAGAAATAAGTTTATAAGAAAGTAAGATAGAAGAGCTTAATAATGAAATTTAAGAGCATTGTGAATATAATTAAAAATAAATAAGCATGTAATTTAAACAAATGGAATTCTAAAAAATGGAAAATTTGTTTAAAAATGATAATTAAATAAATTAATTTGAAAATAAAACAAAAAAATTAGAAAATAATATTGAAAACTATGGTAATATATGATGATATTTAGAAAAAAATTACTTTTCAATAACTTATATTTAATTACCTTGGATACTTTACATATAAAATTTAGTACATTTTACAAGTTTCTTAAAACTTTTAAATTTTAATTTGGAATTATGACTTAATTTTTTTATTGATAAAAAATCATTTTTAATCGAAAAATACAAGAATACAAGAAATATTAGTTTTGAGCAAAATTTATATATAATAAATCCTCATTAATTAAGATTCGATTATATTAGGACCATTTTTATTATTTTAATTAATTATTCAATAATTAGAGATAATTTTTTTACCTAGCTACGAAATTTTTGTTTATTAAATGAATGCGGTAAATTAAAAAATGATAACAGATTTTTTTTATCTAAATAAAAACATATACACAAAAAATAGTGATTTTCTTATTTTTTGCACTGTATAATTGATATAAATAGTTATTACAATTGATAATTATCATTTAATGGTTTCTTACTTGCTATATTTTAATTATTCAAATTCATTCCTAAATAATTACGTTATGATAATGAGAAAGCTATTGTTTTTTAATTTGAATCTGTTTATCATTTTAGAAAATATAAAAAATTTAGATAAATAATAACTTTTGTCAAAGTAATACTATTCGTAATGTAATATTGAATTATAAATTATTTTTAAAAGAAATGCTTTGATAAGTGTAATTCATTTTATTTTTATCGAAGACACACAAGAAAAGTTTGATAATATATAAACATGTTGAAATTTGTTTAAAAATTTTTTATTACTAGAAGAAAATAATAATTAATTTGATATTTTTGATAAATGAGCCTTCATTAGAAAAAATAAATTAAAATTTATAAATAATATTCATCTTAATTAAAAATTTTTATGTTTAAGATATAAAAATAATTTTATGTGTAATCAATTTGCCAATTATTAAATTTTAGACCAAAAAAAATCCAATTCATTCTCATATTTTAAATTCTCTTGGTTAAAATAGGATTTTAGATTTTCAGAACTCTCATTACACAATTTTATGCTCTTCATTAAATATTTACATACAACTAAATAATGCATTACTATTAAGCTAAAATAAGTTACTGATTCTAGAGAATATTAATTATTTTAAAAAATAATAATCTTCAGGATAGCTAGTTAGATTCATTAAGCTAATAAATAAAATTATTTACTAATATTTTATCTTAATACCTTCTTTTTTGTTTTTGTCATAAAATATTTTTATTTAAAATTTTATTAATTATATTTAGAATAGTCTTTTAATGTTATATTTTTAATTTTTTTAAATGGAAGGAGAAATAAATAATCTAAAGGTTGCTAAATTTTCTAGAAATTTTAATCTAAATTTAATAATTGTTCTGAATTTCTTTTAATCTTTTGTTGCCTGTTTATATATTGATATCGCTATTTTTTCTTTTTATTTTTTGTAGAGTAAATTTAATTAATTATTGCGAAAAATTTATTAATTTTCTAAAAGAATTTGAAATTATTTGGTTTTTAAATAATAAATGCTTTCTAACATAAAATTAAAAGTATCACATTTTTAACATAAATATTTTGTAAAATAAAGTGTGAAATTTTAAATATATCATATAATATGGATTTTTATGATAGTAATTAAAAAATATTTTTGTATTAAATTCAAGAATAAAGTAAATGTGTCTCAATATCAAAAATAATTTAATTCATGAGAGTTCTATATATTAGTTAAAATAGCTATTTATATGTATATATGGGAAGTATGAATGAAGCTTATTTGAATATTAAGCTTTTACTATTTATTTAAAATAATTAATTTTGTTATTTAATAACATAAAAACTTCATAAATTATAACTAATATATTAGTATGAAATATAATTTTAAGCTGATTCTTCTTCTACAGTATTGTATTTAGGTTATAGTATCACAGGACTAATGCATATAGGGCTGTATAAGCTGTAATGCTGCTGAATCTTTCTAAAAATAAGAGTGCCTGCAGAGTGATTAAGGTTATTAATTAGATAAATCAAATAGTTTATGCATTTATTAATTGTGTGATGAAAACTTATACTACTAAACAAATGCAGATCCAACAAAAAGCCAATGCTTAGCTATTTGCAATGATTATTATTAAGCTAATGATATTTAGAATACATGTAATCTTTTAAATTAATGTCCTTAGAGTTTTATTACAAGCTCTGATTATAGTAGCAATACTAGTATACTAAATATACTTTCTTATTAAGATAACTCCTATCTTGTTTAATATAGCAATTTTCTAAATTATGTAAATAAAACAACAGGAGAAATAATCCTTAGATTTAATTATGATAGCAATAATTTAGGCGTCTACACTCTTAATGGCAATTTATTTATTATTTTGATGGATTATTCTATCAATTTATGGGAAATTGAAAAAAATACATATTAAAAATTATGTTAAATAATGTTTGGAAAATTAAGCAATAATACTCTTATGTACTATGTTGAAGAGGAATATTACTACATTGTCACTTATGACTTTTCAAAGAATACAAATTATATTAATCTTTTCAACCTTTAGTAAGAAATAAAAGTTATTGATTTGTAATTATCTAATTCCTACTAAAAAATTTTTTTCTTTTCTTAATACATTGTTATTTAAGATAATACAAAAATTAAGTTAAACTAGTTAATCTTAAAATAAGAAAATATAGCCAGCTTTTACTTAAATGAAATTACGCCAAATTTTATTTGTAATATTATCACTGATTAGGAGATAAAGAATTTGATATATTCACTAAATAATAAAAAATACATCTTTTTCTAGCAAAATTAATAAAATTTTAATATTATCGATGAAGAATAACAAAACTGTTTTGAAGTTAAAGTTGGAAATCAAATTATGAAAATTGAATTAGTAGAATCGTAATAAAGTAATGACTTATTAATTATTTAACTTTAAACTCAAATAATTATTAAAGCTATTAGTGATATTAATAATAATTTAGACTAAATATCATTAAACGGAAATCCTCTAATCCTAGATGTTTTGATAAATAATATTAATCAATAAATGTTTATTTTAACAAATTAAAATTAAATTACATGCATTTAATAATAAAATTAAAATGGTAAATTTTAATACAATGTAATTAAAACTCTCCCTGTTTTAATTAAAAATCCCTAATAATTAATATATCCATCATAGAGCAATTAAATTTAAAACATTTTTTTCACTATTGGAAAAGACTTCTAATAATTTTATTTTAGCTATTCTGACATATAAGTTGGATATATTTCTAAAAGTTTTAGGTAATCTTATTTATCTAATAAAGGATTAATTAATAAAATTATTTATGAAAATAATTAATCTTTATTATATGTTTGCTCACAAGATGGGATGCTAACAGTATGGAATATTATTACATAATTTAATGCTGAATACTATAAGGAATACTTGTTTAAAAATGATAGTTGTAGAGATTTTGTTTAGCTTTAAAATACGATTGCGGCTGTTTTATTACAATATTCTATTGTTATTTTTGATTTGAATGACTAAAGCAAAAAGACTGTATTAACTTAAACAGATATGCAATTTATTTAATAATATTCTCTTTCTACTAATGGGTAATACATTTTAATTCATCTTGATTCATGCACAAAGATAATAGATATTAATCTCAATATTTTAGTTGATAAATGCATTGCTCAAAATATTGTAAATTCTGAAATATCTTCTAAATAAATAATTTATATTTATGGGTAATAGTTTATAAATGCATATTAAATAGATTTAACAAATAATGATCTAATATTGCAGAGTTATTCTATTCAAAATTGTCAGAATATAGTAAACTTCTTTTTAGACGAAAGTATTCCTAATTAAATTTAAATAATCTACTTTGATTCAATTTTGTAATAGCTATTTGTATTGGATGATAAGTTGAACATCTAATTTCAAGCTTAATTAAATTCAATATCTAAATTCATTAGTATTAAACCCTTCATAGATTTAAATTAGCAAACTACACTTTTTTTGGTTTATAAGACTAGTGTAATAACATAAGGTAACTTATATTTTATAGCTGCCATAAATGAGATAGGTAATTAATTTACGCAAATCTAAAACATGACAAATAGTTTAGGAATTTACTAAGTAGATAATTATTTAAATTATAATGGATAGCTTATATTTAATATGATATTAGCATCCAATAATATTACAGACTCTTTAATTTTTACAATATAATGGAATGCTGTTTAAGGTACATCTAATATAGAATAACTAATCGTAAATACTGGAGATTAATTTACTTTTCTTACCTCCTCCTATAATACCTAATTTATTTACACAGGAAGTAAAAGTGGATTTACAGGAATAAGTTCATCTACTTCTAAATATGCAAATTTAATTTACTAAAATCCTCCTAATGATACAAACAATATATAGTAAGTAGTATAAAGTTATCAACTAAATAGAATATTTGTTGTAAAAAAAAATATTAAGGAATTTGATTTAATTTTGAATACTTATATTGAAGACATTTCTTTTGATGATATAAGTTAAAATTAGATAGAATACGTTTAAGGTTTTAAGATCTCTAATAATCTTCGATTAATTTCATGTTATAAAAGTCAGTCATTTTTAGTAAAATCTTATAATTATACCACTCCTTAAGTCTTTAAACTTAATAATTTTGGGATTATAAGCAACTATTATATAAATGAGGATTAAAACATAATCTTTATTTATGGAACAAAATTAAGTATATTTAATTTAGCTTTACAAAATGAATTTATTATAATTCCCTCTAATACTTAAAATAATTTAATTGCTTAATGTATATTCCCTGATGGATTAATTATCTGCAAATAAGGAAACTATTAGCTAATATTTTTGAATAGTCTAGATTTTACTATAATCAAATAATTCTAAGTTACAGGAATAGAACTAGGATTTTTTTTAAATTTTGACTAAATAAATAACAGATTTTATATCTATAAGCAAACAATATAAGTGTATACAATTTTAGGCTAATTTATATTTTCTTTGGATCAACTTTATCAAGATATCATTGAGTTTAACTTTTATGGAAATTACATCGCAGTTTTAACCATAGGAAGTAAATTAAAAAATTATTTCATTAAGTTGTAAAACTAATAATAATCAATTAAATATTTAGAGTTTTGTTTATTGATATTATTAGGTTTTGAATAAGCACTATTCGATTACAATAGTAATTTTTTATAATTTAAATATTTTTATTTTTAATATAAATTAGATGGATACATATATGATAGAGTGACATAGAATTATGTCAGCACATTTTTAAGTAGCTAAGGTGGAAATATTATAAAAAGTATTTACATTGCTTAGTAAAATCATCTTTTGTTTTTTAGTAATTATGTAACTCGTGGAATTTAGGTATTTGATTTAACGAACTTAAAATCTAAGAACCCACTATTTCTTTCTTTTAATCCTTCAGTACAAATTGTTGATTTTGCTTATGAAGAGTCTTGCTAAATGCTGATTATTGTAAACCAAATGGGTAATATAGAAGTTTTTAACTATCCATTAGGTTTAAGCTATAATTTTTTACCTATTGATTAATTTCAAAATAACAAAGCATCAGGTTTTTCAATAGATTATTTAACAAATTCATTAATTGTTTATAATATAAATTTAGTAGTGTAATTAAACTATAATCTTTTAACTCAAAAAATTTATTAAATAGTCTAGCCAATTTAATATTAATATATCATAAAAACAGATTAAAATAATAAACACAGTTTTATTACAGATAATATTTTCTTCACTGCTGATAATTAATTAATACATTATGACTTTTAAAATAATTTATTGCTTTATAATTTAACCTTATCAGCTAATTAAGTTGTAAAAAGCTTTTAATTAGTAAATGACTTGATAATACTTGGGACTTCTATGGGTTAAATTATTACCTATAATTTAACTAAAAGGGCATCATTTATTTTGAGTCTTTAATATATCTAACCTGTTGTAAATATATAGTCAATATCAACTTAATTTTGGTTCTCTTAGAAAGATGGTTCAATTAACATTTTCTAAATATAAAATTTTAGTTAGTTTTCATTACCAAGCTCAAGTTTTAATTTACAAACTGTAACAAAGAACTAAAATTAAGTATAACTCAATTTAATTATTTTGGATGAATAATATAACCGCTACTTTGTTTAATTTGTAAAATAAAAAAGATGCATTGTAATTAATATGATAACAAATGCTATTTTATAAAACATGTCTTTTCCAACAGATGAAATAAGCAAAATAATGATAACTACATAATATGTAATTTTGTATTCAACAGCATAAATAAATGTTCACAGAAGAGATAATCTTTTTTTCTAATAATAAATAAGATGTAACAACAGATTAGATTAAATAACAGACTTAAAAGTTCTAAATGACTCTGTTTATTTAATTACTTTTACAAATAGAATAGATATTTACTTTTTAATAGATAATTAAAATACAATAGAACTTGTTGATTCATTAAGCACTTAATTTCCAGTGATTATATATTCTAATTATGATTCATCTAACACTCTTCTTAATTTTGTAGGATTTTCAAGTACAAATATCTTTGAAAAAAAATATTGGCTAGCAAGTTATACTTTTTCTTCTTAATGGTGTAGCTCAGTTGTAGAAGGTTCTACAAGTGTTTAGTTTTTAAAAAATTTAAATGATTTAAAAGATTCAAATATCAACATGTAGCAATAGTAGTTACTTTATCTAAATTTATTTGATTTTACTCCTATTAACTCAATTAATTAATAACTAACTTCTATGATTCTTTAATCTTTTGACTAAAAATCAGCTTTTGATATAAATTAATAAAGTTTTTAAAGTATCTAAAGTGATGCATACCTTAAAAATTTTGATTTGAATTTTACAGAGTAAGGAATTTATCAGTTTAGTAATTATACAAAAAATATATACATTTAGGATTTAAAGATTGAATCATAAAACATTTTAAATGTATCAATTAGTTTTTCCTAAAAAAATTTAATAGTTATTAATAATTTAATTTTAACGAATGTTAGTGACAACTTTCCAAACAAAACATAAAATAGTTCAAATTAAAATTTAGATTAAGATTTTCAAAATTTTTTGGACTTTCAAGATTGTTAAAAAGTAATAATCTACAATTTATAGATATTCCAAGCAAATATAAAAAACATTTAACAGTTTTTAATATTTTCAAGAATAAATTAAATAGTCTTAAAAAATGTTACTGTGAAAGAATCGAATTTTGAAATAATGGCCTTTTTTGAGAATATACAAAATATTAATATCGAAAATATTTATTTGACAGTATTCAATAAATAACCATGGAAAATACTATAATTTAAAATCAATCTATTTCTGGAATATAATTAAATTTTAAGAATCAAAAAATAATAGTAATTAATAATTTGGTATTAGAAAATATATTTGACTCAAAGCAAAACTAAAGATTTGAAAGTAGATTTTAAAATGACTATTTCGTTCATTTTTTTAATTGTACTGAAATTTATATTTACAACTTAAAAATTAGAAATTTACACATTTAAAATTTAACAACTTTATTGTTGTTTGAAGAAATTAATTAAATTTCAATTGATAACTTGATTATAGAAGAGAATATCATATAAAATTCTTTAATTTAATTCTTAGCCATTCAAAATCTTTCAATATCAAATATTCAAATATAAAATAATGCATAGGAATCATTTTTAGGAAAATAGCTAATCCAATTAAATGGATGTTAATATACAATCATATTTAATGCTAATATTACATAAAATGTAAATAGTTAGTTTTTAAATGCTCAAAGCTAATACTATTATAATAATACGATTATATATTTAAAAAATGATACTTTAATTCTAAAAAATATATAATTAAAATAAAATATACAAAATTAGACAACTGAAACTCCAAATTTTGTTGAAAGCTTTTAATAAATTCCTCTAATATAAACTTAAAGTTCTTTTGTAGACATCAAAAATATGGTTTCCATATCTAATAATATGAACATCCTGCTAAATCAAACCAATGAAATTATAATTTAAAACAGCTTGTTTTAAAATAACACTGCACTTGAAGGTGGAGCAATATTTATTACTTAAAATAAAGGTAATATTTATTTCAAAAACTCTTCGTTTAGCAATAATTCAGCATATGCTAATGGTGGAGCAATCCTATTTGATACTATACAGAGCATTTCTTTTGATTAAAATACTAAAATATTATTTAATAGTGCTTTGATTGGTGGTGGTATCAGAATTAGAGGTGTGTAAGAATTTAATCTAATTAACGATGGTAATATCACAAATAATAAAGCAGAAATATATGGAGAAAACATAGCAACTTATCCAAGCTTATTGTAGATAGAATTATTTTCTTAAGTAAATAATTAATTTGTGTTCGATAATAGCAACTTTACTAACAACAGATAGATCTATATTCAAGACTTTTAAAGTGGAGGATCTTTGGATATTTATTTATTTTTTATGGACAATGAAGGAAAACACCTAAATTTTTCAGTAAATTCTTTTAAATAAGGACTTTATCCAAAAGTAATAGAAAACGAAATATAACAATTCAATGCTCATTTAGATTTATTTAATAAAAGTTCAATTTAGATTATTGGAGCATAGAGTGTAAATTACAATTAATATAATGAAATAACTAAATCATTCTCTTTTTAGAGTATAATAATTAATTCTATACCTTTTACAACATAATAAATAATTTTAGAATATAACTTGGCTGATTATGTATAGTAATCTTAAATTTTAATGTAAATTAATTTTAGAAAGTGTTAAAGAGGTGAGATAGATCATATTTTAAGTGATTTAATAAGAACTTGTGATCCATGTAATATTGGAGAGTATTCTATGTATGAGTATTCATAAAATAGTTATGTAAGTGATATACAGTGCTAGAAATGTCCTGAGGAATCTTTAATATGTAATAAAGATAATTTTGTATTGAAATAAGGGTATTGGAGGCAGTCTAATACATCTAATATAATCATTTAATGCTCTAAATATTAAGAAGCATGTAATGAATAAGAATTTAATAATTTATTTGGATGTGTTTAAGGATATGTGGGTCCATTGTGTGAATAATGTGACTATTCTGGATCTACATGGTAGAAAAGATATAGTGAGAATAGTATAAGTACAAGTTGCTAAGAATGCAGTTCTATGTCTTATCAGATTGTTGCAATAGTAATTTCTAGTCTCATAATACTAATCTACCTCTTCTTGTAAGTCATTTTTATAGTATCGAACTTGTACACATATTAATCTTGCTAGTAAGATTTATTTTTTTGAAATAATTGCTAATAATTTACTAAAAAAAAATTTCCAATTCTTAATTACTTGTCAGTTAATTTGGATAATTTTTCACTATAGAATTAAAATTTTAAAACTAATTTGTTTTCTTTTCTTTAAAAAATATTTAAAGTTAATTTTTCATTTATTTTTTTTTTGAATATTTTATTGAATAAATAAATATTTTACTATTTTTAATAATAAGTTATATAAGAATGATGAATATGCTTCCAATTTCTGTTTCTTAATTTAAGTAAATAAACATTTTTTATATAAAATGTTTATTGAGTTATTTACAACTTTAAGTAATTTTGGTAGATCAAATAAATAAAATTTCTTTATCTATAAATTTTATTCCTAACACTTTAGCTTAGCCTTCTTCATTCACTATTATTGATACTCTATGTATAGTATCGCCTGAGACACTAGATAATAATGGACCTGGAAAGACTAAGCTTATAATTTCATAAATTTATAATCTAATTCTAGGAGTAATAATAATATGTTTGATTATTTTTGTTGAGAAGTTTAAATTTAACAAAATTAATTTTAAAAATTACCTGAGATATAATGCCTTTTACTTACTTTACACATTTATGCAACCTGATGCGTTGAAAATGCTCTCAAAATTTCTTACTTGTAGAAAAATTGGAGATAATTCATATTTTACTGAAGATTTATAAATTCAATGCAATTAATCTGAATATAAATTATTTTAACAATACTTAGGAATTCCTTTACTAATCTTTTGGATAGTTCTTCCTGCAATTATATTTGTGCTGATTTGTAAAAGATCCAAAAATTTAAATATATCTTCAACAATCTTTCGTTATGGTTATTTTTTTATTGAATATAAAAAAAATAAATATTACTGGGAATTTGTAAGAATATACTTGAAGGTATTGATAGTAATATTCTTTACTCTTTTTAATGGAAATTAAAAATTTTCTTACATGGTTGTTGTTGTCTTTATAGTTATGTATATCTCATATCTAAATAACTCAGACCCCTACTTAAATAAAAAGATGAAAAAAATAGAATTGCTTTCGTTATTTAATTTAATAATGTTAATAGGATTTTAAATAATTCTAAGCATTTATAATTAACAAGCAGCAATTAAAATAATAATGATTTTACTTCACTTTTCTTTTATTATTTATGTAATATGGATTATTTTATATCGTTAGTTATTTACTAAAAGAAATATTTTGGGTAGAACTTTTCTTTGTTTTATCTAAAAGATTCTAAGCTAGAACATGTTTGATAAAATATTAAGGCATTCTGAAGTTTCCATGAAAGTCTATTAAAATTGGAAAAAGATTAGAAATAATTTGAAATATACTATTGATTTGAATACAATAAATAAAATGAATTAAACAATAAGTAAAATTTATTCATTAAAAATTAGAAAATTTATAATATATTTTAAATAGGTTAAAAGGAAAATTAAACGCATATTAATTTAATTCATCCAAGACAAAGATTAGAAAGCAATTTTTGTTGTTAAACTCCTATACTTTAACACCAAGAAATTAGTAAATTTGAGGGAATTTGTGATATTCCTAGTATAAACATAGTTTAACCAGTAAACAGTTAATTGTCTCCCAATAATTTATTAGTTCATAAAAATTCTGATAGCTAAAAATAGTCTTTATTTTACTAACAATCTAAATAGCAAGAAGACATAAATTAAAATAATGAAATAATAAGTGAAAAATAAGATGAAAATTTTATGATTTATTCTGAAATGTTTAGCTATTATTAAGATTAGGCTTCAAGGTTCCAAGATAAATTTAGATTCTAAAAAATTAATAAATTAAATAAAGGACAGCTTGAAAATAATTAAAAATAATGAAAAATTATTATTTTCTTTATCCTAATTTAATTATTTGTTTTAAAATTTTTTTACTTCGTAAAACTTATTATTTTTGAACTAAAAACTTTAGATAAAGATTATTTATAAATGAAAATGTGTTTATTATAACATATTTTACTATATTTTAACTTATTTACTGATAACTATTAAAATAATCTTAATATTAAATTGCAATACTTTAATTCCATATTTTAAATTTTTGAGAAATAAGAACTTGAAAATTAAAAATTATAAATTTGTTTTAAAAAGCTAGTCTAAAAAAATCAATCGCCAGACCTCACTTTTCCTCTTATATATTGTGTGTATTAATATTGTTAATAAAAAATGTTTTTAAAGCAAGATAATCAATAATTGCAATGTGTAAGTATTTGTAATAATAATTAAATTGCAAACACGTCTAATAATTAATGTGTTTAAAGTAGTATTTGTACTTAAAATTACATTTCTCAAGCAACTTTGAGCAATAACTAAGTAATATAAGACATAATAGCATATTCATCATAAGTCTACTTAGTAAAATATAATGGATTCCTTAATATTATTGATTCATAAAGTGGATAGTTTATAGTGTCTATAAAAACTAACAGCTAAGTGTTATTATGCGACTTTATCTTTAATAAGCTCATAATAGTAAGTTAAGATAATTCTGTTTCATAATTAATAGTAGAAAATTAGCTCTACTTAAATCTATATAATATTACTTAAGGAAATGTATCATCTTCCAGCATAATGACAAGTATTTCTTAAGATTTGATAGTAATTACTTCAATTAGCTAAAATAAACAAAATATATTTTTGAATATTTTTAGGAGTAATAATAAATCTTTTATCTTCATAAGCACAATATCTATCTAAATTTATAATCAGAAGTTTTATATTTTTGATTCTTATATTATGTTGCTATCATAATAAAATAATTTAAAACTTTTAGAAATTGTTGAAAACAATTTAAATACAGTTTCTTTATAGACTATTTCAAATTTTATGGAATGCGGCTTCACAGCAGATATTCATATTTTAAGTGCTTTAATGACTCCTGATTAAAATTCAATTTATATATTTATTCAAAAAAGCCTAAATTACTATTCTTATTCAAAACTTCTTCACTCTTGCTCAAAAATAAACCTGACTAGTAATTTAATTAAAGTAAGCTAAATTAACTTTTAAGACTTTAACTGTTTAATATACCAATTCAGCACTTATATCTAAATTTAATAATTTGATTAGAAAGATTTATCATCAATCTAGACAATATCTAATATAATCGATTATTAATATTTAGTTTAAAATAATTTAATTTATTTACTTATTTTAACTACCGATAACATTCTTAAATTATATTCATCAAGCTTAACTATCAATTAGCAATTTGTTTAATAGTCTTAAATTTACATTAAAATAAGTTATCCATAATTTCTTAAATTAATTGTAAACTAATAAAATTAAATACAGCTTTTTGTAGCTGGCTATGACTTCTAGTTAATAAATGTCAATTTACCAAATAATTTAAATAATATTTCTATTGCAGCTCCTTTTTCTTAGCAAATAATATCAAATATGTCAAATGTTACTAAAATTTATTTTGATCCTTTGACTTAATTGCTTTATAGTTGTTCTTAAGAAGGATAAATTGTAATTTGGAATAGTATTAGCTCTTTTAATTTGAAATTTTATAAAAACTTTTATTTTATCAATGATACTTGCAGAGATTTAATAGTTTATAAAAGCTTGTATCTTGTTGTATTACTTTCAAACTCTATCTAAATCCTAGATTCATAATTTTAGTAAATATAAATATATTAGACAAATGATAAAACGCTGATTGATAAATATACTATTTAGTAAAGCTAAAGCTAAATATTGATTGCTTTTAAGAATTGCCTTTATATTGTAAATGAATAAATTCAGACTATTTTATAATAATGCTAAGATGAATTTTAGAATATTATGAAATATATTTTCATAGATGATAACTTTTTAATAACTATATTTAAAAACTAAATATAATTACTTACAATAAATTTATACACTGAACAAATAATATAAACTAACAATTAATTAACTTAGTTTTAGGATATTTAATATATTAAATATAATTCTAAATTTAATTATATTACAGTGTTTGATAAGCAATAGTAATAATTGGTAATCATAGATACTTCCTTAAATGTAATTGATTAATTTACTTTGTAATAAGCTTCTTATATGATAGATATTTTCACTATTATTGACGACTCTTTCTAAAATAAATATCGTTATTTTGTTATATACAATTGCAATATTTAAACATTACCTTTTAAATATTGCTTATTTACGATGCTTTCAGGATAAAACTCGATATAATATCTTACTAACCAAGTTTTGTTAGCAAATATAATAAATGTGTTAAAATATAGAAATAATCTAAACTAAGTTGTTTATAAAGTTTACATGACTTTACCCTTGAGTTACTTAACTTTAATTTCAGCACTTAAGTGGAATTTATAAACAGGTTTTCAAAATTTAGATAGCTTCACTTTTAATAGAAATCAAAATTTTTCAGTGAACTACAATGAGGAATCAAATAAAATTGTTTATGAAGGATATGTTAGTGGCAATGTCGGTTTAACTAATTTGATATCAAATCCAGGAAAGATATTTTATCAAACATTAGAAAGCTCGTCATAAATACAAAATATTTAATAGATTTATGATATAGGGTATATCTTTATAGTAAAAAAAACTCTATTAGTTTTTGATATAGCATAATATTTATTTGTTGAAGAAATAAAATTAGATAATGAAGGTGATAATTCGTTAGAATATATCCAAGGGTTTTAATATAGCAAATAACAAAAGCTAATCACATGCTTTAAAAGTTAATATTTCGCTATTTTGAATTGTTAATAAAATTTAAAAATTTAAAATATTTTGACAAACTTTTCTTACATTTCGAATTATTATCTTTAAGAAGAAAAATAAATTATATATATTTATGGCTCCAATATATTCATATATGATTTGTAACTGAAAGACCTCAAAATTATCTATGAATCAAATAGTTATATAATAACTTAATGTGTCTTTTTATTAAGCTACTTGGTTTGTTAAACAGCTCCTTAGTAAATAAAAATTTTAGAAAATTAAAGCTTTTTTGTAATTAAAACATTTTCCTCTATTGAAATTCAAGATTAATCCTTTTTACTCGCAGATCAAGTTTATAGAAATATTTATATTTATAAAACCTAAATATTATCATTCTCAATATCAGAATAATCATTAAATTAAATATTGGTGCAAAATTCTCAAATTTTATAATTAAATATCTTTGGCTCAAAAATTGTAATCTTTACCAATCAAAGTAAGCAATAATTTTATTTTGAACAATATTTATTATTATTTTATTTTAAAATTAAAAATTTTTTGAAATGTAATTATCATACTGTTACATCTTATTATACCATACTCCAATAAACAATTAATTAAATTAAATGAATAAAATATTTTAATAAATAAAAAGATTTTTTGCTATAAATAAGCAGTATATTTAAAATAACATAATAACGTATATAAAATATTTTTTTTATATTTTAAATAGATGGATTTATCTTAGATAGAAATTCTTAGCAATAATAAGCGGTGTTTTAATTATTTGGAAATTTCATTGGTAACTTTTATTTAGGAGATTATAACCATCTTTTATACTATACAGATAACATTACATAAGGCTAGATATTTGTTTTTAGCCTGACTACTCTTTCTTAACTACCTGCTTTAAAGGCTTTTTTCCCTCTTAATTAAGTAAGAAGTGTATTTCATGATTAAGCTTTATCTATAATAGGCTTAACTGATGAATAAGGTTTTATTTAAATGTATTTTTATGAAAGTTAAGCTGTTGATAATCCTTTAAATTTTGATGAATTTTAGAATAATACTAAGCTAAGTGTATCAAATAATTTTTAGACAGGAAATATTATTATTTATGATGAATTTAAAGCCTATATTTTAAACTATAATGATGTAGTTCGTACATTTATTTCAGTTTAATAACCTTAAAATTAAATGTACATCATTAACTAAGGAAGCTTCAATAGTAATATTTTAATTATAAGCTCAAATAATATCTTATATAATTATAAATATTAAAATTACAGCTATTAAACTGATTTTAATGATAGTGTCTTAGGATTATATTAATCTACAAACTATAAAAACATAATCATATATTTCTAAAATTACTTTTTTGTTTATTAAAATTTAGATATAGAAAAAATCAGCTATCAAAATTTTTCTTACAAAGTTAACAATATATCGATTAGTTAATTCATTGATGATGATATTTTTATTACACAGAATCAAACTTTTATTTATTTTTCTTTTTAACTAAATAAAATTCTTTTTTAAGTCTAATTTTCATAAACTGAAATTTTAAAGTAATTCTACTCAAATTCTGATTAATAGTTTGTTGTATTTGGCTTTTAAACAGGTAAAGTATCAGTATTTAATAAGTAAATTTAGTAGTATACGATAATAACTTAACAAATAAATTAAAGTATTATTAATATTTTTATGTACATAGATCAAATTTGGATTATTTATCAATATGGTAAGGCATAAATATTTAAAACAAATTAATTTTTATAAAATTAATTATAAAATCCAATAAATATTTTAGATTTTGTTCAATTAACTAAAGCATAATAAGTACTATAAGCAAACTAATTAGAATTAAGATAAGTTTTTATTGATGAATTATATTCAGAGATATTTATTCACTTTGAAAATTTTAAGTAGATCTATTAAATAAAAATAAATGATCTATCTGTTAGCTGTAATATTATGTTTCCTCATAGTATTTATAATTATTTACAAGTTAGTAAAAATTATATTCTGCTACAAAGTTCTGCTTAGTTAAATATACATTTAAGGAGTACAAAATAATTCTTATTCTACATAAGAGATAATATGAGAAGACAGCAATTAATAAAAACTTTTATTTTAAATGAAAGAGTATTAGTGCTATAATTTCAGAAAAAAATAAATATTTATTAAATTAATTAGGATATACCACTTTATGATAACAACAATGATGATTTTTTCTCCTTAATAGATATATAAACTCTTTCATATCCTTAAATTATGAAATGTGAAGTTAATTTAACAACAAATTAACTCTAAATAATTGGATTTACAACTAGTAATATATTCCATTTCTAGTATGATGTCTCAAATTTTATAAGCTTACTTCCTAATTAATGCTCTTAAGTAATTGATTATTAAGATCCTTACTAATTCTATGCAAAGATGCTTTTATTACAATCTTCAACAACAAGCATATAAACAATTTATATAAATGTTATTGATAGCTTTAGTTTCTTGAATTTAGTAAATCAATAATAAAATAATTTGATTTTATAGTCCTCAGCTAATTAAGAGTTTTAGCTATATTTATAAAGCCTGAGTTATTTTTAATACAAGGTCTTTCTAAAGAATTTTAAATTTTAATTTTTAGAATAAGGTTAATACAATTTTAGTGATAGTGTACAAGAAATAACCATGGAAAATACTATAATTTAAAACCAAACTATATCTGGAATACATTTAAATTTTAAGAACCAAAAAACTATAGTAATAAATGAATTGGTATTAGAAAATATTTTTGACTCATAAAAAAACTAAAAAATCGGAAGTGTTCTTTAAAATCAATAGTTCATTTATTTTTTTAATTGCACAGAAATTTATATTAACAACTTAGAAATTAGAAGATTGTTTATTTAAAATATAACAACATTATTGCTGTTTGAAGAGATTAATTAGGTTTCAATTGATAATTTGATTATAGAAGAGAATATCATATAAAATACTTTAATTTAATTCTTAGCAGTTCAAAATCTTTCAATATCAAATATTCAAATTTATAACAACGTATAGGAATCATTTTAAGGATAATAACTAATCCTATTAAATGGATGTTAAAATACAATCATATTTAATGCTAATATTACATAAAATGTAAATATTTAATTTTTAGATTCTCAAAGCTAGTATTATTATAAAAATACGGTTATATATTTAAAAAATGATACTTTAACTTTAAAAAATATTTTACTAAAATAAAATATACAGAATTAGCCAATTGAAGCTCCAAATTATGTTGAAAGCTTTTAATAAATCCCTCTAATATAAACTTAAAGTTCTTTTGTAGACATCAACAATATTGTTTCCATATCTAATAATATGAATATCCTGCTAAATCAAACCACTTAAATTATAATTTAAAATAGCTTGTTTGAAAATAACACTGCACTAGAAGGAGGAGCAATATTTATTACTTAAATTAAAGGAAATATTTATTTCTAAAACTCTACATTTAGCAATAATTCAGCATATGCTAATGGTGGAGCTATCCTATTCGATACTATACTGTGTATTTCTTTTGATTAAAATACTAAAATATTATTTAATAGTGCTTTGATTGGTGGTGGTATCAGAATTAGAGGTGTGTAAGAATTTAATTTAATTAACGATGGATAAATTTTTAATAATAAAGCAGAAATATATGGAGAAAACATAGCAACTTATCCAAGCTTATTGTAGATAGAATTATTTTCTTAAGTAAATAACTAATTTAAGTTCGATAATAGCAACTTTACTAACAACAGATAGATCTATATTCAAGATTTTTAAAGTGGAGGATCTTTGGATATTTATTTATTTTTTATGGACAATGAAGGAAAACACCTAAATTTTTCAGTAAATTCTTTTAAATAAGGACTTTATCCAAAAGTAATAGAAAACGAAATATAACAATTCAATGCTCATTTAGATTTATTTAATAAAAGTTCAATTTAGATTATTGGAGCATCAAGTGTAAATTACAATTAATATAATGAAACAACTAAATCATTCACTTTTTAGAGTATAATAATTAATTCTATACCTTTTACAACATAATAAATAATTTTAGAATATAGCTTGGCTGATTATGTATAGTAATCTTAAATTTTAATGTAAATTAATTTCAGAAAATGTTAAAGAGGTGAGATAGATCATATTTTAAGTGATTAAATAAGAATTTGTGTTCCATGTAATATTGGGTAGTATTCTATGTATGAGTATTCATAAAATAGTTATGTAAGTGATATAGAGTGCTAGAAGTGCCCTGAGGAATCTTTAATATGCAATAAAGATAATTTTGTATTGAAATAAGGGTATTGGAGGCAGTCTAATACATCTAATATAATCATTTAATGCACTAAATATTAAGAAGCATGTAATGAATAAGAATTTAATAATTTATTTGGATGTGTTTAAGGATATGTGGGTCCATTGTGCGAGTAATGTGACTATTCTGGATCTATATGGTAGAGGAGATATAGTGAAAATAGCATAAGTACAAGTTGCTAAGAATGCAGTTCTATGTCTTATCAGATTGTAGCAATCGTAATTTCTAGTCTCATAATACTAATCTACCTCTTCTTACAAGTTATTTTTATTGTATCGAACTTGTACACATATTAATCTTGCTAGTAAGATTCATTTTTTTTTGAAATAATTACTACTAATTTATTTTTTTTAATTTTTCGATTTCTTAAAATTTTTTTTGACAACAAATTTCGATAATTTTTCAGAATAGAATTAAAATTTTAAAACTAATTTGCTTTCTTTTCTTTACAAAATATTTAAAGATTATTTATCATTTATTTTTTTTTTTGAGTTTTTATTGTATAAATATATATATATATATTTTACTATTTTTAATAATAAGTTATATAAGAATGATGAATCTACTTCCAATTTCTGTTTCTTAATTTAAGCTTATAAACACTTTTTATATAAAATGTTTATTGAGTTATTTACAACTTTAAGTATTTTTGGTAGATCAAATAAATAAAATTTCTTTATCTATAAATTTTATTCCTAGCACTTTAGCTTAGCCTTCTTCATTCACTGTTATTGACGCTTTATGTATAGTATCACCTGAAACACTAGATAAAAATGGACCTGGAAAGACTAAGCTTATAATTTCATAAATTTATAATCTAATTCTAGGAGCAATAATAATATGTTTGATTATATTTGTTGAGAAGATTAAATTTAACAAAATTAATTTTAAAAAGTACCTGAGATATAATGTCTTTTACTTGCTTTACACATTTATGCAACCTGACGCCTTGAGACTACTGTCAAAATTTCTTACTTGTAGAAAAATTGGAGATAATTCATATTTTACTGAAGATTTATAAATTTTATGCAATTAATCAGACTATAAACTGTTTTAATATTACTTCGGAATTCCTTTATTAGTCTTTTGGATAGTTTTTCCTGCAATTATATTTGTTTAAATTTGTAAAAGATCCAAAAATTTAAATATATCTTCAACAATCTTTCGTTATGGTTATTTTTTTATTGAATATAAGAAAAATAAATATTACTGGGAATTTGTAAGGATGTACTTGAAGGTATAGATAGTAATATTCTTTACTCTTTTTAATGGAAATTAAAAGTTTTCTTACATGGTTGCCGTTGTCTTTATAGTCCTTTATATCTCATATCTAAATAACTCAGACCCCTTCTTAAATTAAAGGATGAAAAAATTAGAATTGCTTTCATTATTTAATTTAATTGCTTTAATATGCTTTTAAATCGTTCTAAGTATCTATAATTAGCAACCAGCAATTAAAATAATAATGATTTTACTTCATTTTTCATTTATTAGTTATGTAATTTGGATTATTTTATATCGTTAGTTACTTACTAAACGAAATATTTTGGGTAGAACTTTTCTTTGTGTTATCTAAAAGATTCTAAGTTAGAAAATGTTTGATAAAATATAAAGGCATACTGAAGTTTCTATGAAAGTCTATTAAAATTGGAAAAAGATTAGAAATAATTTGAAATATTATATAGATTTACATACAATTAATAAAATGAATTAAACAATAAGTAAAATTTATCAATTAAATTTACTAAATTTATTTATTATATATTTTAAAAAGGTTAAAAGGAAAATTAAACACATATTAATTTAATTCATCCAAGACACAGATTAGAAAGCAATTTTTGCTGTTAAACTCCAATACTTAACCATCAAGAAATTAGCATATTTGAGAGAATATGTAGTACTCCTAATGGAAACATAATTTAACCAATCAACAGTTAATTGTCTCCGACTAATTTATTACTAAATAAAAATTATGATAGTTAAAATAAATAGTCTTTATTTAATTAACAATCTAAATAGCAAGAAGACATAAATTAAAACAATTAAGTAACAAGTGGAAAATAAGATGACATTTTTATTATTAATTCTGAAATGTCTAGCTAACATTAAGATTAAGCTCCAAGGTTCCAAGATAAATTTAGATTCTAAAAAAATAATTAATTAAATACAGGAAAGCTTGTAAATAATTTAAAATAATGAATCATTTTAATATATTTTTTATCCTTAATTAATTATTTGCTTTAAAATTTTAAAACTTAGTAAAATTTATTATTTTTGAACTAAAAACTTTACATGAAGATTATTTATCTATGAAAATATGTTTATTATAATACATTTAATAATTTTTTAACTTACTTACTGAAAATCATTAAAATAATCTTAATATTGAGTAGTAATATTTTAATTCCATATTATTAATTTTTGAGAAATAAGAACTTGAAAATTAAAAAAAATAATATGCCATTATTTGAATATTTTAGATTTGTGATATCTTTCATAACTATATTATTTAAATGATATCCTTTGCATTTTAAAATTTATTTTTAACTTAAATATAAGATACTCTTGCTTATTTTTTTTTGTAAATAAAATCATCCATAGATTTAATTAGAATAATTCCAGAAAAAAGAACAATTATTTTGCTTTCAAAAAATTGTAATCAATCTTCTAAAAAATTTAAAGATATTAAAATTGAATTTTAAAAAATGTAAATAATTTATCAGAATTAATTGCAATAAATAGAAAAATTCTAATCAATTTTATAAAACGAAAAATTTAAACAATCAAATATATTTATTACTATTTGATTAACTTTTTTTCATATTAAAAAAAAAAGATTGAAAATTTGTATATAAATATTTAATTAATAAATAAATAATTGAAAACAAACAAATCTGATGATATTGTTAATAATAGGACTGTTAATTTTTTCACTCTTCTCATATTTCGCATACCTTATCTTTGTGAAACCTTACGTAAGGAATAAATGGTACGTTAAGTAATATGGTAAAATATGCAAGCCAATATATTATCCTATACTTGGAAATATAAAATTTGTAAGAGAGTCTTTTAAAAAATATGGAGATAGTTTGCAATGGATAAGAGAACTCCTTAAAAATGATAATGATGTCTAATTCTTAATTGGATACAATAATATACATATTGTGGATGCATAATTAGCAAAAGATATAACTTTAAATAATCTTTAAAATATTAGAAAGGACATGGGTATGTAATTTGGTGATTTACTTTTTAAATAAGGCATCGTTTTTTCTGAAGGTGAAAAGTGGAAAAAATAAAGATAAATTCTTTCTCATTCATTCTCTTTTGATGTGTTGAAAAATAGAGTATCTAAAATCAATAATATTGTTAAAGAAATGATTAATAAAATATAAATTGAAGAAGGTAATTTAGTTATTTATAATTAATCTGATTTGATGAATATAAAGTTAAAACAATATCGTATGTAAATAATTTAATTATTTTTTTATAGGAAAACCAACTAAAATTGTAACTGAATGCACTAAGATAACGGCAGAAGTTGTTTTAAGATCCTTTTTTGGAGAGAGATTTTCTTAACAATAACATAAAGGAATAAACTTAGGCATATATTTAGCTTAGCTTTTACTCTCTGTTTTTGATTAAACAAGAAGATTAAGGATGCTAATACCTTCATTTTTCTTTCCTAAATTTATGTCAAAAATATTTGCAGATGAGAAATATTATGAGGTTTAAAAAAATTGTATTGAGTTTAGATAGTTAATAGAAAAAGAAGTTAATCTAAGAATTGAAAACTATGATTAAAATAAAACTCAAAAAGACTTTTTAGACATTTTAGTTGATGAATACAAATTAAATTATTCTAAAAATGATGGAAAAGTTGAAGAATACATTACTAAAGAATCCATAATCCATTAGTTTATTGTTTTCTTTTTTGCAGGTATAAATTTAAAAGAAAATATTTTTAATGTAAGAAAATATTACTCATTTAAAATTTAGGTATGGATACAACTGGAAATTTGACTGGCATCATGCTTTATTGGTAGATATTATAAAAATAATAAAAATAATAATTAAATGTAAATTATTATCAAATAGGGTTTCTAAAAGAAAAGATATATATGAGAAATTAGTTTAAGAAATAAAAAGTGTATTTGGGTAAAATAAAGATCCTGAAATCAATGACGAATAACTAAAGAAATTAAATTATTGCCACATGTTTATCTAAGAATGTCTCAGATACCACTGCCCAGCAATGTTATTGTAAATAAATAATATTTTTAGTCTATTAAAATTAACTTTTGTAAATTTTTAAGGTTCACACGTAGAGCTGAAAGAGATTTTTACATTGGAGACAATATCCTTGTTTAGAAAGGAATGTAAGTTAATATTTCTCTTCATGGAGTGCTAAGAAGAGAAAAATATTTCTAGAATCCAGATGAATTTATTCCTGAAAGGTTTAGTGAAGAAAATAAGAAAAATATTAACCATCTTGCCTTTATCCCTTTTTCAAGTGGCCCTAAAAACTGCATAGGCTAGCATATGGCTTTGATTGAGGCTAAAATTATCCTTGTCTAGTTTATTCTTAACTTTGATATAACGAATAACGAAAATGTTCCTCTTAAAATGGACTCTAATTCACTTTATTGTCCAGTTAATGATGAGTTGCTATTTTTAAAAAGAAAATAATGAGGAAATAATTTAATTTCATCAAACTCTTCTAAATTAAAAATTAAATTTTAATAAAATAGTTTAAAATTAAAATTTTTCGTTTATATTCCTTAATATACAACTTGTAAATAATTTTTTTAATTTGAAATTCTTTTAATTTCATTTATGAATTTATATTTTAAAAAGATATATAAAGTCTAATTTATTACTAAATTTCCAGTTAAGCAAAAATGGCTTTGAAGAATTAAATAAATTTATTATTTAGTTTAAAGCTTTCCCTCCTTTTCAATTATTATCATAATTCTTTTCACTAATTAATTATTTATACAATCAGCTCTCTAATTTAAGGTTATTTTTTTATAAAGTGAAAAATATTTGTAATAATTATTTTCAAAATATTTATCATAAAAATTTTTTGTTTGTTTTATGAACAATAAAAATATTTATTAATATTAAATAAACCTGATAAAAAGTTTTATTAAAAATAAATAATTTTAAATCAATTACTTTTTTGTAATGAAATTATTTAGTGAGGCTAACTGACTAACATTAGAAAATTTAATTTAATAAAAAATAGAATATGTTCAAATTTAGATAAAATCAATTATATTTATTTAATTTTACTTCTAATAATTTTAAGATATTACTGTAAATATATTTAAGAAAATCGAGATTTTTAATCATAAATATTTAATTACAAATTGTTAGTTAAATGAAGCAGTTTATATATTACATTATAAATAAATTATTTTATATTTTTATAAGTATTCAATTGATTTTATTTTTATAATGTTTATTTATCATATTCAAAAATTATACTAAAATATTAAGAGATTAAGAATAGTTTATTAGAATTATAGATGTATGAATGTATGCATTCATTCATTTATTTATTTATGAATTTCCATCTTTGAACTTAAAGCATAAAGAGAGATAAATTTTGAATTAAGAATCTCTTTCCAGTGTCCAAATTATTTTCCTAATTAGATTATTTATTTATTTTTTTATTTATTTCATTTATTAATTCATTCGTTCGGAATGTTAATAAATCTTGAACTTTATTTTTAATTATTATTTTGTTTGCTTTTATTTTTATTAGGCTTGTTTGCTGACATTATTTTACTATCATAAACGAAATTATCATGTATATCTATGCTACTTTTAGGAGAGTAAAATGATTTATTTAAGTTTATACTAGGTGCAAAAGATAAATTAGTAAGGTTAATATTATTTTAATTTAAGTTTTAAAGGCTTTATCCATTCATTTTTTACATGTAAAAATTGATTATTTTAACTAATTTTCCATGTTCCCAAATACCTTTTATTTAGGAACTATTTTTTTTGAAATAAAATGTTCCATTTCCATGTTATTTATCAGCTTTCCATTCACCAATAAATTTGCTTCCATCTTCATATTCTATGCATCCTATTCCACTCTTTTAATCATTTTTAAATTCTCCTTAATAAATTATATTATGTGGCCATGTCATTTTTCCATTCCCTGACATTTTATTATTTTCCCATCTTCCTTCGTATACAACTCCATTTGGCCAATTGTATACTCCAAGTCCATGAACGTTTCCATCCTTGAAATCTCCTTTATAGCTTGAGCCGTTTGCCATAGATATTCTCCCTTTACCTTCTTTCTTTCCATTTTCAAATATTCCTTCATACCTATAAGTATAATATTGTAATTTAAAATTAAGCTAAAAAAACAAATACTGACCTAGAATATGTAGGATAGAGTTAAACTTCAACACCTTTACCATGTTGCTTATCTTAAAACCATAAGCCTTCATAGTAGGATCCAGAAAAATGTTAAAACCTTCCTTTTCCATGGAATTTATTTTCTTTCCATTCCCCAATGTAATAGCTTCTATTGCTATATTCAATTTTGCCCATTCCTTATATGAAATCGTTTTCCCATTCTCCTTCATATCTTTAAATTAACAATTAAATGATTAAATTTGTTATTATTTAGCAGTTTCATTAATAGTTTTATAAGTAGAGTATAATTTATATTTTTTTTAGGAGAGAATTTTTTTTAAATTATAGTAGAATAAAATAATTAATAGATAATTACAAAGTATCATCAGGCCATATTTGTACTCCTTTTCCATGTCTTTTATCTAGTATCCATTCTCCTATGTAACTTTTAATATTAATTGATTGTAATATGTTGTATTAAACTTTAATATATAATTATATTTTTTTGCTTCTATTATACAAAATATTAAAAATAAATATTTTACACTGTACCGTCTTAGAAAGTTAGTTTACCAATTCCGTTTCTTTGTTTATTAATTAATTATCCTTAAAATCTGCAGCCTTAAATTAATACAGTTTTAAATCTTTTAATCTTTTTATTATTTCTTTCATGTACTTTTAGGATACTTTCTTTTTTGGTTTGCATTTTAGGCGAAGCTTGAATAGGTGAATAATCACCACTTTCTTCTGCATCTTCAATTACAGATAATTACTAGTTATTTCTAGAGCTTTTAGATCTATCAGTAAATATATTATCAATTAATTTTTCTTTTGTTTTAAAATTTTCTTCTTCAGAGCCTTCATAATTTCCATCACTTTCAGTTTCTAAAGGGAGCTCTTCTTATTACATTTATTACTAAAAGAGCCTCACTTTTTTAAAATTATTTTATACTTATCCTTTAGCAGCAGTATTTAATTTAAATTAAGCATTAGGATTTTTATAATCTTCAAAAAAGCGACTAAAAACTTTGATTGGTTTATAACTTTGATTATAAATAGTTTGGCCTATTTCATCTTCTTAATCTATAAATATATAATTTATAATTAATTACTGCTTAATAAATGAGTTAATTTGTTTATATATTGCTAATAAAATTAGAATTAAACTAACTTTATAGTTGTTAAAAAGCTTTATACTTTAAATGGTAATTAATTTTTAAGATAATTTTACATATGTCCTCGTCGTATTTTAAGGTGTTTAATATTTATTATTGTTTTTTGTCTTTCTTTATCAATGATAAAACATTCAAGTCTGCTTTATGAAGACTTTCTTAGCTTAAAAAAAGTTGCTTTTCAGGAATTTTATGTAAACTATTCAGCTTTGTAGAGGGTAACTTAGAAAACAAATTAGGAGTTTGATTAAAGTTTTAATTTTAAATCATCTAACTCTCTTCTAAGAAGCTCTATTCTATTAATAAAGAATTAGTCAAATCTTCTACATCTCGAATTTAAGATATCATTTAACTTATTTCTTCGCTGCTAATATCCTACTTGTTAAAATCTTTATTATGGCCATTAAATTGAATCTGGTTTAAATTCACACTTTAAATTTAATTTAAATCAAGGTTTAATCCTTGACAATTCCCCATCTTATTTCCTAATATAAGCTATGAGCTAACTATTCAAGAAATGTATGATCTGTTATGTTAATTTTAAATAAGTAAGAATATGGTTATTTCAAAAATAAATAAACGAAGTATGTACAAAAACAAAAATACTGATAATTGAAAGATGTTTTATATCAAAAATTTGTTAAATTTACCTTAATTTAATGATAATAAATGTTTTATTGTTAGTGTAAGTTTAGATACCAAGTTTTTTGTATTTATAGAAGAACTATTTATTATGGTTATAAGTTTCTTCTATTTATTTGCTTGCTTTAATTATTTAGTTTTCTTCTAGCTAATTAATTAAATGATAAAGAATTTTTACTATAAATTTAGAAAACCTTTGTGATAAATTTTCAATAACTTTAAAAGATTAAATATTATTATTAATCTATACAATTGATATAATGATTATAGACAAAAAGCATCAAATATCTGCTATCAATCATTATTTCATTAATTTTTTAATACTGGTGTTTATCCAATAAATTACATTTTTTCAAGATTTGTTTGTACAATTAATCAAGCATAACGAATGTTTTGATTATTTAGTTTCTTTATTTTCTATTGGATTTAGATAAATCAATTAATAATCTATATAATTCCTTTTTATTTCCAATTTAAATTAATACTCTTTATGTTTATGAATTGTCAAACTAAGTAAACAAAAGGCCCAGTAATTTACATAAAAATTATTTTTATTAATTCATACAAGCGCTTTTTGTTATTTTTTAAAGTAAATGTACAAATTAATTTAATTTCAAGTAGGTATGTACCACCAGTATTTAAGGTTTAATCAAGTTCGAATCTTGCTTTTTTTAGCTTACTCATTCTTTAATATTGAAACTTATGATATTAATTTTGATTTTTACTTGATAAATTTTATTTTTCGTAAGGATAATTAAAATTTGAATATTTGATTGTACTGAAAATTAGTAAAATTTCCGCAATCTTTAAGCATCGACAACCAAATTCACTAATAATCACTACAAAAAATTAAAAATAGCATTTATAAATTAATTTGTTTATGTGTATATCATAATATAAATATAAGTGAATAAATAAATAAAAACTAATAATCTATCTTCATTAATAGTTATTTATGAAAAAATCTTCAAATTAAAATAAAATACATAAGACTTAATTAATGGAGTAATTAATTTCACATGTAATTTTAATAGTTAATTACTATTATTTTACTAAAAGTTTAGAGTCTTCTAGAGAAAATTATGTTCAAAAAAGAAGAAAAAGAGCACCTAAGGTTTACAAAAACTAGGAAGATCTTAACTTAGACTTCTTAGATACTGTCTTAGTGAATAAATAACTATGGAAAGACAACTGGCTTGATGGTTTGATTAAATTAAAATTTATTACTTATTTTTCTACATTATTATATAAATAATTAAGGATACTAATACTATATGCTACTTAAAAACTAACACAGATTAGACTAAAAGTAATTTCCATTGTTGTCATCTCATCCAACTTGGATATATGAAAAACCTATCAGTAAGTAAAATAATTACTATTAAATTATTAGGTTGTTTTTATTAATTGAAAAAAAAAAATAGATGGACATCTCTATTTCCTAAAAGAAGTTGATTTAGAAAAAGATGGTCCATTTAAGCTTGGATTTCCTAGAACTTCATCATTAAATAAAAAATCATGGAAATGGAAAAGAAATAATTTTCCAACAAAACTTCCAAAAAATGACCCTAAAATAGTTTATATTTGCGGTAATTCGATTTTAAATCATTTAACAATAAATCAATAAAAATTACAGTTAATAAATTTATGATTTTTTTTACTGTTCTTTAATTTAAAATAGCAACAACTGAAGGCGTGGAATCTGATGAAAATGGAAATCTTGTTCAGAAAAGGTTTAGAATGCATATTGCAAAAAAGATAGGTGAGTTTTTTTAAAAGTAATATCAATTCTTGGTTGCTTCATTTATTTTTAAATAGATTTATACAATAAAGAGCTACATAATGAAGAAAATTCTCAAGGGTTAGTAGTGTGTTAGATGCTTGAAATAGAATTTGGAAAAACAAAAGAAGGGAAGAAATATATCCCAAAACCAATAAGCTTAATTCGAAAGAAAGAGATCCTGTATAATTAGAAAAAAAAGCAATAAACAGATGATGAAGATAAAATAGAATTTGAAGTTGATGATTACTCTCTTGAAAAAAATTCTTTTTAAAGCCAAAAAAATGAGTTGTAAAATTAAAAAAGCTACAAAAAGTAAAATATTTTTGATAGTAATAGAAGCTTCGAATGTGATAAAATTGAAATAGAAAGTAATGTATCTTTAAATAGTAGTGAGTAGTAATAGGAATAGCCTTAAAGTATTAAAATAGAAAATTAAGTAGATCATATAAGTTCTACAGCTGAGTAATGCACTGCTGCTATTTCTATTGAGAATGATAAAATTTTTGAAAAGGCATCACCATTTAAAGATTAGCTCTAGATTAATTCTTCATAGGTTTTAGGATCACAGAACCAATCTTAAGATGCCTAAAACTATTACCAAAACTTCTTTCATAGCTACACAAAACAAAATAGTAATGATCCCTTTATTTATTTGAAAAGCTCAATATATTCATCATAAAATAAGTAATTTAAAATTTTTAATGCCATAATTAAATATTATTAAAAATATTAAAGAAACTTGAACCTTATGTAGCATTCCAGTATTTAATTGCTTAAAAATGCTTACTAAAGTAAAAGTGTCAAAACTGTGTCTTAAGAGGAGAGCAATAACTCGAATTAAAGAAGTAGTCAGTAAAATATTAAATTTAGTAAAAAAACGAGCCCAATAAGAAAAAGACTTTTCTAGAATTATGAAAATAACTCATTGTACTAATACTAGGATATTTTTTCTTATTCAAACACATAAAATGGTAATAACAGTCCATAAATATCTGATCTTACTTAAAATAATTTTAATATATTTAATGCCTAAAAATATAATATATCTTAAACTGCAAACAGAGATAACATTTAAAATATTTACCATAACTCTAACCTCAATAATCATAGTTTTAATTGTATTTATGATAGTTTTAAAGGTAATTAAAATAATACAAATTTAGAGTTTTAAGATTTCATTGAACCTTAAAAGTTTCCTGAATTATCTAACTCCACTGATAAAAAAATAGATCAAAATCAAAGAAAATGTGTAATTAATTAATTAACTATTTTTTTAATTAACATAAAAATTGTGGGATAATTGGATTAAATAATTATTATTAATTAGGTAAAATAATTCTGTATTTTTGATTAGTTTTAAGACTTTGAAGATTTAGAATATTTTCCTCATTCTAAAAATAGCTAATTAGACACTAAATTTAAAAATTTAGAATTAGAAAATGATGGATTATAAAATAAAAAAAACGCTTTGAAACCCAAAATTTCATAGGGAGAAAAAGACATTTAATCTACTGAAATTACAATTTTAATTTAACCTGTACAATTTAAGTAATGCAAAAAAAATAAAGATGAATACTATGTCATTTTAATTTGAAATGCTTAATAATTAATTTATTCATATAGTTGTTGTTTGTAAACTTTTTTATTTTGAATAATAAAAAATAAATTATTTTGGAATAAAATTAAATTATTTGCTTATTAAATTAAATATAAATATCAAAATAATATTTGACATATTTTTTGATTTTAAATCAATTTTGAAAAATTATGAAATTATATAAAGGCAATTTATTTCATTCAATAAATAAATGAAATTTTATAAAAACAAAAGAAATTTTTTATTAGATAAATTTTAAATTATCTCAATCACAACAAATTAATAAAATATCTTCTAATTTTATTTAATAAATTCAAAATATTTTTAAAATTAATTTATCTTAGTTAATATTTTATAACTTACTCAAAATATTTTTGAAAAATTTATATTATGTAAAAATATAATCAATTAAATTAAAAATTTTCTGAAAAAATAAAATATTATATAATTATTATTGTTAAATACAGTAGAGAAAATAAATTAACAATTAAAACTCATGAAAGTGATAAATATTTGATAAATATCTTAAATCACTTAATATATTTAAATAAATTAGATGTATGACATATTATTTGTTAAGATTTTCAGAATACGCTATATGAATAGAAATAATAAAAGATATGACTTATTTTTGATTGGTTTATCTTTATCTATTTTTTTTAATGAAATTTATTGATATTTAAAAGCAATTCAAATAATTTTTCCTATCTTATTAAATGTTTCTCTTAATAGTAAAAATAAGTGGTGAGTGTATCTTAAATTTATAAGAAAAAAATTTACAAAGTAAATTATTTTTTAAGGAAGAAAAACAAATTTTTTCTTGAAAAAAGCCAAATACTTACTTACTTTTTAATTATTTTAAAAAGATATTCATTTACTAAATTATAGAAAATTTACTAAAAAATCTATTTAAAAATCAAAATATTTAAAAACTAATATGAATTATAATATTTATTAAGAAGTTTTTTACTATTTCATTTTTTTTTTGTTGAAATACTTTGCTTTTATAAGATTAAGGCCACAATTATTTAAATACTTTATCTACAAATTTTATGAAAGCTAAATCTCTTGCTTTTATAACCATGGTAATACTTTTATCCATGTTATTCCTTTTTTTCTAAAAAAACCTTAAAGATATTTTTTTTTATAAAATGAAATGCAAAATATATATTTTTAGAAGTGTAAAAATAGTTTAAAATTAAAGAAAATTAAATGAAAATTTGTGATATAATAGATAAAATTATAAATGTACTTAAGGTAAGTCATTTTGGTTAACTTTATTATAGAGGCAAAAAGAGAAATTCTAAAGGAATTTTAACTATATTGAGAATACAAATTAATCCTAAATACAAAAAAGAGAAACAAAAATTTATAAATATTAATTAAATAACAAAAAAAAACTTAAACACAATTTGCTTATAAAAATAAGATTTACTCTAATACAAACAAAAAAATGGCTAGCATTTTAAAGAAAGCATAATAAAAAAATTAGAAGGCAACTAAAGTTACCAACTTGAATGCCTTAAGTCAATAAGAAGTTATTGAAGATAAGGTATTTATTTATTTACTTACTTTACTTTCTTCTTTCTCTTTAATAGTTACTTGCGAATTATTTAATCAATTTAAATTCATTTATTGAATTAAATTAAGCTTCGCAAGTCTATAGAAATTGTTAAAATGTTATGTAAATATTAAATTAATAACTTAACTTAAAAAATATATAGATAGTTCCTAACATTATTGAAAAGAAAGAAGTTGATACTGAATAAATCGATCTTACCAGTATCAAGCCTGAAAAGAAGGTTGAAGAAGAACCCAAATAAGTTGAAGTTGTTCAATAAAGCTAGGAAACTTTCACTTGGGGAGAAACCAAAGAAATCGATGAATAAGAAGCTTTGAAAGCTGCTGAATTATAGTAATAAGCTGCTTAACAAACTGAAAAGAAAGACGATGGAGGAAAGAAGGTAACTAATAATGATTAATTTTCATACTTTTTTAATTTAGCTATTGTAGAATAAAACCTATTATAGAAAAATTAGCTAAAGCAATTCCTAAAATGCTTAAAATAGATAGAAAAGTTAAAAAGATATTCTTTTCTATGCACTAAAATGCTTAAAAATAATAAATTCAATTTTCAAAATAATTTTTATTTGACTTGATTCTAAAATTTTTGTTAATAATAAAAGGTTGTCAAATCTTGGGTTCCTTAAAAGAGAGGAGATGAATCCAATGTTACTGCTACTTTTGACGAAGAAGAGATGATGCCTGAATTGAATACTGAAAATTTAAATAAAAAGCAAGAAAAGAAAGCTCCAGTTATCATTTCAAGAGCTGAAGAACCTAGCAGCTCTAGCTCAAACCCTCCTAGATTCTAAAATTCAAATAAGGGAGGATTTAAATAGTTAGAACTATCAGAATAATAAAAGAAACTTTTAGAAATAGAAGAAAGAAATAAAAAAGAATACAAGAGTGCTACTAGTGGTCCTATTACTCAAGCCCCTAGCGATACTAATGGCAGTCTATTTTCTCACTCTTAAAGCAGCTAACCTCCTAGATTTATGAATAAGAAGGCAGCCGATGGTGCTAACTTTGTTCCCTTATAAAAGACTGACTTAGAATTGAAGTAGGAAGAGGCCTAAAAGAGAGCCGAAGAAAGACTTAAGGAAGTTAAAGAATAAAAGATTGAAATCTCTAAGGGTTTAGTAAATCCTGAAGACTCTGAAAAGAGAGAAGTAAACAATACTACTGAAGAATCCGCTTCCAAGCCCCTAAGATTCGTTAACTCTCATAAAACTAATCAAGGTCCTAACTTCAAGCCCTTAGAAGTCAAAGAAGTGAAGGTTCCTGAAGTCTTAGAAAATAAAAAATACTTAACTAAAAAGGAAGATAAACCTTAAACCAACGAAAAGAAAGAACAACGCGTTGAGAGAAAGAAAAATTAAGAAAACAAAAATAGTGAAGACGAAGATAGCGAACCTGAATATGATGAAAATGGATTCAAAATTGTAAAGGAAGAAAAACCTAAGAAAAGATAATATAACAACGATAGCAATAAAAAGAAGAAAGATAACAAAGATCAAAAAACTGAATAGGCTGAAGAAGTTGTTTAAGCTTGAAAAACAATAATAATTATAAAACAAAAACATAATAAATTGAGTAATAGCTGAATTGAAGAAGAGTAAGTAGATAGAACTAAACATATTATCTATTAAAAAAAAATATTTTAACATTACTCGCATCTTTCTACCGCTATTCAAATTTCAACTAACTACTCTCAAATGTCATTTAAAAATCTCCATTTCCTTTGAATGGTTAATTTTGCAAAGAATCGATCATTTAAATATATTTATCTTTCTATTAAACACACAATGTAAAATAATATGAAATAAAATCTTATATCCTGTAATTTATCTATTTGTTTTATATAATTTATTCTATTGATTAAATCTCTTTTTCTTTAACTTCAAAAGCTTCTCTAAAATATATCTGTAATGTATAAATCAATCAATCATATGTTTGATAGTTTAGAATAAATTACTTTTTTTTCATATTTTAGCATCTAAATAAATTATATGTTATTGATTAAAATTATTTTTATAAAATTTGTAAGAAAAGCATAAACTCTAATCAATTTTTAATCTTTTTTGTTTTATTACTTAATAGTTTATTACTCTATGATTAGGCATAAAGTAAAATTGTCATTTAAAATTCAAAATTTGTATATGTTGAATGGAAAAAAAATAAACAAAAATAATATCAAATGAATTTAAATATTTGCTTTACCAAATGAAAGTTTCTAACTTCCTTTATAACTATAGATTAATCTTTTAAATAAGTAATAAAATACTGAATTCAAACATGGTTAAAGTTTTAATTTTGAAAGTAAAACTTGAGGGTTTTCAATTAATACATTTTATAAAATGCAGTATTAGCAATTTGTTTTATTAATTAAGAGGATTTACTTAAAACAGAAGCTTCAATTTTTTTTGTAATGATATTTATTTAAAAATTATCATTTTTGATTGTTTAGTTTAAAAAGAAAATTTTATATTAGCAACATAGCTTTTGTATTTCATATTTGAAATATATTCATGATATTTCTTTTTTATCTTAACCTATAAATATAATATAATTCTCACAAATGAAGAAGAATTTAAATTGAATCTTCAAAAATATATAGAAAAAAGCTTGGTGTAGACTCTAAAATATGTAATTTGTTAAATTTTATTAGGTTTTCTTTTATAAAAATTTAAACTTGATATTGTAATTCAACATATTTTACATTTTTAAACTTTCTAATTTCCTCGAAATTGCAAAAATGAATGAAACTAAATCTGATCGTAAATTGACATTTAGCAAGAATTATTATATCAGAATGCTTATAATTGAATAATTTCATTATTATAGTATAATTTTTTATTTCTTTATCTTATTTTCTTAATCTTCTTCTTTGTTTTCAACTTGACTTCTTTGCAGCTTTAAAAGCGAAGTTTTCATTTCTTGCAATGCAAAATTTAAACGTAATTGAATATTTTTGTTTTAAAATGAAAGTTATATAATTTTTTATGGCTTTTTAAATAAGTTTTTATCTATTTGAAGTTAAATTTTAGACTATTTTATCATAGTTAAGATTTAAATATTAGACTAAAAAATTGATCTTCCTATCTATTGAGTGCATCCATTATCTAATATTTTCTTCAGCATTTAAAACGAATACATCTACAGATAAATTGTTAGGATAATCAGTTATTTGTGTTAGTGGTAAATGGATAGCTTAATAGACAGCTTTTATAAGAATTAATGAATGCTTATACAAATCCAAATTAATTTTGATTCTTTTGATTCATTTAAAGTTCTAATTGTGCAAGCAATTCTAAATAAAATAATAAATAAATTCAATAATTTTTGTTAAAAAACAAAGAAAATAAACAAGAAAGATAAAGTAAATTTATTTAAAATTTATATATATTATAAATAGATATTTAATTATAAAAAGTAATATCAATTTCTACAAAAAAGAGTTAGAGATTAAAAGTAGTAGCTAATTACTCAAATAGAAATACATAAAATACATAATAAAAAAATCTTTTAGTGTTAAGGTCAAACAAGCAAGCAAGCATCAGAATTATTCATTCTTAAGCCGATAAAAAGTAGAACAAATTTATAAATACTAATCAAGAAAAAATATAAATAATTTATAAAACCTAGAGTACTCAAAAAAATATAGTATACAAAAAATAATATCTATAATGTCAAGCGAATTAGATCAAATTATTGAAACCTTAAAGAAATGCGAATGCATAAAAGAAAATGAAGTTAAAAATTTATGCAATAAAGCAAGAGAAATTTTAGTTGAAGAGTCTAATGTGTAGAGAGTTGATGCACCTGTCACAGTAATTCTAATAAATTTAATTTCAAAAACAAAATAAATAAATGCTAAATTATATGATGAAACAATTTCTGTCTCCTAAATCTAAATAAATGAATACAAATAATTTTTAAATGTTTCCAAAATTTTTTTAGAAAGCTGATAAGAATTAAATAAGCCCTCATTATTCTAATTATATTCAAGTATATTAATTGCTATATTTCATACAACTATCAATTATTATCAGATTTGTGGTGATATTCATGGATAATTTTACGATTTAATGGAGCTCTTTACTGTTGGTGGTGAATGTCCTGACACTAATTATCTCTTTCTTGGAGATTTTGTAGATAGAGGTTTTCATTCAGTTGAAACATTTTTGCTTCTCCTTGCATTAAAGGTAATACTAATTAGTTAAAAAATCTAATAGGAAATTAAATTTATATTTTTTATACGTCAATCCATATTCAACTGAAGAGAAATAAATAAATAGTTTAAATAATAATGTATAGCATCATATTTGCGCCATTCTTGAGGAAACTTGAAATAGTATATGTTTTATAGATAAAAGCAATAAAATTGAAGAATAAAATGTTCAAAATTTGAATATATATGATGCATGAAATGGATTAAAAATATCAAATAGATTTTAAATGAATTTTATTTAAAATTCAAATTGTGTTTATATTTGAAAATGCATAATTTATATTTAATTAAAGGTAAGATATCCAGATAGAATTACATTGATTAGAGGAAATCATGAGTCAAGATAAATTACCTAAGTTTATGGTTTTTATGATGAATGCTTAAGAAAATTTGGCTCTCTCAATGTTTGGAGATATTGCACAGAAATATTTGATTATTTGTCTCTCGCTGCTATTATTGAAGAAAAGTTCTTCTGTGTTCATGGTGGTCTTTCTCCTTCTATAAAAACTCTTGATGAAGTAGGAATTTAATTTTTGTTTATATTAATAGATAATTAATTTATTTAATTAAATAGATTATTGCTATCGACAGAAAGCAAGAAGTTCCTCACGACGGAGCTATGTGTGATTTGATGTGGAGTGATCCTGATGGTAGATTAATTAACTTTATTTATTAAGAAAATAATTTTATTAAAAATCTATAAAATAGAGATCGAAGGTTGGGCTGTTAGTCCTAGAGGTGCTGGTTATCTCTTTGGTGGAGATGTAGTTGATGAATTTAATAGAACAAATAATATAGATTTAATTTGCAGAGCACATTAATTAGTTATGGAAGGATATAGAAATATGTTTAACGATTAACTTGCTACTGTTTGGTCTGCTCCTAATTACTGCTATAGGTATTCTATTTTTTATTTTTTAACAATTTATTGAATATTTTTATATTAAAGATGTGGAAATATTGCTGCTATATTAGAATTAGATGAAAATTTACAAAAATCTTATAAAACTTTTGAAGCTGCTGCACAAGTAAAATTGAATAATTCAATCACTCCACATTTTGACATCTAAAAATTGTTTTTTAATTTTATCAAAAGGAAAACAGAGGAGTACCTGCTAAAAAATCTTTACCAGAATATTTCCTTTGAGAAACTATCAATAAATTGCTCATGTCATGGATTTATCAAAACATTTAAAAAAAAAAACAAGAATTTATAATATATAAATATTTTTTAAGACAATTGTTAAATTTATAACATTTTTATTTTTGGCCTATCTCTTTATTTTTAAATTCAAGCAGTCTGTGTTTTCATTCATTATTTTAATCAAAATCTTCAAAATTATCAAAGTTTTTATTTAAAAACAATAAAGTTTCTATTAAAAACATCAAAATTTCAATTTAAAACAACAAAATTTCTCATTTAAAACATCAAGTTTTTACTTTAAAGCATCAAAAAATTTATTTTAAAACATCAAAGTTTCTATTTAAAAAGAAATATTTTTTTAATTTCAAACTTATAATTTATTTTTCTAAATTTTGCAAGTAAAAAAAATATTTATTTTCAATTAAACTTATTTTGATTAAAATTCTTTCTAATTATAAATTAAACGATTTATTATTTTTATTTTTAAGGAAGAATGTAAATTAAAATATTTAAATTATTAGATTTATTCAAGAAATAATATAAATAAATGATTTTGGATTTTAATATAAAATTTAAATATATCAATCAAAGTTATTCGTTTTTCCACATTCTTATTGTACTGAAATCTTCAACTGCTAGAATCATATTTTCTTTATTTAATGCGATAAATTATTACAAGTGATTTTCTTAACCTGAAAGAGTGCATACTACTTACTTAAATTCAGAGTCAAAGCAGAATACTTTAACTCCTGAAGAAGATAATGTAGAGTATAAAAAATATGACTAAGCCTAAGGCAAAGCTATTTAACCTTATTACTCTTTACCTTTGCTTAGGTTGCTGGAATTAGTTGCATTTAACATTTATGTTGAATTAAATGACGAAGAAGTTTTATTAAAATCTTCATTATTAATACCATTGTTTGAGCTATTTAAATTATTCTTTTTGGCAGTATTTCTTAAGTTATTTGGAGTTAGGTAGATCTTTGTTCCAGATATTATATAAATTGGATCTTTTCCTTAAATTTTGTTGTAGTGGTTAATTGATGAATATTTTATCCTCTGGAGATCAGTCATAATCACTTTGTTTAACATAACATCAACTCCCCAAATATTTCCTTATAGACTTGAAAGCATCAAAATATTATTATTACAATTCATCGAAGTTATAACGTCGTTTTAGTTCGTACATAAAGTTATGCACTCTTAGCTTTCTAAGCATTTGCTTAATAAATTAATACGCCATTTAAATAGCATATAATCAGAGTGTCCCCATAAGCAATCATTAACTTAATCATAAATTATCCTTTAAATAATTAAGTTATTTTTTATTTTAAATTTAGTTATCATCATTTTTTCAGTCGAGCCATGCTTATCTCTGTGAAACTGTAATTTTTAAACTTAAATTGTAGGAACATTTTTACTTTCCTACTCATCAAATTCAGCCTCTTCATTAAAATCAAATAAATTCAAAGTAAACACATAGCATACATCAGTAATTAGCTGTAAAGAATTAGGTACATTCTTTTTCTTAAATTGTTTATCAAGCACAACTTGCATTTGAGATATGGCTCCAGGACCATGGAAGCACTTGAATGAATCAATATCTAAAAATTTACTTTTATCAGACTCATATCTAAAAATACTTAAAGTAGATTCGTTTAGTTCATTCTGTCCTCCAATTATAAAAATTGGATCTGTTTCTATATTCGTGTTTATATTAGAATCTTTTTAATGTAATTCTTCGTTTTCATTAACTTCAGAGTAGCAATAAATGTATCTACCTATGTTATAGTCTTTAACTTTAGTTATCTAAGTAGGAGCAGATGTAAACTGAGAAAGGGCCAATTACCAAACTTGGATATTTCCATTTTGATGCATAATTAAATACTTAGAATAAGGTAAGTTTTCAAATCCTACGATAACTTATTGAGCTTCTTCCTTTTAATAATTGATTAAGTAGCTATTTTCATTTCTAGTTAAAATAACTTCTCTTTTTTTCGGTTTTTCAACCAATTAATCTTAAGAGCCTGTCTTTTTTAGCTTCAACTCGTTTTATTTAGACTAAACGCTTGCAAAATATTATTAGAAAGGATGAGTAAACTATTGAAAGGGAATTTTCAGCATATCTAAGTAGCCATATGCTCTTAGATAAGGGTTAACAGATAGTAATAGAATGTTTGCATTTCTATAATCACTTTTTAATTACATTTCGTAACACACACTGCTTTCAGTTATTGATTGAGTCTAAGAAGGCTACTCTTTTACTAAAAAGAAGCTATCTCTTTTTTCAGTTGATCTCAGCATTTTTTGAGCTTATTATAGCTGCTTATTTACCATTTAACTTTGCTTATTATTCATTGGTGTGTTATCGCTTGAATCAGTTTAGATAAACTTAGCAACAACAGGACTTTTTTATGTATTCTGAGTTGTTATTCTGAAATTTACTGATTTTTTAAGTGGAGATGTGCTTTAAGAAAGTGATGAATTCGATTAAGATGGCTTTAAAGTACTTTCACTAGCACCATTTTGTAAGGCTGATAAATTAGGTGCAGAGTACAAGAAAGTTAATGATTTCAAAGAAATATAACCCTAAGATTTTTGTTTATTAAACTAATTGTGAGAATCAACTATTTCTTTTTAAATATTTTAAAAGCGAATATTTTCTATTTTTTCGAGATTTATTTTATATTCTTTTTTAGTAAAATTGACTCTTTGTAGCAATTCTTATTTCTACATAGTGTTAAAATTCTCTAAATGTTATTGTTGCTAGCTAGGAGAATAATTAGCAATTTGGCTCAACTGTATTTTTTTTTTACTCTAAACGCTTTGCTATTAAAAAGTAGAGGGAATACTCTTAAATTCAAAATCAATAGATTTTACTTGTCTGCGTGCAACTGAGCTACTATTAATTTGCTAATCACTTTTATTACTATGAAACTCATCATCCTAAACTTGAGACACTCCTACATGAGGTAGTTCAAGCTAAGAAGTTAATTGACTATCGCTTTCATGATTAAAAGAAAACACTTTGTCAGTTTATGTAATAACTAAATCTGGAGCATACACTTCAGTTTTCAGTGTAGCTTTTCTAATATCCTAATTAATCTTTTTCAAGTCTTCTATCATTTTATTCATTTAAAAATTAGGATCGTGCTTATCAGGAATTTTAAGCTATTTCGATAAATCTGGTGTAAGTACTGATTAATTGCTTCCCAATGGCTTTATAGGAGACATGCTAGTAGGAGATTGAAGTAACTATTATTCCTCTAACAGTTGCTATTCAAATGCAACTAACTCATTTATAGCCTCATTTGTGTCAATCATAAATGAAAATAGTTTATTGTATTCCTAATCAAAATAAGTAGAAAGATTCTTTGAAAATATTTTAAATCTTTACTGGGTATCTACACACATATCCCTAAATATTTTTTTTGATATTTTTAATTCTAGATATCCTTTATGAAACTTTTAGAGATTTCTATTCAATTAATTATATCTATCATTGTTGTTTTTTAAGTCATCAAGTATCACCTATATAGACGATTCCTTAATGAATTTCTCCTCTAAAACTATTCTTGAAGTAGCACGTTTCAATTGATTCTGCATGGACTCGATCATAGACTTTTCGAAATTTAAAATTTTCTTTTATTGAGCTTAAATTAACAATTAAAGTTCATCATTAAAGATCTTCGCTTAGTTAGCAGTTAATTTCGTTTTAATAACCTATGATTTTTCATTGAATAATGTGAACTTTTATTCTTAGTCTTTACCATTTATACATTACATCATATTATAATCAATCTCACTTGGTTTGCTATCTTTTCCTCTTAAACTTCTAGATCCATTTTTAATCTATTCGTGGTACCCGCTTAAATTATCTTCCTCTTCTAGCTTAATTTTTTAAAACCTTTTAAAATTATTAATCATCTCCATTAATGGAATATGCATATTCCTATGTACGTCCCTGTGCTTTTTTAAGCAATTTTCGCACATTAATTTTTAGTAACAAGAGTTTACTAAGCAAACATATTAAACATACTAATTGTGCTCAGGGCAAAATATATTTAAGCTGCTTGCGTCTAAATTCATAGAACTTGAATTCTTTTATTTCTAAACTTAAAAATACCTTCAGAACTAATTTACTAATTAAAAAAATAAATAAGCAATAATTTTTTTAATTTATGATAACATTGATATTAAAACTTAAATGAAATTTACATAATTTAGTAATGTAAAATAAATTAGTCAGTGATTAAATCTTCTAAGTTATTATCAAATGGTTATTACCTCTTAATTTTCAATCAAGTAGATAGTATATTAAATTATATAACCTCCTCATTACAAAAAAGCAAATAAGAAGTTTCATACAATGCAATTTATGTGTATTAATTTTATAAAAATCTAAACTAAAAACAATACAATTGGTGAAACATTTTTTATTAATCCAAATGAATTTGTCAAAAAATTTTTATGATTTTTATAAAAAGAGGTTAAATTATTTATTTATTTACAATAGGATAATTATTACCAAATTAATATTTGAGTTAGATAAAATCAACCTTGATTTATATAAAAACATGCACTTCTGATTTATTAATGAATAAACAAAAACTAGTTTTATAAATTAAGATATCATCAACATAAATAATTACATTTTTATAATTTTTAATTAGAATTTTTTTTCAAATTTTACTGTTTTTAATGTTGTTATAACTCATATTAAATACTTCCTAATCTTTTGATTCGGTATTTATATTTTTTCTTAAAGAACTAGCCCTATACTAACTAGATCTTTTTAAATTTTCTTTCATTTTTTCAAAATCCTAGTCCAACTATCTCGATATCTATTTAAAATATTGATTTAAAATTAATGAATATAAGAAATATTATTAAAAATAACAAAAGAAAGAAATATTTTTTGAATATTAATATTTTTTTTAGATATTTTATTTAAAGACAAATATAAATTTAATTGAATTTACTCCTAAACTTTCTTAAGACTATAAATTATTCATAAATGAAGTATTAGTAGCATTGGAAATGAGTCTTCTATCTAAAAATTCATTTCTTCTTTCAACGAAATCCTATTTTTTTTCAAGCAAATCATTTTTTTTTTCAATTAAATATTTAAAATCTTCAGAAGCATTTATATTATCTTTGCTTTTATCTAATGAATTCTACTTTTTAGGAAGTATTGACTGCTCTTAATCCTCAGTATAAGTGTAAGTTGAATTAGTATTTTAAATCTACCCTTAGAACTTTTTTTCTATATTTTGAAGTTCGAATATTTGATCCTCTATCAAAGACTTTATATTAAGGAATTAGTTTTTTTTGTTTATATGGTTGGAGAATATTTATTTTGCTATCGAAAATTATTCATGTAAAATAGAATTATTATTTAAAAGAGCCTTCTCATCAATCGACTTACTATTCAACCCATAATAATTAATCACTTTATACTAATTAAAAAAATAAATGTTCTCTTTAAAAATAAAGCTGACAAAATATATTTTTACTTCTTCCTTTATTTTTAAGTGTTCTTAAATTTACTCTTCGTTTTTTTTAAAGTTTATAATCTATTTCTCAATTTATTTGATTGTTTCGTCCAAATCTCTTTATGATTTTTTAGATATTTCTTCAGTTTATTGAATGAGCTATTGGCAAGTTTCTTCAACTTTTTATTTGAGGACCTATTTAAGAACATATTTAAATATTTTAAAGAAAACTACAAAATGTACGTTAAAAACAGTTGTGATTTCTAACTTCAGGTTTTTTTGAATTTGTTATATTTCATTTTTTTATTAGTAAACAGCCTCTTTTTTATTGCATATTGTGGCCATGCTATTTTCTAGATCAAATTTGTAGTCTTCTAATATCTATTTAACAATTGGATACGATTTTTTAATTGTTTTTACATTGTGATCCTTATGAACTCCATGAATAATGCACTCAGGACATATGCAAACATTCTTGCAGTCAAAACAAAAATAGTTTACTTCTTCATCATCATGCTCTTTACATAATTTTCTAAATTTAAAGTTTGATAAAAAGTATTTTATAAAAATAAATAAACATTTAATACTGATTATCATCAAGAAAAGAAATTTGCTAATATCTTGAATGCTCATTTTTACTATAATCTTTATCATCTTCATATCCTTAAGTTAATGATTTTTAGTTAATGCTTCCACTTTAAAATTGCTATTATATCCTCGAATAACTATTATCTTTCAAACCAATTCTTTGAGGTTCATCATTATTAAAGGTATTCCTTTGTATTCCTTTATTAATATTAGTATAATTTTCTATTTTTTTAATCTTATCTTGTAATATTCTCTCTATATATGGGGCTCTCTAATCCTCTTCTCTTCCTATATTATTCTATTTATGTTAAGTTTTTGTGAATATAGAAAACTTAATTTTACTAAAGCGCTTTCTTCAGGAGGATGAGAAATTATTAACTTTTCTAACTCATAAATGCTAGAATGATCTAATGGAGTAATTTTTCCACATATTTAGCAGGTAAAATTCTGTTTTATTAATAAATTAATTCAATCAGAAATTTATAGATTAATATTACTTTTTTTTTATATGAAAACTTATAGTATTATAGAGAAGAGCACGATAAACATAAATCATGCCCACACTATAAAGATAGTAGATTATCAGGTTATTCTTTACACTCGTAACAAAAATCAGTTTATTTAAAACTCATTTATTTATTATGATTAAATTGAAAAATCTAATTATTAATTTTAAGTTCTCTATTTATTTTTTATGATAAATAAATTAAATATTCAAATCTTTAATTATTTGAGCAATATTTGAATTTCAAGATAATCTCTAAAACAAAAAATCATAAACGAGCTGTTGAGTAACTAACCTAAATATATTAAGATCTTAAATAAATAAATAAATTAATTAATTACAACCATTAAAACATTTTTAATTAGATTAAATTTTTTTGATAAATTATTTTATACTTTTATTTTTTATAATCAATAAGTCAATTTTTAAAAATAAATTTCCTTCAAGTAGTTCTATAATTATAATTAAATTAACTAAATTATACTATAATTAAATAAAAAATATTTTAGAACATTTATTGATTGCTTGAATAAGTATATCTTAAAATATTTTAAATCTAAAAAATGTGAAATATATATTTAATTTTCTTATAAAAAAATAAAATAAAATGTTTGGTAATTTTAGTTTTTAAACCTTTAGATTTTATAAATATTGTTTTTAGTAAAAATGGAAAGAATCACATGAAAAACCTCATGAAAGCAGAATACTTCTTCTTCCGCAAGGTCTAATAAAGTTATTAATTATCTAATCTAACCCAAATAGTCACTAACTCATAGAAAAGCCTTTTAGACAAAACTAATATTGCTAAACTTAAATAATAATATTAATTTTGAAAGAAATAAAATTTTTTTATTTTCATTCTGTTTTTCGCATAGCTATATATTTTATGTTTTAACTATACATACATAGTTTTTAATTAATTAACCTTTTTTTTATTTTCTCATTTATTTAAAATTAAAACTTTTTTTAAATTAATTGTTAATATTTTCATATTTTTCTTAACCTTAAATATTTGGAGAGTTTGCATAACAATAATCAAGTAAAAGCTTTAACATATTATAAAATTTAAAACGTATTTTAAAACAGAAAACACTGAGTATATTTATGAGTTTTTAAACTATTTTTTTTAACTATTCAAACAAGCATAAATATGCTATAAATATAATTATAATGTAGTAGCTTTAATAAAAGAATTATTTTAAGTAATATTTATATAATTATTTTTAAAATTAGTAACCCAAATTAAACTATTAAATCGTTTTATAAGCTATAATTTTCACTGTGCAATTAAAATTTTAAACTAAGATTATAACTTTTCAAACTTATTATAATGATGTATGAGATGATTAATTATTTTTATTATTATTGTTTACTTCGCTTTAAATTTAAGCCTATTTTTAAGATTCATCTAATTGACTTTATTCTATAAAATACTTCTTCAAAATTTCTTTTTTCTCTAAAATATCATCTATATTATAGCCTAAAGCTCTTGCTTTTATTAAAGCATGATTGACTCTATTTCCGTCAAGAAAACTAAACTTAAGATATAATTTCCAAAAATCTTTTGCTACATCTTTAATAAACTGCTAATACTCTGACTTATCATTAGCATCAAAATTATTCTGCAAGTATTAATAATCTGTATGATAGGAGCTAGAAGACGCAAATTAACTTTACAATTTTTTATTTGAGTTGGTTTGATTTATTTAAACTTAAATATTGTGACTTTAGTCCAAAAAGGTGTACATTTTATCTCTAAGATCAGTTATGGAATCTATCAACATAGTGAAATCTTCATTTAATCTTTGAACCCTTTTAATTAAATTATCGTAACTTATCTTTGCAGACTCTTATTCATCCATTTATTTATTTCTTGATTGACTAACTAATTGCTTTTTTATTTGCTTTTTACTTATTTTAAAAATAAATAAACAGGAATGAATCAAACAAATTATGGTAATAAATAGAAATTCTTTTCCTGATAGATTATTAAAAAGTAATAACCAATAATTAATAAATACTAATGCTTTAATTATACTGCACACAATAAAACTAGACATATTTTTGTTTAATTATTAACAAATTAATATCATCTTAGATAAACTGCGAACACATTATATCTTTGCCTCAGAATTTAAAGTATCAATTAATTTAATTTAATAAGAAAATATAAATAAATAAGTAAGTAAAGGAATTTAAAAAATATTAGCAAACTTTATAAAAATTTAATAGGAGATGAGCAAAAATTTATCAAATATGGCAGAAAGATATTAAGGTGAATCAGGTGTATTCACTTCTTTAGATAATAATGATGGAGATGGTCCTTTAAAGTGTAAATTAAAAGAATTTGTTTTAATTAATTAATTTTATCATTTTTTGATGAGTGAGGATATTAAATTCAAAATTTCAAAAATTAACAAAATAGCTGTCGATGGATGGTTGCTATTTGTTACTGGCCTCCATGAGGAAACTACTGATGACTAAATATATGATGCCTTTGGAGAATTCGGTGAAATTAAAAACTGTCACTTGAATTTAGATAGAAGATCAGGATATGTTAAGGGTTATGCATTAGTTTAATATGAAAATCTTTAACATGCATAAGACGCAATAAAGGGTATTTATTATAAGCAGAAAATTAAATTTTTAAATTAAAACACATTGCGTTTAAAAATATAGGACTTAATGGAACTACCATTTTAGATAGATAAATTACAGTTGACTGGGCTTTTAAGAGACCTGTAAAAAATAGCGGAAGAAAGTGATTAAAAAAGGAAAATTAATTAATTAAAATATTCTTAATAACTCTAATAAATACAAAAAAATATTTAAAATATTGATTTGAAAGGTTTGTATATATAATATAATATTTGCTTAGTCTTTTTTTTTTGCTTATTAAAATAATTAAAATTAATTTTATTGAGTTAAAATTTTTTTAAATAAACTTACTTGTACTTCACTTACAAACATCTAACAATAAAAGATACTTTTTTATTAATGCTTTTATTAATTATTTTATGTAGATTTAAATTTATTATGATTGAATCAATTATCAAAAAAAGCTAATTTAAAATATGTTATAAAATTAAAAAAGTGCATATATATCTTAAAATAATTTATTTATGTTATCTAATTATCGTTAATAATAATTTTATAAAATAATGTAGATTTTTAAAATGAAAACTTAGGTATTAATTAATTTTTTTATAAAAAATAAAAATAAAGGTAGGTGTTAATAATAGGAGAAAAGAGGTTATTATTGAAAAATTATTTTTTTCATTGATTTTAAGGTATTTAAAAGTTAATTGACTGAGTATATTTAATTTATATAATGTAAAATATTTTTGAAACATCACCCTTTCTTTTTATATTTTTAAAATAAAATAAATATAAAACTTAAAAATATTTTCTTATATTTTCTCAAATTATTTTATTTTTTAATCAGAATTTATATTAAATAAAGAAAATACCAAACTAAAAAATTTTTTAATTCTAATTAATTTCAATCAAATTAAGATTAAATAGAAAGCTATGATAAATATTTAAATTAACAGAATTTGCTAAGAAGTCTTTTAGCAAGAACCACCTATCAATTAAAACCCCTTTTAACAATTTATGCATTCATTTTTATCATCATAAGAATTACAATTTGCATCTAAAATTTATTATTCTTCTTCTTAATTTGAATTATCGATAGAGCAGTCTTCGCCTGAGTATCCTTTAGCACAAATACAAGTTTGATTCATGCAAAAACCTCTTCCATTGCAGTGATTTTTGCAAATAAATTGTTATTTACAAAAATTATTTATTTTTGGACAGATTAATTAGCCATCGTATTAATCTACTGTCAAAATCTGATCATCTTCTTCACAAATAACATTTTATATTTTATCTATTTTGCTTCCAATAGTAAAATGTATACTAATTTTATCACCTTTTTGGATACATTCTTATGGATAACACTAGATTTATTAAGGATCAACCTCAAAATGAGAATTTTTAGGGGATAGACTACTAATAACAGCTTTGCTATTCCATCCAAAAGAAGATCCAAAATTTTCCATTGTATTCTCTATTAAATTAAGTTTGTCTACTCTTCCATAGCAAGAAGTATGATTCAAAGAATATTAAACAGGACAAGTATTAGGGAATAGTGGTTAGCATTTAAAATTATATCCTTCATAGTTATAACCAGTGCTATTTTTTTCGTTTGATAAATCACAAAATTCCTTAGGCAGAGGTTTTTCATTGCAAGTTTAAAAATAGAAATCACAACCTTTGTCTTTACCCCAAAATAATCTGTCATGAAAATCCATTTTAACATCATACCAGCCACTATCCTTGAGTAGCGCATTATTGATCCCGCTCCATGTTACGTCGCCTAATTAACAAGGAATTTTTTTAAAATTAATAAATTTTTCATTTTAATTAAATTAAACTCTAAAAAATATATTAAATTTATTTAATTTAATAAGTAAATACCTGAATTTAAAAAACCAGTCATTAAATCTGAGTAAAATAGGCTTTTTTTCCAATGACAACCAGCTGTTCCTTCTAAGCTAATATCTTCTAGATACACTTCTTTAATATCAGAGCAACCAAAGTGCTATTAGGTAAAAGAAAGTACTTCTGGTAATGCTAAAAAAGGTTTTTTATGTAAGTTTATTCCATACTATTCAGGAGTTGAGTTAACGTAATACTGATATAAATCGTCGTGAAATACTAAAGCATGAAACATTTCATGGATAGTTACTTTAATTAGATAATCATATTCAAAGCTAGAAAAGCTTCCATTATCTTCGGAGGGCAAATATTTTTAATTATATATGATAAATCCTATAATTGGTCTATTGTCTGTTTTTTACAAGCCACAAGGTCCTGCACTTGCTAACCAACTATCTTCATCATAATCTAAACCAACTATGAAGTGTATGTCAGTGTTATAGACAGCTTTTATTAAAAATAATTATTTTTATTAAAAAATGTATATTTATTTACTCTTTTTAAACAAATCAGGTAATAAATCAAAATCGCAGTCAACTTCTAAGCCAGAAAGAATAGGATTTTTGACTTAAATAAATTGCTCATAAAAATTGAAAGCACTTTTCAAGGCATCCTAAATAATTTTAATATGCAAACGGTTATTAGATTTCTAAACTAATTAATCATCATAAGTAAATCTGATAGTACTGCCTGATAGATTTCTAGAGGAGTTATCATTTTCAGTTAATTAAGTTTATGTATTAATGATTTTTAAATCTCTTAAATGAACAGTATCTAAGAGTAGATTTGCAAAAGTAAGGCTACAAAGGAGCGCCAGCATAAGTAAAAAGAATTTTATTCTTAATGAAGTTTATGGCATTCTATATCAATCAATAGGTTCTAATTGCGTTTTATTTTTTGTATATTTTAATAATTTTTTATAGTCATCTATAATTTCATTTTCTCAGTTTTATAAATAACTTCCATACAAATAATAGCTAGAACTATTTTGTTCTCAAAACAAACAAAAAATGGTGAATAATCAATTTTTCATTTCTATTTATAGCTTTAATTCAAACTGATAGTAATAGAATAAACTGTAAGATTTTTATTATAATATCTAGCTATATATAAAATCTTAGTAATATCTTATTTATGTAAAACTAAAAAATACAAAATCAACATGTGTGTTTGCTCTCAAAATTTTTGCTGATAAAGAATAAAATTAAAAAGATATTAGAACAAAAGATTATACAAATTATAAGGATTTTTAAATTATATTATAAAATAAAAAAATTAATTTTAATTCCTCTTAGTGATTGTTCATAATATATAAAAGAAAATGTCTCTAACTAAAAATTTTCAAAAAATGAGAATTAATATACTGTAAATACTCGTTAATTAAGGCATTTTTTTCTTAAATTTTTTTTTTTTTTCGATTATGGTGTATGGCACTTTTTTTTGGGTAAAAAAGATACTTAGGTAATGCATTAATTAATGAGCATTTACAGTATATGGTGCTAGCTAATATTCTACAGTATAATTTGAAAAAAAAAAATTTTCAGATATTATCAGTTTAATTAAAATTAAATTAATTTCCTTTTTAAACATTTAAGACAAATCTACGAAAAAATTAATTTGATTCATTAAATTTTTAATATTTAACTTTTAAAAAATATTGAAATTTAATACTATGATAAGGATGACGAAGGTTTTTATCGAAACCTCATTTAAACCATTAAGATTAATATCTAAATTACTTACTTATTTATATGCAAGAAAACAATTACAATTAAACTTAAATATTTTTAAAAATTCAAATTTATTATTATGATGATGAATGATAATAAAGATCTTTACAGACCAATCGATAAATTATCTTAGTTTAAAAAACATAAAAATTTAAATAATTTATCATAAAAAAATAAATAAATAATCAATTTCTAAAAACTTCTAAGATAAATTTTTAAAATATATTTTTTTTTATTTTAAAAACAAATTATTATTTTATTAATGAAAGCTATGAGATAATTAATATATTTTTTTAATTGAGTTTAAATAATTATTTAAATATAAATATTTCATATCAAATAAATCAATAATCGTATGCTTAATAAAAATGTCTCAATCTATGAATATAACTATGTCTATAAAATATTTAATATTACTTTTTAAGCTAATGAATAATAATTTTAAAAAATGTTATAATTAAATATAAAATAATATTTATGTTAAACCAAGCAAATTAGCCGCAAGATTTTTTTTTTTCATACTTTTTTTATTAAAACGCTTTTCTAAAAATACATATGGTATAATTTGTGGGATTGCTTAATATTTTTTTAATAAGATTAACTTTAAGCTTACAATTTTACAAATTAATAAATTACATTTTCACATTTCTGTTTATAGTTTTTAATTCATGATAAATTAGATTTCCTCTCCATCTTCATATTAAGACTAGTCTTAAATATATGAAGAATTTTAAGAAGAACTTCTCCTTTGTTTTATTTACTAATTTTAAAGATTTTGTTTTTAATTTTATGAATTTTAATATATATTTTATTTTATTGAGTCAATAATTTATCCAAACTTTTTAACTTAATTTGTAGGCATCTATTTATAGAGTAGCTTGCTTGTTTATTCTATTTCATTTATGAGGTTATAATTTATCATCATCATTTGAGCTTCATTTTATATTTTCTGCTTTTTAAGTTCTTCTAATCTCAATTGTAAGGATAGCATGTAATGCTTTTTGTAAACTTTACCTTCACCATCGACTAAATTAGACATATTGTTTTTAGTTGGATTATAATATTAAAAAATATTAATTTCATCACTTTGCTTGCTTTGAAAATGAGAGTCTTTTTTTTGTATTAAATTTTAGAAGGCACCTTAACTTAGTTTGGTGGGTGTATTTTCATTTTAAGTGTCTATATATCTATATAAATTATTTTAATTGAGCTTTTGATCTGTTTTATAAAACCTTTTAAAAGGATTATTTCTCTTTTACTTTATAAAGAATAAATTATTAAATTTTTTAAATAGTTTGAATAATTCTTAAATTTACGATTCTAAAATAATTGCTTGTTGTGCTTAGGGAGGGCTTAGACAAATCATCGTCCATTTAAGAATAAGATGGGTTAAGTGGAGTATTACTTGATTTAAATATTGCATAGCCAGATATGGAATTTTATCTTCTTTCATAGTTTGTCGATTACTTAGAACTTTAAGCTAAAAAATCATCTTGAGTATTTGCTCTTTAATAAGAATTAAAAGCTGTTTCTGGATCTATTTCGTTCAAAAAATTATTCATATTTTCTGTTGATGACTTGACTATTGAAGGCATATTAAGCATATTACTTTCAATAGAATCTGGAATGTTATTTTATAAGCTTATTGAATTACTATTTAAATCCATACTTTATTTGATTTTATCAATTCTTGGACGATTTGGTTTAATAAAATCAATTTAATTATGATTTAAATTTTTTAATTTTTCATTAATCTTCAAGTTTTAAAACTCTATGTTCATATTTTCATCTGCATAAAAATTTTATTTTTCTTTTTTAACATTAAAGGTTTCAGCTGATTACTAATACATTTAATTTTAGTTTATATCTTATTTTTTTAATTCATTTTTTCTTGATGGAGACTTTCTATAACTTTCTAAGATATCATCTATATGAACTAAATTACACTCATTTTTATTCAAGCTCACACTCATTTAGCTTAATCTCATCGCTTAACCGCTTTTATAATTTTTGGTAGCATAGAACTAGTCGTTAGCTTAATTTTATAAAATATATGATAATATTGAAAAAAAATTTTTTATTTTTACTTTGCTTTAGTATCATAGATGGAGTTAAGCTACTTCTATGAACACTTAGTCTTTTAGGAGAATGAATTTTAGATTAAGCAAATGAATTAAAACTCTAATTCAATCTGCTTGCATTATTCGATTAATTATTCTTTTTTGTGCTCGATATAGTGGTAGAGGCTTAATTAGATTTTAAATAAAAACTTTGGCTCACTTCGTTAAAAGCTTATCTTCTTTATTGCATTTTTACAGGAGTGTGTAGATGTTCATTTAAAACCTCTTTATTCGCTTTATTCAATCCAATATTTTAAACATATATCATAGTAAATCTATGTCTGAAAATATTATAATAACAAAAACAATCAACAAATCAAAGCTGATAAGATATATTCACTATTTAATAAGTTTACTAAAAATTATTAAGAAATATTAGGGTCAATTAATAATCATTAAATAAAAATATTAATAAATAATAATAAAATTATAGTATTTTACAAATCTCAAATATAAATAAGCTGTGTAATCATCAAGTTATTCTTTAATATATTATTTAATCATTCAAAATTAGATTTTTTTATTTTCATTTTACATTCAGAGATATCATTTTATCAACCTGTAATAAAATGATATTTCTAATGAATTTTTTTAAATATTTATATAGTTAATCTTAAAATTAAATAGATTTCCTTAAATAAAATATGTAAATTTTTTTATAATAAATAATTATTTCAAACTTTTCAAAATAATATTTTTGTTTATTACCTTGCAAAATATAATTTTATTGTATTGCTATCTATTTGTATATATAATATTTCTTTTAGTAACAAATATTACCTTACTGAATTAATTTCGTTTTAAGAAAACTTGTAAAACAATAAATAGTAATTATGTAGAATATAGCACTTATAATTTAACTTCATAATAAAATTATTTTTATTTAAAATGTTAAGTCAAGCATTTTATAGGCAGAAAGAATGATGGCTGGTCAAATTGCAAAATAGTATTTTAAATAAAAAAATTAGAAATTTGCTGTAGTTCTTAAATTGCTAAACTATTTGTTCATTAAGCAAACTCTCTAAAAAATTAATTCATTAAAATTTAATATTACCTAATATGATTTTTTTGTATATTATAACAACAAAAACATTAACATTAAGTATTTATAAAAATTATAAATGTAAGTTATTTTTATCTAAAGAATGGAAATTATTACATATAAAATAAGACAGATATTATATATTATTCAGTTGTTATGCAATATATCTAATCTTTCACTATTTAGTGATTTATTTAGTGTGTTAAAAGTACATAATTTTGGTTTTAAAATTAGTAATAATAACTCATCTACTAATTAGAATCATTCCATTATGACAAATAAATGTTTATAGTAATTAAATTAACCATTGTTTATTTGACTAAAATAGGATAATAAAATTCTTTAGATTTCTCAAAATGTATATTTATTAAAAACTCAATTACTTTGATAATCACAATTAAAAATTAAAGCAAAAGCAAAAAAAGTATTTATTAGATACTAAATTTCTGATAGAATTAAACTAGTTATTTACAAATAAAAACTTTTTAGTTAGATATCAAACAAAAAATCAAAATAATATATATAAAATGGGGCATTAGTGGCATATGGTATAAAGGATGTCTTAATTTCTAACTACTACTTAAGGAAGAGATAAAGTAAACAATAGATAATCATTTATATAAAATCAATGTTACTCCTTTCCTAATAATTTTGATAAAATATTTATGTTAATCCATCTATCATTAATATTTAATAGAGCTGTAGATTAATTTAATATATTGCAATGCTTGTCTCATCAGTTATGAAGCAAAGACTAAAATATAAAAAAGATGGTAGTAAACAATATGAAAAAGTTCTTAAAATGGAAAAGCTTGGTAGTACTATGTAAATGACAAGAAAGGTAAGTATTGTTCATAAGTTTATTTATTGATTAATGAATTATATTTATTTTTTCTAATCCCTAAAATTACAAAAAAATAGGTTTTAAGATTAGGAAAGCCTGCAACCAATTTAATGCAAATGATTATCTCAATAAAAAAGCTAATTAATTCTTAGCATAATAAACCTTAAGAAACAAAATTATTGTTGATTACTAAGGCACTTAAAGACTTTTTCTTAATGTCATATTATTTATGTGACCACTTTGTCTGGCTTTCAAAAGTAAAAATAATAATTAAAATATTTTCAAAAATCTGACTTTAGCTAATAATTATTAATTAATATCAATAGATTAATATTATAACTAAAGAAGCTATAGCGAAAAAAGTTGAAATCTTAGGATACTGTTTTTGGTTGGCAGCCCTAATAGTTATTATTGGATATGAAGTGGAGTATTTAAAAAATACAGCAAAACTCACATAAGGAATGGTAAAAAGTCTTTCAATAACTTAATATTTTTTTATTCAAAGCTTAAATTGTAATTATCTAAATATTTTTTGATAGATTAATTTACTTTGATATCTTACTTACACAATAATTAATAGGAGTGGACAGGTGATGAAGCATAAAGAAAAAAAATGTAACAATACTATTTAGAAATCTAAAAATGTATAATTGAAATAATCAGAGCTGTATTTGATATACCAGTAAATATTATTGATTTATTTTAATAACTAATTAATTATTTATATTAAAATTTTTAAGGTTTCATTATGGCACATTAATAATGAATGGTTTAACACTACTTTTGTTAGTATTTTAGGTGTTATAACATCTTATATAGGTTGCATGTAGTGCTGGTAAAAGTGAGATAGATTTTCCCTATAAAAATAACTAATTTAAGGAAATGGTTTTACAAAATAAGTTAGATTTTGTTTAAGAATAATTTAAAATTTGTAAGAAATAATCTTAAAAAGCTTACTTTATACACTCAAAAGAGGAATATAAAGTAAAAGAAAAAATAAGTTAAAGCTATTTATATTTGTAAATTCATATATTTATGAGTTAATTATAATACTCTATAAATTATTTGAATATTCTATTCACTATAAATAAACACTTTTGATAATAAATACAAAAAATGGTTATCTTATTTCTAAAATTAACTTTGCACATTAAAAAATAAATATCATTTTTTAATGAAATTTATATTAAATTTATTAAATAATTCCATAAAATCTAATATTTATTGAATTGATTATATTTATAAGTAATATGTTTTTTTTTTCAACACTATGTTTCAAATAAAAATATTAAATAACAGAATAATTAATTTTGTATTTTAATTTGATTTTAGTGAGCAATTTATTTTCTGAAGAATAAAGCATAATTATTGTATAAAACATGTAATTTATAAAAGTGTAATATTATGTATTTATTTATTTATGGAGTAATGTAATTAGTAGGACTTTTTATTTGATTTTTATTCAATATCTCTTTTAAGTAGTACCTTTTTGTGAAATAAAAGACTATTGCACACTATTTTAATCAGCTATATTATTTATTAAATACATTATCTTTAATATTAACTATTTATTGGTCAATTAATATAATTACATTTTGCAGAAGTTGGTCTTCCTTTGAACGAGACAACTGATTGCTTGGTTGTAAGTTAGCTTTTATTAAATTTTTCATCAGTAACATTAATAGAGGGCAACCCAATTGTTGACGGAACTGTTTTTAAAATAAATAATTATTTATTATTATAAATAAATAAATAAATAAATAGAAAATTAATCTGTTACGGACATCAAATACTTCCTATGTCTCATAGACACTAGTTTGATGCTATGATCCAAAGTCTGCTCTATATATTTTACCATCTATGCCTTTCATCTTTTTTATTAAGGATATATTTTTAAGTATATATTTTTAAAAAATTAATAGTCTTACATCTTATGAATGGTATTGCTATCTTCCTTTAGTACCACAAGCAACACATCTGTTTGGAATAATCTTCGAATTACCAGTAATAATAGAGATAGCTTCTTGTTAATTTGTTTTAAGCATTTAAGCTAATTACATATAGAACTCTTCTATTGTTTCAAATTCTCTTCTAAATTGATTGACTAATTCTATTATATTTTTAATCTTTTCATCAACTAACAAGAACTCTTTTTTCGTATCTTCTCCATCAGCCTTTAAATCAATTTTTTTTTACCAATCCAAGTCACCACCACCATTTCCTTCTTATAATTCTCTAAATTTCTTTTTTATTTTTTTATCTAATTCGTTAATAATGCCAAGTTTTCCTTTTAAATCTTCAACATCTGAACCCAAGGCTTTAATTCTTTCTTCTAAAATAATTCTTGCTCTTTCTATCATAGTAATAGCATCTTCTTTAGAAATTCCAGACTACTCTTATAACCTTTATGCATTATTAAATTAACTAAGTACCTTATGCTCAAGAGCATCAAATTTTCTTCTTAAATCCTTAATTTTTTTATAATTAATTTAAAATAAAAATGATTTATTTTATTTTTTTATAAAAATTAAAATGTAAAATCCAAAACTAAATTCTTTATTTTTAAATTACTTAAAAATGCAATTATAAAATTAATAATTAATTAATCAATTACATGATCTGAATTTGAAAGGATACGTCTTAAATCTGAAATTTCATCTTTGTGGCGCTTGACTTCACTTTCAATAGCACAAAGTTTGTGAGGATCTGCCAAAGAGAATCCTTCACTCTTTTCACCAGAGTCCTCAGGAATTGATTTACCAACCAATTCTAACTTTACTGTCAGATCTTGTATTGAGTTTCTGAGGTGACCCTAAAATGATAATCAATAAATATTTAAAATATATAATTAAAGCTTAAGGAAATGTACATCTTCTCTTTAAAGAGCAAATATTTTTTCCTCTAGCTCTTTAAGCTGCTTAGCAAGTTTCTCTCCCAGATCTACAGCACTTCCTCTTCTATCTAAAAGACTAATCTTATTATCTAATTCAATGAGTCTATCTTATACAGTCTTCTTGTTTGTTTCAAATTTATCAGTTGAGCAGAATTTACCTAGCAAATCGTCTTCTAAATCCTTAACTAATTTCTTTAAGCTTTTTTACTTTTCCTAAATCTAATCATCCAAATTCTTGCACTTATCATTTAGTAAATCAATTTTATGGAATACTTCACCAAAACTTTCTTCTTTAACTTTTTAAATCTTAATATAATAATTATAAGTTTATTATATTTATTTTTCTTTTCAAACAATTAAGCTCATTTTCAAAATAATTTAAAATCTTTTCAATACAAGATCTATCTAACTCATAAAAAATCCACTTAAAAAATTATTTACTTCTCTCCTCAATTTTTCTTCTAGCGTCTTTGCAGTGTTATCAACATAATCAGCTGTAATTCTCTTTTATAAAAGAGCTTCACAATCTGATATTTTCCAAAGAGTTTTTTTTTCTGTATCTTTGACTGTTATTTCCATTTTACCAAGAGAGCTGTCAACACGCTTATTGCTGTCATCAATTTATTTTTGGCATTTTTTCTTGAATTCTTCTATTTCATTTAATAATTTCTTCTTTGTTTTACTAACTTTTTCTTTAACTACATCTCTTGTAATCTTTTTAGGGAGCTCATTTTCCACAACTTGGAGTTTTCTCTCCCAATCTTTATTTCCTTTGTAAATTAAACTACATGCTTATCCCAAATACACAATTTTGTTACAAATCATATTTGCTCCATCCATAATAACATCTCCTGTATTTTCTACTTTTGGCTTATCAACCAATGCAGATACTTTTTTTTACAATTCAGCATCGTTAATTTCAATAACTGTTGATACAGTTTTCAAAGCTTTTTCAACCTAATTTTAAAATAAAATAATTCAATCAATTCTAATTCATATTAATTTACTCTATCTGCAGTTATTTTTGTTTTCATCTCAGCTTGTAGCTAGTTAATTATAATAGATTACTAGTTAACTACATTTGATATATTCTATAAGTAAGATTTCAAATTATCCATCCTTACATCCATGTGAAACATAGTATCAATCTATGAAGCCAATTAAGCCTTTTCTATGATTTTACAAATTAGTTTACTAAAATCTTAAATACTTCACAGATAACTATGAAGCATGCTATTTTAAATTTACCCTTTAAAAGCTCTGAGTTAATTGCTCCTATTTAATTAGTTGACATTTCCTTAACTTTGTAAAAGAGTATTTAATCTTTTGATAATTAATGTTAATAATTAACTAAAACTTTATGTTGTATTTTAATCAGTATAAATAATACTGATTAAATAAGTTTTTTTTTTGGGTATTTATAAAGTCTTTATTAAATTTTCAATTTTAACAAGATAAAAATAGAAATTTACCATTATTTTTAATTTTTTGTTTGCAATCCATCTACACTTAAAAAAACAATCAATTTGATAAAATTTACTAAAAATTATTTTCCAAAAAAATATTTTAATTTAAATTAAACATTTCATAATTTAATAGATTTCTGTTTAAAGATTATTTTAAAAATTAATTGGTGTTGATTATCTATCAATCATTCATTCATTATAAATTTTTAATATTTAGGATTATTTTTTGCAAATACATTTTAGAACCTAAAAAAATAATGATAATATTTATAAAACATTAATCCATTAAATAAAAACGATAGTTTGAGCAAAATTTTCAATATAAAAACTGACTGAAACACATTTTGATTAAATTATTCTAAAAAATTATAAATTAAAAAAATGAACTGACAAAAATTTATGATAAAATTAAAAATGATAATTTTCTAATTATTTTAAATAAACTTTAGATTCTAATATGACTAACAAAATAAATATTATAAATTATGATAAAAAATTTGTGAAGAGAGAAAACTCTAATTATTGAAATTATATATTGAAACATTTTAATTTCACTTATTTTTATTTCTAAATATTTTTTTTTAAAGATGGTAGCTGATCTCAGCAACTATGTCATCACACACTAAATATCCTTCTGGACATTTTAATTTTAGGTATCTTTAGTTCTAAAAAATTAAATAAGGGCTTTTTAAAAGAAGCATTTCAATTTTGTTGCAAATTATATTGTATATATCTTCGCCATAAGAGTTTTTAATATCTAACAAATCAAGACCTTGGAAAGTTCTTAGCCTGCCCATTAAAATAGATTCAATTTAAGACTGAATGTCACTTTCATCTTCGCCATTTTCTAAATAAAAATTAGGATTTTTATTTAATTATTCTACATATTCATAATATCTAGTAACTGTTTTAGGTCTGGTATATCTTCTATAATTTAGCAAGCTGCTTGCACCCATTCCAAAAGCCAAGAAATCTTTATTTCCTTCCCAGTAAATAGGATTATGCTTAGGTTAATTAAGATCACTCCTTACATAACTAGAAATTTCATAATGGTTATATATTGGAGAAAGTTTTTAATGAGTTTTAATAAAGTTATCTGCTGCTCTTTCATCAGAAGGAAGAGGAAATTGACCTTCTCTAAAATTATTTTTTTCATAAAAATAAGATCCAGGTTCAATTGCTAATGAATATATGGAAATATGTCCTGGTTTTAATTAAACTACTTATTCTAAATCTTAATCCCAAATTTAATCTACCTCATTTAAATTAATACTTAAGTTATTTTTATCTTTAGAGCAAGTCATTTAAGGTTAATTCATTATCAAATCAATTGAAACATTGCTAAGATATTTAAATTTAGCAGAATTTTTTAGTATCTAAATTGCTTCATAGTTAGTCTAAGCATTTTAAGGCCTATTTAAGTTTTATAGTATTTTGTCATTAAATGATTAAATTCCTAATGATATTCTATTTATTTTTAACTCTTCATAAAATTAAATTTTTTCAGCATCAAATGTTCCAGGATCACACTCCATAGTAATTTCAGTATCATCTTAAATGAAAAACCCTTCGCTTTGAATTAAATTTAAAATCTCTTTAATATATTCAGGCTAGAAGAGAGAAGGAGTCCCTCCCCCAAAATAAATAGACTTTAAGGGTTTCTTTTACCAAATTTGATTATGATGTTTAAACAACATAATGTTTGTTTAAACAATCTCTTATTTAATATATTTCAGATATGTTTGTTAGATGTTATCAAAATGTTCATTATCTTACTTATTTTTTCCAATTGCATGAACTGGGAATGAACAATAAAAGCATTTTTTTTAGCAAAAAGGTAAATGAATGTATATATTTTCAATATTTCTGGTGATATTATTCTTCATAGTAAAATTAAATTTAATACATTATTTACATCTAGAAAAATCTTTTGTAAATTATTAATTAATTTAAATAATATATTCAAAATATTAATTTTATTATCATTTTAATTTATACAATAAAATAAATCTCATGAATTTTAAATGAATTTTATACAAACACTAACAATAATTTGTTTTATTTTTAAATAGTTTTTTTTTAAAATCAGTAAAAATGAAATAAATACCCATTTACTTATTTTGCGAGCTTTTGAGCATTTGCAACTACTTCGATGAATATAAATATTTTTAATCATATAGATACAATAAATTTAATATTAAATTGTTTGCTTGAAATCAAAAGACATTTTTTTAAAATTTTTACCCCAAACATATATCATTGAATAAGCTTTAGCTAGAAGGTTTATTCATCATAGCTTAATTTAAAGGTTGAATATTATAGATACATAGTACCTACAATTTAGTTTTACATATAGTTTATTTACTTTTTAAATATAAAAAAATAATTCATAAAAAACATTTTCTCAATATTTTAATAATAAAAATTACACAGATTTTTGCACTTTAATATAAAATTTTCCCTTATAAACTTTTAAACATAGTAAAAAGGGCTAGTAATCAAATAAAATTGAAAATTAATATTTAAATAAATTATCAATTACCATTTAAAATTTAATTTTATAAATAAAAATTCATAGTAATAAATAAAAATATAGATCAGAGCATTTTTTTACTATCAATTGATTTTTTACAACATAATCTGCATTATGGTAATTAACAAGAGATATAATTTGTTCATTAAGATTCACAAAATAATTTTTATATTAATTTTCCCCTAAAAATGTAGAGTCAATCTAAAATTACTTTTTTCATAATAATAAGATCCAGTCAGATTCAATTGTTAATGGATATATGCAAATATGTCCTGGTTTAAATTTAATGGCTTACACTAAATCTTAATCCCAAATTTAGTGTACCTCATTTAAATTATTAATATTTAAATAATTTTTTAATAAAAATTAAATTTTTAAATGTTAAATATTCCATGACACAATCCATAGTAATTTCAGTACAATCTTTAAAATAAAACCCTTCTATCTTCATTAAATTTAGTATTTCTTATACATGTTCAGGCTAAAAGAGAGAAAGAAGGTCAAATATTATTTAATAATATAATTCTTGTTTTAATAATATATCTTATGTAACATATATGGGTCTGTAAGAGTTATTAAAATGCTCATAATCTTACTTATTTTTTCCTATTGTATGTATGAACAGAACTTAAAACACCTTCCATAATATATTAATTTTTTAAAGAAATATTTTTGCGAAAATAAACTTTTATGAAATATAATTTGTACAAAATTATCTCACGATAATTTAATTAAAATATTTTTTCTCTAAAAATAGAAACAAATTTGGTATTTTGAATGAATATTCTATTTTGGGTCGAGTAATTCTATTTACATCTTTTAATAAAGTGTATAAAATCTTTTAATTATAAAAAGCATACACTGTCCTAGTAAATTTAAAAATGTTATTTTTAATGTGCTATGGATCACCATTTTAATTAAAAGAAAAAAAGAATAAAAACCAAAAAACAAATCAAAAAAAAATCTAATTTCTTTTTAAATTATATATTTTTTGAGAAGTATGTTCACTCATCTAATTTTAAGGATGATAAATTTGTTAACAAAATTATCTATTTTTTATTTTTTATTTTGGCATAGTCAATTATGACATTTGCGCCAGGTTTATCATATTATTATATATACCATATTTAAATATTTATATCTTACCAGCAAATTTTATATTTGTTCTATAAATTCTTAAATTTTAGTTTACTTTATCATTGAAAAAGAAAAAAAAATAGAAACAAAAATTCAAACATAAACATGAATGTAGTTAAAAACATTTAATTTATTTTTTGAAAAATTTTGGAAAATGTTTAAAAATATATTTTTTGGAAGCAAAATATATGTTTTTGGATTTTGATTGTGATAAGTCTGCTTTATTTACAAGAATCTTATATAAAATTAAAAATTATCCTTAAAATAATTTGAATGAAAAGTTAAAATTTTAGCTTTAAAGAAAGTTAAAAACTCGCTTTTTATATTTTTACATCTTTTATATTTTAATGAGGAAAAATTTTGGCTGTTATCAAATTCTTTTTATGAGATACTATATCTAATCAGAAATAGCACTTATGATTAAAATAAGTATTTCTAAAATTTTTTTGAAAGCTACTATTTCTTGCTGATCAGAATTAAAATTGTTAATAGCTAAAATATATATTTCTATAATTATTTACTTTTGCTGATCAGCAGTAGGAAGAAGATAAGGTGATTGGCTAATTATTTATGAGAAAATAAAATAGTAATATATTAAAAGCTAAAAAGTAAAATAAGAAGGATAATTAATTATTAAGAAAAATATAAACTTCAATACATAATGATGAAAGCTTTATTGTTAGCAGTTTTATTTATTTCTGCTTGTTATGCAGGTAATTATTGTACAGATTTTTATTACAGTAGAGTTGGAGGTAATGAATAATTTGCTACTGGTTTCTCAAATGTTTATTATAATGATGATACTGGAGAGTTTTATGCAGATGAAGAATTTAAGTCTAATATTACTGAATTTAAAAATGGCACTTATATTTCTCAAGGAACTTATTAGTAAAAAGTACAAGCTACAGTTTACAATTAATATTTTCCAGGATGCTATCGCTAAGCTTACGATAATCGAGCTGTCAAAAGTTATAACTTTACAAGAGAAGGTTACAGAAGCCCTTCTTAATTTGGATAAAACTTTACTAGTGAATAAGTTTCTCCATTTTATAATACTACTTTGAGAGAAATATTATTAGAGTTTGCAAAAATTTATTCTGAAAAACCCTAAGCTGAACCTTATATTACATAAACTCTAGAGAAGTTTGCTCAAAAAATCTAAGTAAATAATATTGAATAAAATTGAAAAATATTTGTATTTATATTACATTTATTTTAGCTTTACAAAGTATGAATAAAATATAATAAAAAAAATTTATAAAATATTTAAATTATCTATTTTGCTTATGATAAAAAATATCAAACACAAATAGTTTTGTTCTAATAGAGACAATAGTTTATATTATTTTCTTTTTATATATTTAAGCTTAGAAAGTCATTTTTAAGTTTACTTGGTTTAATTAGGATAAAGTATAATATTTAAAGTTAAGGAGATATTTAAAAATCCCATAAAAAATAAAATATTAATAAAATTACTAAATTATTAGATAAATTCACATATCTTACTATTTGTTTAAGTCTTACCTTTTTCAGGCGATGCTTAAAAGCTGTATATATATTTAGTTATTTTGTATCTAAATTAATAAAAATATTAAATTCTAGAAATATTCATTATTTGAATATAGTTTATTCAAGGTTAAGTGAATAAAAATGAATTAAAATCAAATAGCTAACCTTCCACTATTTTTAATTCAAACTAATTTATTGAGTCAAAGACTTTGCGATCAAAGGACAAAAAAGGTTTTAGGAAAATTCTTATAAAAAAATCGATAAAATATTATAAAAATATAATTATTAAAAACTTGATAACATTTATCCAGTTTTTCCGAGGTACTATTTTATTTTGCAAATTTGTGCAAATTGCAATAATGTAATTATAATATATAAATTCATACAAAACTTATATAAAATAATTGAATAAATAAATTTACAATAATAATTAAAAAAGTGGTTGATATGTATCGTTTCGACATGTGGTTATATATTAACCATATCGACACCTATCTTCCTCTTCACTCTATCGACACCTAAATTTTTAGGTGTTGATAGAATGAAAATATTTATAGACTTCGACTGATTGATATTTATATTATTTAAATAATTTAATCGATATTTTTAAAAATTAATTATTAATTTTAGTTTAAATACGATATATACTAAAATATAGAATACTTTATAAGATATTTAATAAAAATTTGAATGAAAAGTTTAAAATTTAGCATTAAAATAAGTTAAAAGGCATATTACATATAATACAATTTTTTAATATTTTTTAAAAAACTTGTATCAAGACTATTTTTTATATTTTATTTAAGAAAAATTTTGGCGGTAGAAATAAATATATTCAAATTCATTTTAAGAGATACATTAGCTAGCTAATCATTATTAATAAATAGTATTTATAATTAAAACAAATATTTCTTAAATTAGCTAATCTTACTAATCAGAATTCATAGTATTAGTGGCTAAAATAAATATTTATCACAAACTTCTTTTGTCTATCAGTCATATATGAAGAAGATAAGCTGATTGGCTTATAAAAAGAAAATAAATAACAATTATTCTAAATTAAAAACTAAAAAGTAAAATAAAAAGGATAATTAATTATCAAGGAAAAAAACCTTCAATAAATAATGATGAAAGCTTTATTATTAGCCGCTTTATTTATTTCTGCTTGCTATGCAGGTGATTATTATTGCACAGATTTTTACTAAGGAGTTGATGGTAATTAACCATTTGCTACTGGCTTTACAGATACTAACTATTATGATGATACTGGAGAGTTTTATGCAGATGAAGAATTTAAGTCTAACATTACTGAATTTACAAATGGTACTTATGTTTCTCAAGGAACTTATTAGTAAAAAGTACAAGTTACAGTTTACAATTAATATTTTCCAGGATGCTATCGCTAAGCTTACGATAATCGAACTGTCAAAAGTTATAACTTTACTAGAGAAGGTTACAGAAGCCCTTCTTAATTTGGATAAAACTTTACTAGTGAATAAGTTTCTCCATTTTATAATGCTACTTTGAGAGAAATATTATTAGAGTTTGCAAAAACATATTCTGAAAAACCCTAAGCTGAACCTTATATTACATAAACTCTGGAGAAGTTTGCTCAAAAAGTCTAAGTAAATAATATTGAATAAAATTGAAAAATATATATAATGATATAACATTTATTTTAGCTTTATATAGTATGAATAAAATATAATAAAAATATCAAACACAAATAATTTAGTTCTTATAGAAACAATAGTTTTTATTTTTATATATGTAAGCTTAAAAATACATTTTTAAGTTTGCTTGGCATGATTAGGATAAAGAATAATATTTAAAAATCCTCATAAAAATAAAATATATATAAAATATCTAAATTAATAAAAATAATAAATTTTTAAAATATTTATTTTTTGTTGAAATTTATTGAAAATTAAGTCAATACAAATAAATGAATTCAAATCAAAAAGCTAACCTTCTAATACTTTTAATTCAAACTTATTTATTGAATCAAAGATTCTGTGAACTTTAAGACAAAAAAATTTTAAAGAAAATTCTATGAAGAAATAAATAAAATCTCATCGAATGAATAAAATTTAAAAATTTTGAGAATTTTTATCTAGGTTTTTTTTCCTCGAGGGACTTATTTATTTTGCAAATTAGTGAAAATTGCAAAAATGTTATATTTCTTAATGATCAAAATAAATCTCTATAGAAAATTAATAATAATAAGCCCCCACCTAAAAATAATTAAATTAGGTTAATAATTTGCCACCATTAAGTAGGATTCAATATTAAATTATTGTATCTAATTAAAAATTGACTAATGATGACATTATATAAAACATCGCTCAATGTAATTAGTAAACTAATAACTTAAAATTTTAATAAAAGTTATTAATTATTCAAAGAATGAATACTAATTATCAAATATTATATATTTGATAAACTTGACCTGTAATAAGTTGTAAAGGACACTTTAAAAATTTAATTCCCTCAATAATATGTTATTTCTTAATTTAAGGATACTTAGAAATTAGTTTATTCGTAACTTTTTTCCTTCATATAACTTAAAAAGTAGGCTTGAGGAGGTGTATTAAATATTTAAACTCTTTTTATTCCAACAAGCTAATATACCTCATGCCTCTATAAATACATAAATAAATGTAAAGCAGAATCTATAGTATATAACTCTTTTTTGAAAGAGATTATAATTTAAATATTAGAATAATTTTTTTTCTATTATAATTTCTTCTTTGTAAATAATTTAATAAAAAAAATATTGAAATCAATATTATTTATTCAAACCTTAAGAAAAATGTATGTTTTATTTTATTAATTTAGCTATTAAAAGAAAAAGAAAATATAAAACAAACTAAATAATTTTTATAATTAACATATTATGTATCATAAAATGAGTATTATTAAATAGTTTAAATATTAATTAAATAATAAATTGTTCATTATATATTTGATAATTAAAGTATTAATTAATAGCCTTTATTAAATTTCATTATCAAATAATGATTTTATAAATAAATTTATCTATCCACATCAAATTAAAATTAATTTTAGTGTGCTCAACTTCAAAAAAGAATAAGCAATTAGTAAAAAATAATTAAAATATAAAAATTTTGATATTATAAATAACTTATTAAAATACTGCAATAATTGGTTATTTGAGAGCTTTTTTTTGAGAATTTTTCTAAAATAAAGTTATATTTTATTTTCAAATACTTTTTAATAGCTACTTTAGCTAATCAGGATTCATAATAATAGTATTTATGGTTACAATAAAATATTACCCATATCCTTTTTTTAATTACTTTTGCTTTAAAAATATTCAAATTCTTTTTAATAGCTACAAATGCTAATTATGATTAATAGTATTTATGGTTACAATAAATGTTACAATAAATATTTCTAAAATTCTTTTATTAACTACTTATTCAAATCAGAATTAATATTAATTATAGATAAAATAAATATTTCTCAAATTCTTAACAAATATCTTTTGTTGATCATTTATGAAGTATATAAGGTGATTAGCTGATTATTAAAAATAAAAATAATTATTTTACAAAGTATTATTTATTATCAAGGAAAAAAAAAAACTTCTAAAAATAATGATGAAAGCTTTATTGTTAACCACTTTGCTTATTTCTACTTGCTATGATATAAAATACTAAATGAATAAAGAAATTCAATTTTACAAAGTTTAATATTTAGTAATAATTTATTCAAAATTAAGTCAATTAATATCAATTTAGTAAGCAAGTAGCTCTTAATTTAATTTATTCCTTTTTTTCTCTCAATTTTATAATATTGAATAAATAATTTAGTTTAGTTTTATAAAAATTTTAATGAATATATACTTTGCAAAAGAAGTGAAAGATATGTACAAAAATATATTATTTATAATTTTATTTATTTAATTAATTTATTGAAAAAGAGTTTTCAAATGTTTGAATTTTCAGAATGTCTTTCTGATATCATTTTAACTGGAAATCTTTGAATTGAAGAAGAAGTTGTTCTTAGTAGTCTTTTTTATGAAGATTGATTTGAGGGTTATTTGGAAGGAGTATCCTTTGGTAAAAAATTAATTTAACTATGAGCACGTTTTGATCTTACTATAATTCTTGGTTTCAAAGGTTCACTATCTGTTTTGGATTCTTGGACATTTTTTGGCGATAATTCTTATTTTTTTAGCTTTTTTTTATAATGAAATATGAAATATGAAAAATGAAAAATAAAATAGTCTTAATTTACTACTTCATAGTAACTGAATTTATAGGGATTAGTTGCTATGATTTTTGATATGTCTTTTTATGGGATTTATTCTTTCTTTTATGTAATTGCAGAGAAATCTGTTTTTTAAGTTTTAAGTTCTTCATTTGTTAAATTAGGTTCTGTGTGATTTGTGGTTTGTTCAGTAAGATTAGTTGTCTTTTGCTTGTTGAAAATATCGCTTTTTAAAGATATAGCTGATTATATTTTTTATTTTAACTTTGCAGTATCAATTTAATTGTATTTATAGGTTTAATAAGGTTTAGGTCTATTTTGTAATTTTTAATTAGTGTTCATGATATTTTTATTAGAGTAGATTTCGTTTATTAATTTTAAGGTTTCTTGTATTGTATTTTCATTTTACTTTTAGATTGTTTTCATTGTAGAAGAAGGTTCATCATTTTTAAAAAATTAAGCTGTATTATGGCTTTTATCATCAAAATTATAACCTGAATTAGATGTGTCCAAATTACAGTAATCGCTTTTATCTTTTTAGTTCTCATTCAAACTTAAATTAGATTTCTTATTTTCTTATTCTATTTAATCTTCAGCCTTACCAAGTTTAGCCAGTTTAAATAGTTTTTGGATTTTTTCATTAGATTTCAGCTTATCTTCGCTTAGTGATCGAAGTTTTTTTTAAAACTCTTAATTTATCTTTAAATGAAAAAATGTTTTTAATTAATTAATGAGAAAATGAGATTTGAAATTATTTAAATTTTTATTCTAAATAAATGCATTTATTTATTTATTTACTTTCTTTTACTCTGATTAAATGTTTTAGAATTTCATATAGGAGTTAGATCTATTTGTACTTCTTTTATCTGAAAATGAAGTGGCAGTGGATGAATAATCACTATTTTGCTGTTTGAATGTTTCAATTTATTTTTGGTACAGAGATGAAAATTCAAGGTAGCATTCTCTGCAAACCATAATTTTTTGATTCTTAAAATAAAAAGTTTATGATATTTGAGAGAAGTTTTCTGTATCTAATTTAGGAAAAAGAAGTGTAAAGAAAGAAGGAATTTCTTTATTTTTATAAACTGTATGCTTCTCAGCTTGCTTTTTTAACTATTCTTCATGGTTTTTTTTAGAACTCGAGTAATTTCCAGTTTAATTCATCTATTTAAATTCCATAAATGTATTTGTGAGTGTTTGTCCTAACATATCCTCTCTTTAATTTTTTCCAAAAACTTTATTTTAATTATATGGATTTTATGCTGTTATTTTTTATGTCTCAGTGTTATCATATTCGTTTAGTAAATCTGAAAACTTTAATTCAAAAAAATCAACTGATCTTCCTTTTTTATTACATTTTAAACAAAACAATTCTTTCTGTAGCTATATTGGCTTTCTCTTAATGCTGACCGATTGGTGAATATCAGGAATCTAAAATTAAAAGCAAATTTATAAAATCATTTAATTACATAAAATATTTATTTACTTATATTTCTGGTTGAGATATAACTTGTTATGGCTTTTAGCTGTTAGATTTATCACTTATGTTATGCATCGAAACACCTCCAGCCCACAGAAACCAAATTTTTCTGTTGGCATCAATTTTAAAATAAAGGTGTATTTTCAAGATATTGAATAATCCGTATGAAATAGTTTCAAGATGTCCCATAATTCTATCAACTTACTCTGTCATTTCCTTTGAAATCGGGCCAGACATTTATAAATTTTAAGAAAAGTAATCAGGTCCATCAAAAGTGCAGCACCTTTCATAAATATCTACATTTTAGTTGTAAAGATTCTTTGTATTAACTCTTTTATTCATTAGAACAACCCTTGGAGTATATACCACTTAAATAGAATCTTAATGTTTAGTAAAATGATTTTTACTCAAAAAAGAATTTAATTTGAATAAGTAAAAATAAATATCTGTAGAATTAAAATAACAACACTTTTTTTAATTAAAAGCAAATTTATCTTATTAAAAAAAGATTTTACCATTATGAAGTGTAGCTGGTTCTATGAATTGTTAAAGAACACCAGAACTGATTTGCATTTCCCCATTTAAAAATTTAGCCAAATCTTCTTCAGTCAGATAGCGAATTTTAGCTTCTGTTGTAGAATCAATATAATGCAATCCAGATATTTAACCTTTTGGATTAATATTAGTTCTTGGATTAAATTCGTTTTCGCAGGTAGTAGGATAAAGCAATTGAGCAACTACCCCACATTTGGGTATTTTTTTGGTGAACACTTCGTAAATATTTTCAGGTGTGTGTTTTTCTGTCTTTTTCTTTTTTATTTGGCCATTTTTATCTGTGAAATACCAAAATATTGGTAAGCTGTTTTTGAAAATAACTGTTTGAGGTAGATTCACATTAAGTTTTTATTCAAACATATCTGATTATGTCCAAATATAATGAAACATTTTCTCAAACACTAAGCCATTAGGGAATATGTCATTTTCTGGCATTTTAAAATAATAATTAAGGGCTAATTTATTGTTTTATCTTAAGTTATCGTCTAAAATATTAAAAAAAGAAAAGAAGTACTCTTAATTATTTAGTAAATTTTTATATTATAAAGATTATTTATTACTCTCTATTAGAAATATTTTTTACTAACTAATTATATAATTAATGTATGATAAACAATAATTTTACATATTAGATATATAATGTGCGAATGAATAACCTAAATCAAACATATTTATTTATAACGATTCTTTTGATACTATTTGAAAATATTAGCCATTTATTTTTATTATTAACAAATTTTTGTGTTTTGTACTTCATTTGCTAATTAAATCAGCTTTATTATGAATTATAAAAATTATTTTTTTCTCAGATAATATCATCTTCTTTTTCAAGAAAATAAACTAAACAAAGTACATAAATATTTGAGTTAGAAGGAATGCTCTTATTTGACATTTTTAAATATATTTTTTATATTTTAAATTATACTAAAATAATTTTAAATAAACGTAATCAATAAAATATTTGTAAATATTATTTTATATTTTTATACTTGGATTTTCTATCAATAGCTTAATAAATTTTAAAATATTTCTAAAATCCTTAAATATCTAAAACGAACGAGAGAGTATAAATTAGCAATTAATATGTATACTAATTATTTACCAAAATTCAGAAATAAATAGTAAAAGCCATTCAACTTTTTTATACTTTCAATATAAAAAAAACTTATATAAGTTGATGAGTAATGACTATTAGGTATTATACATTCTATTAATTCGAATATTAAATTCGAGAGGATATTTTGAGAGAAATCATAAGAATAAATTTACAAATAAAATAATATAGACTATTAATCACAATAGATAAATAAATAATATGCTTTTGTGTTTTATTATTATTTTTTTTTTTAAATTATTTATATTAAATTAATTATTAGTAATTAGTTAGTGTTTGCAGTGAGTGAAGGAAGTTCTTTTATTATTATTATGGTTTTTCAAAAGTAATTTGTTATAAATATTTTTTTATAAGTTAGTATGTATATCATTTATCACATAAATTTTTTATGTTAGATTTGTTTAATTTAATATTTGATCTTATATTCAAAAAATTTAAAATATATTTTCAAGTTCATTTATTTATTTATTTGTTTTAATTTAAGCTTAAAATTGTATTTTCATATTTAATGTAAATCCAAATCCGATCAATTATTTTCTAAATTAGGAAATAAATAGAAAAGTATTTCTAAAGAAAAAGAGAGATATGTTTGTTTTTTTATCATTCATTCATTCATTCATTTTAAATTAAAGTTAGATAATTTATCACAAATTTAATCACTTCCATCCTTGCCTACTCCATTTCCTAAATTTCTCCTTTATTTTTGTAATATTGTTTTCTTCATTTTTTCTAATTGATCTTCTTCTTCCAGTTTTTGGTTATCGCTAGAATAGAATTTAGAAATGATCTCATTTTAACTATAGCTATCTTCATCTTGGATTGATGAAGAGCTCTCCCAGTTGTTTAATGAGTTTTTTTTTTACTCTTTTCTGACTTTATATAGCAAGTCTAGATGGTGTTGCTCTACTTTAGGATAATAAACACAAATTACAGAATCCTTAAAAAAGCCTTTCAACAAACTGTATTTTTAAGCAAATGTATCATTAGAGTCATGACAAAAAATGCAAATCTTTACATCAAAAGTTAATTTGATATTATCTAAAGTAGTGAGAGAGCACTTAGTTTAACTTTGCTCTAATATTTAACAAGAGAAAATATCAAGCATAGACTCTTAATCAAATATCTCACAAGAGCGTTCTTTGAGATAAATATGTTCAAAATTTTCTACACTTCTTGCTAAAAGCATCATTAGTTTATTCGAGTAGCCCATTTTTGTTTTTTCTTACACCTCTGATTAATAATTATTACTAGTAATTGAGTAAAAAAAGAACTCAACTCCAGCAAGCTATTTTTCCATAACCAATTTGATTTAGTTGTTAAAATTCTATCTTAAATCGCTTAAGTCTTTGGTTATAATAGGCTCAGAAACAGGATTTTGCATAAGAAATTTTATTTATTTAAATATTAAAGAATACTATTAAAGTATCGACTAGTATCTAACAAAAATCTGATATAAATTTCTATGTTATTCATTGTCACTGTTTCCTAAAATATCAAGAAAAATATTTAAGTTCTTTTCTATAGGTTTCTTTCTTTAGAGATTCACTTCCATTATTTGTAGCTGTTTGTGAAACTCTTTGAATGAGATCATTCGATTTTCCAAGCATGTAGAATGATACTTCTACTCATCGAATTCAATTATCCAATCTCCAGCAATACAAAATCCACTTTACACAGTTCTCTTTACAATTTTTTTGTCACATCCTTTAACTTTAGCACTCAGCATTGTTTTATTTTGTCTATTGATGAGAATAATAATTCACTTTTTAAAAAAATGAATATCCTATTTAGAGTAAAAACTAGATTCGTTTCTTCAAAAGTAAAAGAAATACTACTATTCTAAAAAATTTTATAATGAAACAAAGCGAATGATCTGCAGATATGTCTTTTAAAATATTTAAATAGCGATCCAAATGATACTCAATTATATTTTTTAATCTCAAATCTTTTTAATTCTTTGGAATTTAATTAATAGAGAATATCAAATATATTATTTATAAAATATCGCAAAATTTTGGTTACCTTAAATACAAATACGTAAATTAATTATCGATTGATGTTTTATTAAAAAAACATATCGAAATTCGATTTTGAATGAATTTCTTTATCTATCTATCTATTTATCTAATCAATCTACCATCTAAATATTTATACATTTCTTATATCCACATTTTTTAATTTCAAAGAATAAATAAGCTATACAAAAATATTATTCTGTTGCTAATATTTATTTGCAGTTCGTATTTTAAAACAATACATCTATTTTTAAAAAAATATCATTTTTCTTAGTATTCAATGCTAAAATAATAATTAAAATTCAATTATCAACTTTAAAAAAAAGGAAATAAATTTGATCGGATATTTAGATAGATAAAAAATAATAAATATTTAGTCAATAAAACACTAAGTTGAACATTCTTCTAATTTAAATTTCATAAAATTATCTCATTTTTAAAATAGATTTTTTTGCTTTCAATTTCGTGGTCTTTGCTGAAAAAATGATTTTATTTAGAGAAAAAATATTAAAAATTTATAAAAAATTAAAATATTAAATATAAAATTAAATTGTTTTTTTATTTCAATTGATAAATAAACATATATTTTTTTAAAGTGAGAGATTAAAAATTCATTGAAATTAAACTTTAATATAGAATTCAAAATAAATTAAAACATAAAAGTATGCTAAATTGATGAAAATAAATAATAATATTTTTTAATTATGTAATTGATACTTTTTTTAGAGCTTATCAAGTTTAAAAATAGATATTTAAAGTGGAGCAAACTTAAAAAAGATAAATTAAATTATTTGGCTACTTGAGAGGTGCTTGAAATAGCTTTTTTGGATATATATTGTAAATAGAATTACTATTAAAATTAACTAGTATTTATGAATATCTATAAAAATATAGTTGAATTTTCCTTCATATTACTTTAAAGGTAGTTCCTTCTGAGTGTATAAGCATACCTTTCGACAAAGGACAAGGGTTAGAGTATGATTCATTTCGGTTTTATTCGTAATTTTACAATTAAATAAATGTTCCACCAGATGAAAAATTTTTTTAATCTGGAATGTATTTCTCACAGATTTTCCATCTCTTTTGACTATCATAAACTATTTAACAATGGAAACGAGAAATTTCTTTATCAGTAAAGGGGTATTTATTGCGCTAGTCTCTACCAAATGTAACTACTACAACTTAATTATCCTGAACAACTTCTTCTCTAAATAATTTAGGTTCTTCTCCTTATTTTTGATTGTACTCTCCTACTATGCATTTAAATTCAATGAATGGTTTGCCTTTTTATAGAAAAATTTAATTAAAAAAAACACTTAAAATTTTTGAATCTTTTTAAAAATAATTTTTTTAATCTATTTAATTTTACTTTAATTTGATGATTTTAAATCCTATTCTTTAGTTTTAATTGTATTCTCACCTGAGTATAATTCAGGTACTTATGAGAGTCCTAACGCATACGGAATGTTTTGACTCTGATTTTAGCTTTTGTCTAGTAAATCTATTTCATTTAAAGTAGTTTTATACTGCTCAAGTATAGGTGGTTCATTATCCATGTTAACATTTAATCTTGTAAGCTTTTTTAATGATTGAGTCGTTGATAGATCTAAAGGCTAGCCATATACAGACTCTTCATTCTTAACATCTGTTATCAAAAACTTAAATTCTCCGATTTTAAATATCATGTTTTTTTATAACTCATAAGGCATATCCTCCACTTTCAAATAAGTAGGATTTGAAGGACTTGTACAAATAATTGAATAGTAATTCATACTTTCACAGACAATTTAGAATTATTGGCGAGAAACCCTCGTTACCTAAGAGGGAAAAGAAACATCGTTTTAAATAGGCTAATTTTTATTCGTTTAGCGACCAAAGTAGACTACTCCTGGCTGGTTTAATGGTTATTCTTTACCTTCACCTAAAGTGATTGTTTTTGGTGTTATTTTAATAATTTCGTTGTGCTTCACATTTGAAAGATCCATTAGACACTCTACCACTTGTAGGTATAGAGGTTCTGCATATCCTATTGCCAAAGACTCTTAGCCGAAAAGAGACTATTACATATTTTCGTTCTTTTCTTTGCAAAAAATAGTATATTTAAGACTAGGATTTGCATATACAATATTCATCACAGTTTCCACATAATCAGGTCCAACAAGACCTGGTTTGTACTTGCTCAAAATATTTTATGCAGCATTTAAAACACTTTTTTCTTGCTACAATTTAACTAGAGAGTTTTAATCGAATCTCAAATTTTCAAATTTTAAACTAAATTAGTCTAAGCAGTTCTAAAGTTAGCTATAGGTTATAGTTTCTATTTTCTAAGTTTAATTTTGATTTTAAATTTCAGTGTACCAAAACAAAAGAGACAATTCAGACTCAAGTTCCTTGATTACTCCCCATTTTTTAGCTGATTCCTTTAAATAATCATGCATTGCATCTATCTTCTAGAAAATTTATTTGTAGAAACCTGTGTCTGGCACCATTAGTAGATCAAGAATTCCATTATCAACTCCGCAAGTATAAACGAAGCGACATTACTTTAAACGTAGCACAAATTCGTTAAAAAGTTCTGAAATTACACGATAAGAATCCCAAAATTATCCATTTTTTCCAAATTAATCGAATTTTGGATGGTTTCTTAAGACTTATAATGCATTTATCATTTTTTATAAGCTGCCAATAACTTCTGAATAATCTTTATTCTTATTCTCTTCATAAGAGCAATGATATTCACTTTCTAAAACCCACAAGCGCTAATAAATCATTTGAATAAAATAACGCTTAAATTAATACGATTTGCAAGTTTTAATTGCCATTTTGAATTTTTCTCTTATATCCATTTTTTTAGACTTAAAGAAAATAAACTTTCAAATATGTTTGCTTAATGATTGATCTCAATAAATTGTATGGATTTGTATTTTTAATAAATAGTATGTGCTTTTGATTATGCTTGAAGTAAATATTATATTTCTATACAAGTCTATCTATCTATCTAAGCTAGTCTTTATTTAGTTGCTATAGGAAATAGTTATTTAAATAGTTTTAATAAATGAGCACTTAACTTAAAGTCAGTCTAATATTTTAAATGAATGCTTGCTTTTTAGCTTTTTGTTATAGAGGCTAATTTTTATTAATGTTTTAAATTGTATAAAAATTGTATTTTTATTTTTTTTTAATATAAAAAATTATATTTATTAAAAATTAACTAGATATAAATAAAATACGCAAAAGAAAATTCATAAAAACAATTTATAGTGTTATTAGATGACAAACATACATATCACATTTATTTTTCTTTAATTCATAAATCTAGAACCCAATATTTTCATCAAAATCAATCAAATTGACCATAAGAACAGGCGATTAATTAAAAGTTTCTAATTCACACACTTATTTCAATTTGAGTGTTTTAAATAACCAAATTTACAGTTTAACAAAACTTAGATTCACTTGAGTAACTCAAAATATACAGAAAATTTCATTTACTTTTTAATATTCTCATTTTTTTTTTTAAAACTAAAAATACATTGATATTGCATCCAAGTCTTATTATAACTTAAAATAAACAAACACTTTGATATTTCATAGTTTTAGTAACATTATTAGATAATATAAATTATATAGTGTTTTAATTAGTACATTAACTATACAGAAAAAAATTAGCATGATAGATATTTTGGTTAGTTGTGAAGGAAGGAAGCGTATACTATTTTTTATAAAAATAAAATGAATCCACTTTTAATTTACATAGGATAATCATTTAATAAATAATTCAATCATGAAAATACCAAAAAAATTTCGAATTTTGAGTTTTTAAGCAATTTTAAACTTTAGCAATTAATTCCCTTTAATATAATTTATATTGATTGGTTTTATATATAAAATAAATTAAATATGTGTGTAAGATTAGTTATTGTATAAACCATTAAAATTAAGGGATAATTACCTAAATTTTTTTCTAAAAAGAATTAAAAATCAAATGTATTTTTTCATAAACCATTTTTCTTTTAAAATAATAAAATTTTAGAAATAATCAAAAAATGTTTATTTAATGAAAATTTTTTGTCGAAGAGCTGAATCTTTTCATATCAAAATTACCTCAATACTAATTTTGTAATAAATTTTTAATCAATCAATAAATAAATAAAGTAGTTAAGTTCTTGATTTTAATTCCTAAAATGAAAATCCTTTTATTTGGTATATTCATTTACATAGATAGAATAAATAAACACCTTTAAAAAATAAATTTTAGTTTTGAAAAAAAAGATAGATTTTTTATAAATTTATTTTAATACTAATAGGGAAAAAATAAAGCCTTTTTTAATTTAATTTTTGAATATTTTCATTATTAAAATAAACAAAAAATATTCTAATGATATACTAACCAATATAAAAGATGTATTTTTTAAATCAGATTTTATATAACTAACCAATACAAAAGATATATTTTTTACTTCAGATTTTATATTATTGAATATAAATTATATCATTTATTTCCTTTTTGAATTATTTGATCTATTTCTTCTTAGTAAATCAGCTTAAAATACTCTATCTCTTCTGTTATAAAACCTTTCTAATCAATCTTTAAGTTATTTTACTCTAAAATATATTTAAAAATAGAAGTAAAATATATTTGAAAATAGAAGTAAAATATATTTTCTTTGATACCACTTTAGAATGCTTTTATCTTTTATATCATCTAGTGAATATCTTCGTCTTGTCTTACCCTTTTTATATTCTTAATTTATTTAATTATGAATGACTTAAATTTATTTATGAGTTTTTAATATTTTAATTTATTACTTCGTTTCTGTTGTCGTTCAGACATCCAGCCGTTTGTAATTTTATTCTTTTCTTAGCTCCTCCGAACCAATTCATAAATAAATTGAAAAATTTTTTGAAAAAATTATTTAATTACTGAATATTTTATTTATCTTTATTAAATTGGATTAATTTAAATTAAATAATCAAAAATTTTAAAGTAATTTTTAGTGTGTTTAAAAGTTGAAATCAATCATGTTTAATGTTAAGATTTTATTTAAATTTTTTTGATTTATTATTAAATTAATTAACAATTTTAAATAAAATATTCTCAAATTATTTTAATTTAAAAAATAAAATTTTTCAACCAATCAATCAGTATTGACAATCAATGTATAAATAATTTTTGTTTTTAAAATTGCATTTTTTTGTTTATTTTCCCCTAAAAATTCATTAAAATCTTATATAATATGAAATATTTTAATTTTCATTAGTTTATTGATTCTAAAAATGAAAATTATTGCAATTAAAAGGGAAATTTCAGCTTTTAAAGATGAAACAAGATGGTATGAATCGGTTTTAAATGCTTAAACTTCTCACATTAAGGCATTTCAACATAATTATCTTATGAATTACATATCTCACTTTGACTTTCTAAAACCTTTATTACTATATTACCTGATTCATATTAATAATTGATTGCTAACTTGACTTATTGATTGATTGGTTTAGTCTTAGCTAATTAATGGCTTGCTAAAAATGAGGAAAAGAACTTAAGTAATATTTAACTTAAATTTATATAGTAGGTATGTATGTAAGTAAGTATATTATAGATGAGTTTATGAATGAAATAATATTTGTTTTTTAAAGTTTTTTCCACAAAATAATAACATAGTGCATATGACGATATATTCAGAGTTACTACTATTTCAAAAAACACAATAATTGAATAAAAATAGTTGAAGATATATATCATTCAGTAGCTAAATTGACAGAGACTTCAATTTTATCAGCTGCTCCATACTTATTCAGCAGCAGGAGAACTGAATTGCTTCATAGCATTTTGAAGTCCGCCAATAACACGTTCTTGGGCTGTAGAAGAGTGCCAAGCAGCGAATTCGTAGGCAAAGAGGGTATTAAAAATTAAGTAAGGAACAAGACCAGCATAAAGAGTTTTGCGATTTACTTTTAAAACTTCATTTGAAGTAGCAAGAGCAAGAGGAGTTCCAGCTACTTAGAAACGTGTCTTTAAAACTAAGAGAGGATAAGCTGCTGCAACGAGAGCAAGAGAAGCCCATTATTAAGAGCTACCATCCCAAACTTGATTTAAGTGGAAAATTAAAGCTGAGTTGAAAATAAGCTTCTAGAAGATACCAGCATAAAGTCTGCTCCATCCAGCATTTTGGACAACTTAAGAAGCACAATGGAAAGCACCTTTGTATTTACCTTGGACATCATTATAGATAAGAGTCTTAACAGTATCTAAAGGATAGAAGAATGCTTCGAAAATGCTTGAAACGATCACTTAATTGGTGATACCAGAATTTCTGCTCCAAATTAAAGATTAGTAAGGGGCACCGCAAAATTATAATAAATTCAAGAGAGCACCACGGAAATAACCTCTACGGAATATACCTCCATTCAATACAGTTTAGAAAGCTCCTGAAATATTTTCAGTGGCACCTGCGAATTAGGTCTTGAGAATAGCTTAAGCTTATCTAACTGATAAAACTCTTTCAACACCTGCAAATAGAGTCAATCTGTAAACATTATCTGAAATAACATCAGTGAGTTCAGGAGCTTCATGAACTCTCTTGTGATATTATAAATATTTATGATTGTATACATCCTATTCAGAACGCAAGTATTTAGATGTCCAATCGGTACCTAATGAACCAGTTTGTCCCTTGAATTAGAAAAGAGAGTCTTGGTGTTGGTCAATGCACAAGCTGTTCCAAAAATCAGCAACGGGCTTTAAATATGGGATAACGAAATTAGCCATTTTTTCTTAAACTAACTTTCTTTTTTGCCTTTTTCCTAATAATTTATAAGATTTCTTAAGATTTTATTTATTCAAAAATCAATATGTTTTTTATATTTTTCACTCTTCTCCTATCTTTCTATCTAAAATGAATAAATGCATTTCTTATTATTTGCATATTAAATCCATGCAAAAATAAATAATCTAACAAAAAACAAGGCAAGATAGGATAGGATAGGACAACATGATACAAGACAAGGCAAAAGCATTATAACAATATCTGTACAAAAGCTATTTTCAAAGTTGTCCTGCATATCATGCATACATACATACATAAATTCATTAATTAATTAATGAAAAAAAGCTAATACAATATAAAAAAGCATTATGAAAATAAAGAAAAATAAAGGAAACAAACAAATAAATTAAAAAATAAAACAAAAAAGAAAGAAAATCTTAATAAAGATTCATTAGCATACAAAGTATCTATCAAATTAGATATAAATAAATAAACTAAATAAATATCCTTCATAAATTAAATAAATAAATAAATAATATCAATAATAATTAGAGCACATTAATTTTTGTTCATTTCTTCCTTTAATTCATTCATTCATTATTAAATTTCATTGAAATGTCTATGATAAATGTTATCACATAATTTTAATTTCTTTCATTTTATTTTGAAAAGAAAGTATCTTTCTTTTATTTCAAAATTGTTTCCTTATTTATTTTATTAGAATGTATTAAAAATTAATATTTATCTATATTTCTACTAATTTAATTTACTTATAAAATTATTTTATTTTCAATTCTACAACATTTAAAAACTTTTTGAAAATTCTTTCTTTGATCAACAAATTTTATCACTTCAAATTAATTACAAAAAGCTATAAATTAATAAATAATAAATAATTGCTTATTTAAAAAATTTATTTTTACTTTATAAAATTACATTAAATAGTAGTTAATAATTAATTGATTGATATTTTAAATAAATTTTGTTCTATAATAAATCTGAAATTATTTAAATTATTTCTGTCACATTAAAATCATTTATTATTGATAAAAAGTTAGAATAGAATATATTGTTAGTTTTAAAGTACAAAATAAATACAGGTCTTCTTACTATGATGGTAAACTTAGAATACTTGTAAATGATATTGTTGTGTAGGATTTTGTAATTTTAATTTGTATCTTAAAATAGATAGATAACATAAGAAGGTTCACCACAAAAACTTATTTGACAAAAATTAAAAAGTTAAAAAGATGATAAAATCAAAAAATAACAATTTTTAATCAGATTGATTGTCAAGAATCCTTTAATAAAATAGATTGGTTCATGTATTATTTATTATCTTATCTTCCACTTATTTTATGTAATTTATTAAAAAATTATTAAATTCAACATATTAAAAATATTAAAAAACAGGAAATACAAACATACATAGCAAGCACCTTTTAGTTAAAGTTAAATTTAAAAATGAGTACTGAAATCAAATAGAAATATTTATGCGATGAAATTCTCGATAAGGGATATGATGCTAATATTTTCATGAGCTATTTAGAAAATTTAAGGGAAAATGGTAAAACAGTTTGATAATAGTTTACTCTAATTAAATTTAAGCTTTCAAAGAATTTACTATTCTCAAAAATAAACAACGATTATATTATTAATAAATAAAAGGTTCAGATATTGAAAAGTGGAGCATTGATGAGCTAAAAATTGTAATTTATTAATATATTTTCAAAAGATTTAGATAGAATATTACTGATTTATATATTTTTATAATTTTAAATAAAGTTGGTTGAAAATTTCTAGTAAGATGCATAAAATTAATATTAACTTGACTACATCAGAGTTTAGCAGTAATTAAGCAATCTTAACTTAGGACCTGTATAATCTTATTCAGAATATGATAACTATGTTACTAAACCAACAAATCAAGATAATATTTCTTAGTAAAATAACTAACAAGCGCAAACACCAACAAATGCATAACATCAAAAGGAAGAAGAAATTAAGCATGTTGTCGTAAAATGTTAAAAATAAAAAAATCTTAAACACATAAATTCATAATAATAAAATAGCCAAAGCATGAAGCAGATGATAGCAACTACAAAAAGACTATTCCCTGCTTAAAGCCTGATCCTTCTACTCTATCAGAAGTTGAAGGTTTGCATGTACAAGTTGCAAAGTAAAATGAAATAAAAAAATAAAATATTTTTTCATAGCAATTATGATTAATTCTTTAGTAAACTAAGGTATTAAAAATAAGAATTTTATTTATAAATAAAAAGATATGAAAAGAAACCTGGTGGTCTCTTCTCCTAAGCCTACATCGTATATCAAGTTTAAACACAGCCATTAAATATAGAAGTATTTAGAAGATATAATGATTTTGCTTGGTTACACTAAACATTAGAGAAATAATATCCTCAAATATCAGTAAATTAAATTTTTAAATCCAATATTAGTAAAAATAATACTCAAAAATATAAATTAAAATAATAATTTTCATAAAAAATAATCAAAATGAATAACTTCAATAAAGCTTGAACTTCAATTTTTTTAATAGAAATTCTAACTGAAATAAAATAGAAATTATTTAATCAAGCAAACAATTGGATATTCTTTATTCATTTAGAATTGATAATATATACCTAAATTATTAAAGAAGGAATATATTATTTATGAAAAAATAATTAAATTATATTAATTTAAAACTTTTAAGCAGTAGAAAAAATTCAATCACATATTTTGAATAAGCAAGAAATAAATTTGAGAATAAAAATATTTTTAATCAATTTAGAATCCATTTTATTTATGTTTATTTATATATAATTTTAACAAAAGATCCCTCCTGTTCCAGCTAAAAAATCAACTAGAAGCTTTTAACCTCTTTTTTTAAGTAAGAGAATGGCATTTATGGAAAAGTACTTAAACAAAATTTTAAGATCTCCTGAGTTGAAGAGATCAAAATTTGTTGAGGGATTTTTGACTATAACACAAGAAGATGCCTTCTCTAAGCTAAAGAAAGAAGGAGACAAACTAGTTAAGCAAACAAAGATAAACTAAATGATTACACAAAACGGAGAGGTAAAATCAATAACTTAGTTAGTAAAAATTTTGAAGCAATATAAAAAACTTAAAATAAAAAGGCTCAATGCGTCATCAATTAAGATATCAACTAGTTTTTGAAAAAAACAAATGAATATTTAGGAAATTAGGATATTATCTACAAAAAGGTTAGAAAATTGTGCAAACAGTTGATTATTGATTTTGATTAGCTTTCAACAACATTATTTAGTATCGGAGATTGCTTTTCTTAGTCTTATAATCTTTCCCTCCATTACAATGCAACAATTTAAGAGAAAAATCCTTTATTAGAAGAATTATATATCCATCTTAACAATATGAGCATTTCTTGGGGGTAAATAAATAATTCTATTCCTTAATTTTATATAAGCTAAAAAAATTTAAAAATAGAAATAACATTACAACATAAATCAAGCTAGTTTAAGATAATTTAGGTAATTGGTTCAAGTACTATGATAATGAGTTAAAATCCATGAAGGAAGTATGAATGCATAATTTTAATCTTAACTTTATTTAAAAAATATTTTATCTTATTTATAAATAAAGTATTTGAAAATCAGAGAATAAACAGAGAGAGATTACCATAACTTTAAGCTCAAGCTTACTTAAAAGAAAGAAAGATTCTTCTAATTAGGGGATCCTACTAAGTGGGAAATTCCTGCCCCAACATTAAATGGTATTGATAAAGAACTCCTTAAAAACAAAGATTTTATTTTCCAATACATGTTCCCAAGAGTAACAAATTTTAGTCAAGATATCTATTATCATTTACATTTATAAATTAATTCAAAGGAAACTATACAAGAGGGAGAGCTAAGAGATACTTATGGTTTTTATAATAACACTAGTTATATAGAAATCAAAAGACTTCTAAAAGAAAAAATAGAATAGTATTCAAAGCACTTCAATCAGTTCGGATAAATTTAATCAGACCACATAACAGATGTATTTATTACTTTTAAATATAATTTTATTTATTTTAAAATATTTTAAAAATTAGCTGCATGTCTAATGGGCTGACTTAATGACGAATATGTAAAGTTTAGGATTTGGTGATAAACAAACAACACTACTTGAAAGCACCAGATTTAAAAACAATTAACAACAAGAAAATCAGTTTGTTGATGATTGAAATTAATATTAATAAAAAATCCATAAATTAGTATAAAAAATAGCAATTAATTTAGTTTAAAAAATGTATTTCTCAAAATTTAACAACTTTTTAGAATGATATTCAAATAAATATTTATTATTTTGTCTATATTTTTAAAAATTCAGTTAAAATTTTCTCTTGATTTCTTTTAAAAATAAAATATATTTAAAAAATGTTAATTTTGTTTCAAATTTCATCTACAAATAAAAGCATATCTTTCTTAATATATAAATAAACAAATACATTTATTTTTCTGAATAAATAATCTTAAATAAAATTTTATCATTAATAATTTACAAAAAATATCAATGTTTATTAATTAATGAAAAATGTTGCTTTGAATCAATCAAACGAATATATCTTTATCAAAAAATATTCATTCTTTTAATAATAAAGAAAGTTCTTTCTAAATTTTTGGTTTTTAATTTTTAATTAATTTGATCAATTTTTTTCATAAATTTCTTTCTTCTTATTTTTTTTTTCTGTTAAATTTAATTGAAATAAATTTTATTTGTTTAAATTTGTTATTTTTAATATCTGTGATTATTTTAATATGATTTTATTTTGGTTTTGAAAGTTTATTTGATTATTTATGTTATACATTTTAAATTATATTTGCTGAACATATATATAGCTAGTATAGTTTATGAGGAAAGAGAGTGTCATTTCTAAATACTATTAATTTAATCCCATTTTTGTTAGAGCAAAAGATTTTGAAATATTAAATGGAGTAATAAGTGATAAAAGATTATGTTTAAGAGCTTTTTTATGGAGCGAATTATATTAATGAGTTATGATAAAAAATGTTTATTTTATTTTGAAAACCAGTTTGCCTTTTTTTCGAGTAGTAAATTTTTATACATGATATAAAATCTAAGAATTGTATTTCTTTAGCAATTAATTGAGTTGTATTTGCATTCAATAACTATATTATTATCATATAGATTATGTTTACTTACTCGCTTATATTGCTATTGTATTTTAAATTAAAAAACTAATCCAGTTTGTTAAAGAATAAATCATTTTATTCACTGATTTTAAAAACTATTTCTTAGTTTATATCCTGTATTCATTTACTTTTTGCTTCTTTTTAGTGAATTATTTATTTATTTAATTAATTAATTAATTTTAACAGCAAAATATTATTTAATTAATTTGACACACCTCTCCTTTAAAATATAAAAATTGTTTGTTCAAGATGCAAATACCAATAAAAAATGTTTCAATAGCTAAAATATTTTTTTAAAAAGCATTTTTAATTAAAGGAAATTTTACATATTTTGATTAATTATTAATCTTAAAAGTAAAATATATTTAAAAAAAGCAAAAACAAAATATTTCAAAAATGAATGCTATTTAACAACATTTTTTGTTTGAAGCATAAAAAAATAAAAAACAGCAATATGAAAATAAAATAAAAATATTTAATAAAATAGTGTTAATATTTATTTTTATAAATAATTAAATTAGAAATGTAAGGCATAGTTATTAGTTAATCAAAGTATAATTTTTATCATTTGATATAGTCAGAAGGTTAATTAATAATTATTAATTCATTCAAGCCACACAAAAAAAAAATCTTCAATTCAGTTCACAAATTTAATGGCAAGTAAATGGTGATTAAAAAATTAATATAACAAAAAATCTAAAAAATTATTGGCAAATAATGCTTGATTTATAGAATCGCCTAAATAAATTTATAAGATAAGCGAATTTAGGATATTAATAAAATAAATCGTGATTTGTTAATGCAAATAAGTATTGAATTAATATAAATTAAGAGATAAATAGAAATTTAATTCAAGATATAAAAAGTTTATTAGAGTCTATCAAAATGAAGGTAGTTAGTTAGTTATCTAACTATATATTTTAGTATTTAAGAAAGGCTTTTAAATTATTATTTTAAAACTATATAGAATTAGATGCGTAAATATTATCACTAGAACTCTGATATATAGGAAAAGGCATAACAATAAGATGATGATATTTTTGTCAATAGAAACGAAGCAAGATCTCCTTCCAATTATGCATATAATTCGCCTAATAGAATGTATAGAAAAACAGTTTATCGCTAAAGAGGTACTTCCTATGATAATTTCATTAAGGAAGTAAATGATTTGCATGGCAGAAATAAAAAAAACTAAAATATTTTAGATAAATCATTGAATCTTCCAGACAAAGAAATCTTATCTCATCGCAGCTCATTAAATCCAAACTCAAAAAATTTAATACGAAAGCTAGATTTTTTAGTAAATTTATTTTTATTACAACTTCATTAAATAGTTAGCAAAAATGACGAGCTGTTTAATTTTATATTTTTATATAATTTCTTAGACAATAAAATAACAGCTTAATATTTGTATGCCCATTTTTTTCGTATAGATATCTTAAATATATAAATAAGTCTTTAGTATGTATGCAATCCTATTTATTTTAATTAATTTAAGTAAATATTTAATAAAATTAAATAATAGCCATTCTAATAAAGTTAAATAATTTATAAATGATTATTTAATTTTTTTATTAAATTATAGCCTTAATCAACAAATGGCATAGATGAAAAGAAGAGTTCTCTTCGTGCTTAATCCTTGGATAAAAATAAATTAAGAGCTTCTCATGGGAATGTCTAGTTTTAAGACCACCAACAATAGCAATAACAAATGCAATAATAATATTAGCAAAACACTTAGACTTAACCCCAAGAGAATTAACTAAAAGATCAATACCTAGATTCATATGTAGATAATATAAACAATAAAAATTATTTAGAAAAGAGAAATTCTAGTTGCAATAGTTATTATTAACAAAATTCACCCAGGAGTTACTCTGATTCATATACTCCTTCTCATATGCCTTGCTTTTCTTTAGATTACTCATTTTTAGATGATATTTCTCCAAACGATCCTAGATTGTAAAGACTATTAAATGATGAAGTTATTACAAATAAAACAATAGATGTTGCTAAACTTTTAGATTAAAACCCTGATTACTTCCATCATATGTTCAGTATTTTATTCTTTTGACTTGTTTATTTAGGAAATATATAAATAAATAAATAAATATTTTAAGTTTAATGTCTGAAAAAATTCTTAAATTTTAAATAAAATTAGGAAATTGTGCTTGCTTTTAGTGTACTTGTGGACTTTGCAAATGTGAGCACTCAAACTTGAAATTAACTTATAAACCAGGATTTAAAACTAATTATAGAAAAGATTATAATAAAAAAAGTTTTGATAACACTCCTAGTATCAATCAAACTCACTACAATTCACTAGGTCTTCATAACCCAGATAATTTAAACCCTAACTTATCCACTAACTATCGTGTAATTTAAAAATTAAAATATCATCATTTTAATTTTATAAAATTAATATATAATAAATAGAGTGATTACTAACCTTGGAAAGTAAGCAAACAGTCACCAAAAAGAGATACTTATAAACCAAGTGGCAATCCTTTCTTTGCTTTAACAACTTATAATGTAATTTTTTAACAAATAAAATTTTATTTTTTAACTAATCAATTTATATTTAGAGTAATTTCAAAGATTGGTAGAATTATGATCCTAATAATAAATCTCTTAAACCACTTGATAAACATGTATTTGGTTTACCATTTGCAAATACAACGACATATAAAGATAACTATAATGTTAAAGATTTATTAAATCCGTTAACCGCCAGAGATATTAAAGCTTAGTTACAAGGGTAAATACTTATCATTTTATTTATTCATTTATTAATTTTATAAACAAAATAATAAAAGATCTCCTTTATTGAAGGGATACTAACCTCAACATAGTACAGAATATAATAGCAATTACATCGGAAAGAATCCTTATGATAGATCTCCTAATAAGAATCTCTCAGATACATCAGTAAAATATGATTATTAAAATATGTCAATTAACTTTTATTTACTTAAATATAAATAGAGAGCACCAGGAATACCATCTTTCCCAGATTAATTTAAAAGTACATTTATGAATGATTTCAATAATAAAAGAAGATTAAATGACTGTCCTGTGAAAACATAAAAATATGCAACAAAACCATGGAAACTCAAATTACTTACAAAAATAAATTAATTCAGAAATACTAATTAAAGTAGTAATTATAATCATACCTAAGGAGAAATTAAACTAAATTAGATTAACAACTCAAACATTTCTTATAGCCCTTAAAAATAAAATTGACTTTGATTCTGTATTACTATTAATTACATTAAACCAATAAATTACTTTAACTATTTTTCAACTTTCTGTTCAAATTAATTATTAAATTATTCTTTTACTAATTAAAAAAAATTCGAAAAAAATAAATAAAAATTATTTTAATTTTAATTAATTTTTATGAAAAGATAATTTAATTTAAAGCATGAATTTAAATCAAATCTTTTTAAATTGGAATTAAATAATAATCTAATTTTATACAAGATATTCTAATAATTAAAACTAAGTTTTTATTTCGCTAATAATCAAGAGTTTCAAAAATTTTTACCTTTTACTTACTTAATTTTACTATTAAAAATCAATAATTTATATTTTTTTATACTACAATTTTCATTAAAAAAGATAAAAATATTAATTTACCATTGCTAAAAATTAATTATAATTTATTTATTATTTTAATAAATTTTAAAAATAAATAATAAGAATTCAAATAAAATTAAACTTTTGAAATGAATTAAAATATTTTTATATTTTTTATATAGTTATTCTAATAGAAAGTTTAAAAATTATTATGTCTTATTTGATTTCTGCTACTTAAAAAAAAATAATCAATTTTATTTTAATTTTTTCAATTTGTGTAAAAAATTAAATTTTTCTTTGACTAATTTGAAAAAAATTTTAAATTAAGTTATTGTATTAACATTTAAAAGAAATAAGTCAATAGAGAAATAAGAATGAAATTTAAAATAGAAAGAAATGATATCCATCTCCTAATATTTAAAATTGTTTACTTTATTTTAATTAATTTTGATGCCTACTATTCTAATACTAAATAAATATTGTATTTTAATTTTGTAATTTAATGTTTAAAATTTTATTTTGTTTTTAAGTAAAAAATTCCATTTATTAAGAAAAAATAATTTAAATTTTATGAAATATTAAGCTAAATAAATAAATGAATAAAGCAAAATTTATTTTTAGGTGAGAATGATAAATAATTTATTTTATACAAAGTTTATCTAATTAAAATTATGATGAATTTTATATTAAATTGTAAAGGATATTGTAAGAAAACATAAATATGAAAATGGTTATTAATAATTTCGAAAATTTGTAATAATAAATTAATAATTTGGATAATTAGTAACAGGCTGTTTTGCTTTATATTAATATATTTTTTAAAATCGAATTCTCATTCGTAGTTAGATTAATTGTGATCTTCCTGATCATCTTCTTCATCATTTTGCTAATACTGATCGTTGATATATTGATCATCATATTAATCTTCGTATTCTTCATGTTCTCCTTACTCGTATTATTCATCCTGATCATCTTTATTGTACATATCAGACGAGTTATAATTTTTCTAGTCTGAATCTTAATATTTTTAGTCTTCTTCTTCATCCCCTTCTTATTGTCTTGATAAATTGTTTCTGCTGTTAATCTAATTTTAAATTTAAAATAAATTTATTGAAATATAAATTAAAAAAATTTACTCTTTGTTGTTGTGTTTTATTTTAAGCTTAAAAGAAATTGTTCTATTAAGGTTGTGGCAATTTATTTTATCTTAGATAATCTTCATTAGAGATTTGCTGTTGATTATTTATTCTTTACTTAAATGCTTCTGAATCCATTCCTGTAAAGTTGTTGCTGAATGGATTATTTTTAGAGAATAAGTTTGCTTAATAAGCATTTTGTCTATCTGCATTTTACTCTTCTTCCATCTTTGTAAAGTTGCTTTCAACAGTCTTATAGCTTCTATTTGAAGGCATACCAGAAGAAGGTTTGAAGAAATCTTATTTTTGGGTAAGATTTATACTGGCATTACTTTTACCTTAAAAGAAGTTATTCAAAGATTTTTAGCTGTTAATATCAAGATTGCTAAATCCAGTTAGATTTGTTTTATTTAGATTATTTTTGCTGTTGTTAGCAATAGAAGATTGATCCTAATTGAACAAGGAGTTATTTTGGAGGAACGATGAGTCTTTTTTGATAAATCCGCTATTCTTTAAATTGTTATTATTTGATAAGGCAGAGAAGAAGCTGTCTTTGGTGTTTAAATCAGCTCCAAAGTTATTAGGCTTAGGAATAGCCGTGTTAACATCAGGTTTAAAGAATTAAGAAGTTTCCCTGTTAGGAGGTAAGCTGTTGCTGTGGGGACCTAAATTAAAAAGCTTTGTGTTATTGTTGTAAGTAGGGATTTCACCACCAAGATTTTAGCTGCTTCCTTAATTGCTATTAACTTTTACGTTAAAATTTTACATCCTTAATGTACCACTGGCTGAGTATTTATTTAGTTAGTCTTATCCAAAATTAGCTAGAGATTCATTCTATCTTGAATTATAATATTCATTGAAATCTAACTTAAAACTCAAGAAACGGAGCTTGTCTTCTTTTTTAAGTAATATTAACAATTCTGTAAATTACTTTTGAAAATCTTTTTAAATTTAGTTAAATTAATTTGCATTCTAAGGAATTTAAAAGTCTTCAGACTCAAGCTAATGATCGCTACCGCTACCATGTTCATCATCTTCCTAATCAAAATCTTTATTACGTGAAAAATCGTGACCAAACTCACTGAGAATAGCTTTTTGCTTATTTGTATTTTTGATAGCTCTGATACGCTCATATTCTTCTTGAATTTCAGTTAATATAATCATTTAAGTATTTCTAAATTTGATAATCAAATTAAATAGAGAATTCATTAGTCTATAAATATTAATATTCTTATCTGTTAAGAGAGACTTATCTAAGACGGACTATACAAAATTTATGTGAGTCTAAATGATTTCTGCAAAGTCCTTGGTTTTATCAAAATCATCAAGGAATTGCTTCCAAGTTGTTTCAATCGCATCTACCATGATATAGCAAGTTAAATTATTTATGAAATGGGTCATTTAATGACGGAGTATATTAAACTTTTTCATGAGTTTGGAAATAGGTTCATGAGATCTTTCTCTTCCAATTAGATTTGCAGACTTCATATGATCCAACCAAATTTAAGACAAGCAGTGACTAACTCTACGTACTCTCCATAAGAAATTGAATATCTTTAGGTAATTTCTCATCACGGATGGAGACAATATAGTATCTATAGGAGAGTCTACATTATAATCCAAAGTAAAGATATCCCAACCTTTATCTCCAGGAGAGGCCTCTAACAATTTAATATCTAATCTTTAGCTGCTTTCTTAAAAGGCATTACTATTTCCTTTTATCACACCATCGAGAATAGCTTTTTATAAAATTATTTTTTTTATTTTGTAATTTTTTAACAAAATCTTCTCTCAAATAAAATTTGACTTTTCTTTTAATTTAAAAACTTGAAAAGTAATTTCTAAATATTATTTAATTATTTAAAAACAGTTCACATTATTTTTGTGAATTTTAAAAATGGAATTTTTTTTTTTAAATTAAAATAAAGCTTTTGTGATAGTTAGTATTCAAATATTGCTGATTAATATTTTTCAAAAAATTAAGTAAGATTACATAAAAGATTATGACGATGTATTTCGTTTGCATTTTTAGAGAGTTACTCAGAGAGTACTTCCATAAGTGACTAAATAAAATCACCTTATCCCATTAAAATATACCTTTTTATGTTCAATAAATGCTACTTTAGCTAGTATCTGTCAACCAAAATATTAACTATTCTGTTGTTGGTTAACAATGCAGCCTCATAAATCCACTATTTAAAAACATCAAAACTTTTTTTATCAACAATCTTCAAATTGCAAGGAGCTAAGTTTAACTTCCAGTCACTGGATTTACATGATTTGTGTAGAAAGTTGACACTTCTACCAATGTTAAAAATTGTAATTGCATTATGTTTGTCTATGATGTTAGGAATTTATTTTATTACCATAGAATATCTTTTATTCCAAATATCAGCTTCACCTACATTTTCTGTTACAAAAAATTCTCCTAATGGATCACTTAATTCTCCATTGTAAACCCATGAGTTAACATATTTAATGAAAGGCTAAACGATACTTTGGAGGATTCTGCTAATTAGCTACTAGATAGGAGGACTTCCTTATGTTTCGTAAGCATTGACAGCAGATATTACTTAAAATCCGCTCATTCCTTTAGTTGCATCACATATGATAGCTAACCATTTCAATCTTTCCATAGGTTCAATTACCCATAACTACAATTTTCTTAAAGTAAATTAATTAGGATTAAATCCATTTTAAAGATTTACACTATTTTAGTTATTTTCATTATTTTATTATGGATTTTGATAGGAAGCTTAGCTTAGTAGCAAGGATTAATTATTTTAGGAAAGGATTTAATTGTTATATGAAGCATTTAATTCATTTTCAAAAATTGCTATCAATCTATAATACTCATTTAATTCATCTCTAATAGCTTAGTGAAGTGCTTAACGAATCTATCCTTAAGGTTCTCCTTATAAGTATATTTATATCTTTCTAAATAAATCTCCCATACTAGCTAATTTATTAACCATTTCTCTAACTGGATCAGATACAGAAACATTATTTTTAAGCATAAACTTGTCTTCTTATTTATTAAGAGTGATATAGTGGCCATCAATAGCTTGAAAAGTAAACAAAAGATCCCTAATCAAATCTTTTTCAGTTAGATCTATGTTAGGATTACCTTTGTTGCTAATCTTTTTTATTGTTTGTAAGAACTAAATGTTACTTTAGCCTAAAAAAGACTTCTAAGTTTAGTTAAAAGTATTAGACTAGTTATTAGCTAAAGTATTCATTGTTGTATTATTTTCTATTTCCATGGTGGTGTTAATTCCCTAATTATTATTTTTAAACAGAGCTTCCACATTATCAAAATGCTGTTTAATTTCAGCGCTATTCGAGAGTGCAAATAATAAATGAAGAATCGCTGATTTATTTTAAATAGCAGCAGGGTACTTATCTAATTTATTTAACAGCTCCTACACTCTTAATTGTTACTGATTTGTTTTCGCTTGTCTTATCAATTAATTTTTTATAACTTTTTCATCAGTCACTCTGGCGCCAAAGCGTCCAGATAACATCTTCATAAAATAGCTTAATGCCTTCTGGATAGTAACTTCATTAACTCCATGCATTTCAGATTCTATAAGAATCTGTACCCACTTTGTTAAAGCCTTTTGCTGGTCTCCCATTTCTACTAAACGTAATTTAATTAATTGGCTTGCTAATGTTAATGATTGTTTGTATCTAAATCCTTATATTAATTATATGTATTGGTTGATATGTATATTGTATACTGATAATTTTCCTCTCTAATTTAAATTTTTATTAAAATTTTCAAAAAAAAATAATCGATCAAACTTGCCTGCCTTGAAGATTTTTTATTTTCAAAAAAGAGCCCTTCAATATTAATTAAAATAATAATAATAATAATAATAATCTAACTACACAAAACACAATCTATCTATCTATCAATCAATAAATCAATAAATCAAGCATATAATATAAATAGATAACTAGATAGATACATACATTTTTATTTGAAATCAAACTAATTCTTGGCTCTCTTTTCTTTTTCAAAAATATCTGCCAAAACAAACATCTATTTTTTGTTTAAACAATATTAATAAACAAGCAAGTTAATAAATTAAATATAATAAACACAATCACTAAATATAGAGATATCTCAGTGCATTAAAAAGTTTAGCAAAAATTTCAAATTAATTCTAATATTCATTTGTTATTAATTGCTACCAATAAATAAAATAATACAATAAATAAATCTTAAATCATTTTAAATAAAAATCCATTTTATTTTATTGTTTTCTTTTAAAAAAAGCAAGAAAGCAAACAAAGAGATACACAAAATACAAAAAATACTTTAGTAATAAATAAATAAATTTATCTCAAATCTTAAAAACTTCTTTTCTGTAAAATTTTAACTCTTCTATGCTTTCAAGAATATCGTCTAGAGCTCTATGTCCGCCTTTTTTGACAGGTGCCTTTTTTAATATTTCGGGATTCCATCTCTTGGTTAGCTCCTTTACAGTTGAAACGTCTACAAGTCTGTAATGCAAAAAATTATAAAGGTTAGGCATTTATTTTTAAATGAATTTCATATCTGCGTGTATAGAATTTCCTGCCAATAAAGCTTCTTTTTATTCAATTCCATTATCTTTTAAAAATTTAATAACTTATTCTTCAGCCATCTATAAAGTGACTTCACTTTTTAAAACTTTGTCATATAATCCACTGCCTTTATGAGTGTTTGTGCACCATTCGTCCATAGATTCAAGTAGTTCTTTTGGGGCTTAGATAATTAACTCAGGACCTTTGATGACTTAAGTCAATTCACCATCAGTTAAAAGAGTTGCTATTTCTATAATTTAATCATTATTCAAAAAATTTAAACCAGTCATTTCACAATCACACCATAAAAGAGGATCCTTCAACTTAATTTTTTACTCTTAACTATCCATTTTACTTTTATTCGATATGCTAAATATAATTGTTGGCTTGTTAATTTTTAATTAATATATTTTTTATAAGCTCCTAATTATTTAATTCTTTCTAAACATAAGACAATTAATAAATATCCAATAGCTTTAAAATAAATTTTTATTAAATTAATACTTATGATAAAATATCAACAACAAAACATTTTTAATATTCAAATTAAGTGCAATTAATTTTGAATTCTTTTCTAACAAATAAATTAGAATCTATAAATTGTAATAGTAAGGAAATAGAATTAATAAATGTTTATATTATTACTCATTTAATTATTTATGAATTTATTTAATGCTTCTATTTTAAATAAAAGCTAATCTCCTTAAATTTAAACTAAATTTAAGAAATCATTTTTTTTTCAAACATCAAAATAAATAAATAAATATTTAAAAATATTAATAAAAGAGTTAATTTAAATTTCAAAGTAAAAAAATCTTTAATGTTTACCAGTATTTGACATTGTTGAATGTATTTTGAAAATTAGTTTGAATTTGACAGTTTAAAACTATTAAAATACAGTGAATTGAATTGAAATGATTGGTATTTGTAATATCAATTAGATATTTGATTTATCTTTACAATTATTTTAATATGTGGTAAAGCTTGACAAAATTGAATCGTTGATAAATAAACAAATAAATAGAAATCTAACAAAATCAAAAAATTTAATTACTTTCTGTTAATAAACAAATAAATGCATTTTTAATCAAAATTACTCATATCAAGAATATTTTTAGAAAAATAAATATATTATTAAAATCTAAAAATTTGGAACTTATAAATCAAGCTAAATAAATGATAAAGGATTAATAAAAGAAAGTAATAGACTATGATTAAAGGAGAGTCGAATTAAATGAAAAGCTGAGGGAAAACTATTTTATCTTTTAAGACTTTTTAAAAAAAGGGAATATTAAAATTAAAAAAGTTAAAACTAAAACAGGCAAATTGCAATATGATTTTGATTTTTCTTCTTAAAACTACCATTATAACTCAAAGGATCACATATTTTTTGAAGAACCAGAATTCTAAAATGAGTTTATTAATTAAATAACTTAATCTCTAATGTAAGACATAAAACCAAACTTAAAAACAAGTTTATTCTCTGATCAATAGTCAAAGAGAGTATAATCATTAATGACACTAAAAAACGATCCAGACTCTACGAAAATTAAAATTATTAGCTTTTTTAAGAGGAGAATCGCATAGCTTGATATGAAAAAGAAGAAGACTATTGTTCGTTATAGTAATTTTATAAGGGGACCTTCATCTAATACAAAGTGTGACAGATATTTACTTTCAAGAGTCAATTTAATTGATTAAGAAATAATACATTTACAAAGAAGGTATTTAATAAATTATATAAAAATATTTATAATTTGTATTAAAAAATATATTTTTTATTACTACTTGAAAGCAAAAATATATTAATTTTTAAAATAGCTATTCAAATATAAATGAAATAAATTGTTATTAATATTAATTTATTTGTAAAGAATTGAGAGGCTTTAATAAGATGACGGTTTCACAGAAAGTTTAACTAATTTTAAATAGAGACCTGTTGCAGTAAATGAAAAGGGGAGTTAAATTTATAAGTCTTTAGATGATGATGAAATGTGTTTTTCAAATATTTCTAGAGAAGACTTTGAAGTTTTTATGAGGGCTAAGTTGTTTGAGAATAGATCAAAAAGAAATATGTGGAAATTTTACTATTAAACTAAATGGATTCATTATATAAACAGATTTGAGATTATTGAAGAAGTGAGCAACCAACTTAATTAAAAGAGAATACAAAATTAAGCTGAATGGACAGTCTACTATGAAAAATTATATGATTTTTTTGAAAGAAAAATTATTGAAAAATTCCCAATTTCTCAAAATGAAATGAAATAAGTTATCTAAAAGTTATTTGAATAAAGTAAAATATAAATTATTGATACTCAAAAATAAAATTTTTTAAAAAAATAAAGTGAAAGTTGTTAACAAGGAGCAGTAAGAGTACTAAAACCTCTTTTTAAGATACGATTTACTTCCTTTGTGGCCTTCAACTATTATAGAATAAAATACTTTGCTTTAAAAAGCTTGTGATTTATTTGTTAAAGGAGTTACTGTCAAATCTACTGAATTATAAACTTTAATTTTTAAAGTAGATAAAAAATATTTTTAAAAATAATTTAAATTTGTTAAATAATTTTGTTTAAAAAATAGATGAATATTATTATGGGAGTCATATATGAAAATTAGCTGGATATTAGTAATTATGAGTCTAAGGAATCAGTATTTAATGATTAAGCAGATAGTTCTGATCCTAAAAAGGCTAATATATCAAAAAGTAATAGAGAAAAATTATCTCAAATTGAAGAGGGATCACTAAAACAGTAAATTAAAGAATTATTAATTAAGAAAAAAACTATCATATTAGTAGAAGCTGATTGGGTAAGCTTGCTAGATTTTACACCAAAATACGATGAATGCTAAATAAATGTTATGAACACTCTTAATTTACCAAATATCACAGAAGACTCTACCACAAAGTGATTAAATAAAAATATATATTGGAAATGAAATTTAATATTATTTTTAATTATCAATAGATTATTAATTTCATTTTTGGGAAATAGAGATTATGATTCAATTAAGAGGTTTATTTCTGAATAAACTAAAGAAATCATTAGTTCTTTTGATGAAAAATTTTTTTTATTTATAGAGAATTTAAAGTATGTTGATAAAACCCGTAAATTATTTATTTAGAGATTAAATTATAAAAATTAATTATCTTACTTTTTAATACAAAGATAATTCAATATCGTTTGAATTGCTAGTTGATACTTATCAAGAAGGCTTAACTGATTAAAAGAAGCCTTTCGATACCCTAAAAAGTAAAAAATTAGAAGTGAAAGAAAAGTTAAAAAAGGAGCATTTATATGCCATCATTGATATTGTCAACGAATAAAAGCCTGTTGAATCTGCTTTAGATACAATTTATGGACTTATGTTTTTGAAAACAAGTGAAAATAGAAGAAAAATTTTAAATACTTTGAACGCAATAAGGTCAATAGAAAGAAGAATCACCTACGATCTTGTTAAAATATGTAATAAAAATTAAAGTTTTAATTATTTGAAGAAAATTATTTAATAAATTATTTTTTTAAAATTTAACTAAATAATTATTTCTTAAATTAAATATAGTTGATTGCTCTTTCCCAAGAGAATTAGATGATGAGTTTTTGGTTAATGTAAATCAAGAAAAGCAAGAAGAATCGTAAAACGAAAAATTTAATCCACAGCCCAAAGTTAATAAGTAGAACGACCCATAAAAAATTAAGAGAAAATAAATGCACTCTTTTAGTGAAGCTAAAAAAATATTTGATGAGAGATACCTTAATTCGCTTGACAGCAATATTTCTATTGGAAGATTTGATTAGATAGTTTATGATAATCAGACTAACTTTGATGAATACGAAAACACAACAGTTCCAGAAATTTATGTGAAAGGTTTTATAAATAAATACTTTCTATTTTCAAAATAAGTTAATTGGTATTTTAACAAAATTTAGGTGATGATAAGGATGGGCTAAGTGGATATGGAAAGTATATTGTTTATGATGTATCAGAAAAAGATACTTAAAAAGTAGAGAAAAGAATACTTAAAACGATATCTTTTTTCATTGAAAAATTTGAAAAGGTAAATAGAGTTAAAGATTTCTTCACAATTATTGATAGATTTACTATCAGTAATGATATCTTCGAGCTAGAATCCTAATATTAATTTGCTAAACTTAGATTAATGGAGCAGTATATGTAAGTATTTGAGTAAATTAATGATCCAGTAGAGAGTTATCACTTAGCAGAGACCGTTATGAACTTAATTCATGAAATACCTCACATTGATTTTAAATCTAATACCTTTAAAGATTCTTATTAAGCTAACATCAAAAGAATTAAGTCACTTACTAAACTCATCAAAAGCATGTATATTTATTAGGTCCAAAAAGAATCAGAAGAAGTAAATAATTATTTTATACTTTAAATAACTTATAGAAATACCTAAACTATTTTAAATTATTTATTAAAATTTCTAGCTTCTTGTTACATAAATAATTTATTATTTTGTTTAATTTTTATTTTTATAAATAATTAATTACTTTAAGGTTTCTCTGTTTCATAAACGATACTAAAAGATAGCATCTACTAATCACTAAAGCTTTTTTGTTTACAGTGAATAAAATCAAGGTGGGTAGAGTTTAAGCAAGTAGGCAAACTAGCTCTAGAATTTAGCTTTTATGGAAAGAAGGTAATAATAGTAAAGAAAAACTATAGTATTACAAAGACATCAAACAACAATAGATGATAAAAAAAGCGAAAATTCTATTAATCAAGAAAGTAAATTTGCTAAATCGAAGACAAACGAATTGGATTAGTCTGCCAGATAAAAAGAACCTGCTGATATATGGAATAATCCTTAAGACATATACGATGATTTTTGTTTGGAGAAAGATATGGAAGATGTTTTTGCAAACATGATGACTATAGACTAAAATAAAAATTAAACTATCTCCCCTAACAAATAATCTGATAATAATTCAAAGTAGAGTTCAGAGAATCAAAACATAAATTAAAACAAAAGTGAAAACATCATTATTAACAAAAAATTTGAAGGAGGACCTCATTACATTTATAACAATGCTCATTTGCCTAAAGTAATAACCAAAAATTTGCATATATTTTATCAATAAAATTTTCTTCTCATATTAATTAGATATAATTTAGTCCATCTTCAGAAAATGAGAGTTTCATCAATTTTTATGAATCCTGCAGTGTTATTGCTAAAATAATAGGAATTCTCCCTCAAATAATATCCGATCTTTAGCAAAATATCCCATAAAAGTCAATTCTAGCAAATCAATACATGAGATTCTCTCTTTACGAGAATTTAAATAACAGATGGAACAATTTCGACTTCAAAGAAGCTAAAAATATTGAAGACACCGTATAAATTAATTAATTAATTAATTAATTAATTAGCTCTTATTTATTTTAATTTAAATAAATTTAATTAGATTATTTGTGATGATGAAAATAATATGGAAAATATTATTCAAAATACAGTAAGATAACTTTTGGATGTGATTACCGTTAATAATGAAGAGGTAAACACTGGAGCAAGATAACAAAATAGACCTTAAGAAAAATTACCTGATAAAGATTTTTTACTTTGTCTCGATTACAACACATTAGACTCTTATTTAAAAACTTCAAAAATATCTAATACTCATAACTACAAAGAGCTTTTCATAAGTTGTAATATTCTTGAATTTATATCAATTAGAGAGAACCTTTTACACTCTCTTTGGGAGAGAAAAGTCCTATCTCAACTTTACAAAAGCTAATATTCTTATTTCGGAGTAAAAGTCAAAAAGAATTGTGATATTAATTTCCCCTCTCCTCTTGAGTACATTAAATTACATTTTATACTTCTTTTATTTTAAATTTTAGTTTTTAATTTGAAAAATAAGCAGAAAATTTCTATTATTATTTGAAAAATTTGTTAATTATTAAATCGATAAGCATTAAAAAAAATATTTCTATTATTTGTTAATGAAATTTGACAGGATTATAAAATTAATTTTTTAATAATTTCACATAAAAATAGCTTTAGCTATAATATAGGAAGAGTGGGAGGACCTAGCAAACTAAAAAAATTACTTGCAAATTAAGAGCTTAAAAAGAATACATTAAGCTATTTTAATGAAATAGATAATTCATTGGAGAGAATTTATAAATTTAATGAGATGAAAAATATTGGTCTCATCCTAATGATGGATTCAATAGCAGAATTTTAAAATATATTTTTATATGAGAAGTTGAATTTGATGACATTAGAGAATTGTGTAAAGTTAAATTAAAAGAGAATTGACCCTATTAGGAGCTCAGAATTAGATCTATATTTTTTATTGCAGAAAAAAGTTATTTAAGAAAATCCTTATATCGATATTTCTAGGATATATCTCAATCACTCTAATTTGAATGCTATTACTTAATCTGTAAAGCAATATAAGTAGGAAATAGGATTTAAAATGAGAGATAGATACCTATATTCTCCCATTGAAGCTAAAGAAAGGATTAGGTAGTCTCTTTAATACAAATTTAATGAATGTGCTTAATAAATTTAAAGAGAAACTGATGGACAAAGTATAGATACTAGTAAATAGATATTAGTTGAGAAGCACATAAGATGGTATTTTTAATTTAAAATGTATAAAAGAACTAACTCATTTTATAATTCAAATATAGTTTAAAGCTTTATCTTCTTAAGGTAGTGAATGCTGATTTATTAGTAGATTTAAATAAGGAGTGGGGAAGATTAGAATGCTTACACTTGTGCTAAAATTTAAAGAGGTATTTAAACTGTATTCCAAATATTGGAAGTAATGTTAATATTAATAAGAGCGAAGACAGGTACTATGATGATTGTATTTATGCAGGGTAGAAAAAGAAAGTAACTTAAAGCTCCAGAGAAGAACAAGAAGAGAATAATTAAAGGAGTTTACAAGAAGAAAATAGAATTTTTATAGGAAAAAACAATTCAATTAATGATATTTTGACTATTTATTCTGACAATCAGATTATTAAGAAAGACTTTGTAAATGATTTATAGAGTGCTAAATAAGAATTAGCCATTAAGCAAGTAGATTCTTCAATAGGAATTGAAAACTTATTATAAAAGACGGTAGTAACGCCTGTATAAAAGCAATAGCTCTTCTAAGATTACAAAAAGACAGAAAAAATAAGAGATAAGATTTTCTATTACCTTATGAAAATTTAAAGGAGCATCACTGGGAAATTATATCCTGATTATGGTAGATTTTAATATATAAATGATGATTATTGTGGAATCAATCAATTGAATAAACTTTATAAGTAGTTTCTCGAATTTATATAAGTGCATTTCTTAAACATCTAAATGAGTTTATATAAGAGCGAATTGAAGATCATTTAAGAATTGCTCTTATTTAATTAAACATTTGAAGACATTTCTCCTGATAATGAGATGGAATATGCGATAAAATGTGGCAGAGATGTCTCCAAAACGTTAATTTCCTATGATGAACTTCAAAGTGCATACTTAAAAGAGAATTTTATTGCTGCATAGTAATTCAAGCAGGGAGTTTAGGTCAAGATTGTTAGCAATATAATTGATGGTATTGTTAGAAAATTACAAAGCTTTTCTAACATGGAGCAGAGTTTTAAAAGATTAACAATGGATTTAGCCTAAATTAATAGTGTTATATATCCCAGAAAATCAATTGTGAACACTTAAATTCTTCAAAAATAAGTCTCATTAACTTCAACAAACATGAATTAAATTAAAATAAAAGATGCAAAAGCTGAAATAAAAAAATTAAGCGATTTACTTTATCACAAATTGTACATGAATCTTATTGACACATTTGTTTCTCAATGTCATAGTGATACTGATACTCCTTTTGCTTAAAACTTCTTCAGGCTAAACGAACTAATTTTTTTGAAAAAGCACAAAAACTCATTAAACCTAAATTATTTTAATACATAATTTTTTTTGCAAAATAACACATAAAACTTTTTTAACTTCAAAAATTCTGATAAGAATTATATCAGAATTAAGAAAAGAATATATAAAAAAACATTAAACGAGCCTTATTTAAAGCTGAAGCTACTAATCACTAACTTGCCAATTGATTTCTAAAAGCACATTTTTACCTTTCAGAAAAACAATTAAATCAAAATGGGTATTTCTGAATAGATTTTCTCTCGCATTTCAGAGTTTTACTCCTAATTTAACTGCAAAAAATTAGTCAGAATTTCAGATCTGCCCTGTGTTGGATTAAATTCTTACACAGCAAATAACTCAGAATATGGAGTAATTAATTATTTGAAAAATAATTTTAATTTTTTTCATTAATTTGCTTTAAAAATATTTAAAAAAACAGATTAATTTTTTTGTTCAGTATTATTTAAAACAACTTTTTTAAAAGTCAAAACTTCACTTGAAATATTTTTATTGTTAAAATTTTTTTTTTAATCTCAAATTTTTAGAATATTTTAATGGGATTAACTGAGTAAGAAAGATTTAGTATAGCAGGAAAGATTAGAAATTTTGATAAAGAAATTAAGCCATTTAAAGTTTACAAAAATGAAAGTACAAATTAAATTGAAGAAGAGTTGAATTACCTAAGTGTGATAGCATCAAATAGAATTCTAGTTTAAGGATTGTCAATTTACAAAAAATCTATAAACTATCCGATAATTTCAATTTAATTTTCGAGGAATTTTAACCAAGAAAGAGTAATAAATTCTATCTATATTTAAAATAAACATAAATTAAATATTTTTTTTAAAGGATTCAATTGACAAAAAAATCTAACAGGTGAAGAATAATATGGAAGAATATTAAAAAAAGAATTTCTAAATTTTAAACTCTAAACTCCTTGAACCATTTAGCATTTAACTTCTCTAAGAAAATTAAGATTTTGATAGGACATACAAGCTTTTACTCAACATATGTTTAGAAGTAATCAATCACTTTTTTAATTTAATAAAAAAAATGAATTAAAAAATAATTAATTTTATTATAGAAAACATTTTTGGTTGAGGAGATTCAATTAAATATTATTGAAGACTCTATTAAATGTTTAGAGACAGAATTTTCAGTTTTAAATTTAAAATCTAATGTTAATGATGCAGTATAGAGATTAGAAAGATAGAAAACTACATAATCTTCTGCTATAAGAACTTAAACCTCTTTTTATAAAGTGTAGGCTAACCCATGTTTTTCATCTCCGTTGTTTGTTGATTAAAAGCAAATAATTATTCCTACTGTTGCTAAAGTGTCCTATGTTTAAAGCTTCATTAACAGATTAAGAAATAAAGTATTAAAAATTAAATTGTATTCAATTAATATATTAAATTAAAACAAAACAGGTATCAAGAGTCGATTTGCTCAGCAGTGGTTTTGGTTTTGTTATTTCTGTAAACGATCTGGAAGATTGCATTTAATATTTAAATAAAGCAATTTAGTAATTTGGTGAAAAAGAAATAAAGAAAAGGATAGATAGTGCATAGTATCTTTATGATCTTTAAAATTCTAAAATAAAATCATAGTAAAAACACATTGATGCCCTCAAACAAAAAATAAAGCTTATTAAAACTCTTCAAGTAACAAAATGAAAATAAATTTCTAAAATTAATTTTGCAAGCAATAAATAAATAAATAATAAATTTTATGATAAAAATTTAATATTTTAATTTGATAATATTTTTAATTGAATGAAATTAATTAATATAGAATAAACATATTGATGCATTAGTTCATGAAAGAGGTAATAATTTAATTTACGAGATGGCCAAAATGTAAAGAAAATAAGCTGATTTCTAAAGATTCCTCACAAATATTGAAAGCGAAGTCACTTAGGAAGTAAGAAAAGAAATGAATTCTGATATATTAAAGTTGGAAAATGATAAGTAAATTTTAAGAAACTAATTTACAGAATTCAAAAGACTTCTCACTGTTACTTTTACTCATGAAATTAAGACAGCAGGAAGAGAATTAGAGTCAAATATGACTAAGTAAAAGCATTTAAATTTGTTAAATTATTAAATTATTTTTTCAAAACAAAAGAAAAACTATTGATGTGCTTAATCAGCTGAATAGACTGCAGCAAGCAATCTTTGATGAATAAATACCTAGTTCTCCAAAGAAATCTATATTAAACTCTGGAGCAAGGTCTCCTTCAGTACTTTCATCACCAAAAGATTAATCAGAATCTTCTCATATTCAGAATACAAGATAGTCTATGAATTTTATATATCCAAATTCTTTTAGCTCTTATAATCCTTAGAGACATCTTGAGCTTCAAAGTAATTGAATATATCATTTACTTTATTTATCATTTTATCATTTAATAAATAGAAAATTCTAACTATAACGTATAAAAGTGTGGACCAGATGAAGATATATTGACTGACCCTGTAATCACAACAAAGTATATAAACAAAATAAGAATCTTCTATTTAATTAAAATGACCTCAATCAAAGAGAAATATGAGTAAATTATAAATTAGCAGTAGCTAGAGCTAAATAATTTCAAATCTCTTCAATAAGAACTAATTGAAAATAAAAAAGAAGAGAACATAGTTAAAAAAGAACTTGTAAATGTTCACAATGCTTTGAAAGAATAAGAAAAGCAAAACAAAAAACTTTCTACAGAACTTGAAATTCTAACATTCGAAAAGCTCAAAATAGAAAAGAATAGAGATGATTTGCTAAAAAAAGTGAAGTAGTTAGAGGATCAAATAAAGTATATTGATAAGTATGATGGACTTGGTGAAGACTTTCAAGCCATGTTGAATGAGAGAGATGAGAAAATATAAAAGTTATAGGACAAAGAGAAGATAATGCAGAAAACTGTAAACACACTTAACTTATCTAATAAAAAATAACTAAAATCCTTAGAAGATAAAATCAAAAATGAATTAAATATCAAAAGCATAATGCTAACAAAAATTGACTCTACTCATTCTTCAGGATTTCCAAATATTAATTATTTACCTCAGTTCCCAGAATCAACATGGTAGAATAAGTAAAACTATTTATTGAAATTAATTTTATGTGTTTTAAATTTTACTATTTATAATATTAGATGTGTCGATTTGCACTCATAAAATCAAGATTTAGAATATGAAAATTAGCAACTGATTGGTTTACTCAAAATATTTTAAAATGAAGTTTAAGATTCGCCAAATTTAATATTGAATTAGATTCTATTGAATTTACATGAAAAGATTAAACTAATTTTAAATCAAAAAAATGAAATCAAGCAACTAAAAATATCTAAAAGTAATAAGAACGACATAGATTAGTAATTAGATGTTATTTTGAGCAGCATGAAAAAAATGAGAGCAGAGAAATAAATATCTCTTGATTTATTAAGCTCTTCAGATATCAAAGCAAAAACTAAAATAATTGGAGCGAACGTATCACCATTTAATCCTAATTATTCTGGCAGCAAGAGGTAAGTTCTAACTCAACCTGATGAAGTCGATCTAACAAATAAAAGTAAAAATATGGTAAAAAATATGGATGTGTCATTTTTGTATTAAAATAAGAGAGCTTAATCAAGAAATGAAAGTCCTATTAATATATAAAATAATAGCTAAATAAGAGTTTAATCTAGTAACTCAAAATAGAACCAGCTAAATAATTATGCAAACAGAAATCGAATAGTTTCTATTGCCTAAAAAAGTGTTAGATAAGCTGATTCTTTAAATAAGACGTCATATTAATGAAATAATATTGTTAATACTCAAAATAGTTTTTAAATTTTACATTATTTTTATCAACATGTATATTTATTTTATTGAATTATACTGATTAGTTTCTAAATAAATTTTATTGTTAATTTTCTTTCATTTTCATTTTTTAAATAAGTTATTTCATATTTGATTTTAAATAAAATTATATACAAAGATTTTACTAAAAACAACTAAATTTTTATTATATAACTACTCAAAAAGCATTGAAAGCATTTGTATCAATTGTACTTTAAAAAAAATACAAAAAAGTGATGGACCATTTGAAATAATTCATTTGGTTGGTAATTCAAATTTAATACCTTAAAAGAGAATAAAAAAATTAAATTATTTAAAATTTGATTTTTATATCTCTGAAAATTTAATTACATCAATTTAAAAAACTTAAAGAGAATATTTAGGTATTATGATTAACTTTACAAGGTTTATTTTTAGTTTTAAAAAACCAAATTGATCAATCCGGTAAAATATCAAACTCGTCAATTCATTAAATTTTATTTTGCAAAATAAAGAAAATAACTTAATGAAAATTAAGTTTCGGGGTATTTTTTTTTCGGGAGATTAATTTTGAAAATAAATAAATAATACAAGTTAATAATAATAAAAGGTAATAATTTTACAATTTAAATTAATTAGCTTGAGTAGATGAAGAGTTATTTCAAACATTCATTTTTACATCAATAAATAAAATAAATGAATTTGTATTATTAATTTTTAAATTAAAATAGTGATGAAGGAAGTAATATTTATTTATTTATTAATATTATATAAAAAGTAAATAAGTAATTAAATAAAATTTAAAGTATATTTTATAGATAAATTAATCAATTTATCTATAAATTTGTAGGTTTTATTATTTGTTTGATTGTTTTTTGTTTTTTCTCTGCTTGTTTTTTTATTTTGGTGATAATTTAAATTTAATTGAAGAGAACTCAATAATATAAAGAGTTTTTCTAAGCTTTATTGAACAGATTATGATGATAATTTATTGTTATTTTTTTTCAGCATTTAACTTATAGATTTACTCTGTCTACAGGGCAAACTAGGCTTTTTTAAAGCCATGCATCAACACAGTTTTTGTGGAATACATGACCACACTTAGTCATTCTGCATTCATCAAGATCTTAGTATTTATTTAAACAAATGAAGCACTCATAATGAGTACCATTTAAGTTATTATTTGTTGGCAAAGTATAAAGGAAAGTTGGCATTTAACTTTGAATTTACTAATTAATTTACTCTATGTTTAATTGTATTTCACTTTAATCCAAATTCATCTACATTATAGATTAAATATCTTACGAGAAGAAACTTGGTTTGCGTCTTCTAAGGATTAATGCAAAAATATACACAAAGATAACAGAAAAAATAATCACGAAAGTCAAAGTAAATATTTCTGAAATTCCAGCCTAAGATAGATAATTAAATTTGACAACTAAATCTATAGACTTACATCCTTTATGACCAATAATAAATGGATATGAGTTTTTATTATTAGATAGAGACTTTGCTTAAAAATCTTAGTATAAAACATCTATTGTAGTGATAAATCTATTCCCTAGAGTTTTTTCTTTCTACAGGATTCTAAAAGATGTATTCATATCGAGTAGGATTAATTTATGATTAGGGGATTGATCTTATTTTTGATATTCTATTATGATGCTCACTGATAAAGGCTTCATATGAGAGGAGATACTGGATTCAATTTAATTTTAAATGTATTAATCAAACAATACGTTAATTGTCTAAAATACCCAGTCTTCATTCATTATTAATTCAATTTCATTTGTTTGAGTTTAATCAAAGATCCTTGTTTAAATATCAAATTATACTGCTTAGTCTTTTATTTGAGTCTAGCAGTAGAACTATTAGGAATACCCTTCTTAACAAAGACACTATCCATTTTATTAACAAGAACCATTTCCAAAGCAGTCAAATGGACAGACAACTTACTATAAAGAAATAACTTCTACTTAAAATTGAATTATGCTGTTAACATTATGAAAGTCTATCTTTTTGCTTAAGAAGCTTTGATATTAGATTTCATATTCTATGTTTCTTAAAACTATCTCAATAGTCCTATTTTTCAGATTTATGAATTTAAAAAAGTGCACTCCGTCAATACTTTAGAACTACTCTTATTCAAAAGAACCTACTTCTCTATAATATACCTAATAAAGATTATTTGAATCCACTTTAACTTCAACCAAAACAAATTCTAATTCATCTATCAATATTCCATTTTCTTGATTTTTTTAAATGCTGTATTTCGTGTTTTAAAAATTAAGGGGAACAATCACCTGCTAACCGAAGTGTAAATCTAATAAGGTATTATGAAGAGAAAAGATTTTAGCTACTTGGTCTCTTTTTATAGGCTAATCATGCTCTTCTTGGCAAATGATCAAGTCTAAAATACAGATAACTAGCTAAAATAAAGTAATAATTTTTGAAATATCTACTTTCATTATTTGCTGATTTTAAAAATTTTTGTGATATCACTAGCTATTATTTTTTTCTATTTCTTTAAATTGAGTTATTTAAATTTTCTTTTCAAGCTTTTAGTTATTTATGTTATTTATTTTTTAAGCCTTAATAATGTTTATTTAATATATTTTTAAATAAATTAACACATTTAAATTGAATTCTGTTTATTTGTTGAAGAATTTAACTATCACCATAGTGTAGAAACTATAAATTTGATGTTATTTTACTGTCAATACAACATTATTCTATATTAAAATAATAATATTTTTTGTTTTTAATCTTTTAATAATTTAAAACTAACTTCAATGATATTTCTTCAATTTTATAATTAAACTTATACTAAAATTTTGCATAATGCTATTAATAACCTAACAACTTTATATGTAATTTGTGTAAAATTAATTGTAAATAAATTTATTTTATTTATTTATTTTTTTGAATTCCTTAATTTTGTGATTTTATCTAAGAGTTTATATTGAAAAACAAAAAATTAGTAAAGTCTCTTAGATTTTCAAAAATTTAATCAAAAAATAAAAATAATTGATAAATTTTTATCCTCTATCTCTACAATCAAATATTTAAACTTGTATACCACATAATTTTTGTTGGTATTCAATAATAGTTTAAAAGAAATCTAGAACTTTTATTCCCTTACAATTTATAAATGTATTTATTTTTTTTTAATTTTATTTTTAAAATTTTATTTTGCTTTTAAAATTAGCATAAAAAACTCAAATAATAATTATATTTATAAATAGATTTTTAATTAAAAAAATGATAAAAGAATGCTCTTTTGTACATATTTTCTTTAATAAATTAAAAGTAAACTAAGGAATTCTTCTAAATATTAGAAATATATTTTAAAATTTAAATGCTCTTACTTAATTTATCTCTTAAAATCAAATTATTAAAATGTAAATGATTACTATTGTACTCAAAAATATTAAACAAATTTAATTATATCTTCTATGTTATAAATATTAGATAAGCGATATTAAAATTACTTTTTGCTCAATCTGATAAGCTCATTATTTTAATTAAAATAGTTTGGTATTGAAATTGTATCTGTGACGCTGCTGATATTTTTGTTACTGATATAAAAATCAAATTATTAACTTTATTTTTTATCAAAACAAATTACAATTACAAAATTAATTTCAGGTTCAAATTAATTTGAAAGGAAATACTGTCTAACTTCCTAATAGATTATATTTTTAAAAATAGATAAAGGTGTAATAAAAGCGAATAAATTTATTCAATTTTACCCAGAATTTTTACCATAAAATAAATGCATTTTTTCTAAATAATTTAGTTTATTTTTAACAAAAGATTAATAGTAATCTCTTCATTTTGAAATTTATAATTTATTTTTCTAATTATTAATTTGGTTTTAGATTGTTTTGATATTTAAGAAAATTGTAAGATAAATAATAGTGTTTAATAAAAAAGATCTTTTTTAACTAAGTCATTATGTGGTATGCAATTTAATTTTCAATAGATATGACACATTTTATTATTAATTTAAAAGAAGATGCTAATCGTAGTTGTTTTTTTTTTATAATGTTTCCACCAATAAAACTTTTTATGAAAAATCAACCACCAAGAAAACAATATAATGAAGTATTAACCAATCCATAATTATAAAATTTTTTAAATAAAGGATACTTCTTATAGAATCAATAGACTAAAAAAAATTTTGAGTAATTGTTAAAAAGCTTAAAGGAAATTTTTAATTTCCTCTATAAATAGTAGATGCACTTATAAATACCCCGAATATAAAAATTGATAAATTGGTGGTTTAGTAGGAATATTTAACTATATCCGGGGGGTGAAAATAAATTAAATTAATAAATTGAACAAGATGTGTAACATACATATTTTTTTTTTTAAAGCGAAGTTTAATTCAAGTATCTCAAATCTTAAGCATTTATATTTTAAGTGCTTACATATTCACAAATGATATTTATTACATTTTTTTTAGTTTAACTAATGTGGAAAATAAAACATTTTTATTCTAATATTTGAGAAACAAGGAATAAATATTGAAAGAACAAGTAATTTATAGAAGTAAGTTAATATTATATTATGAGAAAGTATCGATTGAGTGTATTAGCTTTTTATTATATATATTTTATTTAGTAATAATTTTTTTTTTTTAACTAAAAACTTGGTTTTCTTTAGTGGTAAGGTAAATTTCTGATTTAAAATTTGTTAATAAAGATATAAATTTAATTTAATGAAATGCGCTCATTCAATTATTTAGTTAGTTAACTTACTCTTTAGAGATAGGTTTTCCATCGAAAATACAATTTCTGTCTATTGGGCAAACTTGATTTTTAGACACCCAAGCTTGTATGCAGTTTTTATGAAATACATGACCACATTTTGTTTTGCATAGTTCGTCTGACTCTTCATAAGCGCTAAGACAGATGAAACATTCTGCATGAGTTCCGTTTTCTTAATTCTTTGACGATTATAAGTCGTAAACAAATGAAATCATTTGATTTTTCATAATACTTTATATATCTATGTTTTATTGGTGGGATCTTTTTAAATATGTCAATTCATTAATCTAGCGTATTGATAGTTACCTAATTTAGCTCTCCTGGTTATCATTCTTTTTTAGAGTGATAGCTAAAAAAATAAAGAGTAAGATACTTAATAGAGCAATTACTAATATTTGGATTGATTCGTAGAGCAGTTTAAAATCATCGTAGAGAACTTAAATTTCTATTTGAAAATTATTTAAATTTTTGTTATAAGCAAAAGTGATTAATTAACCCTATGTATCCTGGTCTACTAGAAATTTATAATAATCGAGATTTATAATTTAAAACGTTGAAACAAATCTATTTTCACCATCATCGATTTTTTCTTCTGTTTCTAAAACCTTAAAGTAATTATGATCATCTAATATCTGTATACTTGGTTGGTTATCTGTATAATTTTTAATATAGTAAAAGCTGATTAAGATTTCATTTGGGACACCATAAAATTATTATTTATACAAAACTTGATTTTTAAAATCTTCAATGTTGTTAATTTACAGCCTTGCATAGTTCATTTGAAATAAATTATTATTTTATGATTATCCCAACTTATTTTATCTGGGACTATTCTAAATTTCACTAATCTACAAATCACTGATTTCTTCAAAATCTAATTTTAAATCTTTAACTTCAATCATGCAGTAAAATATAGGAGAGAAGCCTTCATTGCACTGACACATACCATCTGCTTAGCACTCACCATTCCCGTAGCAATTATATGGACAATATTTTTGTGACTAATTTAAGTTTATTATTTTTAGAGTGTAATTCAAATGAGTAGGGAATTATTTATTATTTTGAGTTTGATTATTTTTTTACTCTTCTTTATAAGTCCCAGTTATTTCTTCTTCGTCATCATTATCGGTTTCTTGTTCTTTGATTCTTTATAAGATAATTTCTAACTTCTAGTCAGAATTCCTATTGATTTTTAAATGATTGTTATTATGCACATTCTTGAACAGTCTCAGTGATGTTTTATTTGAATAATTTGTAGTATACAAAAATGTACTGAATTCTATATCAGAATCAACTTGAAATTCTATAGCTATATTTCCAACAAAATATTAGCTCAATTGGTTTTTTGTTAATAATGTTTCATCTTGAAATGAAAAATGATTGGTTTAGTAACTTTTTAAGGCATCTAAATCTAAAGGAATAGTGTAATAATATGAATAATAATCAAGTTAAATGGTAGATTATATAACAATGTAAGGTTGATTCTCTTGTTCATCTTATTAATCCAAAGCCTAAACAGAAAGTAGACTCATATATAATAAAGATATTACAACTAAATATTTTTTAGTTAAAGGCTATTTCATCTTTTGCGCTTTACTTTTTTATTTTTGTTTTTTTTTTAGTTGATTTAATTATTATAAAAAATTAATAAGACTTCTTAGGCTTTTGTAAGTATTTACTTTATTACAGCATCTAAAATAACAAAAAATTTATTACTATTTTATTGGAAAAAAAATTCAATAATAGAATTCTGATTAAGAATTAACCTAATAGTAAAAAAAATGACACCATCTTTACCTTCTAGAAATTTTGAAAGCTTAAATAAAAGTGATGCAATAAAAAAAATGCTTTATTATTCGTAGAAATAGACTTTTGATTAAAAAACATTATGTTTTTTTTATTTTTCTTTAGAAATTAAAATCTGTAAATAGCTTTTTTTAAGTTATATCTAACAAAGAGTTATTCAGGTAAATTTTTAATCATTTTAGAAAACTCTTAATAAACAATGAAATAATAATTAAATTATTACTTAAAAATTTGATATTAATTAATAATTAAAGATTTTTCCCTTCTTTTTTAAATTTTCCTTTCATGACAAAGTCATTTATTTGTTTTTATTAAAAGCACCTCTCATTCATTTTTTTAAATTTATTTAATATAAACTTAAAACATACATATTCGTTTACTTATTCTCTCGTTGATTAATTTATCTATTATTTTATGTGATAAATTACTTTTTAGGTGATTTACTGATAAATTAAAATTTTTAAATACTTGAAAATACTTAAAATAATACACCTGAATTTATTTTATTTTGAGTAAAGGATAAATGTAATTACCTTTTTGAATATATCTCATTTATTTTTTAAAATAAATATTACTTTTTTGTCAAATCCTTTTTATTATTTGTAGAAATTTCTCGATTTTACAAAAGGATTTTAAAATTTGAATTTTATGCTGATATCTGATGAATTATATGAAATGAAAGTTATGAATTATTCTTATTAATTAGGGTAAAGTATAATTTAAAATGAATGATAGTTATTGTTTATTAAATGAATTCAGGTTATTTTTTAAAATCCAAGGTCATCATTTGTTTTATAAGCTAAATTTTAAATATCTAATTAGATATAATTAAGATCAAATCTTCTTTACAAAGTCTTTTGAATTTATTTATCTATACTTAAGAAATAGATAGATCATAACTTACAGGTGTAAATTAAATTTATAAGCAAAAATAAAAATAAATAAAAATCGTTTATCTATCTTAACAAAATCCTAATAAAAATAGCTGAAAGCAAAACAAAGTATCATTCAATTTGAGATAATTCATAACATTTAGAAAAAGTTTGCTTCAATAATTTGTTTATGTTTCTACTTTAATTGATAAACAAAATAAATTAAATTAAAGCTATAATTTCTTTTAAGTTAGCCAGTTATTCTCATTTTAAACAAAAAAATCTTATTGTTACAAGAATTATGGATAACTTAGCTTTTATTCACCTTCAATAAAAAATATCACTAATAATATATTTAAAATATTTCATTTTTTACAATTAATTTATTAGAGCTATTAAATGAATTATATTTAAGTTAAAAGAAAACCAAATCCAAAATCCAAACTTATGTTATCGTCATGAAAGATTTAATCATTTTAGCCAACTACATCTTTTATATACTGTATTTCCTCATTAATTCTCACCAACCCCCTCCTAAAATATTTTTAATTTTAAAATGCTGTTAAGGTCAAATTTTTAGCTTTACAATATAATATCAATAGACCTTAAATAATGAATATCTATATTACATTATATTTTTAATTTTAAAAAGAAAAAAAAAGCACATAAATGCCAAAATTAAAAAATATTTTATAAAATTAAGATAACTAAAGCATAATGATAATTAATTAGAAAAAAATTAAGATGAATTAATTTAAAATAAATTAGAATTTGCTAAATCTAAAAAATAAGATAAAGACAGATACAAACAAGATATAGATAGATATATTATTTATACTCAAAAGTTGTTTATTTTATATTTACAATTTATTCTTGTTTCAAAAATATACTTTTTATTTGTTTTTTTATTTTATTATTATTATTTTTAATTTACAAGACAGCTTGTCACTAAAAGTTAAAGATGATATATAATTATTTATTTATTTATTTAATTAATTAATTTATAATATTTTGATTTATTCACTCAAGTTTATTTTTAATTTTCAAAAATTGCTGTAGGTCTGTGCATATTCTTATGAGATAGAATATGAAACTATAAGGGCCACTTAGAATAAATACCATCCAAACATTCTGGTCAAGATGTTTTCTATGAAATTGTGCTTTTATGCACCTATCCATTTAATCATGTCGTATTTTAAATTAAAGTTAACAAAATAGGAAATAATAGTAGCCACGAGAAAGAATATCCATGTAAAGAAGGGCCTATCCCAAGTGACTCCTCTAAATATATTAGTTGCTTAGAATTCACAGTTATTGACTACGATATAAGACTTGACATATCCTGGAACAATTGTATTTGTATAAAACCACCAATAATACATGCCTATCCATACGATGCTTTCCATGTAAAATCCTTCTCTACCCTTTTTATAATCTGGATACTCACTCATAGAAGCCTTATATTTTAGGTTTGGAGGAAACATTTTGTAGATGAGTCTTCTTAAATTAATGTATACAAAGCTGCTGGACTCTAATATACGCTTCAAAAAGAATAAAGTTCCTAGATACCAAAATTCGAAGTTGCTAGTTGAGGTGCTTGTCATGATACCTACTCTCATGCCTAAAATAAGCATATACATTTGGTACTAAAAGAAAGTAGCTAGTTTAGCTTTATCTAAAATCATATTGCTAAATATTTCAAATACCCATTCTAGCAAGGGATAGAGAAGCAGAAATGTACTTCTGCCATTTGAAAAGGAAAGTCTATCTATCAAACTTTTATAAATTGCAGGCAGAGCATAATATATGAAAACAATTATAGCAACTAAATTTAAATCATATAAATAGAGCCCTCTTCCTTTTGTTCTAATCTTAGTAAATTACTTAAATTTTATGACATGAATTGTCATGATATAGCCTAAAACGAATATCATTAAATAAAACTGCCAATCTTGATTTAATCCAATTCCAACTACCATGATAAAGTCAACACCTATACTTACAAAAAACATCATAAAGCTTTCCATCAGTGGGAATCTTTCTTAGCCTATTTCTATCATAAGAATATTTTTACAGCAAATGACTCCAAGTTTCCAAGCAATCATTTATCTATTTATTTTCATAAAATTCTACTAAATTTTTAATACATTTTAATTTAAGAATTTTACCTGAAAAAAGTCCATAATTAAATTGAAAAATTTTTGCATTGACAAACTGATGACGATTAAAAGCAGTAGTCATTGATTGAGTATTGAACACCCCATAGGAAAACATGGAGCAAAAATACTATGATTATTGGAATGATAAATTCAAAAAGGAAAAATTTGTAAAATGGTCTTTTGTAATCAGGAATGCATACGGATCTATAACTTTTTGCTAGTTTGTCATAAAAAAAGCTTGTATTTTACTTCCTTTAGGCTCTTCTCAGAAATTCTATTTCAAGAGGAGTTAGCTTTTACTGTAAAAGAAGATTGAAATTTTGCTATTATAAATCTAAATTTTAATGAAAATTAGGATCATCAACATTAATGATTTTTCCAATCTGGTCTCCGAGCACATTCTTGCTAGGCTCGTATGCTAGATACGCTTATGTTGTGTTATTAATTTAGTTTTTATTATCAGCAACATAAGCATACATTCCGCTATAGTTATTGACCCTTTAGTTTATATTATAGTTTAATCTCTATTATTAATTTGGAGCTCCTTCAACCTGAGTAGTTTCTCTAAAATTATATGTGGTGCTATTTCTGTCTTTGATTCCTTCCTCATTCAAATATATTTAATTGTTATTAAGTACTACGTTATTATCCTATATTTTATATATATTATTTTAATTCATTTCTAGTTATTACTGTAAATTTATATTTGGTAAATTATTAGATGCATTTAAGTCTATTTTATTTAAGACTTCAGGCTATTCTATTCTTTGCTTTGGAGGAGTAATTAAAGGTATATCCGCTTAGGTTTGATTTGCTATATTGTACTAAGTATTATTTACATTTGTCATGTCTCTAATAGGTGAATTATCATTATAATTATCCATAATAGTATTGTTCATTTAAGTTCTATCCAATTATATCTGATTTAGTTTTTATTATTATTATAATAACTACGACTATTGTTATTACTAAATCTGTTTTTGGTATAACTAACTATTTTGTTAATTCTATTGCTACACTTACTAATATTCTGTTTTAGGGAACTACGAAATACTCCTCTAACTAACACTCTATGTGCCTAAAGGATTTCCATAATTGATTTCCTAAACTCCTCCATATTAATTATTATTTTATTTTTAATAGGGCTATTATTAAAAATTAAGATTTCCATCATTCGTTTAAATAGCTAAACTATTTTTTTTTTATGACTGCATTTTCTAAGGAGATTCTCCATTCTCAAAATTGTTGTTAAGCTTCGTTCCATTACCATAAGTTGATTAGATCTAGTTCATGTATTAATTTTAGCCAGATCCTTATAATTGCTATGGCTAATGATAATATCCTTCTCCCTAATTTTTGATATTACCAGTTCCTTTATATTGAGAGTGGAATTGATCGTATTCTGAAGAAGGTTCATTAACTACATTCTAATTCATTGGTTAAGCCATTTAAAAATTTCTTTACTGCTAGATTGAAGATGCGTATTATGGTGTATGAGCTCCTCCACCACCTAATTAATTTAAATACTAACCTATTGTTTATTAATTCTGTTATTCATAATTTTTATTAGGACTTCTCATAGTATCCCACTCCTCATTTGATGGTAAAGCCTATGAATCATAATCATTCTTTATAGGCTATTCCTAAGTAATCTAATTCTAATATAAGTTATGGGCATACATCTTATCTAATTTGTATATTTATGTTTTATTTACTTTTTGTTTTCTTTATCCTTCAAAAGTAATTTAAACTATTTCTATTTTTTGAATTATTTAATAAAAATGAATTAACTTCCTTCAGTTGATCTTTAACGATATTAATTAAATTAGATGAATTCCTTTTTGATTAATTAACTATCTTCTTTAATATCCTCAGATTCAAATACTAAAACTTCTATTTATTTTTGAGATGAAATAGCTAATAAATAAATAAATTTATCAATTAGCTAATCTTCAACCAACTTTCTAATCATAAATTAATAATATTTATTTATTTATATTTTGATATTCTAAAGTGAAAATCAATAAAAGTAGCTTTTACTTACTAAATAGCCAATAATCTTTGAACATATTCAATTTTTATTTTTTCATAATTCGAACACTAGAATTCCAAATCAATAAATTATCTATAACAACTTTTTAAATTTCAAAATACTTTATTAAAACATACTTTCTTATTACATACATACAATAAAATTTAAAATAAATAAATTAGCACATAGCATTTTTTGCATTTTTAATTAATATTTTATGAATTTATCATTCTTAAATCATTGAAAGCAGCTATTCGTATGTAGGTCTTTCATCTTCTTCCCATTTAAGCATTGATTCTATTAAGTCTTTTGTTTTATCAGAAAAATTTGTATTCGATTTTAATTTAAGAATTCTTTCACTCAGTAGTTCTTTGTTTATATTTAAACCATCAATACCCATTTTGGTTGTTGCTAAAAGAAGAGTTAATCCTAAACTAAAAATATCTGCTTTGTATTAATCATACAAGTGAATTTCTTCTTCGTTTTTAATGTAGTCTAAAACGTTTATATTTTAATCAAGAGACTTTTTATAAATTTCGTAGCTCTATCCAACCTCTTCTTCTTCAGGATCATAGTTAACGTTGCTCATTTACACTTCAATCTAAAAACGGACTTCAGGTGACATAAATGCAATTGAGCCTTAAGACAAAATGAGCATATAATTTGAAGCTAAATTGAATTGACTAGGTCTAAAATTTGTAAGCTTGTATTAACCATCTGAAGCTAAAACTATTGAAGAAGGCTTAATATCTCTATGTGGTAAATCTAATTCCTTTTAAATTAGCAAAAGGCAATTTATTACCTCTTATGCTATTTTTAAAATTATTTTGTCATCAAACTATTCTAAAATGGCAATCTATTATTCAATCTAGCTTTGCAAAGTTTTGTTAGGGACATCTGTAATAATATAAGCCATTTGCTCTGGAATGATGCAATAATGTAATAATTTCACAACTCCTAAAATAATTTTAGTTTTTTATTATAAAATTTGAAATAATAAATAAAATAAATAAACAAATAAACAATTAAGTAAATAAATAAATTACCTTCATATTTAGAAAGCTAAAGATGAGTGTTGATGTATTCCTAGACATAGTCTTGGTTCTAAAATGATTGAATTTTAATTACCTTAACTAAATAAGCTTTGTTATGATTGAATTGATCTACATATATTTCATATCCATTATTTTGATGTTCTCGAGCCACTTAATTAAAGTAAAAGCTGTATCTAGATCTCATAAAATCTTCTCGTTTCATATATCTCAATTTAAACTGGTAGTAAGTGATGAAGGTACTTTTGAATGTAGATATTTATGCACTTAGCTTTCTCTATACTTTTCTGTAGTTGTTCAATCTCAGAATAATAAATAAAAAAAGTCCAATAGTTACAAATAATGGAATCATATTTAGTATTTTAAGTCCATAATGATTAATATCTGCCATTTTTCTTTATTTACCTTCAGCTAATATAAATCTTTTAGACTATTGATTTGTGAATATAATCAAAGTAGAATTACTATTTTTCCTTTAGAAAACTTTGTAATCATTGCTTAATAACAATTATTTCCAATTATCTGGTGTTTTATTTCTTGTTGCAAGTCCGGATTTTGTGTTGCATTGGTAGTAGTTATTAAGTGACTCTTACATTAGCAATATATTTTCATTTAAATTTAAAATTTTTGGTTTTTCTTGCTAAAAATTATAGAAAACTATGCAATCTACTTATGATTGGATATCTTACATGCTTATAATTTTATCCTATTCTTCTAATTTCTAAAGGTCATAAAGAGTAATCTTTGTTTTTCCACTCTAATAAGGTTGAATTGATATGATTCTACTATTTTGTGGATCTGAAATAAGCTATTAAAATAAATCTAACTACATAGAAATTTGTAGAGACTCTAATTTTGATTAACATTTAAGCAATTTTCTAAATTATTGATCTTTATTAATATCTTCTTAGATTATCAAACAAATTATTCTATCATACTCATTGATATTTTTATCATTAAAAAGTTCTTTTTCTGCTTCGTAGTAATTATTATTTTATCCAAAAACCTTTATTTCGCTCTTAATTAGAGTAAAGTTTTATGGAGCAAGTTAGTTGGCATAACTAAGATTACTTTGAAGTTGTTATTAATCTAATTTTATTTTTTTAGAACTTTTAGTCAATCCTTTTTTGAGCTTGGTCGAATTCAAGGTCATTAAATCTCCAAATATATCTATTTTGAACAATAAATATGAGAATATTTTTATAAATTGAAAGATTCAAATTAAAATTTAATTTAAAGAGAAAAATAAAAAATAATAATTTTATATAAGCAAATTGAAATATTTTGCTGTTTTTTATTTAAAAATTGAAATATTTTGTTATATTTTGAGAATACTCTAAAAAATTTACTAGACTTATTAATTAGGTGATTAGCTGTAACATTGTTTTAATCATTATTTTTCCTAAGATAGAAAATCTCTGCATCTAAAATGCTTAGAGTTTAATTCTTAAATAAATTTAAATACTATTGCTTGCTAAACTGAGATAATAGACTGCTTTCTAACAAGTAAGAAAGATAGATTATGCTATATCTTTTCTAAGAGAATTATTAGTCAATATTATTTTTTTTATAAATATTTGAAAACGTTTTCAAAATATTTTTTTCTACTTTGATCAAGCTTTCAAAATGTTTAATTTCTCCTAGCTAATTTATTTGCCAAACTTCTATTTAGTAATTACTTTTATTATCTAGACCACAGATGAATATATTTACTATGATATTTGTAATTGGTTGATACTCAATTGAGAGTACTGACTTGATTCTTGTTTATGATTCACTTATTATTAATTGGTTATCTCTATATGAAATAGATGAAATTTATTAAATATTTGAAGTTTAATTTGATGATGCATACAAAATCTATTGTATTTCAGGAATAAAAACAAACTTATCATATTTTTAAGGTAAATTCTTTACTGTCAGCTGCTTTGGATGCTCATATTTATTTGTTGTGAAATTCCTATATAATTTTATTTAATCTTATTCCTTATCTGGTTAAATAATGATAGCGAGATCTAAATTATTATCATAAAAGAACTACCCTTAGTTAGCAAATTCAATATTATTTAAAAAATATTCTAACTAAGGACTTTCTAAATACTGAGCTTGACATGAGGATAATATGATAAAGATGATTAAAAGTAAATCTTTCATTAACAAATAAGATGAAAAATCTATAAATTTATTAATTTTTTACTGATATTTAAATAACAATTTTGTTTTAATATAAAAGTTAAATTTTGCTTTGATAAATTTAATAAGTTTTATACAATTTTAATATCCTAACAAAATAAAGTATTATTTCATTCTTTTTTACTATACAAAATAATTTTGATGTTAATTAATATTAGAAATAAATATATTTATTTACCTTACATTGAATTAAGCAGCAACAAAATTTATAAATTCTTGATAAATTTCTGGAAAAATAAATTAAAGAAGTAACCTGAAAAGATTTGAAGGTAGGTAATAAGTATTTCTTTTTTGCTAATGAAGGAAGTATTAATTATAAATTATTTTTATTTTTACAAGCAAATATTACTAAAACATAAAAAATACTAAAAATAAGATTACAGATATATAAAAATACTAAAAATGAGATTAAAAAAATGCTAAAAATAAGATTACAAAAACAAAAAAATACTAAATAACTATTTTATATTAAATAAGAGCTTTAAAGTTAGTCAAATTGAAATAAAATACACTGAAACTTAAATTTTATTCAAAAAAAATTAAATATTACCTAGAAATAATAAGTAAGCAGTTTAAATAATATTATAAATCAAATGAAGGGGTTTATAAGTAAATAATGTTAATTTATTTAAGAAACAAATTGAAATTAAAGACACAAGAGCTAAAAGGAAATTAAAAAATATTTCTTTTAAACTACTAATAATTATCTATTTGAAGATTAAAAGTTTTTAAGTATTATAAATATAAAAAGAAACTTTCAATTGGTATTTTATTAATTAGATTTAGCTGAAATTTTAGGTATCAGTGTCTTAATGTCTTATATGAGGTTATTTAAATCTATGAATTCAATAGCCTCTAATTCTTTTTTATTTAATTAATATTTTTGCTATGAAAGTATCAATTACAAACTTTTGCAACCTTCTTTAAGATAGAAAAACCTGGACTTTCTTATCTTTTGTAGTAATTTGTTTAGATATCCCTTAAATTGCTTTTTCTTTTTCAAATAGCTAACAATGATATCCCACATAATCCTAATTAGTGTTATGCAAGCAATTAATGATGAAATAAAAATAAATAAAATAAGTGTATTTAAATTATTACCATGAGTATAAATTTTTGAAGATTTCTTTTATATTTGAATTAATTTCGTCTTCAAATTATAGATAGCATAATATTTTGCAAACATCTTCAACTGTGTAATATAGTATATCTAGCAGATAAAAAAATTAAAAATAATCTTTTTTTTCAAAAATTTAAATTACCTTTAAGAAAATTTTCATTTGTATTTTCTTTTCCATACTAAACTGAATATTGTTTTGACTTTTTAAGATCAATTTAAAATAATTTAGTCATGAAAGGATAGAATTTCATAACTGTAGCCTGTTGATTTTTATAATATATATTAAATGTCTTAAAATTTTTATTCCTTAAGAAATTACTTTGCTGTGGTGATATAGCTATCTGCAAAGACCCTCAAAAGAATTAATATTTGGGTTGAAGTAATCGATTAGTTAATTTAAAAATAAACTTTTTATAAAAATAAATCTATTTTAACAAATTTAACATTCAAATTTCATTTTTACCTTCTAAGTTTGTTTTTAAGTTATGATTTTAAATTCTTTATAGAAATAGCTACGTTGATTGTTTGGTTTATTTCTAATTTAGTGATTTTATAAAAATGATTATAATTAAGTATATTTTAAAAAGTAATTCTTTCATAGATTAAGTTAATTTACCTTATTGTGTTTATTTTTATATAGATTTGATTTCTAATGTGTTCATGTCTATGCTTTTCCCTATCCATTAGCACTCATCTTTTTAAATATTTCATTTTCATTTTTAATTTATTATTTTTAATAAAAAAAATACTCTAAACACTTATTTTAAAATGCTCTAAATTGTAGTCTTCCTAAGGAAACTAAAAATTTGTGGTAATTTTTTAATCATTAAACATAAATCCATTATTATTTGCACAGTTTTAGAGTTGTACAATCAAATTTAATGCATTTTATTGAGAGTCTGATATAAACAAATAGTCGTCAGTTAATCTCATAAGTAAATTGATGCTGCCATTAACCTACTCAGCATTTTTTAGGAATTAAGTGTATTCTTCCTCTAACTTACCAAAGTAAAATGAGCAAAGGACTCCTGATATATTTAAACCTTATGGAATACCTCTTTTCTATCTAAATTTAACTTTATTAAACTAATAAAAAAATTAAAAATATGGAAAATAAGCTCACAAATGAAATGCAAATCTCCAAAATTATCAATCAATCAATAAGAATTTTAATCAATTAATAATTTTGAAGGATTTAAAATCAAATTTTTTCAAAAATATAATAATTTTTTTACACTGATAACATTATACTAGCTGATATGTTTCAAGTGATTATGTATAATATCTTTTGTTATGCATCTTGGTTTATCTTAATTGATTACAATAAATGGTCTATCATCAGATTAAATTTCTTTAAACCCCTTTTATAAAATTTAATCATCGTCATCATACAAACTGTAGGCAATCTGTCTCTCTTTCAAATTAAAGTAATATGGAAAATTAATATTATCCATTTTAAAAGGTTTTTTGTTTATTTTTTCCTCTTCAATTTCCATAGCACTGTCTAATAAATATTAATTTCGTGAAAATTTTTTAATTTCAGTTTTTAAAATTAATTTGAAATAATTTTACTTAAATTATTTGTTTGCTAAATTTGTAAGAGTGGGCGCTTATTTCTCTAAAACAGTAAATATTTATTTATAAAATAAGTATCTTGCTATTTATTATAACAAACTATAAAAATTAATTAATTTTTTTAAAATAAATTACAATTAGGTCACTTTGATTAAAGAAGTTTAAAAGTTTCATTTAGTCGATAGAGTCATAACACTTTTTAATATCTAGAGTGACATAATATAGCTGAGGTCTTCCTTTATTTTTCCATTTCTCTATGAATTAGGCAAATTTTTCTGAAATTTGTTTATTATCAAAGACTGAATATCCTATCTTTTATCCCAGCATGTCTTTTAAATTCCTAAACACAAGTTGGCTATCCATTAGAATTTAATTTAGATTTAACTTAATATTTTTTTGCTTGTCCTTTCTTAAGAAAGTCATGATTGGACGGAAAGATCCTTTTTTAGGTATAATCCTTAGCTTTCCTTGAGGGTATTTCTAAAATGAATCTTCTGGTATCAATTTTTCTTCAACTTTTTCCAAATTCTCCTCTTCAAGCTAAATTTTTTGATAAAAATTATTTTTCATTTATTTATTCTTTTCAGAAAACTAAATTCTTACTTTGACAATAGTTAATTTACTCACTAATTTCCATATTGGTTTACGGTAATAGAATATTTGACTTCCTTCCTTGTGTTTCTCAGTTATGTAAAAATTATACCTGAGAACAGGAATAACGATTTTGTTGATTATAAAAACTATCAAGTCTCCTAGAATCTTTCTTTTATCAGAAATATACTTTCTTTTTTAAGTAAACTTTTGGTTCTTTAAATCTACAAACCACTCAACATCAAACACATCCATAAAGCAAATGTAATCAAGTACCTTTTGATTTTCAAATCTCTTCATCTGGACAAACTCATATAACTCTAATTAACATACAAAAAATTAAAAACCAAATAATTACTTTGTAGATAAATTATAAAATATTTACTCTCTAAGAACACTTTGAAGTTTTTTTTACCAAGTAATTAATTTGGTACACAATTTTGGATTATTTATCTCAAAAAATTAGTTATTTGCTTGTAGCTTATTTCTGTGTCATATAAGGAGTTAAATAGATTTTCACAACTTTATTCTTTTTAATACATCTAAATTAAAACAGATTAAAAAAATGAATAAATTTTACAATTAGCTTTATTCTCGCTTTAGACTATTTGTTTAACTTGACTTTTTAAGCTTTAATAATTTTCTGGAAGTTTACAAAATTTTTTGAGTAAGTAATTGAAGTTGATATTATGAAAGTTCTGCACAATTTTTTCTGTAAATTCTAAAAATAAATCTCTTTCTCTATAATTTATAACAATATTAAAATAAATAGCTATTTTTAAAATATTTAATTTACTCTTAGCACGAAAAATTTTTGCTTTGATATTCCTTCAACAAAGTTTTTTTAATAATAGTTTGAGGGTGGTCAGGTTTTATTTTATCTGAATTAATAAATTATCTTCCTTGCAGTTTTTCTTAAATTACTTTGAATTAAAAACCCTTTTTTATCTCTGAGTAGTTGAAAAAACCTACGTAAAATTAATTTTTTATTTATATTTTTATGTATTTCAAATAAATAATACTTGATTTAAAAACTCCTGGTTCTCTTCCCATATGATTGCAATAGAATATTTATGATCTCTAAATTTCAGGATAAATGTACTGATTTTCTTACTTTTTCTCATTGCTAAGATTAGCATTATTTTGATTATTATTACTTGTAGCTTTACCATTCATATTAAAGTTATTTTTATACCATTTTTCTAAATTATTTAATAAATATTTTTGCTTAGTCGTTAAATTAAATAATTTTCAATTTACTTTATTTAACTTAAACAGAAAAATATTAATTCAAACAGACTCCTGCTACCTGTAAATAGCCATTTTATTCTACTTTAGTGAATACCTTTAATAAAATAAATATATCAATCAATATTTACAAAAATTTAATATTTAAATTAAACATAAAAGGTTTCAATTTAATATTAACAATAAAAAATATGATTTTAATAAATATAAATAATGATTGTACTCAGTTATTTGCTAATGATGCAAATTATTTCCTTTAAAATATCCATTTTTTAGATTAATAGATTCATTATTTATTACTTTTCAATTTGAAATAAAATTTTACTACAAAATTTAGTAAGATATTTTTTAATTTAATAAGTAGAATTATCAAAAAATTATTGATTGATTACCAAAAAATCTATTAAAAAATATTTAAAATCTTCTTCTCCGAAGATATTTAAAAGATTTCTAAAATTTGAAGAATAGAGAGTTTGTCTTGAAAGATTAATATTTTCATATTCAACATAAAAGCCAATAGTTGTTGTCCCTATTTACTGTACATAATTTTATTTGTTTCCTAGCAAAATAATGCTATCATCGATAACCTAATTGAAAAAGGTTTAATTATAGCTGTATTTAGTTAACATATTACTTATTTAATGGTCAGTTAACTGAAGTTAGGTTGGTTGTATTTTTGCTTGTAGTTTTCAACTAAATTTTACTCGCTCGCAATTATAGTTGTTGTTAAAAACTCTCTATAATTAATTGAATGTGTCCTTTAATATTTGTTATTTATGATTAATAATCTTACTAAAACTATGTATCAAGCTCACTTGTTTGTACTATTTTTTCTGTTGCTAACAAAAATTCATACAAATTTGAAACATACTTTAGAGCAGAGATTTATTTTAAAACAGTTAGCAAATCTTCTTTTCTGGTTAACATTTATTTATTATTATTAATATTGTTAATTTTCTACATTATGTCTAATCAATTTACAATTTCTTGATTAAATTTGATAAATTAAAGTATTTGATTTGCTACAAAACTAATCGAATCTTTGATTAATAAAATTACACTTTTATTATGATATAAAATGTAGTAACTAGTTAGCTAGTTAATAGACTAAAACCTATATATATTTTTTTAATTTTTTAGGAAATTTTCAAGTTATAAAGTATTTTATATTTTTCTCTTTAAATAATTTTAATTTTAATTTTGGTAAGAATCGTAAACAAAAGAATTTCAAATGCAAATACATAATTAAATAAAAAAACAAAGAATTCCTGCTTAAATTTTTAACATCAGCAAGAATATCAGAAAACAAATTATTCAGATAAGATGAAAAATGATTATAATTATTAAAAAATTAAATAAAAAAAAATAAATGAAAGGTTATTGGAAAGAATTATAAAGTTTTGTTTTTATTACCAAGATTAATAAATTTTATATTTATTATCTAAGCGCGAAAACACAAAAATTTGCAAAATTTAATAAAATTTATTTAAAATTGAAATTAGAATCGGAATAAAAATTAATAGCTAGAGCACTTAGAGTTTGGTAAGATATCAAAACATTTTAAATTTGCTATTCATACTCTGATCATTTAAATCTAACATAAGAAAAATATTGGGGGTTATTTATTTGCACCAACTCATTAATTTCAATGCTAAAAAATATAAATTCATATTTGCCTTTGAATATTTTATTTAGTTTGATTGATAGATTGATAGGTTCATTCAGAATAAATTAATAATTAAATGAATGAAAAACTAATTAATTTATTAAAGATAATGAGAAAAATAAAGATTAATTTGCTTTATTTTTTTACTTGTTTTTAATATAGATAAATGATTAATGTCTTTTATATTAACAATCGATCTTTCTTATTCTTCATTCTTTTTTTTACTAAAAGTTCCATATATTTTTAAATAGAAATATATACAAAAGAATTTTTTAATAAAAAGACTTACTTATGTATTTAGTTATTAATTTATTTATTTATTTATGAATTCATATCTTGTCAATATTTAACCAATATTCATTATAATAATATTTATTAACAAATAAAAACAAAAATTAATACAAAAAATAATAATCAATTAGAAATGAATACAAGAAGCGGCAAAAAATCTAGTGCCTCCAACTCCAAGCCCGAAACCACCACTTCTACCACTAAGAATTCTACCAATAAGAAGGTTAAGGCCAACGAAGAACATGACATCGAAGCTCTTCAAGACGTTGCTAACAGATTGAGAATTCTTTCCATGAAGATGACCAACGCCTCTAATAGTGGTCACCCTACCAGTTGTGCATCTATGGCTGAATTCCTTTCAGTTATGTTCTTCGACAAGTCTGGTAAGCTTAAAACCCAAAGCATTAACTTTACGGCTATATCTTCTTACAGTTTATTAAAGAAAAATGTTATTAATTGACATTCAGAAACTCTTTTTAACCTAAATTTAAACTTAATAGCCATCTGATTTTTATTTTAAATTTTTTATATGAATTTATAAAAATGAAGATAAATGATGTATTTATACTTCGTAACTTCATTTAATAAATCATTTCTAAATGGAGAAATGTGTTTAATCAATTTTTTGTTCATAATTTAGGTATGAGAATCAAGAGTGATAACCCCAAGTCATTTGTTGCTGACAGATTAGTTTTATCTAAGGGCCACACTGCCCCTATTTTGTATGCTGCATGGGGAATTGCAGGCTTATACACTGAAGAATAATTAATGACCCTCCGTAAATTCGACTCTGATTTAGAAGGTCACCCTACTCCTAGACTTCCCTTCGTCGATGTTGCTACTGGTTCTTTGGGTCAAGGTTTAGGTGTTGCTTGCGGTATGGCTTATACTTCTAAATACCACGACAGCCTTAACAACCGTTTCTGGTGTATCCTCGGTGATGGTGAATGCGCTGAAGGTAATTTTATACTTTTAATTCAGATTTTTAGAGGTTAAAAATAATATTTATGAAATCCATTTCATATCATATTCCATTGAATAAAATCTACTTATTATTTGCAGAGATAACTTGTTTTAATTTCAAGTGTCTAGACTTTGTTTCTACTGCATAGGAAGATATCTTCTTTAAAAGCATTTTCAAAGAGAAAAATCTATAATAAATTTATTATCTTTGTGTATAGACTGCGATTTGGTATGACAGATAACAAAAAATTTGAAATAGAGTGTAAAAAAGCACAAAAATACAAAAAAATGAAAAAATATCTTTCGCATTTTACTAACTCTACTTTGTAAATTTATTAATAGAACAAATTAAGGATTTTTTATTATTTTTAGATTTTATTTGAAAAAAATTGATAGTTATTTTGAGAGATATCTATTTATCTATCAATCTATCTATTTAGCTAATAAGCTAATATCTATTTGCTTGCTTTAAAATGATCAATTCAAGCTTTTATACACTTGATAGAACTTTTGTCTATTTAATATATCAAAATTAATGATTTTCATTCAAAGATATATTTGTTTAGTTTTAAAAAGAGCATAAAATTATGGAATCGAAGCAAACAAATAAATGTTAATTACGATTTACTCATTTTTTCTTAATTGGAATACTTTAAAAGAAATCAAAAGAAGCACACACACAATCAGAAAATAAAAGTCTATTTTTTAATTTGCTTTAATAAGAAATGTAAATAATACAAGCTTTACATAGAATTGAATGATAATTAGTTCAAGTTAAGCTTTTCTAGAAATTTTAATCAGTAAACACCGCAAATCAAAAACTTTTTTCAATTTTATTAAAATAACCTCAAATTAAATCTTAAAAATTGCATTAATTTAACTAACATCTTTTAATTACTAATATAGGTTCTGTTTGGGAAGCTGCTCACTTTGCTGGTATTTACAAGTTAGATAACTTGATTGCTGTCGTTGATGTCAACAGATTAGGTTAATCTGAAGCTACCTCTTTGGGTCATAATACTAACGTTTATAAGAAGAGATTCGAAGCCTTTGGCTGGAATGCTTTGGTTGTTGATGGACACGATATTGAAGCCCTCATTAAGGCTTTCAATGAATGCAAGCACAAGGCTAACTAACCCAGTATCATTATTGCTAAGACCTTAAAAGGAAAGGGTCTTCCTAATATTGAAGACTAAGAAAACTGGCACGGTAAGCCCGTCGGCAACAAGATTGACGATTTGATCAAGCACCTTGAAGAATAGCTTGTCGATAAGAACAGAAAGCTTACTACCATCCCCCCTGAGAATGCTGAAGAAATTACTCTTCATTCAGATGCAATTAAATTACCCGAACTTAGCTACAAGAAAGGACAACAAGTACAAAAATAATTTTAATTACAATATTTTCAATAAAATTTATTTTTCTTGGCTAACATCTTATTTAATTTTAATAAAAGGTTGCTACCAGATTCGCTTATGGTGATGCCTTGAAGAGACTCGGTGGTGTTGACACTTACAGAAGAATTTGCTCTTTGGATGGTGATACCAAGAACTCTACTTATGCCCTTACTTTCAAGAACGCATTCCCTGACAGATTTGTTGAATGCTACATTGCTGAATAAAACTTAGTCTCTGTTTCTATTGGTTTATCTGCCAGAAACAAGGTAAAAAATATAATACAAATAAAATTAGCAAAATAAAAAAGATTATTCCTACCTAGATTTTTAATAGCTTAATATAATCAGTTTTTAATAGAGCATAAATAAAATAAAATAATATAATATAAAGAATAGATTTTATTATAAAAATATATATTTAGTTGATTAGAGCAATTATTAATAAGTTAAAGAAAGCCCATATTTATTTATTAGTTAAAGAAAATAAGCAAGCAAAAGCAAATTTATAAAGGAATTTAAAAACCAAATTGCATTAATTAGCTTCTAAAATTATTTTTTTAAATTTAATGAATTTATTTATTTATTTGTATGATAGATTCCTTTTGCCTCCACTTTTGGTGCTTTCTTCTCTAGAGCTTACGATCACATTAGAATGGCTGGTGTTTCTAAGGTTAACATTAAATTAGTAGGTTCTCACTCTGGTGTTTCTATTGGTGAAGATGGTCCTTCATAAATGGCTTTGGAAGACTTTGCCATGTTCAGAGCTATTCCTGATGCTGTCGTCCTCTATCCTTCTGATGCTGTTTCTTGTGAAAGAGCTGTTGAATTAGCTACTAATCATCACGGTATCGTATACATCCGTACTTCAAGACCTGCTACTGAAGTAGTTTATGATAACCATGAAGAATTCCATCTCGGTTAGTCTAAGGTACATGGTAAGACTGATTCTGATAAGATTCTTATTATTGGTGGTGGTATTACATTCGAATCTGCCATGAAGGCTCAAAAAACTTTGGCTGCTGAAGGAATCCACGCTAGAGTTATGGATATCTTTTCTATTAAACCTATTGATAGAGATGGTATCATCAACAATGCTAAAGAATGCAATAATACTATCCTCACTGTTGAAGATCACTACATCGAAGGTGGTATCCATGGTAATAATATATTTTTTTTTAGAAATTAATTTTTATTTAATTGAATTTCTTTAATTAATAACAGAGGCTGTTTGCAATGCTGTTGCTTCTCTCGGTAGCATCAAGGTTCACGCTATTGCCGTCGATAGCGTTCCTAGAAGTGGTACTCCTGAAGATCTCTTAAATCATTATAAACTTACTGCTCCTCACGTAGTTGAAAAGGTTAAGAGCATCCTTCAATGAATAAAAAATATTTGATTCAGAACAAGAAATTGAAATTTTATGATTTTTTAAGGGTTTATATTACAAATAAATTATATAGAGTCAAATTAAATTTAAAATATAAATATGTCCATTCAGTAATTATATGTCAACAAGCTTTTGGGTCGAGTCACCCATCATCAATATGCTCAGTATTTTTTAATGAATGTTTAATGATAGTTTTTAAAGTATCATCTTTATATATGTACGTTTCACAAAATCATTTTATTAAGTATTTGAAAGAGTCAATTAAAATGAGGCTTTTTAAATTAAATATCAAAATTAATAATATTTAAAAGAGTTAAATAAATATTAAAATTCACTAAAAAAAAAATAAGTTAAAATTTCGTAATATTTATAAATACAAAATAACAAATGAATAAGGTTTGTTGGTAAACAAAAAAAAAATGATTATATTTAATATTTTAAATGAAATTTAAAAATAATAAATAAAAAATAAAGAAATAAATTTTTTATATAATGTGGCATATAAGTTAGAAATGTTGTTTATAGTTAATTTATCTTAACAATTTGAAAAAAATCAAATTAAAAGATGAACTATGGAACAAATATAAAATTTTACTATTTAATTTTTATATTTGATAATAGCAAATTGATAATAAAATGGTATAGAAAAGAAGATAAAAAGTATTTTTAATGAAATCAATGAAAATGATTGAAAATAAATATCAAATGAACATATTTTATTAACTTATAAATATAAAATATTAATATTGAATTTAAAATAAAATATAAAATTAATAAGATAAATGTACTCGCTATCTTTTAAGTTAATAAGGTTTATTTTTAATTTATTGCTCTTGATTATATTTAAATAGATTAAATTAAAAATATGCATCAATAAATAAGCAAATATGATATGTTTATCTTTAATTAATCATTAGATTGAAAAGAGAAAATTGTAACTAAAATTCATTTAAATGAATATTGAAATTTAATCTATTTTTCTTTATCACCACTAATTTTTTCAGTTCATTTATATCTACAATAAATGTGAAGAGTTAGTTATCAAATAACTTAGAATGTATAAATTTATTTAAGAAAAAATAATTTAATTAAACTTTTTTATAATGATCAATAGAAGTTAAATAAAGTACTTTTTAAATATTATTATGAATTTAATATAAAAATTTTAAAGAATTGATGAATAAACAAAATTCAATTAACTTGTTACCTAAATATAGAAAATAAAAATTGTTCTACATAAAAATAGATATTTATATATATTTATTTATTTATTTATTTTTGATTAGTAATACTCAGTAAGTTCTATGAATTAGCAATTTTATTTGAATAAATATTTAGTGTGCATTTAATTGATTTTAAACTAGTAAAACAAAACATAACATCTTCATTTGAAGTTAAATCAAAGATTTCTATAAATTATATCAGAGTGATTTCGTTTTTTTAATTAATTTAGAGGTATAATTTTGCTTAAGAGCAATTAAGGTAGGATGATTGGGATATTTAATAATCAATCAATCTCTTGGTAAAATTCTAGAGAGAACTTCTAAAGTTCTTAAGAAGAGCATAATGATATCGACATAGATGAGCATTGAGGCTATAATGTAATCATCTAAACTTATGTCTTCGTATTTTCCATCCATTATAGCATGTAAATCAAATACGAGGTAGAAACCAAATGTAATACCTGACAATAAACTGTATGTGATATAGATAAAAGGAAATCCAATACATATTAGAACAGAAATAATAGCAAGTGCTGCGCCTAAGACACTGCAAACAGTGCCTTTAAACTAGAAATCAATAGATGTGGCATGAGCTAAAAATGTAAGGCTAAGAACAATACTAAATGTCACTATCACTGATAGGAAAATAATTGTTTGATTCCTTTCATTATAAGTTCCATCTTAGTTAATACTAAACCCACCACATAAAAAGGAAACTAAGTATGCCCAAGAAATAGTAAATAATAAAAGCAAAATATAATTGAGTGGCACTTTTCTAGCTGCATTCCTTGAAGCAAAAACACTAATTTAAGTAATTATAATGAGCCCAAGAGCTACAAAGAGTAAAGCGTAATACTCAACTTAGAAGCTTTAGAAATGGATAACATACATGCTGAGAGCACTAAAAATCGATGTCACTAAAAGTTAAAAGAAAACTATGCAAAAGACTTTCTTAACAAAGTTTCTCTAAGCTGAGTCTAATAAAGAACTTCCCTCGATAATTTAATCTTTTTCTAAAGCGGTCTATTCGATGACAGTTTAAGGATTGTTTTCTTCGACTACATCTTCAAATTGCTGATATTGGTTATTAATATTTCCAATCACTATTGCAGATTATTTTGCATGAGAAGAGTATTCCATTTCTGATTTTTGAGATGCAGAATCGAAAGCTGTTTCTTTATCCATTCCAGCTTAACTTTGCTCCTCATTAGATTTTTAAGATTCCAAATCAATTTAATTGTTGATATGTTTATTCTACACAAGCAATTCTATATCTTTTACTTCTTTGTTTTCTATCATTTTTAATATATGAAAGTAGGTAATTATAATATTTTTTAAATAGATGTTCTTCTTTTGAATTGTTTTTCTTTATTGAATTAATTATGTTTTGTTATGGTAAAATAATATACTTCTAATTTTGGTAAATTTTTTAATGAATGTTGGAAAATAGCTATTAAATTAGAAAAGAGTTTTTTTAATCTTTTCATAAGTAAGGTAAGAGATAATTATAAAAACTAATAATTCTTCTAGTACCTGAACACTAAGATAAATTTATAATAAGTGGTTGTTAATATTTCATAAAAATAATTTTACTCATCACTAACAAATTTATTTTTTATATTAAAAATTTAACTTAAATATTTAGTATTGAAATTCTTCAATAATGTTTAGATAAAATTTATACCAAAATAAATTAGTCTTATTAAATCAATTCTTTAAGATTTTCTTATGAAAGAAAAACTTTTTTTACGTTTAGTTAAACTCAGAAAAAATTGATTAGAATCTACATTCAGTATAGCACTAAGTAAAATTTTTTAAAAATTTATTATAACAATTTGTTGTAATCTATTAATCTTAAAGGAGAGTTTTAAAAATAATAATTTATTTATAATTTATTTGAATTTATTATTTATTTTCTTTTGAAATTTACTTTTTAAAAATATTTTTAAATTTATATTTTATAAAAATTATTTAAAATATATCAAAGGTTTTTAATTCCAAATCAATAAATAAACTATTTAAAAAATAAATATTTTAATCAAAAGATTTCGAAAATTACTATCAAGAAAGAATCTATCGATTTTTGCCTTAACTAATAAATCTAAAATTTAAATAAAATTAATTCAAAATTTTATAATTAAAATACTCAAATAAAATATAAAATTAAATAGAAAAATTAGAAATCAAGATAATTAACTTCTTTAAATCGATTTTCTACTATGAATAATTTTTAACTTTTTTTAGGAAATTTTTAATATTAAATAATAAGACCTGTAACTAACTAATTAAGTAACTATTCACTCATTGAAATACAAAGCTAAGATATAAATTAAAAAGTAAATGTAATTTAGATAGATAGAGAATAGTACGTCTTACAAATGATAAAAAGAAATAAAAGTATGATATTATCATTTAATTTTTTTTTTTATGCTTAAAAATTTTTTTGAAAGGAATTTATAAAAAGATAACCAAAGAAATGTTAGAAATTTAGTGTATTAATCTTTTATTTAATTTTTAGATTATATAGTTTATGAAATAGTGTAATTACATAAAATTTTAGAGATATATCTTACTAAAAGGGTTTTTTTAAAATTGACTTTAAAAACAAGTTTTATCTAATAATTCTCTACCAGAAGAGCTATGTAAGCCTTTATTAGATAACAATTTTCAAATACTTTTGGTTACATTTAAAGATAAGTGCTGTGTAAAATAACTAGAGTATTTATTTGTTTATTTATTATTTTTCTATTAAAGATGAAAATTGCGGAAATAACAATCAAAAAAAAATGAAATTTATTTCTTCATTGATTATAAATAACGATATAAAAAATTATGGGCAAAAATGAATAATCAATCAATAAATTTTATCATTTGATGCTTATTCAATTTTGCATATGTATTTTTATTTCCTTTAAATTTAATGATTTACCATTTGTTTGTGTGTTTCTTTCATTTTACGTATTGTTAATTAATTGTCTTGAATAATAAAAACTCTAGCGATTTGTTATTGATTATTATAAATATTAGTCGAAAAATACCGTATTATTATTATTATTATTATTATAATTTAAAAGAAGCAAATAGCTATAAATCAATTAATAAAAGTTAGCAAAATGGGTATTTGCAGTAGCACAGATAAAGGAAATAAAAAGTAAGAATAAAAATCTAAAGGTAATGAAAACAATTAGCAAAATATGCCATAAGTAACTGAGAAAGATAGGCAAATAAAAAGGACATTTACAGTAATTTTGTCTAATTTGAAGATAAAAAATCCTCCTTAAAGAGTAATTAATTATTTTCTATTTAATGAGATCAAAAATATTATAATTTAATTCTATTTTTCCACCTTGAAAGAGTAATTTAATATATTATTAATATTTAAAAAGGCTGGTGCTTCTCTTCATCTTAATTTTGACACTCAATGCAAACATTAGCTTTCTTTAACTGAAGTGGATAATAGTCTTAGGGTAAAATTGTTAATTTGAAATATAAATTGACTGATTGATTCATTTAGAAATAAAATGAAAAGTTTAAATTTCATTCACACTGTAAAATGTTTATTTAGGAAGAGAAAATAAAAAATAAGACATTAAAAAATGAATGAAAATAAATTAAAAAAGCATTAAAATATAAAAAGAATGAAAAATTCTTATAATGAAACACTTTAATATTAAAATATTAGTGGAAACAGTAACTAGAATTTGAATATACAGTTGATGATTATCGTCTTAAGTCATTAGCCTTTGTTAATTTTTCTCTAAAAAATAGCTCAGAGTAAGATTTAGGAAATATAGTGTTAAAACTTTACAAAGTAGCAACTGGCCCTTACCACCACGATATGGCAATTATGTGGAAAAATAATATTAATCCTTAAAAGGTAGATTTAATTTAAACTTTGTTATTGCAATATCGAAAAGATGTCTATCTATATTAATATTTTTCAAAATGAGTTTAGCTCATATCATTAAATCATATTACAAATATTGGTACTAACTTCAAACTTCTTAGCTTAATACGCAGAAATTGCTTATAGACATATTTAATTTAATATTATTAAAGATTTAGCAAAAAATGAATACTAATTGATGTTAAAATTTAATCTAATAGATGGCATAAATGAAAGCTTTAAATATCCCTATTCATCAACATACAGAAGGCAGAATCAGCTTTGATTTAAAAATGTTTTAGAAAATTGAATTTTGCATATCAACAGATTCAATCATTAGCAATTTAGAAACATTTACTGATAAAGCATATAACTTTTCTTTGAGATTAATTGTAAAACTCTTCTAATTTTACATTGAAAATATTAATTTAAAAATATAATAAAGACTCATAATAATACTTATAATAGCGAGCATTCTGATTTCTTTCTAAATCCAGCATTCTAAAAAGCTGATGATAAAATGTAGACAGATAGCTAGGATGAAAAAAATTCTAGAATATCCTTTAAAAATGGTAAATTAAAAGATTAAGAGTAAGATAAAGATAAAGATAAACAAAGAGAAAAAGCAAACACAGCTGCAACTCCAGCAGATGAAAATTTTACTCAAGAAATGAATGAAAACGTTGATGTAATTAAGATAAAAAGTAAATTGATAAAACCAAAAAAAGATATGACAGACAGTATTACGATCGAATCACCAACTAAGTATTTCTTAGATTTATTTTAATTCATATTTTAAGAAATTTAAATTAAAATAGAAAAAAAAATACATATGTTCTCAATTAAGCTAATGAAGGAAGAAAGCTAGTACCAACTTTAAGCTTTACAAAATAGGAATCTTAAAGTAAGCATTTTAAGTTTATTTTCTGAGTTAAATTTCTTTCTTTTAAAGAACTTGCTAGATTAGCATCATTAAAAAAGGTCCCGGGCTCTGGAAAATTAGATTCATCAAATGATGGTAATATATCAATCAATCAAATAAATATAATTTTTGAAGCATGAATTTTAATCATAATTAAAAAGAAAAAGAAAATACTGACATAGTCAATGAAGAGTTAACAGGTGCAAATACAGAAAAATAATCAATAGATAATGAAGAATAGATTCTTTAATGGGATTATTCAAGCTAAGATAATAGTTAAGATGGCCCTGAACCTCCTGAGCTTATTGTAAAACTAACAACCAAAGATTTGGCTACAACATCTCTCCAAATATGTTTTTGGGGTCTTTTATCTACTGATCCACTTGAAAAAATTGATGAAACTGGAAAAGTTATAAAATATTTTGATAATCATATTGCAGGTGAGTGCTATATCTCACTAAATAGAATTTTTGCAGTTGATCCCGAAATAGTAAAAAATATATTTATTTATTTATAAATATATATTGAGAAAAAGTCTTTTATCATTTATTTTGAATAAAATAGATAGAAATTAAAGGTTAAAAAGTTCAAGTAAGGAAAAAAGCAATAAATGAAAAACTTTGGAATCATGGTAAGGAAGTGGGTACTACTAAAAGTAACTTCAAGGTTATTAATCATGAGTATTTACAGCAAATGATAGTAGGTGTATAAACTGAAAACGGTGTCTTAAAAGCAAGTCCTGCAGTATATGATTTCAAAGAAGGAACTGGTAATAATGCAGATGTAAATATTTGAGAAAATGTAAACTTGTTTCATAAATTGTTTTTTTTAATAAAGATTGTTGCATTGAATGAAGCAAAAAATATATTAAATGATAGCGTTTTTACTTTGTACGAAAAAAAGTAGATTCTCGAAGTAAGTATTCTTAATTGTAAAGTAAATAATAGTCAGTTATTAATAAAAAATATTATTCCTAAAGTAAAAAGACAAAGATAAAATAAAGCAAGAGATAAATTAAAGCTTTTAAACCGTATTTGAATTGGCTTAAAAAAGTCACAAAGAGTCAATCAAATCCTTCTATTACAAAAGCTAGGAAGAGCTGTTATAGTCTCAAGATATTCTGATTGATGTAGCAAAGCATTTATCTTAGTACGCAGATGAAGTAGATGAATACTTAAGAGATAATTATTATGATTGTCTTAAAATTATTATCAATAGGTAAAAAGCTAGCAGCTATTCTTTATTTTAGTTTTGCAGTTTTTTTAATGTTGATCTTTTATTTAAATCTTAGAGGTGAATTTGACCTAAATTACATGGGCTTTGATGAGTCTTATCATTTTTTGCTTGAAACTGCCCAAGGAGCTCAACTTAAAAAGACAGGATTCAATAAAGAAGCTATTAGAAAGCTCAATTTAAAGATGAAAGTTGCTTTAAGTTATTAAAAACTACTATACAGCATTTTAGAAAAAGTTCTTGATAAATTAAATTAAAAAGCTTTGAGCGATAAAGAAAGATAGTTTGTTGAAAATTATTGTGCTGTTGCTTACTTTAGGTAAATTTATTACCTATTTAATTTCATGGGATATAATTTGAAAATTTATAATTACAAATTATTTTTTAATTTATTTGGAATGACTTTTTCAAAGTTATTTGATAATGAACAATAAATAAAAAAAATAATATTATCATTTAAAAGGATACCAGAGTTTAGACAAAAGTTACTTAGTGTTGTAATAAAGTCTGATGACATAGAAATAACAGAATGGAGAGGTACTGAGTATTAGTTAGATGAGACAAAAAATAATAAGCTAGCTAAAAATAATGAATTTATAAGCTTATTTGATTGGGAATAAAGCTTTTATAGATTTCTTAAAACCTAAGAGAGAGGTGAGTAGCACTTTAATGATTTAAGTGCAATACTAAATGATACAAAATGGTCTTATAGAATGTCTAAGAGAGGTGTTGCCTTCTTCTTTTTCTTGACTGAATGGCTTTAGTATGTCAATAAAACAGTCGTAGTAAAAGATCACGTCCCTTGGCAAGATCTTCCTGGATATCTTACTCTACTTAGAGCTTTTTTAATAGAACTTAAGTCCAGAGACATTCTACAGTATCCAGAAGCATTGAAACTAGCATCTCAAAGTATTTTGAATAATGAAAGACTTTTGAACATTTTAATCACTCTTATCTATAATAAAACAAAGTACTTTGATAATTATTAAATAATTCATTTATTAATTCTTCATTTATTATACAGTGTGTACGACTCTAATAAAACAGTGTAAACATTTGATCTGATAAATTCATGGATGTAGTTCCTTATTTAAAACAACAAAAACATTCCTACTGTATTTGATTTCAGCTTTTTCTTAAAAGGCATTAGAACTGTTTTGGATCAAGATCACTCTATTTGCTTAGCAAGAGTGATTTGGGTTATTTATAATAATTTTACTTTATTTCCACCTGACTTCTAAAAAGAAATATGCGAATACCTATTTTCAAACCTATTTTTTAGGTAAGTATAAATAATTTTTGTAAGTAAGAATTAACATGAAATAAATATCTTTTTATAAAAAGGCTTTTCATGCACTGGTCCTATAATGTTAGAATGATATTTTAGTATTTTTTAATCTACAGAATCAACCATTTATTCGGCGAGTAAAAAACAAAATATAAAGGAATTGAGTAAATTTAAATTTTTTATTAACAGAATTTATACAATTATTTTAATTAATTTTAACAGTGAACTGAAGAGACAGATATTAAATAACACAAATTTTTCAGAAAGAAAATTCGCTTTGATTGTAAACTAAAATATTTTTAACTAATTAATTGAATTAAATATAAATTAATAAATATATAAAATAGAATGATATTATTCATTTAATGTATAATAAAATGATGAATATAGTTGATTTAGCTAGAGCTAAATATGCTTCTCAAGAAACATAATTTTAAGAATAATAAAAATTCCATTTGAAAATGAGACAGAAACTCATAGAAAAATAAGAAAATAAATTATTTTCAAAAAATAATCAGTCAAATCCAAATAACTCTTATTCGATCTTAGAAGTTTCATTTAGTTAGGAAAAAGAAAGAATTTAAGAAGAAATGCATACTTAAAATAATATTTTAGATGATCTAGATAATGATAAAAAAGATTCAGTACATGAAGAAATTGCAAAACCAGTAGAAAAAGATATGATCTTTGATTCATTTGAAAACTATGAAATACAATAAATACAAAGAGCATAAAGCACAATCACATAGATTAAAGTGCACCTTAAAAGGTCTAATTCAGTTGTATAAGCAGCTCAAGTTATTTAAAAGGAAGATACTTAGTTTGAGTATGATAATTAGTATGATATAGCCAACTTTTAAAGACAGAAAAGTTCCAGGTCTAATTCAGTGAATTACTAATAAATGAAAAAATCTGATTCTATAAAAGATGCAAATAAATAAAAAGTTGTAATTTACAACCGAAGAGTAGGCTACCAAGTAGACGATAGTAAGTTATTTAATCCTTAAATTTTTAAAAAGTATGTTAAATTTTTATCTAGAAAAAGATGATACCTTAGTTTAAATAGAAAAATAATACATAAAGTATATAGTTTAATCTTGTTATGAGTTTGAGCAGTTGAAAAAAAGTTATCAAAAATGGTATTCACAATAAGCTTCAAAGCTCCCAGCTATGTCTAAAGAAAGGAGATAAGCACATGCTAGAAAATTTATAATTCCAGAAGTTATTTTGAAAGCAACCATCGATGAAGCCGAATCTAGTTATTCTCAAATGGATGAATGGTGATTAGAAGTAATCAATAAGAAATAAGCTATGATTAATTAGATATTACAAAATGAAATTTTAATCAGATTATAAACAAATAAAAAAAACAACATATTTTAACTAAGTATTTTAAAAAATTAAAGTAGGTATTTCTAACCAAACAAACAAATATAATATTAATATTTTTCCTAATTTCTATTCATATATTTTAAGAAAAAGCAAATAACCAAATAAATAAATAAATAAACAAACAAAAATACAAAATAAGCTTCATTCTTAAATATAAGTGTATATAATTAAATATATAATTTATTTATTAATAGTACAATAATATTCTAAGATTTTCTTTAAATTATTTTAAACTCACATTACAAAAAATATATCTGATACATTTATATTCATATTTTTTTAATTAATAACTTAATCAATCAATATTATTTATTAATTACTTGTATTTAAAATGTAGAAATAGTTTAAAATTTCATTGAATTTTAATAAATAAATAAGTTTAATTAGGTTTATGTCTTATTCATTGCTATTTAATTTAAATTAAATTAATTTTTAATTCAAGTTTTATACTTATTTTTTATGTATAAATGTTATTTTAGTTATGCAATACTAACCAAGCACATCTTTAAAAATAAATAAAATTTTTTTTGCGGGTAATCGACAAAGGTCAATCATCTGGCGCGGTAATTTATATATTTTTAACAAGATTTTCAAAAAAAGTGTAATATGATACATAATTTCTGTTGAATTAAAATATTTAATAGTTTTGGCATATTATTTCTAAAGTGTTTAAAATTATAGCAAATAGATATTCAATATAAGACACTTAGTAGAATTGATATTTACAAAAGCAGAATTTGAAAAATGCAAAAAGGAGAAAAGTAAAGGATTTAGGAAATAGTTGATTAGAAATTCGGCATTGAAACAGTCAAGGATGGGCCTGATCGGTTAGGTTTTATAGCAAATTTTAAGACTGCCTCCATTGTAGATGAAGATATGAATGAGAGATCAGTTTTATAGATTTACTATGTAGAAGACAATGGCAATTGGTGCAAGAGTACAATACTCTATTAGCCTTATTTTTATGTAGCTTGTGAGCGTAATTTAGAAAAAGAAATAGCATTCTTCTTGGAAAAGAAGTTTGAGAACAAAATTTCAAAAGTGGAAATAGTAGAAAAAATAGATTTAGAGTAAATAAACCATTTGTCTGGAAAGAAAAAGAAGTACATCAAAATATCTTTTAAAACTATTCAAGATTTATTAGGTGTAAGAGGGTAGCTTAAGCCTAAGATTGATAAGAAAAAATAATAAGATTAGAATTCTTTATCTATTTATAGCAATAATTTTAATGGGCATATGAGTAGCACAATAACAGATTTCAATAAATTGGATTTGTTAGAATATATTTCAGATATTAGAGAATATGATGTACCCTATCATTCTCGTGTCTGTATTGATTTGAATATAAGAGCTGGTAAATGGTAATATCAAATTTTTATACTATCACAATTAATCTAAATTTTAAAATCATTTCAAGTAAGATATTTCATATAAATAAATTTCTTTTTAAAATACAACAAACAGGTTTAAAATATCCTTCAAAGACAATTTAGTAGATAAAATTGTTTGTATGGAAGATATAGTGGAAAGACCAGATTTAAAATATTTAGCGTTTGATATTGAAACAAGTAAAGCAGAATTAAGATTTCCTGATGCCAAAACAGATTGTGTAATGATGATTTCCTTAATGTACGAAGGTGATGCTTACTTAATTGTAAATAGAGATTTTTGTGGTTAGGATGTTGTAGGATTTGATTATGCTCCTACTCCTGAGTTTGAGTGTTCTATTACAGTTTATAATGAACCAAATGAAAAAGCTTGCATCAAAAAATTCTTTGATATTATAGTAGACTACAAAGCATTTATCATTACAAGTTTTAACGGTGACAAATTCGATTGGCCTTTTATTCATGAAAGATGTAACTAACTTGGTCTCTCATTAGAAAAGGAAATAGGTATCCATTTAGAAGAAGGTCCAGAATATTTTGGAAGATATCTCACACATCTTGATTGTTTGTATTGGGTTATAAGAGATGCTTATTTACCTTAAGGAAGGTAAGCTTTATAAAAGATTATTTTATTTGTTTTATAAAAATTATTCTGAAATAAAATCATTTCCAAATTTTTTAATTTATTTTTAAATATCAATCAATTAGTCACGGTTTGAAGGCTGTAACAAGATCTAAGCTCGGTTATGAGCCTATTGAAGTAGATCCTGAGGAAATGGTTCCTCTAGCAAGAAATAATACTCAGGAATTAGCTGAATATTCAGTTTCTGATGCTGTTGCTACTTATTTTATATATAAAAAGCATATTCATGATTTTATTTTTGCTTTGTGCACAATTATTCCTTGTTATTCAGATGAAGTTTTGAGAAAGGGTTCAGGTACCTTGTGTGAAAATTTGTTAATGACAGAAGCATTTAACAGAAATATAATTTTTCCAAATAAAAAAATGGAAGAAAAAGAAAAAATGCATAAAGGACATTGGTTAGATTCTGAGACATATATTGGTATTTATATTATTGAGTGACAAATATTAAAAATTTTTAATAAAAAAAAAACTTAGGTGGTAAAGTAGAATGCTTAAAGAGTGGTGTATTCAGATCAGACATTAAATCAAAGTTTAAGTTTGAAAAAAATGCTTTCCAGACACTGATTGATAACATTGATAAATTATTAGACTTCGTTGTTAGAATTGAACAAAATAAAGAAGTAAAAGATGTTGATGGATATGAATAGCTAAGAGCTTCAGTTGTTCAAAAATTAGAGTTTTTAAGAGATGTGCCAAATCCTAATTGCCATGATGCCTTCCCACTTATTTATCACTTGGATGTCGCTGCTATGTATCCTAATATTATTTTAACAAATAGACTCTAGCCTGTAGCAATTGTAAATGAATAAATATGCTCAGGATGCTTATTTAATAGTGCATAAAATGAATGCAAGAGACCTTTAGATTGGTAATGGAGGGGAGAGTATTTTCCTCTCAATAGAAATGAATTTGAAAAATTGAAGAGCGATCTAGAATATGAAAGAGCTGCAAATGTAATAAATAATTTTAATTTTAAAATATTGTGTTACAAGCCTTTCTTTTTTTGATAAATTTAGGATTAGCATTAAAATAACACAGAAGAATTTTATAAAGCCTTAAAACAAAGAGTCAAAACTTACAGCTAAAAGACATATAAGACAATTCATGTAAAAGAAACTTTAACAAAACAGAATACTGTTTGTATGCGTGAAAATTCCTTCTATATTGACACCGTTAAAGCTTTCCGTATGCATTTATTTAAAGCTAATACTTTTATTTCTATTGATTTTTTAGTAATAAATAAATGAAATTTGAATTCTATTTTGAAGATGATTTAATTTCAATAGAATTTATGATTGTTTAAATATTTTTAATTTAATAAAAATTAATTTAGGTGATCGTAGATATACATTCAAGCATTTGGTTAAGGTTTGGAAAGGCAAAGCTGATGAGGCTTCTAAAAAAGGTGATGCAGTTGGAAAGAAAGAAGCAAATTTAATGGAGGCTTTATATGAGTCTATGTAACTAGCTCACAAAATTATTTTGAATAGTTTTTACGGTTATGTCATGCGTAAAGGCGCTAGATGGTATTCGATGGAAATGGCTGCTATGGTCACTCATATTGGTTCTAGTATTATATCAGATGCTAAAGCATTTGTAGATTGTGTTGGAATTCCTCTTGAACTAGATACAGATGGTATTTGGTGTTTGCTACCAGAAGGTTTCCCTGAAGATTTCTTTATTAAGTTTAAGGATGGTAAAAAAGCTAGAATGGACTACCCTTGCTCTATTTTGAATTACTTGGTTTATGAAAAATACTGTAACCGTTAATATTAGACCTTAGTTGACCCTGCAAATCTAAAATATTAGACAAACCTAGAAATGTCTATCTTTTTTGAACTTGATGGTCCTTATAGAGCTATGATTATTCCAGCTGCTAGGGAAGAAGGTATTACAAATGAATTATAAATATTAAATTAATTGTTTTTTAAATTACAAGGTAAGCTGCTTAAAAAGCGTTATGTTGTCTTCAACAAGAGTGGAAAACTAACAGAATTAAAAGGGTTTGAAATTAAGCGTAGAGGTGAGTTAAATATTATCAAAATATTCTAATCAGAAATTTTCAGCTAGTTTTTAGCTGGTAAAGATTTAAAGGAATGTTATGAAGCTTGTGCTAAAGTTGCTAAAAAATGGCTTAATCTTCTCAAAAATAGGGTAATTTTTTGAATTTTAATTTCTAAAATTAAAAAAAAATTTTAATCTCAGGGAGAAGGCTTGAATAACGAAGAGCTGATTGACTATATTGGTGAAAGTAAAGTTCTTTCTAAGGAGTTAGCTGAGTACGGAGAATAAAAGGGTGTTGGTATTACATGTGCTAAGAGATTAAAAGAATTATTGGGGCCAGATATTGTTAAGGGTAAAAGTTTGTGCTGTAATTATGTTATGAGTAAGAAACCATAAGAAGCAAGCAAAGCTGAAAGAGCCATACCCATATAAATATTCAATTCAGATCCTACAATAAAAAAGAAATTCTTACGTAAATGGTTAAAAGATAATACCCTTGATGATAAGTAACTAGAAATGAGAGAAATACTTGATTGGGATTATTATATTGAAAGATTAAGTAACACAATCTAAAAAATCATCATTATTCCAGCTGCCACATAAGGTGTTTTTAATATTTTACCTGATGTCTCTGTTCCCGATTGGCTCACTAAATAAATTAAAGAGCAAGAAGATAAATTTTAATAGCAGAAACTACAATTTAAGAATTTTAAAATTCCTTCTTAATAACCTTAAAGTATAATGCAAGCTCTTCACAACTAATAATAAATGAAACTTGTAGGCATGTCTGAAGATTAATAAAAGCCAACATAAAAATCTTCTACAAATAAGGCATTCACTCATACCACAAAAGTAGTTTAAAAACCAAAAAAATTTGTGAATCCATACAATATGAATACTCAATTCAAAGACTTCTTATAAGCCTAGAAACAACACTGGATAGAGTTAAAAAAATACATGCAAGATTTTAGTTATGCTTAGAATATTTCTACATTGAGGTAAATGTTTTCTAATCAAGATGAATTCATTCTCAAATCTGACTGGCATGTTCTTTAAATAGCACCCACAGATTAGTTAGGTATTTAAAAAAACTATAATTACTCTATTTAATTAATATTTCTTTTATTTATTTTAGGTGTTTATAAATTATGGGCTTTCGTGATTGAAACAAAGTAAATTATATCTGTTTCAGTAGAAATTCCTAGAGTCATTTATGTGAATAGTTTGGTTGAATACTAAGCTGATGAACAATTTAAGTTAGTGAAAAAGAAACTTCCAAGAGAAAAAAGAGCTTATTATCTTTACGAAATTAGTAAGAAAGAAGAAGAATTTCACTCTCAATTTAAAGACTTTGAGTACTTCCTTTCAAACCCTGAAATCGAAAATATTTATGAATACCATTAGCCTTTAGATTTTAAATTTATTGTCTAAATAGGAAATGTTGTTAAAATAAATTAAAAATCTATACCAAGAGGGACATCTTATTCAAATTATGTTTTTAAATTAGAATAATTTGCAGGTAAAAATATTATTTATTGATAGATTAATAAATATAAAAATTCTTAATTTTCTTTTTAAAGGTTAATTTGGTGACTCTAAAACTTATTTAGAAGGTATGGAAATTTCTAATTCTGTTATATATATTGGCGAGTTAAAGATGAAGGACAGAAAACTTTGGTGTATACTGAATGCTTAAATATCTGAATACATTTTTATTATGGTACATAAGACTGTTGATAAAAATAAATATTCTAAAATAATCAGAGAGTCGTTGCCTGAGAATTTAGTTAATCCCTAAATGAAGATATAAACATATAATTTTGATGTGAATGATAAAGCATTTATTTTTATAGAAAATTACCTTCAAGAAATTAAATCTAAGAAAGTAAATATTATTTATTAAATAATTAGCTATGAAATTTATTTAAAAAAATCATTTAAAAAACAGGTCCATGGTATCATTTTATTCTAGACTTCTTATACTTTGCAGAATTTAAGAGCTTAAGGCATAAAATCTATATTTACTGAATATCCTTGTGCATAGCTTCCTCATTTAAAAATGGATGAATCACTTTATAGTTCTTTAGATTGGCAACAAAAAGGTATGAGATTCTTATGTCAGTAAATTGAAAATGTTTAATAGAATCTTGAAAATGCTTACAGATTAACTGAGTACGTTTAAGTACCCATATGCAATTTAAACTTTGAAAATTCATTTAGCCAATTAACTGATATTTACTTTGGTCGTTTGCTTAGGTAATTAATTAATTTAACAACTTTATCTTTTAATAAATATTCTCAAAGTTAATCAATAATAATAAATTATATTTTAGAAATGATAATTGTATTTCTTGGTATGGTAGCTACATAAATAATAAAGAATAGGAATACAGACAGCTTATTCCTTCAGATTTCTTGAGAAACGAAATATCTTTTAGCGGTTTGTATACTTCACATACCGTCGAAATTGATATTGGTTTGCTCGCTCTCAACACTATTGCTCATGCTGATGAATTAAAGAATATTGATAAAGAAGCTAGTAAGCTCATAGATTATTCAAGGGTAAATAATAAGTAAAACAAAAACAAAAAAGGAGTTTAGTATTAACAATAAGATCATGAAGAAATAGATGAGTTAACTCAAGCAAAGCAATCCTTTAAGAATCTTTAGTAAATGGTATAATACTGGATACATGATGTATAGCAATTTGAGAATCCTATTGCAGATTTTTTCATTACCAATATTCACTCATGGCTAACAACAAAAGAGTCTAAATTTTATGATCCTATTCTCTCAAAAATGCTTCAAAAACTCATGAAGAAAATTTTCTAATATTTTATTTCTAAACTAAGAGGTCTAGGTGCTAAAATTGTTCATTCTACAATGAATAAGATTATTCTTGATACTGGCAAAAATACTTTAAATGAAGCTAAAAGCTATACTCAATATATCCTCCAAACTGTGCTTGGCTAGCCTCTCTTTAAGGTGCTGACTTTAACACCATAAAGATATTTCAAGATTTTACTTTTTAAAGATTCCCATAATTACATGGCTCTGTAAGAGTTTGACAGTAGTAATGAAGAAAAAGAAACAGGCTAACCTAATTAAACATAGCATTCTGTTATTTCTAATTGGCATATTTCAGATTTTTTACCACCAAAATTAAAACACTATTTCCAACTTGTTGTTTTAGAATATTTGTATAAAATAACTCAATAAAAAGCTGAATTAGCAACAAATCCTGAATATGCTAATACACTAGTTGAGGAAATCGAATCATTCTGCAAAAAGTATATTTCGGTTAATCTATCAGATAAACTATTAGACGCTATTCCAGAATTGGAAACATAATATAGAAGAGATAGATAGCAAATAGAAAAACTAACTTAAAAATAAGAAGAATACATATACCTTGAAAGCTAAATTATTGGTAATTAATTTTTCTCATTTTTTTAATAAAACTATTTAGGAAATTATTTTTATTTTTCGTATTTTGAAATTGTTTTAATAAATTAATTTTATTAATATTAGAATAACAAAAGAAATTGAAAAAATCTTAAATAGAAAATAATTACCATTAAGATTTTGATATGGACGCAGATTACTATGATTAAATTTAGCAAGAAAAAGAAGAATAGCAATACAAAAAAAAGATTCAGAACTAAAAAGAAAATAATAATAATACTAAGCAATCTTAAAAAGCAATGGTAAACGAAGAGGATGATTAATATGAAAACTAACTTGTAGATTATGAAGAAATAGAAAATGAGTAAGAAGATTTAGATGATTTTATAGTTTCTTAAAATGAGCAAGAAGCTGATAATTATTATTCTGAGTAAGAAGATGGTGATGATTTAAATGATTCTTTCGTTGTTGATGATGTAAAGGATGCTCTTTATGCAGACATCCCAGCAACATAGGATGAACTTTCTAAGCTTAAAAGGATAATGAAGAGAGATTAAAAAAAATTAGATGAGCTAAATAATTTATGGAGTTTTCCATAGCTTCTTGGTGGTAGAGTTAAATATGATAACTCTATATTAGAATTTGTAAACTTTTTGATGCATGTGTTTAGCCTGGATTAGAATGTTAAAGATGAATTAATTTAGGTTAAGAGAGATTGCTTGAAATTCCTTAAAATGAATGATTTTTCAAATGAAGCTTAATTTAAAGAGCCCTGTGTTATCATAAAAGCAGCTGATATAGTATGCAAGAGTTGTCTCTAAGTATGTGAGCTAGACATATTCAGAGATGATTGGATCTGTCAAGAATGCAGAACCCCTTATGATTTACATTATCTTGAAAATAAATTTATAGAACTAATTAAAAACTCATTAACTTTCTATTAGTTCCAAGATATATATTGTAAGAAATGTAAAATGATAAAAGAAGACCTTTTGAGTAATCTTTGCAAATGCTCAGGTTCATACTTCTTCTAAATTGATGAAAATATTTTACCAATAATTGGTCCTGATTCTAAAAAAATAAGAAGAGCCTTTACAGAGCTTGCCCAAACTAACAATTTCAATACTCTCTTACAAATGATTTAATAGACATGGATTATTTGAAAAAAATAATTATTCATAATTAACAATAAAAGAATTCAAAATAAAAAAAAAATCCAATCAATAAATTATAATTTCATAAAATTAAATTAAACAAATAAAATTTATCTTAAAAATAAAATAATTAGTATTTCAATTTTATAAATCTCTTTATTTTTGTAGATTTAAACTGTAGAATCAAATTTAAAATTATTTTTTCATTCTTATTAAAAATCTTGAATAAAATTAATTAAGTTACAGCAAAAAAAATATGTTTTAAACAACAAAAGAACTTTGATGTTTTTTATATTTTTTTCAAATTAGAAAAAATATAATTTTTATTCTATTAAATAATCTCTTACAAAAGATTTAATATGAACAGAATATTAATTCATAATCTATTATCAAAGACTTCCATTTTAATCAGGTCAAATAAAAATTTATTGTAAAATAATATCAAATTTATAAAAATTAGCCTTAAAATAAATAAAAATTTTTAATTTTCTAAAGATTTGAATCAAATTGAAAATTTTTATGTTTTAATAAATGTTTAAAAATATTTTAATTAGATTAAATTAAATAAAAATGTTTAAATATACACTTAGTTAATTTTTAGAAATTTTTGTTGATTTATAGTGTCAATTTAATTTAAAATTATTTTATAACTAGTTAGTTATATTCTTTTATTTTGTAAAATATTAAATTAAATCTAAAAAATTCTATTTTATTTTATTTGATGGGATTCAACATTAACTTTGGTTCAATTTATACTTATTAAAGATTTATCACTAAATATGCAATAAAATAATATTAAAACTAAGAATACTTAACAATAAAAGAATTTAATATTTACAGTTAATTTAAAAAAATTAATGAAAGAATTTCTTTTTAATTTTTTAAGTTTTTTTAATTAAAAAGCTTTTCTTGCCATTTTTCATTTAGAAATTTCTTTAAAATCAGAGAATGATATTTCAGTAATGTCTCTAAGATACGTTTTTATAGTACTAACAACTTCATTGAAAATGATATAATCAGGTTTAGGCTTTGAGTAAAACAGCAAACTCTCAGGGTGAATGTAAGCTTGAATATTGCTTCTCTGAATTATTTATAAAAATTAGATAAATAAAAGTTAGATAATAAATTTAATTACAATAATAGTATAAGTTCCATCGTTATTTAGCTTGGCAGCTTTCACAGATAATCCTTTAGCAATACATGATATAAACTCTTCTGTATTTATTTCCTATTAAATAGCTGTTTTATGTTCTTCTTACAATTTTTTTAATGTATTTCCTTTTGCTAATTCTTCTTAAATTTACTACTCTTCACTTTGCTATTAGATATTTGCTTAGTTTTACTTTTAATTCTTTTTAGATCTCTTCTTAAGAATATCAAGGAAGTAATTTTCTAATTATTATCTTACTTCCAAAGCTTTCTTTATATTTTTTTGATTAATGAAATTTTCTTTACAAAAACTCTTTTTATTTTTTGCTAGATAATATTAGTGCAGCATGTTGACCTTTGTCAATTAATCACTATTTCCTAACTAAAACCTAAGTAAAACATCTAATAAAGATATTTTTGCACCCTTAGGAATGAAAAAGAGATTTTCTACTTGCATCAAACTGATTGCTGAAAGAACAACACTAATCGAGTTAGGATTAGTAGCAAAAGCTACAAGCATAAAATGAGCATATATTGGTTCAAGAGGTAATTCAGCCATTTCCTTACCATGCAAAGTAATATTTTCCTGTTTTTAAAAAAGCAATAAATTAATTAAATTTCTTTTTTTACTTTCTTACATTAGCATCTAAAGCGTTCATCTGTTAAAGGTTTTCAATACTTTCTATGAATTAGTCTTCATGTGGTCTATCTATAAACTAGAATCCTTTAACATCTTTAATTCCAATAGCTTTCATTTGCAAAATAACTGTTGAAAGATTTGATCTGAGAATTTCCTTTTATTTATATACATAGTAAAATATATGATTTCATTCGTTTAGTATGTAAGTAATATTTTATATACAGGTAACATAAATTCAGCCAAGGTGTCATGAGTATATTTGGTGTAGAGCCTAAAGCATTTACCTGCAGATTATCTACCTGCTCTACCAGCCCTCTGCATAGCTGAAGATTTAGAAACGGGTACAACTAAAAGCATTTCTATTAATTTATTTGGGTTATACTTCCTTGTCTTAACTAAACCAGGATCAACAACATATTTTATACCTAAAATAAATTATTTAATATTAAATAAATATTAAGCTTTATATAGAATTTTGCTTTACCATCAATGGTAACTGAAGTTTCAGCAATATTAGTAGATAAAACTACTTTTCTTTCACCTTCTTAGCTTTTTTCAAATGCTAATAATTGTAAATGTGAAGGTAAAGCAGCATAGAGAGTGCAAATGTTTAGCTTTTTTGCCTCTTTAGGGAAAAGCTCTATCTTTTCTTCTAGCATTTGTTGCATGTCTTCTATGTCTTCCTTTAAAAATATAAAATATCAAATCTATTAGTTTAAAACTAAATAAACCTACTTGTCCTACTAAAAAGCATAAAATATCTCCATCTTATTCTTCGAAGTGAATTTGTAATATTGTGTTTAAAGCAGCATCCTATTAGTATAAATAAATACAAATATTTATTTATCTCTTACTATAAAATTTTATTCTTTACTAAGTAATCTGCATGTGGCTTTTTTGAATAGAATACTTCAATTGGATGGCATCTACCTTCTAAATATATAATCTATTAAAATAAAATTCATTTCATTTGTCTTCATTTATTAAGATTTATTATGTTACATTTTCTGTTTCAAAGAAGTTTGCAAATTTTTCAGTTTCTATTGTTGCAGACATAATTATAATTTTAAGATCCTTTCTTCTTTCTGACAGCTATTTAAGCAGAGATCTAACATCATATAAATAAAAAAATATTAATAATTAGGCTATTTAGATTCATTAATTTAGCTATTTGATAATCCATTAATTACATAAGTAAATCTGAATTTATAGTTCTTTCGTGAGCTTCATCAATAACAATTATTGAAAATCTAGAAAGATTAGGGTCAACGATAGTTTCTCTTAAAAGCATACCATCAGTCATATATAATAATTTTGTATTATTTTTATCAACAGCTTCCTCAAATCTAACACTGTAACCAACTTTATTACCAACAGTAGTATTCATTTCCTAAGCAACTCTTTATGCTATAGTAATAGCTGCAACTCTTCTAGGCTGTGTAACGGCAATCATTCTGTTCTTGTTTAAACCCTCTTCAATTAAATATTGAGGAATTTAAGTTGTCTTACCACAACCAGTTTCACCAGCAATAACACTAATTTAATTGCTTTTTATCTAAAATTAAAACATATTATTTACTAAAAGCATAGTTTGAATAAATTGTATGAAGTATATCTCATAGAAAGCTTTCATTAATAGCATTTAAAATTTATTACTTTATCCAATAAACCTTATCTGTGCTTGAATATAGGAAGGTTCTTTCTTTCTTTTTAGAGCTTATTAAATAACCCCAAATTGCCATTTTTGTTTTTTTCTACTAATATTTACTGCTATACAGTGCTTTTATTAGGTGATTAGCTTTTCTCAATTTCCATATCGAATAATTCAAATAAGTAGATGTTTAAAGGATATGTGTTTGTATTATGACAAATACTACTTAAATTTAATAAGAATTTCTTAATTAATTTTTAAGCTTTATATTTTTAATCTTCAATCAAAAAGAAGATAATCATGAGCATTATAAAATTTAATAATATTATCCATCAATTTATTAAAAAAATCTAAATTTTTGTTAGAATAGTATATAACTACTCATAGAATAACACAAAAATTATCAGGAAAAAAATATTTTGTTATTTTGTAACTAGAAATTCTTTAAAATAATCTTAGAAAAATATTTAAAATATTATTAAAAAAATATTAAATAAATATATGCTACAAAATCTATTAGCAAAAACTAAGGTTTTTAAAGCTCTTAATCTATTTAGAATTACATGTTAAGTCAATCTAAAATATCATATCTTGAGGAATAACTGAGTATATAGCTTTTCCTTCATTTGAAATGTTGCCAACAAAGATATCATGGTTAGTGAAATTTCAAATGATTATTATAGTATTGATTCAATTTTGTATATTCTACAAATTTTTAATTTTAAAAGTCTTACTGAAACTTATTAATATAAAGAAATTTTTTAATTCTAGTTTTAAAATTTTAACTTAAAATAATTTAATTAGAAAAATATTTAAATAAAGAGGATTTACAATAATTTTTAAAAATTTAATTATTAAATAATAAATATATCATAAATTATTATTAAAAAAAATGGATTCTTTAGTTTTTTTAAATTTAAGTTGATAAATATTTTAAAAATTTTGTTATATTTAAAAAATAATAATATTTGATTAAATGTAACTTTCAAGCCATTTATATGAAATATTTATCAATTTTTTCTTTTAAAATATGGTTTATATTTTTGTTAAATCATGAGTAATTAATTTTAATATTTTTAATTTATAAATGAAAAATAAATAATCTATCTAATTTTATTGAAAGTATTTAAAAATTATACAAATACTAAAAGTTTATAAATAATTTAGGAATGATTTTTGCCTGATTCAAATTATCTATTTATTTATTTAGAAATTAGCTCATTGTATTAATATAACATCTACAAGTTATAAAGGTCTAATGGATTGATATTTTAAAGATTAGTGGGTAATTACTATATTTTCAATTAGATAAAATTCAAAGAATTGATTCGTTGCTTTTATGAACAAGATCTAAAGCAATTATTTTTTACAGATATTATTATTAAATAAAAATCATTATAATATAATTTGTACTATTGATTAGATAAATCAGTTCAGTTTGAGTTTTCATTCATCCACAATTAAAGTAGTAAAGCGAAAAATAAGTAGAAAGGAATTTTAGCTCACAAATTAAAATTAGACCACTACAAAGACCAGTCAATACTATGACTTCTTATTTTAGAATATTAATGAAATTCATTAATATGTTTTTGTTGATATCATTATATGGTATCTCGGTGAAGGCATCTTAGATGTTAGGAAGTGATGTAGTAATGAATTATTCTAATGCATAATATATGACATAGATGTCACTCAAATTTTAAATAGTTAATGCTCTTACTACAACAGATTTTGTATAATTTAATTTACCCTTCCCTCTTCATAGCTCACTTATTGCAGATTCAAATGCTCCTAACGGTTATCAGCGCCCTTATGCTTTATAAGCTTTATGGTCAACATTTGATCCAGTTACCTAAGTTGAAGGACCATAAAAAATTGTCCAGCTCTTTTGTTTTACTAGTTAGTCATCTACTTATTTAGCCCAGTTTCTTTCTGGAATCAATCAAATAAGTCCTCTTGTGCCTGGCTGGTATAAAATTCAGTTCAATATATAGGATCCATCTGCATTAAACTCATAAAAATAATCGCAATTACTCCAGGTATAAACTTCTACAGTGAGTTCAATAGATTTAAATGCTGTTTAATATGACTCTAATGAATCGCACTCTTTTATTTACTTAGATAATCAACCAGCAAGTTCTTTAAGCTTAAGTATCTCTTTTGACAATCCTGCAACCTAGAATCAATTATCAGTTTAGAACTTAGTCTACTTTGGTATACAATTATGCTTTTTATAAATCAATAATTTAAAATAGATATATATTTCTTTGCCTTTAGTAATTGACAAAGATAAATGAAATAATATAAGCAAACATCAACAAGAAATAAAGCATAAATTTAAAAAAAAACATGTTTAATATTGTTAATAAATGAAAAGATTAATCATTATTTCTAATTTAATTTATTTTCATTAAAAAGGAATTATTAAAAACATTTTAAGATAACAAATGAATAGCTTAAAATAATAAATAAATCTACATTTAAATTTGATTTATTAACTTTTATTTTTCCCTTGAAATTAATGATTTATGCAATATTAAATCTTTTAAACTGCATTTAATTGATTTGATCCAGTAGCTTTTAATTTATAAATAAATTTTTTAATTAAATCAATAGATTTGACAATTGATCCTACAATAATTGACTAAAATGATAACAAAAAATTCATTATACAATTATCAGATAAATCCTTCATGTTAACTGGCACCTGTCAATCTGTAGCAAAAACATCTTTACCTATTATTAATATATTAAAAAATACTGATTACACTTGTGCTGTTGATAATACTAATAATCAAATGGTCATCATACTTAATGTCTCTGCACTTTAAATATAAACAGTTTTTCGTTTCAGTGTTTAGGTATAAAATCCTGATTTTGTTTGGTAAGGAGTTAATGTAAATGTGTATGCATTACATTAATACTCCTCAACTATTATTTAAATTGGTAATGTTCCCAATGCTTTTTACACAAATTCTCTCAGTATAGCTTCTCATTTACTATATCTAGCTTGGGGAATGTAGGATTTACCTAGCTTACCTATGAATATGTATGCAGTTAGAGGATCTCCACCTGCAAATCCAGGTTATGTGCCTTATAACTAAATCAATTTAAGATTCAAAATGAAAGATGCCATGCCAAATTCACAAGAATATAGAATTATCATTTAGCTTAATACTGATATTACTTCTTAATTGTTAACTGGTTCTATTATCCATAACTTACCAAGCTTCAATAATAAAAATGTAGTTTGCAGAGAATATGACGCAACAAACCCATCCACAAGACGTCTAGTTTGCTCTTAAGTTAGTGCACTATAAAATTCATAGGAATACTTTATATCCTTCAAAATGTAATTCATTAAAATAAATGTGAAAAAATTATTAAAATATTTTTTAGTTTTTTGATTTCTAATTTTTATTTTTAGGGGGATAAGAAATAAAATAAAAAATTTGTTTAAAGAAATTCATTTTATTCATCAAATAAACTTATCTACTTTTATAAATAAAATCTAATAAAAATATGCTTTAATAATATAATAATAGGTTCTTCTAATTTGAAGTTTATTAAGCTTGGATTGATTGTTCTTAATTTGGTACAATCTAAATTCAAAGTATGATTCCTATGACATCGAATGACAATATTTTTGCAATATCTAAAGACATTAAGTTTATTAATTAAATGAGAGATACAAGCTAGGCATCTGTTGTTAATACTGATAATAATGTAGCATTTTTGCAAAACTTAAAAAGCTTTAGTAGTATTGTACTATTAGTGAATGCTTAAGATTTTACTGACTACCCAAATGAAGTATATTCGACTAGCAGGCCATATACTTTTAGCAATAAATTTACTTCGTACTAAGATTACTTTGTCCCAGCCAATAATGTAGATTTTATAAACTACATTTTAACAAATTATCCTAACATTTACATTGCCTAATTCCCTCAAACAACAACATTCTAAGCTTACGATATAACTAAAACAGGAAACAAGTACTTTACAGTTTAGCAAACTCTTCCTAATAATATTAACAGGATTTTGACTGTAAATGGTAAAAATTGGAAATAAACTGGAGGTGATATTGTTGCTTCTTCTCAATTAATAGGATAAACATCCAGTGGTAAATTATAAAAAATATTTTGAAAAATAAAATATTAATTAATTTAGTGTTATAAATGATCTTAATATATTTTAATGAAAATATTTTGTAAAAAAAATAAGGATTTACCTTTAATCCAGATGCAACCTTTGGATTTTAATTATCAATTGGTATGTAACCTCTCTTCTCAGATGTAACAGCCAACTCATATACAGGTACTGCAGCTACTCAACTCCCTAATAATGTTGGTGTATTACTTATGATGAATCCTTTAATTAAATTTTAAACTCCTACAGTCACTAATACTTAATCAACTCAAGATCTTTCAAGTGCATAAGGTGGTTATACTTGCATATAAGTAATAATTTCATTATAAAATCGTTTTATAAAGCTTATATTTGAATTTAAATAATAGATTTAATTTAAAACTGAAGGCTAATTATCAGCATTATTCCCAAATACTGCATCTGCAACAACCCTTACTATCAAGAATATGAATTTACAAGCTTTTTCTAGCTCTCTAAATGGATATTAAACTAACCTGGATATATTTATTTAGACTATAGATGGAATTGCTGGTCCATAAAACACTTAAACAAGAAATGCATATGTCTTAGTAAACGGATACTATTTAAGTTCTTCAGCATTACCAGGAATTTCTGTTGGTGTAGCCAACTTTTATACATCTAGTGCTTCAGGTATCGATGGCTCCATGGTTCCTGCAATTTTAAGAATTAATGGTTAACTTAGTAATCCTTCTCAAAAAATTGTTGTCTTCTTTGATAATCTTAGTCCTTTGTATTTTAACCAAAGTTAAGACTTAGTTGCTTGTTCTAGCACTCTTCCAAGTTTAACAACTGCTGAATGCAAAGTATATGTTTCTCAAAACCCCAATGTCCTTGCATACTTTTAAATGAGTAGATTTGAAATAACCGTATAATCACCTTCTTCCTCTACAAACTTTTAAGTGATAATACCATTAGCAATACCAGCTAATTAAGTTAAGCTAACCTTATATTTAGGTACAATCAATAGTAACTCAGCAGTAACGTACGTAAAGCCTATTCCTTAGTTTTCTTACACTCTTTAGGGTTCTGCCTTGGCTCCATTCTAAGCAGCAGGTACAAGCAGTTATAACTATGGGATAAGTTGCTCAAGCTGCAAAGTAATTTTTTAAAATTAATTCCTTTATCAATATTATTTAAATTTTAAAAGGCTGGTGATACACAAGATCCTTTAACTATAAACGCCTCTCATTCAGGAAATGCTCCTAATCCTAACGCAGCTGCTACAGACGTTGGAGCTGGTTTTACATTTGTAGCTGATTATCCATTTTATAACTAATAATCATCTGCAGTTACTAATACTCCTGCTTAATTTGGTACATGTATTTTATTCTTGTATCGTTTTAGTAGCGCAACTCGCTATGGTTTGTTTTGTCCCTTAAACGGAGCTGTACCATCAACTCCTATTTCTGTGTCTAAATGCAATCTTCCATAATTACCGATTGTCAATGCTTATGGTGCTTACTCTGATAAAACTGGTGCTATTTACTCTTTATAATTAAATACTAATAGCAATAGTATCCTTAATCCTGCAACTATAGCTTCTCCAACATAGCTTCCTTCTATTGACTCTTCATAGACTGGCTATGCAATATCATTTACCATATAGACACCCACAGACCTCCCATAGACTTTTGTGGTTTAGTAAATAAAATTTTTAATTAGTCAAAATTAATTTTATGAAGCTTTTGCTAAATTCACATTTATTTCTCTTGAATAATTAATTAATTAATTATATTTTATCTAAGCCTTTTAAAAATTAGATTAAAAATTAAAATAAAAAAAATTGAGAATATTTTTAGATTTTTGGAAAATAAGGTTTTTTCTTTGAAATAAAAACTTTGAATTAAAATCAAATAAATTATTTTTATTAACTGATTAAAAATAATTTTTTTTGATGGAAATCTAAATTTTTACATTTATAAAAATTTGAAAAAATTTTTGAACTGAAAATTTAATTAAATATTTTAAAACCATATTCAACAATAATTATTTAAACTAACATTATATTAATAAAAAGAATTACTAACGCAGCTAACTTATAGCTCACATCTAGAGCAGCATATTAAACATGTATGTCTACAATTTTAACTACTACATCTGTCTGCGCTATTTAAAATCCAACAAGTTTACAAACTTTATAGTTTTTGATAACTGTGAAAGGTGGATAAATATTAAAAGGTACAAGTATCTAAATAATTTTGTATGGTCTTGTAACAGCTACTAATGGAAGTGATATAAATACAGCAACCATATAGATTATGGATTCTACAGCTGCAACTACGTATTCATAAATTTTAAATCAAAGTATAAAATTCAATAGTTTAGTAGCTCCTAACCCTCCAACTACTCCTGGAGTTTATGCAACTGGATTTGATGCTTCTTCTATAACATAATCGAATTTAAATATTAATGGACGCACTCAACTTTCTTTTAATTTGTATTTGCACTCAAAATATTTATATAGTGGAGAGAGAATATAAATTTAATTTGATACATTCTCATCTGTTAATGTTCAAAATTTAGGAGATTTAAGATGTTTAGTATATTATGTAAATCCAAATCCAAATGCTCCTCCTGTGACTAACATGCCTTTAACCAATGATATATATTCTTTGCAATTCTAGTAAATTTCAAATGTGCTCACATTAAATATCATATTTAAGGTTACAGGATACATGAAAGAAAGAAATTATGCTGTATAGTGTTATAACTTTAATGTGCCAGCAGTTGCTTCATCAGCCATTGACTTTAAATTCTTTGCTTTACCAACCTTAACTCCTTCCGTGAGTTAAAATTAACTATTCCCTGTAGGTCCAGCAACTCTTTAAAAGTCATCTCCTGCACTATCCCCTGCAATGTAAACATCTCTTCCAACATCAAAAGTCACTAAGCAATATTCTACACCAGGAAGTTCACTTGAGCTAATCTTTGAAATCGGAACAGCGAATTCAGTGATAAGTCAAACCTCTAGAGTGCTTGTTTATTTCCCAAATTACTATCCTCGTCTACTCTCAAGAGATGGCAATAATTTATTTTGCTTACAAAGTGATACTCTAGTAATTTCATGCAGCGTGCTAGATATAAGACTTTTAGAAATCAAGTAAAAATTTAAAATTAATATTTGGAACTATAATTAAATTCATTTAATTTTTAATTTTTTTTTATTTAATGTAAAACCAAAAGATATTTCCCTTAACAAGTTAATAAAGGAGGAGTATTGAAATTTACTATTAGCGGAGTAATTTAACCTTTAAATTACTCAGTAGGTAGCTTTTTAGTAGCAATAGATGATGATAATAGCAACGGCTAACTTAACGAATATATTGTTTTGCAAGATAACCCTGTTTAGCAAGATTAGCTTTTCTTGAAGGGAAGTCTATTTGTTCAATCAGCTACTATCTCTTCAACTTATTTGCTATAAAACGGAGCTAGTTACTCTTTCTAAATTTACTTAAGCAGTAGTATGGATTCTATAAACTATGGTTAGTTTGTAATTGTAAACTTCCCTCAAATATTTGCATAATAACTCAGTGGCTACACAAATCCAGTTTGTTCAATTACATTATTAAATTCTCCTGAGAAAGACTACTCTGGTGCATGCTTAAGCTATGGATTAAGAATTAAGATTAAAGTGAATGAGTTAATGACATCTGGAGCATACTATGTTATTTCTATTAATAACATATACAATCCTTCTGTGTTTGGACCTCAGTTTTACAAAGTAATCGATCAATAAATTCTCAATTAATTAATATTAAATAATTTTTATTTAAACAATTAAAAGTGGATTATTGAAGTTGGTGATAATAATTAACAATTTATCGTTTACAAGAGTTTTGCTTCAACTTCAAATTATGTTGACTATGTCTACTCCATTTCACCATAGTAGCAATTGTTAAATTTTGCAGATGCTTCTGGAAATCCAATCACTTAAATTGTACTGATGTAAGGAGTTATTAGTAATCCTATATTTATTCAAAGATAGCTTTCGACAGCTTATGTATTTGCTAGATCTTTTACTCTTGTTAGTTTAGTAGATCAAATTTTAACATTGCCACTTAAGCCTACGGTAAAAATAATTTTATTTTTATGAACAAATTTTAATAAACAACAATCTTACAAATATTACAGGTGCAAGTTGGAACTTAATCAAGCTCATTTTAGCTTTTTGCCAGCAATGCTATTGGTAAGTACAATTTATAATTGTAAAAGCTAGGTGATGGAGAGTTTTATGCTAATTTACCTACTTTAAGTGTTGTTTTTGATGCTACAAGCTCTTAAGTAATAGCTTTTAATGAACAGCCTTTAATGGTAGACATATCTACTTCCGTTATTTACTTAAGCTTAGCAACTTTACTTCCTGTAAGTGATGTATCTATTACTTTTTCAGTTCCAAATACGAACACCTTTACAGGATTCGTTTTAGATCCATAAAAATCTACTCTAAGATTTACTCCAGCAGTAAGTTCTGGTACTCTTCCATTCACTCTCTCTTCTCCTCCTGCAGTTGGAACAACTATCAATTTATCTATGGTTATATCAGGCACAAATGCTGCATCTTACTCTATACCTACAAATCCTTTATAAGTAATTATAAAAATATTTAACAACGAAAAAAAAATATTATTTAAAAAAAGATTCAATTTATTGCATAAGATTCCACTACTTTAGCCGTTTCAGTTTCATCAACACCTTCTACAACTTCTCCTACTACAGCAGTTCTTTCCGCATAATGTGGAAAAGCTGCTCAATTCTATTGGGGTATTTCTGTATCATATAGCTCTGATACAACCAAATGTGCTATAACTTAAAAATAAGTTATTTCGACTGTAAAATTAATTTCAAATCATGAATTTTAAATTTAATCATTTTAATTAATTTAATAGTTATAAGATTCGATTAATGATATATAATTATGTTTCTACTAATTTGGTTAAGTCTATATTAAAGGAGCACAAACTGCAACAATAAATCTTACAAATTTGAGAGTAAATTCTTAATATAGGATTTATGGTTTATGCCAAGATGGAAGCAATAACCAATCATTTACAACTAATCCTGTTACAATGACAACATCTGATAATTCTGGATAAGTGATGAAACTAACAATAGACTTTGATGCTGCGCCTACTATGGAATAAAGATAAAAGATATTATGCTTCTTAACATTATTCTTCTAAGTGTAACCTCTCTAGTAAACATAAAAACATTCTATCTCTAATTTAAATTTATCACTTAATTTTTTGTAATATTAACTAGTCTAAAATCGTTTGATGGAACATATTGCCAAGAATTAAATCAATCGAATAGGAGAAGAGTAAGACTATTGCAAGCTAATTAGCAAGCATAGCTAAATTGCGCAGAGTCTTCTACTGATTTGCCAATTATTACTTAACCAAACTTATTTACTTAAACATTCTATTTTGGAAAAGCTATGAATGTAGATAATGACTAAGTTGCTACTTAATTACTAAGCGCTACAAAAAAAGCTTGCTTCAAGACTTACTTTTAGTCAAACTTATAGGGTATCCCTAATGTCATAAACATTTATAAAGCCATTTAAATATAAGCTTCTGCTCCATCTCAATCTTAATCTCCTGTTACATTTGTAGGAAATAATTGGAGCTATTTCGAGATGTAATTGAAATAAAATGGTTTAATTTATATGATCATAGATTCTTCTGGTGGAACTCCAACTTCTTCATAAGTTATTCAAGGAGTTAACTCTTTAAGTAAACCTGCTCTTGCATAAGCCAGTATAGCTGTTGACACATTAATAAACCCAAGTGGTAATTTTACATTTGCACCTCTAACTGCTGGTTAAAGTTATACCATCTATTATGTTCTTAGTAACGAAAATCCTTTCCCAGATTAAAGCATTTTCTCTTCAGTATAAAATATCCAAGTAACAGCTACAGCTATACCTATTGATTCCTTTGCAAATACTTTAAAATTCTAACTGATTTTAGTTTCTATTATTTTAGTAACTTTTGTATGAAAAAACCATAAATAATTTTATAATAGACCAATAAAATTTATAAGTAGTAATATATATAAATACCTGCATTAATTGATACAAATTGAATTCTTTTTAAACGAATTAATTAATTAATGAAACATTTTATTATAGTTATTTGTTAAGTCAAATATATTTTTATTAAATGTTTAAATCATTAATATCATCTTCTAAAAAACTTAAAATAAATAAATAGAATATAAATTGTATAAATTGTTTAACAATAATTAATTAATTAAGTCTAATTTTTAAGTAAATAAAATATATTAAAGTAAAAAAAATCAATTTGTTTTTATTTTTTTCTTTTTTAGTAATTGCTTTGGATCTAACTTGAAAGAATTGTTAAGTTTCCTTTTCTTTAATCCAGTAAATTTCATTTATTAAGGGGCTTCTATATTTTTATCGGACTAATTAAATAGATTTTTGTCATTTGTTTTTTGAGTATCTTTAAATAATTGTTGAGTTTTAAATTGTTCTTTGCTTAAATTCTTGTTATTATTTGTATTATGATTCAATTTTTTATTTATTTCAAAAAATCCTATAGCATTTTATCCGTTTATTGAAAATAAATCATCATATTCTAGATCACCTTAGTCTACATTTTATTTAGGGTTCAATTAATCGTTAAAAACATTAGATTTTTTAGTGCTTTCATCAATATCTAATATTAGCTTATCGAAAACACTAGATTTCTTACAGCTATTATCATTCACAAAATGGTTAGTAGAGCATTTTGTTAAAGCAGATTCTTTGCTAAAAGCTCCAAATGGAGAGCTAAATTCATCATCAAATAATTTCCTACAGAATGGTTAGTCTTTAAGAGGTATTTTTTTCTATGTAATTTTTTCTGCTGATATTTATTTTCCCTTATAAACAATTGGCTAGTTAGATAAATTAGAATGATTTAAGTTATCTTTTTAAGAGTTTTTTTCTAGATTGCTGTCTTCGTCCAATATTTAAAATGGTATACTGTCGCCTATTTTATAAATAATGTGAAAAAGAAAATAAATATTGTTAAAACGGTTATAGCTAATTACAGTCCAATTTTTGTGAGTTTGATTTGTCCTTTTCTTCAAAATCTATTTCTATTTCTAATTCTTTCAACAAAAAATCCAAATCGTTGTCAGTTTATTTTTGGGCTATAAAATTAGGTGTTTATTAAATCATTTATTTTTTCTCTTAAATAATTTTTGAAGGTTTTTAACATTAACTCTTTTAGTCATTTGTGTAATCTTCCACTTGAAGTGTTATTGGTTCTGTGTAATCAGTTATTTTAGAAATAATCTATTTATATAAAGAAGCATGAGATTCGCTCTTTTAGCTCTGAAATTTGTTTATAGGTGTCTCATCATAGCCAAAATCTATTGAATTGACTTAATTGTTTTATATTTCAGAGATATTTAAATCGCACTCTATATCTTTTAAGTAATTACTAGGCATACTTCTATTTGAATAGTTCTTTTTTCTTTTTATTTAATTGAATTCATTCTCTTCATAGTCAAAGTCGAATTGTTCTTCATCACGGTATACATTTTTACTTTAATTATTCTCAATATCTTCATAAATAGAAATAAATCCTTCATTAAAGCTTTAAGTATAGTCTGTCATAAATACCTATTCATCTTTTTATTCGTTTTACTAGCGATTCAATTCGTAATAATTATTTTTATTATTATAATTATTATTCTTTTAACCCATATTTGTGATTTATCTTTCATCTGTTATATTTTCAATATCATCCTCAGATATAATTATCTCCATATCATGTTATTATTATTAAAAAAATTTTTCATTTTTATACTTGGTGTTATTATTATTCTTTTTTAAATCTTCAACAGTTCTGGCTTTCTACATAAAGATTTTTTTGCTCTAATTAATATCTACCTTTATTTCAGGTGGTAGTATATCCTAGCTTAATGTCTAAGTTGTTATTCTTTATTTACTAGTATTTAGCTTAGATATTTCAAATTTTTAAATATTTTTTCTACTTCTCTTTTTTTTCTATTGAGGAGATTTCTGCTAATTGTATGCTTTTGAAGGTTAGTTTGACAAATGATTATCTTCATTGAAGCTTATATCTATGCTTTAATTCTATCTTAATCTATTTGAACCTTAATTATCAATACTCACTACATCTTGAATATTTAGTAAATTATCTACTTTTTTCCCATCTAAAATTTTAGTTTTCAAATCTAACCACTTGATGTATTTCCCTTTTAGTAATTTGTCAAGTGTCCCTATACCTTCAAGTAAAAAAGCATCTACTTATTCATTCACTTGACTTAAGCTATATAAACAACCAATAGCTTGATCTATTAAATGTGGAGTCCAAGAAAACTAATCAAATTTTTAATACTAAATAAAATAACAAATATTTATTAAACTTACTTCCAAGACAATAGCTGTAGAAAATAGGGATAACTCAATATCTTATAAATTTGTGAAAGACATCAAAACAACGCTAATTTATGGATCTATTTGATGTAGTAACTCTTCTTTTTAAGCAAAATTAGTTTTTTTATCAACAACTATGAAAGTAATATTTTTTGCTTATAAATGGGTACCAATCATCTCGAAAGATTTCTGATGATATCCAAAAATTACTATTTTATCATCAGGTTTTTATTCTAATTATCTATCTATGAATTACAAGCAACCCTTGATCTTTGCATCTAATGATAAAGTATAGCATTATGAATAGATACCTTTTGAAAAGTTTCTATTAAATTTTAATAAAATAATTATTAAATTTTTTTAAATATAAAATTTATTTTATTAATCAATATATCCTAATTTTTATACTGATTATTATTAAATTTTATCTCATTATATAAAAATAAAATTTCTATCATTTTGATTTTATAGTATGTTTTAGTGGATAGTTATCAGATGTAACTAATATATCGTATTGTATCGATAAACTTAGTATTTTGATTTACGAGGTAAGCCAAAAATATGGATTTTTTCAATTAACTAGGAAACTCTTTCATTTTTTGAATTAAAAGTTATGATGTTTGAAAGAATAAGGTGTATTACTTAATAATTTTCTCTTTTATCTCAAGTATAAACCAAATATTTAACTTAAATTTAAGCAATTTTAGTTAAAAAAAATAAATTTGCATTAATTACCCTCCAATTCTATGTGCATTATGAACGAGGCTATTTATAATTGATGTAACACTTTTATCACATTCTATAGGAACAATTCCAAAATTAGTAAAATTATGGTTATCTGCGAACATTTATCTTGTTCTTCTAATAAATCCTATTTAATTTAGCATACAATGAAGTTCTATCCAATTATTTTCATTGTTAACATATCTGTCTTTGAAAGCTTTAGTATTATGGAAGCAGTCAGGACGAATAACTCTTAGCAAAGGAAATAGATCTTCAACTGATTATATAATACAGCAACTACTCAAAAGGACAACTCTTTTTCTTTTGCATAAATACTCCATTAAATTTCTCTCATTTACAAACTTTATATTTCTCAAGTAATGAGCCTCATCTACTAAAGCAACTTTTATATCTTGAAGTTCCTCTTTTCTAGTAGAAACTTGATCATATCTTTTATTTAAATATCAACTAATTAAACATATTTTAATTAAAATGTTAATAAAAACTTACGTAGCTATTATTGCATCCTTTTTGAAATCAAATTAAGTTTAATTGTTATATAAAATTTATATGTCTTTATCTTTCAGGCTAAATTGTTATTTTAGTATTGATTTCCATTTCTAACGCTAAGTTAAATATTTTTAAAAATTAATAAAATAAGCATAAAATAACAATAAAACCTGAGTAGAAGAAGCAATTATTAAAAAAGGTATTTTATAATCATAAGCATATGCAATATTGACTGCTGTTTTGCATGAATTCAGTCCTGGGTCATCAGCAAGGATAACTCTTCCTCTCATCTGAAAAGCCATTTAAATAGCATCACTGATATGTTCCTAAGATAATCCAAGATCATTTGCAAGCTATTAATTTTAATTTATTTTAAAATATTTTTTAAATTAAAATTTAATTAATAATCTTGAAATAGAAAAATCAAATATAACATTATACTTATTCATTTCCATAATTGATCTCTGAAACAATGTTGCCTTTTAAGTCTCTAATTTTTAACTTATTCCCAAAGTCTGTAAAAGCTTCTGTCACAAATCTTGGGATATCTGATAATTTCTTTTTCTTTTATTTGGCGCTAATCTAAAAATTAATCTTTCGAAATTTAAAAAATCCGTTTAGCTTCGATTTGAAATCCAAAATTAAGTACCTTATCTTTCATGAATGAAGACTCTGCGATATCTATTAGATATCCATTGTATTTCTCCTCATATTTGCTTCTATTTTAATTCTTAAAAATAAATTTAACTTACTTTTTTTTATGTTAAAATGAGTAAAGTTACTTGCAAATATCTCTTTATATAAGGATCTTTAATTAGTATTTGGTTTTCGACTTGTACCAGAGCTTATGTGTTACTAATCTGTTAAATAGATGTAATCATTAAAAATATAATCTAGTCTTTAATAGTAGCTCAATAAAAGTAGGATGTTGCAAGCAAACTATGTGCTCCTTTTTTATTTGAGAAATTAGAATTAATAAATTTTTTTGCAAAATAAAAAATTTGATTTAAAAACAATGTTCTGGTAAAGTAATCAATGATAAAAAATTTAAATTTAATAAAAAATTGCGCAATTTAAGTATGAATTTATTAGTACTCATAAAATAAATTTTTTTTTAATTTAAAATAAAAAATGTTTTTGCTAATTTTCCATCCTCCAAATCATTTTTTTGAAATAATTTAATTTATGTTTAAAAAATTTTTTAAAAATAAATTATTAAATAAAATGAAGGTAAAGCATATATAATTGCTGTAAGTTATCAAATGTAAATTAATCAATCATTTAAAAAACCTAAAAAATTTTTCTTTGTTAAGTTATCAAATTAAGTTTTGATTTGATTTGTTAAGCAAAAAAAATTAAGCTTTTATTAAAGTCTTTTATTTTTTCTAGTCTGATTCCATTCTACTTTATTGCAAGAAATTTCAAGAAAAGATACCAAATAGTACGCATAATAACTATAAGAAAGTAATAAATAACTTTTAAAGAAAGTAGAAACAGATAAATAGGTAGAAAGACTTTTAGAATTAAATACTCAACTTTATCTTTTAATTAAAAGTATTAAATAGTTATTAATTAGTAGAAGAAAATTATTTATTTAACAAATATTGCATAAATAATGCATTTAAAAACACTCTTCAAATCATTAATTACTCCAAGTAAGTAAATTACTTTGAGAATATCTAACGTATAGCCAGTTATCAACAGTATTAAATTCGATTAAACAAATCATAGTATACATAACTCAATCTCACATGAAGTATAGGACAGATCTCAAATAATTGAGAATTTTGCTGAGAAGTTGTTAGCAAAAAAATATAAATAGATAGCTTTCTTGACAGGAGCAGGAATTAGTGTAAGTGCTGGAATTCCAGATTTTAGATCTCCTGAAACTGGGCTTTACGCCTAAATAAAAAAAGAATATGACATAAGTGATCCTTAAAAAATATTTTCAATTAGATATTATCAAGATAATCCTTTGCCTTTTATGCAAGTTATTAGAGATTTCTTTTCAAGAGAATATCACCCAACTTATGCTCATAAGTTAATCCATTAAATCTACAAAAGAAAACAACTATTAATAAATATAACCTAAAATATTGATGGCTTAGAGTTAAAAACAGGGATTAATCCCTCAAAAGTAGTCTAAGCACATGGACATATGAGAAAGGCTCATTGTGTGAATTGCAATCATATTGTCAATATTGAAACTTACTTACAAAACTGCAAACAGTTAAAAAAAACCTAATGCCCCATTTGCAATAATTTAGTGAAGCCAAAAGTAATTTTATTTCTTTGTTTAAATTTTAATTGTAATGCTAGCAAAAATATAGGAAATAAAAATTAGAAATTATTGGCACAATTAGTTGAAAAAAATAAATATTTTAAATTTCAATCAAAAATATTTATTGAGAATCAACTTTATTTATTATTGAAATTTATCAGTTAGTTTCCATATCATAAATTTTTTATATTTATAAAAATAAAAGATTGTTTTCTTTGGAGAGTTTCTTCCTAATGAGTTTTATTAGTCTAGAGATATTTTGCCAAATTCAGATTGTGTGGTTGTTATGGGAACATCTTTAGGTGTCTTTCCATTTGCTAATTTAATAAACGAAGTAGGTACTTCTGTTCCAATATATATAATAAACAATAAACTTCCTAAAAATATAAGTCATCTTAAAAATCAAATTGAATTTATATAAGGAGATATCAATGAAATTTCTAAATAAATTATTGATTACATAAATTGATATTCAAAAATATTAATTCCATTATTCAAAAATGAGCATTAAAATATATTTATTTATCTAAATTTAAATATCTTAGTTTAAAATAGTTATAATTTTCATGTTATATAAATCAAATCTAATAAATAAATAAATAAAATTATGATTTTGAACGTCATATATGCATTTATGAAAAATAAAGTTATCAAAGAAAATATGAATATGATTAAAGATCCACTACATATTAAAAAAGATATAATTAATACAAATGCAAATCATATTTGACTTAAAAAAGTTTAATTGCAAAATTGATTCATAAGGCAGGCAAGCAAGCTATTAAGCCATTTTTAATATTTAATTTTAGGTTATTTGTTAAGATATTTAAACTGTTTAATCATTGAGAAAGGATCAAAGCAATAATTAAACCATAAAGACCCAAGGCTTCAGCAAAAATGAGAATAAGAATCATACCAACAAAAATTCTATCTTATAAAGCATTAGCTCTAACACCAGCATCACCAACAATACCAATAGCATAACCAGCAGCCTATTTATTTATAAGATATAAAAAATTAAAAAGAATTCTAATTAAGCAAGCTAAGCTTAAAAACGCAATATTATCTATTTATCTAATAATAAATCAATCAATTATTTATTTATTTATTCATTTATTTGCATTTAAATAAAATATTTATAAGCTATCTTATATTCAAAATACTAAAAGTTCTATTTTTAAATTTGAGATATTATCATTTATTTGTAATATGTTAATTAATTTATTTATTTTCTAAGATTTTTCCTATATTTAAAAATGAATTCCTTTTATAATTATTTTTTAGAGGAGATTAATTTCTATTCCATTGTATTTTATCTAAAGCTTGATTGATGCAAACAAGGCTTTTTTTCATCTATTTTATCCTATGTTTGAATATTAATAATAACCCTTTTTCTACAAACCTTATTACTATTTTTGAATATAAGAAGCTTTTAAATAGAAATATTCTTTGAATAACATTTGTTTAGATAATATTTCATTCTTTCTTTTTTAAGTTAGCAATAAAAAATTAATTTTTACAAGAGAGCTCAAACCACAAGCTAAACCAGCAGCGAGGTGAGCGTAACCGTCGAAATCGGTGTAGTTACTCTTACTAACTAAATTTATATTTAATTAAAATGATTTAATAAATTATTTATTCAATTTTTATTATAACTAAGCAGAGTTTAAGTGTATTGAGAGCATATTTAAATACTATTAAAATAGAAAATATTATTTAAAAAATAAATTATGTCTTCTTGACTTTGTTTGCTAATATACTTATATTCTTCAAACTTACTCATTTAATAAATATTATTTCAATTTCACTATCCTTTATTTTATTTATAATATTTCCTAGGTGATTTTTTCACATAAAACTCATCTTAGATTTTTTATGAATATAAGAATTATTTTAATTTTACTCTTTTGAATTAGAATGACAGCAACGATCATACCATAAATACCCAATATACCAGCCATGACAACAGGAATGAGGGATTTCATGATAATAGAAGGTTTCCAGACACCAATACTACTGATACCTGAACCTGCTTTAGCAGTACCGTAAGCGGCACCTACATCTTTTATTATATTAAAAATAGAATGCTTATTATTAATTTTTCGAAGAACACTTCAAATTTGATAATGAAAATTGCTTTATGATTAAAATTTATTTTATATTTTTCCTAATTGATTATTTTATTAATTACTTGCTAAAACTAAGGCAAGGGATACACCTGCAAATCCAAAGAAAGGAGCACTAGTTGATTTTGGTTAGTCAGCCATTTCTAAATATTATTATAATAAATTGATTGTTTGTTTGTTTGTATATGTACTTTTTTATTCTTTTATCTTTAATTATAAATAAATTAATTGCTTTTCTTTAGCTCTTTTCTTAATATTTTTTTATTTTACTACCTTTACATTCAATTTTCTTCAACTCACAGCTCATACAATGTTGTCAATATTGCTTTATTTATTAATTAATAAATCAATTAGTGTCATCACCTGAATATATTTTTATTTAGCTATTTTTCTTTTTTAATTTTTGTTTATTTGTAATTATCTTCATATTAAATGAAGATTTATACCTAAGATTTCTTCAAATACCTTTTCCCATATATATATCCATCTATCAATCTTTCTAATTATCTATTTATCTACTGTTTGCTTTAAATCTTCTTTCTTTACATAATGAATGACATACATATACTTTTTTTTTCCTGATTGACATTCATTTTTATAAATGCTTTCTGATTTTTATTTTTGATGGATGATCACATCATTCATTCAGTTTATCAGCTAAAAAATCTTCATTCTAAAGATTTTATTTAAAAAAATACCAAAAAACTATCCTATTATTTATTTATGCAAAATACAATAATATAAACAAATTTATATAATAATTTCATTTAATCTTTATTAAAATTAAGAAGATGTAATAATCGAACTAAAAATTGTTTTAATAATTAATAATTCATTAATTTTTAGCAAACTAATTGTAATACTAAATAAAGCATTGTATATTAAAGAAATTTATTTTTTTTGAAATAGAAAAATTTTTTTAATGAATTACAACTTAAAAAATGATTTCCTTAATCATAAATTTTTTTTTTTGATAAAGACTAATAATAAAGTTTTGAAATTTCATTACAATTTTGATAGAAACTTAATTAATTTATATTTAAAAATAATAATGTGATAAATCTACTAATTTTATTAAAAATTTATTTTATAAATAATTTTTTAAAGGCATTTGTTTTAAAATGATTTATTATTTGAGTCAGTCAAATAAAAATATAATTTTGAAAAGATCATCAAAAAAGTTTATTAAAAAAGATATATAATTTTTAAGCAACTCAAATAGCCTTTTTATTATTTCAAAAATATAAATTTGATAAAGATAACTTTGAATTATAAAAAAATAAAAATGAAACCTAGCTTATCTTTTATATTTATAAATTTAATTCGATAAAAAATTAATTTAGTTTTAACTTTTTAATATAAATATTTGATTAAAATATTATTATTTTTTTTTAATTTATTTGTATTTTAGTTTAAAATATGTTTTACACTTTTTAACTCATTTGTTTCTATTTTAAATTTCCTAAATCTTGTTTGTTTATTAATTTGAATTTTTAGTAGAATAATCTCTTTGCAAAAATTTTTAAAAATTTTTCACTTTTTTTTCTATTTTAAAATAAAGCTTTAATAATTATTTTTTCTTTCTTAGATTACATTCTAAAAACTAAGTAATGACTGATGATTTACTTTAATCATAAATACTAAAAAGAAAATGAGCTTTTAAATAAAAACAGTCTATTTTGATTTCAAATTTGATTTTTTGAATCTGCAAATTATTTGTATTCATAGAAATAAGAATTATTTGAGATATCTTGATTAGGAATATATCAAATTTCAATACACTTACTTTCAATAAAAGTGTGTGCTTTATTTTTTGCTATTTTCAGTCAGAGTTTGTATTTAAATTTTAGATTTTACACTTATTATTGATAATAATATTTAATATCAAATATCTACATATAAATTAGCTCATACGAAATAATAAATTCAAAATTATATAATCCATCTAAGAACTAAATAAGTTCCATTAAACTAGAAGAATAATCTGCAAAATCCCTACATACTACCACTCTTAATAATACATCTTAACACTTTTCTTTAAATAATAACAGTACGCTTATCAAAATGGACAACAGCTTTTTTCCTAATAACTAAAATACCAACTAGTAGTATCAAGATAATTAATAATTGAATTAATAGGTCTACGGAAACAACAATAATAACATAGTCTATTATACAAGAGAAGAACTTCCTGAATATCAGGAAGGTACAAACCTCTAATAAGTTGGAGAAATTATCACAAATTTAATCAATTCCAAGTAAAATTGGCGTGATCAATTTGATGCAATTACTCACATGCGTGTGCTAAATAAGAATTATCCTTAGCATGTAAATCAAATCTTTTCTAACTTCGGAATGTAAATTTTAGAAAATATCGAAGGAGTTAAGACCTGTACTCTCAAGAACACTCTTCTATTCATTAATGAAGTATTTATGTCTTCATAAATAACTCCTTTAAATGATTTAGTCATTGAGAAATTTGCTCCTATTTTGCTTTAGAAGTCTATAGACGAGTCAAAAATTATTTCTTAGCCAGCATAAAATGCTCTTCTTACTTTTACTTAGACTTGCAGTCACTATGATTCAGCCTATGTTGTCATCATCAAAACAGCAGTTATACATAAAAATCCCAATGTCTAAGAAATAGCTTTGAAAATACTTTCTTAGCTAATCTTAGAAGCTAAAGAAAATTTAACTAAGCTCTAGCCTTAAACTTTTAGCTACATTATGAAAGGATTGACTCAAACTATATCAAACTCTCGTAGTTCTATTAAGGCTTTGTCTAAAGATGTAATGGAAACTATGGCACAAGTAATCGGAAATTAAAATTACATCAACATGATGTAAAATGTACTTTCATAAGAAGAATAGAAAACCATACGTGAAAACTATGAAGAACATGTTAACAAAATTAGTAAATCAAAGAGCAAAGATTTTGTTTAAAGTAATCGCAAATCTATGATATCTTAGTTTAAATCTTAATCTAAACAGAGTATGGCCCCAGTACTAAGAGGTGCAAATATTATTGAGATTAAAACTAACCAAGGCGAATAATATTAAGGAATCTTGCAATAGTAAGATATGAATGTAATGAACTAATAAAATAACATGAATTACTAAAATGGCAATAACAATTAATATTATCAGTAAAATAATAACAACAATAACAACAACTATTTCAATTAAAATCAAGGTTATTACTATTGAATGATTTGAATTAGATTAGTATTATAATAATATTAATTACTTAATTAATTGTTTTTATAACAATAGTTATTATTATAATTTAATCTATCTATAATAAATCAATCAATCTACCAATCTATCAATCAATCAATCAGTAAATCTGTCATCTATTTATCTATCTATATCCAAATCTAATAATAAAGAACTATAATAACATTGAATGTTTTTAAGAAATACACACTAAAATTAAAAAGTTATTAATTAATAATAAAACTCATTCTATTTTTAAATACACTAAACAATTTATCATAATTTATTTTAATATCTATATAGAGGTAATTAATGTTTTTATATTTTATATCCTACTTTCATTGTGTAGACATATTTATTTAATCTTTAATTGATTATTTTTTATGGATATCATTCAAAAAAATGAAATTTATTAATGAAAATGTTTTATTTATCTTTTTATCTATGAAAAAATGGTATTAAACTTTAAGTAAAATTCAAAATAATTTGTAAAAATTTAAATTGATCACCCGCGCATTTATTATTGAAAGAATTAATTAGAAATTCAAAAATTATAGCATTTGTTTAGCTTCATTCTTTGAAGAGAAATTTTAAAGTTAAATTTCAAAATTTAAAATTCATCTTGCAAATCTATAAACCAAATAAATTTTATAATTTTTAATGTAAAAATGATTATGTTCATATAAAGTAGACTCGAAAAGTATCAATCGAATCTTAGTTGCTTATCCATAAAAAAGATAAAAATCACGCCAAATAACAAAATATTTGTTAAAATCCTAGTTATCGTTTGCGGGGCTTGATGATGTTTTAAATGAGAATCTATCTAATCACTAAGAGTATTTTAGGTGAACAAATGATTTATATTTAAATATTATTTGTATTATATTTGATATTATTTATAAAGTTTTCATAAACTAAAACAATATACAAAAAAAACAAGTAAAAAACAATTAAAAGCGAAATATTTTACCATTTTTTTAAGATGAGTGAGGCAATAGGAATTATGGATCCAGCATACTTTGTCAACAAAAATGACATCCTTAAATGGATTAATAACACACTTAAGGTAGCTTTTTCATTTCTAAAAATATTTAACTATCTTGTTTAATGATTTAAAACAATAAAAAATGATCCTACAATTTTTGATATTTTTTATTAACATTTCATTTAAAAAAAAAGCTTAACATAGAAAAAATTGACCATTTAGGTACAGGAGCAGTTTATTGCTAATTTTTGGATATGATTTATCCTGGATAAGTTTGCATGGGTAAAGTTAATTGGAAAGCCAAATTAGAATACGAATATCTTAGCAACTTTAAGATTGTTACTAACTGTTTGGAGAAAAATGATGTTAAAAAGCACATTGATGTAAATATTATTTTTACTTACAAAGATTGTCATAATAATCAATACTTAGCCAAAATTTTTATGCTTTATATCATATATTTTTTCCTAAATAATAGGTAAATAAGTTAGTAAAATGTAAATATCAAGACAATTTGGAATTCGCTTAATGGTTTAAAAAGTTCTTTGATACAAAGTGTGGTGATAGAAATGCTGATTACGATCCTGAAGCAAGAAGAGCCGTAAAAATCAGTTCTGTTGTTGAAGTTCCTAAAGTTGCTAGAAAGGAAGAATAGACTAAGTAAAAGACAATAGCAGCATCATAACCTTCAACTTAAGCTGCAAATAGTACAGTAAAAAAAGCTACTCCTTCTAAACCTGCAACTTCTGCTTTGGCTAACAACAATAAGAGAACTTTAGGTCAAATGTACAATGGCAACTCAAATGGTAAGCCAGCTCTTCACTCAAATACTAAAACTAATACTAATACTACTGCAGCTCATAATCCTTCTAGTAAAGTAACAAATCCTGCTAAAACAGAGAGCAAAGAATACAGTTCTTTAATTAATAGCATAAAGGAAATTTTAACTAAGGGAGAATCTGACTAAGAAATTGTTAATAAAATTAGAACTCTTGTTAAAGTAGATGTAGCTTAAAAAGAAAATACTGCTATTAAACCAGAAGAAAAAGAAAATACTGATATTAAGCCAGAAGAAAAAGCTGAATTGCAAAATAGCTCTTAAATTAAGTAAATAAGTGACTAATCAATATTCAAGGATACCACAAACACTTCTTTTATCGAATAGGAAAATTGAATAACCTAAATAAATAAATAAACATATATAATATCTTGATAACAAGCAAAAGATTAGCAAAGCCTTTCAAAATATATAGTAAAATAGAATATATAATAGTAGATTTAATTCACTGAACAAAATATTATTAACCAATTAATTAATTAAACAAATACTAATCATTTGAGTAAATAAATGAATTTAAATCTATATATAGCATTAAGAAAGGAATTGAGTAAGTAAATCAAGATGAAGTCAATATAAAAAATACTAATAGCTTATTTATAGAGGATTGTACCATCTCACTTTAATTAATTTATAACATAAATTTAATATGCATACCAATCAAATTATAAATGATTAAATTACATTTTATTTTATATTTATGTTTTGGAGTTTGACAAATTTTTGATGTAGCTTGATTTTTTTTCCTTTCATAATTTTTATTGATTTTCTATCATCTTAATTTTTTTTATATTTTTATAAGATATTTATTTTTTATAAATTATAGAATCACTAAAATTTTTCCAAATCAAAAATTTTATTGTCTAAAAAAAAATAAGCTTTTATGAAAATTAATTTATAAATACAATATAATTTTATAAAAAAGGATATAGCCAAATGCCATTCAAAAATTTAGTGAATTGAGATCAATATCTGTTACCTATGAAAATTTTATTTAATTCCACTTGTGCCTAATATATGAGTGTATATGATATGTGAGTATATTGATTTGAAAAAAAAAAATCTATGTAAAAATAAAATTGTCTTGTTTTTAAAAAGGATACAATAAATAAATATAAAGACAGCTTATTGGTTTTAATTAAATTTTTTAAAAGAAAAATAAAAAATTATTAATTAATTTTTGAAGATGTGAATTAATAATACTTAAATTTAATTAGTAATAAAGAGTTAAATGTCTTTTTATTTTAGAACACTAATCAATTTTTGATAAATCAGTAATCTACACCTTCTTTTCATGAACTAGGGGAATACAAAATAAATAAAATCCAACAAAAATTATATATACAATTAATGATACAGATATATTCAATAAATGCATTCAATAATTTTAATAGATAGATATGTTTTTATGAGTTGATAAGATCCATTAATTAATTGACTAGTAATCAATCAAAAAGATTAGAGATTAAAGCTTTTTATTAATTGGAATTTAACTAAAAGATATAGCAATTAATTAAAAAGCATTAAAAGGAAGAAATAAGAAATAATATAGATATATTCTAAAGTAGTCTGAATATTCTAATTTTTTAAAAATTAGCATAGCATAATATTATATAAATTGTACAATATACTAGTTTATTTATTATCAATAGTTTTTATTTAGTAAAAATAAATATAGTTTTTTCCTAGTTTGTTTTATGAATAAAAGTTATTAAGAATGGATTAATCCTAATGTAGAGTGTTGGGTTTGGCTCAAATATGAAAATTCTTAGCAAAATTAAAACAATTCTGAAAATGGATAATATTTCTAGTGCGTTATTCAATCAGTATAAAAAGAAAAGAATTTAGCAAAGATAAAAGTTACTTGTAAAGAAGAATAATTAGGAAATCGAATATCAGATTAAGCAATTAATGGATAATTAGATGTTTAATTTGAAAGATTATTAGAAAAGGAAATTATGGTTGATTCTCTTCAAACTTTAGGTTATTCAGATATGGTTCATATGAAGTATTTAAATGAGGCTGAAATAATCAATAATTTGAGAAAGCGATATTAAAATAATATGATTTTCACATATATTGGACCAACTTTGGTAGTTATGAATCCATATAAAGAAATAGAAGGAGTATAAGATAATCAAGTAATAGATAAAATAAAATCTGATCTAGGCATAAAATTTGAAGAGGATTTCAAAATGAATAATCTGAGCACCAACTAAAATATTATAAACACACCTCATACATATACTGTAAGCGGATTAGCCTACAAATAAATGTTTAGCAATAAGAAAAATTAAGCAATAGTTATATCAGGCGAAAGTGGAGCAGGTAAAACAGAAAATGCTAAATTATCGATGCAATTTTTAACAAGTTTGAGTTCAGGGTCTGATAAATAAAATGATTTACTCAATTAATTAAAGACTCAAACAGCTAAGAATATTCTATTAGAAGAGTTTAACTAATTTGCAATAGAAGTAAAAATACTTGCTTGTAATCCTATTCTAGAAGCTTTTGGTAATGCTAAAACAGTAAGAAATAATAATTCCTCTAGATTTGGTAAATACGTAAAAATCTACATAGATAAAACATCTTAAAAGATAAATGGAGCCTCCATTGATAGCTACTTACTCGAAAAGAGCAGAATACCTTGTCCAGGAAAGGGAGAGAGAAATTATCACATTTTTTACCACATGCTAAAAGGAAATCAAGAACTATCTAATTTGAGATTGAGTTAGTTCAAAAATTTATCTGATTTTGATTATCTAAAGAAAAGTGACTGCTTTGAGGTTGAGAACATTTAAGATGCTAAACTCTATTTGGAAGTAAAGAAGTCCTTCAGATAAATGAATTTCTCTAACTAAGAGTAAGAAGCTATATTTTCTCTAATATCTGCGATACTACTGTTAGGCAATGCAAATTTAGACTCATCAAAAGCTAGCGACACTCAGGCTCCAACTTTTTTGAACATGAGTTTACCGACACATCATAAAGAATTCAAAAATGCCTCTGAGTTACTCTAAGTTAATCCTAAAGACCTTGAAGAGTCTTTAGTATTTAAGGTAAGGAAAGTTGGAACTACAGTAATTAAATCTCCATAAACTGCTGAAGAATGCTTGTCTATGAGAGACAGTCTAAGTAAAAATCTATATGATAGTCTTTTTAACTTTTTGGTTTGGAAGTTAAATTAAAATTTGTTGCCACCTTAAGATTTGCTAAATAAATCATTAAGCATAGGCCTTTTAGATATATTTGGTTTTGAGAGCTTTGATATAAACTCATTTGAGCAGCTTTGCATTAATTTTACCAATGAAAAATTTTAGTAATTGTATGTTTAATATGTTTTCAAAAGCGAAGAAGAAGATTATAAATAAGAAGGAATTTTGGATGTATTTTCTGATTTATAATATTAAGAGAATTAGCTCATTATTGATACAATTGAAAAAAAACCCAATGGTAAATTCTTATTTTCATATTTTACATTTTGATTTATATTTTATTTAAAGGAATCATGGTGCTTTTAGATGAAAATTGCTCATTGGGATCAGGGACGGATGATTCTTTTTTAAATTAAATTACAAAAAACCACTCTAAAAATCAACTTGTCAGCTTCCCTAAAAAAGATAAATATTCTTTCAGCCTTAGTCATACAGCAAAACAAGTTGTATATGATGTGCGCGGATTTAGAGATAAAAATAAAGATGAAGTGAGTACCGAAGTAGAAAAATGTCTTTAAAGTAGTAAATGTCCAGTTATTGCGAATTTATTATCTTATTAAGGGTCTTAAACTTAGTAGAATAAAGAAACTTAAAATCTTCAAAATTTTGGAAATAATTTAAATTTTAAAAAAGCTGAAATTAGTAATCAAATGAACTCAAGTAAAAAGAATGTAAAGTTTCTAGGCTAAAAATTTAGATAATCTTTATAGGAATTAATGATAGAATTGAATAATAGCGATGTTCACTTCATAAGATGTATAAAACCAAACGAAGAAAAGAAAAAGAATTTTTTTAAGTATGATTATGTTTATTAGCAAGTACAGTATTTAGGCATACTTGATTCCATTAAAATCCGCAAAGTTGGATATTCTTACAGAATGACTTATGAAAACTTTTTCTTAGAATACCAAGAACTGGGATAGAAAACAAAAGGATTAACATTGTAGAAGGTTTAGCAATAAAAGTTAGATTTAAAATAATTAATTACAACAGAAATATTTGAAAAGACCAATTTATTGCAAAATAAATAACTTCCTTAGAAATGTGTAGCATTTGGAAAAACAAAAATATTTCTCAAAAATGAAGTTATGAAGATTTTGCATGAAAAAATTTAAGAAATTATTTAATAAAGAAAAAAATATGCAAAGCGAATTATTGTCTCAATTTAAAAATATCTGTTTAGGAAATACTTCCATAAGAATTTAATGAAAATAAAAAATTAATTAATTAAATTGCAATCATTTGCTAGAATGGCTATTTAAAGATAAAAATTCCTAAGGAAAAAGAAATCAATATTAAAAATGAAGAAGCTTATTAGGCTAAGAATGTTGGGATAAGGAATCTCTGCATTTAGGTTAAACTATATCTCATTTGTGTGGGATTTGGTTTGTTTTATGATATTTGATAAAACAAATATTCATATTGCATTTTAGTAAATTAAATATTATCGTAACCCAAATAAAACTAAGCCTGTTGTTCAAAATTAAACATCTACAATTTAGTAAAATAAATAGTAAAATCAACAAGTAAAATTAAAATAAATATTTAAATGTTTATTTAAATTTTTTTATTTTAAAATAGCCTTAAAAAAGCCAAAATTAAGTTACTTCATCATTTTAAGTAAATAATTAAATGATGCAATAAAAATAAAGTCTTGTAGGCCAATAAATTTAATCTATTGTAAACGAGCTTAATTTAGGTGAGATATAAATTAATAAAACCTAACAAGATTTAAAAGACTTTAGAAAATCAAAGATTATACCTTAAGTTAACTTGAATCCATCACAGTATTTAATTTTATTTAAATTATTTATTTAATTCGTACAAATTTTAAGAGAAATCAAAATCTATAAAAAATTTTTTTAGGATTTAAAAATTTGAGCTATGATTAGATGTTAAACATTTTCTTATTTTGCATTAAATTGAATTTAAATAAAATCATGCAATTATTAATTTGAAAATCAATTTAAATTAAATTAATAATAAAAATTTTAGTGAAATTATTAAGACCTACACCCATAAAATGGATTGAAAAAATATTTTCACTACTTAAAATATTTGTTTTAATTAAATTTTAAATAAAAATTAATTAGTAGTAGTAAGAGGGCCAGCAATGCTTGGAGATAAACCCTAATTGCAAGTAGTAGTTAAAATAAAATTAATAAAGATTTGTAGCTATCTGAATTAGGAGAGTAGAAGCTGATAAATATGAAAGAAACAACTGACTAAAAAGAAAAAATTAAATATACTAAACCTCTGATATTATAATTTACAGAGTATAACCCTGCTTATTAGTATGCAGAGTTTAATATGGAGAGTGCAATAGATTTAGAAGATGTTCCTAATAGTTTAGATTTTGAGGGTGAATTAAATGATTTGATAAGTGAAGAAATCATTCAATAAATAAAAAAAAATAACTTTTATTCACACCTTTCTTTTATTCTTGCAAAAAGAACAAAATGGGGAATCACACAAACTTAAGAGAAAATAATGAGGCACTAGCTTAAACCAATTTCAAATCCACTAACAAATATTGCTGATTTGAAGAATATAATCACCTATGAAGACACAAAAGATGCTGTTTAATCAATTAGGAGTATTATTCAATAAAATAATTTATATAATGACACATCAACATAGACTTAAAGACCAATTAATTATGAAGATGCTAGAACTGGAAAATTAGATAAGTAAGTATCTAAATAAATTACTAACGATTAATCACAAAAATTAGCAACTGTCTTTTCGAAATATTCTCTGATGAACCCAAGAAAAGCTAGTGTTAGAGACACAAACTCACTTGAACAAATTGTCCTATAATAAAGAAAACTTACAAAATTAATTTAGTATAAAAAATTTTCTCCTTCAGAAAAAGCTATTAACATATTTAAAACTCTCTTAAAGTGCACAGGAGAAAGAAAATCCCGATATAACAGACACAACAATATCATAAAGCTTCTTACCCTTTGTAACGAAGAGTCAATCGACCTAAAAGAAGAAGTAAATTAAAATTTTTTTGTCAAAATACATATTTGATTTTAATCTCTTTTTCTTTTTTTTTTAGTGAAAAATAAGAATAAATTAAAAAAAATAAATGCTTTATCAATAAATAAAAATTTTATCAGCATTAATTAAGTTTTTAAACTAATATTTTAATCTTTTATGATTCAAATAACATTTTTGAAAACCATTTTTTAAATATGCATTTTGGGAAATTTTAAATTGATGAATTAAAATATTTTAGGTTTACGTTTAATTATGCAAATAATTAAGTGCAAATGATAAAAAGGAGTCAAGAATAAAATATTTAAAGCTGTTTGCTATTATAAGCAGCATACTGCCAACAACCAGTAGATTTTATTATCCTTTACTTCACTTTTTATATATGAGAAATACAGATACTCAAATAGAATAGGATGAGAGAAAATGGTACTAATACTGTTTTCAAAGAATTTATAAAAGTGAGTAAATACAAAGAGGATGCATCCCAACTGATACTGAAATTGTAATGATTGAGAATAAGAAACAAATTTTGATTAGAGTTTATCTTCTAAATGAAATCCCAATTACTGTAGGAGTAGAAAGCTATACTAGTGTGAAGATGCTTAAGCAGGAGCTACTTTAGAAAATAGGTATAACCTAAAGACATGAATATTATGGCCTTATGGAAGTAAGAAACAATATTAAGAAAAAGAGAAAAGAAACGAGATTTATAGATGAAAGTGAGAGAGTAATGGATGTGATAGCTTTTTGGGAAAATGAGTAGTATTTATTTGGATCTCAATTAAATTCTTCTTTCATACATAGCAACTCAAAATAAAATGATGAAGGTATTGAGCAATTCAACCTTTAAAATTATTAGGATCTTGAAGGACTTAAAATTTACCTTGGAATCAGAATACTTTTTTCATTTTAAGAAAACGATAAAGAAGCAATAAGCGTTTTCTACACTTAGCTATCTTCAGAAGTACTTGAAGGAAAGTATGCACCTTTGGAGGAAAAAGATTACTTGAATTTGGCTGCTTTATAACTGTGCATAGATTTTCCAAGAGACGTCATTTTAAAAGAAATATCTAAAAGATAGAGTATCAATGCAGATAGTGGGTCTCCATAAAGAACATAGAGTAATTTTTTGAGTGCTACTAGCTAAAGTGAAAGCGGTGCATCACAGCTTAAAAAGCTTTCTTATTAAGATATTGAACAGATTGATGAATAAGATGAATACGAACAATTCATATAAAATAGAAATGAAATTTTAATTGATCCGGTTTTTTACATACCAGCTAAAATGTATTTCTAAAAAGATATTCAGTAATGGTAACACTTAATACTATAGAATTTGGTTGATAATAGACTTTTAAAGAAAGAGTACACTCCATCTTAAGCAAAGTTAGCCTACATACTTTATCTTAGTAAGTAAGATTTGTTTATGAGTACAATATTTAGAGATGTAAAATACCAAAGAATCAAAATTAAAACACTAAATGACACACTTTCTTCTAAAGAAAAATATGAGCAAATGATTTAATAAAATTAACAAATTCCCATTAAAGACGAGATACTTTTAGCAATAAACCCATCTAATATTCTGATGTGCGATTCTATAGGTTTAAATAGACCAAAAAGAAGAGTGCAAATTAAAAATATCTAAAAATTTTGCTGCACTGAGAAGGAAGTTATAGTAATATCTCATGATAATACAAAACATATTTTTGAAACTCCCCAATACTGTAGAGAAATAGCTTTCTTAATTCGCTCTTACTTGAGAATATTTTATTAAAAATAATAGTAACAACAATAATAAGAAAAAAGTCAATGAGTCTCTGTTCCTTTTATTTATAAGTAACAGAACATTTCAAAAAATAATATATTCTCTTGTTTCAATATTCTATTTATTTAATTTAAATATAAATTACCATTAAGTCTTCTTAATATATATTGTTTATATACTAGTTATTTTAATAATTTTAAAAACTTAACCTCAATATATTTAACTTGAATTGCATATGATATTCAACTAGTATTATATCTTATTCATTAAAAGTAAAATTAGAACTATTTTTATTATTATTATGATAAATAAACTTTGACAACTTATAAGAATAAAATTAATTTGAAAGATAAAATTATTTTTAATAAAATAAATGCAAATATAATTAAAAAAATAAATAAAATTTGCTTTTAAATTTAATTTTTTTATATATTTAATAATATTTTTTAAAATTAATTACATTTATGATAAAAGCCCATAAATGGTTTAGCTAGATTTAAAGGTGTAAGTGTGATATCTTAAAATTAGTACTCTAAAACTTAAAAGCATTTTAATAATTTCATCTTCAATTAATATGAATTAAAATATTTGCTTTTTTTTTTGAACAAGCTTTATTCTATTTTCAAAATTAAATAAATAAAAATATATTTAATTCAAATTAAAATAATAAAGTTTTATCAATAATTAAGCAAAAATAAGCTATTTAAAAAATAAAATTAATTTAAATAAAGGATTAAATCTATTAATAACAATAAAATCAAAATTAATTTTAAAATATTTTTTTAATTATTTTTTTTCAATAAAAAAATGTCTTTATGAAAATGAATGAATTAATAAATTAAATCTTTATGAATTTATTTATCTAAATAAACAAAAAACTTATAAACATGTATTTGCTTTAGTTAAGATTATCTTAATAGAATGAATAAATAAATAGATGAGCATTAATATTATTTAGATTGTTTATTTAGAAATCAGAAAATTAATTAAGTAAAAAAAAAAAACTTACTTAAAATAAATTAAATTATATTTAATGGCAACGATAAAATTTAAAAAAAGATTAAATTGCGCATCATTGAATGCAAATTATAAATTTGATAAAAAACTAGGCAAATTGTAAGTAAGGGGAAATAAAAGTCAAAATTTCTTTTTAAAGATTGCAAATATTATTAAATACAAATAAATTTAAAAATAATTCATCATTTTGAATTACTATTGAATTGCTTTAATTAACAAAAACCTATTAATAATCATATTATAAATTTTTGGACTTATAAAAAAAATAAAAGAAAAGAAATCAATATCAATCCTAGATAGTTAATGTGATATTGGATAATCGAAAAGTAAGTAGCGCGGTTAATAAGTTTTATGTTTCACACCAAGCAATTGTTGCAGAAATAACCCAGATAAATGATTGATTGATCTCCTTAGAAGTAAGAGTAGCTAAGGAGTGGAGTACTATGGAAAACATTTATAGACAAGAAAGACTGAAAAATGATAGAATTTGAAAATATACAAAAGATCCGAAAATAATACAAATTATGATAATTAATATATATATATATATGTATGTATGTGTTTATGTATAGATTATGTAATTAAAGAATGAATGAATGTGCTCTGAATTTAACGTTTCGGCATTTTCAAGAAATAATGTTTATAATTTAATTTTGGTCTAATGTGATTACAAAAAAAAGAATATAAAGAAAAAAAATAATAATTAAAAGTTATCAAAAGAATCTATAAATTAAATAGGATAAAGATCTTTTAAAAATGATTTAAGATATAGAATAAGCGTCCAGTGGAGCGTTATTAACAGAAAAAAGTGCACAAGCACCTCCTCCTAGCAAGGGGAAAAAGAAAAACAATTAACATGATGAGGATTTTTAGGAAGTTATAAAAATTGTAGTTGAGCAGATCACAGAAATCAACAGACGTATTGAATTATAATTATTTCGATAAAATATTAATGCATAATCATGCCAGCAATATTCATAATCGCTAGGCTTCAAATTATAGTTATTTCTTTCTCAAATGAAGAAACGAAATGCTTAATTTGAATCATGGCTTGGAAGTAATGTAATCGGAAGGACTAGGGATTAAACTAGCCTTAAAAGTATAAAAGAGATCTATCCCTTATATTCCTTAGAATTTTTGAATAAATTCTTTACTTCCCGCCTGCAATTATAATTGTGAAAAAATAAAGAAGAAATAAATGAATAGAATAATGAATGCATCAATTTTGATAAACTCGTTTTAAAAGGTTATTTAAAAAGTTTTATAAAACAGGTGCTAAAGAAGATAGAAAGAATAATAAGAAGTCCACCAGAACTAAGTTAAAACCATAAGGCGCTAACAACGAAAAGCAAAATACAAGCAACGCCAATCCTGAAAATCTTTCATAATTTAATAATGAATCTAATGGCAATGTTCTTGTAAAAAAAAGAAAAGTTGAAGATCAAGGTAATCTTAATTTAGTTAAAATAATTTTAAAAGTCGAATTAGAAAATAAAAGAGAGGAATTTACCACAATAGTGGATGTTAAAAGTGCATAATAAGCTACTAATTGGCATTGTTATAGTATTAACAAGAAAATATTAGTATTAAATAGAAAAACAATTATTTGGAAAAAGATTTCAATTTTGATGATAATAAAAATAATAATCGCTACTACTATTTAGCTTCTTTTTTTTACTAAACTTAGTAAGTAAAATTTTATCATAATAACTTTAATACAAACTAAATGTTATCAAGAATCAATCAGCCTAAGTAGTAGCACCAAATATAGATAACTTTACGCAATGTTAACACTTTTTAAAATGTACCCACTTATTATAAATTAATCAATAGAGACATAAATAAATATTATTTAATTAATAATTCTAAAGTAGACGAATTCATCTTTTATTTTCCTAATTTTATTATTTTATTTATAATTAAATTTAAATTTCTATCTTTTTCTAATTACTATTTAAATACAAATCAATCAATTAATAAGCAAATAGATTAATTATTCATTTTTCAATCTCATGCACAAGATTAATTCACTTTTTGAAAAAAATAAAGATTTTTTTTATTTTATTCACTGAAATTTACAATCGAAAAACTTTACTATTAATTTATTAAGCAGCATACCTTTTATGACAAAATTAATAAAAAACATTTTATGTTGTTTATAAACAAAATAGGTGAAAGCGATTTGTCAGATGAAAAAAAACCTGAAGGAAAGAACAATTCATTATATAGATTCAACAACGATTAGAGCTTTTAGTTCATGGAGTAGCAAAATTTTGCATAACAAAAATAATAAATTAAGAACAATGAAATTGGAAATTTAGCAGCACCATTAATTTAAGCAGCAAATAATACCAGTCAATCAGCTAATTAAATCTTAGGTGCTCTTAATTTGGGTAATATAGGTAATGTGGGCAATTTAGCTAGCCTTATTGATGATTTTTATAGAAATTAGAGAAACAATCCTTCAATGAGCACTAATTAGTTGATTTAATTACTCTTAAATCCTTTGCGTAACATATTTTTGCCATTTATTGAATACATTTTAAGCAATTTTACGTTTATCTAAAATCAATAATTTTAAAAGAATAAGCTAATGCTAATGGGATTGACTCGAATTAGTTAAAGCACTTATTACAGACCACCAGTTAGCTTTCCTTACTCCAAAAATTAACATAAAATAACCCTGCTCTTTAATATTTGCAAAATGCTTCTACTTAAGGAAGCTAGCAATAATAGTAATTAATAAGGTTACTTTTATAACATCATTAGTAGTTAAATTAGCCTTAATAATAGCCAGCAGTCTCATAGTAACAGTCTTAATTACAGTAATTGTAGCAAAGCTTATTATAGTAATAAGCTGCCCAAGCCAACCAACCAAGTTAATAAAATAATAGTAGATTCTAGCTCCCATCATATTAAAATAAACACAAGGATGCACCATTTAGTAGAGCTTCTACACACATAGCCATAGCTTATCACATTCATATGAAAAAAGTATTTTTTTTTTTTTCGTTATAATAAAATTTCAAAGCTAAATCTTTTATCTTTTAATAGTAAAATAACTCAAGCTTGTCTGATAAAAATTTATTAGATCCTACCTATAATGCTAGAAAGCTTAGAGAAGGCAAAAGGGTAAATAAATTATTAATTTTATCATTAATCTTAATTGATTATTTTACAATATTTTTTAGGATAACGAACCAACTGTACCTTCGTAATAGTAATAGTAGCAATAATAGCCATAGCAATAATAGCTTCCACCACCACCATAATAATAATAATAATAATAATAATAGTAACAATAATTTTAACAACCCTAAAATTAGATATCTCAATTAACATAAAATTAGATTTAACAAAACCTCTTTTAGCAATAAAATATCTAAAATCAATAATAACAAAGAAATATGATGATGCAATAAGCATAAAATCCTTCAATTTTATGGAATCAATAGTAATAATAGCAACTTTAACAGCAATAATAGCAACATCAATAACAATCGTAGTAACAAAGATAAATAAATTCTAATTAAGTTTTATAAGTTTTTCAAAATATAATGAGTTAAGGAGGTATGTAATAGATTATGAATTAACCTCAATTCTAGACCATATTTTAATCTCCACAATTTTAGTCAATTATAAACTAGTTTATGAATAAACAACAGCAATAAAATCAGCCTGCTTAACAGTAACAGATGAATATAAACTAATAATTAAATTTTAGCAATTATCTTTAGCCTTAATAGTCATCTAACTAACAACCAGCTCAATAATAAGCTCAACAATACTAATAACCACCATAGGCAAAACCTAAAAAAGGAAAAGGAGCTAAAAAAGCTATTGAAATCAAAGAAGACGATGAGTCAAAAGTATCTTAAAAAGAAACTTAAAAATAATCTAGAGCTTTGTAAAAAGAGTAAAGAGAGTAAAGTTCCAATCAACAAGAATCACAGATATAAGCAACTGAGCATACTTAAGATGATCTTTCATCTTCTTAACAAACGAGCAATGTTTCAAGATAAAAGAATCAATCAAAGTAAGCCTAATAATAAAATTAATAATAGATTGTTTCTTAATAAAGCAATTAAGAATAAAAATCATAATCACACAGCCAAATTTCTTAATAAAATTTAGCTAGTGAAAAAGAAATTTCACATGTAGAGCAAGAAGAATCTCCAGCATAAAAAAAGCAATCTGTTTAATCAAATGAAACCAAGAAAAAAGATTAAAAATAAGAACTATAATAAAAGGAATAGGCTAAATAAAGTCCTGTAGAATAGTAGAAAAAATCTGATTCAGAATAGAAACAAAATCAACAGGAAGCAATAGTCCTAAACGATTCAAAAGAGCAATAACCTGAGTAGGCTAATAACACTGTTCAGTAAGAAGAAAAAATAGAAGAAGAAATTTCTTCTAAAGAAAATGCTGATTAACCTAAAAATGAAAATGAAGCTTTAGAAGATAAAGTTGAAGAATAAAATGAAGGAATTGAAGAAAAAATAGAAGAAGAAGAATAATAATAATAACAACAACAACAACATAATGATAAAATTAAAGATTAATAAAAAGCTTCTCAAATAGAAGAAGAGGAAGAAGAAGAATAGTTAGAGATAATTAGTGAGGAAAAATAATAAAAGAGCACCTCTTAAAATGATAAAAATGTAGAATAAATTGAAGTTGAATAGGAAAAAGAAAAAGCAAGTTAAGAAGTGCCCCCAGCTTAAGGAAGCGAACATTAAAAACATGAAGAAAAGGAATAATAAAACAATAATGTGAGGGAAAAGAATGCTTCAAGCGAATAGCCTAAGAAACAAGACTAATAAAAACAAGATGAAAAGTAAAACTCAGCTGAATCTAAATAAAACCAAAATGATCAATCCGATAAAAAGAAATCTACTCCTGTAAAGAAATCTAGTGAAGAAGTGGATCAGAAGGATGAAAACCTATCGAAAAAACCATCAAGGGATAGCGATAAATAAGAAAAACCAAAAGATCAAGATAGACAAAGAGACTCTAGAGACTCTGAAAGATCAAATAAAGATGGAGAAAAATATTCATCAAGCAGAGATAGATAAAAAAATGACCATGAATCTGATTAACAACAATCATCAGGCAAGCAAAGATCTAATAGCAATAACTCTTAGTATTCTTCAAGAAAAGAGAGTGCTGATAAATCTTCTCAACATCATTAGGAATCTTCTGGTTAATAAAATAGATCTTCATCTAAAGATCATCATCACTATTACTCATCTAATAATCATCACTCAGGTCACTCAAGCTCTTCTTATCACCATCATCACGATAATTAACATAAATAAAAAAATTATCATGACTCTAAGTATTACTAAGAAAAAGAGAAATCTAAGCCAACTAAGTAATCAAAAGACAGTGATAATAATAACGATAAAGTAAACAAATTTAACTGCTAAGACTTTAACTAAATTATTTAATTATAAAATTAATCATAGGAAGAAGGAGAGATCTCAGATTGAACAAGCATACCAATTTACTTTCATAAAATTACTGTATATTTAAGACTAAATGTTTTGATATGACAAATATAAGTTAGCAAGTTAGTTAATAAGTAAGTAAGTAATTAAGTTATTAGTAAGTAAGTGAGCTTTTAAATTAAATTTTGACTAATCTGTGCAAATAATTTTGTAATTATATTCATTTCTTATATTGTTTTATTAAAATTATTTCAAATTGTAATTATATTTTATATATCTATTGCATATTTACTTATCGAGTTAATTTAGTTTTGTAAATCTCTGCAAAAAATATCTTCTTCTTTTTAATTTTCATTAAAAAATAAATTAAAATTAAACATTAATCAAACACAAATTTAATTTGATTTGTGATAAAATAAAATAATAATTTTTTATTTCAATTGAGAAATACAAAAATAATTTTAATTTTAAAAATTAAGTTTGATAAAAGAAAAAATAAAAATAATTGTTCGTTAATATTTAAAAAAATATTTTCAAATTTTAATAATTTATTTTGATTGATTGATTGATGATTGATTGTAAATAGATAATAGAAAAATAAAACGAAAATGTTGAGTGTCAGAATATATAATCATATATTGCATGATTTTTTAAAAGGATTTGTTAACTATGTCAAGCAAATATCATTTGATATAGAGAATTGATTCATCTTTTAAGAAAATTTATAAAATTTAGGCAATTTGAATTTTTTAAAAAATAAAAGAAAAGAGAAGAAAACACAACTTAAAAACTTAAACACAAATTAATTATTATAAAAATATACATTAAAAGTATTTGATCATTATCTTATTAAATAGCAAATATAAAATAATCACTTAGATAAAATGTATAGACCAGGATCATCATTATCCAAAGCAAAAACAAATAAGCAAACAGTTGGTGGAATCACATTCAAAAAAGTAATTACTATAAGCAATAATTAATAATTTGGAGCAATTTTTTTGTCATTATGAGTTGTCTGATTCATTCATTCATCCATCTTTGCGATTCATAATATCAAAATATCAAAGAAGATATTTTCAAAATAAAAAAATAAAATATGAAACAAAAGTTTTTTTTCAAAAATAAATAAATAGGTCGAGAATAAGATTCCTCTCTTAGAAGATTACATAAAAAGCAGAGATTGGGTTGGTGCAATAGTTCATTTAGAATATGAAAGAAGGTATCAATTAGATGAGATTGTTTTTCTCTGTATGTTTTCAAAATTAGTTGAAATTTTTGAAAATATAAATTAAATTTTTTTGAAAACAAATGAGCTGATTTTAAATTATTTAAATAAATAGAGTTACAGATGTAAAGGATGAAACTTCTTTATGGCATGCTTATTGCAGTTTCCATAATGGTGACTATAAGTAAGCGACTATTTAATTAAAATTTATAAAACATTATGCTGATAAAATCGTCTTTGAATAAAAATACTAACAAATATATCATTAAACTATCTAAATAGGAAAGCAATTTTAATCTATGACGATATGATGAAAAAAAGCGACTACAAGAAAGATTTGCACTTGTATAAATCATGCTGTCTTTATGCTCTTTGCAGTTATGATGAAGCAAAAAGAGAAGTAAGCACCTATTGTTAAAACGAAAATATTTGCTATGAATTTAAAATGCAAAATGAAATGTTAAATAAATAAATAAAAAAAATAAATAAATAAAGAATAGATGAATAAATAAATGATTGAATAAGCAATTTTTTAAGCAAAATATTTTCTTAATAATTAATTAAATGATATTATGTTTTAAGTAAGCAATTAAGAATTTTATTTTATTACTTTAGGCTTTGAAAGGACCTGAATGTGAATTATAAAACAGAATCCTTTTCCATATTGCTCATAAAAAGAATGATGAAGCAAGCTTAATGGAATACAATCACAAATTATCAGATAGTACCTAAGATTAATTATGTTTGGCTGCTATTCATTTTTTGCGCTCACATCATGATGAAGCTATTGATATTTATAAAAAATTATTGCTTGAAAATAAGGAATTTGCTGCAATTAATGTATATATTGCCTTGTGCTATTATAAACTTGATTTCTATGATGTTTCACTTGAAATTTTGAGTACTTATCTTAATCAAAACCCAACTTCTATTATAGCAGCTAACTTAAAAGCAGTAAACTAATTCTAACTATTCTCTGGTAAAACCGCTGAAGAAACATTTAAGCCTTTACTCAGTGCTTATGAAGGCAGCAATCTTTTTGAAGATAATGATTTGCTTCGTCATAACTTAGCAGTATTCAGAAACGGAGAAAATGCTTTATAAGTAATTTAAAGAATTTTTACACAAAATATTTTATTCTAAAAGCTAGGAAATTTACTTTGATTATATATTTCAATTATAATTTTAAATTTTTTATCTAATTTCACAAAAACAATAATTAAACTTTAACATAAATTGAAAATCAAGTAATTTAAATATTTTCCATTATTGCAATTGAATAGGTTTTCCCCCCTTTGGTTGACGCTTTCCCTGAAGCTAGATTAAATTTAGTTATCTATCATTTAAAAAATGAAAATTTCAAAGAAGCCTTTGAATTAGTTAAGGACATGGAACCTTCCATCCCTAGAGAATATATAATAAAAGCAGTTGTACATGCTGTTCTTGGACAAGAAAACGAATTAAGAGATTAACTTAAAATAGCTCAATAATTGTTCTAACTAGTTGGTTCAAGTTCCAGTGAATGCGATACCATACCTGGTCGTTAATGCATGGCTTCATGCTTTTTCTTATTAAGATAATTTGAAGAAGTTTTGATTTACCTTAAATCTATTAAAAACTATTATCAAAGTGATGATGATTTCAATTGGAATTATGGTATCGCTTGTGCAGGAAATGGTGATTATAAAGAAGCTGAGGAAGCTTTCTCTCTTGTGTAAAACGAACGTTATAGAAACGATGATTGCTTCATTCGTTGGTTAACACGCACATATATTATGAATGGAAAACCAAGGTAATTATATTAATATCTCTTTATATTAAATAGAGTAATTAATTTTATATATAAGACTTGCTTGGGACTTGTACATCAATATGGAAACATCAACAGAGACATTCTAATTATTATAAATTATTGCAAACGATTGCTATAAAATGGGTCACTTCTATTACTCAGCTAAGGCATTTGATTTAATTTAAAGATTAGATTCTGAAAGAGACTACGAAGATGCCTTTAGAGGAGCAGTTGTTGGTAATAAAAATTTTTGAATACTTTAAAAACTAAATAATTTTAATTTAATAATTAATCTAGGTGTATTCTAAATGGTTGTTGCAGAAAAAGAATCTACTGAACATTTACTTGAAGTCCTTAACATGTTAAGAAGTGCAGGAAACAATCCATAAGTAAATCATATTATTGGTTAATTAGGCTATTTGTTAATAAATTTGAATTAAAATAGGTTGAATACATATTTAAAATCGTTAGAAAATGGGGTGCTGAGCATGGTGTTGATATTTGAAAAATAATTAATAATAAAAAAATTTATTTTCTATCACTTTAATTAATATTTGTCAATAATTATTTGCTAATAATTAATTTTTTCTATATAATTTATATTGCATTTTGTATATCTCTTTTCTTTCAAATTTATGATAATCCTAATTATAGTTACTTAGATAAGAAATCTCCCCTGAGAATTTTCAATGTATTTTTACTTATAAATTGATCATGAATTACTTCATCAAAAAAATTAGTTTTTTTGTCAATACAAATTGTTTACAAATTTTCTTCGATTAATTATCAACAAGTTTTAAATTATTTTATAGATTGTAAATAAATATCTAAATAATTTTACTGAATTTGAGATTTAGATTTTAGATTTCTTCAGAAAAATTTAACAAGCTCATACAATAAATAATTTATGTTACCATATTTTTATTTACTTCAAGTTTTTCATTCAAAAAAACATAATAGATTTGCAAAAAAATGATATCATTCAAATCTAAAAAAATATAATAAAAATATCTTTTTTTGTTTGGTTGATTCTATTCATTTCATTATATCTATCTTTATGGCTGCTGATATATAAAATTTATTTTTAATGCTTTGATTTTATGTGTGTTATCAAATAATAGAATGAAAGCAAAGCATCAAAATTAATTAATTATTCATTCATTAGTAACTGCACTCTTTTGTTATGTTCAAAAAAAAAGAAATCAAAATAAGAAATTTAACCATCTAATTGTTAATATGTGATTATTTACTGTTTATTTTAAAATAAAAAAGGAAACCAAGAATACAAAAATTTATAAATTAATAAAATTCAAAAAAAATTAATACTTTGATAGTTGTTTCTAGTTTAGTTGGTTGATATATTTATTTTCTAAGATAAAAGTAATTATAAAATTATTTATAAATTCAGCTGTTAAGATAAACAGAAAATATTAGCAAAAATCAATAATTAAATTTATTTTATTTAAAAAGAATTAAGAAATGGATCCTGATATGCATTAATAGGATGAACTATACCAATAATAAATGTTTTAATAACAATAGCATCAACTATAATATAATGGTGAAGAAAATATGCCTTATGCGTATGGAACATCTCATCTTAATAAAAAATATATTTTATTTTTAAAATAAAATTAGTAATAATATGAGACAACCATCTTCTTCTTTAAAAAAATCAAAGAATTCCCTTCCTCAACCTGAAGGTGATATTGAAGAATATATGTAAAGACAATTTATTTTTTTATAATTTAATAGAATAAATTTTAAATGTGAAAGATGAAATATTTGATTTCAAATCATACCGCAATATAATGAAAGCAAATATAAATTTTAAACACTTTAATGTCTTTTTTGCTCAGAATTTATATTAAATTTACTTAATAATTTAGGGAAGTGTTGCTTGAACATTAAAAAAACTGCGAAAAGAGTGGTAAGTATGTTGAAGCAGAAATGGCAAAACGCAGACTTGCAGAGTTAAAAGTTGAATTCGAGAAGAGATCTAAAACTGAGATGAAATAACGCCATTAATGCGAGGCAATATATTAAATTACAATTTAAATGAGCAACATTTAATTTTGAGCGTATATGATAATTAATTTTAAAAATAATTTAAACAGAAACAAGAAATTGAAAAGGCTCATTTGAGTGAATACAATGAATTTAATGAATTTTGGGATAGAAAAATGTTAGAATTCAATTAAGAAGCTGAGAGAGTAGAGAGAGAAACAGTTATGAGACACCAAGAAGAACTTAGAAAAATTTAAGAAGAATTAGATCAACAAATAAGTATGTTTCATTTAATTGAAATTTGAATATAACAACATGAAAAATAATAGGTTAGAAACCAAAAGACACTGCTGAATTATTAAATCTTAGAAAGACTGAAGAGCAACTAGCTAAACAACAAGAGTATTAAATTTTTTTTGTTTCTATATAAAATTTTTTGTAGATTTGAATAAAAAAAATCATCAAACAAATAATTAAGCACATAAAATTATTTAAAAGTAATTTAAAAAAAACACTTCAATTAATTATTAAAATATTTATATAGATATATGGAAGCTCACAAAATTTAGCAAAGAATTTTCTAAATTGAAAAGGAGGAATTTGAAAAATGGAATTTCCAAAGAAACCAAAAAATCAGAAATATTATTTAACAAATGAAATAACGTTAATAAAATGAATTAAACGCCCTTAGACAAAGAATTTAGTCAGGACAAGAAGAACAAAAGAAAATTAGAACATAGGAACTTGAGAAGTAATTAAATATATATATATGCAATGTAGATAAATATCTCAAATCATCTATTTATTTATTTTAAAATCAGATTATTATAAAAATACAACAATGTCAAAAAAGAGTTAGAAACCACACAAGTTTAAGAGCATTCTAGAATGGAAAGATCATTAAAAAATGGATGTAAATTAGCTATATTAAAATAGATTTTATTTTGAAAAAAACCTTTTTAAAACTAAAAAAGCTGTAATAAATGCATCAAAAATCATGAACCAATCAAGAATTTCAAATGCTTCTTTTGCTAAAGCAAGCAAAAATAATTAATACTGACCGATATGCATTAATTAATTTCAATAATTCTTATTAATAAATATCAATTAATATATTTTAATATATCATGTAATTATTTTTATAAAATATATTTCCGATTTAAAATGACTAAATTAAAATCATTTTGCTTAAAAAAAAATATCTGATAATTGGTTTTTTGATATTAGTATTTTTTTTTAATTTTATTTTTACTTTTTTCAAGTTTAGCTTTTAGGATGCCCTTATATTTTAAAAGGAAACATTTATTAATTTTTAATGAAAATATTTATTCTATTTTTGTAAATAAAAAAGAATTAATTCTTGTTGATAAATATTAATTTATATATTTCATACTAAGTACCATATCATTAAATTATAAATTATATTTAGAAATTAAAAAATACAGATTTGAAATAATTATAATTATTTTATGTTATTTTATAAGTATTTCTTACTTAAATTGTATTTTAATATATTCTAAATTTACATAAAAGATATTCACAAGTTAAAATAATCTGATTATAAAATAAATTTAATTAATTTGGAATTATGATTACTTACATTATTATTTTTTGATTTTAGTCTTTTTTTGTTGGAATGTTATGTAAATCTACTAATATTTTCACCATTCCTCTCCTCAATATCAACATGATATCGGTAGATAAAAAGGATCTTCATTAGGAAAGGGCTTAATTTTTAGTTAGCTTATGAAAGAATAATTAAGGTATAATTATAATTTAATATTTCTTAGATATAAAAAGATTTTTAATTTCAATAATTTTAACATTTGAAAATATATCGTTTATGCATATAATTATTTTTATGAAAGATATATTTACTAATTAAAGTAAACAGATTGGTTATACATACAATTATTCTAATTTTTATGAAATAATTTATTATAATTAATTATTATTAAGCTATTTTATTTTTAATTATTTTTATAATTTATCAAGAATACTAATTATTTAATTTTATTCTAATACTTGATAAATTTTAATTTGAAATATTGTATTCTTAGAAAATGTTTGAGAGGTCTAAGAATTTTTTTTAATCAAGTGTTTTGTATAATGTTGTATTGTTGTTTAACTGATTCCTATTTTATTATCTTTGCTCTGCATTTACGAAATGAAGAATGTTTTCTGACCAAAATCTTTGCCAAAATGAAGTCTGTTTAATTTATTTTTTTTTACCATCGAGCTTTTCAATTTCATAAAGTTCAAGATATTTTAACCATTTTACTAAATATGGATAAATAGAAAGCTGCTCTTCCTGATTTAAAGTTTATAATTAAGTAATTAAAATATTAAAAAATAGAATTGAATATTTTACTTTCTGATTAATTATTTTAGATATGAATTAATTTTAAGAGTTATACAATTCTTGAGTAAAAAAATCTTCATCAAATTCAATGTAAGGAGGATAGTGATATATTCCAAGGTTTTCATTGTAATATTATCTCGCTTTTTTGACCATATCCAAGCTTTAATTAAATTCTAAAATAGATTTTTTATCAAATAATCTCAAATATATCACTTCATACATTTGTTGAATAAAGTACGAAAACATCTTTTAAATAATATTTAATAAATAAATAAAAGAGAGTTTATTAAAATATTTACCATGGTATTGTAGATGAACTCTCTCATAAATACTTAGTCCTCAAGAGGGAATATTTTTAGATATGATTATTTATCAAATTTATCATCGATAAGATAATATTTATCATTTTTTATTGCATTTAACTCTTCTTCAGAAGCATAATGTATTTACTATACGACTTCTTTATAGAAAAATTCAGTAACATTATTCACAAAGTACAGAACAAAGTTAAAAAAGGCCTTTTGTATTTCTACTATTGCTTTCTCCCATGCCGTATTCTTTATTTAATTAGAGATTTTATTAAACAAACAAATAATGAAATTAATATTTTATTAATTTACTTTATCACGAGAAGATTTGAATTCCTATTCAGCTAAAGTTAAATCTTTTATTAGCTTTTCTTTTGGTCTTTAAGGGAGTTAAATATTCTAAATTTTTCAAAAACATGAAATTTTAGTTTTTATCTTTATCAAATAAATTTTACAAATTATGCATCTTCTTCAACAGTGTTTTCATCTAAATCAACTATGACAATCTATTTTTAACTTTTATCTATTTCATTTAACTTTTCTAAAACCTTTTAAATTAGTTATTAAAGTATGTATTTTGATATAAATTTAATAGCTAAATGAATAAATAAATATTTACTTATTGTTTATAAATTTAAGAAAAACCTATAATAGCTGAAGTACCAAGTGATTCAAGCAGCTTATCAAGATGATTTTGAAAACTAGTAAAGGGAACATAAGTAGTAACATGACTCAATGGTTAAATTAATTTTAATATTGACTCTGTTAGGCAAGCAGTCTCTCCAGGACTACTTGAAAATATTATTATAAATCTTTCTAACAATATGTTTTTAATTATTTTTAACAAATTTATTTAAGTTAAATTTCTTTTAAGAAGAGGACCATAGCTAACATTTTCAGGAGAGAGAGTTTCTCTTGATGAGAACTTGAATTTGAAAATCAAATCCTCTGTTTTGACTTGGTCTAATTTGTAACACCTGTATAAGGAAAAAGATACGTCTTCATCTACAATATTCATGAGATGGAATATATATGATAAATAAAATTCACTAAGATGATTTTCTTTCACTTTGTACTAAATTGCTATGTCCTTTATAAATAAATATATACATTTTTAATTATTTATTAGCTATAAAAAATTAATAAATAAAAGAAAAAGTTTACTTTATCCAACTATTGAGATATTTGATAGTAATGACTATCCCATATTTTTTCAGCCATTTTTACACCAGATTACAAAATTAGTCCATTAAAAATGTTAATCATTTTATTAGGAACAGGGATAATTCTTTTTCTGTATCCAATAATTCTTCCCATGATGATGTTATGATAGTAGTAGTACAGAAATTATCTTTGGCACTAGAAGAAAGGTAATCTTGAAATTAGACATATAGCTTTAGGGATATAGATAACATCAGTATCTTCATCGAGGATAAGTGGATTTTTGATGATCTATCCAACAGGAATTTTTGGAATACTTTTACAAACTTACTTTTTAGACGTATATTTGTAATCATTTTTAATGTAGAACTTTTCCTATTAATTATATGATATTAGATTACAACAGTATTAGATGATATATTTAATAATTAGATTTTTAATAATTTTCTGAAAGTATTCCAACTAATTCACAAATTTAATTATAGTTGGTAAATATACTATTAAAAAAACCTATTTATTAGATTTATTTATAGATTTAATTTATTTTTACATGGAAAATTAAGGCTGTGCAATATCTTCTAACTTTATACTCATCAGTGCTAACGAAATGAAATATAATATCCTTTCTATGAATCTAATTTATCTTTTCATATTACTTGCAAAACTACTACTCTAACTTCAAAGTGTCGAATTAATCAGTACAATTAATCACTTTCAGCTTGTCATCATATATTTTTAATCCATCAGGAAACAGAAACTTTTTTTAGATATTTAAATAGGTATTATAAAGTGAATATTAGAGATTCTAATAGATAATTTCAATACGAAATCTAAAATGTATTATCAAACTCATACCTCCTTCATCCCTAATATATAATGAGGTATATCTTTTTAAGGTACATTAGGAACTATATCGATTACATCAATAGAAAGGTCATTTTATTTGTTTATTATCATTTCATAGGTGATATCTATTATTTGCAAAAAAAACGATGGCATTAAAAATTTTGTCCATTCAATAATATTTGATACCTTTAGCCTAGGTATTAACACCCATAACCAGAAAATTCTCAAAAACTTTATCTACTTTTTAATTGTTACTATCCATATTTCATAGTAAATAGCTCTACAATATTATTAAATATTTATTCTATTTAGTGATTTATATCGTTATTAGTCTTTTTTGAATGAATTCTTACTATTAAGATATTTAACAAAAATTAATTAAAAGATAGAAATAATGATAATAACACTTTTAAATTTTAGCTAAATATATTCTATCAATAATAATAAAGTAGTAGTAACTAAGTAGCTTTGATAAAATTAAAAACAACATCTACCTATCAAATGTTTTTTTTGCCAATCTATTTTATAGCTTGTCATTTCTATTTTAAAATTGAAAATAGAAACAAAAATTTTCAATTTCATTATTTTTATTACAAAATAAACTTTACAAAATGAAAAATTATTTATTTTTACAAATCAAAATTGAGAAATTATTTCAAATAACAATTAAATGAAAAATATTTTCAATATTAAGTTAAATCTAAAATTTTTATATTTTAAATCATTATTTTTTTATTAATTTATTTATTCATTCATTCATTCTTTTATAGGCTCTAGGGTTTTTTATATTAAAACAGATCCTGATCTCGATCTTGAGCTCTATTTTGACTACACGTTTTGTGGCTCTGGAGAATTTAATGAGTTATTTGATTAAAGATTTGGATAAGTAGGTAATTTTTCATCAAATTTAGTCATAGGAGAATTATGTGAGAATACAGTCATGTGCTTTTTAGGCATTCTATTTACAAATGATAAGCCATCTAATTCTGTTTACTACTAACTCATTCTATGACAATAATGTCTTATTTTTAAAAATGTATTTTAAATATTCGAAAGAAAATGGAAATGTTTTACTAAAATTAAGAGGTGTGAACTTATTCATATTGAGTTCTCCTTTAATTAACTGGAGTGCACTGATAGCTAAGAAAAGCTTAATTTTCAAATGTATTTTATATTTATTCTAAATTTCCAGATGTGCATTCAGAATTATTAGAATTTAAGGATTCTTCTTCATAAACTTAATCTTCTTAGGAGAATTATTCTTTTTAAATTAAATTTAAATTGTTTATAAGTAAATTAAGCACATTTCTTAATTTATATAATTAAATAAAACAAATCTCTAATTTATCAAGTTAAATTGTAAATTAGCCTTTAAGAAGTAAATGTAAAACTTGTTTAATAGGCTAAAGATTGTTTTAAATTTATTTAGTTTTTGGTTTTAAAATTAGGTTTAAACTTTATATAAAAGTTTACATTAAGTTGAACTATTCTTTTTTAGACTTAGAGGATTATAGTTTATGTTTGTAGGTAGCTTTATTCTGTCTTAATATAATGAAAAGCTTCCACTTAATATTGATTTTTGAAAGAGATTGTTTAAGTTAAGAAACTTTCTGCGATCTACTATTTTGTATAATGTTGTTTTAATATTTAGCTAATCCCTATTTTATTATCTCTGCTCTGAGTCTACGAAATGCAAAATATTTTCCTGCCAAAATCTTTTCCAAAATGATACTGGCTCAGCCTTTTTTTTTTTACCTTCTAAATTTTCTATTTTAAAAAGCTCAAGATATTTAATCCATTTTATCAAATAAGGATATATCGATAATTTATCTTCCTATTAACATTTTATTGAACAAAGATTAAATATTTTTATCTTTCTCTGTTTTTATTATTACTTTACAATTCATTATTTTTGAAATATAGAGATTCTAACTTGTAATCAACCCTGAAAATAGCTATTCATTTTCAAAATCTATGTAAACATTTTATGGAAATCCTAATTTTGTTTGTAGTTATGGACTCTGCTAATCCTTTTATCTTTTTATCAAATTCAGTCCTTCTTGTAATTCTAGAATAGACTTTCTCTTATATTTCTTCAAATAAAGAACTTCATAGGTTTGTTGAATGAGGTAAGAAAACATCTAATGAATAACAAAAAAAAATAATTGTAGATCAAGAATACATTAAATGAATTAATATTAATAAATACCATTGTGTTTTTGATAAATTCTCTCATAAAAGATTAGTCCTCAAGAGGAAACATTTTTAAATAATCATCTCTGTTAAATATATCGTCTATTTAATATTTTTGATTCCTAAATTAGTCCAAATCTTCTTCTGTTTAGGCATTATTAATTTGATTAATTACTTCTTATTTGTAAAATTGTGTGTAATCATTGACTAAACACAGGATGAAGTTAAAAAAAGACCTAGATATTTCAATAACTGTTTTTTCCCATGCATTCTAATTACATAAGGATATTTTTATAGCTATTTTATAACTACATAAAGAAATTTACCTTCTCACGTGACTACTTATATTCATATTCTGCTTTTGTTAGCTCTTTTATGATATATCCTTTGGCCTTTGAGGGTAATTGAATATTCTTTAATACGAAAATCAATTAATAGATTAATTATTTGATAATAAATTTTACCAGAAACGTATCTTCCTCAATTGTGTTAGCATCTAAATCAACTATCACAACAATTTTTCCTGCTCTATCAATTTCATTTAGTCTTTCTAAAATCTAAAAAAATTAAATTTAACTAAGAAAGAGCTATTTTGAAAAATAAATTAACTTGTTATTTGTAAACTTTTGAAAATCCAATAATTGCTGATGTTCCAAGAGACTCGAGCAACCAGAGATGATGCAAACTAGCAAAAGGAACATATATATTTATATGATTCAAAGGTTGAATGAGTTTTAAAATGGATTCAGTCAGACATGGAATTTCACCAGGTGAACTCGAAAATATCAGGATAAATCTTTCCAAAAGAATATTTTTTATAAGTTTTAACAAGTTAATTTGAGTTAAATTTCTTCTTAAAAGAGGACCAAAGCTAAAATTTGGAAGAGAAATAGTTTCACGAGAGGAAAAATTACATTTAAATATTAAATCTTCTTGCTTGTTATCATCTTTGTAACTTCTATGTAGAGATATCGAGATATCATCACTTGGTATATTCATTAAAAAGAATATATATGATAAATAAAACTCAGTTAAATGAGTCTCTTTAACTTTATATTAAATTGCAATTTCCTTTTTTTAAAAAAAATATTTTAAGCGTTTAAAAATGTTTTTAAATCGAAATATTTTCTAGCTTAAAGCTAATATAATTCAATATATTTTACTATATAAATATTAAAATATATTTTTGCTAACCTTGATAAAATAATAAATTAACTACAAATCAAAGTCATCTTAATTTTTCCAAAAATTTGCACTACTTTTTTTTGATTAATGAAAAATAAAAAATAAATATTTTATATTACTTTGTCTAACTTTGAGGCTATTTCATTATAATTATTGTCCCAAAGCTTCTCAGCTTTCTTTATACCAGCTTCTAAAATGAGGCCATTAAATACACTAATCAATTTGTTTGGTATCGGAATAATCCTCTTCCTTATTCCAATTATTCTACCCATAATAATATTGTGATAATAATACTATAAAAACTATCTTTAGCTCTAGAAGAAAGGAAGTCTCGAAATCAAGCAAATAGCTTTTGGAATATATATTGTATCAGTGTCTTCATCTAGAATAAGTGGGTTTTTAATTATTTACTGAATTGGTATTTTTGGGAGGCATTTAGATAACTATTTCTTATTGTTGTATTTTTAATCATTCTTTATATAGAATTTTTCCTTTTTATGTTTATAAAATCTATGATAAAAAATAATAAAAAAGTAAAATAAAATATAATATAGACCAATAAAGTGCTTGAAGATGTTTATTTTTTTAAATATTATTTATATTTTTATATTATTGCAATATAATATTTACATGAAAAATTAAAGCTGTGCAATATCTTTTTGTTGAATCACCATCAGTTGTAACAAAGTGAAATATTAAATCTTTTTAGTGTATTTTATTTATCTTTTCATATTATTTACAGTGCTATGATTCTAACTTAAAGGTATCAAGAGGTTAAGGATCATTCATTACATTGAGATTATCATCATAAATCTTGAGACCATCAGGAAAGAGAAACTATTAAATAGAATAATTGAATATCTTACATTTTAATTTTAATAAGTATAATTGAAATAATAAATTGAAGAATTTGATTTTTATCTAATTAGTAGAAATGTTTGTTGATTAATTTTTATTTTACATCTTTCATTCCTTCTATGTATTATGGAACTTTGTTTTAAGGCAAATATGGGGCTATATCTATTAAATCAACAGTAAAGTCATTGTTTATAATCTTTTCATATGTAATATCTAATGTTGTTATATTTAAGAAAGTAAATTAATTCTTTGTCACAACAATTTAAATTTAATTCTCTCTTAGTTTTTTTCAAAATGAGAGCAGTACCTTTTGTTTTTGTATTTACTCCCATGACTATAAATCTTTCAAATACTTAGGTAACCTTTTCATTGTTATTGTCCATTCCTTCCTTACTAATACTTTATGCTTATATTAAATTTTAAAATAATACTGGAATTCTATCTATCTATCAATCAATCAAGATTGAATTTAATATTTTGTTTACAAATATTAATAATTAAAGTTCTTAATTTTTAATTACTTTAAAATAAAAGCTAAAATTTATAATAATTAGAAAACTAGATAAAAACATATAAACAAACAAACAAACTACAACCTATAGCTTCTTTTTTTTAAACTAGATATAGCAACAAATAAATAATAAATATTTACAAAAGATATTTAATATTTCATAATTGAAATAGAAAGTATTATTTACTTTATTGATACTCTTATCTATATTTAAATTCTTTTAAGTAAATAAAGATTTACAGATATTTTATTATTATAAAAAAATAATATAAAATAGATAGATTATTATTATAAATTGGAAAATATTCAAATTAATATGTATCTTTTTAATAAAAAATTTATTCTATTTTTTTAAATTTTGTTAACATAAATAATAAACATTTATTAATGATAACTTGCAATTAAAACAATTAATTTTTGCATTAAAATATAAATTGTTATCGTAATTATTCATTTTTATTAAAATGCTTATTAAATATTGAAATATATTTCAGGTATATTCATCCCCAATGTATTTTTTGGGGTTGTGTATATGGTATTGAGCGGTATATCAATTTACAATACAGTATATTATATAAAAAGAATTATCCAAAAAATATTTATTTTTAAAATGTTTTTTAAAATTTAGTAGCGATTTTTTAGTTGATAATTAAATTAATAAAAAGTATTTTCTTTAATTAACTTTATTAATTTGAGAGTAAATTTAAAATTGTAAAACATGATAATGGATATATTTTTAAATTTATCTAATTATTAAAATTTTTTAAAAAATTATAATAAAATCTTCATTGTAAGTCTTAAATATAAACCACACATTAAAATTAAGATTTCAAATGAGTATTTTAATAATAGAACAAATATTAAAGAGTTAAACAAATTTAATGTTTTAAAAACTTAGGCAAAAGTAGGATTTGCATTCTTCAAATTAATAAAAATTAATGCTACAAATCACCTTGTTCACTTTAGAAAATAAAATATAAATAAATGATGCTATTTACAAGGTGGTTACTGATTATTAGTTATGATGATTTTTTAAAAGAACTTATTAATTTAATCTTTCATAGCAATAATTAAATGAATGAGTGAATAAATAAATTAATTAATTAATTTTTTTTCTTTACGAATTGGATCTACTTTATAGTTTATTTAGATAGGCGTCTTATTTTAATTATTACAAATTTAAGATTCAGTATTCCTTAAAATATTGCATATTATAATAATAAGATATCTTTATTAAAAAATTAGATAAGCAAAACGAGTAACATCTTCGTAATTTAAAAATATATTACTAATTTATAACTTATAATATTTTGAAAAGCCTTTTACTTTTGCTAAACGATGTACTCATAAAAAGATAAAATATAAATAACTATTTAAAATGGTTATAAAAGCTAGAAAGGATTCATTAAAAAATATTTACATTTTATGATATAAAAAAAAAACAAGTAACTAAAATTAATATAGCCTAAATTTAAATTGGATTTTGTTTTATTTAAAGATGACTGATTATTTCCATATATTCTTAATATTTTTATAAAGTAAATTTTTCTACTTAAAGTATGATAAAACTAAACTTCTTTACTTTCTGTAAATTTTCACAGTTATAGTAAAAATCTCAAATTATTAAATCAAAAGTTTTGTAATTTAAGAAGAAAACAATATATGAAGAATAGAATATTGTTTTTTAAAAACAATTAACTTTGTTTTTTCTTAAGAAATTATGGATTTGTATGAATTTTTAAAAATGTGAACGAACAATTGTTGCTTTTCTGTATATTAAATCGAATTTAACAAAAAATTTTAGGGTTCGGTCTTTTAATAAATCTTATTCGATATGAGATACATACATATAGATTATTAAGAGAACAATATACTTTCAAATAATTTTTGATATATTGATTTCTATTGAGAAATGCGAATCTCAGATTACTATAAATAAACTAAATATTTACTTTTGAAATATACAAATTCTTAGTGCGCACTAAAAAAAAAAGAGACTTGAATAGTTTACGTGGAATTACAAATCTTACATGAATATGAAATCTAGAATGTCAATTTGCATTAATGAACCCATTACTTTATTCTTAATATAAAATATGCTAATGATCTTCCTTTAAAATGTAACTAAAAATATTTTGACTTTCATTTTAAAATATAAATTTTGTCTAAATATTAGCGGCGTGCATATGCTATTCTTGATAAAATTTATTACATAAAAGGCATCAAAATAATTACTTAATTGATATTTTTAGTTATATTTATATTAAAAATATCTAAGAAAAACATTCTGCAGGATTTTAAAATGCTAATTCTACTCTTCTTAATAATAAAATGAAAATTATGTTGTCTTTTATTTATTATTTAGAACAAATGAATTTTAAAATGGCTACAAAAGAGTGAAAGAGGCTGAGATAGTTTCACAAATTGATTTTAGTTTAAATGGTGAATTTAATATTATTTATTAGCAAAAAAAGATAATAAGAATAGATGAATAAAGATTTTGTAATGAAATTTAGAGTAAGCTGTAAAACCAAATTCCGAGTATCAGAAAATGAAATTTACTTATCAGTGATCCGTAAGATATATGAACATGAGGTATGTAATATTAATTACGATTGAGTCATTTGAATTAATAAAATATGTGAGATCTCAAGTTATGTAACAAGATGACTGATATTTCGTCTTTAAATTTTAAAAATGATTAAATAAACAAAAAAGAGTGAATAGAAATATAAGGATAATAATTGATTGCGCATTATGAGTGCAAAACACCTCTAATTAAAAGTAGTAAAGCAAGTAAGATATATCAAAAAATGTTAGAATTATATGGGTGGGAAAACAAGTAATGCATATATCCATAAAAAACAAAAATAAAAACTAAATAAAGGTAAAACAGCACCAAATCTTCAAATAATATTATTATTATGTAAAATTTAGAAAAAAAAATTTTTTGTGTAATTCGCAAGTGAGCTTTAAGCCCTTTTCATATTAGTAATTAATTTGACTTAAAAAGAAAACTAAAAATATTATTAAAAGAATAATTAATATTATTAACAAAGAAGATAGATAGATAGATAACTAACTAATACTTCTGAAATATTAATAAATATAATTAGAGAGATATATTAAGAGATCAAAAAAACAAAAAAGTATTAATTAACTAATTCAAAATTTGGCTGCATCATTCTAAAAGCTATAACGAACGATACATAAAACTACATAAGATATATAAATAGAGAGTACATTTAGTTGCATCTTATTAATGCAAACAGGATAACAGCCAAATATTATAAGCTAAAATGTTGCGATGAATGACAGATCTAGATGTCAAGACACTTTTAGATCACCTTCTTTGAAGAGTATATGCATGTCATCATCAATCTAGGATGATCTAAAAGAAGATTAAATGACTAATTTTTATACAGAAATGGCTTTTAAAAGAGAGAGTATGGACGATATGACAAATTTGAGTATTGAGAGGGAGACTAAGCAAGAGACTTTAAGCGAAACATTTATTGGGTCTCATAACAATATGACTAAAGAGGATTAATATTCACAAGACTCAGTATCAAAGAATAAAAAAGATAAATTAAAATAAAAAAATACCAACAATAACAATAACATTCCAAAATAATCTAAGTTATTTAAAAGCAAAAGCTGTAACTAAAAAAAAAATAAAAGGGAAATTAGATGCAAAAGTGCTTTAATCCAGCAAGATAAAAAAACAAATGCTCATCGTTTAGATTTTGATTTTTTAGTATTTGACTCATTGAAATATGCTGAAAAGAAGAGCCCCCTTCAAATGGCATACTATCACAAGAGCATGGATAAATTTGAGATGAATAAGAAAGATAAATTGTTAACTATTCATTTTGACTCTTTAGATAAAATTAAAACTCCTATTACACTCATATTAAAAAAACTTATTAGTGATTCAAGCTCCTCAGCTAAAGATTTGTGTGATTCTTTATATTATTTCCATAAACTTTTAAAGAAATTCCGCACAATCCGAGAGAATAATAATGATAAAATAAATATTTTCAAGCAATTCATGCCTCTTCTCCCTAATCATCAAACTCCCGAATAAGTTCTTGCTAGTGATCCCAAATTTCCTTCTTTAACAGCTACTTATAAAATTAATGCAAAGAAAGGAACTATAAGTCTCGATAAATATACCTTCAACGAGAAGCTTTCTCAATTATTAGGATTCCCAAAACTTGAATTGTTATAGTAACATATTCAATTTACAAAAAAACTTCCTTCATTGACTGTCCCTACAGATTATTATAACTACATAATGGAAGCACTCTTGAATAAATTTGAGAAGCAAAGAAGTTCAGTCTGTAAAGGTGTTATTAAGACCTTCGATGGCATCTTACTAAATATAACAGAAAAAATGGTTTCTCGTTGTCATATTGACAGTGATATAACTCCTGCACAACTGAATTTACCTTCTTAAACTCAACAAACTAAAGAAGTAAATCTCTATGAGAAATGCAAAATTGAAGTGGAAGACTTTGATTACCCTAATAAATAAACAGAAGATGATGATGATGAAGAAGATAATGAAGATGAAAATACTCCTTAAGGAATACTATATGTGATGACAAAACACTTCTTTTTCATCGAAAATTAGGAAATTAATAAATACATTTTTAGTAAAGAAAGATTAGCTCTTTGTGAATCTATTGATTTCTCAAAATTGATTTAAGAGAGTTTGCCTTTGCCATAAGAAAAAAATTTTGATTATGTTTATTCAAAATCAAAAAATTGTAATTCAAAAAATAATAAAGTTAATAAATTGAATGGTGAAAATCCAAGCAAAAAAATATTCTTAAATAACTAAAGAGAAATTACCAAATCTGTATAAGATGCATAACAAATTTTAAAGGAAGAATTTATTCCTCCAGCTTCAAGTAGTATCAATAATATTTAACCTAGTACACCTGTTGATGAAATTAAGAATACCTTGATATCTGACAATGACTGTAACAACAAACAGGTAGATTATTTCAATCTTAAAGGTATTGATTTACTGGAACTTATTAAGTAAACATTTTAAATCTAAAATGAATAGAAGCCAATTTAAAACAAATAAACTGAAAACAACATTAACAATCATGAGTCTTAATCAAATGAATAGATAAATTTATAAAAAGATATTGTTGAAACTAGGTGTTCATACAGACTTGTTACTTCTAATAAATTTGAAAGTTGACTTAAATTTCTATTCTAAAAGAATTATTAATTACATTAACATAATTCGAATGTTTACTCCTATTTTAATAAATGAATACCTAAAATAAAAAATGAACTAAAAAAATTAAATTCATGGTTTTAAAAAACCCTTTACTATTTTAAATAAATTTTTCTCATCAATCTCAATCTCTCTACTCATTTCAATAAACAAACTATCCATTAATAATTAATCCTGTAAAAATAATTAATTACAATTTTTCTAATTTAAAAAAAAAATAAATATATAAAATTATTTATAATAATAATATTTTTGTATTTTACTGCATAATTTTATTTTGCTTCATTAAATTATAACTAAAAAATTTTAATTCAATTTAAATTAAACATCAAAGTTTTTTATTTAAATAAAAATTCATTTTTCATAATATCCTACGACATTTTTTGTAAGATATTTTAATAAAGTAATATTTTTTTTATTCCTTTGCTAAATCTCAGGATAAAATAATCAATATATTTCATTTTTTAATTCATTTTTTATTTTTTTACTCCTTTTAGTAAATACCAAAATATTTTAGTTCCTTAATAAAAAATTGAAAAATTTATTTTTCTTTTATACCTTAATTATTCTTTGTAATCCCTTAAAAATAAAATCCTTTATAATAAAGCCCCTAAAAATCCAAAATTTAAACCCTTTCAATTTTGAAATTTTCTAGAAGATTTTAGGTATAGAATTAGAATAATTAGAGTAACATTAAAGGATATTATAATTTAAAATATATATTTAAATTAAAAAATATTTAGGAAAATATATTAATAAAGTTGTTGACATTTTAAGAAAAATTGAATTTATTTTTAGTAAATTTAAAATACTTATTTTAAATAAAATTAAAATTTATATTTTGATAGCTAGCTATTATGATATATATGTAATCTAATAAGATATCTTATAAGATTAAAATTTTATTATTTAGCTTAAAAAATAATAAAGTCAAATATATATTTTCATTATCAAAAAATAAATTTTTAATGTCCACAAATTTTTTGAATTTATTGTAACTAAGATCATTTCAATCTATTTTCTAGGTTATTCTCTGATTAGGCTTATCAAACAATGTTAAGAATATCTTTAGTTCTAAATAATAAAAAATTGTGTTTATTTTCTAAAATATTTCACCAAAAAAAATTAAAAAATTATAATTTAATAATAACTCTTTTTAAATTTATTAATATGGAATTATTAATTAAATTAAATGTAGAATCTTATTTTATGAGTTAAAATTAATTTTAAATGAGTGAATAATGTTTATTGTTGATAAAATTCTCATCTATTCCGTTTAGTTAAAGTAGAATAATTTTCTCTTTTTATTTACAATAGAATATTTATTAATAAGTTTAATTTATATAAATCAACTATTTAATTGGAACGTTCTTATGATAAGAATAATTAATTCTCCTTACTGTGTTAAATCATAAATAGCGAATGATTATAACTAATTATTTTCTATATTTTACTCAAATCCTTCTTTATTATAAATAATTAAATTTAAAAAAAGATATTTTCTTTTCGTTATTTTACTTTTTAAAATTTTCTATCAAAAATTACTTAGTTACCTTTCAACTCACAACATACCTATTTTAATTAAAATAACGCTAAAAAAAAATGTATATAAATAGAACTTAAAATTTAAAATTAGAAATACTACTAAACAAAAAAATCTTAACTTAATTATCAAAAAAAAGGTAAAAAAAACAAATAAAAAAATTTTTTTTTTAGTAATGTCCAAACTAGCATTAATAAGCACATTGTTGCTTTTACTTAGCATACATAGCATTTATTGCAAAAGAATGGTTAATAGTAACAATGTAGATAAGGTTATAGAGCTTTTTTACACGTTCGCAGACACATTCTTTCAAAAATATCATAGTCTTTATCTGAAGAATATGAGTGATGATTATCATTTTACAGATATGAAATATGAAAAAATAAATCTTACACTTACTCCTCAAAATTCAGATGAATAAGAAATTTCAGTTTACAATGGAAAACTAATTGTATCCAATTTAAGTTTTAATCTTGAAAATATTTGGATACCTTTGGGATAGTAAAACGAAATAATGAATATCTAAATGCCTATTTTAGAAATCAGCTTTGAGCTTTACTCTAATCCAAGCTTTATCTCTATAGATAACACTAGACTTAACGAAGAAAATGAGTTGTACAATAGATACACCTTGACTATTTAATAGTTGTTTAATATGGCTATTATGAAAACTCTAGGTCCTATTTATCATGCATTCAATGCTTAGTAGATAGACCCAAGTTCATTTGTCCCTAACTTTTTAAAAATGTTTGAAGACTATTTTGTATAATACCATGGAGAGAAAATGTAGCCAGAATCCAAGTTTATTTTCGATGTTTCTAAATATTTAAATAGATAATCTAATAAGAAATATCAAGATGTTTATATTGAAAGTGCAGAAGATCTGGAAAAGCTATCTGTTCAATTTAAAGTTCCTACTGTTAAAGCAAAAGTAGAAAACTAAGAATAATAAAATAATGAAAATTCAAATACTGATAATAATAATATATAAACTAATAATAGTAATAATTTAACTAGTAATAACACTAATTCTTAAGAATTATGATAAAATTTTATGTAGTTTTCTCTACATTTTTTGTTTTCATAAATTATTTTAAATTGAATTTCAAAATATTTCAAAATGCTTAAATTGTTTATTTGAATTTTTAAAATATTCCAAAATATTTTATTTTATTTTTTAAAAATTGCTTGATATTAACTATTTTATTTATCAAACAGATGCTAATTAGTGTGTTAATATTTTTAAAAGTTATTATAAGAAAATAAATTATAAAATAATAATTAATATGAATATCAATTTTTATCTTAGAAAATATAAGGAAAATCTAACATTATATTTTAATTTTGATGTTTTTTTACAAGACATTTTCATAATTATTTTTTTAAACAGAATTCAATTAATAATATAGACAGATAAAATAATACAAAAGAAGTGGTAAATTAACTGAATCTTTGATTCAATTTGATTAAGAAAAAGCATAAAATTTTAAATTGATGTAAATTAATAAAGAGAGAATAAATTAATACATAAAATTTAGTTTACTTTTGTCTAAAAAATTATAATATTTTACATTATTCTTTCAAAACAAATTATAAAATTATTTTTAAAAGCAAATAAATATTTTTGAAATATGAATTATTTTCAATAATTAAAATGTGATGTATGCAAAAACTAAACTTTCATTTTCAATAAATGAGATTATAAAAAAACTGCTATTTGAAACTTTAAAAAAGTTATTTGTATTTTTAAAAATATAGATTTCAATATTTCAAGGAGAAAATTAACTTTTTTATAAAAAAAAATAACAATTATTCAATATTGTTTTGTTACCAAGTTTACTTAAGGCTAAAGAATTTTTTATTCACTCAATAAAAATAAACAATTTAATATTCTCAATATAATTGTTATTGATAAATTATTTAATATATTTATAAATTTGTTTGTCAATTTTAACTTACAAAAACATCGATTTCAAACAATTTTATTAATGCAATAAATAAGATAGATAAAACTGTTTTCTCTATATACTTTAATAATTTAAAAATCCTATTCAAGTATGCTTGAACAACTAATTGTAATTCATATATTAATTAAAATGAAAATGAGAAATAACTTGTACTTTAATCAAAAATGCCTGAATCATAATAAACTTAAAATAACTCATTCTTTTGTAAGAAAATAACCTGAATTTTATTTAAAATAAAATTTATATTCATAATTATAAATTTATTAATAAATTATATTCTACATTAATTGAGGTGGTTTATTTAACTGATGTCATTAGAAACATATTCAATTTTATTGTAACATTAAAAGATAAGTAATTAAATTCATTAAACACTATAACCTATTTTATATCATAATTTAATTGGTTTCCATTTAATTAGCTTGCTTCTTCATCCACAAGTAAACCAATTTTTGTATTTTTAATAAATTTATTTTTTGTTTTAGTGAATGCTAAAAATTAATAAATGTCCTAAATATTTTCTAAAAAGCAGGTAAAAATGAGGATTTACATTAAAAAAATAGCTCTTTATCAATTTATTACACTTACTATTTTCTTTTTCTTTGAATTTTGAGAAAGAAGAATAATGAGTTCTTTGATTATCACAAGCAAACATTAATCTTCTAAATTTATATGGAATACAACACAAAACTTCTTTAAAAGATTACAAATATATTTTAAAAATTTCCTCTCTCTTTTTAATTTAGTAAATCTAATTGCTTAGATTTTATTTTTAAACGTTAAAAAACTATGAATCAAAGACTATTAATCATTTTCTCAAAAGTAAAAAAATATATATTTAAGATAATATTGAAATTTATTAATTACTCATTAACGTGTAATTCAAAGAAGCGAAAAATCTACCAAACATATTTTGTTAAATAATAAACCTTTTGTGTATAACAATAAATAATTATTTAATTTATTTTAAATATTTTTAAGCAAGTATTTCTATTAAATCTATTCTTTGTTTAAGAAGTATATGTTTAAACAACATAGAAAATAAAAGTAAGCATGAATTGCAAACAACTCAAATTAATTTTAAGAATTTAAATTTACATTAAAATTTGTAATAAAATAATAATATTTGCTTGTAAGTTTTTTATTTTTATTTTTAATATCAATACAAATACAAATTTGTTTTAAAAACCTAATTTATTTTAAAAAAATATAGAGTAAAAAAAAAATGTTTAGCTTAAATTTTTGGTTAGCCATATTTAATAATATAATTTATTTTAAATAAGATTATATAGATGTAAGTAGAAATTGAGGTATATTCATCTTTTTAATCTATAGAGAGAAAAAATTTTTAATTAAAAATATTCAGCTGTATAACTTTTCGAGGATCAAATAATTAAACTGAGGATACATTATCTAATTAATTTATGATTATCTTATCTAATAAAAATTAAAAAATTCTTATGAACTTTGAAGATAATATTTATAAGCATGAATGAAATTATATCTAAATTTGATAAACTAGATTCTATTTTAATTAATTTTTACTAGTTAATATTTTTACAGATCAAATAAATTCATAATTTTTATGACAAAATATCTTGAAGCAAAAACAGTGTTATCGAATAATATATATTTTTAAATGTTCTTTGTTCTATTTCTTATTGAAGGTTATTGGTTTAAAAAATTCATTTGTATTCATTCACTCCATAAGTAAGTAAGTAGGTAAGCAAGAATACTTTATTACAAATATAAAATTAACATTAAGTAAAAGTAATTATTATAATTTAAGTGGGATTAAATAAAATAGATTAAAGCTTTCCTTACATTGGAAAATAAGTATTTAATGTAAAGTTATTTAAGTGGCATTTAATACCAACTTTAAGTTTTCATTGATATAATTTTTATGCTTTAGACGCTTTTATTCTCGAATATTTCATTAACCTACTTATTTTGAAAAATTATATTGGTTAAAATTAATATTTTCTTTAGAAATTTACAAAGTAATTTAATTGTAGAATTAAAAAAATACAGAGTACTCATTCGAGCGCTTATTAGTATTTAATTAAATAAATATGGCTTCATTATTTCTGTAAGTTGAATATCTGTAATATTTTAAGTTAAGTTGTAGAAAAAAAGAAAAATACAAAATCGCTTAATATTTTTAAAAATATTTGTGCTTTTTAAATATTTTATCTTATTTCTTACCTACTGATTAATCCATTTAATTTGTCATATATAATTTTTCACAATGCTTTCATACTCTTTTTACTGAAAAATTATGAAATAAGCTCTTAACTGCTTAATTAGATGCAACTCTGAAATATTTTCAAAGCTTATAATTGAAAGTCAGATAATATGAAATTAATTTATAAACAGAGAATATTATTTTTAAAATTTTTCTTTAGAAATTGAAAAATTTGGTATTATCAAATTTTGTGAGATTTTGTAAAATAAATAAAAAAATTACAGTTAGTGAAAAAGAGATATTAGGTTTATAATATTTGAAATTTATCATTATATAAATAGATTTATTTAAAAAGAATGAGGATCAACTCATATATATATTATTAAGTATTTATCAACATGATAAAAAACATTCTAATCAATTAACTAATGTATATTTTAATAACATTTTAAAATTATACTTTATTTTATTTATTAAACTGTTCTAATTTATTTTTTAGATTATATGAGTTAATTTACTAAAGAATACGCTTATAGTTAGTTATGATTTATTTTTATTTATCATTTTGCTCATAAATTTTGGTTTTTCGATTTATTAGAAATGTCATTTTTTAAATATTTGAAAATTTTATTTCTTTATCATACTTAAACAATTCAAACAAACACGGTTAAAATATTTTCATTTATAAGATGAATTTCTTCACCAATCACTACTATTCTATTTTATTTATAAAATAAATGCCATTTTATTCATTCGCAGCTGATTAACTTTTTTGGCTGAATACTTTACTTTTTTACTTTTTTCGCATTTAGTTCTTAAAAAAGTTATTTGTTAAAAATTTTCTCTAGGGAATGGATATGGCATAGCTACTCTAATAGGTATTAAAAGCATTTAAAAATAGTTTTTAAATGATAATTTACTTTGGATAGAGCTAGCTTTTAGCTATAAATAGAAAAATTAGATTTTATTGTATTAAAATCGTATTTTCTACTTTTGAAATATATAAAATATGTTTATATAAGAAAATACAAAATTAATACTTACTAAATCTCAAATTAATATTTAAAATATGATTTATAAAATAATTTGCCTTAAAATTTTTAATTTAACATAATATTCTATAATTAAAATGATTACAAACATAATTTAAATAATTATATAATTAAAAAACTATAGATACTTTAGAAAATTTTAAAGAAAAATCAAATTTAATTATTCCTTACTTTCGGTGGTATTTATTTATTTATTTCATTAATTTATTAACAAATAAATACATCTTTTTTCTTATATGTATTCATCTATTCCCCAGCGCTCACTTAAATTAAATCTGCACAAACAAAAAATTTTCCTTTTTTTTATCTTAAATATTAGTATTTCCTCTAATAATTGTCATCCAACCATATGCAAAAATTAACTTTAAATTACATCTTTTTTCGCCTGAAAGTTTGTAAGCATATAATTTTAATGAAAGAGTAATATAAATTTTTTGATAATGTGTAAAGCTATATTTTTTATGAAATTTTTAGATCACGGTTTGTTGAATTTACTTCCAAATAAATTTATCAGATTGGTGCAAATATGTGTATTTAAATTATTGTAAATTAAATTCACAAACAAAGGTTAGACTTAGGTTTGCTCTGAAATAAAGAGATTGTCTGGATGTTCTAATAAAAAATACTGATTAAAATAAAAAAAGAAAATTAAAGTTAAGAAAAGAGGCAAAAAGTATTATACTAAATTCTATACATCATAATCTAAAGACCGATACAATAATCTAAAAAATAGCAAACAAAACACATGAGCTTCTATCCTATTAACTAAAATCAAATTTTGTAGAACACACCACAAAGTAACATGTTCTAATAAACTACTCCTCTATTATATTTGCATCAACCTTAATGCATTATCATTTACTCAACACCATTTATTCAAGGAAACTCAATAGATAATAATAATAATATATAATAATTTACCAACAATGTCAATAATCATGTAAATATTTATGAACAACCTTAATAAATCATTTTAAATAATGAACTTCATAGGATGCACAAATCTAATGAAATACTTACTAATAGTTTCCATTATTAATAAACTGGCTAAGACGCAACCCACTTTCTCCATCAATAATAATGCATTTCTTAATAACCATGCTTAGACATGTAGGGAATCTAAGAAATTTCAAATACTTTTTCTTCTTTTGCTCATCTCGAGAGCTAATAAAGCACCACATATGAAAGGAATTCATTCTCATGTTTATAATAAACACCACCATCATCTCTTAAAACCTAACCTAACTCTTATATTTCAAATAATATATTATTGAAAGTAACTCCTCTTAGTAATGTAATTGAGTAAGAGAGCTAGGCAATGCAAACTGAAGAAATGAAAACCTTCTAAAATACAAAATTACATGAAATTGGATAAAATAACACAAAGCAAGATTAGCAGTATATTTATAATCAAATAAAGACTGAATAGTCAGATATTTAAAAGAAAAAAAACAAACAATCTCAAAAGCAAATAATAAAAAATGAAACAAAATCTATAAAAAATGAAAACTCTGTTATTCATTCTGATACTTAATAAAAGATTTATCTAAACAAAACTACAAGTCTATCTGATTCATAAAATGATAAATCAGGATTATCTGAATTTGATTAAAAAAACTTTATTGAATAACCTGTTGAATAAAAAAAATAGAACCTAATTTAATGCACCTATAAGTTACTACCTGTAACTTAAAATGAATAACTATAAGCAGAATCAAAAAACTGTTGTGAAAATGAGAAGTTTTTACAAGAATAAATTAAGTAAAATAATAAGTAATAGAATGAAAAATAATTGTTACAAAGTTAATCAATAGATTAATAATTTAATTTCAATTCAAGTAATAGTAAAAAAACTAATAACTCCAACCTTTAATAATCGTAAAATGAAATTCTAAATAAAATTATGAATGGTAAATCTTATTCTGAAGGCAAAATACTTAAAAAATTTTAACTATCTGATGCACTGTAATTTGTAAAGCAATGTGTTTTTAACTAAAAAAAAGAAATTATTTTTGAATAAAAAAATTTAAATCCTTTCAAATTAAGGCAATCAAGTCTCAAAAATGATGATATTGTCTTTGCATAGATCAAAGAATCTAGAAGAAATAACCGCCTTAATAACAAGGATGACGAATAACTTAAATTCAAAGGTGAAGGTAGTTTTTAGGATCCAGAATTAATTAGTGATGAAGATGATGATTCATCCATGAATAAGTAATCTTCCTTATAAAGGTAAAAACCTATAAATGGTAAAACACGTAAAGCAACCTCTAAATTTCATAATTTGAAAAAGCTCTTTATGTATAAATTAATAGCTACTTTTAATATGAGTAATATGATCGATATTGGCGTGCCCATCTAGGTAAGAGAAACCATCCTCAAATTAATGGTCAAATTTAAGTTGTCTGCCAAAAAATCTGAAGAATTTAACAGAAAAACAGAATTTTTCTCACAAGCTCATTATAATGCTTTGTTTTTACATCTAACACCAAAAACAATTACTGCTTTATCTCAAAATAAATTTGAAGTGTACTTACACAAGCTTATATTTCAAATCGATCTCGAAAAAATTTCTCATTACATTAACAATCCTTAATAATAATAAGAATTAAATAATAATAACGCTTGCTAATCTACACAAATTGAAATAGAAACTGATCAATTTAATGATTGTTTTAGAAATCACAACGTATGCTGCTATGAAGAAAGAATATAATATATTAACATTCTAAAACGCTATTGCTATTAAATCGTTAAAAACTCCAATATGTTTGGCATCAATGATTAACCTGAAAACAAATTAAATCAAGGCAATGAAGTCTGTTTTGATGAATAGTTACAAATATAAAACTAAGACAAGTAACTTAATGAGCAGGAAAATATGCGTATGGCATATACTTTCCGCGCTTTACAAGGCATATCTAATTTAAATAAAGGTTTATTTGTTAAGAAATTTTGAATTAGGCAAAATAAACAAAAAATTAAATCTTGATAAAATTATAAAACAACTAAATTAATCTTCACTCTCAATAAATTATTATCTGATATTATCTTTCTTATCAAATTTATACTATCTTCTATCGCTATACTTATTCTTTATAATACTTAATATTACTTTAACATTTTTTGAAATCAACTAACTTATATTTATAAAGCTTATTTTTTTATGCATGATTAACTTTTCAACTTGGTTTTAAGAGAATATAACTACACCTACCGTCTTAATTTTTAAACAGACTTTTTATATGTATTGTGTGTTATATTAATCAAATTATTGAACATAAAAGTATATCGATATACTTCAATATTCAACACCTTTAGTTCTTCGTGGGATATAGAGGGAATGAATTATTTTTAAATTAAAAAAATTATCAATATGCATAACTTATTTTATACCTCAATATATGGATAATCGAAGGTATGTATATTAAATATTAATATAAAAATGAGTCAAATATACTGGTTTAAGTGCTAGTGACAAGATTTGACTATTGCTATATTCTCTTATAAAATTTTTAAATATTATTTTCTTTTTATTATTAAAGAGGAAAGATGAGTTCCTAAAATTTATTTAGAATATTGAAAATAATAATTAAAGTAAATTTAAAAAAAAATTTGCTAAAAACTATTTCATAATTTATATTTTGCTTATATAAAACTAATTAATTGATTTGTTTGTTTGGTAAAAAACAATTATTCTTGTGTGCAAAATTTGATATTTAATTAAAAAGTTGTTTACAAGCTTAGATCTTAAACACATTATCATAATAAAATGAGTAGAAATTCTAAAAGTGAGGAGAATTAGGATTTAAACGTCGGTTTGCTTAGCTATAGAGACGAAAATATCAATGTCTAAGGTTATATGTAAGATGAAGATTAGGAAGAGGAATCAAAAAGTGCCAATTATGAGGAAAAGCTAATTTAATATTCAAAAAATTAGTAAACCTAATCAAACACTTCAAGTTAAAATATTTAACAGAACCAAAATACAGAAAGCTAGCAATAGATGTAGTAGCCTTTTATCACTCAATTTATTTAAAAATAACTACAAGGTAATCTCTTGAAAGACGGGTATGAAATGTAAAAAGAGGTTTTTTCTAATCTAAAGTAGTCAATTTATAAAGGATATTCTAAAAAGATTAAAAAGTAAGTATTTTTACAAATAATAAAATGCACTCAAGAAGATTTCACAGATATCAATAACATTATTGAAAAGATTATAGGGATAGATACTCTATAATTTGTTTAGAAATACTACAATACTTTATTCTATCCTGAATTATTTTTGGCAGTTATCGTTCAAGATCCTTTTAAACTCACTCTAAAAGAAGAATTAAAATCAAAAGATGACTTTAACGACTACTAAAAGAATTTAATAATTTTCTAAATTTCGCATGCCCTTACAGAAATACACTCGTACAATATTATTCACTACTCGTTGTCTCCTACTACAGTCATCAAATCAGAAGATGGAATTTACAAACTTTCTTTCTTTGATTAATTTGCTTAATTAAAATCTAGATAGATACCTGATAGTTTTGATAAGAAATATATTTCTCCTGAGTTGCAGTGGTTTTTAAATGATGAAAATTAGAAATTTGATTTTCTTAATAATAAAGTAGATGTTTATTCTTTAGGAGTACTTATACTTGAAATAATAAAACCATCTAATATTACATATTAATCATTAAATTACAAGCAATAAAATAATAATAAGACAGAAAATAATAGTGAAAGATAAAGCTAACTGATATATAATATTGTGAGTGAGATAACCAATAATAACAACAAGAGTTACGATGTAGAAGAGAGATTTAGCTTAAATAAAAGCCTTTGCTCTTCAAATGTAGATAATTCTGAATATGTTCATGTAAGTAATGCAGTTTTAAAGTCATCAAACTTGAAAATATAAAATGAAGCTGAGTTGTTTGATCTAGGATTTCTTAATCCAAATCCAAGCTAAAGGTTTAATTCTTATGAATTATTTAACAAATTAGTATAATTTATATAAGTAGATTAATCTTACATCAATTCAATGCTGTCTTCGATTTATAGATCTTTGAAAGTAGATATTTTTTCAAGAAATAAATGTGAAAACTATTTAAAATAATTGAGAATCAATTATAGCGAGCTAAGATTATAATTAATTCTTCGACTTCCAGAGAAGCAGTAATTACCAGAAACGAAATTCTATTCTTACAAAAATACTGCCTTGCTGTATATTTAAAATTCTGATTTTTCTAAAGGACTAGACTATTCCTTGCGCTGTCTTGAAATAATCAACTTAGACAACAGTGAAAATACGTAAGAAATTGCGATTTTAAATATCAAGGAAAATGTAAAAGAAAAAATAAATCTATAAATAGTTATCAGTTTATGCTATGAAAAACTTAAATAATTTGAAAAGTCTTTGGAGCATTCAAATGACGCGTACAAGTTAGCAAACAAATAGAAACCTGAAGATTAAGATTACTACTTGCTTGGAAAGTCATGTTGCAGATTAAGTTGGTCTTATTGTAGATTGAAGGATGGACATAATGGTGTTAAGTATGGTCAAGAATCGCTGCAAGCATATTCAAAGCTAAATAAAAAGAAATTTGTACTATGCTTGGCTGAAGCTTTAGATGCTATAGGTTGTTCCTAAGAATTACTGCAAAATTACTATGAGTCTTTATAGCAGTACTAAGAATCCTTAAAATTAAGATAGAGCGTCCTAAAATATGATCACCCAGCTATAGCTTAAAGTTATTATAATATTGGTCTCATTTGGGCATTTTTACAAGATAATAAATAAGCTTTATAGAATTTTATTACATCAGCTAGCTTATATAAATTACATAAATAAAAATATACCAATTAAATAAAATAATCATATAATTAAGTTCATTAAATTCTAAAAAATCTGGATAGCTAAGATTTAGCAGATGAGATAATGCTATAGATAAATTAGCTTTGAAATAATAAGATAGATTAAAAAATTACACATAAACTTATATTTTTTCATATCAAAACTATTAAATTAGATAATTTTCCACATTATATTTAGCTTAAAATTATATACAAAACAATTTTATGAAATAATTTGTGTCATTTAAAATAATTTATAAATGTTTTAACTGAACTTCCATTTTTATTTTTCAACTAAATAAATAGATAAAAAAGTATTTTCTAAATTGTAAATAATAAAAATTTTAAATATATTTATTATAATTTGATTAAGCTTACACCAAATAAATTTGAGGTTAGATATTTGTTGTTTAAAAGCAGTACCAAAGAAAATAAACTAAAGACTACAATTACTAAATAAATAATACCATAAATGATATAAAATGGAGTAAAAATTTAATTCATAAACTCTATTTTTTAGTTATTGCTAAGAAAATTAAAATATTATTTAAAATATCACTAATTTAAACTCGTATTTTTAGAAACACTATAAATAGAATCATTTAAAATATACAGATGATGCTTTGAATTACATAATTAAAAATAAATAATAAAAAAATTCTAAAAATAAAAAAAAAAAATAATAAATTAAATGGATTCATTGTGCTCACCTTTAAACTCTTTTGAGTTATTAACTCCGTTGTTAGGAAAACTTAACAACTAAATAAGTTAATAAAAAGTAAGCTAAAAAGTAAATAGGATTAAATAGTTATAACATATTACATCCAAAGAAATAAATGATTCATTGTTTTCTTTTCTCAATAAAGATGGCTTTTATAATTTTTAAATTCTTGAGCAATCAGTAGATTAGCTACTAATATCGTGTAATTCTATGAAATAAAATTAAAAAGTACTTTTAACAATTTTAAAAGCAACACATGATGATAATGAATTTTTATGCAAAAAATATTAACAAATAATAGGATAGAGTTGCATGAACATACTGAAATATACTGATATTATTTATTATAAATAGTTGTTTATCACAATATTAGTGAGTTAAATATTTGAAAAAACTCTATAACAAGAAATCGAATCTAGACTCTTAAGTAAAAAGCTCTTTACAGAAGAATAATTTAATACAATAGTGATTTAACTATTCAACTCGCTATCAGAGATGCACTAAAGAGGAATCTACCATTAAAATATAAACTTATCTAAAATAGTAATTACTCAAGATAAACTTTATAAGCTATATGATTTTAACTTTCCCTTAAGTGTTAGATATCGCATATAAAATCCCAATTAAAACATTAACATTTATAGATAATAGTATTTAGATAAAGATAATAAATAATTGGAGTTTAGTGATATTCAATAAATCTTAAATGTATTATTATAAATTTTGTAATTTTAAAACAAAGTAATAGAAAAGCAGTAAAATAGACAACAATATTTTAATAAAGATTTATAATTGTTATTACAAAGTAATCAATTTGATTATTAAAATATTAATTCATCATGCAAATCGAAAAATTCTTAAGCAATCCTTAATGAAATATTGCCACTTCTAAATTTAACATAATAAAATTATCAAATTCTAAAAGAAATGGTGGACTAGAGTTATCAAAAGTAGCTTTAAATAGAAGGTAATTTAAAAGAAAACCAAATCGAAATAGATAAATTAAATTTGTTAATTACAAAAAGATAATTTGGTCAAAGCAGTAAATAAGTAATTAAAGCTTATAAATTAGTTCTTCAAAACCAACAATAAGATATTTTATAATTTTTGTAAATCAACTTGGAGTATTTATAATATCTATTCAAACACAAAGCATATAAAAGCTCTAAAATAATAAATTAGATGATAAATATAAGTAAAATATATGATGAAACAGGCCAATTTTAAAAAGCATTGCAATATTCCTTGGAAGCATTGAACCTTTCTACAGAAAGATACAAAGATAATCATTATATTTTAGTTAATTCTTTTATAAAAGTTAGTAAGAGCTATTAAATGTTAAAAGAATATTAAAAATCAGAAGAAGCCATTAGTAAGGCTCTGCTAATATACTCTACGCTTAGTAGAGGTTACAAAAAAGTTAACAAAAAAGATTTATATGAAATAATGGATGATCTTGATCAAATAGAAGATTAAATTCTGGATATTTAATTGTATTGAATTTTGTTAAAATTAATAAAAAATACTTACTAATAATTAAATTTTTTAAAGACTTATAGACTATAAAATATATGAAAGGCCAAAAAATAAAGAAAGAATAATATAATAAATTAAATTAAAAACTTTTAATAATTAATTATTATTTTGTTAGTTTTATAATCATTCATTTCTTAATTTATGTAAATATATTAAAATTTGTTTGTTTTTTTGAAGTTGTTTTTACATTTTTCACCGTTGAAGAAATATTAACAATGCGAATCCGTTAAATATTTTGTACTTTATAATTAAATATTTTAAAAAACAATTTTATCAATTAGTTCATAACATGATTTTAGGTTATTAAAATAATTTCATATTTAACATTTTATCTGATAGTTATATCTTTAATTGAGGGGTTACAAAAATACTAGATTACATTAGATAAATTTGTATTTTTTCTTTTGATTATATAGCTAATTCATTATTAGTAATAGAGAAAGACTAACACAGCTTTGCAATTACCATACGAATTTAGATTTTTGTTTTAAATTACCACTAAAATCTTTATAAGGACATGATAAATCTTCTAGTGTGATTCATATTGAGTTATTATATTAGAAAGAGCATATCAAAGATTTTTTATTATGTAATCAAAAAAAAAAAATCACTAAAATTTAATCAATAGTAAGAACAACAAAAAATCAAACAAAGATTTATTGATTGAATGCAAACAAGTTTTTTGGTGACAAAGGCTATAGACTAAAGCTGCTTTATGGACATTTAAGAAAATAATGAGATGATATAAAATAGAACGATTTGCTACGATTAAGCAACTTAAATTTAGTAAGCTCCTCCTATTCAAATTGATGAGTTGTAAGATGAAGATAACTAAGGATCCTCAGAAAGCACTAAATCTAATGAAAATGAAGAACAAATTAGTCCCTACTTTATAAGCACCAGCCCTACAACATTAAACTAAAATAAAATGAGACTGCAGCCCTTCTTGAGTAGCGCATCAAGAGACAGATTAATCTTATTATTTAAAAAAGAAAATTATATAAAATTCAGTTCCTTATATGAATCTTCTACAAATCTCACATTGAAGGCGTTCAATAAAGATATGAACCAATATGTCGTTCTTAATATATTCAAAGGAATGAAAGATGATTATCTGTAAGTTAAGGAAGAACACGAAAAAGTAAAAAGAATTTATAACAACTAATATTTGCTTTACGTTTATAAAATTGTTTATTATGAAGAACTCTTTGTTTATGTGATTGTTTCTGAAGTCTATGAATCATCTCTATAAGACGAATTATATTAAATTTAATAACAAAAATTCTAATACACTCCTAATAAAGCATACACTCTATTATCTTAATTATATTTTGGAATAGCAGAGCTCCACACAAATAATATTGTTCATAAAAATATCAATCCACTGAATATACTAAAAATTAATGATGGATTATACAAAATTGGTGGATTTGGAACTTGGAGAAACATCACAAAATAAACTCTCTAATCATTTACTAATTAAATTAATATGAAATTTCTTTCACCTGAGTTTTTAGAAAAATTATAAAACCCAGCGATTGAGTTGACCTCTAAATCTGATGTCTATTCGTTAAGTGCAATTTTTTTGGATATTTTATTAGAAATAAAGTAAGCAGAACCTGTAAATCAAACCCCTAAATCAAATATTACCAAATAAAAGCAAAATTATAATCCACAATAAGAATAATATATTAGTTACTTCAAGAAGCATCTTTTATGCTTTAATTATAAAAAGAGAATTTATTCTTATGAATTAATAAATTTAATCCACTAATTTGTTAAACCATAGGAAAATTGCTTAAAGGAGACTCTAAAGCATATAGGAAAAGTACTTTCTACTCCCTAAATAGATTATACTCAGAATATCCAATATCTTATGAACTACAAATTAGCAATAAGCGATTTTAGGATTAATTTAATGAAAATATATTAATAAAAATTATTACCTTGGCTAGGAATAGCTCAAGTGACTGCTGAAAGTGGATATTTGAATGAAGAATATGGATTGTTCAAAAAATCATTGGAGAGATATCAAGAAGCTATTGAAATATATAAGCAAATAAAAGCTGGTAGTAGTGATGAAATGATAGATCTACTAAGAAATATAGCTTAGGTGTATCAAAAACTTGGAGATTATGAAAAGTATCTTGAGTTCTCTATGAAATCTTTGGAAATGGCAGAAGATCTTTATAAAAATGCCAATCACATTTAAATAATATGCTCTCTCCACTATGTTTCATGGAGCTATTATTTCCTTAAACAAGGCTAAAAAGCCTTAGAATATGCAGAAAAAGCTCTCCATTTAAGATAAAAAATCAAAGAAATACACACAGCTAGCAACATTTAAACTCGTTCATAATAGTTTTAAAATATGGCATATACCTTAGAAACTGTTGGAGCTGCTAATTAATTAGTAGGAAAGAGAGATGAAGCTTTGAGATACTTCTAACAAAGCTTAGAAGAATTAAAAAAATCTGCTAAGGGTAATCGTCCTGATCTAGCAGCATCCTTAAATAATATTGGTGTAATTTATGAAGAAATGGAAGATTATTAAAATTCATTGGCATATTTTACCTAGGCTTCTGAAATGTATACAAAAATTTATGGTAATTATCATCCTCTTTTATTAATTTCAAAGAAAGGAATTTTAAGGTCTCTACAAAAACTAAATAGAATAGAGGAAATTAATTAATTAGAAAAAGAAATACTCAATATTGAAAGCCATGTATAGAAGAATAATAATTGATCTATACATTGCATTGTAATATTCTGAATAATGTTAATTGATCAATAAAATAAAATAATCTCAAAAAATCAATAAATACCTTAATTTAGTTTAAATGCAGATTAGGTAAGTTTGTTTTTATCTATGAATATAATATTACTAAACATATCAAAAATAAATAAAAATTATAAATTAAATCTATTTTATAAAATGTATACACACATATTCTAGTTTATTTTTGTACTTTATAAATGCTATCTATTACTTTTCAAATTTTATAAATCCCTACTGATAAAAATACAACTTATTTATATATTTATTCCTTCAAAACGTTTAGATTATTTTCTATTATCTCATAAAGTGCAAAATTAATAAATTTTTAAATCTGAGTATTTTTCACTAATTTCGAATTCTCGTAATATAAATTGATTTGTCAATTTTTAAATATAATTAGATTTCAATTTTATTTACTCTTTTAAATAGTATTAGTTAGAAGTTAATAGTATGGTTTTTTTATTTGAAAATTTAATAAAATGTAAACATTTTTACTTTTCAACATATAATTTATATATTTTATTACGAAAATGAAAATTATTGTGTTATTATACATTTTAATCCTAAGTTATCAAAGCAAAAAGGTTTAATTGTTACACTTTTATAATTCGAATCTTTTATTACATTTATTTGAAAAATATTAATTAATTTTAGCCCATGATTTTTTCTTAATCAATTAATTCGAAATTGCAGTTATAATTACTTAAATTAGTAAAAGAAATTAATTAAAATAGTAAATATTATAAAGTTTAATAAGCTATTTATAAGGAAATATATAAAAACATGCAACATGAACATTCATAAAAAATAATAATAATTAAAAGATAAATAATTTTATGTTGATTAACATTTTCTATCTATTAGTTGAAATTTACTAAGTTTTTACTTATTTTTTATTAGTATATGAATACATAAAAGTATGCAAGAGATAAATTTACTGATTATAAAAATGTTCGAAAAATATATAGATTGAATAGTTAGTTGATGAAATAGCTTAAATTAAAGATTTAAAGATTTAAATTGATGGCCTACAAAAAAGTAAAACAATCATAATTAAAAACTTTCATAAATGCTTCAATTAAATAATAAAAAAAATCTTTTGTAAAAAACAGTTCTTTAATTGTTCAAAGGATAAAAAAAGAAGAAAACTTAAAAGAGAAAAGACCCAAAACTTAAAAACTTAAATTATAAAGTATTAAATTATTATCTTTATATACTATTTAAGCTAGCTTATGCTTTTAAAATATTGAAAAGATTATTTAATTAAATATTCAATCAATTAATCTAAAAAAATTTAATTATAAATTTATTCATATTTTTAATAAAGCTGTTATCCTAATATTAAAAAATTAAATAAAGATATTTTTCATATTTTTTGATAAACTTCTAATAATTAATTTTAGTAATTTTTATTATTAAAATTACAAAAAAAAATAATTTTATTATTTAAATTTATTTTTAAAAAAACAAAACAAAATTAATATTTTAGAATTATTCTTTAAAATAAAATTGATTTTTTATTCTCTCTATTCATTTAATAAAGCTCATAGTAATTTTTTTATACTTTAAATGCTTTTAAATAATGAATAACTTCTTTAAAATTTTTTATTTTTTTTTAATGAGTTTTGAATCCAGCTGTTAATAATTTTTGATTTGATAAAATTAAATTAATGATAATATTAAAAGAAATTTTTTCTATTTTATAAAAATACAATATGGAGACTATTTTTTAACATTATGTATTTTTCTCAAATTTTAACAAAAATAAAAAAATAACTGTTATTATCAGATCAACAAAGAAATAAATATGAGTAAAGATATTAATATAATATTTGAGTTTGCAACACATTATCCACTTGCTAGCTTTGGAGTTTAGGGGTTGCATAATTTACAATCATCAGATGTCCATTCAGTACCTCCTCTTGATATACAAGAAGCAGAAGATGCTACACAGCTTGTTTAATCTGAACTTGCATACATAGCTTTTCCATTACATGTATTGCAATCTTGGTCAGTCCAAGGAGTACTTTGTCTTTTAACACACGAAGCAACAGATGCAACACAAGAGCTCCCAGAAGTACTTGCATAAAGAGTCTTTCCATTACAAGCTGTGCAATCTGTATCATTCCAAGGTGTATTTCCTCGAGATGTACAAGATCCAGTTGTTGAAATACAGGAACTTGCTGCTATATTAGCATACATAGTTTTCCCATAACATGTTGAGCAATCAGAATCAGACCATGGATTAGTTTATCTGTTAATGCATGAAAACTTTGAGGCAACACAAGCTGTATTTTGAAAATTTGTAAAAGGAGTTGCTGAAGTACAAGAGGAACAAAATTAATCGCTAGTATTGCTAGTAAAAGATGGACAGTAAGAACACTCGTTAATCTGGCAACTTGTGAGAGTTGTAGATGTATTCCAAGTACATCCTCCTGGTGGACTAGGGCAAGCAGCGTTACATGCTTAACCAGAATTTCCTACACATGCTACTTAAGATCCTTAAGCAGCAAATGCATATTCTGTTAGAATAAAATAAATTAAACAAATTTTTATTTTCAATTTCATAAAATTCTTATTTATTTTTGTTAATAATTATTATATATTTTTAATCAGCTTATTATGATTTTAATTACTTTAAAGTAAGTGTTTATATTATGATTGATTAGCTGATTTTGATTTAATTATTTACAAAGATATCTTAGATTGTAACAAAAAATCATGAAAAAGAAATTTCAAAACAATTTAAATAAATTATATTCTTAATTTTCCAGGCTTTTCAAACTTCATGAGTGAATTAAATGCTAGGTTAATTAAAACTAGTTATTTATATAATTTCTTAAAATATCAAAAAGTTTATGATTTAAATAAGTGAAACATTCAAGTAAAATTATTTAAAGTAGAACTGTTGAATATGATGAATAAAGGAGTAAATACTTTTTAATTTTTAAATATTTTAACAATCATGAATTATCTATCAATGTTAAATAAAAAAATAATTTGCCATTAAATCTTCTTGCTTGAGTTAATATTTTTAGTTGTGGAACTTAAAAATTCAGGTGAATTTGTTAATTATTAGATTTATTTAATTTTTTATGCATGAAAAATTAATATTTGTTTTTGTAACTAGATTCAAGTTTTCAATGATAGGTATTTTACATTCTTATAAAAGCAGATAAATCATTTTTACTTTATTTAGTTAAGAAAGTTTTAATCAGCAAGCCTTATCAAAACAAAATTCATTTTTTTATTATAAGGTGATTTAAGTATTTTTTATCGTAAAACATTATTGCGTAAGAAAAAGAGTATTGAGAGATAAAATAAGCTTCATGTCTTTATTTTTCTAAATAATAAATATAATTTTAATTTAAATTGCTTATAATTTTTAAATTTATTCAAAATGCAGGTATTTTTTTTAGATAAATTTAATAGACAATTTAAATTATCAATAAATATTCTATTATATTTTTATTTAAATCCTTCTTCAAAAAGAATAAAATGATATTGAATTATTTATTATATTTTGCTTTATTTAAGCTAATTTAAAAATATTTGGATAAATTTATTTAAAAATATGCTAACTCACTCATTTTATTCTTAAACAAATGCAAGCAATTCTAAAATCTTCAAAAAATATTGCATTTTTAAAAAGATACTCTATTTAATTCTGTAAATATACTAATTATAATGTAATGATCTAAGAATATGTCGTTTAAATTTCAAATAAATAAATTTCCTACTTAAATTTTCTTAAGTTTCAATATTTTAACAATCCTAAACTACAACTAATTAAAAACTAGACAAGCGGACATATTTTAAATTAACTATTTCATTTCAATTTAAACAAAACATAATATTTTGTGTTAATAAATTTCTTTATTTTTACTAATTTATAAAGTATAAAGATTTGCTAATTTTTGATTTTGTTTTTTATAATTGAATTTGTTTAGTCTTTTTGTAAATATATTTGCATAATATTTCAATTATATTTTTAATTTAACTTTTAGGGTTTGATATGCTATCAAAAAGCTTAAAGTAATTTGAAAATTTAAAATAATTTTTTTACAGAATAATATAAAAATAAATTACATTTAAAATTTTTAATTTGTATAATTACATACTCGTTTTTGCATTTCAGAAAATGATTAATGTAAAAATTAACATTCCTAGAGTTAATATTGAAGAAAATGTCTTAGTGTCTTATTTACATAAATTATTACTATTAGCATTATTACTATTTTAACTATTATTGTTATTATTATTATTGTTATTATTGCTTTATGAATTTTATGGTGAACATAATGTGCATTCAGGTGAAGAATTAATGTTTGTAAGGCAGTAGTTAGTAGGGCATTGGCAGACCATGTTTAAATCAATTTTAGCTTCTTCAGGGCACTTAAAGCAAAAACCACCATATAAAGAAGTAAAACCTTATCCACATTGACCACAATAATTTGGTTTAATAAAAAAAGTACCAGCTGAGCATTTCATACAAGGATAGCCACCTCCTGATTAATATCCTGGCTTACATTGGAAACACTATCCATTAATGAATTCAAAATTATCAGGACAATCATTTGGTGGAATATCACAATAAGTTTGAGCTAATAATAAGACCAAAACTATAAATGTTATCTTCATATTTAAATATTTGTGTTTTATTTTCTTTAATTTAATTTTTTAATTTAAATAATAATAATAAATAAATATATTTAATTTACTTGCTAACTTAAAGCAAGTTCGTTAAAAATTATAGACTTGTATATTTTTTTTACTGGAAAAATTACAAAAATACTAGGGGATTTACTTATTAATTTATCATAATATATGAGCAAAATATACATTAATAGATAAACTTATTCCTTCATTATACTGAAGCAATATTAGTTCTGATATAAATCAATCCATTAAAATAAGATAGCTTAATTAATATAGAAAGACTAATTTATTTATTACTGATTCTAAATTTGTTGGTGTATAATAATAATAAACTTAATGAATTCTAATTATTTATTTAATATTAACATTTCTAATTGTTAAATGTTAAATGGACAAATAAATATATTACTTTATAATATAATGATAAAAGAACTTTAAAGAATATTATTAATAAAATTCATCTTCAAAAAATTTAAATATCTGCTATCATTAAAATTAAATTAAATTTAAAAATTTATCAAAGGAAAATCCCCATTAAAATGTTACCATTTTTATGAATTCATCTTCAATTAAAAACTTTAGATTATTAATTAAGAAATATAAAAAAATATAAAATAGACAAACATTTTTATTTTACAAATTGATTCTAATAAATAAATTTTTACTTTTATTTTTAGTTCTAAAAAAATATTAAATATCTTTTAGATCATAAAAATTATACCTTTTAGTTATCATAATAACATTTTAGAGAGAACTTAAAACAAAATTAAATAATTAATTAGTCTAAATTTATAAAAATCTCATAAAGTGATAAACTATTTATTTCATATTTACAAATGGTTTTTGCAAAAATGATCTATAAATTCTAAAAATGAATATAATGAAATTTGTAATATTAATTAGCATAATATCATTCCAAATAGAAGAGGTGATTTTAACAAATATTAGAATAAAGATTTAAATTTTGAAAAATAAAGAGAAAAATTGATACTTATGAATATCAGATGTTAGAAATTCATTAGAAGTTATTCATTTGAAAATAGATTTTTAGCTTATGTTTAAGCTAAATTAATTTGTTATAAAATATTAAATTAAAGATATAAAAAATATTTTTTTAAATCAACTCTTTAAAAAAGAATGTAAATATTTTGAAGGGGAGTCATTACTTTAAAAATAAAATTTCAGGCTTTATTTTTAAAATTCTTTCAAAAAATTATCCATTAATTTCTACTAAACCAAACAAAATAAACCCCCACACTCTCACATAAATGTAATGTATTTAGTATGTAATATTTGGAATAAAATATATATAATTTTTACAAAGTTTAATATATTTTTCTAAAATTTTCCAAAGTTATTAAATTTTCCAAATAGATATCCCATATTTTACTTTAATTTAATATTTTTGAGGTTTAATCTTATTCTTTTCTACGCTTTTAGGAATTTTTTATTCCTTCTTAACTCCTAATCAATCTTATTTATCTTTTATTTAAGCTTTTTATCTTTTACATCTGCAGAAGTAACTCTCTTTTAGATAAACTATTTAAAAGGTTTTTTATTTGATATATTTTTAATATTAAATGTATTTATGGCTCGTAATTTGCTTATTAGATATTACAAATATATAACATCGATATTGATATTGAGTAAATTATTATTTTTTGTCTCGATTTTTGTTAATGGTATTTTAAAAACTAATATGTTAATAGATTTACTTACAATTTTTATCTTGAAATTATTGCATTTGATTTTGTTAAAAAGTTATAAATAGTATTTGATTCAAATAGTGAGATACATAAATTTTTTTTTGCTATTTATTATAAAAATGTATTTTAACACCTTAAATTCAAATTCTTTGAAAAATAAAATCTTTTTTAAAAATAAAATAATAATAAAATTAAAATCAATGTTTTAAAGAAAATTATTAAATTACAAATTAAACATGGTTTTTTTACTTAGAAAGATTCAAACACGGTTAATAAAAAGTAGCTCTATCTGCCATATTTCTTATTTTAGTATTTGGATAACAAGAAATTAATTTATAAAATAGTAGATTTTAATATGCTATAAATATTTTTATTATTTAAATTCGAGCAACACTACATTATTTAAATGTTAATAAATCTAATAATTTAAACTCGAATTTAATAAATTGAGGTAAAATGTATGGATTTAAAAAAGATTAAAACAAATATATGCACTTTCTATGATCAATAGTATGATATTTATTCAATTAAAAAGAGACTTAAAAAGTAGATAGCCAAGATTGATTTGTGTTATGAAAATCTTAATAATAAATAAAAAATACATAATCAATCAGTTATTTATTATTAAATCATTGAAATCAAATTCCTTTTCTTTTCAAACAAAAAGAATTCAAAACAAAAATTCATCAATTTATAAATGTAAAAGCAAACAGATTAGGAATCTTAAAACCAAGAGCAGCAGTATGATCCTCATAAAACTCCTGCTGATTTAGACATGGCTAAAAAACATTTAGTAAATTTAGAATACAATTTTTATTTAAAGTATTACTCCATTTTATGTGGTTATAAACTTAGAATTATATTAAGAATTTCAAGATATTAATGTCCTTATATTTTAATAAAAGAAAGCCAAAGCTGTAGGTTTAGTGAGAAACATAGAATTAATTAATACTTCTGAAATATGTCCTTGTTGCGGATGTATTATAGTAAAAATTTTAGTATTATTAAAAAAAAGTTAAACATTTTTTAAAACATAAATAGGAAAAAGAAAAGGTAAGTCTCTTGTGCAAACTAGAAGATTTAGGATTTTTAGGGGCAGGAGTTTCGCTATACTTCTTTTTTATAAAATATTGCATCACCTTCTTATTTTTTATTGGACTTATATGCTCTATCTTCAATATTCTTAGGAATGCTTCTGGATCAAATTGCTCTGCTATACCTTAATGCTAATCAAGTTTTATTAATAATTTAAGCATTATTAACAGAAATGATGCAAATGGTTAATTCTAAACATAAGCTGGGCTCAACTTCCTAACAACAATTACTTTAATTGTTGCTTCTGTAATGTATGATAGTTAATCAATTTTTACTTGAATGCATATTATTTATAAAAAATTTTTAGATTAAGAAAATAAATGTCTACTATGAGCAAATAAATTAATATTGATAATATTACTGCAGGAGATTTTACTGTCATGGTAACAAACCTCTAAATTGGTACAACAGAATAATAATTAGTTGATTATATAAAATCATGGACTAAAAACTATGGTGAGATACAGATAATAAAAGTAAACTTTGCATATGACATATCTAACTATATAAAGATAAAAAGAAAGCATTAAGAATTAGTTTTGAAATAAATCAAAGAAAAAGCTTCATTGTAATTTTACACTTTTGCATAAAATCTGAAATAACTCTTTTTTAATCAAAAAAGAAAGGAAAAATTCTAAGATACTTCTCATTTGTTAACTAAGATAAGTCAGGAAATTGATGAACTGGAAAAATAAATCTCAATTACAGAAGAAAATTTTAAAACTGGTAATTTTGTCAGATCAGGAGCAGCTTTCGTTACATTTGGATCTGATAATACTGCTGAATTAGTAACTAAAATTTTTAAAAGAAACTTTTTTAGTAGGATAATTAGAAGCATCACAAGATTTGGTTCTTTAAATGGTAAAGTTATATCAATTAAGAGAGCACCAGAACCAAATGATATGTAAATAGTACTTTTATAAGAATATTAAGTGAATTATTTTATTTGTAAAAAAATATTAGTTATTGGGAAAATCTTTGCTACACATAATTTGAGAAGTTCACAAGCAATTTAATTACTCATTTTTTTACTGCTATTTTATTGGTTGCAGCTTTTTTCATTATTTTTGCTATTTCAAAAGCTTAAGTAACTATCTAACTAACAATTATTATTCTTAAATAAATTTATTAATTTATATTATAATGCAGGATAATATCTAAAGTACAAGTAATAAAAATGATCCAACTGTTGTTTTCCTCTCCTTCATAGCATCATTATTTATTTTTATAATTAATAATGGCTTGAATATTATTATTAGAAAGTTTGCTATTTTTGAAAAGCATGCTACACTCACTTATTACTTCATTGGAGTTGCCTAAAAATCAGGAATAGTAAATCATCATTTTCTTTATTTAATGATAAATTTCATGATTATAAAATTATCTTTGTCAATTTATTCTAATTTTTATTATTATTTAATTTATAAAGGCTTAGTTCTTGAATACAACTATTGTTGTTTATATTATCAAAAAAATAAAACTGGAAAGCTAAATCTATATCTCAGGTTTAAATTTTTATTAAAGATATAAAGATAAATAATAATAAAAAATATAAAAAAGGTGGCTTATTATACACAATTCACTTCATTTTGCTTATGAATCTCGTTGGTTCATTCAATATTTTTATGAATCCTTTCTACTTCTATAAACTTTGGTTGAGAAGAAAAGCTGAGAAAGGTAATAAACAATTTATAGAGCACACTCCATAACAGAAAATGAATGAGTATTAATAGATTAAGTTTATTAATTAATTAGTTATCATCAACTTCTTTAAAAATAAAAATTAGAATTTATGAGGGTCCTAAGTTTGATTTCCCAGCTGCTTATGCTAAATTAATTAAATTGATTATGTTTGCTTCATTCTACTCTTATCCTGCTCCTTTGATTGTGTACATATCACTCGGAATATTAATTCTAACATATTGGTTTGACAAATACCATCTTATTTCTAGGTGTTCTATGCCTGATTACTTATCTCACCACTTGCCAGAAGCTATGGCTGATTTTTATTTGGAGTTTATGATCGTTGTTTTTTGTGTAAATACCAAAATTTATTTTATTTTACATCAAATAATTTTTAAAATTAAAATATCTCAGATTGGTAATATAGTATTTGAGAATCTACTATTTAATAAGTCAAGTGGACTCACAATTGCTGCTTTAGTTCTTGCTATATTATTTTGGGTTGCTGATTTTGATGCGATTGTAAACTGTATATGCTCTAATGATAGCAACTAAACCTAAGTTAGAAGATATGAGTATTATAGCCAATATTTTTTAACTGTAAATTATTATTTAGTTTTTCTTAACAGCTACAAAAATTCATACTTTTTTGAAAGCTTTGAAGATGAATTTATTTTTAAACTTGATTTTTATATTATTTTGTAGGATTATGAAAGATCTAATCCTGTTACAGCTATGAAAGCTATAGAAGAGTGGACAAAAAAATTGTAAGATAATAAGATTAAAGAAGCCAATAAAAAGTAAAACTTGGTGTTTTTATCTAACTATGCCCTCAACAGGCCAGGAATGTCCTCTTTTTATCATCATGGATTCAGATAGCCATAAATGAATATGATGAATTAATAATATTAATAACCACAAAAGCTTAATATGAACTTTAGCTATCAGCAGCAATTTATGCCAAACTAATACAGGCCATAATAGCCTTAATTTGGAGGATTTCCACAAAGTATTAATTAAGTTATACCGATGAGATAACCTTAAATGGTTACTGATCCAGCTATGATGCAAAACGAGATCAATAACTTGAAGCAATAGCAAGAATAACTCAGATAATAAATGCTAAATAATTATAACCCTATGTTCTAGCTAAATATTATATCTTAACTTGAAATGAATAATGTAAATTCATTTATAATTATTATTTTATTTAAACTGATATTTAATTCATTATAAATAGCGTAGGATAACTTATCTCGAATCTTAAATCAATAGACAGTAACCAATAAATATTGCACCTGCTATAGGTTTTTAAAGCAATTTACCTAATCCTATATAAGATCCAGCAAGATAATCTAATTTTATATAACCTTAACAAAATAACCTTCCTAACCCATTGATTGTTAACCCAACTAATTCAAGCTAAATAAACACATAATAGTCTAATTAGAATAATATTTAGGCAGCACCAAATTAATTATCATCGTCTTATACAAACATGTAGCCCTAGTAAATTTAACCAAATAATCAAAATCCCATGCTCTATCCTTAATAGCCAAATCAATAAATAATTTAACCCTAGTAATAAGTCTATAGAAATCCAAATTAGTAAGGGTCTATTCTTTATTAACCATTTAATACAAATTATTAGTAATAATAGTAAATGGGAAATCCTTAAGTGATTGGTAATTAAATGTATTAATAGCAAGCTTAATAGCCTGTCTTTCAATAAAATTATTATAATTAGAGACCAGGGTTCATTCCAATGATGATGCCCTAGCAATAATAATAACAACCACTTTTATAATAAGGAGGAATTTAGTTATAATAATATAAATGAATAGAACACTCACTTATACTTTTATGTTTTTGATAAACTATAATGTTTTACAAAATTATTATAAATGAAAAAAAATTATTTTTACATAAAATTGATAAAAAATCTAAACAATTAAGTAAAAATGTATCTAATTTATTTGTTTATTGAAGTATCACTTTTAAGAAACACTATAGAAAAACTTCTTTTTAAGAATCACTTTTTAGTTTTTATTTTTCAGTTGTTGAAATAATTGTAAGTGGGTATAGAAAATTTTTACTTTTAATTGACCAATAAAACTATGATTATTAATGATCATAAAGTTGTTTAATTACAAGATTAATTAATTTTTTTACCCAACTATCTAACTTCGAAAAAAGAAAGTAAAAGAGTTTTTGATTTGAATTTTTGTTCAAAAACTATTGATAATTTATAAAAAATATTGATTATAAATAAATTTCTTTTTAAATCAAAACATCAAAACGTAATTCAAGATTTTACAAAATTGATGAGTATATAATCAGAGAAGCGTAGTACGCTGCATATTTAGCAAAAATATAATTACTTTTTAGGGAATGAGGATTTTCGTTTATTGAAATTATCAAATTATTTTACTTAAATTTACACCTATAATTTTCTATTTAAAATAATTAATTATTTGTAATAATATTTTCTATATTTCAGATATTCAGCTTCCAAAAAAATGTTTTAAGCTATCATAATTTATTTCAATTTTCATTACTATTTTAAGGTTTTCTAATTTTTTTATTTGATTCATTAATAAATTTGCTAATACTGCTTTAGAACAAAATAAACACATAAAAATTTGCAAAAATTCTTTTGTTATTTATTAATTAATATAAACAAAATTTGTAAACAGTAAGTTAAGAAAAGAAAATTTGAGATAAAGAAATAGTATACAATAATGTATACAAATATTAATGTACGTACTTCTTTTAGCTATGAACAATTTAAATATACTTAATTTCACATTTTTTATGGAAAAAATGAAAATGATATATCTAAATAAAATATATTTTAAATTTATTAGTCAGCAAAAATCTAAACTGTTAAATCAACTCTTATTATGTATTATATTAAATTTTTGTTATAATTGAAGAATTAATATAAAAATAGAAGGTATTTTGAATGAAGTTATTGAGAGTGTCTTTTGTTAAATTAAAGATATCAATACTTTTTAGTCAAAGTAACTTGTAACTTTACAAATTGACATAAAAAGCGGAGATTTTCTTTTTATTAAATTAAAAAATAAAAGATGATATATATTTTTAAAGTTTTTTCGATATTGGAGATTGGAAATTCAGTACTTAAAAATTGAATAAAATATAAATATATTAAGAGGGAGAGATAAAAATGTATTTCATTCTATATTTTGTTTTAATTTATAATATCATTTATAAATTTCTTAAATTTGAATAAGTATTATACTCTATAAAAAGTTGAATGTAAGAGATAGCCTTAAAATAGTTAAAAATATTATAAAAGGGTGACAAGAAAAAATAGTATAAATCAAGCAACCTGTAGCATTTTCATTAGTAACTTTTATTAAATAATCTGTTTTCATAAAATAAAAATGTATTTTATGTAATATATTTTATCATTTAAGTTGTATTTATATGTTTAACTAAATTATTTTTAAGGAACCAAAAGTCTTTAATATTTTAATCTTATCAAATTTCACCACTAATTTCTAAGAGAATGAAGAAAATTGACAAAAATTGACTAAATCACAATTTAAATTATATAAAAAGTTGTCTCCTCTCCCTATTTAAAAAAGTGCTATACAATAATAAATAAACCAAAATTAAAAAATTTTAATAGATTAATAAACTAAAAAAAAAAAAATAATAATAATAATAATAAAAGAAAATGGAATTCAAAGTCCTTTAATATTAACAAAATTTTCTTGAAAGATTGGATTTATTCGGTATAGGAATAAATATAAGGTTTAATAAATAAGCTAGTCACAAAACTAAAATTGGTGGATTAGTAACTGTTTGTTTACTTGGTATTTTAGGATATCAAATTAAGCTTATTCTTGATTAGCTTTATGACTACACTCATCCTTATGTTCTTTAAGAATAGAAATTTACTGCAGAACCATAACGTTATAACCTAACTTCAGACAAATTCATCTTAACTTTTGGCTTACAAAATTCTACTTCTCAGCATTATATTGATCCTACAGTTTATAATGCTACTCTTACGATTAAATAAACAATAAAAACAAAAAATGAAGCAACTGGGTAATTCGTAGCTAGTACAATAATTAGAACAGTAAAAACAGAGCCATGCAGGATAGATCATTTCAATATTCCTGAAGTTAATAACTATTTTATTTCATTAAGCTACCAAAATATGTATTGTATTAGTAAAGAAGAAACGGATTTATATTTTTAAGGATAATTCGATGCTCAACACTATTCAGCTTTTGAGCTTAAGGTAAGTTCTTGCACAGGTAGTAATTGCAACCCTAATATGAATCAACTTCTTCAATATTGTAGATTAGCTATTTATTACGCTGATTATTCTGTTATTCCTTCAGATAAAGCAAAACCTTTCTAACCTCTTGGAAAGCAATCATTTTGGGTTTCTGGACCAGATTTTACAAAAGTAACAACTGTTAGTTTTAGGAACACCTACTTGAATTCTGATTATGGTTTAGTGGGAACTGATATATAGACAACGAATGCGTTGACACTCAGCAGTGAAAGAGAATAAGTTACACCTAAAACAGGAAATCTTCTCTTTGATTGTTATATTTAATTGGATAGAAATGTAGATAATGTATACAACAGATCTTATCAAAAGCTTGATAAATCATTATCTTAGCTTGGTGGTATATTTAATATACTTTTTACAGTGGGAGCTTTAATTTGCAGGCCTTTATCACAAATAGAATTAGATTTAAAACTAATAAATAGATTATTTAATTTTGAAGAGCCTACCAATGAATCAGATAAGAAAAAATAGGATTAAAATAAAAGCTCATAAGAAAATGATAAGAAAGAAGAAATGTATACCCAAGCAGCTGATTAAATTTTGATTACAAAAGAAGATCAATAAAAAACGTCATTCAAATTTGAATTATAGAAATCAATAAATTAAAAGTCCCAAGGTTCTTCTGAGTAAAAAAGCAATGGAGAGGAATAAAATATTTAATAAAGTAGAATTTTATAAAAATTTGAAAGAGTAAACTAAACTGTAATGAGAGGAACTTATAATCAGAAAATAAAAAATTTAAAAATAGAAGAAAATAAAGAAAGTAGCAAAAAGAGTAAGAAAGATATAGAATAGGAGGCTAAAAAGCTTTATAGCTTTTTTAGCTTTTCTAAAAATAAAATTTCATTTTAAGGTTGGGATTATTGCGCTAATTTCTTTAAATTTTCAAAAATTTGCAAAAGGAGAAGATATGAACTCCTTTAAAAAGGTGTAGATAAACTATATAATTAAATTGACATTTTTTACCTTGTTTAAAAGCTTTTAGAGGTTGAAAAATTGAAGCGACTTTTACTTAACGAAAATTAAATTAAGTTATTTGAATTTATCCCAAAGCCTGTTCTAACTCTAGATGAAAAAAAATCAGATTATTTATAAGATAAAATTGGGCTACTTAATGATTGTGAAAAAGATGTAACACAGAAAACAAGTGAAGTCTAAGATGCTTTCTAATAAATAATAAATTCAAAAACAAAACCTTCTAAAATAGACATAAGGATTTTAGAACTCCTTGATCCTCAATTCAAATAATTCCTTTCAGATTTAGCTAATTTATAGGGAGAATCAACTAAATTAAGGCAAACTCCTATATTAGATGCATAATAAAAGAGTATTTTTGAAAAGCAAGACTTCATTTTAGATGACTTGTAAGTACCAATTGAGGAATATAGCTCACAATAAAAATCATTGTATTTTAATGTTACTCCAAGCAAAACACTAGGTAGTATATATTAAAGTTAAAAAAAAGAAGAACTATCTAACATGTACCCATTTTGATTTATCATTTAATATATAGCCTGTCTAAATTATAAATAAAGGCTATATTCTTATTATTTATGTGTATTAATTGTTTATAAGCTTTATCCAATATTTTATTATTAGTATTTTTATCAAGTACCCTTTGTTGTAGCTAAAACAAAATATTTATTAGTGACATTTCACTTATAATTTATTAATTAAGCTTTTTCATTTAAATAAAAAATATTAATTCAAAATTTGATTATCAAAACAATTTTAATTTGGTAATTTCAAAATATGTAGAAAATTTTTTCATAAATAAATATGGTTAATATTTAAATTAAATTTAGGTTAAACTAAGAAAGAAAAAAAAAAATTAATTTTAATGATAGAATTTCAAGTTTAAATCCTTATAAATTTTTCTTACTTAAATTAAACAAAATAAATTGAAATTTTTTTTTTTAAATAGTGTGTCACTAATATGATATCCATAATAACAAGCAAAGATAATAATTATATTTAAAATATTAGATATGATATAATTTTTAACCCTATATATAATAAAATATTAAGATAAGATAATTTACAATTTCTAATAAATATTTAGTTAACTAAAATTCAATACTTAGTAATTTAAAAATTCAATTAAAATAAAAATATTTCATAAAAAAATATCTAAAAATTAAAAAAAATACTTCAGTTGTTTATTAAAGTAATAGATTTTTTGTTTGAGATCAGGAAATCCTGTCCTTAAAAATATAATGGAGAGTGGAAAGTAATTAAAGAGATTTAAATAGTTACTAATGAAATAAAAACAAAATACTAATGATTAACCTCAAACAAGAATAAAAAACTAAATCTAAATAAAAAAGAATAAAGTAAACTGCTTTAGTGATAACTTTTTAATTGAAGCAAATAACTGGTAACAAAGTCAAGTTGAAAAATAAAATATTCATTCTAATTCTTAAATTGGCAGTACTGAAGATATTGAAAATTCATTAAAATGTGATGGATATTTTGATTTATAACTTATTCATAAAGGAACCTACTCTGTTTTGTTGGAAGCTTATTCTTAAAAATAAAATAAAAAGGTATGTTTAAAAATTTCAAAAGAGAGTGAGTAAGACTATTAAATGGTGATGAATGAATTTTAGATATTAAATAGAATACAAAATATATTATCATCGTCATTTAAATCAGATTATTTGAAAAATAATAATATTGTTTAGGTTTTTGAGTTTTTAGATTATTCAAAATTTATTACTTGCATAATTGTTCAAGAATTTTGCTCATTAAATCTAGAAGAAGAAATTACAAATCTTAAATAAGCAAACAAATTTTTTACAAATGAAGATATTAATACTATTTTCATTCATATGATTAACGCTATTAATCATATTCACTCTCACAAAATCATACACTGTGATATCAAACCATCAAATATTCTAAAGTCTCAATAACGTATTTACAAGATTTGTGACTTTGACCTTTCCTCTTAACTAGATCATTTTTAAGATTCAACAAGCATCATGAAAGGGTACACAAAATATTATATGTCACCTGAATAAGAAGAATGGATTAATAATTAAAACCGCACTTAATCATATAAAATTGAAATAACTTAAAAATCTGATGTATTCAACTTAGGAGTTGTATTTTTAGAAGTTTTAGGGGAAGAAATAAATGAGTATAGCTCCTTGCGTATTAGATAAGGAAATTATTTTTTTAGCACTTAAGTGATGAAATCATAATGGTTTGAAAAAGTGTTAATGATGGTCAAGCCTAATCCAAATGAACGAATACATTCATCTTAATTGTTTGGATTGCTATATCCTCTAGAACTATTTTCCTTATAAAATTATGAAAGTTTACTAAATATTTTTGAGTATACTTTTAAAAAAAATACCTTCAGTTAAAATACTGATTTTATTTATTTACTTAATTCAAATCTATATCTTGCAGTGGCATATGAAAGTATAGTAAGCTAAGAGAAATATTAAAATATTTAGTTAATTGCTAAGTTAAATTAATATATTTGCTATATCTAATGCTATCTGGGAAATTTTGTAAGCTGCTTAAGTCATTGCATTAAATCTATTAAGTATTATGAATAGATCTACTTGTATGAGAATAAATTTATAGAGTAAATTATTATTTTGCACCTTATAGCTAGTGATCTTTACATTTTAATAGGTAACGTACAATAATCCATAAGTTAATCTGAAGCAGCCTATGAGCTAATACAAAAATTGAATTTAGGAAATAATATTCCCTTGTATGGGTTAGTATTAATCTATAAAAGCAGATAACTAAGACTAAGTTCAAAGTTAGATGAATCTTTAGAAATAGGATTGTTATCATTGAAATTCTTATAAACAGAAAGTAACGAGTACCTGGTTTTGTCTCTTTTAGAAGTTGCCTAAACATATGAATAAATTGGTTAATTAAAATAATCTTTTGAGTGTAGAAAAAATGCAATTAAAATGATAAATATTAATAAAATATTATAAAATAGCAATATTCCATTTTTATATCATAAAATTATCAACACCTACCAAAAATTATGTTAAACAAAAAAATACTTTAAATATATATTTAATATAAATATGGTAGATTAAATTAATATTTAAAATATTATTGCATATAATCTAATTGCTTAAGGAAATAGGCTTTTAATGGTTTAGTGATTGATTATGATAACCTTTCTTGTTTAACTAAAATGTTAAAAAATTTCCATTAAAATTTACTCATTTCTAAATTAAAGTCAATTAACATAAATACATTTTTAGTTTGACTTTTTATAATTTAATGTATATTCAGAATGAAAAAACTAAAATTTATATAACTCATAATTTCATATTATTATTTTAAAAGGTATTTATTAAAAAACATGTAATTTAACTTAACTCATATTATTTATTCATTTTTTTATTATATCTTATTTCAAATATATTTTAAATACATAATAGATAATACCATAAAATCCCATTAAGGAAAAAGAACATGTTGCGAGGTAAGAGGTAAGAGTCTTAAAATCTAATAAGGAGACTTTTTTAAAAATCTTCTTTTAAAAAACCTCCTTTTTTTAGAACTTTCACAGTATTTATTATAAATATTAAATGAATTTAGGTAAGCCTTTTATTTAAAATATTTAAAAAAATAAACAATCATTAAAAAAATTAATAATCAATAAAATAATTTTAGTTAATTTTTAGTGTAATATGGGGAAGATGAATAAGAAGCTAGAAGTAAGTAAAATAAAAATATATGGAGCTTATTATTTTTAAATTGAAGAAACAAAATATTTATTCTTATTTTTAGACATGAAATGTTTGATTTGTATTGAGAGAGTGAAGATATCTAAATTCACTTTTAAAAAGGGGCAGATAAATTTGGTTACAATTAACTATTAAAATATGTGTCAGCTAAAATAAATGTAATATTTATCAACTTCCCAACAACAGTTTTTTAATTTACTATTTAAATAATATAGTAATACCTTCTGCTAAATATTAGACTATTTAATCCATTTGAGCTGATATTTTTTGGAATTCTAGTATTAATTTTTCAAAATAACACTCATTATTATTTAGATATACTTTGATGCAAACAGATATGATAATATAATAAAACTAAATTCTGTTTAATAAAATAGAGAAAAGTTCTCAAATTTAAATTCCCCAAAAAAATTAAATAGGTTGGTAAATCTACTCTTACTAATTAGTATCTGATTTAAAGAAGGTTTTGCCTAAAAAAAATTGTAAATTTAAAAAAAAAAGCGTAGTAATTGAGTAACAGTAATTAAAGTCAGCAAGTTGATTAGAAATCTAGAGCAAATAGAAAATATATTTTAAGTTTAAGTTATAATTAAAAGATAAAGCCTTATTTTTTTAAATCAGATCAAAGAATAGATAGACTTAAAGCAAAATTTTGAATCGTAGCAAAAATAATTTTAAGAATACTTTCTTGAATTAAAAAGTAACAATAGATAAATAATTTGTTCGAAAATATATTTAAAGAGAAGAATTGCATAAATTTTTTAATTAAAAATAGAGCAGTATCTCTAAACACTTATAGTACATGGGAGTAAGAAATAAATTTTTTAAAAATTAACTATCTATATAGGATAAGGAGGTAAAAATTTAAAATGAGCTGACAAATTTTACAATTATACTGATTCAATTTTTTAATGATTACAAATTTGTTTAATTAATTTCTTTTTTTTACCCACCTAACTTACAAAATAAAGAGTAGAAAAGTTTTTGCTTTGAATTTTTGTTCAAAAACTCTTTATTAGTACTTTTAATTTCTATTAGTTCTTTCAAAGTATATGTATAAATAAATTTTATAAAGTAAAAAGTACTTAATTTAAATAAATTTCTTTTTAACTCAAAATAATTCGAGATTTTATGAAATTGATGAGTATATAATCAGAGAAGTGTACACGCTGCACATTTAGTAAAATAAAATTATTACTTTCTAAGGAATAAGTAAAAATACTCTATTTAAATTTAAAGCAATAATTTTATATTTTATAAAATAAATTATTTATAAAAGCACTTTCTTTATTTAAAATTTCTAAGCTTCCATCAAAATGCTTTGGGTTATTACAATTTATTTAAATTGTCATTACTATTTTTAGAATTTAAAAATTTTTTTATTAGATTGATTACCAAATTTACTAATACTTATTTAAGATAAGCACATAAAAAATTGCAGAAATTATTTTTTTATTAATTAACATCATCAAAATATGTAAACATTAATAAAGAAATGAAATTTTGAAGTAAAGCAGATTTAAAAAATGTATATATATTGCTATGCACTTGTTTTAGCTGCTTGCTTAACAATTAAAATAAACGTAAATTCTCATTTATTAAGGTGTAAAATTACAATTTTTAGAAATGTTTAAATTAAAGTATTAAAAAAAGGAAAAAAAGTTTTTTTTTTTCAAAAACATTTATTTATGAAAATATATGGTATTAAAATAAATATCTTTTAAATTTATTATACAACACTTATTTATATTGTTAAATATACTGGTATTATGTTAATATTTGTTATAATTTAAGAATTTAAATAAAACTAGAAGGTATTTTGAATGAAATTATAGAGAAATCAAGATTAAATGCATATGCCTTTTGTTAAATTAAAAATATCAATACTCTGTAGTCAAAGTAACTTCTAACTTAACTAAATTACATAAAAACTAGAGCTTTTTGTTTTATTTTATTAAAAAAAAAACATATATAGTATATTTTTAAAGCTTTGCGTAAATGTAAGATTTATATAATCAGTACTTCAAAATTCAAAATTGACTTTATTTATAAAATATATTAAATGCTAGAAATAAAAATATTACCTATTGATATATATTGTTTTAACTTATAATAGCATTTAGTAAATTCCTTAAATTTAAATAAGTATAAACTATTATAAATTTAATATATGAGATAGCCTTAAAATAGCTAAAAATATTGTTTAAGCATTTCAAGAAAAATTATCATAAATCCAGCAACCCCTAATATTTCCAATAGTAAATTTTATTAAAAAATCATTTTAAATGAAATAAAAATGTATTTTATATTTTTTTTTATAACTTTTATGTTGTATTTATATGTATAACTAAATTATTTTTAAGGAATAAAAAGTTTTTAACTTTGTAATCTTATCAAATTTCACCACTAATTTTAAAGGATTGAAGGAAATTCACAAACAATTACTAAATCACATTTTAAATAAAAAATAAAAGTTCTTTCCTCTCACTATTTAAAAATTGTTGTTCAATAACCAATAAATCAAATTTAAAAATTTTTAAAAGATTAATAAACTCAAAAAAATAATAATAATAAAATAAAATGGAATTCAAAGTCCTTTAATAGTAACACAATTTTCTTGAAAAATTGGATATATTTGGAATAGGAATAAATATTAGGTTTAATAAAGAAGCTAATCACAAAACTAAAATTGGTGGATTAGTAACTCTTTGTTTAATTGGTATTTTAACATATCAAATTAAGCTAATTATTGATTAACTTTATGACTATACTCATCCTTATGTTCTTTTTGAGTAGAAATTTACTTCAGAACCATCACGTTATAACTTGACTTCAGACAAATTCATCTTAACTTTTGGCTTACAAAATTCTACTTCTCAGCATTATATTGATCCTACAATTTATAATGCTACTCTTTTGATAAAATAAACTATAAAAACTAAAAATGAAGCTACTGGGTTATTCGTAGCTAGTACAACAATAAGAACAGTAAAAACAGAGCCATGCAGGATAGATCATTTCAATATTCCTGAAGTTAATAACTATTTTATTTCATTAAGCTACAAAAATATGTATTGTATTAGTAAAGAAGAAACGGATTTGTATCTTTAAGGATAATTCGATGCTCAGCACTATTCAACTTTAGAGCTTAAAGTAACTTCTTGCTCAGGCAGCAATTGCAACCCTAATATGAATCAACTTCTTGAATATTGTAGGTTGGCTATCTACTACGTAGATTATTCTGTTATTCCTTCAGATAAATCAAAACCTTTCTAACCACTTGGAAGGCAATCTTTTTGGATCTCTGGACCAGAGTTTACAAAATAAACAAATATTAATTTTAGGAACACTTACTTGAATTCTGATTATGGTTTAATGGGAACTGATATATAGACGACGAATGCGTTGACACTAAGCGGTGATAGAGAATAGGTTTCGCCTAAATCAGGAAATCTCCTCTATGATTGTTATATTTCATTTGAAAAAAATGTAGATAATATATACAACAGATCTTATCAAAAGCTTGATAAATCACTATCTTAGCTTGGTGGTATATTTAATATATTTTTTACAGTGGGAGCTATAATTTGCAGGCCTTTATCTCAAATAGAATTAGATTTAAAGCTAATAAATAGATTATTTAATTTTGAAGACCCAAATGATTAATCAGATAAGAAAAAATAAGATAAAAAAAGAAATTCAAAAGACAGTGAAAAAAAAGAAGAAATTTATACCCAAGCAGCTGATTAAATTTTGATTTCAAAAGAAGATCAATAAAAAACGTTATTCAAATATGAATTATAGAAATCATTAAATTAAAAGTCCTAAATTTCTTCTGTGTAAAAAAGTGAAGGTGATGAATTAAATGTTTTTTAAAGTAGACCTTTATATAAATTAGAAAGACCAAATCCAACAACAATGAGAGAAACTTACAGAGAGAAATTAAAAGCTTTAAAAAAAGGAGAAAATAAAGATAATAACAAAAAGAGCAAGAAAGATATATAAAAGGAGGCGAATGAGCTTAATAGCTTTTTTAGCTTTTCTAAAAATAAAATTTCATTCTAAGGTTGGGAATATTATGCGAATTTCTTTAAATTTTCAAAACTATGTAAACGGAAAAGGTATGAACTCCTTTAAAAAGGTGTAGATAAATTATATAATTAAATTGATATTTTTTACCTTGTTTAAAAGCTTCTAGAGGTTGAAAAATTGAAGCGACTTTTACTTAACGAAAATTAAATTAAGTTATTTGAATTTATTCCAAAACCTGTTTTAACTCTTGATGAATAAAAATCAAATAACCCATCAGATAAAATTGGGTTACTTTATGAAGATGAAAAAGATATAATGCAGAAAACAAGCGAAGTCTAAGAGGCTTTCTAGTAAATAATAAACTCAAAAACAAAACCTTCTAAAATAGACATAAGGATTTTAGAGCTCTTAGATCCTCAATTCAAATAATTGCTTTCAGATTTAGTCGATATATAGGGTGAATCAACTAACTTAAGGTAAACTCCTATATTAGAACCATAATAAAAGAGTATCTTTGAAAAACAAGACTTTATATTAGATGATTTGTAAGTACCACTTGAGGAACAAAGTTAGGAATAAAAACCATAATATTTTAATTTTACTCCAAGCAAAACACTGGGTAGTATATATTCAAGTTAAAAAAAAGAAGGCTTACCTAACATGTACCCAATTTGATTTATAATTTAATATACAGCCTCTGTAAATTATAAATAAATGCTATATTCTTATTATGTATGTGTGTTTATTTAATTGTAAGCTTTACCCAGTATTTTATTATTATTATTTTTATCAATTTCCCTTTTTTGTAGCTGAAATTTGACAAAATCATAATCAGTAAAAATTCGCTCATAATTTATTAATTGAGTTTTTTATTAAATTAATTAGAACAAAAAGATTAATTTCAAAATTTGATCATCTATAACTCATAATCTTTTATTTTTATAAAAACTATTTAATATAAATAATTTAAATTTTAACTATTTTAATTTGGTAAATAAGTCTATCTTAAATTAATTAAATCTGAATATAAATAAACAATTTTCTGTATTTAAAATATATAGAAATTGTTAATTTTTAAGATTATAAAGAATCAAATAAAAGCAATTTATATGATAAAATTATTTAGAATTAAACAAAATAAATAGAAGTATTTTATATAATATATATTATTATCACTAATATAATATAATGTTTTAATCCTAATTATAGTAAAAAACTAAGAGAAGATAATTCTGTAAATGTAAATTTCTAATAAATTTTTAATTAATTATAAATTAAATACTTAACAAATCAAAAAATTCAATTAAAATATAAAATATTTTTAAAAAATATCTAAATAGATTTAAAAAACTCTTTCAATTATTAATTAAAGTAATAGAGCTTTTGTTTGAAATCAGGAAACTCTATCATTAAAAACATAATGGAGAGTATTTAGTAATTAAAGGTATTTAAAAAGCTAAAAATGAAATAAAAACAAAATATTAAAAATTAATTTCAAATAAGAATAAAAAACTAAATTTAAATATAAAAAAATAAAGTAAACTTCATCTTTAAAGTTAAAAAAAATGTGTGTTTAAAAATATCAAAACCTATTAAATAATGATGATGAGTTCTAGATATTAAATAGAAAGCAAAATAAATCATCATCTTCATTTAAATATGGTGTTTAGTAAATAATAATATTGTTTAGATTATATGGTTTTTAGATTATTCAAAATTTATTAACTAACTTCGAAAAAAGAAAGCAGAAGAGTTTTTGATTTGAATTTTTGAACAAAAACTATTGAATATTTAAAAAAATCTTGATGATAAATAAATTTATTTTTAAATCAAAACATAATTCAATATTTTATAAAATTGATGAGTATATAATCAAAGCGCTTTTCATTAATTGAAATTATCAAATTATTTTACTTAAATTTACACCTATAATTTATTTTCTATTTAAAATAATTAATTATTTGTAATAATATTTTCTATATTTCAGACTTCCAAGCTTCCAAAAAAATGTTTTAAGCTATCAATTTATTTCAATAGTCATTACTATTTTAAGATTTACTAATTTTTTTATTTGATTGATTAATAAATTTGCTAATTTTATTTAGAACAAAATAAATACATAAAAATTTGCAAAAATTCTTTTGTTATTTATTAATTAACATAAACAAAATTGTAAACAGTAAGTAAAGAAAAGAAAATTCGAGATAAAAGAAATATAAAATAATGTATACAAATATTAATGTACGTACTTCTTTTAGCTATGAACAATTTAAATATACTTAATTTCACATTTGTTAAGGAAAAAATGAAAATGATTTATCTAAATAAAATATATTTTTAATTTATTAGTCAGCAAAAATAAATTTAAATTGTTAAATCAACTTGTATTATGTATAATATTAATTTTGGTTATAATTGAAGAATTAATTAAAAAATAGAAGGTATTTTGAATTAAGTTATTGAGAGTGTCTTTTGTTAAATTAAAGATATCAATACTTTTTAGTCAAAGTAACTTGTAACTTTACTAATTGACATAAAAATCGGAGATTTTCTTTTTATTAAATTAAAAAATAAAGTTGTAATATATTTTTAATTTTTTTGATATTGGAAATTGGAAATTCAGTACTAAAAAATTGAATTAAAATAAAAGATATATTAAGAGGGATATATAAAAATGTATATCATTCTATATATTGTTTCAATTTATAATAGCATTAAGTAAATTTCTTAAATTTGAATAAGTATAATGCACGATAAAAAATCGAATATAAGTAGTCTTAAAATAGTTAAAAATATTATAAAAGGGTTACAAGAAAAATTAGCATAAATTAAGTTTTCATAAAATAAAAATGTATTTTATGTAATATATTTTATCATTTATGTATAACTATATTATTTTTATGGAACCAAAAGTCTTTAATATTTTAATCTTATCAAATTTCACCACTAATATCTAAGAGAATGAAGAAAATTCACAAAATTTAACTAAATAACAATTTAAATTATATTAAAAAGCTGTTTCCACTCACTATTTAAACTCAAAAAAAAATAATAATAATAATAAAAAAAGAAAATGGAATTCAAAGCCCTTTAATAGTAACACAATTTTCTTGAAAGATTGGATTTATTAGGTATAGGAATAAATATAAAGTTTAATAAATAAGCTAGTCACAAAAATAAAAATGGTGGATTAGTAACTGTTTGTTTACTTGGTATTTTAGGATATCAAATTAAACTTATTCTTGATTAGCTTTATGACTACCCTCATCCTTATGTTCTTTAAGAATAGAAATTTACTGCAGAACCATAACGTTATAATCTGACTTCAGACAAATTCATCTTAACTTTTGGCTTTCAAAATTCTACTTCTCAACATTACATTGATCCTACAGTTTATAATGCTACTCTTACGATTAAATAAACAATAAAAACTAAAAAGGAAGCAACTGGGTAATTCGTAGTTAGTACAACAATAAGAACAGTAAAAATAGAGCCATGCAGGATAGATTATTTCAATATTCTTGAAGTTAATAACTATTTTATTTCATTAAGCTACCAAAATATGTATTGTATTAGTACAGAAGAAACAGATTTATATTTTTAAGGATAATTCGATGCTCAACACTATTCAGCTTTTGAGCTTGTGGTAAGTTCTTGCACATATAGTAATTGCAACCCTAATATGAATCATTTCTTCAATATTATAAATTGGCTATTTACTACACTGACTATTCTGTTATTCCTTTGGATAAAGCAAAACCTTTCTAACCTCTTGGAAAGCAATCATTTTGGGTTTCAGGACCAGATCTAATGCGTTGACACTCAGCAGTGAAAGAGAAAAGTTTACACCTAAAACAGGAAATTTTCTCTTTGATTGTTATATTTAATTGGATAGAAATGTAGAATACATTTATAATAGATATTATCAAAAGCTTGATAAATCATTATCTTAGCTTGGTGGTATATTTAATATACTTTTTACAGTGGGAGCTTTAATTTGTAGGCCTTTATCACAAATAGAATTAGATTTAAAACTAATAAATAGATTATTTAATTTTGAAGAGCCGACAAAATGAATCAGATAAGAAAAAATAGGATTAAAATAAAAGCTCATAAGAAAATGATAAGAAAGAAGAAATGTATGCCCAAGCAGCTGATTAAATTTTGATTACAAAAGAAGATCAATAAAAAACATCATTCAAATTTGAATTATAGAAATCAATAAATTAAAAGTCCCAAGGTTCTTCAAGTAAAAAAGCAATGGAGAAGAATAAAATATTTAATAAAGTAGAGTTTTATAAAAATTTGAAAGAGTAAACTAAACTGTAATGAGAGGAACTTATAATCAGAAAATAAAAAATTTTAAAATAGAAGAAAATAAAGAATGTAGTAAAAAGAACAAGAAAGATATAGAAATGGAGGCATTAAAAATTTATAGCTTTTTTAGCTTTTCTAAAAATAATATTTCATTTTAACGTTGGGATTATTGCGCGAATTTCTTTAAATTTACCAAAATTTGCAAAACGAGAAGATATGAACTCCTTTAAAAAGGTGAAGATAAACTATATAATTAAATTGATTTTTTTTATCTTGTTTAAAAGCTTTTATAAGTTGAGAAATTGAAGCGACTTTTACTTAACGAAAATTAAATTAAGTTATTTGAATTTATCCCAAAGCCTGTTCTAATTCTAGATGAAAAAAAATCAGATTATTTATAAGATAAAATTGGGCTACTTAATGATTGTGAAAAAGATGTAACACAGAAAACAAGTGAAGTCTAAGATGCTTTCTTATAAATAATAAATTCAAATAATTCCTTTCATATTTAGCTAATTTATAGGGAGTATCAATTAAATTAAGGATAATTCATATACTAGATACATAATAAAAGAGTATTTTTGAAAAAAAAGACTTCATTTTAGATGACTTATAAGTACCAATTGAGGAATATAGTTCACAATAAAAATTATTGTATTTTAATGTTACTCCAAGCAAAACACAAGGTAGTATTTATTAAAGTTAAAAAAAGAAGAGCTATTTAACATGAACCCATTTTGATTTATCATTTAATATATAGCCTGTCTAAATTATAAACAAATGCTATATTCTTATTATTTATGTTTTTTTATTGTTTATAAGCTTTATCCAATATTTTATTATTAGTATTTTTATTAATTGCCCTTTGTTTTAGCTGAAACAAATTCTTTATTAGTGACAATTCACTTATAATTTATTAAATAAGCTTTTTCATATAAACAATAAATATTAATATCTAAATTTGATTATCAAAACAATTTTAATTTGGTAATTTCAAAATATGTAGAAAATTTTTTCATAATAAAAAATGGTTAATATTTTTGATTTTTAAATTGAATTTGCGAAAAAATAAGAAAGAAAAAATAAAATTTTTATTTTAATGATAGAATTTCAAGTTTAAATCCTAATAAATTTTTCTTACTTAAATTAAACAAAATAAATAGAAATTTTTTTTTAAATAGTGTGTAACTAATATGATATTCATAATAACAAGCAAGGATAATAATGGTATTTAAAATATTAGATATGACTTATTTTTTAAAGCTATATATAATAAAATATTAATAGAAGATAGTTTAGAATTTCTAATAAATATTTAGTTAACTAAAATTCAAAACTTAGTAATTTAAAAATAAAATTAAAATTAAAATATTTCTTAAAAAAATATCTAAAAAGTTAATAAAATACTTCAGTTATTTATTAAAGTAATAGAACTTTTGTTTGAGATAAGGAAACCCTGTCATTAAAAATATAATGGAGAGTGGAAAGTAATTAAAGATATTTAAATAGTTACTAATGAAATAATTGGCAGTACTGAAAATATTGAAAATTCATTAAAATGTGATGGATATATTGATTTATAACTTATTCATAAAGCAACCTACTCTGTTTTATTGGAAGTTTATTCTTAAAAATAAAATAAAAAGGTGTGTTTAAAAATTTCAGAAGAGAGTGAGTTAGACTATTAAATGGTGATCAATGAATTCTAGATATTAAATAGAATGCAAAATATATCATAATTGTCATTTAAATAAGATAATTTGAAAAATAATAATATTGTTTAGGTTTTTGAATTTTTAGATTATTCAAAATTTATTACTTGCATAATTGTTCAAGAACTTTGCTAATAAAATCTAGAAGAAGAAATTACAAATCTTAAATAATAAAACAAATTTTTTACAAATGAAGATATTAATACTATTTTCATTCATATGATTAACGCTATTAATCATATTCACTCTCACAAAATCATACACTGTGATATCAAACCATCAAATATTCTAAAGTCTCAATAAAGTATTTACAAGATTTGCGACTTTGACCTTTCCTCTTAACTTGATCAATTTTAAGATTCAACAAGCATCATGAAAGGATACACTAAATATTAATGTCTCCAGAATAAGATGAATGGAATAATAATTAAAAACGTACTTAATCATATAAAATTGAAATAACTTAAAAATCTGATGTATTTAACTTAGGAATTGTATTTTTAGAAGTTTTAGGGGTAGAAGTAAATGAGTATAGCTCCTAGCGTATTAGATAAGAAAATTATTTTTTTAGCACTTAAGTGATGAAATCATAATGGTTTGAGAAAGTGTTAATGATGGTCAAGTCTAATCCAAATGAATGAATACATTCATCTTAACTGCTTGGATTGCTATATCCTCTAGAACTATTTTCCTTATAAAATTTTGAAAGTTTAGTAAATATTTTTGAGTATACTTTTAAACAAAATACCTTCAGCTAAAATACTGATTTTATTTATTTACTTAATTCAAATCTATATCTTGCAGTGGCATATGAAAGTATAGTAAGCTAAGAGAAATGTTAAAATATATAGTTAATTGCTAAGTTAAATTAATATATTTGCTATATCTAATTCTTTCTGGGAAATTTTGTAAGCTGCTTAAGTCATTGTATTAAATCTATTAAGTATTATGAATAGATCTACTTGTATGAGAATAAATTTATAGAGTAAATTATTTTTTTGCTCCTTTTTGCTAGTGATCTTTACAATTTGATAGGTAACGTAAATTAATCCATAAGTTAATCGGAAGCAGCCAATGAGCTAATACAAAAATTGAATTTAGGAAATAATATTCCCTTGTCTGGATTAGTATTAATCTATAAAAGCAGATAACTAAGACTAAGTTCTAAATTAGATGAATCTTTAGAAATAGGATTGTTATCATTGAAAATCTTATAAACAGAAAGTAGCGAGTACCTGGTTTTGTTTCTTTTAGAAGTTGCCTAAATATATGAATAAATTGGTTAATTAAAATAATATATTGAGTGTAGAAAAAATGCAATCAAAATGATAAATATTAACAAAATATTATAAAATAGCAATATTCCATTTTTATATCATAAAATTATCAAAACCTACAAAAAATTTTGTTAAACAAAAAAATACTTTTTAAATATATTTAACATAAATATGGTAGATTAAATTAATATTTAAAATATTATTGCATATAATCTAATTGCTTAAGGAAATAAGCTTTTAATGGTTTAGTGATTGATTATGCTAATCTTTCTTGTTTAACTAAAATGCTAAAAAAATTTCCATTAAAATTAACTCATTTCTAAATTAAAGTCAATTAACATAAATATATTTTTAGTTTGAATTTTTATAATTTAATGTATATTCAGAATGAAATAACTTAAATCAATATAACTCATAATTTCATATTACTATTTTAAAAAGTATTTATTAAACTCATATTATTTATTCATTTTTTTATAATATCCTATTTCAAATATATTTTAAATAAATAATAGATAATACCATAAAACCCCATTAAGGAAAAAGAATGTGTTGCGAGGTAAGAGGTAAGAGTCTTAAAATTCTAAGGAGAACTTTTAAAAAATCTTCTTTTAAAAAACCTCCTAAAATAAGAACTTTCACAGTATTTATAATAAATATTAAATGAATTTAGGTAAAGCTGGCTTTTATTTAAAATATTTAAAAAATAAGCAATCATTAAAAAAATTAATAATCAATAAAATAATTTTATTTAATTTTTAGTGTAACTTTATTAATTTAATATCAAAAAATAGGTTTTTAAAAAGAAGAAGGTAAACAAAAATGAGGAAGATGAAAAAGAAGCTAGAAGTAAGTAAAAATAAAAGTATGTGAAGCTAATTATTTTTAAATTGAAGAAACAAAATATTGATTCTTATTTTTTAGACATGAAATGTTTGATTTGAATTGTGAGAAGTCAAGAAATCTAAATTCACTTTTAAAAAGGTGCAAATAAATACGCATGGTTACAATTAATTATTAATATATGTGTCAGCCAAAATAAATTCAATATTTATCAACTTCCCAAGACGTTTTTTTAATTTACTATTTATATAATGTAGTAATACCTTCTGCTAAACAAAAGACTACTTTTTGGTTATGATAATATAATTAACCTAAATTCTGTTTAATATAATAGAGTAAATTTCTCATATTTACATTCCCCAATATAAATTAAAAAGGTTGGTAAATCTACTCTTATTAATTATTGTCTGATTTAATGAAGGTTTTGCCTAAAAAAATTGTAAATTGATAAAAAAAGTGTAGAAAAATAATTAAGTAACAGTAATTAAATTATAGCAAATAGAAAATATATTTTAAGTTTAAGCTAAAATTAAAAGATAAAGCCTTTTCTTTCTAAATTAGATCAAAGAATAGACTTAAAGCAACATTTTAAATAGTAACAAAAATAATTTTAAGAATACTTTTGAATTAAAAAGTAACAATAGATAAATAATTTAATCGGAAATATATTTAAAGAGAAGAATTGCATAAATTTTTTAATTAAAAATAGGGCAGTATCTCAGTACACTTATAGTAAGTACATGGGAGTATTATATCAATTTTTTAAAAATTAGTTATCTATGTAGGATAAGGGGGTTAAAATTTAAAATCAGCTGACAAATTTTAATAATATACTGATTTCAATTTTTTAATGATTACAAATTGTTTAATTAATTTCTTTTTTTACCCACCTAACTTATAAAGTAAAGATTAAATGAGTTTTTACTTTGTATTTTTGTTCAAAAACACTTTATTAGTACTTTTAATTTCTATCAATTCCTTCAAAGTATATCTATTAATAAATTTTACAAAGTTAAAAGCACTTAATTTAAATAAATTTCTTTTTAACTCAAAATAATTCGAGATTTTATCAAATTGATGAGTATATAATCAGAGAAGTGAATACGCTGTACATTTACTAAAATAAAATTATTACTTTCTAAAGAATAAGTCAAAATACTCTATTTAAATTTAAAGCAATAATTTAATATTTTTATGAAATAAATTATTAATAAAAGCACTTTCTTTTTTTAAAATTTCTAAACTTCCATCAATATGCTTTGAGTTATTACAATTTATTTAAATTGTCATTACTATTTTTAGATTTAAAAAATTTTTTTATTAGATTGATTAACAAATTTGCAAACTAATACTTATTTAAGAAAAGCTCATAAAAAATTCCAGAAATTCTTTTTTATTGTTTAAAATAATCAAAATCTGTAAGCATGAATATAAAGAAAAGAAAATTAGAAGTAAAGCAAATTTAAAAAATGTTTTTATATTGTTATGCACTTTTTTTAGCTGCTTAACAATTAAAATAAATGTAAATTCTCATTTATTAAGGTATAAAATTTAAATTTTTCGAAATTTTTAAATTAAATTAAAATTTATTTAAATTATTAAAAACTAAATACAAATCACATATAAAAATATAAAATACTATTATATAAATTTATTTAATATTATATTAATTTCTATTAGAAAGATAAGTAGTTATAGGTGTAACCTATCACTGTTTATCTCTCTATTACAAAAAAAATCTGCAATTAGCAATATAACTAAATTATTTTTAAATAAAAAGTTTTTAACTTTATAATCTTATCAAATTTCGCCACTAATTTCAAAGAGAAATTCACAAGAAATTCTAAATTATATTTAAATAAAAAATAAAAAGTTCTTTCCTCTCACCATTTAAAAAATTGTTATACAATAACCAATAAATTAAATTAAAAAATTTTTTAAATATTAATAAACTAAAAAAAAATAACAATAATAAAATATAATGGAATTCAAAGTCCTTTAATAATAACGCAATTTTCTTGAAAAATTGGATATATTTGGAATAGGAATAAATATTAGGTTTAATAAAGAAGCTAATCACAAAACTAAAATTGGTGGAATAGTAACTCTTTGCTTAATTGCTGTATTATCTTATCAAATTAAGCTAATTATTGATGAACTGTATGACTTTACTCATCCTTATGTTCTTTACGAGTAGAAATTTACTTCAGAACCATCACGTTATAACTTGACTTCAGACAAATTCCTCATCACTTTTGGCTTACAAAATTCTACTTCTCAGCATTATATTGATCCTACAATTTATAATGCTACTCTTTTGTTAAAATAAATTATAAAAACTAAAGATGAAGCTACTGGGTAAATCGTAGCTCATACAACATTAAGAACAGTTAAAACAGAGCCATGCAGGATAGATCATTTCAATATTCCTGAAGTTAATAACTATTTTATTTCACTAAGCTACAAAAATATGTATTGTATTAGTAAAGAAGAAACGGATTTGTATCTTTAAGGATAATTCGATGCTCAGCACTATTCAACTTTAGAGCTTTAGGTAAATTCTTGCACAGGCAGCAATTGCAACCCTAATATGAATAAACTTCTTCAATATTGTAGGTTGGCTATCTACTACGTAGATTATTCTGTTATTACTTCAGATAAAGCAAAACCTTTCTAACCACTTGGAAGAATATCGTTTTGGATCTCTGGACCAGAGTTTACAAAATAAACAAATATTAATTTTAGGAACACTTACTTGAATTCTGATTATGGTTTAATGGGAACTGATATATAGACAACGAACGCGTTGACACTAAGCGGTGATAGAGAATAGGTTTCGCCTAAATCAGGAAATCTCCTCTTTGATTGTTTTATTTCATTTGAAAAAAATGTAGATAATGTATACAACAGATCTTATCAAAAGCTTGATAGATCACTATCTTAGCTTGGTGGTATATTTAATATAATTTTTACTGTGGGAGCTATAATTTGCAGGCCTTTATCTCAAATAGAATTAGATTTAAAGCTAATAAATAGATTATTTAATTTTCAAGACCCAAATGATTAATCAGATAAGAAAAAATAGGATAAAAAAAGAAATTCAAAAGACAGTGAAAAAAAAGAAGAAATTTATACCCAAGCAGCTGATTAAATTTTGATTACAAAAGAAGACCAATAAAAAACGCTATTCAAATATGAATTACAGAAATCATTAAATTAAAAGTCCTAAGTTTCTTCTGTGTAAAAAAGTGAAGGTGATGAATTAAATATTTTTTAAAGTAAACATTTATATAAATTTGAAAGACCAAATTCAACAACTATCAGAGAAACTTACAAAGAGAAATTAAAAGCTTTAAAAAAAGGAGAAAATAAAGATAGTAACAAAAAGAGTAAGTAAGATATATAAAAGGAGGCGAAAGAGCTTAATAGCTTTTTTAGTTTTTCTTTAAATAAAATTTCATTTTAGGGTTGGGAATATTATGCGAATTTCTTTAAATTTTCAAAACTATGTAAACGGAAAAGGTATGAACTCCTTTAAAAAGGTGTAGATAAATTATATAATTAAATTGATATTTTTTACCTTGTTTAAAAGCTTCTAGAGGTTGAAAAATTGAAGCGACTTTTACTTAACGAAAATTAAATTAAGTTATTTGAATTTATCCCAAAACCACTTTTAACTCTTGATGAATAAAAATCAAATAACTTATCAGATAAAATTGGGTTACTTTATGAAGATGAAAAAGATATAATGCAGAAAACAAGCGAAGTATAAGAGGCTTTCTAGCAAATAATAAACTCAAAAGCAAAACCTTCTAAAATAGACATAAGGATTTTAGAGCTCTTAGATCCTCAATTCAAATAATTGCTTTCAGATTTAGTCAATATTTAGGGTGAATCAACTAATTTAAGGTAAACTCCTATATTAGAGCTATAATAAAAGAGTATCTTTGAAAAACAAGACTTCATATTAGATGATTTGTAAGTACCACTAGAGGAACAAAGTTAGGAATAAAAATCATAATATTTTAATTTTACTCCAAGCAAAACACTGGGTAGTATATATTAAAGTTAAAAAAAAGAAGGCTTACCTAACATGTACCCAATTTGATTTTTTATATAATAAAAAGCCTATGTAAATTATAAATAAATGCTTTATTCTTATTATGTTTATGTATTTATTTATTTGTAAGCTTTACCCAATATTTTATTATTATTATTTTTATCAATTTCCCTTTTATGTAGCTGAAATTTGACAAAATCATAATCAGCAAAAATTTGCTCGTAATTTATTAATTGAGTTTTTTATTAAATTAATTAGAACAAAAAGATTAATTTAAAAATTTGATGATCTATAACTCATAATGTTTTATTTTGATAAATACTATTTAATATAATTATAAAATTTAAATTTTAACTATTTTAATTTGGTATTAAGTTAATTAAATCTGAAAATAAATAAACAATTTTCTGTATTTAAAATATTTAGAAATTGTTATTTTTTAAGATTATTAAGAATCAAATAAAAGCAATTTATATGAAAAAATTATTTAGAATTAAATTACTATTAATAATAACAAGGTTAGATAAAAATTAAAAAAAACAATAATTATTTAAAGAAAAGTAAATTATTTTTAATAAATTAGAAAGTCTCTGTTGATATTAAAATATTTTTAAGATAAGTGGAAAAATAAATTTTCAAAATAAGAAAAAAATTGTATCAAGATAAAATACGATGAGTATTTTTGATTTTTAAATAAAATTTACTCTAAAGTTTAATAATTAAAGGGATTTAAAAAGCTAAAAATGAAATAAAAACAAAATATTAAAAATTAATTTCAAATAAGAATAAAAAACTAAATTTAAATATAAAAGAATAAAGTAAACTGCTTAAGTAATATCTTTTTAATTGAAGCAAATAATTGTAAACATAGTTAAGTTGAAAAATAAAATATTTTTATTCTAACTCTTAATACTGAAGAAATTCAAAATTCTTTAAAATATCATAGATATTTTTATTGATAACTTATTAATAAAGTTTTATTGGAAACTTCTTCTTTAAAGTAAAAAAAAAATGTGTGTTTAAAAAAATATCAAAACCTATTAAATAATGATGAATAAGTTCTAAATATTAAATAGAAAGAAAAATAAATCATACTCTTCATTTAAATATGGTGATTTAGTAAATAATAATATTGTTTAAATTATTCAAAGTTTATTAAAAACTTACATAAATAAATTCAAAAAGAAATATTTTTTTTAAAATAAAAAATCCAAAATAAAAAATTTATGCTAAATAAAATATAAATAACATAAGTTAATACTTCATCTAACTATTTTTTAATAAAATAGAATGAATGAATAAATAGAAGAAATTTAAACTTATAAGATACTTCAATTTTATGATTATTAAATGTTTTATCTCTCTAGCAAATTATAAATAGTGTTCTAATTAATTCTCGCAGATAGACTTTTCATTGCTATAGGAGATTCAAAAGTTCTATAATTTTAATTTTTTTATTAATTTATATCGATTAGTAGACAATTTTATTCATCTTAAATTTCCGAGTTGTTAAAAATATTATTTATTAATTCTAATCTTTGGTATGATTTTTAAAAGTTTGTTTATATATTTAGTGAAAATTCTTAAATTACATATCCGCTTATGTCATATATCCTTATTTAAATTTATTCTACATCAAGTTTAGTTGGTATTCCACGAAAAATTATTTTTCCATGCCTTTGATCTAAATAAATCCAAGATGGTAGTCTCATATTTTTAAACAGCCCATATTTTGTATATTCTATTTTTAATAGTCTGTAAAGAGGCTTTAACCATTTATTAATTTTCTTTTCTTTAAATGCAATAACTTAACTTATTTCATAAGAGTTAAGATGGATAGATTAACCTAGTGCTGGATTAAAATTTGATGGCATATAACCTTAAAAACCAAATGTATCTGCAAAGATAACTTCTCTTAATAAAAAGATATTAATATCAGCTTAATATTTATTTACACAATTTACCATTTATTTAAAATTCTTAGGAACATATTTATCATTTTTATCTGAAAATAGTTAAAGAATTTTTAATATTTCAAATAAAACTTCACACTTTAATTTTAATTTTGGAAAAATTGATTTTTATTCTTTATTTTCTTTATTATTGTATTCAATAGAAACTAAACCTTTAAACCAATCATTTTTATTTTTTTATATATTTTAAATGCAGTATGTCTTTATGAACTAATAAATTTCATAAGTTTTTAAATCTAAACTCAATAGTTATCTTGAAATTTATGCTCTAACTGCTTTGTGTATTCTAGAATTTTAATTTTTTATTTCGCCAATAAACTCTTACTTAGACTTAAAAATATTTTAATTTGGAAATATTGAAAATCTAAGAATGTCTTCAACAACATTTGAAAAAATCAAATCACCTGTCACACCCATATATTTTTATTCTAATAAAGTCTTTGGTGAATGTTTTTTCATTTTTTTAAAATTTTGTAAAAATTTTTCAAAACTTTTTTTATAAGTTTTACTATTAATTTTAAGTGTTTCTTCATTTACAAAATTTATTTAGTTTTCTTTATCATTCACAGATTCACTGCAATCTGAAGATTAATTTTCAGCTTTAATTATTTAGTTATCTATTTAATTAATCTCTTTAATAAGCTTGCTTCGTTGCTATAAAAAGATCTCTTTTTGTAGATTTAATAAAATAGACTGAGCAACTTCTTGAACTCTACCTAAAATGATGATTTCTTTTCTGTATAGCTATCCACAGAACACTCTTTCCTCAGAGAATTTAATCTTATTTTTAAAAATAATATTATAGAAAACAAACCTTTTCTTATAAGCACCAAATAATCCCAATAAAGGGCCTAATATCTCAAGTAGCAAATTCAAGACATAAGTAAAAGGTAAACCTGTTATAGAAATCTAAAATTCATCTTCTGCTTAAGTATAACCATCAAATGCTACTATCTTGAATTTATAGATCTCACCATACATATTAGATGTTGAGGAGCCTTTGAAACTTAGCTTATTATTTTATTACTGAAGCCAAAAGTTGGCTGATAATAATTCGTATGCCCCTTTTTTATTTAAATAATAACACTTATATGTTATTATCTAGCTATCTGATACATAAAATGTGCTAGAAGAAAATGATATCTTTACATAAGATTCTATACTAATTACACTTTGAGGATATTACTAATTCAACTGTGTTTAAAGGTTATTTAATGTGTTAATTTATAATTAACCCTTAAGTTTTATAAATTTACAATCAACAATAAATAGTGTTTCAATGAGTTAACAATTAATATTATCAACTATAGTTATTGTAATATTAGGACTAATTTGGTTAGTTATTATTGTATTATTTGCAAATATTATTTATTATTGTAAAATTTTATTAACTTCATTAAGGGGACCTTCTATTTTTAGCTAATCTTACTTTGCTGACATATACAAAGCTACACTTGTTTAAGTTGGTAAAAGAAATTTTCCAACTTAATCATCTATTTGCAAAATAATTTAAATGTCTCCCAGCTAATTGGTTGAAATAAATTTTTTTGAACTACTGGCATCAAAAGTGAGGGAGGGAATCACGTAAAATCTAATAGGATTCATGTAGCAAGATTTTTTTAAAGATATATTAATTTTCAAAGTTATCTATGATATGATTTATTAGTATAGTGTTTTATCCATAGTTGAAGGATCTATTAATATAGATTAAAAATCACTGTCTAATAGAAAATTCTTATTAAAGTCATACTGATTGTTAACTATTCCTTTTGTATTTAATACATTTTGATCTAAAAGGTACTGATAGATTTGAGCAGATTAAGTTGAGTTTGTAACACCCAAATCATAAGAATCTTCAGCGATGTAAATAAATGAAGTCTTATCTAATGGAATAACTGTCCACAATAAAATTATATTTGAATTTATTGGTTATTAAATATTTCCTAATAAAGATTAATCTACAGTAAATGTTAGCTTTTAAGAAGTAACATCAAAAGAAAAAAAACTAGGAGTGCTCAGAATCTAGCTATTATAGTAGTAATATACTTAAATAATTTACATATATTAAGAGACTGGATAAATTATATTAAAATTAAATTGAATCGTTTAACCAATCTAAAAAATATACTCATTTATTATTTAAATACCATCTTTATTCTAATTATAATTAACCTTATTTATTTATTAAATGTTACTTACTCTCTGATTATGATCAAAAGTGATTAGATTTGCATCTGTGTGTATTTAAACATCACTCTATAGAGGCATCGTTAAAATCCCTGATGATATTGTTAGAAATATATAATCTTAGCTTTTTGGCATGCACACAGCTTAACTTGTCTGAGATTGATAAATTATTGTATTCACAACATATGGATTTTTCTTATCTCTCATATCAATTAGAGTGAGCATACCTTTTTCTTCCTGAGTAATCAAAATATATTCTTCATTTTATAGAGGTAAAGCCATAATAACATATCCTTCTAAAGGTACCCTAGATATCACTTTTATTTTTGGAAAATATGTTGTGTCAATAATTGCAAATCCTTTAGTTAAATCCACTAAATAAGCATAGGAATACGACTCAGATATAAAAACACTTTCTCCACCTAAGTCTATTAAATAATCAGAAAGAATAGGATTAGTTTTATTTTGTACATTTAGTAAATAAACTCCAAATAACCTAATAGTACTTAACACCCATTAATTGTCTTTGGTAATGCAAGCACCTTAGTTTTCGCCGACCATAAAATCAGGATTCTACCAAACTATGTAAACATACATATCAAAAATACTTGTAGAATTGTAGAGAATGAGTCCTGTTGCAAAAGATTAAACAGCAAATGTTCTATCGTAGCTAAAGGTCATCATCTCACTTACTTGAGTTAAATTAGCAGGGTAAGATTTTACTAATTTCATATTCATAAGAGAGATATCACTTTAATCAGGACTATCATCAATTGGATTATACTGATAAACTCCTACTACATCAGGAGTAAAAAACTCGGGTACTATCATATATTTACCAGTAGGCTCTAACTAAAGAGAATCCTATATAATAGGATAATTTAAGTAATTAGAAATATTTAATCTATATGGATTTTAATGAAACGGGAAAACAAAAAGGCCACTGACATCGAAAGCTCCAATAAAATATGAATTATTTTAATCAATATAGCATCTCCATTTCCATGCGCCAGGCATAAATTCATCATACTTTGCCTAATGAATATTAAACAAATTTGGAAAATTATTATTCAGATTTTTTTATTATTTTTAAAAAGTGAAAAGACTTGAACCATCTGAAAAATATAAGTATTATTCATCGATTGATAGTTTTAAAGATCCCACAAAATGATTGAGTTTTATTTACTATACGAAAATAAATTTTGGTCTTTTTGAAATATCGATTATATAAATTCCTTTTGATCTAGTACCTAGGAATAATAGTGTTTCGCTTTAGTTAATTATCATTTGGGTTATTGCTGGAATTTTTGAAAAAAACGGCCAGTATGATTAAAAAGTAATTTGAATGGGAAATTAGTTTTAAATAGATTATAAAATTGATTAAAAATTAGCAAAAAATAAGCCTAACCAATTATCAAAGCAAAAAACGTAAATGTCAGAAGTGATTTAGCAATAATTTGTATAATTTCCATATTTACTATATGCTACTTCATTAAATGTGCGATTATTATTAAATTAATTTTTTTGAACCTAAAATAAATTTAATCCAAAAGTGGTAGATGACACACACAACCAGTTACCATCTGTTGATAGATACATATCATCAATTTGAGCGTTTTAAATAGTGTGAGTCCCGATTTAGTGAACATGACTTTTATCGGATAAATCATAAGCATTAATAAGGCCTTATCTTCCTGCAATTAATAGTAGATCATTTTTTTCATCGAAAACCATTCTTTAGATACCTAAACTAAACTCAACTTCTGATATTTTATCAAACTTCTACATGTTTATTTGATTGGCATTATTTAAGTTGAATCCTAATTCATAAAGAGCGAATGACTTTTCATAACCTATAATAAGCAATTACCCATTTTAAGAAACTTAAAAGCACGAAATAAAATCATCACTTACATTTTTGTAAAAAAGTATTTGATTTCCAAGTTAGTTGATAACTGAAATTACTGAATTACTAGTAGATATAAAAACTAAATTATTTTAAGTTATGGGATGTAGCAGCAAAGGAGCCCATAATGGTTAAGTTTGATTCAATTAGCTAGTAAATTAATGAGAGTAAATAAAGCTCCTATTATTGGTTAGTTATCCTATTACACATATTATTTTGGCTAAAAGAACCAAAGTTTAAATACGCATTTTATTTAAGGTGATTAATTTGAATGATCAAGTATTTACTTGCTATTATTTTAGTTATTGTATGTTATATTAATTTTTTACTCTTTTTATTTGTTATTATTATAGCCTAAAAGAATAAAATCAAATAAGAGCTTTGGGTGATTATTTAGCTTTAAAAATTGGCTGGAGCAAAAAAGATTAATAGAAGTTGTTATGAAAAAGTAAAAATATACTAATAGAGGATTATTAAAGTTTTACATAAATAAAAATCATGAAAAGTGATTAATTTGCATTTAAATTTAATTATGTAAATAGCATAATTTTTAATAGTGAGTTATCATTGAAAGTTTTTACTATCTTGAAATCTAACTTTAATATCTAATTTTTCTTAATAATACTTCAACAATAAATAAACAAATATTCTATGCAAAATTAATTTATTCACATATCATAAAAAATATTTATAAAACAAATTATAGTATTATTTTATTATTTATTTATATATTCCTATATAATTAGTCATTTATTTGGAAACTATGTTGTAGCTCTTTTGAATTATTAGACACATACTTAAATTTAAATAAAATTTAAAGGACAGCATATCTTTTTTCTATTATTTAAAGTTGATAATTTTCCTTAGCTTTTGACCGAAAATTCTCTTGAATTTAATATCTCAAATTATAAATTTGAATTTAGTAAAATATGGGTTTTGAGGTGGGGAGTCACAGCAAAAATTTATTCATTTATAATGTAAATTAATTATTTAAATTTTTTCTTTTTATCAAAAAATTTTTTTTTGTTAGTTTTGATACTCACTCTTTTATTACGTCAATATATAATTAATTTTTTTCTTAAGAATTATAATTCTAATATTCTTCTGAGGTCTTAGATTAATTATATTCAGAAAAGATACTCCTAGAATTTTCATTATTTTTATTTGTATTTTTGCTATTTGAGTTACATTTAAATTCATACTAATTTATATTATTTTGGTAATTGTGAGAAATAATTTTTTTAGGTGAGTTCTATTTATAAGTTTTAAATGAATTGATCATAAATTTTGATTAGGATAATCTTTTTTACCTCCTTAAATTAGAAATTGAGTCTGTGAAAGTTTCCTCATGCTTAACTTATTGATCTGTAAAATATATTTATTCTTATTTACCATATACTTTGCTTTATACAAGAGAAAATAATTCTTCTTATTCATCAGCAACTGCTGAATATATTTTATCAATTTATGATTTTAAATTATTGTTTTTAAGTTCAAAATTATTTAGAATTTTCACATTGAATTGTTGTACAACATATCCAGTATTATCATAAATTCTTATTTAAATTTCCTAGGCATCATATTATTCTGGTATACCATGGAAGTATATTTTTCCATTCATTTAATCTAAATACATCCAAGTAGGTAATCTCATATTTTTAAACGCTCCAAATTTAGTATATTCAATGTTCAACACTCTAAATACTGGTTTTAACCACTTATTTATTTTTCTTTTTTTAAAAGCTATAACCTGGCTTATATCACATATATTTAGATGAATTGATTAGCCTACAGATGGAGAGAAACTAGAAGAGTTATTTTACTAAAAACCTAAAACATCTGCAAATAATACTTCTCCTAGCAAAGATAAATTAATATTTGAACTGTAATCAGTTACTAACTAGTTAAGATTTTAAAACATCTTTGGTGGATTTTGAGATATTTATTTTGGTAATAAATTTAACATCTAAAAAACTAAAAATAAAATTTCACATTTTAATTTAAGAATTGGGAATATTTATCTTTAATTTACATAGTCATCTTTGGATTCATAGTTTATATCTACAACAACTTTATACCAATCATTTTTATTAATTTAATTATTTTGCATGCAATAAAATTTAATAAATTTATACAATTTTTTAGTCTTTTTGTCTAAATTTAAAAGATATCTTGAAATTAAACATCTTACAGCTTTGTGCATTCTTGAATTTTAATCAATTATTTCACTTTTAAATTCCTGATAAGAATTAAAATATTCTCCTTTCGGATATATTCTATTTTTAACAATATCTTCTATTACTTTTGAAAATTTTAAGTTACCTAACTTATCAAGATATCTCTATTCAAGTATGGATTTTGGATTATGTTTTTTAAGTTTTTATAATATTTAACTTGTTATTTATATATTATTTTACATTTATTCACCTATAAATGTTTAATCCTATGGGTCCTGCTTTATTTATTACTCCTCAAATAAATTAATTTGTTGTTGAGAGCTTGAGGTTTTGTCATAAATGTCTTAAAATAAATACTATTCTGGGATATCATTTTCTTTTATATTTTATTTCAGTTTTTATTAATTTTAAATATTTTTGAATAATTTCTTTAAAACTGTTCTCGCAGCTTATTAAGTTCTCCCTAAAATTACAATTTCTTTGTGAAATAATTATCCACAAATTGCTGTTTCACCTGAATAAGTTACCTTATTTTTTTAGATAATATTATATAAAATTCCTCTATATTTGTACAAACCTAAGACTGCAACTAAAGGACCTAATATCTAAATAAGTATATTCATTACATAAAAGTAAGATATTCCTGAAACAGTTACCTAAAAATAGTCTTCTGCTTGAGTATATCCATCAGAAGCTATTATTTTAAATCTATAAGTATTTCTATACATTTTAGGTGTTGTGGAACCTTTTAGATTTAACTATTCATCTTATTATTACAACCAAAAGTCAGGAGGAATTTATTCGTATATTCCATTTTTTGTTTCGTATAAATATTTATAGCTCAGCTATGAAATATCTTCTACAAAAAATGAATTTGAAGAAAATGAAATATAAACATCAGAAGCTATATAGAGCACACTGCTCGGATATTAATTTTCCAACTATTTTTGTAGATTGTTTTATTAATTAATTTGCAATTATTTTTTCAGTTTGATAAAATTGCTTTTAGATATTTTAAATGTTTAAACTAAAGGATAGTTTGTATTGTCTGTAATAGTGATAGTTATATTTGGAGAATTAATTTCTGAGATTTATGTGTTATTAGAAAATATTACTTTTTAGTACAGAACGTTGTTTACATTCTCAAGAGACCCTTATATTTTTAATTGATCTTGCTATGGTGAAATAAAGGTTACTACACTACTTTAAATTAGTTAAACTAACTTTCCATCTTAACTGTTAATCTATAGGGTTACAAACACTTATTACCTTTAATTTGTTGAGATAAACTGGCTAATTTTTTCATTATCAAATTTTAGTGATGATACTACATAAAACTTGATTGGATTTAAATAGCATGACTTTTTCAAAGTTAAATTTATTTTTTATTCTATTTATTGAGTGATTATTTAATACATATCATAGCTAACTAATTGAGGGTCAACAAGCTAACTTTTTAATTGACTATTCAATTATAAATCTTTGCTAAAATCATAACTACGAATAACTTTATTATTTGAGTCTAGTACATTCTAATTTTAAAGATACTAATAGATGAGTGCAGACTAATCAGGGGTTGTAACAGCAAAATCATTTGAATCTTCAGAAAAATATTAAAAAGATGTTTAATCAAGAGGAATGATAGTCCAAAGAAGTATTATAATAAGATTTAGCTAATTTTAATTATTTCCTAATAATTAATTTTAGACAGTAAATTACAGAGATTGAGAGAAGAGATCAAACTAAAAAAACGAAGGTAAATCTACCATCTAACCATCTTTATAAAAATATATGTTCTCTATGCGCATATCTTAGGAAACAGGGTAAAGAATACTAAAGCCAAACTATACCTTTTATCCTACTTACAAGATATATTCATTTTATATTTATGGGCTACCTGTTTACAGAGATAAATCGCTTTTCTTCAATCTTTCATTTATAAGCATTCCACTGCTTTGATTTAAGGTAATAAGATTTGCATCAGTATGAATTTAAATTTCACTTTACATAGGGATTGTTAAAATTCCTTAAGATAATGTAAGGAAAATAAAACCCTAGGTTTATGGTATACAAACGGCTTAACATATTTGAGATCCATACATAATTTTATTTATGATATATGGATATTGCTTATCTCTAATGTCAATAAGAGTGAGTAATACCCCTTATTCCTATTAAGTTACCAATATATAATCTTCATTTTATAATGGTAGACTCATGATCGCATATCCTTCTAAAGAAATTTTAGATAAAATTGATATTTTAGGAAAATTTGTAATATCTACTATTGCAAATCCCTTTACACCATCTATCAAATAGGCATAATTATAAGTTTCAGAAATCAAAATACTCTCACCACCAAAATCAAGACTGTAATTAGAGAGTATGGGGTTTGCCTTATCTTCTACATTTAACAAATAAACCCCAAACTATCTGACTGTACTTAATACCCATTTATTGTCTTTAGTGATACATGCGCCCTAGTTTTCACCTTAGATGAAATCAGGATTTTCCCATAAATAATAAATAGACATATTAAGTATATCTGTAGAATTATATAGAATCAATCCTGTTTAATGGGTTTAGACAGCAAATGTTTTATCATAGCTAAAACTTATCATTTCACTAACTTTAATAGTATTTGAGTTATACTTCTTAACTAGTTTTATATTCATTAAAGATATTTCAGCTTGATCTTGGTTACTATTAATAGGGTTGTATTAGTAAATTTCAATAGGAACATTAGTAATTTTCTAAGGAACAATCATGTACTTGTTTGATGATTCAAAGTAAATAGAGTCTGATGCAATAGGATAGCTCTGATAGTTAGAAATATTTAGTTTATATGGATTTTTGTAAAATGGGAAGACGAATATTCCATCTGAATCAAAAGCACCAATAAAGTAAGAATTAGTAGAATCAATATAGCATCTTGATTTATGAGTGATTTAATCTAATTAATCAAATTTTGCTTAATGAATGTTAAATAAATTAGGAAAATTATTATTCAAATTTATTTCTACTTGTTAGTAAGTTAAGACAAACTAAGAGTTAGATAAATATAGATATTTCTCATCTTGAGAAAATTTTATTGAGTAGGCTAAAGAATCTGCTTTAATTTGCTAAAGAAGACTGATCTGTGGTCTTTTAGTTATATCAAATATATAAATTCCTTAAGATCTGACTCCTATAAATATTAGAGTTTCTTATTAATTAACTATTAATGATTATATAGTGGGAACTATCTACGAAAACGGCCAGTATCTTTAAAATGTAATTTGAACTGGGTATTATTCTTATTAAGCTTCAATGACTTATTAAGAATTAGAAAAAAAGAATCCCTTCCAAAAATCGAAGCAAAAAACATAATAATCAGATGTGGCCTAGCAAAAATTAGCTTAAGTACTAAACAATGCTTCTCCAGCAACAATAAATTTAAGTTATCGTTAGCTTTAAGAATTATTTGAGTAATAATTATCTTGCAATCTAAATATAACTATTCCTAAAGTGTCTGCGGATACATAAAGCCATTATGCATCTTTTGTGAGAAAAATACCATTTATAAGAGGATTATCAACAGTAAAGGTTCCTATTAGGTAGATCTAACTTTTATTTGAAGTATCATAAGCATTTATTATGCCAAATTTTCCTGAGACTATCAATAACTCTTGCTATTCTTAATAAAGAATTTTAAGGATACCTGTTTAAAATTCTATTTCTTACAGTTAAACGAAACTCTTCATATCTAATTCATTAGAATTATTTATTTAGAAATCTAATTTATACACTCTCAAATGTGTTTGAAATCCTACAAACAAATACTATGCATTATTTGAGATTTGAATGTGCTAAATAAAATAATCATCAATACTTTTTGAGAAAAGTATTTTACTTCCTTGTTTATCGAGGATAGATATCCCAGAAAAGCCAGTAGAAACAAAAACAAGATTATTTGTTTTATCAATATCAATAAGAAGAGGAGTCCACTTTTCATTATTCAAATTTATTGCATTTAAAAATTATGGAGAGTAAATATAGCTTGTATTATTATTAACTGTTTAAGTGAATAATAGATGGACTAAGCTAAGTATAATTACTATCTACTTATTCATTCGTAAAAAACTTATTCTTCTCAAATTTATTTTTTGTTGCTTTTTTTTCTTTTTAATTCTACTTATTTATTTTTAGATAAGTAATTAATGATTTTTTTAGTAAAAAGTAATAAGATCGGTAGGAATTTTTTACTTTAGCAAAAAAAAAATTATTAAATCAGAATTTTGAGCATATAATCATCATGTTTTATATTTTAGTTTGTTTAATAAATCAAATAATTTAAATATATTTTCAATATTTCATTATCTTTTTCAAATTATGGAATATGGCTTTTATAATTTTTATTTAATATTAATTTTTTTTTTTCATAAAAATTTCTTGATACTTTTTTTAACTTTGAAACTATTTTGATTGCTTTTGAAATTTTTTACATTTAAATGATTAAATAAATATAAATAATTAAATAATATTATTTTTATTTAAATATTACATAATTGTGATTAAAATTTTTTGAAAAAAAATATTTTAATTAGTAATTTTCAAAATTACAATCTTTTAAAACTAATTAATTATATAATGAACTCCAGTTAGAGTAATAATAATATTACTATCATTAAATAATTAGCAGTAATGACTTAAATACTTGAGTTTCTAAAATCAATTTATAAAAATACTCAATTAATATAAAATTTTCTTCATTAAAAATAATTTGATATCAAATAATTCTATGATTTTTATGAAATAAGAATTTATTGAAAATTTATTTTTTTATCTTTTAGGTAGTATTTATTTGCTTAATCATATTATTTTTAAGGAATAAAAAGTTTTAACTTTTTAATCTGATCAAATTTAACCACTAATTTCGAAAAAACAGAAGAAAATTACAAACATTTACTAAATCAGATTTTAATTATAAATTAAAAAGCTATTTCCTCTCACTATTTAAAAAAGTGTGATACAATAACCAATAAATAAAATTTAAAAAATTAATAAACTCAAAAAATTAATAATAATAATAATAATAAAATAGAATGGAATTCAAAGTCCTTAAATAGAAAAAAAATATTCTTGAAAGATTGGATATATTTGGAATAGGAATAAATATTAGGTTTAATAAAGAAACTAATCATAAAACTTAAATTGGAGGATTAGTAACTCTTTGTTTGATTGGTATCTTAGGATATCAAATTAAACTAATTCTTGATTAACTTTATGACTATACTCATCCTTATGTTCTTTTTGAATAGAAATTTACTTCAGAGCCATCACGTTATAACTTAACTTCAGATAAATTCATCTTAACTTTTGGCTTATAAAATTCTACTTCTTAGCATTATATTGATCCTACAGTTTATAATGCTACTCTTTTTATTAAATAAACTATAAAAACTAAAAATGAAGCCACTGGGTAATTCGTAGCTAGTACAACAATAAGAACAGTAAAAACAGAGCCATGCAGGATAGATCATTTCAATATTCCTGAAGTTAATAACTATTTTATTTCATTAAGCTACAAAGATATGTATTGTATTAGTTAAGAAGAGTCGGATTTATATATTTAAGGATAATTCGATGCTCAGCACTATTCAGCTTTAGAGCTTAAGGTAAATTCTTGTTAAGGTATTAATTGCAACCCTAATATGAATAATCTTCTTCAATATTGTAGGTTGGCTATTTACTACGTAGACTACTCTGCTATTCCTTCTGATAAAACAAAACCTTTCTAACCCCTTGGAAGGTAATCATTTTGGATCTCTGGACCAGAGTTTACTAAATAGACAAATATTAATTTTAGAAACACCTATTTGAATTCTGATTACGGACTAATGGGAACTGATATATAAACAACTAATACGTTGACATTCAGTGGAGATAGAGAGTAGGTTTCGCCTAAATCAGGAAATCTTCTCTATGATTGTTATATTTCATTTGAAAAAAATGTAGATAATATATACAACAGATCATATCAAAAGCTTGATAGATCACTATCTTAGCTTGGTGGTATATTTAATATATTTTTTACAGTGGGAGCTATAATTTGCAGGCCTTTATCTCAAATAGAATTAGATTCAAAGCTAATAAATCGATTATTTAATTTTGAAAACCCAACTTAAGAATCAAATAAAAAAAAATAGGATAAAAAAAGGAATTTTAAAGATAGTGAAAAGAAAAAAGAAATTTATACCCAAGCAGCTGATTAAATTTTGATTACAAAAGAAGATTAATAAAAAACATCATTCAAATATGAATTATAGAACACATTCTATTAAAAATCCCAAATTTCTTTTGGGTAAAAAGGTGATGGTGAGTAATTAAATGTCTATTAAAATAGGCCTTTACAAAAACTAGAAAGAGTAAACTCTACAAAAATGAAAAAAACTTATTAAGAGAAATTAAAAACTTTAAAAAAAGGAGAAAATAAAGATAGTAACAAAAAGAGCAAGAAAGAGATAGAAAAAGAGGCAAAAGAGCTAAATGACATTTTCTCTTAAAATAAAGTTTCATTTTAAGGTTGGGAATATTTTGCCAATTACTTTAAATTTTTAAAACTTTGTAAAAGGAGAAGGTGTGAACTCCTTTAAAAAGGTTTAGATGGATTATATAATTAAATTGATATTTTTTACATTATTTAAAAGCTTTTTGAGGTTGAAAAATTGAAGCGACTTTTACTTAACGAAAATTAAATTAAGTTATTTGAATTTATCCCAAAACCTGTTTTATCTCTGGATGAAAAAAAATCAAATAACCTATCTGATAAAATTGGGTTAAGAGATAAATATGAAAATTATATAAAGTAGAAAACAAGCGAAGTCTAAGAGGCTTTCTAGAAATTAATAAACTCAAAAACAAAACCTTCTAAAATAGACATAAGGATTTTAGAACTACTAGATCCTCAATTTAAATAATTCCTTTCAGATTTAGGTGATATAAAACGAGAATCAACTAAATTAAGGCAAAATACTATATTAGAATCATAATAAAAAAGTATCTTTCAAAAAGAAGATTTTATATTAGATAATTTGTAAGTACCGATTGAGGAATGTAGTTCGCAATAAAAATCATAATATTTTAATTTTACTCCAAGCAAAACATTGGGTAGTATATATTCAAGTTAAAAAAAAGTAGATTTATCTAACCTGTACCCTATTTGATTTACCATTAAATAAATATAAAGTCTGTCTAAATTATAAATAAATGCATATCCTTATTATTTATGAGTATTTATTTTTTTTAAGCTCTACCCAATAATTATTATTGTTATCATTTTTATGAATTCAAAATTTGATCATCAATAATTCATTATGTTTTATTTTGAAAATATTATTTAAAAGAAATAAAGCGCTAAAGTAATTTAATTAATTTTGTTATATGAATATTTATATTAAACATACAGAATTTTTTTTAAAAATAAAATATTTTTTTAATTTTTAAAAAAGGGTGAAATGAAAATTTAAGAAATATAAAAAATATCCATAATTAAAAACTTATGGTTGATGGAAAATTTATGCTGATTAAAATATTAATAACACAAGTTAATGCTTTTTCTAACTATTTTTTTAATAAAATCGAATGAATGAATAAATAAATAAATAAATAAATAACTAAATAAATAAAAGAAATTTAAACTTATAAGATATTTCAATTTTATGAATTTTAATTGTATTATCTCTCTAGCAAATTATAAATACTGTTCTAATTAGTTCTTGCAGATAAAATTTTAGTTACACTAGCTGAGTCAAAAGTTCTATAATTTTAATTATTTTTTTTATTTAAATCAATTATTAGACAATTTTATTCATCTTAAGTTTCTGAGTTGATAAAAATATTATTTATTTAATCTAATTTTTGCTCTGGTTTTTAAAAGTTTATTTCTATGTTAAGTGAAAATTCTTAAATTATATATCCGTTTATATCAAATATCCTTATTTAAATTTATTCTACATCAAGTTTAGTTGGGATTCCATAAATAATTATTTTTCCATGTCTTTGATCTATTTCAATCCAAGTTGGTAGTCTCATGTTTTTAAACAACCCATACTTTGTGTATTATATTTTTAATAGTTAGTAAAGCGGCTTTAACCATTTATTAACTTTCTTTTCTTTATATGCAATAATTTAACTTATATCATAAGGGTTAAGATGGATAGATTAACCTACTGCAGGATTCAAATTTGATGGCATATAACCTTAAAAACCAAATGTATCTGCAAAGATAACTTCTCTTAATAAATAAATATTAATATCAGTTTAATATTTATTTACACAATCTAACATTTACTTAAAATTATTAGGAACATGTTTATCATTTTTAGCTGAAAATAGTTAGAGAAGTTGTAATATCTCAAATAAAATTTCACACTTTAATTTTAATTATGGAAAAATTGATTTTTATTTTGAATTTTCTTTCTTATTGTATTCAATTGAAACTAAAGCTTTAAACCAGTCATTGTGATTTTTTTATATATTTTAAGTACAATATGTCTTAATAAACTAATAAACTTCATAAGTTTTTAAATCTAAACTTAATAGTTATCTTGAAATTTATGCTCTGACAGCTTTATGTATTCTAGAATTTTAATCTATTATTTCACCAAAAAATTCTTACTTAGATTTAAAAATATTTTAATTTGGATAAATTGAAAATCTAAGAATATCTTCAACAACATTTGAAAAAATCAAATGACCTGTCACATTCATATACTTTTATTCTAATAAAGTAATTGGTTAATGCTTTTTCATTTTTTTTAATTTTTGTAAAGTTTTTTCAATACTTTTTTTATTCATATTACTTTTAATTTTAAATTTTTCTTCATTTATAAAATTAATTTAGTTTTCTTTATCATTCAAAGATTCACTGTAATCAGAAAATTAATTTTCAGCACTTTCAAATATTTAATTTTTTATTTAATTCATTTCTTTAATAACTTTGCTTTGATGCTTTTAAATCTTTTTTTGCAATTTTAATAAAATAGACTGAGCAACTTCTTGAGTTCTACCTAAAATAATGATTTCTTTTCGGTACATCTATCCACAGCACACTCTTTCCTCTGAGAAGGTAATCTTATTTTTATAAATAATATTGTAGAAAGCATACCTTTTCTTATAAGCACCAAATAATGCTAACAAAGAACCTAATATCTCAAGTAGCAAATTTAAGATATAAGTAAAAGGAACACCAGTTATAGAAATCTAAAATTCATCTTCTGCTTAAGTATAGCCATCAAATGCTATTATCTTGAATTTATAGATCTCACCATACATACTAGATGTTGAAGTGCCTATGAAACTTAACTTATCATTTTATTACTGAAGCCAGAAGTTGGCTGATAATAATTCGTATACACCTTTTTTATTTAAATAATAACATTTATGTGTTATTATCTAGCTATCTGATACATAAAATGTACTAGAAGAAAATGATATCTTTACTTAAGATTCTATACTAATTACACTTTGAGGGTATTACTAATTCATCTGCATTTAAAGGTTATTTTACGTGTTAACTTATAATTACTCCTTTAGTTTTATAAATTTACAATCAACTATAAGTAAAATTTAAACTAGTTCATAGTTAATATTATCAATTATAGTTATTGTAATATTAGGACTAATTTGATTAGTTATTATTGTATTATTTGCAAATATTATCTATTATTATAAAATTTTATTAACTTCATTAAGGGTACCTTCTATTTTTAGCTAATCTTACTTTGCTGACATATACAAAGCTACACTTGTTTAAGTTGGTAAAAGAAATTTTCCAAATTAATCATCTATTTGTAAAATAATTTAAATGTTTCCCAACTAATTGGTTGAAATAAATTTTTTTGAATTAGTGGATTCAAAAGTGAGGGAGGGAATCACATAAAATCTAATAGGATTCATGTAGCAAGATTTTTTCAAAGATATATTAATTTTCAAAGTAATCTAAGAAATGATTTATTAGTATTATAAATTATCCATAGTTGAAGGATCTATTAATATAGATTAAAATTCACTTTCTAACAGAAAATTCTTATTAAAGTCATACTGATTATTAACTATTCCTTTTGCGTTTAATATATTTTGATCTAAAAGGTACTGATAGATTTGAGCAGATTAAGTTGAGTTTGTAACACCCAAATCATAAGAATCTTCAGCTATGTAAATAAATGAAGTCTTATCTAATGGAATAACTGTCCACAATAAAATTATATTTTAATTTATTAGTTATTAAGTATTTCCTAATAAAGATTAATCTACAGTAAATGTTAGCTTTTAAGTAGTAACATCATAAGAAAAAAAACTAGGAGTGCTCAGAATCTAGCTATTATAGTAGTAATACACTTAAAGTATTTACATATATTAAGAGACTGGATAAATTATATTAAAATTAAATTGAATAGTTTAACCAATCTAAAAAATGTACTCATTTATTATTTAAACACCATCATTGTTCTAATTATAATTAACCTTATCTATTTGTTGAATGTTACTTACTTTCTGATTATGATCATAAGTTATTAGATTTGCATCTGTGTGTATTTAAATATCACTCTATAAAGGCATCATTAAAATTCCTGAAGACATTGTTAGAAATATATAATCTTAGCTTTTTGGCATGCACACAGCTTAACTTGTCTGGGATTGATAAATTATTGTATTCACAACATGTGGATTTTTCTTATCTCTCATATCAATTAGAGTGAGCATACCTCTTTCTTCTTGAGTAATTAAAATATATTCTTCATTTTATAGAGTTAAAGCCATAATAACATATCCTTCTAAAGGCACCCTTGATATCACTTTTATTTTTGGAAAATATGTTATGTCAATAATAGCAAAGCCTTTAGTTAAATCCACTAAATAAGCATAGGAATACAACTCAGATATAAAAATACTTTCTCCACCTAAGTTTAATAAATAATCAGAAAGAATAGGATTAGTTTTATTTTGTACATTTAGTAAATAAACTCCAAATAGCCTAATAGTACTTAACACCCATTAATTGTCTTTGGTAATGCAAGCACCTTAGTTTTCGCCGACCATAAAATCAGGATTCTACCAAACTATGTAAACCTACATATCAAAAATATCTGTAGAGTTGTAGAGAACAAGTCCTGTTGCATAAGTTTAAACAGCAAACGTTCTGTCATAGCTAAAGGTTATCATCTCGCCTACTTGAGTTAAATTAATAGGATAAGATTTTACTAATTTCATATTCATAAGAGAGATATCACTTTAATCAGGACTATCATCAATTGGGTTGTATTAATAAACTCCTATTATGTCAGGAGTAAATTATTAGGGTACTATCATATATTTGCCTGAAGGTTCTAGGTAAACAGAATCCTATATAATAGGATACATTTAGTAATTAGAAATATTTAATCTATATGGATTTTAATGAAACGGGAAAACAAAAATGCCAGTGATATCGAAAGATCCAATAAAATAAGAGTTATTGAAATCAATATAACATCTCCACTTCCATGAATTAAGCTTAAACTCATCAAACTTTGCTTAATGAATGTTAAACAAATTTGGAAAATTATTATTCAGATTTTTTTATTATTTTTAAAAAGTGAAAAGACTTGAACCATCTGAAAAATATAAGTATTATTCATCGATTGATAGTTTTAAAGATCCCACAAAATGGTTTGATTTTATTTGTTACACTAGAATAAATTTTGGTCTATTTGAAATGTCAAATATATAAATTCCTTATGATCTAGTACCTAAGAATAATAGTGATTCACTTTAATTAATTATCATTTATGTTATTGTTGGAATTTTAGTAAAAAATGGCCAGTATTATTAAAAAGCAATTTGAATGGGAAATTAATTTTAGATAGATTATAAAATTGATTAAAAGTTAACAAAAAGTAAACCTAACTAAATATCAAAGCAAAAGATGTATAAGTCAGAAGTGATTTAGCAATACTTTGTGTAATTTCCATATTTACCATATCCTACTTCGTTAAATATCATTGAACTATTATTATTAAATTGATTTTTTTGAACTTAGAATAATTTTAATCCAAAAGTTGCAGATGACACACACAACCATTTGCCATCTGTTGATAGATATATATCATCAATTTCAGCGTTTTAAATAGTATGAGTCCCTATTTAGCTAACATAACTTTTACTAGATAAATCATAGGCATTAATAAGACCTTTTGTTCCAACAATTAATAGTAAATCATTTTTTTCATCAAAAATCATTCTTTAAATACCTAAAATAAACTAAATTTCTTATTTTTTATCAAACTTCTACATATTTATCTGATTAACTTCATTTAAGTTGAAACCTAATTCATAAAGAACGAATGATTTTCCATAGCCTATAATAAGTAATTAGCCATTTTACGAAACTTAAAAGTATGAAATAAAATCATCACTTACATTTTTGTCGAAAAGTATTTGACATCCAAGTTAGTTGACAATCGAAATTACTGAATTACTAGTAGATACAAAAACTAAATTATTTTAAGTTATAGGATGTAACAGCAAAGGAGTCCATAACGGTTAAGTTTGATTCAATTAGCTAGTAAATTAGTGAGAGTAAATAAAGTTCATACTATTGTCTAGTTATCCTAATACACATATTATTTTGACTAAAAGAATCAAGATTTGAATACACATTTTATTTACAGTGATTAATTTGAATGATCAAATGTTTATTTGCTATTATTTTAATTATTATAATCTTTGTTAATTAACTTACTCTTTTTATCTTATTTTATTTCCTTTTAATATAGTTTAAAAGACAAAATCAAATAACAGCTTTGGGTGATTATTTACCTTTTAAATTGATTGAAACAAAAAAGAATGAAAGAAAATGTTATAATAGGAAATTATAAAAATTTTACATAAAATAAGCTCATGGAATTTAATTTTTTAAATAGCATTATCCTTTTATTGTGATGATTATTTATTACTTTTTAATCTAACTCTCATATCTAGGTTTTTTTTATAACATTTCAATATTAAATAAAAGATTTATTCGCTAAATTAATTTATTCAATATATATTAAAAATACTTAAAACATAAAATCTATTCTTATCATATATTTATTTAAATATTTATAAAAATAAAGCAAAAATATCATTTCAAATATTTAATCTTATGGAAACAACTGGATAAGTGATATGGCATTTATCATTTTAATTTAAATATATTTAATTAGCTTCTTAGCTGAGTTAAGCTAAGTAGAAAGAAGAAAAGTTGATTAAGTAATTAGATTTTATTAAATAAAAGTATATGAAAGAAAATTATACAACTGCCCCATGAGCCATCAATTAAATTTTTTAGATTGCGTCTGGGTGTTAAAAAATTTTTTTTAATTTAAATTTTTGATTAGTAATTTTGATACTCACTCTTTTATTTCATCAATATATAGTTAATTTGTTTCTTAAGAATTATAATTATAATATTCTTCTGACGTGTTAGATTAATTATATTCAGAAAAGATACTCCTAAAATTCTCATTATTTTCGTTGGCAGTTATGTTATTTGAGTTACTTTTAAATTCATACTAATTTATATTAATTTGGTGAATGTAAGAAATAAAATCTTTAGGCGACGCCATATTTTAACTTTCCAAATAACTAACCATAAATATTGATTAGGGTAATCTTTTTTATCGCCTTAAACTATTAATTGAATAATTATCTCTAAAAGTTTCCTCAAGCTTAACTTATTGATCAGCAAAATATATTTATTCTTAATTACCCTTTTCTTTATTTTAGACAATTGAAAATAATTCTTCATGTTCATCAGCAAATGAATATATTTTATCAATTTATGATTTTAAATTATTGTTTTTAAGTTCATAATTATTTAGAATTTTCAGATTTAATTGTTGAATAAAATATCCAACCAGTATTATTATAAATTCTTATTTAAATTTCTTAAGCATCATATTATTCTGGTATGTCATGCAACTATATTTTTCCATTAATTTAATTTAAATACATCCAAGCAGGTAATCTCATATTTTTAAAAGCTACAAATTTAGTATATTAAATGTTCAACACTCTAAATACTGGTTTTAATCACTTATTTTTTTTCCTTTTTTAAAAGCTATAACTTGGCTAATATCACATATATTTAAATGTATTGATTAGCCTAACAGATGGAGAGAAAATAGAAGAATTATTTAACTAAAAACTTAAACATCAGCAAAGAATAATTCTCCTAGGAAATATAAATTATTTGAATTGTATTATGTTAATAACTCACTAAATTTTAAAATTATTTTTGTGGATTTTGATATATTTGTTTTGGTAATAAATTTAGTATCTAAAAAACTAAATATTAAGTTTCACATTTTAATTTAAATCTTGGAAATATTTAATTTTAATTTAAATAGTCATCTTTGTATTCATAGTTTATATCTACAACAACTTTATACCAGTCATTTCTATTAATTTAATTACAAACATATTTTATAAATTCATACAATTTTTTTTCTTTTTGTCTAAATTTAAAGATATCTTGAAATTAAAGATCTTATAGCTTTGTGTATTCTTGAATTTTTGACAGTTATTTGATTTTTAAATTCCTGATAAGAATTAAAATATTCTCCTTACAGATATATTACATTTTTCAGGATGTAACTTTTTATTTATATATTTTTTTAAATTTATTTGTGTTTAAATACTTAATCTTATGGGTCTTGCTTTTTTTATTACTCCTCTAATAAATCAATTTATTCTTGAGAATATGAGTTTTTGTTAAAAATGTCTTCAAAAAAATACTATTCGGGGAAATCTTTTTCTTTAATATTTTATTAAAGTTTTTTTTATTAATTATTTTTAAAAATTTTAAATTAAATTTTCTTTATTTTTTATCTTTTAAAACCATACTTTTTATTTTTTAAAATATTTATTTTTTTTATATTTATTCTATTTATTACAAATTTATTGATAGTTCTTTTTAATTCTTTTTTATTCAAATAAAAATTCTTTTTCTAAATAAATTAAATTAAATGTAGATACAAATTAGAAAAATAATATTTATTATGGTTTATAAAATACATTTAATAGTTTAAGTAAATAAAATTATTAACCATCTCCTAAATAAGATTTAAAATAATTTAAATAAAAATATTATTAAAAAAAAGAATAATTTTATTATTTTATTATATTTAAATGTAATTGCAGAATAGAAAAATTAAAAACCAAAATCAAATTGGTAATTGACAATAACAACATAAGTTAATACTTTTTCTAATTGTTTTTTTAATAAAATCGAATGAATGAATAAATAAATAATTAAATAAAAGAAATTAAAATTTATAAGATATTTCAATGTTATGATTATTAAATGTTTTATCTCTCATGCAAATTATAAATACTGTTCTATTTAGTTCTTGCAGATAGACTTTTAGTTACAATAGATGAGCCAAAAGTTCTATAATTTTAATTATTTTGTTTATTTACATCATTTATTAAACAATTTTATTCGTCTTAAATTTCTGAGTTGCTAAAAATATTATTTATTTAATCTAATCTTTGCTCTGGATTTTAAAAGTTTATTTTTATGTTAAGTGAAAATTCTTAAATTATATATCCATTTTTATCATATATCCTAATTTAAATTTATTCTACATCAAGTTTAGTTGGGATTCCATAAATAATTATTTTTCCATGTCTTTGATCTATTTCAATCCAAGATGGTAGTCTCATATTTTTAAACAACCCATATTTTGTGTATTATATTTTTAATAGTTAGCAAAGCGGCTTTAACAATTTATTAACTTTCTTTTCTTTATATGCAATAACTTAACTTATATCATAAGGGTTAAGATGGATAGATTAACCTACTGCAGGATTCAAATTTGATGGCATATAACCTTAAAAACCAAATGTATCTGCAAAGATAACTTCTCTTAATAAATAAATATTAATATCAGTTTAATATTTATTTACACAATCTAACATTTACTTAAAATTCTTAGGTACATGTTTATCATTTTTAGCTGAAAATAGTTAGAGAATTTGTAATATCTCAAATAAAATTTCATATTTTAATTTTAATTAAGGAAAAATTGATTTTTATTCTGAATTTTCTTTCCTATTGTATTCAATTGAAACTAAAGCTTTAAACCAGTCATTATGATTTTTTTATATATTTTAAATGCAATATGTCTTAATAAACTAATAAATTTAATAAGTTTTTAAATCTAAACTTAATAGTTATCTTGAAATTTATGCTCTGACAGCTTTATGTATTCTAGAATTTTAATCTATTATTTCACCAAAAAATTCTTACTTAGATTTAAAAATATTTTAATTTGGATAAATTGAAAATCTAAGAATATCTTCAACAACATTTGAAAAAATTAAATCACCTGTTACATCCATATATTTTTATTCTAATAAAGTAATTGGTTAATGCTTTTTCATTTTTTTTAATTTTTGTAAAGTTTTTTCAAAACTTTTTTTATTCATATTACTTTTAATTTAAAATTTTTCTTCATTTACAAAATTTATTTGGTTTTCTTTATCGCTCAAAGATTCACTTTAATCAGAAAATTAATTTTCAGCACTTTGAAATATTTAGTTTTTTATTTAATCCATTTCTTTATTAATTTTACTTTGATGCTTTTAAATCTTTTTTTGCAATTTTAATAAAATAGACTGAGCAACTTCTTGAGTTCTACCTAAAATGATAATTTCCTTTCGGTACATCTATCCACAGAACACTCTTTCCTCTGAGAAGGTAATCTTATTTTTATAAATAATATTGTAGAAAGCATACCTTTTCTTATAAGCACCAAATAATGCTAACAAAGGACCTAATATCTCAAGTAGCAAATTTAAGATATAAGTAAAAGGAACACCAGTTATAGAAATCTAAAATTCATCTTCTGCTTAAGTATAGCCATCAAATGCTATTATCTTGAATTTATAGATCTCACCATACATACTAGATGTTGAAGTGCCTATGAAACTTAACTTATCATTTTATTACTGAAGCCAGAAGTTGGCTGATAATAATTCGTATACACCTTTTTTATTTAAATAATAACATTTATATGTTATTATCTAGCTATCTGATACATAAAATGTGCTAGAAGAAAATGATATCTATACATAAGATTCTATACTAATTATATTTTGAGGATATTACTAATTCAACTGCATTTAAAGGTTATTTTAAGTGTTAACTTATAATTACTCCTTTAGTTTTATAAATTTACAATCAACTATATGTAAAATTTAAACTAGTTCATAGTTAATATTATCAATTATAGTTATTGTAATATTAGGACTAATTTGATTAGTTATTATTGTATTATTTGCAAATATTATCTATTATTATAAAATTTTATTAACTTCATTAAGGGTACCTTCTATTTTTAGCTAATCTTACTTTGCTGACATATACAAAGCTACAATTGTTTAAGTTGGTAAAAGAAATTTTCCAAATTAATCATCTATTTGTAAAATAATTTAAATGTTTCCCAGCTAATTGGTTGAAATAAATTTTTTTGAATTAGTAGCATCAAAAGTTAGTGATGGAATCACATAAAATCTAATAGGATTCATGTAGCAAGATTTTTTCAAAGATATATTAATTTTTAAAGTAATCTAAGATATGATTTATTAGTATTATAAATTATCCATAGTTGAAGGATCTATTAATATAGATTAAAATTCACTTTCTAACAGAAAATTCTTATTAAAGTCATACTGAATATTAACTATTCCTTTTGCGTTTAATATATTTTGATCTAAAAGGTACTGATAGATTTAAGCAGATTAAGTTGTGTTTGTAACACCTAAATCATAAGAATCTTCAGCGATGTAAATAAATGAAGTCTTATCTAATGGAATAACTGTCCACAATAAAATTATATTTTAATTTATTAGTTATTAAGAATTTCCTAATAAAGATTAATCTACAGTAAATGTTAGCTTTTAAGTAGTAACATCATAAGAAAAAAAACTAGGAGTGCTCAGAATCTAGCTATTATAGTAGTAATACACTTAAAGTATTTACATATATTAAGAGACTGGATAAATTATATTAAAATTAAATTGAATAGTTTGACCAATCTAAAAAATGTATTCATTTATTATTTAAACACCATCATTGTTCTAATTATAATTAACCTTATTTATTTGTTGAATGCTACTTACTTTCAGATTATGATCATAAGTTATTAGAATTGCATCTGTATGTATTTAAATATCACTCAATAAAGGCATCATTAAAATTCCTGAAGATATTGTTAGAAATATATAATCTTAGCTTTTTGGCATGCACACAGCTTAACTTGTCTGGGATTGATAAATTATTGTATTCAAAACATATGGATTTTTCTTATCTCTCATATCAATTAGAGTGAGCATACCTCTTTCTTCTTGAGTAATTAAAATATATTCTTCATTATATAGAGGTAAAGCCATAATAACATATCCTTCTAAAGGCACCCTTGATATCACTTTTATTTTTGGAAAATATGTTATGTCAATAATAGCAAAGCCTTTAGTTAAATCCACTAAATAAGCATAGGAATACATCTCAGATATAAAAATACTTTCTCCACCTAAGTTTAATAAATAATCAGAAAGAATAGGATTTGTTTTATTTTGTACATTTAGTAAATAAACTCCAAATAACCTAATAGTACTTAACACCCATTAATTGTCTTTGGTAATGCAAGCACCTTCGTTTTAACCTATCATAAAATCAGGATTCTACCAAACTATGTAAACCTACATATCAAAAATATCTGTAGAGTTGTAGAGAATGAGTCCTGTTGAATGAGCTTAAACAGCAAATGTTCTGTCATAGCTAAAGGTTATCATCTCGCCTAATTGAGTTAAATTAGTAGGGTAGGATTTTACTAATTTCATATTCATAAGAGAGATATCACTTTAATCAGGACTATCATCAATTGGGTTGTATTAATAAACTCCTATTATGTCAGGAGTAAATTATTAGGGTACTATCATATATTTGCCAGAAGGTTCTAAGTAAACAGAATCCTATATAATAGGATACATTTAGTAATTAGAAATATTTAATCTATATGGATTTTAATAAAATGGGAAAACAAAAATGCCATTGACATCGAAAGCTCCAATAAAATAAGAGTTATTGAAATCAATATAGCATCTCCATTTCCATGCGCCAGGCATAAATTCATCATACTTTACCTAATGAATATTAAACAAATTTGGAAAATTATTATTCAGATTTTTTTATTATTTTTAAAAAGTGAAAAGACTTGAACCATCTGAAAAATATAAGTATTATTCATCGATTGATAGTTTTAAAGATCCCACAAAAAAGTTTGATTTTATTTGTTAGACTAGAATAAATTTTGGTCTATTTGAAATGTCAAATATATAAATTCCTTATGATCTAGTACCTAAGAATAATAGTGATTCACTTTAATTAATTATCATTTATGTTATTGATGGAATTTTAGTAAAAAATGGCCAGTATTATTAAAAAGCAATTTGAATGGGAAATTAATTTTAGATAGATTATAAAATTGATTAAAAGTTAACAAAAAGTAAACCTAACTAAATATCAAAGCAAAAGATGTATAAGTCAGAAGTGATTTAGCAATACTTTGTGTAATTTCCATATTTACCATATCCTACTTCATTAAATATCATTGAACTATTATTATTAAATTGATTTTTTTGAACTTAGAATAATTTTAATCCAAAAGTTGCAGATGACACACACAACCATTTGCCATCTGTTGATAGATATATATCATCAATTTCAGCGTTTTAAATAGTATGAGTCCCTATTTAGCGAACATAACTTTTATTAGATAAATCATAAGCATTAATAAGACCTTTTGTTCCAACAATTAATAGTAAATCATTTTTTTCATCAAACACCATTCTTTAAATACCTAAAATAAACTAAATTTCTTATTTTTTATCAAACTTCTACATGTTTATCTGATTTACTTAATTTAAGTTGAATCCTAATTCATAAAGAACGAATGACATTTCATAGCCTATAATAAGTAATTAGCCATTTTATGAAACTTAAAAGCATGAAATTAAATCATCACTTACATTTTCGTAGAAAAGTATTTGACATCCAAGTTAGTTGACAATCGAAATTACTGAATTACTAGTAGATACAAAAACTAAATTATTTTAAGTTATAGGATGTAGCAGAAATGGAGTCCATAATGGTTAAGTTTGATTCAGTTAGCTAGTAAATTAGTGAGAGTAAATAAAGTTTATGCTGTTGTCTAGTTATCCAATTACACATATTACTTTGACAAAAAGAATCAAGATTTGAATACACATTTTATTTTTAGTGATTAATTTGAATGATCAAATGTTTATTTGCTATTATTTTAATTATTATATTCTTTGTTAATTTACCTACTTTTTTTAAATGCTATAAATTGAGTTTAAAAGACAAAATCAAATACAGCTTTGGGTCATTATTTACCTTTAAAAATTGATTGAAACAAAAAAGATTAAAAGAAAATGTAATAATAGGAAATTATAAAAATTTTACATAAATTAAGTTCTTGAAAAGTTGCAATAAATAAGAAGTAGATTGATTGATAATACATTTGAATTTAATTTTTTAAATAGCATTATCCTTTTATTGTGATGAGTACTTATTATTATTAATTAATCTAACTCTCATTTCTAGGTTTTCATTTTTACATTTCATTCAATATAAAATAAAAAATTTATTCACTATATTAATTTCATAAATATATCTTAAAAATACTTAAAACATAAAATTTATTCTTATTGTATATTGATTTACATAGCTGTTCCTGGTATTGAAATATCACAAATTGTTCTGTTGCTTATTTCAATACCAGGACATGTTGTTTTATGTAAATTATTTAATTGTTTTAAAAAATCTAAAAAAAATTAGTAAAGCTAGAAATCTGAAAATAAAATTGATTTAATTAATTTTTATAATAGATTATATATATATATATAGAGAGAGTGTGAATAAAATTAATTATATTTTGTTAAGTTTTTGCCAATTTTCATTAATAAACATTTTATTTTTAAAAAAATACAAAAAAAATAATTTTGCCTGAAAATTTATTTCTATTAAAATATTAATAACAAATGTTAATGCTTTGACTAACTGTTTTTTAATAAAATCGAATGAATGAATGAATAAATGAATAACAAAATAAATAATTAAATATAAGAAATTTAAATTTATAAGATATTTCAATTTTATGATTTTTAAATGTTTTATCTCTCTAGCAAATTATAAATACTGTTCTAATTATTTCTTGCAGATAGACTTTTCATTACAATAGAAGAGTCAAAAGTTCTATAATTTTAATTATTTTGTTTATTTACATCAATTATTACAAAATTTTATTCATCTTAAATTTCCGAGTTGCAAAAAATATTATTTAATTAATCTAATGTTTGCTCTGGTTTTTAAAAGTTTATTTATATGTTAAGTGAAAATTCTTAAATTATATATCCATTTTTATCATATATCCTAATTTAAATTTATTCTACATCAAGTTTGGTTGGGATTCCATAAATAATTATTTTTCCATGTCTCTGATCTATTTCAATCCAAGATGGTAGTCTCATGTTTTTAAACAACCCATATTTTGTATATTATATTTTTAACAGCTAGTAAAGTGGCTTTAACCATTTATTAACTTTCTATTGTTTATATGCAATAACTTAAATTATATCACAGGAGTTAAGATGGATAGATTAACCTACTGCAGGATTCAAATTTGATGGCATATAACCTTAAAAACCAAATGTATCTGCAAAGATAACTTCTCTTAATAAATAAATATTAATATCAGTTTAATATTTATTTACACAATCTAGCATTTACTTAAAATTCTTAGGTACATGTTTATCATTTTTAGCTGAAAATAGTTAGAGAATTTGTAATATCTCAAATAAAATTTCATACTTTAATTTTAATTTTGGAAAAATGGATTTTTATCCTGAATTTTCTTTCCTATTGTATTCGATTGAAACTAAAGCTTTAAACCAGTCATTATGATTTTTTTATATATTTTAAATGCAATATGTTTTAATGAACTAATAAACTTCATAAGTTTTTAAATCTAAACTTAATAATTATCTTGAAATTTATGCTCTGACAGCTTTATGTATTCTAGAATTTTAATCTATAATTTCGCCGATAAACTCTTACTTAGATTTAAAAATATTTTAATTTGGAATTATTGAAAATCTAAGAATATCTTCAACAACATTTGAAAAAATTAAATCACCTGTTACATCCATATATTTTTATTCTAATAAAGTAATTGGTTAATGCTTTTTCATTTTTTTTATTTTTTGTAAAGTTTTTTCAATACTTTTTTTTTTTTTTTTACTTTTAATTTTAAATTATTCTTTATTTACAAAATTTATTTAGTTTTCTTTATCACTCAAAGATTCACTGAAATCAGAAAATTAATTTTCAGCACTTTCAAATATTTAGTTTTTTATTTAATCCATTTCTTTATTAAATTTGCTTTGATCCTTTTAAATCTTTTTTTGCAAATTTAATAAAATATACTGAGCAACTTCTTGAGTTCTACCTAAAAGGATTATTTCTTTTCTGTACATCTATCCACAGAACACTCTTTCTTCAGAGAAGGTAATCTTATTTTTATAAATAATATTATAGAAAGCATACCTTTTCTTATAAGCACCAAATAATGCTAACAAAGGACCTAATATCTCAAGTAGCAAATTTAAGATATAAGTAAAAGGAACGCCAGTTATAGAAATCTAAAATTCATCTTCTGCCTAAGTATAGCCATCAAATGCTATTATCTTGAATTTATAGATTTAACCATACATACTAGACGTTGAAAAGCCTTAGAAGATTAACTTATCATTTTGTTACTGAAGCCAAAAGTTGGCTGATAATAATTCGTATACCCCTTTTTTATTTAAATAATAACACTTATATGTTATTATTTAGCTATCTGATACTTAAAATGTGCTAGAAGAAAATGATATCTTTACATAAGATTCTATACTAATTACACTTTGAGGGTATTACTAATTCAACTACATTTAAAGGTTATTTTATGTGTTAACTTATAATTACTCCTTTAGCTATATAAATTTACAATCAACAATAAATAAAATTTAAACTAGTTCATAGTTAATATTATCAATTATAGTTATTGTAATATTAGGACTAATTTGATTAGTTATTATTGTATTATTTGCAAATATTATCTATTATTATAAAATTTTATTAACTTTATTAAGGGTACCTTCTATTTTTAGTTAATCTTACTTTGCTGACATCTAGAGAGCTATACTTGTTTAAGTTGGTAAAACAAATTTTCCAAATTAATCATCTATTTGTAAAATAATTTAAATGTCTCCCAGCTAATTGGTTGAAATAAATTTTTTTGAATTAGTAGCATCAAAAGTAAGTGATGGAATCACATAAAATCTAATAGGATTCATGTAGCAAGATTTTTTCAAAGATATATTAATTTTTAAAGTAATCTAAGATATGATTTATTAGTATTGTAAATTATCCATAGTTGAAGAATCTATTAATATAGATTAAAAATCACTGTCTAACAGAAAATTCTTATTAAAGTCTTACTTATCATTAACTATTCCTTTTGCGTTTAATATATTTTAATCTAAAAGGTACTAATAGATTTAAGCAGATTAAGTTGTGTTTGTAACACCCAAATCATAAGAATCTTCAGCGATATAAATAAATGAAGTCTTATCTAATGGAATAACTGTCCACAATAAAATTATATTTTAATTTATTAGTTATTAAGTATTTCCTAATAAAGATTAATCTACAGTAAATGTTAGCTTTTAAGTAGTAACATCATAAGAAAAAAAACTAGGAATGCTCAGAATCTAACTATTATAGGAGTAATACACTTAAAGTATTTACATATATTAAGAGACTGGATAAATTATATTAAAATTAAATTGAATAGTTTGACCAATCTAAAAAATGTATTCATTTATTATTTAAACACCATTATTATGAATATAATTTAATTTATTTATTTATTGAATGTTACTTACTTCATGATTATTATCATAAATGATAAGATTTGCATCTGTGTGTATTTAAATATCACTCTATAAAGGCATCGTTAAAATTCCTGAAGATATTGTTAGAAATATAAAATCTTAGTTTTTTGGCATGCACACAGCTTAACTTGTCTGGGATTGATAAATTATTGTATTCACAACATATGGATTTTTCTTATCTCTCATATCAATTAGAGTGAGCATACCTCTTTCTTCTTAAGTAATTAAAATATATTCTTCATTATATAGAGGTAAAGCCATAATAACATATCCTTCTAAAGGCACCCTTGATATCACTTTTATTTTTGGAAAATATGTTATGTCTATAATAGCAAAGCCTTTAGTTAAATCCACTAAATAAGCATAGGAATACAACTCGGATATAATAATACTTTCTCCACCTAAGTTTAATAAATAGTCAGAAAGAATAGGATTTGTTTTATTTTGTACATTTAGTAAATAAACTCCAAATAACCTAATAGTACTTAACACCCATTAATTGTCTTTGGTAATGCAAGCACCTTAGTTTTCGCCGACCATAAAATCAGGATTCTACCAAACTATGTAAACCTACATATCAAAAATATCTGTAGAGTTATAGAGAATGAGTCCTGTTGCATAAGTTTAAACAGCAAACATTCCGTCATTGCTAAATGTTATCATCTCTCCTACTTGAGTTAAATTAGCAGGATAAGATTTTACTAATTTCATATTCATAAGAGAGATATCACTTTAATCAGGACTATCATCGATTGTGTTATATTGATAAACTCCTATAATGTCAGGTGAAACTTATTACGGTACTATCATATATTTTCCAGAAGGTTCTAAGTAAACAGAATCCTATATAATAGGATAAATTTAGTAATTAGAAATATTTAATCTATATGGATTTTAATGAAAAGGAAAAACAAAAATGCCACTGACATCGAAAGCTCCAATAAAATATGAATCATTTTAATCAATATAGCATCTCCATTTCCATGCACCAGGTATAAATTCATCATACTTTGCCTAATGAATGTTAAACAAATTTGGAAAATTGTTATTCAAATTTTTTTATTATTTTTAAAAAGTGAAAAGACTTGAACCATCTGAAAAATATAAGTATTATTCGTCGATTGATAGTTTTAAAGATCCCACAAAATGGTTTGATTTTATTTATTACACTAGAATAAATTTTGGTCTATTTGAAATGTCAAATATATAAATTCCTTAAGATCTAGTTCCTAAGAATAAAAGTGATTCACCTTAATTAATTATCATTTATGTTATTTTTGGAATTCTAGAAAAAAATGGCCAGTATGATTAAAAAGCAATTTGAATGGGAAATTAGTTTAAGATAGATTATAAAATTGATTATAAATTAACAAAAAATAAACCTAACTAAATATCAAAGCAAAAAATGTATAAGTCAGAAGTGATTTAGCAATAGTTTGTGTAATTTCCATATTTACCATATCCTACTTCATTAAATATCATTGAACTATTATTATTAAGTTGATTTTTTTGAACCTAGAATAATTTTAATCCAAAAGTGAAAGAAGACACACACAACCATTTGCCATCTGTTGATAGGTATATATCATCAATTTCAGCGTTTTAAATAGTATGAGTCCCTATTTAGCGAACATAACTTTTATTAGATAAATCATAAGCATTAATAAGACCTTTTGTTCCAACAATTAATAGTAAATCATTTTTTTCATCAAACACCATTCTTTATATACCTAAAATAAACTAAATTTCTTATATTTTATCAAACTTCTACATATTTATCTAATTAAATTTATTTAAGTTGAATCCTAATTCATAAAGAACGAATGACATTTCATAGCCTATAATAAGTAATTAGCCATTTTATGAAACTTAAAAGCATGAAATTAAATCATCACTTACATTTTCGTAGAAAAGTATTTGACATCCAAGTTAGTTGACAATCGAAATTACTGAATTACTAGTAGATACAAAAACTAAATTATTTTAAGTTATAGGATGTAGCAGAAATGGAGTCCATAACGGTTAAGTTTGATTCAATTAGCTAGTAAATTAGTGAGAATAAATAAAGTTCATGCTTTTGTCTAGTTATCCCATTACACATATTACTTTGACTAAAAGAATCAACATTTGAATACACATTTTATTTACAGTGACTAATTTGAATTATCAAGTATTTGTTTGCTATTATTTTAATTATTATATGTTTTGTTAATTTACTTACTCTTTTTTATATAGTTTAAGCATAAAAATCAAATAAGAGCTTTGGACAAAAAAGATTAAAAGAAAGTGTAATAGGAGATTATAAAAGTTATACATAAATTAATCTCTTGAAAAGTTGTAATAAATAAGAAGTAGATTGATTATACTTTTAAATTTAATTTTTTAAATAACATCATCCTTTTATTGTGATGAGTACTTACTATTATTTAATCTAACTCTCAATCTAGGTTTTCTTTATAACATTTAAATATTAGATAAAAAATTTATTCGCTAAATTAATTTATTCAGCATATCTTTAAAAATACTTAAAACATAAAATTTATTCATATTGTATATTTATTTAAATATTCTTAGAAATACCATATTGTAAACCTCTTGAATTATTAGTTCTTTGTTTTAAATTTAAAGGATAGCTTATCTTTTCTTTTTTTCCAATTCTTGTTTACATTAATCTATTTAGCGTTGATAACATTTTGCTAATAAGTTAAAATAAGAATTTTATTTTTTATTAAAAATAATATCAATTTCATAATATACGCCTCTCTACCCTAAAAAATTACAATAGAAGAGATAAATAATTTTAAAGCCTTGATTCTAATAGAAGAAGTTACTTTTGCTCTCTTTAAGTAATGTATGATTCATTTTATTTTAAGTTGGTTTTCATATCAGTTTAATATTTGTAAAATTTTTAAATTGGCACAGTTTTGAAAAAATTAGAAACTTTATTTATTATTATTCAAAATACTAACACACAAAAGGTTAATAATTAGCTTAACAACATAAATTCTTAAATGAATAATATTAAATAAATTATTGTTGATTTCAATAGTTTCCTTCAGGATAACCATCATTTGCATTTAGTACTTTTTCAAAGTTTTTTTTAGGTGATTGATACAATTTTTTATGAATTGATCTTCAATTTAATCAAACTATAATAGAATAGCATTTTCCAATTCATTTTTGTTTGTTGAGCTTTACAACTCTACTTTATTTTAGACACCAATTTGATTGGGTTTAGTTCAGGGGATAAGGGTGGGTGAACATGAAAGTAACATTATTATCTTTTATAAATTACTTTTATGCTTAAGGTTTGTGTGACGGAGCATTCTCAAGCTAAAATCTATATTTTCTATTTCCTTTTAAATTAGGTAACCCTTAGCATCCATTTTCAAAGAACTTCTTGATTATTCTTAATAGTAATCAGAATTAACCTACCATCAACAATTTCTAACTACAGTATGCCAATATAAGAAATTTCTCCCCAAACCATAATAGTATAATTGGGTTTAAATGTAATTTCTTTTGGTGATATTGAGTTATCAAGGGCATATATTTTTTTTTGTAAGTCTGTTTAATTAAAACTAACATTCATCAGTAAAAATGGTATTTTGAAAATTTGATTTAAGATTAATGTGATAATTGCAATATTCTATTCGCTTTGCTCTATGAAATTAATTTAAAATGGATCTTTAAAGAGATACAAAAAATTTACTAAACTTGGTTATTAATAGGTAAATAGTTGTCCTCCATTTATATTTAAAGAGATTAATGTATCTAAGATGAAGTTTTTAAATCCTGTTCATTAATCATATCATAAATTTCTTCAGCTTAATCTCTATGAATTTAGGAGGTCTGCATTTATTTGTTTATATCTAATTCTAATCTAATACTATTACCTTCAAGATACATAATAATTGTTCTGTATTTCTTAATTTTATTAAGTCACTTTAATCCTAAATCTTATTCTTTAAACACAATTTTACTCATTTAAATTATCAATATTATTTTGCAATTAATTATTTCAAAAATCACTCCAAATAATCCCTACTTTAAATGCTTTTGAATAAACATTAAAGTATTTAAAAAAAAATTATTTTCAAAAAATTCAATATATTTTTTTATTTGTTTTAGACTTTTAAAAATATAATTTTAAATGAATTATGTTGACATAAAATATTTTCATAATCTGATCCAATTTAAAAATTATAAAAATATAAAACTGATATGAAAGCCAACTTAAAATAAGATAAATCACACATATTCTGAAGGAGGGTATGTTCTTCGATTAGAATCAAGGCTTTAAAATAATTTATCACTTTAAAAAATTTTATTAATTTTAAATTTTTGATGATTAATTTTGATACTCACTCTTTTATTTCATCAATACATAATTAATTTGTTTCTTAAGAATTATAATTCTAATATTCTTCTGAGGTGATAGATTAATTATATTCAGAAAAGATACTCCTAGAATTTTCATTATTTTCATTGGTATTTTTGCTATTTGAGTTACTTTTAAATTCATACTTATTTATATGATTTAGGTAATCGTGAGAAATAAAGTCTTTAGGCGACACCAAATTTTAACTTTTCAAATAACTGACCATAAATTTTGATTAAGGTAATCTTTTTTATTGCCTTAAACTATTAATTGAATAATTATCTCTAAAATTTTCATCATGCTTAACTTATTGATCAGCAAAATATATTTATTCTTAATTACCCTTTAATTTATTTTAGGCAATAGAAAATAATTCTCCTCGTTCATCAGCAACTGAATATATATTATCAATTTATGATTTTAAATTATTGTTTTTAAGTTCATAATTATTTAGAATTTTCAGATTGAATTGTCGTATAACATATCCAGTATTATCATAAATTCGTATTTAAATTTCTTAGGAATCATATTATTCTGGTACACCATGCAAGTATATTTTTCCATTCATTTAATTTAAATACATCCAAGCAGGTAATCTCATATTTTTAAAAGCTCCAAATTTAGTATATTCAATGTTCAACACTCTAAATACTGGTTATAACCACTTATTTATTTTCCTTTTTTTAAAAGCTATAACTTGGCTTATATCACATATATTTAAATGTATTGATTAGCCTACAGATGGAGAGAAGAGAGAAGGATTCTTTTACTTAAAACCTAAAACATCTGCAAATAATACTTCTCTTAGCAAATATAAATTAAAATTTGAATTTTATTCTGTTACTAACTCGCTAAACTTAAAAAATATTTTTGGTGGATTTTGAGATATTTGTTTTGGTAATAAATTTAGCATCTAAAAAACTAAATATAAAGTTTCACATTTTAATTTGAGTCTTGGGAATATTTAACTTTAATTTAAATAATTATCTTTGGATTCATAGTTTATATCTACAACAACTTTATACCAATCATTTCTATTAATTTAATTACTTTGTATGCAATAATATTTTATAAATTCATACAATTTTTTTGTCTTTTTGTCTAAATTTAAAAGATCTCTTGAAATTAAAGATCTTATAGCCTTATGTATTCTTGAATTTTAGTCAGTTATTTCACTTTTAAATTCTTGATAAGAATTAAAATATTCTTCTTACAGATATATTACATTTTAAAGGATGTCCTCTATTACTTTTGAAAATCTTAATTAACCTTACTAATCGAGATATCTCTATTCAAGTATGGATTTTGGATTATGTTTTTTAAGCTTTTATAATATTTAACTTGTTATTTATATTTTTTTTTAAATTGATTCTCCTTTAATTATTTAATCTTATGAGCCTTGCTATTTTTATTACTCCTCTAATAAATCAATTTATTCTTGAGAATGTGAGCTTTTTTTATAAATGTCTTCAAAAAAATACTATTCAGGGATATATTTTTCTTTTATATTTTCTTTAAATTTTTATTAATTTAAAATATTTTTGAATAATTTATTTAAAATTATTCTTGCGGTTTCTTAAGTTCTCCCTAAAATTACAATTTCTTTGTGAAACAATTATCCACAAATTGCTGTTTCATCTGAATAAGTTATCTTATTTTTTAAAATAATATTATATAATATTCCTCTATATTTGTACAAACCTAAGATTGCAACTAAAGGCCCTAATATCTAAATCAGTAAATTTGTTATATACAAGTAAGATATCCCTGAAACAGTTACCTAAAAATAGTCTTCTGCTTGAGTATATCCATCAGAAGCTATTATTTTAAATTTATAAGTATTTCTATACATTTTAGCTGTTGTGGAACCTTTTAGATTTAACTGTTCATCTTATTATTACAACCAAAAGTCAGGAGGAATTTATTCGTATATTCCATTTTTTGTTTCGTATAAATATTTATAGCTCAGCTATGAAATATCTTCTACAAAAAATGAATTTGAAGAAAATGAAATATAAACATCAGAAGCTATATAGAGCACACTGTTCGGATATTAATTTTCCAATTATTTTTGTAGATTATTTTCTTAATTAATTTGCAATTATTTTTTCAGTTTGATAAAATTGCTTTTAGATATTTTAAATGTTTAAACTAAGGGATAGTTTGTATTGTCTGTAATAGTGATAGTTATATTTGGAGAATTATTTTCTGTGATTTATGTATTATTAGAAAATATTACCTTTTTATACAAAACGTTGTTTACATTCTCAAGAGAACCTTATATTTTTAATTGATCTTGTTATGGTGAAATAAAAGTTACCACACTACTTTAAATTAGTTAAACAAATTTTCCGTCCTTAATGTTAATCTATAGGGTTACAGATACTAATTGGATTTAATTCGTTGAGATAAACTGGCTGATTTTTTCATTATCAAATTTTAGTGATGGTACTACATAAAACTTGATTGGATTTAAATAGCATGACTTTTTCAAAGTTAAATTTATTTTTTATTATAATTATTGGGTGATTATTTAATACATATTATAGCTAACTAATTGAGAGTTAACAAGCTAACTTTTAAATTAACTATTCAACTATAAATCTTTGCTAAAATCATAACTAGGATTTACTTTATTATTGGAGTCTAGTATATTCTAATTTTAAAGATACTAATAGATGAGTGCAGACTAATCTAGGGTTGTAACAGCAAAGTCATTTGAATCTTCAGAAAAATATTAAAATGATGTCTAATCAAGAGGAATGATAGTCCAAAGAAGTATTATAATAAGATTTAGCTAATTTTAATTATTTCCTAATAATTAATTTTAGACAGTAAATTATAGAGATTGAGAGAAGAGATCAAACTAAAAAAACGAAGGTAAATTTACCATCTAACCATCTTTATAAAAATAGATGTTCTCTATGCTTATATCTTTGGAAACAGGGTAAAGAATGCTAAAGCTAAACTATACTTTTTATCCTACTTACAAGATATATTCATTTAATATTTATGGGCTACCTATTTACAGAGATAAATCACTTTTATTCAATCTTTCATTTATAGGTATTCCACTGCTTTGATTTAACGTAATAAGATTTGCGTCAGTATGAATTTAAATTTCACTTTACATGGGGATTGTTAAAATTCCTTAGGATAATGTAAGGAAAATAAAACCCTAGGTTTATGGCATACAAATGGCTTAACATATTTAAGATCCATACATAATTTTATTTATGATATATGGATAGTGTTTATCTCTAATGTCAATAAGAGTGAGTAATACTCCTTATTCTTATTATGTTACCAATATATAATCTTCATTTTATAATGGTAGACTCATGATCGCATATCCTTCTAAAGCAATTTTAGATAAAATTGATATTTTAGGGAAACTTGAAATATCTACTATTGCAAATCCCTTTACGCCATCTATCAAATAGGCATAATTAAAAGTTTAAGAAATCAAAATACTCTCTCCACCAAAATCAAGACTGTAATCAGAGAGTATAGGGTTTGCCTTGTCTTCTACATTTAGCAAATAAACCCCAAATTATCTAACAGTACTTAATACCCATTTATTATCTTTAGTGATACATGCGCCCTAGTTTTCACCTTAGATAAAATCAGGATTTTCCCATAAATGATAAATAGACATATTAAGTATATCTGTAGAATTATATAGAATCAATCCTGTTTAATGGGTTTAGACAGCAAATGTTTTATCATAGCTAAAAGTTATCATTTCACTAACTTTAATAGTATTTGAGTTATACTTCTTAACTAGTTTAATATTCATTAAAGATATGTTACTTTGATCTTAGTTGCTATTAATAGGGTTGTATTAGTAAATTTCAAGAGGAAAATTAGAAATTTTCTAAGGAACAATCATGTACTTGTTTGATGATTCAAAGTAAATAGAGTCTGATGCAATAGGATAGCTCTGATAGTTAGAAATATTTAGTTTATATGGATTTTTGTAAAATGGGAAGACGAATATTCCATCTGAATCAAAAGCACCAATAAAGTAAGAATTAGTAGAATCAATATAGCATCTTGATTTATGAGTGATTTAATCTAATTAATCAAATTTTGCTTAATGAATGTTAAATAAATTAGGAAAGTTATTATTCAAACTTATTTCTACTTGTTAGTAAGTTAAGACAGACTAAGAGTTAGATAAATATAGATATTTCTCATCTTGAGAAAGTTTTATTGAGTAGGCTAAAGAATCTGCTTTGATTTGCTAAAGAAGACTAATCTGTGGTCTTTTAGTTATATCAAATATATAAATTCCTTAAGACCTGACTCCTATTAATAATAGAGTTTCTTATTAATTAACCATTAATGACTATATAGTGGGAACAATCTATGAAAACGGCCAGTATCCTTAAAATGTAATTTAAACTGGGTATTATTCTTATTAAGCTTCAATGACTTATTAAGAATTAGAAATAAAGAATCCATACCAAAAATCAAAGCAAAAAACATAATAATCAGATGTGGTCTAGCAAAAATTAGCTTAAGTACCAAAAATTCCTTCTCCAGCAACAATAAATTGAAGTTATCGTTAGCCTTTAGAATTATTTTAGTAATAATTATCTTGCAATCTAAATATAACTATTCCTAAAGTGTCTGCTGATACATAAAGCCATTATGCATCTTTTGTGAGAAAAAGACCATTTATAAGAGGATTATCAACTGTAAAAGTTCCAATTTGGTAGATTTAACTCTTATTTGAAGTATCATAAGCATTTATTATGCCAAATTTTCCTGAGACTATCAATAACTCTTGCTATTCCTAATAAAGAATTTTAAGGATACCTGTTTAAAATTCTATTTCTTACAGTTAAACGAAACTCTTCATATCTAATTCATTAGAATTATTTATTTAGAAATCTAATTTATACACTCTCAAATGTGTTTGAAATCCTACAAATAAATGCTATGCATTATTTGAGATTTGAATGTGCTAAATAAAATAATCATCAATACTCTTTGAGAAAAGTATTTTACTTCCATGCTTATCGAGGATAGATATCCCAGAAAAGCCAGTAGAAACAAAAACAAGATTGTTTGTTTTATCAATATCAATAAGAAGAGGAGTCCACTTTTCATTATTCAAATTTTATGCATTTAAAAATTATGGAGAGTAAATATAGCTTATATTGTTGATAGTTGTTTAAGTGAGTAATAGATGGACTAAGCTAAGTATAATTACTATCTACTTATTCATTCGTAAAAAACTTATTCTTCTTAAATTTATTTTTTGTTGCTTTTTTTTCTTTTTAATTCTACTTATTTATTTTTAGATAGGTAAATTATGATTTTTTTAGTAAAAAGTAATAGAAGGAATTATTTATTTTAGTTAAAAAAAATTATTAAATCAGATTTTTGAACAGATAATCATCATATTTTTTCTTTTAGTTTGTTTAATAAATCAAATAGTTTTTATAAAATTTCAATATTTCATTAATATTTTTCAAATTATTATAAATGAAAGGCTTTTTAATTTTTATTTAATGTCAATTTTTTCTTTTTTTCATAACAATTTCTTGATATTTTTTAACTTTGAAACTATTTTGATTGCTTTTGAATTTATTTACATTAAAATGATTTCAAATGAAAATAATTTAATAATATTTAAATATCATTCAGTTATTAATTTGAAAAAAAATAAATTGTTTAGCGATTTTCAAAATTAAAATCTTTTAAAACTTATAAAATGTACTCCATGTTAGTTAATAATAATATTACTATTATTAAATATTTAGTAGTAAGATCAAGTTTCTAAATCAATTTGTGAAAATGCTCAATTAATATAAAATTTTCTAGTCAAAAATAATTTTATATCAAATTATTATTGACTGGAAAATATTTAAGATTGCACTAAGGCGGTAGGAATTTTTATCATAAATTAAAATTCTTTTTATTTAAAACCCTTGTAAAAATTTCATTTAAAATTTAACAGATAATATATATATTAATCTTATTAATTGACCCTCTAATTTGTTTGCTCAATTTTTGGTCCTTATTAAATTAAAATATTAAATGGAAAAAAAGTATTTATCAATAATATTTATTAATGAGAATATATGGCATCTAAATAAAATATTTTTTTAAATTTATGAATCAGCACAAATTTATAATATAAGATAGGCTAAATTTTAAGAAGCTATTTTGTTAGCATTACTAGCAATCTATGGAGTGATCTCTTAAATTTTTTAAATGGAATTTAAAAAAAAAAATTTTAATTTGTTATCTTATCAAATTTTATCACTAATTTCATAGAGACATAAGTAAATTATAAGCATTTATTAAATCAAATTTTAAATCTATATTATTTCCTCTTACTATTTAAAAAAATTTATACAATAATCATCCAATCAAATTTAAAAAAATAAATGAATTCAAAATACAATAAAAGTAAAATATTTCTTGAACGATTTGGTTTTTTTGGAATAGGAATAAACATAAGATTTAATAAAGAAGCTAATTACAAAACTAAAATTAGTGGATTAATAACTTTTTGTTTGATTGGCATCATCTTAGGATATCAGATTAAGCTAATTCTTGATTAACTTTATGACTATTATCACCTTTAAGCTCTTTTTAAATAGAAATTTACTTCATAGCCATCACGTTATAACTTGGTTTCATACAAATTCATTTAAATTTTGGCTTATAAAATTCTACTTCTTTGTATTTTATTAATCATACAGATTATAATGCTTCTCTTTTGATTAAATAAACTATAAAAACTAAAAATATTACTAATGGGTATTTTGTTGCTTGGACAACTGTAAAAACGAACCACGTAGGATAATTCATTTAAATATTCCTAAAGTTAATAACTATTTTATTCCATTAAGCTACAAAAATATGTATTGTATAAGTATAAAAAAACAGATTTGTATCTTTAAAGATACTATTCAGCTTTAGATCTTAAGTTAAGTTAAGTTCTTGTTCATTCTGTAATCGCAACCCAAATATGGATAAACTTCTTCAATATTGTAGGTTGGCTATCTACTTTGTTGACTATTCTGTTATTCCTTCAGATAAAACAATACCTTTCTAACCCCTTGGAAGGTAATTATTTTGGATCTATGGACCAGAGTTTACAAAATAAATAGATATTAATTTTAGGTTCACTTACTTGAATATTTGTTACTGTTTAATGGGAACTGATATTAAAACAACGAATGTGCTGACACTCAGCTGTAAAAGAGAATAGATTTCACCTAAATCAGGAAATCTTCTCTATGATTGTTTTATTTTATTTGAAAAAAATGTAGATAATTTAACAACAGATCTTTATTAAAAGGTTGATAGATTAAAATCCTAACTTGTTGATGTATTTAATATATTTTTTACAGTGGAAGCTATAATTTGCAGACCTTTATCTCAAATAGAATTAGATTCAAAGCTAATAAACAGATTATTTAATTTTGAAGACCCAACTTATAAATCTGATAAGAAAAATAGAACAAAAATAGAAATTCAGAAGACAGTGAAAAGAAAAAAGAAATTTATACCAAAGCATCCTATTAAATGTTGATTCCAAAATAAGATTAATAAAAAACATCATTAAATATAAATTATAGAAAACATTCTATAAAAAATATCAAATTTCTTTTAGGTAAAAAGGTTATGGTGAGTAACTAAATATTTTTTAAAGTAGGTCTTTACAAAAATTTGAAAAAGTAAACTTGATAAAAATGAAAGAAACTTATAAAGAGAAATTAAAAATTTTTAAAAAATAGAAAATAAAAATAGCAACAAAAAGAGGAAGAAAGATAGAAAAGGAGACAAAAGAGCTAAATAACTCTTTTAGCTTTTCTAAAAATAAAGTTTCAATTTAAGGTTAAGAATATTATGCCAATTACATTAAATTTTTAAAACTTTGCAATAGGAGAAGGTGAGAAATCCTTTAAAAAGGTTTAGATGGATTATATAATTAAATTTATATTTTTTTCCTTATTTAAAAGTTTTTAAGGTTGAAAAATTAAAAAGGCTTTTACTTAACGAATATTATATTAAGTAATTTGAATTTATCCCAAGACCTCTTTTAACTCTAGATGAATAAAAACCAAATAACTTATCAGATAAAATTGGGTTTAAAGATGACTTTGAAAATAATATAAAGCCAAAAACAAGCTAAGTCTTAGAGGCTTTCTAGAAATTAATAAACACAAAAACAAAACCTTCTAAAATAGACAAAAAAAGACTTCATATTAGATGATTCATAAGTACCAATTGAAGAATGTAGTTTTCAATAAAAATAATAATATGTAAATTTTACTCCAAGTAAAACAATTGGTAGTATATATTCAAGTTAAAAAAAAGAAGATTTATCTATCATGTACCCAATTTCATCAATAATTCATAATGTTTTATTTTTTTAAAACTATTTAATATATAGCACAATTCATTAATTCGGAAACCTTTGTAAATAAATTGAATTTAATTGAGATATTTAGGGTTATTTTAGTAAGTAAATTTTTTGTTTTGGAGTAAGGAAGGTCTTTAAATTTTAAAATTTACAGTATTTCTAATCATAAAAAGATATTTATTTTGTAATAAATTATTTAAAGGGTTATTTTAATTTATATGGTTAATTAATAAACAACTATTATTAATAACAACTACATTAATTTTTTTTGATATCTGGATTTTGGTATTTGAAATAAAACAATTAAATAAAATAAACTAGTATGAAAAATTCCAAATCAGCTCAGTAAACATTACAACTTATCATAGATGGTTAATTGATATAAAAATGCAAAGATTTATTAATTTATGTAATATTTCAGCATAATTTAATAATTATTAAGTTAATTACTTTATTTTATTTTTTATTTAAGTAAATAAGAAGATACTTTATTGTAATAAATGTGTGCACTTTAAATTTAAATGACTTATTTATTTAATAATCATTTGATAAATTAAATTATGTAAGACATGTTTTATTAAGCTTAGATTTTATCAAAAAATACTGTTAAAATATTCAATTTATAACAATATTTAAAAATTATGCCCAATTAATAAATCAATCTGAGCTTGCGGCGTCTAGATTTTATCTAGACAAATCAATTTTTAGATATAAAAGTATTTTATTAAAAATCTTACTTTTAAGCATTTTTTAAAAATAAAAATAATTTTTACAATAATCAAAAATTTTATATTCATTATAATATTTTATTTAAAAATTAACTATTAAAAAAAATATTTTAAGGCAAATTGTTACCTTAATATCCATATTTTAAAACAATTCAACAAAGGAATTCTTATCTATATAAATTTCTTAATAAATAATTTAATTAAAAAAATTTTTTTTAAGTAAATGAGCAGTATTAATTAATTCAAATATTTGTATTACGAAGATACGAATGATGATAATCAGTAACCAGATGATGAAATAGAAGCTTTAATAATAGATGAAGATATTGAATAGTAAAATTAAAATCAAGTACAATAAAATAACATATAAAATTAAATAACTAAAAATTAACAATTACAACAACAACAAAAATAAGAATAATAATAATAATAATAACAACAATAAAAATAGCAATAAAAATAGATAACAACACAATAAGCTGATTAATGATTAATAAAAAATAAAAATAATTTTTGTTTAATAGTTTTGCTAAATTTATTCAAAAAGAATTAAAAAAATGGTTTATTTTAAGTAAATAAGGCTAATTTAATAATCATTAAATTTTAAAACGAAAAGTATAGAAATCTAGTATTAATATTTCAAATACTTTTGAGTTTTAGGATTTTTATTTAAAGAAATGGAAGACTGCACTTATAAATGATTATTTGAAAAGAGGATTAAAAATTAGAATGCTTTTTAACAGTTTAAAATAATAATAATAATGATAATATTAAAATTGATTTTTTATCTAAATTTGCACAAAATGTGATAGATTTTTTACTCTATATTAAAATTAAAATTTAGAATATAAACTATTTATTTGTATTATTTTATCTAAAAAACAAATTCAATCATTTTATAGATTTAAATTTTGTTTTATTGCCTATTTTGGTTACCATTATTTCTCTAATTTACTCATTTTCTTTATTAAAATTATGGATAGAACTTTTTTTTTGCCGCTTGCTTCTTTATATATACCTATAACGATTCTTCTTTCATATTTAGCAGATCTATTTAACTTCTGAACTATCATTATAAAATTTTGATTATAAAATATATTACTAACAAACCAGTAAAAGACTCAATATGTATGTCTTCGTTTCGCAATCAACTATTATTTTACTTAAAAATGGAGATCTTTCTTTGACTAAAAAGAATACTATTTAATGTAAAATAACTTTTAACATTTATTTTATCTACTTTTTATATTTTTTTCTATATCAAATGAATTATTATTAATCAAATAGAATAACATCTCTGTTTTTTTTATCTTCACTAAAAATGTTCAAAATAAAATAGAAAATTTGCTTATCAATTTTTTTTTGCTCTTAATATAATAGCTTAACATTATAATGATTAAGATATTACAATATTAGAATATTAAATTTTATTTTGCAAATTTATTATTTTTTAAATGTGTTTAAGTCTTAAAACTTGTAGCGATTCTAATCTAAAAATTTGACTATGTAATGAATATAAATGAAGTTAAATAATTGATTAATGTCTTCTATGATTTAATACAACCTCCACTTCTTCCTAATTTTAATAAGAATTTTTGTAATTTATCAAATTTAAAAATCATCAGAGCCTATTCCTTTTATGGAACAATGAAAAATATTATTTTATTGATGATTTTTAGTACCAGTCCTTTCAAAAAAATATTTATTTGATTATGTCGTTATTGGTTTTGTTTTTTTAAAAAAATAAATTGCCATTTCTGAAATTAATTTCTTCTTTGATTTCAGATATGTTGTTTGTTCTTTGAAGGCTTGAAATGCTGAATCTTTCAAAAATATTTTTCTGAAAAAGCATTTAAAATATGGTCTTTTATTTATTTTTTAGTCAAACAAAATGTACAAAGCTCATATTCAATGCTTAAACTAATAATGAAAAATAGTTAATCTTTTAAAAAGTTGAGATAGTTATTGTAATAAATTAATAGTAATTATGCATTTAACATGTTCAGTAATTTAGCAATTAAAATTTACTAAGGTTTTCATAATCACACCTACTGAATTGATGCTGCTTTATTTTTGCAAATTTTAATATGAAGCACATATTAAATATCTCTGTGAGGTGTATATAAATAAAGTGAATATTAATGAGCTATATATTGAATGAAGCTATACAAATTCAAAATGTGAGTCTATAATAAGATTGAAGCACTAGTTGATAAAAATAAACATAATAGCAAAATATAATTAGAAAAAAAGTATATTTAAAAAAGGAAAGCAACAAACAGATAGATAATAGCTTGATACAAGATAGATAAAGGAAATTATTGTATATTAATTTTACATCTCAATTTATTTATCTATTTGTTAAACCGAAAGAATAGATAAATAAATAAATTTTTAGAATTTGGAAAATTTCTTCTTCTTTTTTTCTGAAAACATTTATAAAAATATATTTTTATTGGGAATCACTTTTATCTTACTGATTATAAAATAATTTGAAAAATATATTTTTTTTTTAATTACTTTTATTTTTAATTATTTTTATTTATCTGATAAAGAAGTAAATGCAGAAAAGTAAATCTATAAATTTGTTAAAATTTAATCCACCTACGCTATTTTATTCTTTAATTTATAATTCATTTGTTTATTGATAAGTTATTATTTACTTTACTAACATGTCTAATTAATTAATACCTATACTGAAATTTTAGTAGTTAGTTAGTTAGTTAGCTAGCTAGCTAGCAAAACAAAAAAATGTTTTATTAATGTTTTAGCTAAGAAAAATAATCACATTTTAATTGCCTAAATCAAAGGAAAATATATTTAAAATTCTACTAGAAGCAGTTATGTAGAAATATAAAAATCTGGTTCAAAAGAAGGGATAAATAATTTATTTTTCTTGTGTATTTTTATGTTTTCGAAATATAAAAATAAGAAATATATTTTAAGAAGAGTTTTCATTAAACATTTTTAGTTAAATTTCCTTTTTTTTTGAGTTTGTTTGTTTTATTTTTTTACTCGTCTTAAAAATATATTTTTTTGTATTAAAGTCTAATTTTGCATCTTATAAAGTTAACAACAAATCTATGACTTTTTAAATATTTATCTAGATCAAGAAAAATGTTTGTAAAACATCTTAATACTCAAACATGATATTCATTTTATTCATTAAGCACCTTTTTATTTTAAATTTTTTAATATTAGGTATTAAAATTTTAAACTGAGTTATTATGTTATGAAATTTTCTTATATTTTTACTTTAAAAAAATCATTTATAGTCTATTATAAGCCATGAAAGTTGTTCTGCGCGCAATTAATTTACTAATTACTATTTTATCCTTTATATTTAAGTAAATTTCAGTATATAGATAAAGTAAAATAGTCATTCTTTAAAAAAATTTATTAGTAAGCTAGTTTTTGAATACTTTATTAATTTAATAATTTATGATTTATAGTTTAGTTGCAAATATAATTTCAAAGTGCAAACAAAATCAAATATTAATTGCTCTAACTTTAATATAAAATTTTGAAAGAGATGTATATTTATTTTTTGCTTAGTTTTGAAACTAAAAAAAATGAAGATTAGTAAATAATTTCAATATTTTTATTTGCCCCATTTATATTAAATGTATTAAGAAAAATTAATTTATTTTAAATAATATTTATGAATTTAAATTTCTCTAAGTTTCAATAAAATCTGTGTGTGCTTTTAAAATTTTCATTATTGTATATTTATAAAAAATAAGAACAATTACAAGCATTTCTTAAAAAATTAAATAATTGATGTAAACAAGTTAGAATAGAATAATTTTAAATTTATTCAAAGAATTTTATATTCATACTACTTAAACACTAAAAGTTGTAAAAAGAAATTTTAATATTTTTAATTATGTTAATAACTTAATTAACCAACTTAAGAATATTAAAAATTATACTAATTTATGAAATTTAACAAATATATTAATACTAAAAAATAAACATTTTTTTTTTAAATATATTGATTATTTCAATAAATCTAAATGATTAAATTGTTAATGGGTTATCATAAATTTTAAGGTATATTTTAATTATTATTTTAATAATTTATAGTTGTTAGTTTTTCCGTTTTTTTATAACTTTACTATGCCTATTAGTAAATTTGTTTGAAGTTTTTATCTCCTGTTTGAGAAACCATATTTTTAAATAAACTATCTTCTTTTTAAAGGAGTTCAAAAGGAACTCCTTCCTCTACAACGTGCCCTTAATCTATAATAATAATTTTATCGTAATCTGCAACTGTGTTTAATCTATGAGCTATCGTAATTATACTTGAGTCTTAAAATTTTTCTCTAATTTTTTACTATATGATTTAATCAGTCTTCAAATCACAATTTGCTGTTGCTTCATCTAAAACTAAAATCTTACTTTTCCTTAAAAGTGCTCTTCCTAAGCATATCAACTATTTTTCTCCACTACTAAAGATATCATTTGCATTAGTCATATCTGTATATATTCCTTTATTCAGATTTAGTACCTTATCTATATTAAAAAACAATAAAAATTTATTAAAATAATATATCAATTAAGTTTTTAAATTTGAAGTAAAAAACAAAAAATAATTTCTATTTATTTTTAAATCTTGTCATTGCTTAACATTTATTGGTATTGAGTGTAAAATTATTATTTATTAATTTTCTTTTTAATCAAAATAAAAATAGACCTTTTAGGCAAATTTCTTCTAATATTTAGATAACATCTTAATCTGAAAATTAGCTAAGAGGATCTAAATTTCTACGAATTGAACCTGAAAATATAAATGGAACTTAAGGAATTATACTCATAGCTTCTCTTACAGTATGAATTCCAAGTTCCCTTGTATTATATCCATCTATTTTTATAACCCCTTAGGATCCGTTTGATTAAGGTTCTGCTTCTATCTCTGTCATTCTATAAAGAGCTTATATGATAGAAGATTTACCAGCTCCAGTTCTCCCAACAAAACCTACTTTTTCACCATCTTTTATTTTGAATGAAAGATCTTTTAAAACATAGCTTAAATCGTTTCTGTATTTCATTCTAACATTTTAAAATTCAATTTCACCTTTTTTAGGGAATGAATAGACTTTTTTGTTAGAATTTCTAATGATATTTTTTTTATCATGCTTATTTTTGGCTTATTATAATACAAAGCAGTTGTCAAACTCACTTCTGAGACAAGGTTCATGATTTATTTCGATAAGATTCATAGCTCTTTAAGTACTTGACATACCCACATCTGTTAATAGCATTTATCTACAACAAAAATAATTATAGAAAATAGTTTTTCTAAAAATTTTGATAAAATTACCTTAACCCAAATTGAATGTTATCACTTACAGTAATAAAGAAAATAATTGCCTATCCTAAAAAAGTTGAGTTATTATTAATAGAAATTATCATAAAAATTCCTATATTTGAAAACAATGCAGATGCTATATGAATAAACATAGCAAATCCTCTCATAATTTGATTTGTAGCTTAAGCTGTCCTTAAAGAGTTATTAAGAAGTTTTGAAAAACTACTTAAAAATATCTTTTCTTTTTTATAAATTTTGATTGGTAGTACACCCTAAATTGTTTAGTTAAAACAAGTATACAAAGGAGAGCGATGTCTTAATTCAAGCTATTTACATTAAACTTAAGGACCTTTAGATAAATTCAAAAACCAATAAGTCAAAAAGAGCTAAACAGCGATAACTATTAAAAAGTAAGGGTTGATAATAACAATTGTAATCAAAAGAACACAAAAAATAGCTATGAATTAAATCGAATTTATGATGTTTCTAGGAAGCTCTTAATCAACCAACCCTAAATAAAATAAAAAAAATATGATTAAATTTATGAAAATAATAGATTTTTTATGGTAAATGATTATATAGTCAATTGTAAAAATTCATACATCCCACCCCTTCTATATTTTTTATTTTAGAAGTGAAATTTTATTTAAAAATATCTAAAATAAATTTTTAACTTTTTCCAATTTCTATCTGCTAAAAAAAAATTTTATGGTTAGTTAGCCTCTCAGGCTTTAAAAAAGTTTTAATCATTGCCAAATAAAATAAATAAACAAAAGTAAATCCTAATTACCTAAATCAGAAGAAAATCTATTTAAAATTCTTCCAGAAGGAGTAGTATCGAAAAATAAAACTGTTGCTCTTACTAGAGACTAAATCATTTTTTTGTGAATGTTTTTGTTACTGCTGTAGGAAATCAAAGCAAAACATATATATTTTAAAAATTAGCTTACTAGATAAGCTAGAGTTAGATATCCCAAAAGATTTAGTCTTTCTTACAGATCATCATCGTTTTCATCATAGTTAGATATTGTTTTTGTATAAAAAATGAATATAACTTCAGATAAAGCAAATAAAGCCAGCATTATTGGGAATATCCAATTAAATGAAGAATAGCCAACATATTTGGAATAAGTTTTAAAACTAACAGATGATTCTTCATCTTATTCTTTTGTAAATATTTAAGCGCTTTGCTAATTTTTAACATTTTTTTAATATTCATCTTCTTTTTTTAAATTTTCTTAATTTTCTTGTGAATTTTCTATTGATGAATTTTAATTTATTTGATTATCTTCCTAATTTTCATCAAATTTGTCATAAAACATCTCTTTTAAAACATTTTATAAGTCATCAAAGCTACCATCTTTGTAGATTTTTCCTTCTTTCATTATAACTACTCTCTCTGAATGTTTAGTATAATGAAGCTAGTGAGTAGCCAACAAAATCGTTTTTCCTTTAAGCATCTTCAAAATAGCCTTTTCAACAATATGCCTAGCTACCTATTCAATAACATTTTAAAATACTCTAAATAAAAATTTTGTTAATTACGTGAGAAATTTTTCTAAATCAATTTTGTTTTAAAAAATTGAATTTCTTATTTTATAAAATATTACTTTTGAATCTACAGCAGATAACGGATCATCTAAAATATAAATATCCGATTTTGAATAAATTGCACGTGCTAACGAGATACGAGCTTTTTGTCCCCCACTTAAGTTTATTCCTCTTTCTCCAATTTAAGTTTAATCTCCGAAATCTAATTATTTGATATCATCATTCAAACAGCAACATTCCAAAACTTATTTGTAAAATTCTTCTTCATATTATGATCCAAATGTTATGTTATCTTTGATTGAGCTGCTAAATATGTAAGGTTCTTACTCTACATAAGCTATGCTCCCATGAAATTTAAAACTTCCTTCATAAAAGGGCATCTCTTACAAAAAGCAGCTCAAAAAAGAAGATTTCCCACTTCCTATCTTGCCAACTAAACAGACAAATTCTCCTTATTAAATTTTTAAGCTTATTTCACTTAATACAGGATTATTTTTTGCCCAGTAAGCAGAAAAATTATTTACACAAATAGTTCCACTGGGTAATGATTAGTCTATGATCTAAAAATCTTCTTGAGAATCTTTTATTAAACCAAAATGGTGAGTTTATTTTAATTAAAAAATAAAAAAATTTTACTTGATTAAATTGATTGCATTTGAGATTCTTCAATTGTTAGGATACTAATCATTCTATCAAATATAACTTTAAGCTCAAAAAACCCAGTTATTCCTAAAGCTAAGCCTTAAATAACCATATCTTTAGTGTAAGAAAATAAATCTAAGACTGAAAGCATCATAGGGACTGTTAACAAAGAAGGATCTCCAAGAGAATAAGTACAAATGAAAGAAACAAAGCAAGCAATTAAATTCAATATACTAGTTATTGACTGTTGAGTTAAGTAAATTATCTAAATGATAAGTATTTTTTTAATTTCTGTTTATCTAATTGCTTTGACAAATTAAACAAAAGCGTCTTCCCAAGCATACATTTTTAAAAGTCTAATTCCTTCTATTACTTCATTTGTAAATTTGATTCTATGATCAACTAACTAAGCCTTAAGTCTGAACTATTTTTAGCTAACCTTAGCAAATAGAGTTTAAACAAAAGGATAAATTAAAATTATAGAATAGCCTAATAAGGAATATCCACCTAATCTAAATTTTAATAAAAAAAATTAATAAATTAATTTTATTATTTTAAGACATTTGATATTTTTAATTAAATTTTTCTCCATTCATTTTAAAAACTAAAAATTAAATCACAATATTAAGTTTTTAAGAATTTATGATAATAATAAATTTATTTAAATAATAAAATATGAAGAAATGTTTATTACCTAAAGTATAAAATGATTCCAACTGCTATAAGTATAAAAGGAACTAGAAGCATATTGATAATAGATAGGGATTTAAATTCTAGTAGATTGAGATCATTTGAAACTAAATTTATCAATTTACCTACATTTGCTTTTTTGATGGAAAAAGCAGAAAGAGATGAAATTTTTTAGTATAATATCTTCATAAAAATAACTTTAAAGACTGGATAAAAGTTATAAAAGAATCTGACTGAGTTATGTCCAGCTAAAATAGTTCCAAACTGAGTTAAAGTGAGTATGATAGCCCAAAAATAGACTTTTGAATAATTTTAATTCTCATTGATGGCATCTAGCAAAAAAATTATTACATAGGAGTAAAATAATTTTAAAGCTGAATTTGTTAACATTGTCAATAACTGAAAGATTAATTCTATTTTGAATGTAGATAAAATTGCTTTGATTAGTTTAAAGTGAGACACTTTTAGTTTGGATTTTTGAGATTCTTGAATTAAATTTCTTACTTTTTAACTTAAAATTTCATATTTTTGTTCAAAGTTTTGCTCTCTAGAAATCTATGGAATATGTTTAAGTAGAAGAATTTTTTCTAACTTTATAGAAATTGAACATTTTAATAGCACCTTTATGTAATCATACATGACAATCTTTTAAAGAAAATTTGAACTGGAAATTTCATCACAACTTTCTTTATTTTCATTTGTTTCTTACTCTGAAGCTGTATTTTAATTTAAAAAATTTCCATCGTTTACATCCTAATCTTAATTTTTCACTTAGGCTAACATCTTTTCTTAGTTTACGATTTACTAATATTTTTAAATTTCCTAGTTTTTTTAGGGTTTTAAATCATCACTATCTCCTCTAGACAAGTCTATTTCAGGTCTTTGATCTTTATTTATGGGAGTTTCGCTAATTTAACAGATTAAATATTGATCACCTCTTTGATGCTTTGTTTTTTAGTTTTCTAATTCCATTTTTAATTCCATTTAATTTTATAAATAATTATTATTTTATATATTGTTTGTGGTTATCCCTATTAATATTTAAATTACAAAAATAAAACAAAGCTGATGTAATCTGAGAAATTTTATATCTTATCTATTTTATTTTATGGTGAAATTAGATAAAATTTATATATCTTTTAATGTTTCTACTTACTAGTCTAAATAAGAATTAATCCCTCTTTTTATAATATGTAACAATTAATTAAAAAACAGGGCATACAAATTTAAATGCTTTAGTTTTAAATTGCATTTTCATTTTAAATAAAATAATTTAAGAATAATTAATTAAAAATTATATTAAAAAATCAAATTACTATAGATCCTCATATTTTAAATTTTTTTTATTTGGACTGTTTTTTGAAAATAAATTTTAATAAGAACTATAGAACATGGGTCAATAATGTAGAGGGGTATTAACCTTATTATATGAGTATTTACAGTATTTAAATTTATTTTATTTTATATTAAAATTGAATGATTGGATTTAAATCAAAAGATCTGATATCTTTATAAAAGATATAAATAATCTATCTGATTTAATTTTAACTATAAAAGATTTATTATATTGTCTATGCTAAATTAATCAAATAATATGAAAACAAATGATTAAATATTATTAACAAATTTTTTTAATCTTTACTATAATTAAAGATTTATACACATTATTGATCTTATGATTTGATAAACTAATTTTTAAAATCTATCAATTTTTCAGACATATTTATTAACAATAAAAGAATTAATTTAATTTTTCTATTTGTTATAAATTATACTAATTTGTCTATAATGAAAAAGTTAATAGTGGCATACTTAATTAATGATGTCTTTCTTATTCACTTCTTTGTTTGTAAAAAATATTAGTAATTCTTTAATATTTAATTTAAAATTACTATTCTAGTTCTTTCAATAAGAATTTTGAACTTAAAAATTTAAAATTCATATAAATTTTATCTTTTAAAAGTGATTTAGCTCGCTCATTATAATATTTTAATAGATAAATAAAGTAGTTTTATAAAAATTAAATTACCTTTTTTAATTTTAAATAATTTTCTAAATAAATATTTTCAAAATTATTTCAAAATTTGCAAATAGAAAATATCAAAAAGGTTTTTAATATATTTTTTATATTTAATATCTTTTCACAACATTTTAATATAAAGAAACAGAAAAATTAATTTTAAAGGTATTTCAAATGTTCATTTGGATTAGTAGTTATTTAATTTAAAAATATCTCCTGTCTTGATACCAGTTGGATTAAAGAATCCACAATTCTAAAGATAGAATCCATTTCCTTATTCAACTCCACCATCATAATCTAATCTCTACCTTTGAGCAGCAGTATCGTCATAAGTAAATGTAGCATATTTAATATTAACATTGCTTCCATCTTTATCAAAAGCTTGTTAGTTATTATAATATGCTTTTCTAGTGATATGACCTGTTTCAGGCTCAAAATTCTCTAAGAAAGAGTAAATTCCATTCAAATAAGATTATGTTTTTGGTCTCTTCCAAGATGCTATTAGATTATAATCACTGTTTGGTTGAGTAGGATCTTTAAAATATGCAGTAAAAACGGAATATCCATCATCAGATGGATATCCTTCAAGCTTAAATTAGTAAGAAACTCCTGCATTCCATGGGTATACTAAATAGCTTTATCCACCAGATCCTTCGCTTCCAAATTCTTAGACAACAGTGTTATTTCCTTTAGCCACAAGCAAGACTGCATTTTCTGGTTTTATTTAAGAAGGATCATCGGTATCTTGAGGACTCCAAACAGAGAATAAAACTCTTCTCTCTGTTTCAGAATTAACTTAAATACCAAAATATCCATAATCAAATCCGATTGCCATAGCATAAGTTCCAATAGTGTCTAAGTTTTCAGGTACAGTCACTTCGTTGAAGAATTAATGTATGTTTTAATTTTATTCTAATTTATAGCTAAAATGTACTGAGGGTCCTCTTCTTCCAAAATAAGAAGAGAATTGTTCTTAAACAAAGTTAAAATTCTAAGGATTTTAAACCTAATGCAAAACAAGAGAGTATAAAGCTGGATAATCTCCTTCATTTTCATTTAAAACAGAGTTAGTGCCCTAAAAATCAAATCTATAGTAACCTGGATCTGTTACTGTGAAAGTTCCTATATAGAGGTTGAGACTATCATTCATAAAATCAGCTACGAACGATTGTTAAAGATTTGGAATAGTAACTAGTAGTTATGCTTATCTTTATATTGCTGATGATACTACAGAAAAATCATATACACCAGAAGCAGCAATGTAGAAAAAGATGCTTACGATCAAATTAGAATCAGACCAATTCATAACTCCGCTTTCTTCAATAGAGGCAAGAGCACAAGTACTTGCTGCTTAGCAAGTTTGAAAAGAGTTCCAACCAAATAAGACTTAAATATCAGTCATATTAGATCTGAAAAGTATTTCTTATGACTTATTTAATTAATTGTTTAAGAAATTTAATTACTATTAATTTTTTGAAAAGTTGTACTAAAAGACCTTTTTAAAAACACAATTTCCAAAATAAATACATAAGTTGTAATGTTTTTGTAATTTATGGCTATTCTTAGAGATTTTTTTTCTTTTATATTAATTTTTCAAGAAATCCCCTTAAATAAAAGATAGAATCCGAGTATAATTAAATAAATTATATTTCACTAATTGTTGCTTACTACAAATTATAATCAAATTATCTGATTAAATACTAACTTCATTTACATTAAAAAAATTTTAAATAATATTAACATATCTTACTTTTTGTAATCATATATCAAATATTCACACACAAAAATATTATAAAAAATAGGCTTAAAAACTATTTTTGTAAAAATTTAATAAGATATATATTTAAACAACAATAATATTCATATTAATCTTAGAAATCCTAATTTCAAATATATTTTTGATTAATAATTAGTGAAAACATAATTTAATCTCTCTGTACATGCTTATGTATTGTACAAATAAAAAATTATGAAAATTAACTTAAAAACAACTTTAGTTGAATTTTAATAAGAATTATCTGTTTAAGCAATAATTGTAATCAAATTAGTATATGAAAAACTAATTTCTTTAAAAATTTACATAAATATTAACCTATTGACGCAAATAAATATATTATAAATAATGCACTTAAACCATTCAGTAGAAATTTAAATATCATCTATAAATTATAATCTTATGAAATTATTATTTTATTTACATTAATAAAGATAAATAATGTAAGCTATCTCAAGATTAAAAAAATATTGTCAAAGAAAAAAATATCTTGAAAAATAAATTTAAAATATTTTAGTTGAAAATTAATATTATATTTCTAAAAACTTTTATTTTTTATTTATCAAAAATATTAGCAGTTAACAAGCCTAATAATCCTAAAGACTTTTTTGTATTCTTAGGCTCCTCGTTACTTCTTGTGCAAACTTTTTTCATTGAAATTAATTTTTAGTTGATTAAGATTTCTTAATTTAGTAATTTATTTTAGAAAATTGGATAGGCATTTTGTTCTAAAATACTAAGGATTGAACTGTTTGTTCTTGATAGAATTATTTTAATTAAATTAATTTAATCCTATTTAATTTAACTCAGAACTTTAAAATATAAGGCTAGGCTTTCAAGTAAAAATATGGTGTGCAAACTCCATGCAATAAGAATACTTATTATAGCTAAATGCCATTCAAAAATTTAGTGAATTGAGATCACTATTTTTTTGAATGGCTAATGCATTTGAACATTATTTATATAAAAATAAATAAGCTTATAATAGAATTTCAATAATATTAATTTTCATTAATCTTTAAAATTTTTCTATTAATTTTTTAATTTTAAATATTTTAAAAATTTTAAAATTTACAAATAGAAAATATGAAAAAGGTTTTTTATTATATTTAATAAATTTTTCATAACATTTTAATATAAAAAAACAGACAAATTAATTTTAAAGATATTTTAATTGTTCATTTGGGTTATCAGCTATTTAATTTAAAAGTATCTCCTATCTTGATTCCAGTTGGATTAAAGAATCCACAATTCTAAAGATAGAATCCATTACCTTATTCAACTCCACCATCATAATCTAATCTTTAACTTTGAGCAGCAGTATCGTCATAAGTAAATATAGCTTAAGTGACATTCAAATTATTTCCATCTTTATCAAAAGCTTATTAGTTATTGTAATATGCTTTTCTAGTGATGTGACCGGTTTCGGGATAAAAATTTTCTAAGAAAGAGTAAATTCCATTCAAATAAGACTATGTTTTTGGTCTCTTCCAAGATGCTATTAGATTGTAATCACTGTTTGGTTGAGTAGGATCTTTAAAATATGCAGTAAAAACAGAATATCCATCATCAGATGGATATCCTTCAAGCTTAAATTAGTAAGACACTCCTGCAATCCATGGATATACTAAATAGCTTTATCCACCAGATCCTTCGCTTCCAAATACTTAGGCAAGAGTGTCATTTCCTTTAGCCACAAGTAAGACAGCATTTTCTGGTTATATTTAACTAGGATCATTGGTATCTTGAGGACTCCAAACAGAGAATAAAACTCTTCTCTCTGATTCTGAATTAACTTAAATACCAAAATATCCATAATCAAATCCGATTGCCATAGCATAAGTTCCAATTGTGTCTAAGTTTTCAGGTACAGTCACTTCGTTGAGAAATTAGAATATGTTTTCAGTTGATTCTAATTAATAGCTGAAGTGTACTGAGGGTCCTCTTCTTCCATAATAAGAAGAGAATTGTTCTTAAACAAAGTTAAAATTCTAAGGATTTTAAACCTAATGCAAAACAAGAGAGTACAAAGCTGGATAATTTCCTTCATTTTCATTTAAAACAGAGTTAGTGCCCTAAAAATCAAATCTATAGTAACCTGGATCCGTTACTGTGAAAGTTCCTATATAGAGGTTAAGACTATCATTCATAAAATCAGCTACGAACGATTGTTAAAGATTTGGAATAGTAACTAGTAGTTATGCTTATCTTTATATTTCTGATGATAATACAGAAAAATCATATACACCAGAAGCAGCAATATAAAAAAAGATGCTTATGATCAAATTAGAATCAGACCAATTCATAACTCCGCTTTCTTCAATAGAGGCAAGAGCACAAGTACTTGCTGCTTAACAATTTTGAAAAGAGTTCCATCCAAATAAGACTTAAATGTCAGTCATTTTAGATCTGAAAAGTATTTTTTATTTCCTAATTAATTTATTGTTTAAGAAATTTAATTAATATTTATCTTAAAAAGTTGTAATATAAAAGACCTATTTTAAAACAAATTTTTGAAAATAAGTCAAGTCATTAAGTTGATATGACTGGCTATTCTTGAATATATTTTTTATTATTTATTAATTTTTCAAGAAGCTAATTTAATTAAAAGATAGAATCTGAGTACATTTAAATTAATTGTATTTTTGCTTACCCAAAACTTTAATTAAACTAATCGGAAAAAGTACAACTAATAATAATGTATCCATCCTACTTTTTGTAATGATGAATTAAATACTGGTTCACAAAAAATATTATAAGAAATAAGTTTTAAAACTATTTTTGTAGAAATTTAATAATATATATCCAACAATTATACTCAAATTAATCTAAGAAATACTAATTTTATTTAAATTTTACATTAATAAATAATGAAAGATTAATATGAATTTCTGAATTAAGACATACATATACGCTTTATATTTTTGTTTATTAAAAATATTGGTAATTAATTAACAAGTCTATAAATTCCAGAGACCTTTTTGTATTCTTAGACTTATTTTTTTTTACTTCCTATTAAATTTTTTTTCATTGACATTTAATTTTAATTAATTAAGATAGATTTGTTAATTTTCTAACTTACTCAAAAAAGCTAATCACAAATACATTCTATTGGAACCCTATTCATGAATATATTTTTTTCTTTTATACAAATTTTTCAAGAAACCACTTTAAATTAATAAAAATCTAAATATATTCCATTAAAAAATACAAATTAATAATACATTTTAGCCATAAATATAATATTTACATACAAAAATATCATAAAAAATTTGATAAAGTATATCTAACTAAACAACAATTATAAACAAATTAATCTAAGAAATCATAATTTCATTTATATTTTACATTAATAAATAATGAAAGTTTAATATGAATTTCTATCTTAAAGCATATACTTTTATTTTTTATTTACCAAAAATATCAGTAATAATAATAATGCTATTAATTAAAACATTTTTTTATTTTTAGAGTTATTTTTACTTCATGTACTAAATTCTTTCATTGACATTTAATTTCAGTTAATTACGATTTCCTAATTTTCTAATTAATATTCATTATGGAAATTTAGTTAAGGATTCTATTTAGAGGCTATTCTTGAATATATTTTGTCTTTTATATTAATTTTTCCATAAATCCCCTTGAATAAAAGATATAATCTGAAAATATTTAATAAATTTTATTTCACTATTTATTGCATAGGTAAAATTTTGATTAAACTAATCTGATAAAATAATAACTTCATTTAGATTTAAAAAACAAATAATAATAACTCTTTATGACTATAATCATGAATCGAATATTATCATACAAAAAAATATTATAATTGTTTTTTATTTATCAAAAATACTAGTATTTAGCAAGTCTACTAATTTTAAAGACTTTTTTGTATTCTTTGACTTCTTGCTACTTTATGTGCAAACTTCTTTCATTAACATTTAATTTTAATTGATTAAGATTTTTTAATTTTCTAATTTATTTTAGAAAATTTACTACACATTCTATTCCAAAATACTAAGGCTTGAATTATTCAAAGTAAAATTATTTTAATTAATTTAATTTTGTTAAGCCTTCTGAAATTTAATTTAGTCCTATTTCTTTTAATTCTGAACGTTAAAAATCTAAAGAGAGACTTTCTACATTTTAGAGAAGATTCAAAGCTTTTGTTAGACTCTTTTTTTCATCTTTGTCATCAATTTCACTTATTGTAAAATTTAAGCTTAAGATTTTTAGTGTTTTTATCATAGAAATTCCTTCACAAATATTTAAAATGTTCTCAGTTTCTAAATTAATTTTATTAATACAAAAAGACAGATTTAGAAGATTTTTTAACATGCCTAAAGAGCTGCCGATCTTAATATAATCGCAAGAAATACTTTTAAATGAAGTGCTTAAATTCAAATACTTTAAGCTCTCTGCTTATTTTAATGATTAAAAAATTGAATGAAAGCCATCATCATTGATGGGAGTATCTTCAATTAAACTTAAATTTAAAGTTTCAAGCTTTGTCATTCTCTCAATGCTATCACTCAAATTTATCAAACTAAGAGAATCTATTTGATTGTTTGAGATATTTAACGATAAATTTTAAACATTTATTTATGTTGAAATTAATTCTGATATTTATGACAACCCTTCAAAATTTAGCATATTCTTTTGAAAAGAGAGTTCGAGATGGTTTATTTTTTACAATTTTGAAATGGATTCCTTAAATTACTAAATTCCTTCTTAATTAAGAAAATTCATATCTTCTATAGTAAACTATAAGTGGATCAAATTCTCCAAATGCTAAATACCATATCCTAATCCTATTAAACCTTTTGTTCCAATTTAATTATCTGAACCAAAGTAGAGATAGAGTTTTTCTATTTTTATTAATTTTTTCAAATTAACTCCAATTAAATAAGCTCCTTCAGACTCAATAAGGTTTTCATTTAATATAGAAAGGTTTAAGTATTTTATGTTTACCAAATCTTAGTAACCCTCACTTAAAGCTTATGCTCCTTTAATGTTTATAAGATTTTAAACCCCAATAACAATTATGAGACTTTGCAGATTATGTAAGTTTTTTAATGCGTTGGAAAGAAAAATTACTCCCTCTGTATTTATATTATTTTGCTAAATAGTTAAATTCAATTCTTATAACTAGCTTAAACATTATATCCCTTATGATATATATTGGCATCCTAAAATATTTAAATGATTCCCACTGTTAATAACTAACTTTAAGCTTTTTAAATTTATTAAATTAGCAAGAGCTAATCCTATGCTTTGTGCTCCTGCCTCATGCACTTAACTTGAATTACCAGCAAGCAGTTCTAGATGTTATAAATTGACCATTTCTTTTAAGGTCTCAGATAAAATTATATAAATCTATTATCCTTCTAGTTATAATTAGATCTACAAAGACAATCCAATAATATTTTTTAAAAACTTAAGTTAATCAGCAAATAATCTAAAATTATTGATCCCCATATTTTATCTAAAATTAACTTACAGATATTTTAAATTATCTAACAATAGCATTTCTTAGCTAATAACTTATACTTTTTCAGATAAGTTTACCATTTCTTTTAGGTGAATAATAAGCTATTCAACATTTTGACTAAAATTAATTTAGTCCTTAATCTACTTGTAAGGAGTGTGAGTTAAATTTAAATAATTATCTTTATTAAGTGAATTTATATAGTCCTTCATTTTTACTAACTTATTTTTGAAAACTAAACAAATTTTCTTCAATTAATTTTACTATAAAATTAATAATTAGAATAAAATCTTCAACCTTTTAAATAAATTTATCATTTAAAATCTTTTAATTTATTTAGAGTAAGTTGCCATACAAATTTACAAAAAGCGAGTTTTATATACCATTTTTTACATTTTATAAAATTAAAATTTTAAATATTTTTTTAGAATTATTTTTCATCATAAAAACCTTAAATAAAAATAAAATAAATTTGGGGCGACAGACCATAATTAATGAGGATTGATAGTAATTAATAATTAGATTGTTAAATAGTGCTATAAAATTTTTTGATTGATTTTTTAATAGCATATAGGAAAATGAATCTAATAATTAATTTTAATAAAAATTAAAAATAAAATATTCCTTAAGGTATAAAATAATCTAAATTATTTAATTTAATTTCTTCTAACATTGTGTTTATCTTATAATTAAATTTTATTAATTATTTCATTTAGAACTATATTTAAAAAAAAAAGTTGTGTAAAAAAAAATGAATTACTAAGAATTTGTAAAATATTTAATGGCAATAAATTTTATTTTTAACAATAAAAATTTTTCTTTTGAAAAATAGTTTACTAAATGCAATTTTTAAGAAACTAACCAACTATCTCTAGATTTAATGTAAAAAGTAATAGTTTTCATGATTGATTTTAGTTTTTCATTAATAAATTAAGATAAGCAATCCAATGTGAGCCTGAGTAGACTAAGTTCTTAGATTAGTTATCTTAATTTTAAAATTTAATCAATTTAACAATAGAACTAAGGTATTAATTAATTAAAAGTAATAAATATTATATCGAACTTGAATATAACTAGTGAAAATGGATTGAATAGTAAGTTTGCAAAAATTATGTCAGAAAATCTACTTCAAAAAAATCATAAATTAGCTTAATTGCATTTATATTTATCGTAAATTAATTAAAATTGGATTTTAATGCATAAATAATCAATACTATTTTTTTATTTGAAAAGCTCAAATGAGTTTAAATCTGAGGGTCTTCAAGAGCTTTCACAAGGAATATCGTCTTGCTCTAATCTAAATACTATTACTTTAAATATAATGTAAGGATAATTGAAAATAAATTTTGTACTTAAAATTAATTATAATTTTTATAAAAGTAAAAATTAAATTGGTGATAATGGGGTTTTAGAGTTTGGGAAGTGTTTATCGAAGCTAGGTTGTCTTCAAAATTTAGCTATTGATTTTTCGTATAATTGATATCGAATATTTCTATTAAAAAATTTAGATAAAATAATGTAGGTGATGAAGGTATAATACAGTTTTGTTAAAATCTTGAAAATTGCAAAAATTTGAATTCTGTTATTCTTAGATTTAGGTAAAATTTTTTTGGATTAGTTTAGATAGAAAACATAATTTTTATAAGCTCAAATAATATTGGAAATGCAGGTGCTTAAGCTATTATTAATTCATTGTAAAGCTGTTAAAATATTAACTTGCTCCTAATTGATTTAGGGTATTGATTATATTAAATTTTATAATTTCTAATATTTATATTTTTAAAACAGAAATAATATTCTCACTGATGATAGCTTGAAAGATTTAGCGTAAGATTAAATAATCTACAGTAATACATCAAGTTTTACATTAAATGTTGTGTAATTAATTATAATTTAAAAAATTTTTAAATGTATTTGGTTTTAAAAAATTTATTTGATTAAAATAATTTGTATTATCATAATAAATTAATATGTCCTTGAATTTAACTAATTTGCTTATAATTTTTGATTACCATATTTTATTAAAATTAGAAAAAATTCTATTGGAAAGAAGGGATCTTAGTATATCAGTAAGGGAATTAATAAAATGGCAAATTTAGAAAACTTGGTTTTGAAGTTCTCGTAATATTTTAATAAAAAAAGAAAAAAATAAACTTATTTTAACTTCATAAAAGCCACAATGATTTTGGATAAACTGGAATGCAAGATTTAATTTAAGGAATATCTAAATGCTAGAAAATAAAAAGTTTAAAACTATATTTTGTGTAAAATAAATTTAATTTTCATTTATCCTAACTCATAATTTAGAAATAGCTAAATCGAAGAATTAGGATCTTATTAGCTAGGCTAAGGACTAGGAAAATGTATCAATCTTGAGCACTTATCTTTGGATTTGCAGTAAAAATAAACATAAGTGTAAAAATATAAATTAATTTTTTTTAATGAGTAATAATGCTATTGGTGATGACGGTGCCTAATAAATTGGTCTTGGAATATAAAAATGCAAAAATTTAAGAAATCTTACTTTCTATCTTGTGTAATATTATAAATTTTTAAAAAATTTAGTTTGATTATTTTGTAAAATTAAAGAGATAAGTCGGTTAAATATAAAGGAGCTATGAATATGATAAATTCGTTTAAAAAATGCAATAAATTAATCTAGATATCGATAGGCTTTGAGTAAATAAACTAATAGTTTTTTCTAATGTTACTTATTATTTATTAATAGAATAAAACTAACAGAAATACAAAAGAACCAAATTTAGAGGGTTTTAACTAAAATTAGAAAGCTAGTTACAAAATCAGTCTATTTAGGGAAATGAAATAAATGCTTTAGATTTTACTTAAAAATAATCTAAATCAAAAGATACAAAAAAAATTTAAGACATAAACTCAAATAAAGATAATAAAATATTAAATTCTTTTAAGATTTATATTTGATTTGTAAAATTTTTTTTCGTTTAACACTTAATAAAAGTAAAAATAAATCGTGCATAAGTACAATCAGAGATTTTATTTATAAAATATAAATTATTTTTCTAAAATTTTCTGTTTGAAATAGTTTCTCATGTTATTAAAATAGACTGAAATAATAATATTTTTAAATAACATATATCAATTTAAAAAGATAGAATTAAGATTTTATTTTAAAAATTACATTATTAATAAAATTTCATATTTGAATCAGCTTCTATTCTATTAAAATAGGATAAGATAAAATAGTTTTTAATTTATTTGATTTCTATTTTAAAAACTGGTTATATTTAATCTAACTATGGTTTTTATCATCAAAATCTTAAAATTCTATCATTTTTAAATAAGGGGAGGATTTTTAGGTTAGATGTACAATAAATAATTTTTTAATCCCATTTCATTTTTTATTTTGCATAAATGAAATAATTAATTTTTAGATTATAATTTTAATGAATGAAAATAATACTTATTTTATGCTTTAATTGTTTAGATTTTAAGTAATTTTATTTTAAATTATTCAAAGGCACTAAAAAAGATTTTATTTAGAAAAATTACCTTATTAATAAAATATCTTTTTTGAATGTAGTAACTTTTTTTTAGATTTTATAGAAAAAAAACCTATTTTGAATAATTAGAATATTTATTTTATGAAATAGTTAAAGAAATCTAAATATTTTATTTTATTATTTAGTTTAAAAATAATCATTTGAACTTTTAAAAGAAAATAAATCTAATTTGTTTAATTTGATAATTAATTTTAAAGGAAGAAATTATTGAAAAAGAATTCAAACCAAGTACTAAAATAGAAAATAAAAAAGTAATAAACTAAAAGTTTAAATAAAATTAGTAGAGACTTTAAAATTATATAATATGAGCTATTTTACTTCATAAATTATGAAAAACAAATCTAAATCATGTCTCTTTGATTATTATGGAATTAGAAATTTTTTTATTTTTCTATCATAGAATAATTGGTATTATTCAAATTTTGAGTACTTGTGTAGCTTTAAAAAAGGAGTTATAATTAAAGCTATCAATTTAATTAGCTAAAACTAATTTGGTATCATCCTTATTCTTACTAATGAGGATCTACCAGCTTAAATCACATAAGATAAAATCATAAGAACTTATTAAATCCCATTGAATGACGACATTTTCTACACTGCTTTAGAATTTAAATTAGACAAAGGTTAATTTTGAAAAAAAAAAAATTAATTAATAAACAAATTTTAAAATAGACTTAGATGATTAATTCAAATTTTATGATTTGCTCTCTGTAAAATTTAACTAGTATTTTTCAAAATTAACTATTATTTCAATTTAAAAAGATTAATGAAGATTTCTAAAAAATCAGATATGCTTAGGTTCTAGCAAGGTATTATTAAAAAAATATTCTTTATATCAGTAAATATATATTTTTAAATATAGGAAAAAAAAACTTATAGAACCTGAAATAGTTTAGCTCTCTACTAAAATCAGCCAATGCATTTAACTTCTGCAACTAAATGTTGATCTTTTGTAAGTTAAAATTTCGATATTAAATTAATTAATTAATTAATTTTTTTAAATTTCTTTAATTAAAAGTGATAATCCAATAACTCCTTCTTTTGCATCTATTTTGGTATAAAGTATCTCATAATGCTAAGAAATCCAAGAATTAGTATTAGACTTAGGGTATTATTTATTTAGTTTTACTTAAAAACTTTAATTAAATATAATTTCTTTAAATAAAAGTTGGTGTAATTTAGGAAATACTGAAATTAAATGGATTGAAAATTTAGCTAACTGTAAAAATATGACTACTCTTCATATTAATTTAGAGTAAATTATTAATTTAATTTCACATTTATTTATATATTTAAATTTGTCATTTAGGTTTTTTTAAAAAATTTTTTTATTAAAATAATAAATAAATAAACTAAATAAATTTTTTATTTTGATTTAATGAGGGATTTTTTTTATTTTAAAATTATAACATATTTAAAATTTACTTAAATAAAAATTGAAAATAAAAAGATCAAATAATATTAACCAAGGAGATATTAAGATTATTGGAACAGCTTTAGAAAACCTGAATAAATTAGATAACCTTTATCTAGGACTATAGTAAGTTTATTGAAAGATTTTATCTACATTAGAATTTATAAAAATCCAAAAGGTATAACAATATAAAAGAATAAGGGTTCAACAGTTTAGTTAGATCCATTTCTAAATTAAAAAATTTATAATCTTTGAATTTGGATTTATAGTAAAACTAATTCATTTAATTATAAAATTCTAAACATGTTATTTATTTTAGCAAAAATAATATTGAAAACGATGAAAAAATTGAGTTTGAAATTCAATAATGTAATCTTCTTACTAATTTAACTTTGAATTTAAGGTATTTTATAAACATTTTATGCTTGCTTTTTTTAAGCTAATTTATAATAAAGTTAAAACTGTATTCAATACGAAGGAGCTAAAAGCTTAGGAAGTGCAATTTAATCATTTGATAAACTAAAGAAGCTCAACATTTTTTTAGTGTAAAGAACTTAATATGAATTTTATAAAGTTTATTGTTTTTTTAGAAATTGCTAGGTTAGAGAAGGAATTAATTATATAGCTTAAGGTGTATCTAATTGTAAGAATTTACAAAGCTTAAACTTAGATTTAAAGTATTACTAAAAACTTTGCATTTTTCTTTCTTTCTTTTTTAAATTAAAATAAAAATGTTTGATAGGATGAACAATATAGAAAGTTAAGAACAAGAAGTTATAAACACAATAGCAAACTAAAAAAAGTTATTTTACTTAAATTTAAATTTGTGGTAATATTTTAATTTATTAAATATTCAAATATTTTTATTTGTTTTTGATAAAGCCAAAATTAGTTTTTAGATTCTAAATTTTTAGTTAGTTTTCTAAATTAGTTGGGAACCTGCTCAAGTTTAAAAGATGTCAAGTTTGATTTTAAGTAAATAATTTAAAATTAAATATTAAATATTAACATAATTTTTTAAATTTAGCTCATGTGCTATAGATTGCTTAGGATTAAAAGCATTAGGGAAGAGTATTTCATTATGTGAAAATCTTCAATCCGTAGATTTAAACATAGAGTAATAATTTTAGTTTTATAAATGAATAAACAATAAATTGGGATATTTCGTAAAATAGACAAAACTACATCTTTGAGAAAGGTATATTAGATTTCCTGTAAGAGATATCATAATGCTAGAAATTGTTCAAGCTAGCACTAATCTAAAAGTATTCTGAGTAAACATAAATATTATAATATACTTTTAATTTAATTAAAAATCTTAAAATGTAATAGAGTTCTGGAAATGAGAAAACTTGAATAACCAGAAAAACTTGGGATATTTATCAAAAATATTGTAAAATTGTCTATCCTGGAGATTAATCTTTCGTATATTTATTTTTAAGAGCTTACAGTAAAATCTTTTTTATAAAAAAAGTTAATTCTATATTTAGGCCGAGCAATTTTAAGAAATAGTAAAATAACTTAAGTAATGCAAGAAGTTGAACACGTTAGAATTTAACTTTGGTAAAATAAAGTAAATTAATTATCCTTTTATCTTTTAAATCTAAGTTGTTTTTAATAAAATAAAGTTTAGAATTAAACCAATATGGAAAAAGTTATGTAAATCTAATCAAATGCAAAAGACTAGTTTAATATTACTAATATAAATAATATATATAATATACATAAGAATGAAATAAAGTATGTTAATAATGCTTTAACAATCCAATTTACACAAACAAAATAATATCTTGCAAATTAAGATTTCTTTTCTAAATCTCTGTAGTGATTTTATGTATCTTTTTTTAGTTTCATTTCATTAAAATAGTGTAAAAGAAGTATTTTTTGTAATTTTACTTGAATTCATAATTTTCAAATTACTTATGGTGTAATCAAGAGCTGTAAATAAATAAAAAACAAAGATTTTAAGTCTTCTTTTGAATACCAAAGACATAGATTGTAATAAATAATAACTAAAGTATTCAGTATAGGTGAGTTAATAATAATTAGTTAATTAAAATTAGGTAATTAAATTAAGTTTCTTTTTAGTGATAATATTCAGATCTTTTCAAATGACCTTATAGAGTTTCTGCAAGTAAAAATGGGCATATCTATTCAAGTTATTTAGAATATTAGTGCTCATATAACGTATTTACTCTATGATTTATTTGGTCATAGTCATGGAATCATTTTTCTTCCTAAAACTCATAATAACGGTACACATTATCTACTAAATTTATCAAAATATTATAAATATAGCATCTCTCATTTTTGGTGACGCTAACAAGTTATGGAATGAAGTAGAATCTGTAATGACTGATACTATCTTGATACATTGTTCAGCTCAATCAAATACATATTTTACTGTTTTTTCTATATACTGCAATGATTTTATCAATTTTATTTGCTCTACTTTTAAAAAGAACTAGCTTTTGTCCTACAGCTCTACTTAATCGTTTAATGTAGGATTATTACTTAATTTATTGAATTTCTTTATCATGTAAATCAAAAATGTTTAGCTAATTGGATTATTTACTAAACCACATTTATTTGATTAGTTTCCAGATTTATTAGTTCTCTATTTGAGTTATGCGATTTTGAAAAATATGGATTAACAAGTAAATAAGAAAAATGTTTTTGACATCATTTTTGTTGACCTGCTTGGTCAACTCATTGTTACATTCTTTTTTAAGCAACAAGAATATCTCTTATCAATATTTATTTTTCTAAGAATAGCCTAATACTCTTTGGTGAAGCTTACTTCTAAAAGTATTGACATAGTTAAGGAAGCTTCATCAAAGAAAGAGTGTCTATCGTAGATAATCAAATCTTGTGAAAATCTAATTAATAGAGAAGTCCCTTGCTTTGATATAGATTTTAATATCATAAATGTTGAAAAGTATAATTGGAATAAAGAAGATATAAAAGAAGAAATTAAAAAACTAATTTAAATTTTAGCTTACTGCCAATTCAATCTAGACTGCTTTAAGTTAAAAATGAGAGGATTGGAGTTGGTTGTATCATTACCCCAAAAAAAAGATATTATATTTCCTTTCAGTTTTGACTTTTCAAAGAGAGATTTGATAAGCTATCTATGTAAATCAGAGCATCTTTTAGAGAATTCAAAAGGAATATATTGGTTGAATAACATATACGTAAATTAAAGGGAGTTCGAGCTTATAAGTTAAATAAGACTCATTGATTTTCCAATGTCTAAACCTGTTATTTATAGAAAATAAGTTTATAAACAGAGCAAAGAAATGCTTATGATCCTTGCATATAAAAAATACATGGAATTAGAAATGTTATTTTGCTCTTAGCAAATATTGTATGACTTGTATTAAAATTTAATTGAATGATCAACTAATTTTCTTACTACAAAATATAAAATCTTTATTAATTTTTGTAAACTATTTGTTGAATACATTTATTACTAACCCAAACTTACAATTAAATAATTTATATAAAATATTAAATTGCAATTTAATAAAGAAGTATTTTTAATTAAAGATATTTTATTGACAAATATATTAATAAAGAGTTTGATATTTTATTTTAATATCAATAACAAACAAGTGTGAATTGTGGTGGCTTAAAAAAAGCAATAAATAAATAAATAATTGATTGATTGATTCATCTATAACAAATTAAATTATATTAATTTCTGAATATAGAAAAACCAGCTTCAAAATTATTTATAAAAAGTTAATGAAGCGAATTTAATTATAATAAAAAGATTATTAATTAAAACAAATTGAAAAATTGAAGTGTAAACAAAAAAAAAGATTGAATATTTTTTAATCTTTTGTAAATAAATAAATAAATAAATAATTCATTATTGCTTTTTTGATATAAAGTACTAAAAAATATGGAATAAACTTTCTTAAAATTAAAATTTGAGTAAAATATCATTTGGAACATTTTATTGGATAAATTAACAATTTTTAATAGTTTTGAGCATTTATTATAAGAGGATAAAACATTAGCTGAAGATCATTTTAAAAATAGTATTATAGCGATGAACCAGTGTTAAAATTTAGAAAATCTTCAAATATATCTTAAGTGTGATCTTTATTAAGTTTAAAATTATACATTTTTTTTTGATAATCTTCTTGAATAATTTTGAAATTTTTTTTTATTTATTAAATAATTAGAAAAAGGTGTATAAGTAAAGGAATACTTGAATTAATGGCTTCTTCTATTTCTAATTTAAAACAATTAAATGAGCTAGCTCTTAAAATATAGTAATAAAAATCTTAAAGTTTAAATTAATAATAGCTTAAAAAAGTGAAAATAGCTTACACATAGAAGGTGCATAGTTAGTTGGACCAATTTAATTTAAATGCTCTAACTTGAAACGCTTAAATCTTGATGTTTAGTAATTTATTGTTTTACTAATTTTTGAGCTATTTATACTTCATTAAATTAAGATGGAATTCTATTTGCTAATAAGGAGCTAAGGGTGTCAAATATTTTATTTAAAACTTTCCTGATCTTCATGGATTAAAGCTTGATATTTCGTAATTATTTTTATTTATATCTTCTTATATTTATTTTTATTTATATCTTCTTATATTTATTTTTATTATAAAATTAGAGATAACTCCATTTAAGATTAACGATTATTTAGTATATCAACTGCAATATCACGCTGCTTAAATTTAAAATACCTGACTCTTATATCAAAGTTGTTATTTATTTTTTAAGAGTTACTTTATGTACTAATATTGTTAATATAATTGATTAGGAGAAATTCAATCAGCAATGAAGGAATTCAAAAACTATTTGATAGACTAAAAAAGTGTTTATTGATAGAGCATTTAGAAATTTCATTTTTGTAAATATAATAAAAAATATTTATATTTCATAATTAAAATATAAATTATCTAGAGGAAATAAATTTGAATTGCACATTTTATAAATCGAGGCTTTAAAATTATTTACTCTGCTTATTAATAATAATTTAAATAATTGTAAATAAATTACTTTTTTTTCTTATTATTTTTAAAAACATATTCTAATAAAAACAGAAGAGAACCAATTAAAAACCAAGAATAATTTGCATATTCTGAATTAAAAGTAACTCATTTTAATCTTAAGAAAATTAAATTTAAAAAAATTTGTATTAAAATAAGAAACAATTAATTTAGATAAAATTCTTGCTAAGATTTGAATCTCTTGTTACAAAATTAATCTAAATAGCTTACAGCTAATCAATTCATATCACAAGAAATGTTTAGATTTTAATAAAATTTAGATTATTTAAAAAATAATAATCTTTCAAATAAACTATGAATAAAATTATTCTTCAAAATAATCATTAGATCTTAAATAAGAATATTGAAAAATGCTAAGCTTTTTAAGATATTTCATACCAAAAAATTGTTCAAAAAAACCTGTTTGAGCTGAACTGTTTGTTTTTTTTTATTTAAACTAAAATTACAAATTTTCTTTTTTTTATTTAATTTAACGAACAAGAAGAATTTTAGAGATTTTTTGATTAGCATCAAGAAAGATTATAGAAGAATTAAAGACATAAATATTATTGAGTTCTACAAAAGTATAATTTTTAAAAAAAATTAGTGATGCTATTGTTAGACTTAGTACAAATATTTGTCATTATATGATTTGTTATCCTCTTAATTTTTATCTAGATTTAAAAAACATTAGCACATATTAACTATCCGTATTAAGTAATTTTTTCAATAGGCATAACAAAAATATCTTTTTAAATAATAATAGAATGAGTTAATAAAATAAGCAGTTTTGAAGAATAGTTTTCAATTTTTTATAAATTATAGTTAAACAATTATGATTATTTTTGCACAGATGTTAAAATTAAGAAAATTTAAGTAAAGTAAACACTCGATTGATACCATTGATTTTTTTAACTTAATATATTAGTGTTTTTGATTAGCAAATAGAAATATATTATATCTATTTAACTTATTATGTTAGAATCTTATTATTTATCTCATAAAAAATTTAAAATAGCAACTAAAAAAATTATAATTATGAAATAATATTTTAGTGAAATTAATAATAAAAACTTGTTAAAAACATAATAAATTATTAATTTCTTAGTAGCTCAAACTGTGTTGACCTAATAAATAATAACTTCATTAAAATCCAATTATTCTGTATCATTTTAAAAATTATTCATGAATGTATTTTTAACCACAATTATAATTTTCTTTTAAAATATTAGAACTTATTTAATAAATTAGATGATTTTTAATCAGTATTCAAATATAATGTAAGCTTATTTATTTATATATCTTTTTTAGTATAGTTAGCTTGTCTTCAATGATGAAATATTAACTATTCATACTTATTTCAAAATAATATTATGATTATTTTATACTTATAAGTAAAGTTAAGATTTTTTAACTTATTTCATGATATACATTAAGAATATATTTTGCATTAAAAATTTATCTAAAAAGCAAACAAAACATTGAAAAACTTACTTACTTCATAATAATTATTATTTTTAAATTAAAGAAATAAATACTAAATATGAATTTTTATAAATTGGACTTATTTTCTTAGACATTCTCATTCGGTATTGAGAATAGAAGAACAAAGAAAGGTACCTTCATTGGATTAATATTATCCTTTTTTGTTTATATTGGCTCTGTAGGATATTTGACATATCTTCTAGTTCAGTATATTCAGAATTAAATTGAACCAAACTATAAGGCTCAAAGCTTCATCACTGAAGAAAGCATTGATATAAGCTTAGATCAAGATATGATTGGATTCAGATTCGAATATGATATTAACAAAGACCTATAATCTCTTTAAGCATAGCAAAATAAAACTTATTTAGTGTTCATGGCTTATTTATATTTCAAAAATAATACATTATTCTAAAGCATTTAATTGAATACTATTTAATGCACAAGTTCTCACTTGGTTGGATTTTAATGCTTAGATTTTTCTAAAGTTTAGAATTATACGCTTAATGTAAATACTAAAGACAATATATCTTCTTCTGTCAACATATATATTTATGGATGCTTAGACACTGATTCAAATAAGGACTTCATTCCAAATAATTGTGCAAGCTAAAACGAAACAGAGTAAATAGTGAATGGTATGAATGCTAGATTTAGACTTAAGTTATATACATCTTAGTATAACACAGCTACAAAATAAATATAAGTTAACTACAGAAATGCTCAATTTTATCCTATTGCTAATCAATTTGTTTACAGCTCGTTAAAAGCATAAAAGTAAACGACTAGCATCAAAGAAGGACTATTGATACAATCTTCTACTAATTATTCCTCTCCAATTTAGTATGAACTAATGAATTAAAATTTTGACAGAAATTATTCTATACAATAAATTAATTAGAGTGGTTATGGATAAGTAGAATTATAGATGGATGAAATAGTTCAAATAATACAAATATAGTATCCTGCTTTGCCTTAAATATTGGCACTTGTGAATAGCACATTGTCTCTTTTAATGCTACTTGGAATTGTAGGTAGAAAAATATCATCTAGATCAATAAGAAATGATTTCTTTATGCTATTGATGTAAAATGTTTATCAAGGAAAATACTTATAAATACTAAAAAATTAAAAATTGTATGATAATAAAGAGATTTCAGATTTAGATTCTTAATCATAAAAAAGAGATTAAAATTTTTCTAAAGAAGATGATAAAATAGAGTTAGAAGACGAATAAATTATTTAAGAGAGAGAAGATAACTGCTCGATATAGTTGCCTTAAACAGATTTTTAATGCAAATAGTCATTAGATAAAATCAAAAGCTGCTAAAGTTAATATCCTTAAAGCAAAAAGTCTTCAGATAATACAAATTAAACTGAAGGATTGATAATTCAATAGTCATTTTCTAAACAAAGTGAAGAAAGTCAAAGCAAAACTTTTCAAAATTCTGCTTTAAATTAAAATAGGTCCAATAATAACACATCAATTATTTAAAATTAAAATAATCAAAATATTAAGACAATAAATTTATGTTAATCTCCTTTATCATCAGATAGAACTCAGTAGACTAAAATTAATATCCTTCCATTAAGTAAAATAAACATTCAGCAATTTGAGAAAACTAAAAATATGGAGGAGGATTCCTAGCTTTTTTATTCAAAATTAGAAAAGCTAAAAGCAATATAAAATAAGCAGTTTTAAGAAAAAACCTTTGAAAATATGTTTAATTTTAAGTAAAATAAATATAAAATTAAAAATTAAAATATTTTTTTTATTTAAAAATAAATTTAAAGGTTTTGTAGAGGCTCAAAGCATTCACTGATCAATCAAAAGACTAAAAATACTATTCAAAATGAAGTCTTTAAAAATTTGAATATATTTGAGTTATACAAAGATGTAATGTTTTTAAAGAAAGCTATTATGATGATACTAGATACAGAACAGTTGTCTGCTATCAAGCATATAGGTTGTTCCTCTTTCTTTTTAGACATTGATAAAAACATCGATTCATTTACTTTAAGTTCATTAAGTAAAAAAAAAACTATTTTAATTAATTGATATTAATTTTTTTTGTATAGAATTATAAAATAAAATAAGCTATTTTGAGGAACAGTATGCAATTCTATTATCAGAAGAACTCTAATATAAAAAACTAACCAAATTCCTACAAAGATGTTATAAAAGAGAAAATATTAATAAAATAGATATGAGGATTTATTCTTCTATTATTTGAAAAAATGCTAATTATTTATTTATTTATTTACTTACTTATTTATATGAAAATAAATCATATTTGAATAATTCAATCTTAAGTAAGAGACAATTAAATTCTTTACTTTTATTGACATTGAGATTTTTCTTTTATAAAAACTGAACAAATAAAAACTTAATTTTAAGATTTTAAATTTAACCATATATTTATAATTTTAATGTATCTTTCATTTTGCTTGCTTATTAAAATAATAAGACTATCAAATTTTAAAATAATTTAGTTTTTTTAACATTTTTAAAAGTTGGTAGGGAATGAATATTCATTGTTTTTTATTTGAAAATATTTTTTTCGTTTTTTAATTTAGAGGTTCGAATATTAAAACATTTAATTTTTCATGAACAACTCTACCAAAAAGATATTCGAAATTTTTAAGGAGATTTTTCGAGAAATAATTATTCTTATCTTGTCTATTCTTAAATAAATTAGTCAAATTTATTTTATTTTATTTCACATCAAAGATTTTTAATTTTAAACATAAAACCAGAATTTAATCAAATTGAATATAATAATCAAACTAACTCAATAATATTTCTTAAAGGATAAAAAATTGTGATTAAATGAAACTAACATACTTAGCTTTACCTTCAATATTAATGGCTTAAAGTTATTATTAAAAGAATGCTAAGGCAATCAGCAATCCTTTTGATGAACTTCCATTTACAAATTTTTAACAGACATTAAAATCTTTTTTAAAGGAAAATGCAATTGGAAGTTTTATTTGCGATATGGGTATGATAGCGCTTACTTTTCCATTAGCTACATGTTTCAGAAAAAATATTACTGTTTAACATTTCAATAAGAAATACATGTTTTAAAGAATATTTAAATTAAATTAAGACAAATTATAAATGTCACTTATACAGAAAGTGAAAAATTTTAACTTTAGTAAGCATACTTTGTCTTATAATTAACCAATATATGGAACAGATGATATAAAAGTTGGCCTTTTAAATAATGAACTTATAAAAGATCCTTTATTTGGAATTTCTACTTAATCTAAGGATTCATATGGATTAGTAAGGAGATTGGAATTGTATCAATAGGATGAATGGGTATCTGGCCCATAATTTGAGATATAATTTATAGCAAACTATATTAAGTTAGGAAATATAGATATTACAGATATTAATTTAGATAAAATCACTTAATTATGTGTAGGATTAGATATAGATTAAAAATAAATAAATAAAGCATAATTAGATTATACTAAAAGATATTAAGGTTTCATTAATAATTATTTCATTCCTAGTGTTAGAAGCAAATATGAAAGATAATTTTAGTATAACTAAGAGGATATGGAAATTCTCACAGAAGAAATAGATGAATTAAACAAACAATTCTAAGGAACTTAAAGAATGTAAGTATCGTATGATTAAAACTTTATATACTACACTTAAGAATAAAATAAGTTTTAGTAAGGAGACTTTCGTGTTTCATTTTATGAACTAAAGCCTTATTCATAAATTAGCGTTTTCACAAATAAACTAAAAAAAAAGTATATTTAAAATTAAGATTCTGATTTCTATCTAGGTAGAGTATATAATAAACTATAGCTGCATGATTTTGAAGTTATTTTACCTGGAAATGTATCTTAGCATGAACTAATTTAAAGCCTCATAAACAGTCTCGAAATAGAAATGAAGTAAGGATAATTTTAATTAGTGTAGAAATCATCTTAATATAATAATAATAATAATAAAAACAATTAATTTGCAAAAAGTGAGTTTCTAAATTATAGTCTGCTTTGTGCCTTTTTGTTTTATTATTATTATAATTTCAGTTTAAGATTAGAACTAGATTCAATTAGTTCACCTCTTTTAATGACATTTATTCATTCCTGCAGTATAAGAATGTTAGTTTACGGAATAATTAATGCGCCTACAGCTTTATTTACGATTGGAGGATCGTATACTATATAATATGTTTTAAGTAATATATTAAGTAATCAAGAGTCTTAAGTTCCTCAATAAATTACTTCAATAAAGCCAAATATTATTGCATAATTTTAATAATTTTGAGAAATAGAAAAAAGATTTGTTTATGTGCTAAAAGAAAGTTTTTTATATTGAAAAATTATATAAAACAGACAATAAGATGAAATTATTTTATTGTAGTTAAAATTTAGAGATAAAAGGTATCTAATAAAAAAATAAAAAATGTACCATAAAATAAGTAGAAATTATATATGTAAAAGTTTCATATTTTAATTAGATCAAATTTTATTTTTAAGTTTTGTAAAGGAAATTTTTATTCATTTTTTATTTTAATTAATTACTTTTTACATAATATAAGGATTAAGTTTTATCATTTTGAAAATAGTAAGCTTTATATTTTTATTTTTGTCTATTCGAATTTTAAATTTACACAATAAATTTTTATCAATTTTATTCTGGAATTTCTGAGAAAGTTTTTCATCAAAGAAATTTGATTTTGTGAATTATGATCAAAATTAACAAAATAAATTCAACAAAATAATAAAATTAGTGTATATTTTTCAAATGAAATTAGCATCTACAGCCTTTTTGCTAACAGGAATAGCAATGACTTAAAAATAATAACAAAATAACATGTGCCTTACCATAACATAAATTGAAAAAACATCTTTTAAATAATAATCCAATAATAACTTAAAATCAATGTATTCTATTCATAGTTTGTCTGAAAAAAGCTTTAAATCTTTTTTTTGTGATATATTTTTTTGGGGTAGTTCATTGCTAGTAGCCTCAAAACTAAAATGGAAAATAAACATTAACTCTTTTACTAAAAATAGCTTTTTTAAAAGTTTATTTAGAATTCATATTGATATTTTCAACAAAAAGCTCTTATCAACAATAAACTAATAATAAAGACGTTTTACTTCTACTTGGCCAATATACTAAATTGATAAAGTTAATGTATAACAAAATACAAATAAACTCCTTTTTGATCCTTATTTTGGAGTCTCTGCAAGTAGTCCTAATGCAATAGGATTAATTTAGCAGATTGAATATTATGATGAAAAAAATAATAATTGGAAAAATTATGGATACTCGTATCACAGATAATTAGAAAAATAAAATTTGTTTGAAGATGGTGTATTTTATCAAATCGATAGTACGGAGAAATAAAATTGGATATTTTACCCTCAAACAAGTAATATTTTTATACCTAATTCTGTAAAAATAGGTGAACATAAATTATAAGAATCATAGTATTTTAATGTAGCAGAAAAATAAAAATAAATATAGATAGATGTAAATCTTATTGAAAACTATTACGAAAGTATTCAAAATGAAGAAAATTAATAAATTTCTGAATTAGAATAATTACCAAAGAAGTTAATAATTACTTTTTCAAAAATAAAAGAAAATCATCCTTTCAAAGTAGCTTAATAATAAAATAAGAAAATTTTCTTTTCAAAAAATTATATTTACATAACAAAGAATCTTGACTCTTATTCTGATAGTGATCAAAGAATTTCTTTCCATGAATTAATTCCAAGTGAAGAAGCTACCATATTTACTTCTTAGGGTTAGAACAAAGAAGTTTACTTGGGTGGAAAATACTTAAAAATGTTTTTACCAGGATTTTAAATAGCTAAAAAAGGGAGAATTAATGATCAGAACGAGTTAGTTTAAGAATTAATCAAAAACCTTGAAGTAGCTACATTTGGATTATATTAGCAAATAGATTTATGTTTTGAATAAGAATAAAATAAAACGAATTATTTTTTGAGAATACTTGCTATTTTAACTTTAATTTATTACTTAAATTTTGCTGATAGACTAGGATTAAATACTTTTAAATGGGGATTATGTTTAAGTTTAAATCATTGCTTTGCAATAAATTTATACAAGTATGGGTTAATAAATTTCAAATTTTTGAATTTGTATTTCCTTTTGCCCTATACATTTGCTTGGATAATGTATTCTAATGAAGAAAATAAATAAATTTATTTAGATAATTCTCAATAAAATCAATAATTATGTGCATAAAATACTTAATAATATTTACAATAAGATATTAAAGTAGAAAGCGAAAAATTTATTGAGTAGGAGTTAAGAAATTAAAATGAATTACTATTTAATAAAATTATTGATTAAAATCTTAATTAAAAACCAAAAATTTGATATTTATATAAATTATTTATAAATATGATAAAATAAAAACATTTATTTAAATCAACTGTAAAATAGTAAATTTTTTATAAGAATTATCTTCTTATTATTGATAAAGAGATTCTATTTAAGTTTTGTGTTAAAGGAAATTTTCATTAATTTTTAATGTTAATTAATTACTTTTTACATAATATAGGGATTATGTTTTACCATTTTGAAAATAGTAAACTTTGTATTTTTATTTTTGTCTATTCGAATTTTAAATTTACACAATAAATGTTTATCAATTTTATTCTGGAATATCTGAGAAAGTTTTTCATCAAAGAAATTTGATTTTGTGAATTATGATCAAAATTAACAAAATAAATTCAACAAAATAATAAAATTAGTGAATATACATAAAATGAAATTAGCATCTACAGCCTTTTTGCTAACAGGAGTAGCAATGACATAAAAATAATAACAAAATAGCATGTGCCTTACCATAACATAAATAGAAAAAACATCTTTTTAATAATAATCCAATAATAACTTAAAATCAATGTATTCTATTCATAGTTTGTCTGAAAAAAGCTTTAAATCCTTTTTTTGTGATATCATTTTTTGGGGTAGTTCATTGCTAGTAGCCTCAATACTAAAATGGAAAATAAACATTAACTCTTTTACTAAAAATAGCTTATTTAAGAGTTTATTTGGAATTCATATTGATATTTTCAACAAAAAGTTCTTATCAACAATAAATTAATAATAAAGACGTTTTACTTCTACTTAGCCAATATACTAAATTGATAAAGTTAATGTACAACAAAATACAAATAAACTCCTTTTTGATCCTTATTTTGGAGTCTCTGCAAGTAGTCCTAATGCAATAGGATTAATTTAGCAGATGGAATATTATGATGAAAAAAATAATAATTGGAAAAATTACGGATACTCGTATCATAGATAATTAGAAAAATAAAATTTGTTTGAAGAAGGTGTATTTTATCAAATCGATAGGATGGAGATATAAAATTGGGAAATTTATCTTGAAACAAGTAATATTTTTATACCTAATTCTGTAAAAGTAGGTGAACATGAATTAGAAGTATCATAGTATTTTAATATAGCAGAAAGAAAAAAATAAATATAGATAGATGTAAATCTTATTGAAAACTATTACGAAAGTATTCAAAAAGAAGAAAATTAATAAATATCTGAATTAGAATAATTACCAAAAAGGTTAATTACTTTTTCAATTATAAAAGAAAATCATCCTTTCAAAGTAGCTTAATAAAAAAATAAGAAAATTATTTTTGAAAAAAATTATATTTATATAACAAAAAATCTTAACTCTTATTCTGATCGTGATCAAAGAATTTCTTTCCATGAATTAATTCCAAGTGAAGAGGCTACCATATTTATTTCTTAGGGTTAGATAATGGGTGGAAAATACTTAAATATGTTTTTATCAGGATTTTAAATAGCTAAAAAAGGGAGAATTAATGATCAGAACGAGTTAGTTTAAGAATTAACCAAAAACCTTAACCTTTAAGGAACTAAATATAGAAATGGAATATTTTATTAATAAAATGTATGTTTTGAATAAGAATAAAATAAAAAAAATTATTTTTTGAGAATACTTGCTATTTTAGCTTTAATTTATTACTTAAATTTTGCTGATAGACTAGGATTAAATACTTTTAAATGGGGATCATGCTTAAGTTTAAATCATAGCTTTGCAATAAATTTATATAAGTATGGGTTAATAAATTTCAAATTTTTGAATTTGTATTTCCTTTTGCCCTATACCTTTGCTTGGATAATGTATTATAATGAAGAAAATAAATAAATTTATTTAGATAAATCTCAATAAAATCAATAATTATGTGCATAAGATACTTAATAATATTTACAATAAGATATTAAAGTGGAAAGCGAAATAGGTTAACAAAAATTTATTGAGTAGGAGTTAAGAAATTAAAATGAATTATTATTTAATAAAATTATTGATTAAAATTTTAATTAAAAACCAAAAATTTGATATTTATATAAATTATTTATAGATATGATAAAATAAAAACATTTATTTAAATCAACTGTAAAATAGCAAATTTTTTATAAGATTATCTTCTTATTATTGATAAAGAGATTCTATATTTATTTTCATTAATATTTTAAATTTTATCAAAATTATCTATTCTTATGTTTGTTTGCTCAAAAAGAAAGTAGTTTATATAATAAATATTAGTATTATTTTATTAATTTTAGATATTTAATTTTGTAATTTAAGTAGTTAAATTAATTTAAAGAAATGAATGTATTTATTTATTCAATAAAAATATTTAATATAATAGATATTGGGAACATAATCAGTAGAATAAAAAAATTCTTTGACCATTTTTACGTATGATTATCCTATACTAAAAAATAATTTTTATAGAGAGATGAATAGCCAGTCTGAAGAAAATACAGTTAATAAAAGAAATTGATTATAAATAAATGCCTTAAAAAAATGAAAGAAAATTAAAAAAAAATTAGGAAACCCTAAAATATTGCAACAAAAAATATCAATAAATAAATATAATGTGATAAAAAAATAAAAGGCATTCAACTTTATTATTATTTTTAATAGTAATATTATTTTAAAATAATTTAGTTTTTTTAACAAAGAAAGTGATTTATTAATTTGATATTTAAGTAAATTTATTTCAAATTATATGTTTTTATTACAGAAAGTGAGTTTTGCCAAGAATATTCGAATTATTCGAAGTTGATAAATAAATTGGTTTTGTACCACGGATATAACTTTTTAGAAAATAAATCGATTGTTATTTGTTCTTTTATTCAAATTTTTATTTTTTAGAGATTCAAATATAAAAACATTTAGTTTTGCATGAACAACTTACCAGAAGGATATTTTTAAGAAGATTTTTCTAGAAATAATTATTCTTATCTTTTCTAGAAGATAATTCATTAGTCAAATTTAGTTTTATTTCTCACAATTTTTTATTTTTAAATAAGATATCAGAATTTAATCAAATTAAATATAATAATCAAACTAATTAAATTAATAATTTTCTTCAAAGATAAAAAATTGTGATCTAATGAAACTAACATATTTAGCTTTACCTTCAATATTTATGGCTTAAAATTATTATTAAAAGAATGCTAAGGCAATCAGCAATAATTTTGAAGAACTTCCATTTAAAAATTTTTAACAGACATAAAAATATTTTTTAAAGGAGAATACAATTGGAAGCTTTATTTGTGATATGGGTATGATAGCGCTTACTATTCCATTAGCTAGATTTTTCAGAAAAAAGATTACTATTTAGAATTTCAATAAAAAATAGATGTTTTAAAGGATATTTAGATTAAATTAAGACAAATTATAAATGTCACTTATACAGAAAGTGAAAAATTTTAACTTTAATAAGCATACTTTGTCTTATAATTAACCAATATATGGAACAGATGATATAAAAGTTGGCCTTTTAAATAATGAACTTATAAAAGATCCTTTATTTGGAATTTCTACTTAATCTAAGGATTCATATGGATTAGAAAGGAGATTGGAAATGTATCAATAGGATAAATGGGTATCTAGCCCATTGTTTAAAATATAATTTATAGCAAACGATATTAAGCTAGGAAATGTAGATATTACAGATATTAATTTAGATAAGATAACTTAAGAAAGTATAAGATTAAATATAGATTAAAACTAAATCAATTAAGCACAATTAGATTATACTAAAAGATATTAAGGTTTCATTAATAATTATTTCATTCCTAGTGTTAGAAGCAAATATGAAAGATAATTTTAGTATGACTAAGAGGATATGGAAATTCTCATAGAAGAAATAGATGAATTAAACAAAAAATTCTAAGGAACTAAAAGAATGTAAGTATCGTATGATTAAAACTTTATATACTACACTTAAGAATAAAATAAGTTTTAGTAAGGAGACTTTCGTGTTTCATTTTATGAACTAAAACCTTATTCATAAATTAGCGTTTTCACGAATAAACTAAAAAAAAGGTATATAGAAAATTAAGATTCTGATTTTTATCTAGGTAGAGAATATAATAAAATATAGCTGCATGATTTTGAAGTTATTTTACCTGGAAATGTATCTTAGCTTGAACTAATTTAATACCTTATATAGAATCTCGAAGTAGAAATGAAGTAAGGAGAACTTTAATTAGTGTAGAAATCATCTTAAAATAATAATAATAATAAAAACAATTAATTTACAAAAAGCGAGTTTCTAAATTATAGTCTGCTTTGTGCCTTTTTGTTTTATTATTATTATAATTTCAGTTTAAGATTAGAACTAGATTCATTTAGTTCACCTCTTTTAATGACATTTATTCATTCCTGCAGTATAAGAATGTTAGTTTATGGAATAATTAATGTACCTACAGCTTTATTTACAATTGGAGGATCATATATTATATAATATGTTTTAAGTAATGTTTTAAATAATCAAGAGTCTCAAGTTTCTCAATATATTACTTAAATAAATCCAAATATTATTGCTTAATATTAATAATTTTAAGAAATAGAAAAAAGATTTATTAATATGCTATAAGAAGGTTTTTCAAATTGACAAATTAAACAAAATAACAGATAATAAGATCAAATTATTTTCTTGAAGTTATAATTTTGAAATACAAAATTTTTAATAAAAAATGTACCATAAAATATGTAGAAATTATAAATGTTAAAATTTAATATTTTATTTTATTTCAATTTTAAGTTTTGTGTTAAAAGAAATTTTTATTGATTTTTTATTCGATATAATTACTTTTTACGTGATATATGGATTAAAGTTTTACCATTAATTTTATATCTAATTTGTGTATATTATTGAGAATAGCAAGCTTTATATTTGTTTTATTTTTGCCTAATACGAGTTTTAAATTTACACAAATAATAAATTTCTGATCAAATTGAGAGAATTTTTATCAGTTTTATTCTGGAATATTTTAGAAATTTTTCATCAAAGAAATTTGATTTTACTAATTAAAATCTAAATTAACAAAATAAATTCAACAAAATAATAAAATTAGTGAATATACATAAAATGAAATTAGCATCTACAGCCTTTTTGCTAGCAGGAATAGCAATAACATAAAAATAATAACAAAATAGCATGTGCATCAGAAAGACATAAATAGAAAAAGCCTCTTTTAAATAATAATTCAATAATAACTTAAAATCAATGTATTCTATTCATAGTTTGTCTGAAAAAAGCTTTAAATCTTTTTTGTGTGATATCTTTTTTTGGGGTAGTACTTTGCTTGTAGCTTAAAAACTAAAATCGAAAATAAAGATTAACTCTTTTACTAAAAATAGCTTTTTTAAAAGTCTATTTGGAATTCATATTGATAATTATAGCAAAAAGCTATTATCAGTAATAAATTAGTAATAAAATGTATTCTAATATTAAAGACGTTTTACTTCTACTTGGCCAATATACCAAATTGATAAAGTTAATGTATAACAAAATGCAAATAAACTCCTCTTTGATCCTTATTTTGGAGTCTCTGCAAGCAGTCCTAATGCTATAGGTTTAATTCAGCAGATTGAATATTATGATGAAAATAGTAATAATTGGAAAATGTTTGGATACTCGTATCACAGATAATTAGAAAAATAAAATTCGTTTGAAGCTAATGTATTTGATCAAATTGATACGATATAGAAATTAAAATACTATTTTTAAACTTTCCCTAAAAAAAGCAATATTTTTATACCTAATTCTGTAAAAGTAGGTGAACATGAATTAGAAGTATCATAGTATTTTAATATAGCTGAAAAATAAAAATAAATATAGATAGATGTAAATCTTATTGAAAGCTATTACGAAAGTATTCAAAAAGAAGAAAATTAATAAATTTCTGAATTAGAATAATTATCTAATAACTCAATTACTTTTTCAATCATAAATAAAAATCATCCTTTCAAATAAGCTTAATAAAAAAATAAGAAAATTTTCTTTGAAAAAAACTATATTTACATAACAAAAAATCTTAACTCTTATTCTGAAGAAGATCTAAGAATTTCTTTCCATGAGTTAATTCCAAGTGAAGAAGCTACCATATTTACTTCTTAGGGTTAGAGTTTAGACGTTTATTTGGGTGGAAAATACTTAAATCTGTTTTTATATAGATTTTAAATAGCTAAAAAAGGGAGAATTAATGATAAGAATGAGTTAGTTTAAGAATTAATCAAAAACCTTGAAGTAACTAGATATGGATTATAATAGCAAACAGATTTATCTTTTGAATAAGAATAAAATAAAAAGAATTATTTTTTGAGAATACTTGCTATTTTAACTTTAATTTATTACTTAAATTTTGCTGATAGACTAGGATTAAATACTTTTAAATGGGGATCATGTTTAAGTTTAAATCATTGCTTTGCTATATATTTATATAAGTATGGATTAATCAATTTCAAATTTTTGAATTTGTATTTCCTTTTGCCCTATACCTTTGCTTGGATAATGTATTCTAATGAAGAAAATAAATAAATTCGTTCAGACAATTCTTAATAAAATCAATAATTATGTGCATAAGATACTTAATAATATTTACAATAAGATATTAAAGTGGAAAGCGAGATAAGTTAACAAAATTTTATTGAGCAGGAGTTCAGAAATTAAAATGAATTACTATTTAATCAATTGATTGATTAAAATCTTAATTTAAAACCAAAAATTTGATTTTATGTAAATAATTTATAAATTTGATAAAATTATAAAATCAATATTATAAATCAACTGTAAAATATAAAATTTTTTATCTGAATTATCTGCTTATTATTAATAAAGATATTCTATAAATATTTTCATTAATATTTAAAATCTTGTCAATATCATCTATTTTTAAGTTTGTGTGCTCAAAAAGAATGAAGTTTTTATAATAAAGATTAAAAATATTTTATTAATGTTAGATATTTAATTTTCTTATTTCGGTTAAATTAATTTAAAAGAAAAGAATTTATTTATTCAATAAAAATATTTTTATAATATACAGTAGGTTACATCAATTTATGCATAAAATTTAAAAACAAAAATGAAAAATTTAAATATAGATATTTTTTTAATTTTTTAATTAAGGCCATTTTTTTTAATCTGAAAATATAAATGAAATACTAGTTAAATGCAGAAACATAGTAAAATTTTTTAATTATTCCTCTAATAACTTGATCCTTTTAGAAAATACTCAAAAAAAGTATTCGTAATCCAAATTAAGAATGGAATATCCTTGAAGATTTTCTAATTTGTTTAAGTTGTATCAATCACTCTATCACTTTTTATCTAAAATTTATTTATTTAAATACAAAATTTATGTTAATTATTCTTTGAATTTTTAAACATAATTTGAATTAAAATAGGAACTAATAATGTAAAGGTAGACATTCTAGTTTCATCATTTTTTTACTTAAACTGAGTTTTTAAAAGATATATGTATGTACTTTCAAACATTTCGAAAACTAAAATCTTTTTAAAGAGTATTAAGAAAAATAATATCCAAATTCATAAAATTATTTTTGAATATTTTTATTGTAAGATTATTATCATTATTTGGGTTACATCTAAATTTATTGTGTCAAGGTAAATTCTTTTAGTAACCTTTATTATGTTAAGGCTAAAATAAATACTACTTAATTAATCATTAATGTAGACGTAGCTATTCTTTTTATCTATTTCATTTAGATAAAATTCTGGCCAATATTTTAATAATTTTGATTTACAGTTATTATCAGAAAACTTTTAGACATGAATGCTTTTAAGTAATCTTGTGGAAAATCAATAAAGAAAAGGAAAGACTGAAAGATGATATCTATTTTATATCTATGAATAATAATCATTAGAAATATTTATCTTATAATTTATGTAATTATCATATCTTGGATTCAGTATAAATATATGATTAGAATTGTTTCTAAATAATAATAATAATAATATTTTTCAAAATAAGATATAGGAAAAAAATAATAATTTGTTAAAGGATTAGTATCTCTAAAATGGAAATGTAAATCTATAAATGTAAGGCTTTTTGTAATGCAAACCACGAAATGACCAATTTCATAGGCTATAAACAGGGTGCTTTTTGTAGAAGCTGCAATTAATCTTTTAATTGTTTATATGGTTGTGCTGAATGCAACACTTGTAACGAATAAATGTGTGAAAAATGTTTTGAGCAAAAAAAGCAAGCCTTTTGTGATAAAGGGCATTCTTGCAAATTTTATGCTCCTTTGACAGGACCAGACTCAGTTACATGCCAAACATGTCATAAAGTACCTTCACAAAACAATGATGTGTATTATGTTTGTGAGCTATGTCCTAAATAAATTTGCTAAACTTGTGTTTTTAGAACTCATTAACTTAAAATGGGTTTTTAACCAACTCCTTAATAGCTAATAGGTTTGTATCAATAATAGTAAGCAGGATTTTAGTAATAATAATAATTTTTCTAGCAAAATTAATAATTTTGAAATTAATAAATGATACACCACTAATAAATAATTGATGATGTTTGTGAATAATCTTATATTTATAATTACTAATTTTGAAATGTATTTTATGATTGATAATTGGAATTAAAATAACCTCAATTAATAAATTATTAGCTTATAATCTATATATGTGTATATTTTTTATTATAGAGTTTACAAAAAAATATATTTTTAATTAAATATAAATAAATATCCATATTTTAAATGGAAAAAAAAGAATTAATTGATTATATAATATTTAGTTATTAGTAAAATAATTATTGATTTTTATTAAATTATCTATTTATTTATGATTTACTTTTTTTTTGGAAATTTCAAAAATGTAAATTACTTAAAATATTTTAGACATCTTTGGAATAGTTTAAATTTATTAAAAAAAGATTTTCCTTAATTTATGTTATTAAAAAACTAACTAACCTTATATTAAATGATATCATATTCTTGAAAAATAAACACAAAGTTGATAATAATTACAAGTTAAACAATAATACTGTAAATTCTCTTATATGAATATTGCTAATCCAAAATTATGTAAAATTAGCAAGAATTAATTTAAAACATTTTTTGATTTTTTCACCTTATTTTAAATAGTCTTTATTAAAATATGTATACAGTATATATGAATAATTTATAATAAAAAATCATTTGATTATGTATTTAATTACAATTTAAAATTCTACTTTACCTCTATATCGGATTGATAAAATAAATATAAATTAAAATTCAGGTTAACTTCTTTATGGTCCTTATTTTGGAGTGTTTTCAAGCAGTCAGAATGTAGGATTAATTCATCAGTTAGAACTTTAAAATGGTAATGAAAACAATTCGAAAATTTAACAATATCACATTTGCTATTAAACAGAATTAGAAAAATTTCATTTAGATCCATACTTTATTTAAATAGTATAGCAATATTATTATACCTCGGTATGTAAAGCAGGTGAGCTTGAATTAGATCTAAGATAATATTTTAATGTAGCAGTAAAAAAAAAAATAGATTAAGATAGATCAAAATCTTATTCAAAAGTATTATAAATGTATTTGTGAAACAGAAGATTAAAATGATGGGGAAAAAAAACATCTCATATTGATTAAATATACGATTCAAGATAAACAATTAGAGAATAGCACTACTTTAAAGAGCTTAAGAAAAAAATTTGAAAATTATGTATGAAAACAATTACATTTACATAACAAATGATTTATCTACTTTTTATGATCTTGATATAATAATTTCTTTTGATGAATTAATCCCTGCCGAAGAAGTTAGCATATTGATTTATTTCAATAGATAGAAAAAACTTGTCTATGGAGAAAAATATTATTAACTTTTTTTACGGAGTTTTTAGATTGCTAAAAAAGGGAGAGTTATTGATAAAAATGAGTTTATTTAAAATTTAATAAAATAAAATTATAAACAAAGATATGAATTACAATAGGATGACTATTATAGTTAAGAAGCAAATTAATAAGAATAAAATAAAAATATTTATTTTTATAAAATACTTGCTATTTCAACTATTAGTTATTATTTGAATTTTGCTTAAAGACTAGGATTAAATACTTATGGATGGGGAGTAGTTTAGGTAAAAATCATAGTTTTACCATAAATTTATTTAAGTATGGTTTAATTTATTTCTCATTCTTGAAATGGTATTTGATTTTATCCTACTCAATTACTTGGTTAGAGTAAAATTATGAAAAAAATAAGAAAAGCAATTAAACCAATTTAGATATTTAATAATAAGACTAACAATTATGCTAATAAAATATTTATTTCTTTGTAAAAATAATAAGATTGTAAAATGTAAATTTAGTTTAATTAATAAATATCTATCTATCTATCTATCTATCTATCTATCTATCTATCTATCTATCTATCTATCTATCTATCTATTCAGTTGGAGTTTAGAAGCTAAGATGTACCGCTATTTAATAATATGATTGATTAAAATCATAATTAATTCAAAATCTAAAATTTGATTATTAAAAAATATTCTGTCATATATTTATTTATTTATTTTTAATAACCTCTTAATAAAATAATTAATAAATAAATTGGCATGTCTAAATAAAACAATAACTATTTTTTACAAATTTAGTTAATATGAAATTTAAAAATGTATTTATTCTTTTTATTTTCTTATACTCCATGATTTGGAAATTAATTTTTTATATTAAAAAATTTGAGGATTTAAAATGAAGTTGATTTAAAAAAAATTAAAATACCTTCTTCAAATTTTTAGTTATTGGTTTTTTTTAAAAATGAAGCTCATACTATTTAAACAAAAATGGAATCTTGAATACAAATATAGATAGATAGATAAATTCCTTATTGAATTTAATTTTTTTTAAATAATTAGAATAAGATTTTTTATTAAATATTATTTTTAAATTATTAAGTATAAAATAATCATATAAAAATTAGATAGAGTAATTTATTTTATTAATTAATTAATATTAAAATATACTAAAATAATTATTTTTAGATAAAATAAGTAAAATTAAACTTTTAATTTGAATAATAGTGTTATTTATTTATTTATTTATTTTGAAATTAAATCGAGTTTTAAGGTTTAAAATTTAGCACAATTAAATTATTATTTTAATCCTTTTATTACTAATTTATTTATTTATTAATTAATTTATAATATGGTATTTGTATGAATTAATTAATGCATACGTTCTTATCAAATATAGAATTCAGTGATCAATTTTTTATACTAGGTTTAATATTTAAATTTTAATTATGAAGATTTGCACCTCTATAGTCTTTTTTCTAGTAATTGTACAAAACCCAATATATTTTTTAGAAAGCTTTGTTAATATTTTCTCTAGTTTTTGCACCTGTCAGTACAATTTTACCTGATACGAAGATTAAGAGAACTATTTTTGTATTAAATTCACGATAAATCAAGCCAGGGAAAATTTCAGGTTCATACTAAACGAACTTTTTATGGTCTTATTCAAGATGGTCAAGATTGATGGGGAATTTTACATCAGTCGATCCTACTATATTTTATATTTTAAAATCTTTGAACTGTACGGGGAAACCTATTTTTTAGATAATCTTAGCATACTTTCTTGCAGCTCTATTAGAATCTTCTTCTGTTTTTGCACCCGTACACACCATTTTACCAGAAGCAAAAATCAGAGCTGTAGTTTTAGGATCTCTCAATCTCATAATTACTGCAGCAAATCTTTTAGGATTGTATTCAGCATTTCTGGCTCTAAGAGCTATTTGCTTTAAATCTAATTTTGTACTAAGATTTACAGTGGAAACAATATTCTACAATTTTGGGTATAAATCTTCACTTATGCTCTTATCCATCGTTTCTATAGTGCTAAGGATATTGTTTTTATTTTTATTTTGGTCTATGCTATTGCTCTAAGCGACGCTATTGTTTGGTGCTAACTTAAAAGTCTGCTGAGATGTTTTATCGCTGCTCATTATGATCTAAATAATGTAATTTATTATTTTCTTGTATTAATTTGCTTTTATTATGTCTATTATGAAAAGTATTTAAAGCTTATTATTCTTAAGTAGAATTTTGTTTGGTTTTCAGTGCAGGTGTAATCCCTTTTGCTTTATCTTTCTATCTTTCTTTGTATCTATGTATCTATCTATGTTTGTTTTTTGGGTTTCAAGTTATTAAGTTTTAAAAGAAATAATTGATTTATAGAGAATGAGATTTCTTTGTAATAAATAATTGATTGCTTTAAGTGATGAAAAGTGTCTTGCTTGATTTCTTAATTTAGAATTATTTGATTTTGATTAATTTATATATTTTCTTTTATTTGTATTTATATTCATACGATGCTTATTAAATCAGTCACCCCTTTTAATTAATCTAATTTTTTTTGCTTTTTGCTCTTATTTCTATCTTTCTATTAAATTTATGGGTTTTCACAAATATTATTAACTACCAATTAATTTGATTATTGGTATTATTATTTACACCAGGATAATCAATCAATAAATCAATAAATAATCCTTTTTTTTTAAATTCTAATTTTTAATTGGTAGATACTCTAAATAAATATTTCAAAACGCCAAATAACAAACAAACAAAAAATTTATTTAATTGATTAATAATACCAGCTATTTATTATATTAAATTTTACATAAAATTTTAAAATTATTTTATAAATCTAAAAAAATATTAAAATATTTTATTTTTTTGAATAAAAAATTATGATTTGAATTTAATTGTAAAAATAATAAATTTTAGTTACAAATTATAATTTAACACAAAAATATTAAAAAGATATGCTTTTATTTTCAGATCTTTTGATTATCAGGATTGTCAGCTTACTTGCTGGGTGAGGCAGCAACGAACTCAGGAATTTCCTTTAAATTTTTTAAAACTTCTGCAATATTGGGGAAAGGGGTTAAATCAAATTGGAATCTATCTACAACTCCTTGAACTTGAGGTACCAAGAATAAGTCAGCAAGTGTTATTTCATCACCAAAGCAATATTTTCCATGAGAATTCTTTAATAATTCTTCAATTGCTTTATATATTTTTTAAATTATTGAACGCTCATTCATTATAATAGAATTAAAATTAATTACCTGTCAAACCCTTAGTAACCCAGAATTTGAGCCATTGAATCTTGTCTTAGCTATATTCCTTTTCAATCTTATTAAGCACCCTCAAATTTTAGAGAGGGTGGATGGCAGTGTTAATTACTTGGCAAAAGCCTCTAATTTAAGCTCTTTTAACTGCATCTTAAGGAAGAAGTGGGTGCTCAGGAAATACTTCTTCCAAAAACTCTAAGATAGCAGAGCTTTCAATAATAACCTCGTCTCCATACTTTAAAGCAGGGACTCCCTAATAGTGTTTTATATTTCTTAGAATTATAATTACTCTCATAAAAAATTAAATTAATTACCTAGTTAGGATTGATTTTAGTATATTCTTCAGAAGTTTATTCACTCTTCAAAAGGTTAATAGGAATGATGTTGTAGTCTATTTTCTTAAGATTAAGAGCTATTCTTACTCTCCATGAAGTTGAGGAGCGGAAATAACTGTAAAGAGTAATTTTCTTTGAGCTTTCAGCCATTTAAAATATTAATTGATATGTTTATTGTATATATCTTTATTATATTTAATAATTTTGAAGATTATTTATATAAATATTTATTAATTAATTTAATAATGAAATAAATAAATAAATAAATAATTATCACAAATCAAATAAGTTATTAGTAAATTTCTGATTTTAAAAAAATCATATGAAAAAATCCAATTTATTCACAATTTCTCTACAAAAATCAATGCTTATTTAAAGTATAAATATTATGTCATAATTTTCTTTTTTATGCTTTAGTATTTACTTTACTTTAATATATTCTAGATATCTTCTGTATTTTTTCTACTGCTTAGTTATTTATTTTTTCTAGAATGTTATTATGTAGTTACTTGTTTTATCTTTATTGAATTTATATAATAATTACATTTTTTTATTTAATATAATTTTTATAATTACTTTTTTATTTTATTACCTTAGTATCTCAATAATAATGTCTGAATGAAATTGAAAAAAATCATAGATTTTTAAAATTATGTTAATTAATCACTAAAAGTTTTTATTAGTAAATTATTTTAGTAAATGAGGATTGCAGGTACATTAAATCAAGTAATTATTCATTAATTGAGTAATTTAAGTAAGAAAGCCTTCAATAATATAATTAATTTGTATATAAAAAAAAAACATTTAAATTTAAATATTTTTTTATCTGTTTTTAAGAAAAATGGTAATTTAACTTTTTGTAATAGCAAGAGTTTTAATAGATTTAATTAAACTATAAAAATTAGAGTAGTTATAAATAGTCTTTCTTATTAATAGTAATAATTAAATGATATTTCTTTAGTAAGTTAATCATTTTAATAAGTATTTATTATTTTAATTAATAATATGAAAGTATTTGATTCAGTTATTCACATATTAAAAAATAGAAAATAAATTTTCAATAAAATGGTTTTTTTAACTTTTTTTTTAATAAATAAAATATAAAAAGCTAGTCTTATAAAAAAATACATAGAAATTATGATAATATTAAATTTATTTTATTAATTATTAACTTTAATGTTTATTTATCATCAAGAGAATTTAGATTATTGTTATTGTAGCTATTCAGTGCTATTTATTTTTTCAGAAGCATTAAATAAATAGTGTACATAATAAAATTAAAACACATCTAATTTGAAGTTTAGTAATTACAAACCAAATTAATTTTTTATATTTATATGGAAGTATTAGTAGATTATCATTTTGCAGGAAATAAAGAAGTTCTGTTTGACTAAAAGGGATAAAGCATTCAAGGTGTTATAAATCTTTTGCATTAAACCAAAGATGTAGCTGATAAGCATTTCACTGCTTTGCTAAATGAAAAAGAAGGTACTTTGGTTTTTTTAAAAAGTGCATTTTATATGAATTAATTAAAGTTTGTTAACATTCATAATATTATTTTGTTGAGCAATTTTTAGTTTAGATCAATTTTAATAATAACTTAGGTGATCTCAAAGAAGATCCATTGAAAAAGAAAAAAACTAGTGAAAATGATTTAGACGATAATAACGATGGAGATGGAATGGAAGAAGAAAATGATAATTAAGATAATAAAATTGTAGAAGAAAAAGATTGAAATTTATTTAGCTAGCTAGAAGTTTAAAAATATAAATATTATTTTTAATAAGAATCATTTATTTGTCGTATTTGAGATTTAAACTCCAAAAAATGAGCGGAATTCATTTAAATTTTTATCTTTGTATTTCATTTTAAGCTGATCAGAACATCAATCGATCAATCAGTCTTTGCTTTTGAAATCTGATTTTATTAAATTATACCAATTAAGATTGAAGAATTTTAATTCCTTTCTAATCTTTAAGAATTATTAGATTTGCTAATTAATTAGTTAACATTATAAAAAAGATTCTGAAGCACTTAAGAGATTATAAGATAAATAGATATAAATGCAGTTTCTATTTTGATGGGTTTTAAACATTTTACAAATTTATAATTTATATTAATAGCTAGTAATTTATATTAGGTTGGTTGAATTTCTTATGCCTTTTTTTTATTTAAATATTAATGTTAAATGATTGATTTCTTAAATAAAAAGCTCTTTTTCAAACAAAGTATTTATTTTATTTCGTATCCAAAAAAATAATAAGAAATTTTTATGCTAAATTATTATTTTAAAATTTAAGGTAAATAAATAAATAAATATAACCAGTAATAATAAAAACGATTAGTAAATCAATCTTATTTTTGTCTATTAAAGAATTATGTAGTATTAAAAAAATAAGAATCTTCTAAGTGCATAAAATTTTAATATATGGACAAACAAGAGGTGGTAAATCATTTTTTAAAATTAAGTAAACTTTAAATTCAGTAAAATCTAAAATAAGTCTTATTAATCATAAATTTTTAATTAGAAAAAGTTTCTAAGTTATTTCTACTTAAAAATAAAATCAGAAAAAACATTAATTTTTCTTCTACATTTAATACTTTATATCTAAAATCTATAAGAAGAATATTATTAGTTGAAAATTTAAAATGGAGTAGGAATATTTAGACACTAAACTCAAGAATATCATATAAATCCTTAAGCAGGAGTAGAGAACCTAGCATTAAGTTAAAAAACTTGAAGATATGACTTTAGACGTACCGTTCTTTTAGTAATATAGGTAAGAGGGAAAAGAATTTATCCATAAAAGATGCTGCGCCTTGATGGAGTATGAGTACTTTTAATCTGGGGAAGTAGTGTTTCATATAGACACAACAGGTGAAAAATTTTATATTGTCCTGAAGGGAACAGTTGGAGTTTACATCAAAATTGATGGTTCAGATGAAATTTAATAGGAAATAAAAAGAAAAGATAAAAAAATGTTTGACATAGGAGATGAAAATAGCAGGTAAGATAAAAAAATTGAACTAACTTGTGTAAAGGAATTAAAAGATGGAACATCTTTTGGTGAATTATCTCTCCTATAGAATAAAAAGCGTCTTGCAACAATTATTTGCCACACGAATTGTCACATGGCTATTCTTAATAAGCAGTAGTTTGTTCAAGTTCTAGGAGAGAGCGAAGAATAGAAGATTTTAAAAGAAATGCAATTTTTTGCTGACTATCCCTTCTTTTAAGGATGGAATTTTAACTTGCTAAAAATGCTTTATTTGAATAGTTATGTAAAACAATATTCTAAAGGCTAAGTGGTATTTTAAGAGAATTAAGATTCCAATGCAGTTTTTTTTATAAAATCTGGCGAGTTTGAGGTAGAGAAATATTTTTAATACACAAACATAATGCAATCTGATGAATTTAAATTAGAAGGAGTCGAAAGGTAAAACTTCTAAAAAAATGAAAAGAAAATAGGAGTGAAAGGTTTAAGAAAAAAGATGAAAGAAGCAAATTTAAGTTATGAGAATCAATCTTAAATTGAAAAGGACTCTCTTGGAAAGCTTGTTAAACTCTGCATTTATACTGATAGAGAAATGTTTGGAGAAGAAGATATTTTAAAAGGATAGAGAAGGTCTTTCACTGTTAAATGTATATCATTCACAGGAGAATTGATCATGGTAAAGCTCAAAGATTTTTATAATAGAGTTTTAAGTGATTACAGAACTAAGTAGTTAATTTTACAGAGGCTTGAAAAAAAAGATGAAATGATGAATATGAAAATTAGTTTATTAGAAAAATCCATGCATGACTTTTCAGATTTTTATTTTCCTTAAAGTAAAGTTATTGCTTAAATGAAAGCGCAAAATATTCCTTTATTTAGAAGATGCAAATAAACATTTAAAAATTAAAACCATGATAGAACTTACAATTTTGCAGAAAACTATGTTACATAAAGCAATTTTTTGAACTCTAAACAATAAAAATCAAAAAATTTAAGTCCCTAGCCTTCAAGAATAGAAGAGAAATCAGATGATTCTAAATAAATAAACTCCTTTACAGTTATTAGGTCTAGTTAATTCATAACTATTCCTAACTCTCCAGACTTAAAAATAAGAAATTCTTAGTAAAAATAGCTATTGATGCCGTCCCTATCTCTGTAGCATTCATAATCTGAAAATTCAGAACAAAACCAATAAAATATTTCAATTTAATTACCATCCCATAACTTTTCTAAATATAAAAAGATAAGCTCAAGTCGTAATATATAGTAGTTATAAAACTCTAAATAGATTAAGCGTAAATTTTCTTGCTAGCAATAATTGATAAAGTCTAGAACCTTTTTAACTCCAAAATAGCCAAAAGATGAAGATTCTCCTTAGATACCAGAAAGTTATTACTCTAAAACAATTATTCTTTCCCAGAAATAAATAGATTCAAGTAATTTAGAAGCAATTAGGCAACCCTCAATTACTTGTATTACCCAAATAAACTGTGAAAATAAACTCACTGATTCAGTCAGTTTATAAAATTCAAGATCTAGTTATACTTAAAATTCACCTTAGTCGCCTTTTTTAATAAGTAATTTTAAAGCTTTCGAAAGTTTAGCAAGTGATTCAATTTAGGAAAGCTAATCAAGAAAACAGGACAATTTTAATTTGCTACTTAGCACCAATTCCCAAAATAATAATGGGATACTTGACATACCTATAAGTACCTCTCACAAAAATATTAATAAAATAGATGAAATAATCTCAAATAAAGCTTCTTAACTACTTTTGATGATTCCAAATGAAATTAAAGCAAACGAAGCAATAAGTGAAAATAAAAAAGCTAAAAAATACTTTGATTAACAAACAGAAATTCACAGTTGTAATTTAAAACCAGTCATTCTAAAAACTCAAAGCTCTTCAAATGGTTAAAATGTCTTTTAATTCACTAACGAGTAAGATATCAATAAATCTTAAAAGTAAAATATTTTTTGAAATTATTTTAAAAACTCTTTAATATTTATTTTCATTTTTTTAAATTTTAACCCAATCAAATCTCAGCCTATCAAAAATATTCTTTAATCAAAATATAAAATAAATAAAAAAAGTAGAAAATTTTTAATAAATTAAGATTTGTAATAAAAACTATTTTGCAGAAATTTTAAATTAAAATAAATTAAATGCTCTTTAAATAAATTTATTAATGAATTTTCGAGGAAAAAAAGATTTTTAAAATTTAATTTTTATAAAATAGCCAGAAAAAAACAAATTAAGACAAGCAAAATGATATTAATTAAATGACGGATAGCTTTTATAAAACTTTAAGAATAAACTATTTTAATAAATTTAAAAGCTAAAATATTCAAAATCTTAAAAAACATATTTAGAGCAGCTTGATAAATAAAATGCCTGATTCTTTTATTCCATTAGACAAAGGTGATTTGAGTTTATACCAAAAAAAAGAAAAATGTGATTTTGAACAATAAAAAGACTAGTTTATAAAGTGGTTTAACCAAGAAATGTACAAAGATAGATAATTTTAAAGAATTTAAAGTCAGATATAAAGAAAACAAAAAGAGTTAAACAAGTAAGAAAAACCCTAAGAAAATTTTGATTAGATTATATTCTCCAAAACTTAGGAAGGATTTAACAACAGTAGAATTCACAGTAAAGAGACCATGAATACAACAAGTTTAAGATAAAAAAATAGAAATGTCTTTAACATTCAAGTATAAACTTAGTTTACAGAAGAAAATTTTTAATCTAATTTAGATACTTCGGGAACAAGGAAACCTAGTCTCCAAAAAACAAAATCTGAAAGCAGTTAAATGTAGGTTAAACCCTATAAATCTGCATTAGTTAGTAGAGAGTCATCTTAAGAAATTACCTCTCCATCAAGCGCCTTCAAAAAATTAAGCATAAAAAAAGAATAAGAAAGTAATCCCTTTAAGGCTAATTCCATTTAGAGTGTTTACTAAAAACATTTAATTAAATAAGATTATAAAGTCAAAAATAAAAATAGTACTGATGGTTTCTAAACTGAAAGAATGGTACAAGTACTTAAAAGTAACTGCTTAAAAAATACTTTTGCTAAAACTGATTACGATTTCTTCTTAAATAAAGAATGTCACATTAGCTCTGATAATAGATAAATTTTCAAACCTAGGATGTAAGAGCTTAAAAAATTTAAGAAACCATAGTCTTAAAATAGCTTACGTCAATTATATCAGCAAAACAACTCAATACTTTAAATCGATACTTCATTAAATTAAAAAGTTCAAAAAGAATCCTCTAAAACATAAGAAAGTTATTCCTAAAAGCTTAGTAATATGCTCACTTATTCAAAATCTCCAGTCTCTCTAAAAAGCTTTTAAAATTTAAGTGTCAAAAATTAATAAATAAAGCTCATAAACCCAAACTATTATAATTAAAATACTTAAAATACTAACAACTCTACTTTAAGCTAAGAATATAACTCATTTAACTTTTTTAAAAAGAGTTGCGAAAGGAAAATTTTAAGTAAGTTCGAATAAGAAATCTTTGATCCCTATAAGATGTCATAAAATAAAAATATTGCTTGAAGAAAACTAAGTAAGCATATAGAGACTACTTAGTTAATAAATAATTTAATTACTTTAATTAAATCTAAATTCAAAAAATAAAACATTTTACTTTTAGAATAATCATAATAGATATGAAATTAGATATCAAAATTTTAAAAATTCTAACCTATTTATCAAGAAATCCTATATTTATTAAAGCAGATAGTTTTACATCTATAATCAATTTATTTTTTGTATAAATTATTATTCAATTCTTTTATTTGTCATTTTATATTTAAATTTCTTATTTACATACTTTAAATATATATATATATATATTTATTTCAAGTAAATGAAAACTAATTAATTATACTTACTAGATTAAAAAATATACCTTAATTATTCTAAATTAAGGTGAAAATTAATTTTAACTAGAAATTCTAACTTTTCTAAATTCATTTTTTATATATAAAAATGCTAAGTATCAATTAAAAATATTTATTTATGAAAAAATACCAATTATAAATTAGAGAAATAAATACAAATTATTTATTTTAATTTTTTTATAAATTAGATTTTTAAGAAATAATTATTTTTTCAATTTTTTTATTCAGTATAATCTGGTTAATTACTAGGGGAAGCAGCAATAAATTCTGGAAGATCCTTTAAGTTATTTACAACACTTAAGATAAGAGGAAAAGGTGTTAAATCGAATCCAAATCTTTCTACTACTGCAGATACTTAAGGGATTAAGAAAATATCTGCCATCGTTATATCATCACCAAAGCAAAATTTTCCATGATATTTCTTCAAAAGTTCTTCTATAGCTGAAATATAAGAATATTATTTATTAAAAAAATTATAGAAAAAGAATTATTTGTTTACCTGTCAACCCCTTAGTCACCCAGAATTTAATCCATTCTAACTTATTCATATTGCCTTCTTTTTCAATTTTTCCTATTAAATTTGAATTCTAATAGGGATGAATAGCACTGTTTATGACTTAGCAAAAGCCTCTAATCTAAGCTCTCTTAATTCTATCCTCGGGAAGTAAAGGATACTAAGGAAAATTTTCTTCTAAGAACTCGATTATTGCAGTGCTTTCTATCAATGTTTGATCTCCATATATAAGAGCAGGGATACGCTTTATAGATAAATTACTTCAAAATTAATATAATATTTGAGAAAAATTAATTTACTTAATTTGGATTAACCTTGAAGTATACTTCAGATTTTTACTCATTTTTAAAAAGGTCAATTGAAACTAATTTGTATTCTATCTTTTTTAAACCAAGTGCTAATCTTACTCGCCAAGAAGGTGAAGAACGGTAATTGCCATAAAGGATAATATTTTAATTATTTTCACTCATTTTTAAAAATATGTTAATTTTATTTTATTTTAATTAATATTATTGTATGTTCTGTGCTTTTAATTTTTGTTTTTAATGATACTTATAAAATTCACAATTTAAGAGAAAATATGTCATTTCTATAGAAAAAAAAGATTAATCTGTTAACTTCTTAAAGATTAAGAGTAGAATCTTTTCTGATATTAATAGGCTTATCTATCTATCTTTCTTAGAAATACTTTGAATTTTCAATCAAATTAGAAATTTTAAAGAAAATCCCATTAAACATATCATTAAAATATGTAAATATGAGATAGATAATTTTTTAGAAAGTGTAAGAATTTTCATTAAATCTTTTTCTATTTTATTTTGGATAAAATTATTTATCGATTTCTTAACTAAGTTTATTAAAATAGAAAAAAAGCAATTAAGTACCATAAAATAAATGCTTATAAATAAATTTGATTAACTGAATTCTAATATAATTGTTTTTCTTAAAACTAAGTAAAAGTCTCATATGGCAAATACATCTTAAATAAATAAAGAAATTTTAAACAGCCACATATCAAAAGATTACAAGGGAAAATATTCAATTTTTATAAATATTAAATTTAATTTTTCATTGTATATTAAATATTGATAAAATTTTACTTTACATATTGACAATTTATTTTCCCCTTAAAATCAAACCAATAAAGTTATTATTTATCATAATTTGTAGATTTAGATTGAAATTTCATAAAAAATAATTGGGGTACATTTTTTATTAATTAGAGATATTTATTTTTAATCATTATACATGTTAAAAATTCTTAAAAACTTTAACTTTAGACTTTCCTCATAATGGAATAAACAAAAAGATTAAAAATTAATATGAAAACATTAAATTAAAAAATTAAAAATTTAACAATTATCTTAGAAAAATTTATTCTTTAAAACCTGTATTTATAAAAAAGAAATTTTAAGAAAGGTAGCAAAAATAAATAATGATCTAGATTATTATTTTTTTCAGAGCCATAAATTACATAAATCAAAACAGATTTTCAGTGTTTTTAACTAATTCAGATACATGATCTGCTATAGGCATTGAGCAAGTCCATCCAGGAGATACTACATTTAGCAAATGCATGCTTAAATTATCTTTTTCAATTATAAAATCATTTATTAATTCTCTAGTCTTTAAGTCTACAAGCTGAGCTCTGATACCTGGCTTACCTGGCTCAAATTCATTACTTACGTTTTAAGGAAAGGAGAGCCAATTCAAAGGTTTTTAATCATATAATGTGAATAGTTTTTATGATTATTTAATAACATATGGCTTGTAATACTTTTTTGATTCTTCATATAAATGTTTGAGATAAAACATGCATTTAGGACTAAACAAATTCATCATATATTGATAGGAAAGACTTTAGAATTCTTGAAATTCCTTTTTGCTCCATTGATGGATTGGCTTATCACCATATTCTTCTCTATAGAGAGCAGGGATAGCATTAGGGCCAAATTTAATTTGGTCATTAACTGTGCATGTTAAATGAACACCTAAAAAGTAATTTCCCTTTTTAGGTGGAATAGGGTATATCAATGAATTAACTACTCCTTCAGGATATTTTTTCTTATCTACCAAGTAGTTTCCTTTAAATGGCATAATTGTATAATCTTTACAATAATTGAATTATTTTGCTATTATATCAGCATATAGACCAGCAGAATTAATTATATATCTAGACTCAAATATTTCTTCTTAATCTAATTTGCGATTTTTAATCACAAATTTATTTGAAGACTTTGTTTGTTCTACAAGTTTTACAAACTCATATTGGCTAAAAATTTCTACATTTTTTTATCCTTTCAATTCTTATTCCAAGCAATTGATAACAGCCTTATTATTGCTGACTTTTGTTGTTGGTGTAAACAAGAAATTATAGTTTGGATTATGCATTTTCAAATTCTTTTCTATTTTGATTGCTTCATTGTAAGTCAACCACTGATATTCAATTTAGTTTTTTTCAGCCTATTAACGCAGCTCTTTTAAGCGCTCATATTCTTCATCAGTAGAGGCTATAACAAATTTACCTGTGTGTCTTACATTATAAATTATAAAATAAATAAATATTCAATTTTAAACATTATTGAATTCTTTTTAATCTAAATTAAAAATATATTTTGAATTTTATAAATAAAAAAGATATGCTTTATTTTGATATTTAACTTTAATCGACACTTAAAGATCAAGGAAGTAAATAACTTGAAGAATATAAAAAATGCATTCCTTTTAGTTGAATATATATATATTTGTTTACTTTAATGGTAATTTATTATCTATGCAGTATTGGGTGAGTTACATATTTCCTTGCTTGCAAAATTTTGCTTTTAATGAATCAGTGCTGTAATACAATCCAGAGTGTATTACTGAAGAGTTTCTGGTAGAAGTGTGTTCACCTAATGTCTTTTCTTTTTCAATTAGAGCAATTTTCAACTAGGGAAATTTAGCAGATAAAGACCTCGCTATAGTTGCACCTATAATACCACCTCCAATAATGCAGATATCTTTTTGCATGTCTGTCTATTTATAGTTTTTAAAGTATATGAAAGAATGTAGTGTTTGATTGTTTATTTACTAGTTTGCTAAAATTTATTTATTTGATTTTTTAAGATTAATTTTTGATTTAATAAAAAAAATAATGCTGGCTCGAATTACTAAATTATAAATTTTGCAAAGTATTATGATAATTTAATCTAAATGAATTACCTTATTTGAATGTAGACCAAAGGAATTTAATATATAAAAAATTTGATAATTGAGAGAAGTAGAAACAAAAAAAATTAATAGTCCCCATTAAAAAATCTATATTTATCAATCAATCAATTTCAATTTGACTGTATACTTTAAAGATATAAAACATTATAAAATACTAAAGAAAAATAGTTACTTATTTGTCAAAGCTGTACTAAGTAATATAGAACCATTTGAAAGAAGATAATTATCTATAATTAAAATAAAATTATTTTAAAAATATACACTATACATATCTATTAAGTAAATAAATAAATAAATCAAGCTTAATAAAGTGCTTTGTTCTAAATGGAAAGGCAATGTTGCATTTTTTGTGCCTAGCAAAAAATTGATGTAGTACTAGACTACGCATGTTTTGAAAAAAATCACTAAAAACAATATATAACACAAAGCTTTAAAAATGAGCATTTATAAACAATCAAAGTGAATCGCCTATTGGAAAGTATTAGACTAAAAAACAATTAGTTAACAAAGATTGATGTTGATTTTTAGAATGCCAGATTTTATCGCACTTTTCCATCTCGATTGCTGTATACACTGTCATAGTTATTTTAGCTATCAGAATTGAAACTCAATTTTGAACAAACTCCAGCTAATTCTCTAAGCTCTTTTAAAAAAATAATCTAGACATCTTTTACTCTTAAAAATCTGTATATAAATCTGTAAGATACGCCCATATCCTTGATAGATTATCATTCGATTTGTGAAACACTTTAAAAACTCCAAAATATAGAAGTATTTTTAACTCTTATTATTAAAATTTACACTTTAAGATTACATAAACACTCCTTAAAACAGTAAGTAAAATTGAACAAAAAAATGAAAATGTTTTTACAAAATATTCTTAATATGCAATGAGTGCCTTGAATTAATAACTGTTTTAATTCAACATAAATATTTAAATATTTAAAAATTATTGAGGCAATTAAAATTAACGCATTTATACCAACTTACAAAATTAAATTTAACAAAATTGTTAGCTATTAAAATTTATTAGTCAGCAAAATATTAAAAAAGGATAATATAAGTACTTCTACTATTTTGTTCATCTTTATATTAATTATTCCTCAAAGCTAACTAACTCAATCTATAGTTTAAATAATTTTAATCCAACCATATTAAAACTCTCAAAATAATACGTAAAGAAATAAATCTATATTTACAAAAAGGAGAGTGAGTTTAATCTTTAAAGTTAATTTGATCTTCTATAATCTAAAATTACCTAATCCTTTTAATAAAATATCTTTCTATTTTATAATAATCTCTTTAAAACTAATTTTTCACAATCTAATATTACAAAAAACTAAGACTAAATAAATTTAATAAATCATATTAGAATTTTTTTAATAAAACAAAATTTATATTAACTGTGCTCATTCTATAATAAATTTAACTTAACATACACAGGTATCCAGCTTATAGTTGTATTTTATAATGAAAAAGTTAAATTTTGGATAAATTGCTCATTTTTAACAAGTGCTCAGTTTAAAAGAGTGTCCAGTTTGACAAATATATTAGATTCTTAAAACTAATAAAAGTTATTCTTCGAAATTTAAAAGATTTTAATTTATTTAGAATAAAATAATCAGAAGAGTGGCTACAATTATAAAAATACAATTATAAAAAGATGAATACCGTCTGTGCTATTGAATAAGAGAGAGAAAAAATTTATTTTGCTTAAAAATTCTCATATCAAAGAATTCTCTTTCATTAGAAATATACATTTTTTTTGTAATATTGAAAAATGAAGGTTTAATTATGACTTAAAAAACAATAAATAAATTTAATCATAAATAAATATTTGAGAAAATTTCATTCTAATATAATCGAATGAAAGTAAATTATTTGAACAAATTTTTAATCTTAAAAATTCTCTTATTCAAGAACACTAATAATATTCCTAATTTAAAATTAGTTTTTTAGATATTAAATTTTCCAAAAATTTTTATTTAGCTATTTTAAAGGAGTTTGTTTTATTTTGAAAGTAAAAATATCGAATCAATAATTAAGAGTTTTAAACATAATTTGAATGAGTTTTTTATTTTATTATAAAATAGGAATTATAGCTTTCAGTTAGCAAGAATTTAAAAGAGAAGAGCATTATGCCTCTAGCAGAAGCTATTAAATAAAATTAAAATTTGAAATACTTGGATATTGATTTTTAAGATAATATTAGTTCTTAGGATGACATGAACTAATTTTTTTCTAACTTGAAGGAATTAAGCAGCTTGAATAAAATTAGAATTTGCATTGATAAAAGTAATCATTGTGTATTAAATGACGAAGGTGGCTTGTCTTGGAGATGGCTTTTAAAATCTTTGGGAGAAAATTTAGATGTGTTTGAATTTTCTGCATAAGATACTGAATGCCAAATTGAGTTTTGGATTAATTTCTTTAGTGGATTAAAAAATAATAGCAATCTGAGAGTATTTTCTTTGAATGCCAACTTTAAAACTAGTAGGAAGCATTCTTGTCTAGAATTGTTTTTGCTGTAAGTTTTTGAAAACCTTTAGAATATAGAGTGCCTAAATATTTCTCTTGACAGTTTAAATGTATTGTTGAAACCTTTGTCCATGAGCACTTTAATGAATATAAAGCATAGCAAAATACAATTAAATTAAAATTAAATAAATTTAGTGCCATCCAAATCTGAATTAGACATTCTTACTTTTTAAAAATAAAAAAACTAAGAAATAATCTGCTTATATTTAGACTTTCTTACAAATAATTTTTTTATAAATGATATTAAATTTCTTGACAGCGATGCTTACCAATCTTTTTTTGATATAGTTAAATTCGAAAATTAAAAATTAGCACTTTAAATAACCTGTTTCAATAAATACATTTCCTAGAATATTCCTTTCCACAGTCGACTTATTTTTTGGGATTTGTATTTCTGAATTTTTCAATTTAACAAAGAGTCTTTCAAAGACCTTTTTGTTATTGATTTAAAATTAGTAATAAAAAAATGGGGATTGATTTATTTAAAAAAAATATAAAAAATATATATGTATATAACTTGATTAATTTTGAGTTATTAAATAAAAAAGTAAATTATATTTATATTACCAACTACTGTAAATTTATTTGTTTAAAGTTTTGAGTATTTATTCATTTATTTATTAGTTTATGAATAAAGCAGGATTAATAAATAATATTTTGAATTTAATTAAAATTAAGCAACGAATCATATTTTTTAACAAAAAAGATAGTTTTTCTATGTGAGTAATTTTATTTTACTATAGAAATGGATAATAAAATTAAAGTACATGTATATGAAAGTTATTTTACATATTTAATATTATTTTATTGATAATTTATTTTAAAAGAGTATCTGCAAAATCATTTAATATAGATAAGCGGTTGGAGATTTTTATATAAACAATAGTTCTCTGTTGTGATTTTGCGAGAGATTGTTTTTAAATTAAAATGCTGCTAATAAATACTTAAAGAATATAGATTGATTTATTTATTTTATAAAAATATAAAAAATATGTAAAAAATTTTATTAATTTTGAGTTATTAAATAAATAAATTTTATTTATATTACAAACTACGAAAATTATTTACTTATTATTTAATGAATTAGGCAGGATTAATAATATTTTGAATTTAATTAAAATTAAGCATTCAATCAGAATTTTAAACAAAAAAAGCAAAGAAGATAGTTTCATATGCGAATTATTATATTATAGTAGATAAGGTAATTATAGTACATATGTGTATATATGTTATTTTATATATTTAATATTATTTTATTGATAATTTATTTTAAAAGAGTGTCTGAAAAATCATTTAATATAGATAAATTGTTGGAGAATTTTATATAAATCTAAGGTTTCTGTATTGTTTTTGAGATAGATCGTTTTTAAATTAAAATGCTGCTAATAAATACAAAAACAAACAAATATATATTGATTTATTTTACAAAAATATAAAAATATGTACATACAACTCAACTGATTAATTTTGAGTTATTAAATAAAAAATTTATATTTATATTACCAAATACTGTAAATTTATTCGTTTAAAGTTTTGACTATTTATTCATTCATTTATTTATTAGTTAATTAGGCAGGATAGGATATATTTTGAATTTAATTAATACCAAGCAGATTTTTAAACAAAAAAATTAATCAAACAAAAAGAGAGTTTTGTGTGTGAATTATTTTATATTAGTAGAGAGATGGATAACTTAATTACAATACATGTATAAAGATTTTGTGATTTTGCATATTTAATATTGTTTTATTGATAATTTGTTATTAAAGAGTGTCTGTAATAATTTATTATAAATATAAATGGTTGGAGATGATTTTTATAAAAACCATAGTGTTGTGTTGTGTTATGTTGTATTTTTGCGATAGATCGTTTTTCAATTAAAATGATGCTTATAAATACTTAAATAAGCATATAAATAATGAGCAACGTAATAGGGTTGTATAATTGAAACTGGCTTGCATAAGCGATTGCTTAGTACTTTGATTTTTCAAAGATCGTAAGACTTATCTAAAAAGCGATTTAACTAATTTTTTACCATCCACGCAGTTCCACTTGAAAGAGGAGCCTTTTGAATAGAGTTAAATTGTTAGATTACAATAAGTTATTATTACATATTATTAAATTACCTTAACTAGATTTATAGTAATACCTTTATAAAATGTAGGAATATATCCTTCTTTTTTAATATAATGTGTAACAAGTTATCTATATGTCCTGTGGATATAAATAAATTTAAAATTTAGATTTTTTGAAAGATAATGAATTATGTTTGACATACATTTTGTGTGTTTATTCTCCAGTAGAAATCAAGAGTGATTGTGCTTGTCTCCTTTTTCTCATAACATCAAATGGATAAGCAACTAAATTTTTATTACAATTATGATTAACTTTTTAAACAATAATATAAGATACTCATTTATGATATAGTTGCACCAATAGCCCCAAATATAAAGTCCATGTACCATTTATTAGCCCTTTAAATATGATTTTCTTTAGCATAGTTTTTCAAATTTGTCATCATAAAGAATCCAGAACCGTGATAAAATATAACACCCTAATTTTATTATTCATTAATTAAATAAATAAATAAATTAAATTAAGTTAGTAGAATAATTTTCAAAGCTAGTATAGAGTTATTTTTTCAAAGTTTTTTTTGTTTGTTTGATTTTTAATTCATACAATGCACTTCTACTTTTAGCTAAAATCAATTTAACATCTAAAAATTCATTACAACTATCGCAAGACCTAGTCCACTGTAAAATCCTTTGATGCCTTCTTAATTATATACAACTTTTACTGCATGCACAAAATTTTTGTAATGGAAATTGTCTCTCTGCATAGCCAATCTGGTTCTATAAATAAATAATTAAAATTGCAAATTTTAAATTAGTCAGTTTGAAAATTTTTTTAAAAAACCTAAACAGTATTCTAGGTTAAGTGAAATAATTTTATCAAAGATTAAATGCATTTACTAAAACATAGTTGATTTAAAAAGGCTTGATTTTTATTTATAAGAATACTAATTTAAAAATTTGTATAAAATTGCTTTTCTTAATATATTTATTTACCTAATAAACTCGAACGGATAGCATATTGATTAAGAGACAATACCCGAAACTGCACCAATACAAAAGAGAAGAAGTTACTTTTTTATTTTATTTTCGCTTGGATAGGGATAGTACACATTCTAAATTAAAAAAAACAATTTATTACTGTTTCTTCATTTGCTCAAAAAAATATTATTTGTATGCTAATAATTAATAAGCATCATTAAACAATTTGTTTTCTAAAAACAAAACTATGCTATTTAACGAATCAAATTATATTTTAATCGCATTTTGATACCTTTCTCAAATAGTCGAAGGTCGAGAAATTCTAATATTTTAATTATAAATTTCATTCTTAACTATTATTTGTATTTTTTTTGAAATTTACAATTGATGCAAAGGGGAATATTCTTAATAGATTTGCACTATTGCCTCTCCAAAGATTTCTAAATCCGTGTTTTTATATGATGAATTTTCCTTCGTTATAAAACTCTCTGTATGTTAGGGTCCTATCTCTTGTCTATTTGATATTTTAATGGTGATTAAATGGTTAACGCTTTTCCCTGACAAAAAAATCTAATACCACAAAGAGGAGTTTGACTCTTTCAAAAGGAGCAATTACAGTTTTTCCACAAGCGCCTGCTATACCACCTAAATAAAGATAAAAATATTCCTATTAGATTCGTTGCATATATATATCTAAGGGGTTAATGCTATTAAATATTAGAGCTTTAAATGTAATACTATACCACTTAAAAAACTCTTTAACTGTTTGTGCTCATTTTTGCTTTGTATCTTTTCTGAAGTTTCTAACTAAATTGCACCTTAATTCTTACTCATTTGATTTTAATTGTATTTTGACTCAACCAAATAATTATTGTTTAGATTAAATTAAATAATTAATAATTATTAAGATTTCTGGCAGTAATCTATTTAATATCGCATTAAATTATGCATTTATTTTACTCACGAAATAGAGTAACGATTTATTTTATCTTCTGTTTATTGGAAATATACATACATCTATTTTAACTCTTTCCCAGATATTTTTTGCATAATAAAGATAAGCTACTCCTCTTTAGATTTATATTAACGAAACTAAAATATTTTCCTAATAGAAATTATAAATTAGGGTTTAGCTAATACAAAAAATTTAATTTCATTAATGCTGTTTGCGAATTTTACCAAAAATATTTTTTTGTAATAGAATTTTAAATTCTAATAAAGAAAATATAGATACTAAGAATATTCTCTTAAAAGAGATAAAATTCAGAAATATCTTCAGAAATTGAACAACTTCTAATATAAGTATAGATAAGTAATCGCTGAAATTTTTAATCAATTTAATTACTCAGGTTTATTTACAATTTTAACATTCAAATTTATTTGCTTCAAAATGAAATTTGTAAAATTTAGAAAATTAAACAGAATCTTCTGAAAGATATTTACTAATTAATCCGAAATCAAATTTATAAAAAAAAATGTAAAAGCATATTATATAAATACACGCAAATCGCATCTAAAATTTTAGTATTTAACTGCATTTAAATTTATCATATAATAAAATCTGATCAAATTAATCACATTAACGAGCATATACTTGCCAGCTGTTTCTTTTTTTACATTAGTATTTAAAAATAATCAATTTTCTTCAATTAAAGAATTATATTGCTGGCTAAAAATTTCGATCGCTTTATTTACATTTATTAAATTACACAGCAAAATCAATATTTTTATTATTTATGATAATACATATTTATGTAAACTGAATTTGTTTATCAAAAATTGTTAGACCATCAAAATACCAATCATTTTAGAGGCATATACCATATTTTTATTGCAACTAAATCCAGTGTCCACATCTACTTTTTAATAGATTAAAAAAGTAGGTTTATATATTTTATTGAAATTTTTTCATTCAATTTTATTCTTTATAAATTGTATTAAATACATTTTTAAAAAAAATACTAAAAAGCTTTAAACAAATCAATAAATAATTCTATTTAAATCCATAATTAATATTTATTTTATAAGCCTTTTTGGTAATATATTTTACTTACGTTAAAAATAAAGTCAAATGAGTTTATATGTTTTTAAAATTGTTTTAAAGTTGGTTAAATATAAATATTTTATTTTTATAAATATATAAAATATAAAATTATCTTTTAAAAAAGTTTTAATATTAAAATTCTTATTTTTATTTAACTTAAATAAATTTTTCTGTTAATAAAGAGTACTAATATATCAAAAAAGAGAGAGTATATTTGAATTAAAAGTATAAAGCTATATTCGTATTAAAAAGTAAAGAAATAAGTAAAACTATTTCTTTGAAGGTAAATTTCTATATTATGTAAATTATGATATAGTAACATATGTAATAAAAAATGTAATATGAAGAAAAATAAAATCATCCTTAAAATTTTAAGATTAAAATTCTTTATTTTTTACTTAAATAAAATTTTATAAAACATAATTGATGTTTAAAAATCAAAAGGTATTTTAATTAAAAAATTATGAAGTTAAATTTATGGAAAATATTTATAAAGAAATGACTAAAACTAATTGATTAAAGATAAATACAGAGCGAATGCAACATTTTACAGAATAAAATGCAGTAAATTGTAAAATATGAACAATCTTAAATAGAATGTTTAGCATTTGAATAGCCTAAATACAAATTACTTATGTGATTATAGATAGTTTTAGTTTTATTTAAAGATAGGTAGCTATTACTGTTGGTTGATGGGTTGTTATGAATTAAGGAAGATTTATTTATAAAATAATTGATATATATTTTTATTTATATTTTGTTTATTGGTAGTTTTTTTAATATAATTTAAAATAAATTTTCTAATTTTTTAATAGATAAATAGATAGATACTTTCTTTAAAACTCCTTTTCTATATTTTCTTTTTCTAAACTAATTCTAGCTGAGCTACTGATATATTTAAGAATCATTCCTAAATGAATTATTTATGAAAGTTATTCTTATAAAATCATTACTTTAGCTAGAAAGAAAAACTTTAATTAAATATTTTTCATAAACTAGAAATTTTAAGTTTTTTAATTAAATTATTTCTTCTAATTTTATTTATTAATTTATTTAATTTATGAAAAAGAGGAAGTAGTTAATTATTTCACACCAATCATATTTCAAGAGTGTATATTTTGCTTCTAATTTATGCATAATGAGTTTTGTTTAATCTAACAGGGCGACCTTCAGCAATTTGCTCTATTTTAGAGTGATCAGCAAAATAGAGGTAGTTAGTGAAGTGGTCTAATATAAGGTTTGTTAATTAATAGAAGGTGATTAAGTAGTCAAGCAAAACAATGCTCTACTCTAAATCGTTAGGTAAAACATCTTACTCGTTTTTCACTCTACCCTTAGCAATATGGTTAATTTCACGAATAGTAAAACGTAAGAATGATTGTAAAATAATATAAAAACTTTCGAATTCCATGAAGTTATCATCAAAGATAGCATCAAATTTTTTGTCTTTTTATAGCTCGCTCTTAGTAGCTTGTTGAGCAAAAATACCACTTTCCCAGCGTTATTTGAAGTGAGTCTAATACTTAGTATAATATTCACTTATCACAATCTAGAATCTTTTGAAACTTTCAGTTTTTGTGTAGTTTGACCAGTCAGACAAGTTCAAGCTATTCTAATTGGACTCATTCATATTATTTAGTTTTGTTATTTTCACCATTATGTTTTTTAATATCAAGAAGACTAGCTTTTCTTTAAGCATAGGGCTTTCTATTATATTGCTCTCTTCAGCTAATTTAGAAAGACGGAATAAGAAACGACACAAATTGATTTAAGCTAAAATTATTTTATCATTATTTTATAATTCATTTCCATTGTTGTTTGAAACAGTTGTGTTATTGGTTTATTAGCCAATTGTCTAGTTATTGTTGTTGTTCTATAGGGAATCATTTCTAATTATTTTTAAATTTAAACTTTTTAAAAAATATCATTTTAAAATAAAATTTATTTACATTTTTTCTAATGGTTGAGTGTTTTTTGATTCTTCCACTTATTATTGTTGAGAACTTAAAGACGAAGGAATATTTCCTACAACATCTGCATGGTTTTATGAGTGTGAATATGTTGTTTTGATTTAATCATTTTGTTATTATTCGTGAAGGGCCTTTTCTTCCTTAGGAATATATGGAGGAATTTATTACATATTTGGGGTAAGTTTACGACCTTCACTTCTAAGAATGTTAAAGTCTTGATTACCGCCAATACCATTAATAGGTGTACCTACTTAATTGCTACCTTATTGAACTTAATTACCATTAGATGCAATAGTAGTTGTAGGAATCATAGGGATATTTGGTGTTTAAACAGCTGCTGCTGTCATTTAACCTGGTTATAGATCGTTATCAGCTCTTCTGTACTCAGTTTTGTGACCCTTCTTAAAAAAAGTAAAAAATTAATTTATATTAAAATTTAACTGTTTTTAAATATTTCAATTCATCTAAAAATTAAGATGGACGATATTATTTATTTTCATAATTTTCATTATTTTATATCTTATATAGTATTAGTTTATCTGTGTTTATGAATTTTTATAAATTAGATAGTTTAATTTATTTAATATCTGCTTTTGCATTTTAAATTGTTTTATTATTCCATTTATTGAATATGTGAAAAAAGATTTCTATTGAAGATTTAAACTTTAATTTTCTTATTGATATAGAATTTTATAAAAAAATTGAATAATAATTAGATATCAAATAAATCAAGCTGAATGGATCAATTAATTTGTTAATATTTTACTACGTTTTTGAATATCTTTATTCACTCATATTTTTATTTATTTATTTTGTTTTTATTTAATTTCTCTCGTTTTTATTTAATTTTTTCAGAATATCTTAATATCTTATAATCGTCATAAATAAAATTTATTGTGATATATTTACTCTTTGATGCTATAGATTTTAATGAGAACCAAGATTTTCTTTAGAGGGAGGAGAATTTTCTTTTCCAGATTCTTATTGATGAATACCTGAAGGTAAGTTAGGAATATTAGTCGAAGATGGCAACTACTATTAAGAAGATGGTCTTTTCATGTTATGAGATGCTTATTACTATTGTTATACTTGTTACTATTGTTATGCAGGTATGTTCTTTAAAGAACCCTCATTTTTAACTTTGATATCCTTCTTGAAATTTAGCTTCATTAAAGGATGATTTTCTATTTATTCTAAAGAGAATCTTCTTCTTTCATCAACTTGAAGACATCCTCTGATAAATTCTATTGATTCATTTGAAATCTAGTTTTTAAGTAAAAATATTTATTAATTATTAAGAAATCTCTTTTAAATTTTCAAACTCATCAATAATCTAATATAATTTTATTCTGAATTTATTTAATTAGAATAGAAAGTATTAAAAGAGTCATCATAAAATTAAAAAAATTTAAATAGTTATATTACTTTTATGTGTTTTGGGAATTAAACAGGCACATTGCAAACTTTGTGATGTAACTCTTTTTCAGTCTCAGCAGTCCAAGGAGTAACTCCATATAAAAGTTCAAAGTATAGCACACCAATAGACCAAATATCACTCTTTATCGAATACTCATTTTTTTACAAGCTCTTTATTTAATAAATAAAAAATTAAACTATTTAATTTTATTGTAAATTTACATTCGAAGTTATTCAATCTCTTTTTTATCAAAAAATAAATTCTAAAAATATCAAATCGTTTTAACACTACTATTTTTTTTAAATACCCCAAAAAATTTCATTTATTTTAAGAATATTAATGCAAATTTATAAAAGTGCTTTTTTAATTCTTTTTACTCAATCTTATTTTTATTGTTTTAATTAGATTTTTATGTTTAAAAATAGTAGAAAATAATTAACTAAAATTTAAAAATTAGAGATTTTCTTAAGCTAGAATTTAAGAATGAATCAGAGATATTTTATTTGGTGATGAAATAAAATTGAAAAATGAATTATTTGTTTAGCTCAGCTAAAAGACAATCAAATAACTGATATTCATTTTAATTTCTAGCTTTTATTTGCTTGAAATTTTAGCTTTAGCTCTAAAAATAGATTGGAAAATTGTCTAGTTTAATCAATTATATTTAATTTTTTTGTATTATTTTTAAATTCTTTTTTGTCTTATGAATATAAATGGAATTTAATTATTATGCTCTAGATTTATTTAGTCATATGAACCTAATTTAGACTAGACTCATTTGAGTATGCGTTGTATTTATTTAGAGGAGAAAAAAAAATAGATTGATATTTAGACTTTGTTGCTTATTTTATTTTGTATAATATTATCATTAATTTCTGCTGCTTGCTTTCTTGCTGCATACTGTGAATCCAAAGTAGAAATTTGAATGAATTTCATAATTTTTTAGGTTTTTATTAAGTTATTTAGTTCGTTTAAAAATTTTGTAGTGATTTAATGTTAATTGTTTGAAAAGAAATTAATTGTAAGATAATTAAAGGGAGATATGTGTGTATGTATATATGTGCTTTGAAAAAACTAATCAATTCAAGCAGATTTTCATAAATAACTAAATTTCGAATAAAAGTTTGATTGAATTGCTTAATCTAATAATCAGTAAGTTTTTAAATTACTTAAGGACACATGTACATTGGTGTTCCTACATTGTAATAGTACTTGTAAGGAGGAGCATCTATGTCTTTAGCAAAGCCAAAGTCTGCTAATTTTGGGATACCATCATTAATAAGTATATTTGCGGGTTTGATATCTCTATGAACAATTCTATGCTTGGCAAGTTCTCTATAACCATTGATAATGTGCTTGAGAATCTTGACAGCTTAAGACTCTTCTAAAGTGTTATACTTTTTGAGAAGATCTCTTAAATCTCCCTAATTGCATATTTCAGTTATAATATAAGTATTATTTGCAGTCTAAAAAACATCGTTTAGCTTTAAGATATTGATATTTCCAGTCAGTGCTAATTTTTTCATAACAGAAATTTCATTTTAAAGTAGAAATAGTTAGACTTCATTGCTCATCATTTTCATATCTATGACTTTTACTGCAACTTCCTCATCAGTACGCTCGTCTTTCCCTTTGAATACCTTAGATGAGTAACCCTTACCTATTTAATCATTCAGCTGATATGAATAATGCTCAATAACTTTTTTAGGCACAAACTACTACTATGTTCCTTAGTTTTGACCTATCACGCCATTCTAAAACACTTGCTGATTCTAACTAAATCCAATTATTTACCCCTATTTTAAAATTAAATAATTACTTTTTGCATGAAATTGTCATTTAATTTCTTTTTTTTTTCAATTTGAGATAAACATTCTTTTTTCAGAAGCTTTTAGCTGTTAATAATTTTATCGGTATTTGTAAATCAAATAAAATGCTGATGCAGAAAATATGAGTTTTTAACAGGCTAAATTGATATTAAGACATAGTCTTAGCATTCTAAATTTGTAACTTACCTATTACTAAATGATAGGCTGCCCTTATATTGTAGTCGGAACGAAAGATTGTAGCTTCATACTATTGTTATTCCCTTTTAGATAAGCTTTTGTTTTGTATATTTGATTAAATTACTATCGTCTCTTTTTTCTTAAATGACAATTAATTACTACTTTTTCTTTCTTTTTTTCTTTTTTTAATTTTATTATTTGGTTTACTAATTGTTTTATTAGTTAATTTCTTATATTGAATGCTTCATTTGCTAAGATGCCCTTTATTAACAAGCTACTTTCTTTATGTTTAAGAACTGAATTATCTTTAACAACAAATATGTTAGTCAATTCAATTATAAATTACCTTCAATGAATCAATATATTTGTTTGCAAATGCTCATTTTTGAATCTATTTATAAAATCCATATGGATTTATTTAATGAATGAATGAATATAATTTATTTAGAAAATCATTTAGTTGAAAGCAAAAAAAAATTCAATAGAAATAGCTAATAAAATAAAAGTCTCTCTCTCTCACTCTATTTTGCATTTTCATAATTCTTTCTTGTATTTTTTTTCTACTTGTTTTAAAAAATTCAAACAAGAATATAGAAGCAGAAATTGATTTATAATCATTCAAAGAATTTCAATTAATATTTTTTTAACTGTGATTTTTTAATGATTGATTATCTACTATTTTTGCAAAAATAAATAATCTAACATTTCAAATATAATATTTTTGTAAGAAAAAAAAATCAATTATTTTACTGTTAAAAAAATTCTTAATCATATAATAAAATCTATCTTCTCATTTTATTCATATTTCCTTAAAATAATGCTGAAATAATTATTTTTTATAAATGCAAATTTCATTACATTTTTTTCTTCTTCTATTCTTATTCATTTAAATATTTAAATTTTCTTTTAGTTTATAGCACATTTTACACATTAATTTACTTTTTTTATTCAAAAACACCATCTAAATTTTAAAAAATATTTTAAATAATTTTCTAAATTTTAATTTCTGGCTTTATTGAAAAATAAACTCTCTTAATCACTTCTATTGTAAAGCAAATAAAAAATATTTTTAGTGATAAAACATTTTGGGTTAGAAAAAATACAATTATAATAGGTTATAAACATTAAAATTGTAGTGTTAACTTCTCTTTTAAATATACTGAGCTACTTAATGGTAATAACAAATATTTTATTATTTTTAGACAAATATTATTTTAAAAACATAAATTTGTTTTTTATTTAAATGAGAAAGTTCTTAATATATTAAGAAAGTAGGTATATTAATTATTAGTAGGTTAAGGAAGTAAGTTAAATTTATTTTAGCAATATAAAAAATGATAATTTTTTAAATCAAATCTTAGCTTGTTTTTAACTTAATTGAATTAACTCAATAGAATTTTAAATAAAGTAATTGTATATTATCTATTATAATGTATTATTTTTTTATTTAAACATATTTTAAAATCAGATACAAAATAATTGACTTAATTTATTAATTATAACATTTTATCTTCTTTAAGATAAATATTTTTTAAAATCGAATAAATTTAATAGTTAGAAAATTTTAATTTTTTAACATTTTTAACATTAATTGATTGAAAACTTTATTAAATATTATTTTTAATTTTTTAATAAAATTTTTAAAACATTTTATGAAATAAAAATAGAAAAGTGAAATTAATAAGAAAGCTTATTAGCATCAATTATCATCTAATTCATCGTTATCGTCTGAATCTATATTTTTTTGAATATTTTCTATTAAACATATACCCTCTCCACCTTCTAAGCGATATACACCTCCTCTTACTTATTAAATAATAATAAGTGCATCTTAGTGTGGACCTAAATAGACATCAACCTATTTTATACAATATTTTATTAATTATTAAAATGCATGTATGGTATAATATTGAATTTATGTTGGATAAAATATCTTAATAACTTTAATAATATCTTTAAAAATTTGATAAAGAAATATTATCAAAAAAAATATTTTGCCTTATTATCATTTGAATCTACTATCTTCATGTTTTCAGTAATAAAGTACAATTTTTGTCTCCAACTTTTGTTATCTGTTCTATTATCAAGTAGTTATAAGTAAGTTCCTTCTTATTAAAGGTAGAATTAGCAAATAATAATTTAGTCACTACCATTTTCTCTGTCACCCAAATCTGATCTTTAGAATCTAATATCTTGAACTTAGTCTTTTAACTACTTTTACTAATTCTCAAGGTATTTCTTTTCTGCATTATGGATACACGATTCGTAAACCTGGCGCATAAAATTTTCTGGATGCTCGATTTGTAAAATATTCAGAAGATTATCTCCAAATATATTAACAACTAATTTTAAATTAAATTCCTTAACATTTTCTTTTAGATCCTGTAAACTCTTAAGGTCAGGTCCTTCAACTTGAACCATTAGTATATAAGTTCCTTTTTTTTAAATAAAAAAGATTAAATCTTTAATTTTGTAAATTAGTATTTTATTTAACATATTTAGATATATAAATATTTCTTTATATTTACTATAGTTGTCCGATATTTAGCTTTTATTATATAAGCAGATATCAATATTTTAAAAATAAAATAAAAATACCCTAAATATCGAAAATATCAATATTATTTTACTTAGATAAATGAGGAAAAGCTAAATTAAATATTTATCAATTTCTACATTTTAAAAATCTAATATGTAAGATATATAAATATCTAATATGAGAAAATTAGCACAGATTCTTTTAATTAGTTACATGTAACTAATTTTGTGAGAATAAAAATTTTTATATCGTAAAAATGAATGGAAATCGAATAAAAAATATCAAAAAGTTTCAATTTTTATTAAATTTATATTCATTTTCATAAAAATGAAATTTTCTAGTTATATTAATTATAATTTAATTAGTTAATTACCTTCATCTAAAACAACTGTTTTAAAGACATTTTTCTTTTTATACTGCCCTTTTCCAATTATATATTTTAGGCTGTGGAACTTCTTTTTTTAGTAAATTCTTGATTCATGTTGGGAATTATGCTAATCCTCATCTCTATTAAATTAATATATATTTCAATCAAATCTAAAATAAATGGCAATTTAAAAATACTTCTTTGAACTCCTTTATTAGCTGAGTACCAAATCTTAGTCTTTTGAAAAAGATTTATCTCTTCCTAATTTACTAGCTTTTTCTCTATTAATTAAATCTGTTTCTTTTTTTGCTTTAACTTTCTTCACAAATTGTCTTTTTAAAAACTAAAAAAATATGTTTAACTGAGAGTTAATGTTAATTTTTACATCTTTTTTGTTTCTAGCTACATAGTCATTTCCATCGTCTGTATGAGATTATTTAGTTCTCTATGCATATACTCCCATTTTGTCTTAAGCTAATAGTATTCTGACAGGTAAATGTTAGCTAATTCCCTATAAATATTGCTCGACATTTATTAAAATTCTAGCTGGTAAGTTCAAATTAAATGAAAAGAAATATCTCGATTCCACCAGTTAAGTTCCAATATTTTCTTATACAAAGCTTGAGCTCTAAAAGTTTTGGTTAACTCCAATCAATTAATAAACGCTTCCAAAGCATTCGATAAAAGTTTCAAAATCTTATTATTTATTATGAAATAATTTAAATTTTTTATCAGATTAAATTAAAAATATTATAAATTGTTCTTTCAAATAATTTCTCTTTTAAAGAGGATTTTCAAAAAAAAAAAATTTTTTACCTAGAGCAAATACAGATTATTTAATTTTTTTAAAGTATTCTTCGAATTCGTATATTTTATTTTTATTAATTGGATTGTTACTTTCCTTTAAACTTGTATATTAATTCATGAAATCATCAGGAATAATTGTATGCCTTTAAATGATATCTTTAAGTATTTAATTGTGTTTAGAGAAAGAAATCTTCTCTTCACATCTTCTTTTAATAAAGCTAAAATTAGAATCAATTGATTTTAATATTATAAATAAGTTTTCATTTGTGGGTGCATTCAAACTATTTAAATTGGTTAAAGTGTGGTTTGGTTAGAATTATTGCTATTAGACTCCCAAATCTACAACTTCTAAAATGATGTAAGGATAATTTTTTGGAATATCTATATCTCTACTGCGGCTGAATTTCTCTTATAAGTAAGCTACTTTGCAGCTTTTAGAGCTACATTCTACTAATTTTTTTACATTTAATTTCTAGTCTTCATCTAAATCATTTTCCCAAGTTATGCTCTTGCACGGAAGACCAGAAAGCATTTAGAAATAATCCTCGGCTTTTATCGTTTCTGTGTCTTACTTGTGTCCAAAGAAAGAATTCTAGATTTTACAGAAAGCTTTTCATATCAAAATATATTTAATAAAATATTCACTCAATTAGTAAATTTAATTATTTTTACCTTTCTGAAGAAATAAATATCCCAATTCTTTCAGAACTGTAGTTGAAAAAATTACATCTTATTAAGAATCATAAAAAGGAAAAATATCATCAAGTATAATATCTCTCCATTCGCCATTAATATAGAGCTTAATAAAAACAAATCCTATGCTATTAATTAATTTATTATAAAAGATAATTAATTGATACAAGAAAAATTCTACACAAATTAAAAATGTATTTTATATGAAAATATATTTATTTACTCAGCTAAATCGTATCTGACTGAAAATATTTTGAAAAAGATGTGAGGAAAGTAAGATAGAGCTTCAATACATGTAACCAATTGATAATCTGACAATTAATTGTAAACTATAGTATTTGACTAAATAGGGAATTCAAAAAGATCTTTTCCTTCATCATAAAAATGATGATTATCTTTAAGTTTTAAAAATTCTATATCTAAATTAGCCCTTTTGCTACTTCCAGAATCAGGGAAACTCATATTTTACTCATTTGATTTAAATTCATCGTCTTCAAATTAATCACCATTTATCCCACAGCTATCAATGATTTACTTATAGCCATCTATTTTTTTAAAAATTAATCATTAAAAATATTTTTATAATATGCTTAAAAGTATTTAATTTATTTATTTATTTATAACCTTGATCGTTTGGAGGATATCCTAATATCATTTCACTACCAACAATATTAGGATCTTATTAAATAGGTTTATGGAAATGATTAATAACTTTTTCTATATTTACATAAGTAAATATGCAGTGCTTATTAGCTGGAGCATCGTAATAGATTATATCTTTTACTTTTTTATTGAAAGCCCACTGGCAATAATAATACGAACCGTCTGGAAAATAAAACCTTCCCTTTCCTTCATATTTAGTTAGGAATATAAATCATTTATTTATTGTTGCTGGCTAATTAAAAAATAATATTACCATGCTTAAAACCTTCCATAAACTCACCTTCATAGTAAAATTCAGGTTTTTCATCAAAATAGCTCATTTAATAGTTTTCTTTTTCATCTTCCTTTTGGATTAATTGTTAGCTGCTATCAATATCTTGCAAACTATTAATTGCTAAGGATTCCTTCAATTAAATATTTCTTTATAACCTTTCATTTGCTTTGCTATTATTTGTGGCTCCTTTTTTAATTGGTTTTATGCTTTATATCTATTCTACTGAGTAGGCACAATGAACACCAAACCCACAGGGAACACCTATTTAATTATTAAATAAATGAAAAGTTATTATCATGCATAGTCTCCTTTTTTCTTAATTTATAGCTTGATAATGAATTAATTAGCTAATTATTGAAATCAATCTTTCCAACATTTGATTTTTCTCTCAAAAAATAATTTATTTATTATAATAAACCTAATTTGTTAAATTACCATTCACAAAGTCTCCTTCATAATAGCTACCATCTGGATACTAAAGCTTGCCTTTACCATGTTTTTAATTATTTCTAAATTCACCTACATAAACAGCGCCTTTAATATACCTTTCAGTGCCGAAACCATCTTTTTTACCATTCTAAAAGGTGCCTAAAATTATATTATTAGTATTTCATATTCTCAATTAAATTAATTAGTTAATTATAAATGACTCAAATTTATTTTAAAGTAATCAACTAAACACAAATAAATGAATTAATTACCTTCATAAGAGTATGTTGATTAAACTTTTTTTTAATCGTTAACCTACTAAGAAGATTTACCATCATCTATAAAATAGAATAAATCTCTATTTCTGAGATATCCTTTACCATGGAATTAATCATCTTTGTACTCACCTTCATAAACATCACCGTTTGGAAAGATTTCAATGCCTGCTTTCTTCTAATTTTTTTCAAATATTCCCTTAAAATAGCACTTTGTTTATAGTTGATAGAGTGTACCTATACCATGATACATATCATCTTAAAAGTTACCTTCATATAAGGTATGGTCTTTTATTTATTTTAATAATTTGTTGATGTTTTAACTAAATTAATGATTTATCAATTTACTAGTTTTATCTTCTTCTTTGCCTTTTCCGTCACGCTTTCCATTCAAAAACTAACCAACATACTTTCTTTTTCCATAAGAAACTTCATTTTGATATCTTTGATCCTTCCCTTAGCTCTACACCTTACTTTCAACCTCCATATCTAAATATAAAACAAATGCTTGTTAACGCTAAATTTATTTGTATTTAGTATTTAATTACAGCTTATATTATTTTAAGTTGCTTTTTTTATAAGAATATATAAGAATCCGTTTGTGCTTGCATCATATATATAATTTTTAATCTCTTTTCTAATTTTTACAACTTAGACTTATTGAACACAAATAAAATATTACTTCTATTATTTTAAAATGTTAATTACTATAAAAACAGAAATTATATTTTTAATATTTATTTATTTGGGTTTTATATTAAATTTAATATTAAATTGCATTCATATATGAAGAAACGCTTAAAAACTATAATTAAAATAAATTATTTAATAAATAATTTGGATGAGATTAATATCAATCAAAAGAATTTGAGATTATTTGCAAAATTTTTATATTTTTGTAACATCTCTAAAGTTATTCTAGGTTTAACTTTAGATATGGCATTAATAAAGTCTTCTTTAGTGACTTAGGCTTAGTAGATGTCTCTAGTCAGAGCATGCAAACCAGCTTCTCTTACTATCAGAGTTATTTCAGCACCAGAATATCCATCAGTCATCTTAGATAATTCTTCTATATCTAAGTCTCCTTCTTTTACAGGCATTTTATTTCCCAAAATATTAATCTTTAAAATTTCACGACGACAATCAATATCAGGTGGAGGAACATAAATTAAGTGATCAAAACGTCCTGGTCTTGTTAAAGCTTTATCAATTATTTCAGGTCTATTTGTAGCAGCAACTATGACAACATTTTTTAATCCTTCAAAACCGTCCATTTCAGTAAGCATTTAAATCAATACTCTTTCAGAAACATCAGTACTATTAATAAAAGGGTTAAATTAAAATAAAATAGATATATTATTCACAAAAATATTACTTGACTGATCTCTAAGTAGCTATAGCATCTATTTCATCAAAAAATATAACAGAAGGAGCACACAAACGAGCTCTTCTAAATACTTCCCTAATAGCTTTTTCTGAATCACCAACATACTTGCTAAAAAGCTCTGGCCCTTTAACAGCTAAGAAATTCAACTTACTTTCAGTAGCAATAGCCTTTGCTATCATAGTTTTTGAGCAACCAGGAGGTCCATATAAGAGTATACCTTTTGAAGGCTAAATACCCATTCTCTTAAAAGCATCTGGGTGTTTTAGTGGCCATTCTATAACCTGCTTAATCTAATCTTTGACTTCTAAATAGCCACCAATATCTCTCCAATATACCTTTAAAATACCAAGTTCAAATTATATTCATAAAACTTGTAATTAAGTAAAATTTTACCTTTGGTATTTCCATAAGAATATCTTTAACTCCACTAGCATGAACATTTTAAAGAGCATTTTCAAAATGATTCTTTTCAATAATCTCCTTTTATTCTTTCACTCTCTCAAGCAATGTTTCTCTTAAAAGGCTTACTACATCTGCTCCTGTAAAGCCATTCATTTACAAATTAATTTCTAAAATGTCGTCTTAATTTAAATTATGTTTAGTTCTTTCCAAGTAACAATTGAGTATATCACATCTAATTAATTTTAGGTTAATTTATAAACAAATTACAATTTTATTTTAAAGCTTTCTTAAAATATGTGTTAAGATCTATTTTTTCTATAAAACATTTTTCAAATACTTTTATATCAAATTTAAAAAAATATTTGAATCTGATGTTATTGGCATCAACTATTTTTTTAAAATACTTTATTTTATAAAAATGCTTGCTAAAATTTAAGAAGCTTAGCTTTTTTAATTGAATTTAATGGTGGGTTCCAGAATTATTCTTTTATCGAAGATAAAAAAAGAATTTAATTAATAACTTTTTTTAAAATAATTTATTTATCATTAAAAAATATTGAAAATAAATATATTTTTTATATGCAAAATAAATTCTCAAAAAAATTTTAGAAAAATAGTTAGTTCTACCTTTCTTAAACTTTTGGTACTTCAAAATTAATTTCTTTGTCAAGACGTCCTGCCCTTTTTAAATTTTCGTCTATCTTTTTAATTTGAGAAGTTGCACAAACAACAACTACTCTATCTGTTTGCTTTAACTTGTCAATTTCATTAATCAATGTACTGACTAAACCTTTATTAGATTTATCACAAATAATATGTATATCATCAAAAAATAACACTGTAGGTTCTCCACTTCTTTTACTTAAATTGAAATATTATTCAACTTTTTTCTCACCTTCACCCACTAGTCTACTTAAAAACTATTTAGTTTCAACTAAAACAAACTTTACTTCATTCATCTTTTAACTCATCTTTTTTATCATTTAAGTTTTTCCTGTACCAGAGGGTCCACTTAGAAGAATACCCTATAAAATAAATTACAATTAGCATTATTAATAATTTTTAATAGATTTATTTACCTTAACAGGTGAGAAACCTAAATCTTTAAATCCTTCATATTAGAAAAGAGAAAGCTTCAAGTAATTTTCTAATTCTTCCTACTATTTGGAAACTCCAGCTAGTAATATTAACTCTTATTAAACACTCTATTATGCTTGTAACTATTCTTTTGATTCTTCGTTTTCATTCTAAGTCTCTTATAATTCAGCTAACTTAAAAGTTGTTCTAAACCAAAATAAAAGTTTAATTTGGAATAATCTTAGAATAAGTAAAATACTTCTTAGTTATCAAAAATTTATTTTCTTAAATTTCCTTGCTTTCTTGTTGCTATTTAGCTTCACTGCTTTAGTTTTATTGAGAATTTTATTAAGAAGCTGAAACTATGTGAACGACCCTAAAAGAATGCTTTTTCCCATATATTGAAAAAGTTAATACACTTCCAAGACTGACTACTTAATTTAAACTCATTTCTCTAAAATAATTAAGAACAAGGCTATGATGGAGCTTTAAATTAAAAAATAGCGAGTTTTAGATCATTGAGATATTAAAAATATAATTACTTTATTCAAACTTAAATCATCAGATAATGGAGATATAGTTAACATAGCTGCTTATTGTATAGAAGAATCAATAGGTTGTTCCTAAATAGATGCTTCATTTTCATCTTTTTTAGATTTTGATGTACCTGTTTTTTTCTACTACTTAGACGACATTTTGTTGATTTTGATTTAGGAATGATAAATTTATAAAATATTATTGCTATATCTTCTTTATTTATCAAATAAAGAATTTGTTTATGAAAATAACTTTAGTAATTGATATTTTAATATTATTTACTAAGTAGAAATCTTGCTTTTAAGATAAATAGTCTTTTTGTATATCTATCACTCTCTCATTCTCTACTTTAATTTATTCCTACTCTAACTCTCATACAAATAAAAATAAATATATTTCCTTCTTTGAGTGATAAGTAAAGCATAAATATTTTCTTCCTTATTTCTATGTAATCTATTTATTCTACTTTTAAATTCTCTTTAAATAAACAAAAAAATATTGTTTTTTATTTATAATTTTTACAACAAAATAATAAATTGTTTTTTTTAAATGAAAAAATTGAAAAAATATAAACTTTTTTAACACTATTTTAAAATAAAGCATCATAAAGTTATAAAGTCAAAAGAATAACAAAATTATTTAATGAAATTTAGAAAAAAAAAATATTTTAATTATAAAAGTAAATAATTAATTAATTATTGATTTTATTTTGAATTAAAATTTGTAAAATGAATAAATAAAGGTTTAATTTTCATCAAATTACTAACACTTTACATGTAGAAATAGAAGAAATTATAAACAATAAAATAAAATAGATAAATAAGATTGATTAGAATTATTTTAATATTTAGTAAGGATGAAAGGTTAAGAAAAATCACTCATTTTAGTATATTTTCTTCATCTTCCTCCCAATATTATTTAATCATCTCATATTTTCTTGAATTCATGTTTCTAAATACAAAAATAATTGAATACAAAAGGAGAGAGAGCACTAAACATCCCATGATTAAAATCTTTACCATTTATTTGCCCTTGCTACCATTTCCAATTATTGAATTAAACAATTTTCCATAGAAGGTATCGTATTTTTAAGTGATTACAGTTCCAAATGAACTTGACCAATTAATAAATACGTTAATTGGCTTTTATTCTTTGCTTTCAAAAGTAATCACATACTGCATTATTCCTTTTTTTTTATATCCAATTTGGAATGATTCTCTATCTATCAAGACTTATTCTAACATTGACTCACTGTCTTAGATTATTTACTAAATTGGTATTTGTTGATGAGATAATGCACTAGAGCTATCTGCTATTGCTAATTCTTCATTTAATTTATTAATTTTCAAGTTAGCTTAACCAGTATTTAGATAAGTATTAAGTAAAAAGAAATCACCAGCTTCTATGATAAAGCTCATAGTGCTGTTTTAAGTTGGTAAAAGAAACCTCATTGTTGAATTAGCTTTTAAATAAACTCTATCTGAAACTGCAACTAATTTATATTTAGCACTTTAATGAGCCTCTATGGTAACAATAAATTTTTATTTTATCTCAAATCTCTTCAATTTATTAACTAATTTATTGCTCATACTGACTTAAAGGACATCCTTTATGTCAATGTTAATTTAATTTTCTTTAATATCGTAACCTTCCTCTACTTCACTAAAAACATTTGAATGCCATCTGTAGCTTTCTACTGTTGAATTCATGTAATTTTTTGTTTTGTTGTATAAATCTACACCAAATTGCACTTTTCCATATCTCAAATTTAATTATATGATCAAATTATTTAATTTTCCAACATCATTTACAAGAAATGATTCGCGATGCTAGGAATGAATTATAGACTCTATTGGAACTCCTAATTCTAATAAACTAAAACATAATCCTTTTATAATAAGAGAGCTTATAAAAAATATTATTTTCATCATTTTTTTTAAACAAATATATTTAATTAAAAACAATACGTTTTACGAATTATTTGATTTTTTAAAAGGAACAGAAAGAAGATTTTCTTTTTATAGTTTTTTTTTGATAAATCTTAGTCTTGTTGATCTTGTGCAGATGCTTACGTCTGATGAACCAACAAAAAATATGAAAAGTATCCAATAGGGTAAAATGAAATATTCATTCGACATATTTCATAGAATTTTAAAAAAATGTTTAAAACTAACAAGCAATCTTAAATTATTTTATACAACTAAAATATATAAATATAATTTTTAAAAATCTGAATTATAAATTACATTCGAAGCTTATACCTGATCTATAATCAGAAGTCATAGTATTTTAATATATGATAATTAATTTATTTATTTAAGGTAAATTAAAAGGGATAATTTAAATAGCTTTAGTAAAGAATTTCATAGAATTTTGATATTTTAATAAAATTTTGTAAAAATGAGTCTTATAATTATAATATAATATCGTCATATGATGCTCAAATATTACATATTTTTAAATAATATTTATGTATTTTTTATTGTTGAGCTCAATTTAATAATAAAAAGTAATTTTTCAATTTTTTTAAAAATTCATTTGAATGATTAAATCATATCATTAAGCTTAGCTGATTTGCTTGAAAAAGATTGTTCAAAATTCTGAAAATTAAAAAGGTAATATGTTTTAAAAATTATGATAAAGATCAAATAGTTTTTAGAAAAGCATTTAACTTAAATAGAGAGATGAAAAGTTTTATACTTGTAAAAACCTTTAATTCTCTAACAAAAAAAATACAAAATGTCTAATCATCAGATTTAATTTAAATTATTATTGTTTTTTACAGATTTAAATACTTACTTTTAATATACAAGTATTTATCAATTCTTAAGCATATTTCAATTTTTATGAAAAAGCTATTAATATATACCAAAAAATCACTTAGACAAACAACATATTTCAAAAATAGAATTTAGAAGAAAAAAATAATCTATTTTTTATTAATTTTTATCAAGAAATTAAATCTCTCAAAAATTCAATAATTAATGTAGAATATTATTTAACAATTTAAAATATAAAAATAATTTAATTAAAATCTTGTAGTAGTTTTCTAATTTTTTATTTTTAGATTTTATTTATTTTAAAATTGAAGATAAATCAAATTTATTTTATAATTTTTGAATGGAATATTTACTACATTTTATAAAATAGAAAATGCATACATGATTTAATATAACTTTGAAATAAACTAATTAGGGTAATTCAGTTTTATTCTTTGGAAATCTATTTCATTGAAGAATTTGTTTTTTTTAAAGTATTAGGGCTTTTTTTACAAGGACCTAAATATCTTTTAACTATAAAATCCTCGTATAAGATCATTCCGAACCCAAAGCACAAAGCAATTATCAATTAAATGGCCATAAACTTCTTGTGACTGACAGTTTCTTTGTCTAAGTCTAAAAACGTTTAACCTGATTATTCTGGAAGTAGATAGACAAAGAACATGTAAATGAAGATGGCAGTTAAAGCTGCAAAGAGTATATAATTTTAGTAAATCCTCTGCTTTATAGGATAAGATAAATATAAGCTAAACAAAATAAAATCAAAAGCTAAAGTTGTTGACAAAAATATTATGCCTAAAGCTTATCCATGCTAAATGAATTAATCGTTAGAAGGGATTTCAGTATTTTAAATATACCAGCTTTAGCTTCTTAGATAAAAGTAACTTGTCAAAATTTAACCACTAGATATAATAATAAGTCCAAGAACACTGAAAAAATTCTCAATACCTTTAAAAATTAATAAAAATATTTATTGACCGATTTAAGAAAAAATAAAAATAATACCCATCATATTTGTTATCTGTCTGTATGGAGTAAGATCATTAAGAGGCCTACATAAAGAAAGCATCAAAAAGAAAGGAACTATTTGCAAGTAATTTTAGAAGGTAATTTAAAAATTAGATAAATGAGAAAGCTCTAATATTAAGATTGATGCTCCAACAAATTTCAACATATTCATAGTTAAGTAGTTTCTTTTTAAAAAGGTATAATATTAATATCTATTCATTATGTATTTCAAATATTTTACTTAAAGACCTCTATCATATTACTGAGAGTGCATCTTCCTTCAGCTAAAACTTTGATAACACATTCTAAACTACTTTCAGAATAAGAAAATGGGGAAGAGTAAGAGGCATCTGTTTTCGTGAATGATATTCCTATTTTTATTTTTTTTGTTTTCAATTTAATAAAAAATTCTGTTTTAAAAATAAAGTTAAATACCTATATCAGCTTATTTTATAGCAGAACAATCATTAGCACCATCTCCAATCATACCAACTTTTTCATTCAAAATTGTTTATAATAGATAAATTATTTCAGCCTTTTGCTTAGGTTTACACCTTGAAAATACAGTTGTATTTGTTAAAAGATTTTTCAAAGTCTATTTTTCAACCTATCCAGTTCTGTTTTCCAAATTATTTAGAATTTGTTCTAAAAATTGGCCTGTTATTCCAAGACTGTACTTCTGTACTTCTTAAGAAGCTATCAATTTTAGAGGATCTTGAATTTTTTCTAAAGAAGATTAAATGTAACAATCACTCATCTAATTGCAAACTAAAATATGAGATGGCTCATCTGCTAAAATATTGGCTTCCTTAGCGCATTATATAGTAGTTAAAAGATTATCACCTGAAATTACTTTACATTAGATGCTACCATTTTATAAACGCAAAATTACTTCACTAGTATCTACTTTTAATTTATTTTCTAATACAAATAAACCTAAAAATTGTATGTCTTACTCAACATCATTTCTCAATAATTCTTTATTATTTATTTCTTTATATCCGAATGCAATAACTCTAAGACCTTTATTTGTAAGTTCATTTAACATTTTTTTGTAGTTTTGTTAATCTATGCTATTTTTGTTGCACATATCAAATATTTTTTCAGGAGAACCTTTAACAATTCCATACATTTTTTAATCTTGTTCATCATTCATAATGACAGTCATTCTTTGTAAAGAGCTTTCAAATTCCCAAACTTTATAAATTGTCAAAAGAGAATTGTCGCTTTACCTTTATACTTTGAATTTAAATTCTTTTGATTCTTCTGGTAAAATCTTATATTGCGAGAACTCCAACATTCTTATGTCTAATTCATCCCCTAAATTCTCTCCGTTGACTAAATAGACACCGTGGCATGACCCAAAGAATTTGTGCAACAATTTTTCTTTTTCACCTAACATTATAAAATAAAATATTTAAATAAAAAATGGATCTAAAATATTTTAAATTATTTACTTTCGAAAGCTAATTTTTGTTTAATTTAATTGCATAGATAATCACAATACCCATAAATTTCCATAGAATCATTAGTAAGAGTTCCAGTTTTATCAAAGCACATGATAGATACATCTCCAGCAACAACAACTTTAGCTGGGTCAGTAGCAAGAATTTGTTTTTTGCCTAATCTAAGTAAAGAAATTGTTTAGCAAATACTGAAAAAAATAGGAAGAGCTGGAGGTATAATCCAAGTTAAAACATCAAATATTCTGTAAATGATAAGGACTGTTGGAAGTTTTACTTGTATCACAAAGTAAAGCTCGATGAGATAAGCTATCATAGCTAAACAAATAAGCACCAAAATAAAATAAATACCATTTCTGTAAAAATAGAACTCAATTGCTTTAGGATAAAGCATTGCTCTAAACATACTGCCTCTAAATGAAGCATATCCTGTTCTCAAAGCAATACCATAAATTTGTTCTCCTTTAATTTAAATAACTCTTGTGCCTTCAAATAAGACATTATTTTTCATAGTCTCTATGTTGAAAAACTCATCTTATTGCTCATTTTATTAAATGCTTACCTTTGGTACAGGAATAGATTCACCTTTATTTAATAATTAAATTTTTAATCAAAGTATTGCTTTGATAGGAATTTTATAAAATTAATATAAATATGAAAATATTATTTATGTTTACCTGTAAGAGAGCTTTCATTTACTAAGACATCTCCACTGAGAAGAAGCGAGTCACAAGGGAGCTACATATTATTCTAATAATAAAATACGTCGCCTGGTAGTAAATCTACTGAATTAATAGTTTAATCTTCACCGTTTCTAATTACTCTCAATTTTAGATCTATTTTTGCAAACTTTTTCAACTTATTCATAGATATTCTTAGCAAGTAGTAGTTAATTAAAGTAATAACAATAGATACACAAATCATTACTATAGCAAATTGAAGAAAGCCTTCTAAAATCCAAAATAGTACACTAATATATTGAAAAATATAGAAAATTTTAGTTAGAACATCAACTAAATATTCAAAGAGAGTAGGAATAGGGACTTAAATTTAGCAGTTTCCATATTTTTTCAAGTGAGTTTCTACTTTGTGGTCACTTAGGCCTTGACAGTGTATCTTGTTGATTTCTCTTAGAGTTTGTTTTTCAATTTAATGATAATATACAGGATAAAATGCTTTTTTGTTTCCGTCATCAAAGTACTTATATTTCATGTGGCGATTTATGAATAAAATGCTATTTTTAGATTCACTGTTTATTCTTTTAACTATGTCCTAGCTTCCATCAAAGTTAGTTATCAAGAAGTGAGTGGCTTGATCAATATCAGACTTATTATAAATAGATTTTAGTCTGATTCTCAATGAATTTCTCAATATCAAAGCAAAAACTGTACCTGTTATGATAGATAAGACAGTGCTCAGAATAATTTTAGAGACAGAAATTTTATATGCTTCAATTTTAATAACTTTTTAATCACCCTCTACATCACAATTCTCTATAAAAATTTAGTTGAAATCATTTTAGGTCTAAAGTAACTTGCTAGAAGCGTTGACATCATAGTTTCCTTCAGTCTCTAATTTACCTTTTTCATAAATCATTGAATGCGGAATCTATATTTTTTTTATGTGGATACGAATTGGAGTTTTTAATATTTTTCTTTCTTTTTTTTATAGCCTTAGGAAGGTTCATACTTTTTATAAAAAATTAATTATTTGTTTATTTATTTGTTAAGCTGGTTTTTATATAAGCTATAAAGTTTACTCTTACTCCTTTAATTAAGAAATATGAATTTTCAATTTATGAAAGTATCATTTGTATAATTAGCATGTATATATAATTTCCCAAATATTATAATCCTCTAAAATTAGTACCAATCTAATTAATACCACAAATGCTTACAAATTTCACTAAACAAATAAATTTATATAAAATATGTATATATATTATTGAGCAGAAGTCTATTTTCTAAAACTTACTTTTAAATAAATCAAGTTTATTTTATATTTATTATGATATTAACTTACATTAAATCAAATAATTCCAAAATTTTAAATTAAAATATTATAAAAAACTGCATTTCTTCAAAATGTTTTTTATTAATCCTAATTTTATCCTCATGCTTAGCAATTAAAATACAACTTTAACTAGATTTATTGCATTTTGTTGCTAAAGAAGCAAAAATTTTTAGCATTTGCTTTTATCAAAAAAGTTAGTACTATAAAATGAATGCCCACTATTCAATTTTTACTTTAACTAAAGGAAACATAAAGTTAAGTAAAAGAGTTTGTTAGATATTTTATTAAATCGATAGAACATGCGATCAATAAATTTTAATAACTATAACAAAAAACTAAATATTCAATTAAATCAAATAAATTGGTGATTGCAAAATTTTTGCTTAATTTTCTCAAAATATCAATGATAGCTGAATTTAAATTACTTAATTAAAATGATCTAATTTTTATTTATGTAAAATTCTATCTAATTAATTAATAAATGTATTTTTTTTAATTTTAGTTAGCGTATTAATAGATAAATATATATATCAAATATTATCTTATAAAAATTAATTTTCAGAGCGTATTTTACTTACATCAAAAACTTTATTTTATTTAGCATATTTAATAACCATTTTTCAGATGTTAGTTATTTTTCGCAAAACTGAAAAATGTGATGCGTTAGAAAATTAATCTAATTTAAATTTTCTGCCTAAAAGAGCCAACTTAACATTAAATTAATTTATTTAGCAACGCATTTATTTTAATAATAAAAAAAGAATCTATTATAATAACTTATTAACTGAATTAAATATTTTTTTTGACAAATAAAATCAAATAATTTGATTAAGAAAAAGCTAAATATAACCAAATAACACAAAAAATAAATTTGTACTTATTTGAATAAAAATTTTAGCAATTTTTATAATAGAAAAGTATTTTTTATAAATTCAAAATAAATTAAGATATCAAAAGTTAATTTAATTCAGCTATCTGTCACACTTACTAACAGAAATATTTTTTCTTCTTAAAGGTCCTAAAAACTTCTTCACTATACAATCCATGTATATGATCATCCCAACACCAAAAGATAACACTATAATTAATTAGATATATAAAAACTCTGAATTGTTTATAACTTCCTTGTCTAATTCGAAAAAATCTGAACCAAGCTATTTAGGGAAAATATATAGCAAAATCATGTATATGAATAAGACCACCATCAACGAAAAAAGAGGAATATTTTAGTAGATTTTTTATTTACTAGGGTATGAAGCATATAAAGAAAATAGGATAAAGATAAAGATCAAGCAAGTTGACATAAATAATACTGTAATAGCCTATCCCTTGAAAACAAATTAATTATCTACAACAGTATGAGTTGTTTAAATGTACCAACTTTAACTTCTTAAATTGAAATAAAGAGTCAAAAATTAGCATAAGTTGATAACAGTTAATCCAATTATGCTAAAAAAGTTTTCTAAATCTAGATTTAAATATTTAAATATTAAAATAAATAAATTAAGTTATTCTTATAATAAATTTTTACCCATCATATTCGATATTGTTCTGTAAGGTGCCAATATCTATATAGGCTTACTTAAGGAGATAAATGCTAGTAAAGGGATATACTCAAAATAATTAGTGAAAATAACTTGAATGTCAGATAAAAAACTAAGCTCCAAAATTAAAATCGAAGCTGACATAAATTTCACCCAATTTAATGCTAAATTAAATCTTTTATTTTATAAAATAAAATTAAAATACAATTAGTAACTTCTACTTTATATTTGCTGAAATTTAAACATAATATTTACTTATAGCACTCAATCATATTACTTAAAGTGCATCTGCCTTCTGCTAAAATTTTGATTACACAATCTAAACTAGTTTCAGAATAAGAGAAAGGAGAAGAGTAAGAAGCATCCGTTTTCGTAAATGAGATTCCTATTTATGTTTTTAAAATCATTAATTTAAATGTAACAAACATACTTTTTTAAATTTAATCAATTTACCCATATCAGATTGCTTGATAGCAGAGCAGTCATTAGCACCATCACCAATCATACCGATTTTTTCATTCAAAACAGATTAGAGCATATAAATGATTTCAGCTTTTTATTTTGGTTTACATCTTGAAAATACTGATGTTTAAATTAAAAGATTCTTCAGAATCTGTTGTTCAATAATGCTTTTTCCGTTTTATAAATGAGTTTATATTTCTTCAAGGAATTTTCCAGTCAAACCTATTTAATACTTTTTACATTCTTAGGAAGAAAGGATGTTTAAAGGATCAATTTTTTCTTAACTATTTTAAACATAGCAATCACTCATTGAGTTAAAAATTAATACATTAGATGATTCATTCGATAAAATGCGAGCTTCCTTTGCACATTAAACTGTTGTCAAAAGATTATCTCCTGAAATTATTTTACATAGAATGTTACCATTTTGCAATTACTAAATTACATCAGCTGTGTCTACTTTTAACTTATTTTTAAGAACAAATAATCCAGCAAATTATATATCTTTTTCAACCTCTTCTCTTAAAGCATCTTTACTTTAAATTTCTTTGTAACCAACAGCAATTACTCTCAATCCTTTATTAGTTAATTCATTTAGTATTTTATTATAATTTTTTTCATCAACACTATCTTTATTACACATTTCAAACATCTTTTCAGGAGAGCCTTTGACTATTCCATAAAATTTCTATGCTTATTCATCATGCATTATTACAGTCATTCTTTAAAGGGAGCTTTCAAATTCCCAAACTTTGCAAATATTTAAAATGCAATTATCAATTTTTCTTTAAACTCTAAATTTGAACTCTGTAGATTCATCAGGTAATATTTCAAACTAAGAAAACTCAAGCATTCTTATATCTAATTCATCACCTAAATTTACTCCATTTACTAGATAAACTCCATGGCAAGAACCAAAGAATTTATGTAACAATTCTTCTTATTTACCTTCAATTTTTAAATAAAATAAATTATTAACATTATTGATATTAAAAAAATATTTACTTTCAACTATTAACGATTCTTTTATTTTCTTGCATGTGTAGTCACAATATCCATATAATTCCATTTAATCTTTTGTTAATGTGCCAGTTTTATCAAAACACATAATAGAAACATCACCAGCAACAACAATTTTTGCAGGATCAGTGGCAAGAACTTTCTTTATACCTAAACGTATTAAAGAAATAGTTTAGCAAATACTAAAAAATATAGGAAGTGGGGCTGGTATCATCCAAGTAACAGTATCAAAAAATCTGTATACAATAAGTAGTGTTGGTAATTCTATTTTAATAATAAAGTAAAGCTCAACAAAATAAGTAGTAACACCCATAACAATCATTAATAATAAGAAGTAAGTGGCATTTGTGTAAAACTTAAAGGAAATGTGCTTAGGATAAAGCATGGATCTAAAAATCTAACCTCTAAAAGAAGTGTATCCTGTTCTCAAAACAATTCCGTAAACCTAATTACCTTTAATTTAAATAACTTTAGTCCCTTCATATAATATATGGTTTTTCATAGTTTCCATATTGAATAAGTCATCCTATTGCTAGTTCTATAAAATGCTGATTTTTGGTATTGGAATTGATTCTCCTAATTATTCAAAATTTTTAATAAATGAAATTTATTTTTAAGATATTAAAGATAATATTTTATTTTTCAATTAAGTTAAAAAAAAATAAATATTTTGAGATAAAATTAAAATTAATTTTATCAAATAATTTCTTTAATTTGTTAAAAATTTTATAACAAGATTTGTAAAATAAATTAAATTTGTTGCTATCTAAATCTAAATCTAAAACATAATATCTTGCTTAGACAATTAAAAAACGATTAGATATTATTATTTTTTAAGTAAATAACATTATTTAAAGAAACAAATTAATATTAGACGCACAATTTTCCAAAAAAGAAAAGTGAGAAAACAATATTAATTATTTAGTTAGTATATTTTATATTAATTGATTAATTAACTAACTGCCTAAAAATTAATTACTGATTAAAATTAGTTTATATAAAATTTATAAAAATCAAACCTGTTAGTGAACTTTCATTTACTAAAGCATCGCCACTCAGAAGGAGGGAATCACAAGGCATAAGCATATTATTCTAGAATAAGAACAGATCTCCAGGAAGCAAATCTATGCAGTCTATAGTCTATTGAACTCCATTTCTAATGACTTACACATTTAAGTCTATCTTAGCGAATTTCTTCAACTTATTTAAGCTTGCTTTAAGTAAGTAGTAATTAATGAGAGTGATAAATACAGAGACACTTATCATCAGGATAGCAAATTATAAATAACCTTCCAAAGTCCATAAGATCATTGAAATATATTGAAAAATAAAAAAAACACTTGTAAGATTATCAAATAAGTACTCAATAAGACTAGGTAAAGGGATATGAATTTCGCAGTTTCCATATTTTTCTAAGTGAGCTTCTACTTTATGATCATTTAGACCTTCAGCATGAATTGATTTAATATCTCTTAAAGATTGTTTTTCTAACTGATGATAATAAACAGGATAGAATGACTTCTTATTAAAATCGTCAAAATATTGGTATTTCATATGGCGATTAATAAATAATATTTTATTTTTGTCTTTTGTTTTAATTCTATTAACTATTTGTTGATATCCATCTTAGTTAGTGATTAGAAAATGAGTTGCTTTATTCACTGAGCTCTTGTTAAAAATACATCTTAGCCTTACTTTTATAGAGTTTTTTAACAGAATACCAAATGTTAGGCATGAGAGTAGAGTTATTGCAATACTAATAAATACTTTAAATTTAGAGAGTTGATAGGCTTCAATTTTTATAACTTTTAAATCTCCTTCTACATCAGAATTCTGTATACAAACTTGGTTAGAATCAATTTAGCATGTAGATTCTCTACTCCTATAGTTTAAGTTTGAAAATTTTTCATCTTCTTACTTGTCTTTTGTTTGAATCATTTTGAAAAGCTATCAGCTGATATGGCCTATCTTAGAATAACTTTAGATAATGTTTACTTTTTTCTTGTAATTAATACAAATTTATATTAAATTTTTTCAATCTTTTTAAATGTTACTCTTTTACTCAAGCATTTGTTCTCCTATTTATTAATTTTACTTTATTTAAAATAAAAGCCAGATTTTTGTGGACAGGCGAACAAAAAATATCCCCAGAAATTTCCTTTAAATGCTTTAAGTTATTTCAAAGTACAAAAAAAAATTAACACAACTGTTCTTCATTTGTTGCTAATAACATTTCCTACATATTTATTTTTATACCATTCTCAAATTTTTAAGAAACTTTATCTTTTTAAATATAATTAAAAAAACAAAGATAAGAAAACTGTTTAATAATATTTATATTTTTTTAGTATTTAATATGACTCATTTGGAAATGTATTTTTGCTTTTTTAATATAAACTGACGTGATATTTAAATTTAATCTATAGGTGTATTAAAATCTACTGATGCTATTTCATTAGCATATAAGAATTTATTATGTTGAAAAGCTAAAATAAGCAATCATTAAGTAAATTAATTCTTTTTACTTTTATATATATTTTTCCAATAAATATTTTAATTTTTAAATATTAAAAATATATCCATCATAAAGGAATTTTTTATTCTTTCATTTCATTAAAAATTTAGGTAGAATTAAAAAAATTAATTGCATAATTTTTTTAATTAAAATAATTAAAAGGGAATGGTAAAAAAACTCTATTTTGGATTAATTTATATAAATGAAAGCGAAAAGAATAAAAAAAATTATATAATTAATTGAAACTTTTCTAAATCATCTTTATAATTAAATGAACATTATAAGTAATAAAAAAAGTATTGGATACTAAATAAACAACTAAAACAATTTCTATTTAAAACAAATAAAAAAATAATTTTTAATAATATTTTAATGTGAAATTTTATAATTTGAAGAAATATATTTTTATTAATTTTATTTAGACTTTACTTTAAATCTCATAATTTTATTTAATTTAAATTATTTTATTTTTTTCTATTTAACTATCTTGAAATTTTATTTAACTTTCATAAGGTAAATTAATATTATTTTAAAAATTTTTAAATTTTAAATAACTATTTAAATATATATTGAATAAAAAAACAAAGATAAAAATAAATATCATTTTATTTTTAATGTTAAACTAAATTGAATTAAATTCAGGTTTAAGTTAATTTAAAATTATTTTTTTTAAATCTTTAAACTAAAAAATTAAAACTAATAAGAACTAAATTAAGTAAATATATTAAATTATTACATAAAACAAATGTAACAATTAATATAATTTTTTATTAATATTATTATAAATTATTTTTAAAATATAAAAAATAAAGTTAATAAAATTTAGTGTAAAATTAAATAGTATTATAATAAATATCATCTAATATTTATTGATTTTTTAACAAATAAGTATTTAAAATTAATAAAAATATTATTGATCAATTGTTATGAGGTATAGAGATTTTATTAGCTTCTTAATGAAAGAATAAATAGCAAGTGTAAATTATTAAGAGTAATTAGCTGATAACAAATTTTATACCAATAATCAATAAGAAAAATAATTATTTATATATTTTTTTACTGTTTTAAAATTTAAAAAAAGAAAATTTTGAAAAAGATTGGTCTAGTGTTTTTTATGTTTATTCTTTCGTCACTTTTATATTTTTTTAGGTAAGTATATGATGAGATTTAAATCAACTTTTAAATAATCACTTTTCTGAAAGTCTCTATAAAAATTAATAGAATAACTTAGATTCTAAATAAGAATGCTTAAAAAATAGTAATTATTTTGATATCCTTATAATTAATTGTAATATATATCATCTAGTGCTAACAAATTCAATAATTACTTACAAAAATATTTACAAATTCACATAATTAAAATTAGTTAAAAAAATCTGTAATACAAAGTTAATAGATAAAATACATATCCATCGCTCTACTTATTTACTTAGATAGTTTAAAGCTTACTTATATAATTGAAAACTGAATGAACTTTAATCTTTGTGCAGCATTTAAAAAGTGCTCTGAACCTTCTAATAAAAGGAGAATGTAAAAAAAGACTTTTGATGCTACTGCTATGATGATTGGGGAATCCAAAGTTGGCAAAAGCTCTATCCTAGATGCTATCAATAATTAAAATTTTAATCCAAGCTATAGAAGAAGTCAAAATTACGATTACTAAAACTTCAAGTTGGATGACGAAGGTACTAAGACAGTATATAATTTCAAGGTTTGGGAGGTTAATTGTGTCTTCCATCTGATCAACTTAAAATCAGCTAAAATCTTATTTTATGTTTTTGCTTTCGATGACTTAGAGAGCTTCAACTCAATTTGCAAGTATAGATAAATGCAAACATTTTCTAGTCCTCTTGAGCAAACATTTATATAGAAACCGATTGAATTTATGGTTGGGAACAAATCAGACATATAAGATAAAGCCGTAGATTCAAAAGTAGCCTAGGAATACTCATTGAAACATGATATGATATACATAGAAACATCATGTTTAAATATGGAGAGCATCAAAAACTTAATAGGCGAAACGATTTAAAACTTAAATAATATGACATAAATCTAGCATAGCAGCAACTCTTAAAACAAAACAAAGATTACAAGTAAATTATAACAAGACTGATGGATTTTAAAATAAATGATAACCAATTAATTTTTAAAGAAAAAAATGAATGAAATAGTAATTTAAAAATGATAAACTTAGTAAATTTTAATACAAATTTTTAATTAGAACTTTGTTCAAAATCTGATTGATATTTAATAAAGCTAGCTACTTTACTAATTTTGATACTCCCATTAATAATTAATGGCATGATATAAACGAATATACTTTTTGTAAATAATACTTTTAATGTACAAATTTAATCATAAATACCTGAGTACCTATTTATCTCTATTAGATTTATTCTTGCTAAAAATCTATCTATTTTGGAGGTAGAATTTAAGGTAAATAAATAAATAATCAATGCACATCCATTTATTGAAAATAGAAATAACTTACTATAAAATATTGTTGCGAATATCTTTTTATAATTATTTGATAAAAGATAATAAAGTACATCTATCTTTTTATCTGTCTATCATCAATTCGTAATAAATGAGCCCATATAATAAATTCTTTTATAATAACATATAGAGTTTTCTAACCAAATTAAAATAATATGAATAAAATATCTTCATTTTAAGTTAATAGTAAATAATATCTATCTATCTAATTTATTTATTTATTCTGTATGTACTTTTAATAAATTCACATTCAAAATGACTTAATTTAAAACTAATTTCTCCTATTTAAAAACATTAATATAAACTTAGATTTCTATTTTATTAAAAGAAAATAATTTAAAAAAATATTTTTGTAAATTTAAATAAAGAAAGTTCATAAATTTTTTAACAAAAATATTTTTTTTATTTAAAATTATATTAAAATATTAATTTTAAAAGAAAAAAACAACTTAAATATAATTGCTTCTTAAACTATTTTTAAATAGATTATTTCTAAAAACACAACTAATTCTTTTACAAATTTTATTTTTTAAATATTTAAATTAATTTACAAGTTAATTTTTAGATAATAAATAATTATTAATTTTCTCTTCTTTGCTTCTGCATTTGTAACTTAATATTTATTTGATTTTTTATGGAAGAAACTCATTTAAAAATTTAAAAATGCTTAAGCTATTCAAAAAAAAATATGAATGAATTTTGATTCTAAAGATAATACAATCTCTATAAAATTATTTGATTTAATATTTAGAATTTATTTCAATTTTTATTTAATTGTTGAAAAGAAATTTCAAAAAATTTGAATATTAAAAATAGTAAACAATATAAAATGATAGTTTTAAATCAACCTTAATAGATAGTAATTAATTTAGAAATACTTTACACTATATTTTTTTTTTCTTGTATCAAAAGCTGATTAGAGACTAAGATAATAATGTTAAAGGAATTAAGATAATTTTGAAGTAATTTTTTATAAAAAATAATAGTCAAGCTAGATATTTACTTTATATTTTTAATAGCAACTTAATGTTAGATGAAAATCAGATAATAGAAAATTTTATTAAGATTTCGAATTACAAAAAATTAGACTAGCTTATAATAAAATTAAGGTATTTTTAAAAATTAATTATTTTATATTTTTAGTAATCAAACCAAGTACAAAGTACAAATGAATCAATTTTTTTTGTTCATAATAAAAAATTTAATTTATAAATAAATAATAAATAAATGAATTTTTGAACAGGCAATTAAAGATAACATTTTTTAATGAATTTATAAATAAGCAATAATTTAGCTAAATAAAAGAGTGCTCAATTTATATTTTAGTTCATATCATAGATCAGTAATTTATCTTATTTAGAGCTGGATTTATAGTAAAACTTTTTATAAAAAAATATCATTTGAATTAAATAATTTCTAAGCTAAAACAAGCTAGATATTAATACAGGGGTTTCGTTTCCTACGAATGAATTATGCAAATGGACTAATTTGACTACTTTAATATTAGACTTAGGGTAAAGTTAACTAGATAGAAAATATTAATATCAATATTTTAAAGAACTAATAAAATAGGATCTTCTGGTATCAAAACAATATGCTAAGAATTACTTTCATTATAAAATCTTATTAATTTGTCTTTAAATGTGTGGTAATTTTTTGATTATTTAAACCTCTTAGAAACATGTATTTTTTAAAGTAAAAATGAAATATAAAATAATGGATCAGCAGACTTAGGATCAGCTATTTCAAGTATGACTAAAATAGAGAATTTACATTTGAATATTGGGTAACTTATTATTTAAATTAGTCTTAACAATATTTAAAGTAAATATAGAGATAATTAAATAGATAACTAAGGAATTACTGTGCTTTTAAACTCAATACAAAGCTGTTAAACTATAAAAAAGTTATAACTTGAAGCTATGTAATTTAATTACAATACAAAATTATTTTAATATAAATTTAAAAATGAAAACAGTGAAAATAAAATAGATGGTATAGGAGCTATTAATATAGGGATATCAGTTTCTTCACTATCTAATTTAAATAGATTAATTCTAAATTTAAAGTAAAATTTTATTAAAAAAAGAACTATCTTTTATCATAAAATTAAGTAATAATCGAATAGATACGGTTGGCTTTAACACCATGCTTTAAAAAATCTCTACTAGTGTTTCAATTCAACAAATTATACTTCTATTACTGTAAGATATATTTTTTAATTTAATAATTAATTATAAATATGGCTGATTGATAAAAATTGTAGGTAAAACTAAGCATCTTACATGGATAACTGTGGATAAACTTTAAGAAATTTCAAGCAACTTAATTATGCTTATATTTAATTAAAGTAAATTTTTAATAAATTATTTTGACATCCTTTTTATTTATTTGTTTAAAATTTAATCACAATGCTTAAGTAAAAGCATATCATAATTCATTTATATTTGATTGAGCAAAAATAATTTTTTAATTGTTTTTAAAATAAAACTTTGTTGATTTTATAAAAAAATAATAATATTTTAATAAAAATACTATATAGTAAAATAGGTCATTAAAGGCAAAATTTTAAAATTCAGCATATTAAAAAGTGTAAAAAGCTAATAGATTTTAGTTTACTTTGATATTGATTCAATAACAAAATACTTGCTTATTTAAGAAACTGAATATTTAAATAATAGAAAGATTACTAAATAATTCATATGATTAATTAATTAAGTTATAATATAAAAAAGAGGAAATTATTTTAGAGGTAAGAGATAATCAATAATTTGTTTTTATGTTTTGTGCAAATTGTTTATATATGTAAAAATAAATAAATCTTTTATTTAAAATAATTTTTGTAACTAAAATTGTTATCTTTTTGTAAACAAATCAATTCTTTTCATTTTAGTATGTTAAAGAATTTGTTTTTCTTAATGCATTTAGACTTTTTCTGTGAGGTCCAAGATACCTTTTAACAATACATTCTTCATATAAAATAGTACCGAAACCAAAGCAAAGAGCTATTATAAGTTACATTCCCATGAAATGAGTATTACTGACAGTTTAGTGGTCTAAACCAAAGAATTTCTCACCAGATTTAGAAGGGAGGAGATATAAGAAAAACATATAAATATAAACAGCTAGCGTAGTGACAAATAAAATTTTATTTTAGTAGATCCTCTACTTTGTTGGATATGAGATATAGTAAGCAACTATTGAAACGACAAAGGCAAAGGTAACACTAAGGAATAAAACAGTAACAGCCTGTCCTTCAGTAAAAAACTTACTAGTATCAGCTACGTGAGTTATTTAAACGTACCAACTCTAAGATCTTAGGTGGAAATAATGAGCCAAGAATTATCCAACAGATAAAACAATTTAACCAAACACACTGAAGAAGTTTTCAATATCTATTAATAAAATAGTTAAATTCAAAAACGCTTATAAAATTCAAATCATTTATTTACCTAACATATTAGAGATTGATTTGTATGGAGTTAGATCCTCTAATGGTTTGCTTAAAGAAAGCATAATAAGATAAGGAATACTCACAAAGTAATTAATAAATATAACTTGTATGCTTGACATATAACTAAGTTCCAAAATCAAGATGCAGGCTAATGTAAACTTATGAAAACTGACTGTCAAATAATATCTATTTAAATTTTTATTTATATTAAATTTCTTGTTTTTTTTATCAAATTTAATTTAATAATGTTCAAAAATGAATTTTTATTTTTACCTATAGCATTCGATCATACTACTGAGAGTGCATCTACCTTCTGCTAATATTTTAATTACACAGTCTAAACTAGTTTCTGAATAGGAAAAAGGAGAAGAATAAGAAGCATCTGTTGTGGCGAATGAAATACCTAATTTAAAAATATTAATTATTATTTACAATTTTTATTTAAATGAAATTTGAATATTTATTTGATATTAAATTTAATTATTTATTTATTTACCTATATCAGCTTGTTTTATAGCAGAGCAATCGTTTGCACCATCTCCTATCATTCCAACTTTTTCATTCAAAACAGTTTAGAAAAGATAAACTAATTCTGCCTTCTGCTTTGGTTTGCATCTAGAAAAAACAACACTTTAGATCAAAAGATTCTATAAAATCTTCTATTCTTAGTCACCAAATTTTTTACAAAAGATATTTTAAAGTTCTTCTAAAAACTTTCCAGTTATACCAATCTTAAATCTCTTAACTTCTTCATTTGATTCTAATAATTATAATGGGTCCTTCTTCTCTAGGGTAGATTAAACATAGCAGTCGTTGATTGAGTTACAAACTAATACCCTAGAAGCATCACTTGGTAAAATGTTAGCTTCTTTGGCACATTAGATTGTTGTTAAGAGATTATCACCAGAAATGACTTTACATAAAATATTTCCATTTTGTAAACGCTTAATTACATCAGCTGTATCAACTTTTAGTTTATTTTCAAGGACAAAGATACCCAAAAATTGTATATTCTGCTCGATAGCATCTCTGTGACTCTCTTTATCTTAAATTTCTTTGTATCCAAAAGCAATTACTCTCAAACCCTTATTTGTCATTTCATTTAAGAGCTTCTTAAAGTTTTCCTCATTTATGCTAGATTTATCACACAAGTCATAAATTTTTTCAGGAGAGCCCTTAACGATTCCGTATAGCTTTTATGCCTACTCATCTTTGATAACTACGGTCATTCTTTGCAGTGAGCTTTCAAATTCCCAAACTTTGAAGATAGTTAGTAAGGAATTATCGCTATTTCTCTAGACTTAAAATTTAAAATCTTTTGATTCTCCTGGTAATATATGATATTAAGAAAACTCCAACATTCTAACATCTAATTCATCACCTAAATTTTTTCCATTAACAAGGTAAACGCCATGGCAAGATCCAAAGAACTTATGTAATAATTTTTCTTTCTCACCTGTAATTAAAAATGAAATTTATAAAAATGCAATTTGAAAACTAAAATAAAATATTACTTTCGTATTCTAAAGATTACTTGATTTTATTGCAATTATGATCAGAATATCCATATGTTTCCATAGAATCTTTAGTAAGAGTTCCAGTTTTGTCAAAGCACATAATAGAAACGTCACCTGCTACCACAACCTTAGCAGGATCAGTAGCCAGAATCTTTTTAGTGCCCATACGAAGCAAAGAGACAGTTTAACAAACACTGAAAAAAATAGGAAGAGCAGGAGGAATCATCCAAGTTGCGGTATCAAAGAATCTGTAAATAATAAGAGTTGTAGCTATTCCAGTATCAATAATAAATTTAAGCTCTATGAAATAGATAATAATGCCAATAGCAATTAAAATTAGCATGAAATAGATACCGTTTCTGTAAAAATTAAAACTAATTTATTTAGGATAAAGCATAGCTCTAAAAATACTGCCTCTGAAGGAAGCGTATCCAGTTCTTAAAACCATACCTTTTACTTCTTATCCTTTTATCTAGATAACTTTTGTTCCTTCATAAAGAATGTGATTTTTCATATTTTCAATATGAAAAAAATCATCCTATTAGTCATTTTGATCAATGCTTATCTTAGGAATTGGTAGAGATTCACCTTTATTTTAAAATAAAATATTATTTTTATTTTTTATGATAGACTTTAAAAATGTAAATCTTCATTTATTTAAGCAGTCAAAATTAGACTGATTGTTTTTTAAATTTATTAAATTTTTGAAAATTCATTTAAGAAATGGGTAAGAAAGAGATCATTTTAATGAAGTTTTAGTCTATATTTAATTAGATATTTATGTTTGATTTAAATTAACTGAAATAAAGATATTAAATTTAATTGTTTCTTACCAGTTAAAGAGGACTCATTGACTAAAACATCTCCACTCAAAAGCATAGAATCGCAAGGTAGTGACATGTCATTTTTATAAAAAAAGATATCGCCTGGAAGCAAATCATTACACTTGATTTCCTAATCTACTCCATTCCTAATAACTCTAACTCTTAGATCAATTTTTGCGAATTTTTTCAGTTTGTCCAAAGATAGTCTTAACAAAAAGTAATTAATTAAGGTAATTATGACGGAAGAGACTATCATAACAACAGCAAACAAAAGATAACCTTCTAAAACCCACAGAAGTACAGTTAAATACTAGAAAATAAAGAAAATGTTGGTAAGAGTTTCAGCTAGATATTCAAAGATAGTAGGAATAGGAATGTGAATTTCACAGTTTCCGTATTTTTATAAGTGGGCTTCAACTTTTTAAGTGGTTAATCCTTGTGAATGAATACCTTTTATATCTCTAAGTGTTTATTTCTCAATTTGATGATAATATACTGGATAAAACGCTTTTTTGGAATCATCTTCGAAATACTGATACTTCATGTGGCGATTTATAAATAAGATTTTTGTCTTGTCTTGATGCTGGATTCTTTTAACTACTTCTTAGCTATTATCAAAATTTGTAATCAAAAAGTGGGTTGCATCATAAACTAAGCATTTGTTGTATAAACATTTCAATCTGATTCTCAAAGAATTACGTAGAAATAATGCAAACACTAAGCAAGTCATAATTGAACTTAATACACATAGTAATACTTTACTGCTAGACATTTATAAAGCTTCTATTTTGATAACCTTTTAATCTCCTTCTACATCGCAATTTACTATAGTGACTTAGTTGAAATTTGGTTGATTTGTATTGTTTGATGAGTTTGTTTCAGAGGCTCTATCTGATTCTTGCTTGGAGCTTTTTGGAAGCATTGGAGAATTGTTTCTTGAAGTAAAATTTAATTAGGATAAAACTTCGCCTTTTTATTGCTAATATTATTAATTTATTTTTCCGTGGATGTTTTCCACTGATAACATTATTTATTTTTACTAAAAATTGATTATTTAGAGAGGAAATACTATCTTGCTTTTAAGTCCTACAAATTCCTGTTTAATTAAAAAGTATATAAAGTCTTAATATTATGTGATATTGGAGATTGATAGATAGATTACAGTCAATACAAAATATAATATTTTGTATGCGTTAATACCCAATAAGATTAATTTCTCATTCTTATAATTGTATTATCTAGTCAATGATTTTGCACACTTTATGCAGAAAAACACAGGCATATTCGTAAGTTTTACAACAAATATATGGTGATAAATTTATAAATTTCAAAACATTTTTATAATTTGATTAAACAACTACCATTAAAAAATTAAAAAATTTAATGACAAATATTATAATGTTTTGAATTTGTTCTATTGTATCTTATTAAATAAAACTAAAAAAATAGATCAGAATTAACATATATATCCACTAATTTACTAATTATTATATTACTAAATTTGAAATAATATGAGTATTCTTTTTTAATTACACAAGGCTCAGAATAAAAATTGCTAATTGCTAAAAAAAGAATGGATATAATCTTAATTATTGCCTTATTTTATAAAAGAAATATCAATTAAAGTTATAAATAGCATTATAAATATCTAAAATAATATAAAAAAAGGACTCATAATATTTAAACAGATGCAATATTATATAATCATTAGCAAAATTCTTTAGCAAATACTAAAGCTTGAAAAGAGAATTTTTTCAATCTATTTTACATATTTTTATATTCACTAATGGAATTTACTATTTAGAAAAGAAGAAAAAGTGTTTATGTTTAGAAATTAAGTCTATGGTTTCTCAATACACTAATAATAGTTTTTATTTTCAATATTCAATAGTTAGTTTATTAAATATTATGCGTTTTCATTCTAGTATAATTTCTTTGAAGTCTATAATTTGCAATAGATAATCTAAAAAATTCAATAACTCAACTGAATATTCAAAAATATTAAACGCTTTTTTACACTCTCAATTGAGATTGAAAAAATAATGATAAATTTTTGTTAAATTTATTATTTTTATATTTAAAGATACATGCTTGAATTATTACAAATGTTATTATCAAAGTACTATAAAAATAACAACTAAAATTATTCAATTTATTTTTTTAAGAGAGCATAGTATTCTAAAGGTTCATTTTCCATTAATTCTTATCATTTATAGTTCTAGTTAAATTTAAGATAAACCATTCACTTATTTATTGTAATCAAAAATTAAGCTAAAAATTTCTATTTAAACCACCCTTAATCCTAAATATATTAATTCATTTAGTAAATAATAATATTGGTAATATTTATTAGGTTAATTAAAAAAGCATAACTTATTACCACATATAAGTCTATGTGTGAGAATATAATTTATTCATTCATTTAAACATATCTAAATTTATTTTTTTTAAAGTTAAAATGTTGAAAGGTCACTCCTTACTTGCTTTAAATCATCATTTTTATCCAACAAAATAAATCTTTTATATTTCATATTAGATATTTTATAAACAAAAATTATGCATATAAAAGAATATTATGCAGAGTATTTGATTTTATATTTACCATTAAATCTAATTAACTTTATATCAATATATTTTGAGAGAAATTTATTAGAAATATGAGTAGAATTTTAAATGGCTCCTAAATATTCATGATGAATATTTTATTTAAAACCTATTTTTAAAAAATATTTAGTGTAAGTTCTCTCTTTCTATTATCTTTTCAATAAAATTTTTTTTGTTTTATTTAGGATAATAATTTAAAAATCAATTTATAAGGTTTTAATATGACTTAGATCGGACATATGAAAAATTGCACTGATTATAAATAATAAATATACAAAAAAATTAATGTTTAATAAAAAATGAATTACTTGAATGAGTGAATTTTTATAATAATTATTTATCTATTTAGAGGTAATAATTCTTTAAATTCTATTTTGCTTTGATTCAATATTAATAACAAAAATTAAATTTTAATTTTTATAAAACGATAAATATAAAAAAGAATTTATTACGAAAAATGGTATTCTTAAACTAAAATGTATTTATAATATTTATTATACCTTTGATTTTTACATTTTCTTAGCAAAATCCTTTATTATTTCAAAGCATCAATTGAATTTATATTTCTTATTTAATACTTTTAAGAGTAAAAATAGAAACAAATATCTTACAGAATTTCCTATTATATTTATTTTTATTTTCTTATTCATGAATATTATAAAAAAAGAAAGAAAAAAATTATTTATGAGCTCAATTACTAAATTAATTTTATTGAGATCTTAAATTTTAGAAAATCATAATATTATTTTCAATTAAAACATAATCTATAAATAAATACATTCATATATTTTGAGATAAATTGTATATTTATAGTGAAAAATATTATATTTTTTTTTTAAATAAATATTATTTATTCATTCAATTAATTTTTAAAAAATAACAAATTAGAATAATACTAATTTATGATTTAATAATAAATAATGGTTAAATCAATATATAAGATTTATTTATATTACTCTCAAATACTTTTAAAAATATTTAAAGGAATTATCAAATAATTCAGAGTTTAAATTAAATTTGAAAAATTTTATAATTATTTAAAAATAAAAATAGAAAAAAGAAATAATTTTTATTTCAGATATTAATTTATATAATAAAAATTTAGTTTATTTTTAAATTATATTTTTTCTAAATTTATAACCATTTTTAATACAAATTTACCACATTTTTAATGGGTAAAGCAAGCACAATAGGCTTGATATGTGAAATAACTATATTAGGATATATAATTAAGAAATATTATTTCTAAAAATTTAAAAATAAAACAATTTTGTTTCACTATGATGTAGATCTTACATTTAAAAATAATTGAAAATTCTTTGGTAATAAATAATGTAAGATTAATTTTATTGTCTTAAATCATATTTTTTATTCTTAATAACAATCTCTCCCTCAAAAGGATATTTTCTGTTTTAATAAATAAATTCAAATTTTGAATGAATATTAATGGGCTTATTTAAATATAAATTTCAGCAATCGTTAAAAATTCAAATTAAATAATAACCATACAATTAATAAGTATTTAAATTTATTAATTTTATATCAATTTTATTTTTAAAATTAATCAATTTATTGAGTGAAAAGTTTTTTTAATATTTAAAATATTTCATGTGAATTTATTTTATATTAAACAAAAAATCTATATCAATAAATAGTTTGATGGATTAGTTGAAAGATTTGTGTTTATGAATTAAGTAAGAATCAAAATATGGATAGATTTTTTTGTTTTAATTATTTCAATCAATCTAATCAAAAAAGAATGAGTAAAAAATATATTAGATTTTTAATGAATGATCTATTGAATATAAATAACTTGATAATAAATATTTACATACTCTAATAAATTTAACAGACTAAATTTCAAATTATTGATATAGTTAAAACAAGAAATTTAAAAATAGTTTCAAATGGAATGAAATTTTTATGATCATTAGCTGTGATTAATACTATTTGTTTAAAAAAATGATTGTTATTAATTGTTAATGTAAATAAATAAAATTATGTTATAATATTCAAAATGCATTTAAGTAATTACACAAAGCTTTTATATAATCTTTCATATTGATAGATAAATAATTTCCGCAAGCAAGCAAGTTAGGGAATTACAATCAATTAAGCCAAATAAAATCATAAAATTAAATGATATTGATTGATTCATATGAATTGGCGAACAGATGAAATTCTTCTTATTTAATTAAAGAGATTTATAAATGCTAAAGAAAGATTGATATATAACAATAAATTAAAAGATAAATGTTAATTAGGGCGAAGAAATATAATAAACATTATATTAAAAATAAATAATTTGATTTATTAAGCAGAGTTGTTTATTTATTTATTAGTTAAATAATTAATTGTTTTTCTTTCTAAATAAGAACTTATTTTATTCATTTAGATGGTTTTTAATATATATATTATCTTTTTCTTGTGTATTTTGATTCTTATATGGATTTTTTCTTTTTTTATTTATTGAATGAGTGAACGAACGAACATGCAAGGGTAATTTGGTTGATGTGTTAGAACTTATAAAGAAAATTAATAAATATTAAACAAGAAAATTAAGAAAGTAAAAAAGTGAAGAAAAAGAAAGACATTTGAAAACCAATCAACAAAATCTATAAGAAAAGCTATTAGAAGGAGAAGAAAAGCTAACTAATCAAAGGTAAATTATTATTAATATTTTTTATTTTATGAAAGCAGAAGCGGCACAATAAAAATGACACTTAGTTGTGTATTTTAGCAATCTTATTAAGTAAAAACTGTCACAAAATCTACTTTTTTAGAGTTTTATTAAAGAAATAATACTTATTGAAGCTCTTGTAGCTAATCATCAATAAAAGCTATCATTAGGACAATAATTTCAAAAATAGTAAAGAGCAGCAGCGAAGAAGACAAAAAGTTACTTTTAAATAAAAATATATCCAAATAAATACATTTTATACTTAAAATTTTAATTTTGATTACAAATAAAATGGAAGCTTTAATTAATAATAAGTTGAATCACTTCGCTGCCTAGCTTCATTTATATAGAAAATATTCATTTTATCAAAGACTGATTAAAATTTAGTTAATATTAGTTTATTTATAATTTTTTCAGTTTAACCAACGACCAATAAGATTGATTATAAAGGAAGAAAATAAAAATTTCAATAACAAACAGTAATTGAAAAAGAGACTAAAAATACAAAAGAAGAAGATCATTAGAAATTTTTAGAAGCCGAAAAAGAATTTTTTTAGCTAAAATTTATTTAAACTGTAAAAATCATAGAAAGAATGAGCAGCAACGAAGAAATTGAACCACATATTTTAAGAAAGTTTGAAATCATTCAAAAATTGGGTAAAGGAGCTTATGGTATTGTTTGGAAAGCATTTTGCAAGAAGTCAAAGCAAATAGTTGCTTTAAAAAAAGTATTCGATGCATTCCATAACGCTACTGATGCTCAAAGAACATTCCGTGAAGTAATGTTCTTGCAAGAGCTTAATGGACACGAGAATATCATTAGGCTAATCAACATCATCAAAGCAGAAAATAATAAAGATTTGTACATGGTTTTTGACTTCATGGAAACTGATTTACATGCTGTTATTAGAGCAAATATATTAGAAGAAATACACAAATAGTATGTTGTCTATTAAATTCTTAAAGCTATGAAATACATTCATTCAGGTGAACTGATCCATCGTGACTTGAAGCCATCTAATATCCTCCTAAATAGCGAATGCTTGGTTAAATTAGCTGATTTTGGACTTGCCCGTTCCGTTGCAGTTACCGATGATGATGACAATCCTGTCAGAACAGAGTATGTTGCTACTCGTTGGTATCGTGCCCCTGAAATCTTATTAGGTAGTACTAAATATGCTAAGGCTGTTGATATGTGGAGCATCGGCTGCATAGTAGGAGAACTTATAACTAACAGAGCTATCTTCCCAGGTAATTCCACTCTCAATCAAATTGAAAAAGTTTTAGAATTGACTGGTAAACCCACTTAGGAAGATATTGAGTCGTTAGAATCCCAACTAGCATGGAATATCATAAGTTCAATTAATGTTTAAAAGAAAAAAACATTCCATTAAATGTTCCCTGGTGCAAGCGAAGAAGCAATTGATCTCATCAAGAAACTCCTCTGTTTCAACCCTAAAAATCGTCTTACAGTTGAATAAGCCTTAGAGCATCCTTACGTTAAAGACTTCCACTGTCCTGAAGAAGAAATTGTTTGCGGAAGAGTCATCCCCATCAGCATGAACGACAATAAAAAATTCTCAATCAAAGAATACAGAGAAGCACTTTATAATTAAATTTACTAAGAAAAGAGAATCAAACGCTAATAAAACAGAGACATTTACCTTAAGCAATAATAATAAATTACTACAACTGGAAATGGGTAGGTTTCTTAAGCTGGATAATCTTCCCAACCAGTTTCATCCCAACAAATACCTTCCTCTTCTTAATCTACTTAATCATCTGTGACTCAATAGTAATAGCAATAATAGCAGTAAGAAAAAAGCAAGAACCAATATCAAAGCAGCTCCTCTCAATAGTAGTAAGCTTAACAGTACCAATAGTAGCAATCCCTTTAATAACAATAGGTACCTTAGCGCCAATCGTCTCAATCCTCTTAGCCTTAATCTCAGTAAAGCATATAATAAAATTAACAGAAGTACTAATAGTCATAGTAATAATAATAGCGTTACTTTGATCAGGAAAAAGAATAGTACAAGCCAAATGCTCAACAATAATACCTTCAATAGTAACAACAACTCCAATAATAGCAAGCTTTACAACAATAATAAATGCAAAAATCTTATTACAACTCACAAAACTTTAATAGTAGCTAAGTTTAAGTCTAATAAGGTAACTCATAATCAACATCTCAAGGAAATAATTACAGTGGCTACAAATCAGGAAGCTAGGCCAGCACCACTAATGCATCATCTTCAGCTTAATATGCTGGCTATGATGACAAAAAAGTACTAATGAACTCTTCTAATTAAATTTAAAATAAAAATTCCTCTTAAGTCTACACTCAAAGCTAAGGAGCAAACTAAGCTAGCTCTTCAAACACATAGCAATAATACTTACCTAGTTCTTCAAATACTATCTATGGATAGGGAGTAACAAATTCTATTGCTAACAGCAATAATCTTTACAATTAAGCTTAATTGAATGGCTCCAAGTAGCAATCTTCATCACTAGGTCACACATAAAATAAGTATTCATCCACTTAAGCTTATCAATAAGCACAGCCCTCTAAATATATGAATTAGACTTAAAATGCTTAGAAATATGTCAATAATAACAACAATAGTAACGGGTAGTTAGGAGGAAGCTAGAATAATATTGGTGGAAGTTAAACAAACTCTTAAAATCATTACTAAGCTGCATAGTAATATCTCTAACAACACATGTAATAGCAATAGTAATAACAACAAGTTTAATAACCATAGACTAAATATGGAGTTACTTACCACCATGGACATTCACAAAGTTCTGGATCAAGTAACACCTTTGCCTAGTATTAGCAACATTACCAATAATAGCAACAAAGAACAACAGGAGTAACTGCTAATCACTAGAGATAGCCTTCAAATAATGCTCAAAAAGTTCGCAAAGTAGAATAAAAAATGTGAATTAATTAATACAAATAAACATATAATAAAGTTAATGAGATATAAAAAAATTATAATCCTAATAAATAAGAGAATATATGATTGAAACTAGTTATTTTTCTATTTACAAATTGCACATTCATTTCTTATACTAAAATCAACTATTAATATAGTGACTTCTATCTATTCTTGTATAAATAAAAAAATACATTCCAAAAAAATAAATTAAAGTTGCGCAACAAGAATTTGATTTAATTTAAACAAATTCTTTGTCCTTTCTATTTAGTAAAAAAAACGAGAGTAGGAATACTAATACTCTATCCTGTATTTATTTTTACTTTTTAGATGATAATTATCTGAATTCAAATAAAGAATCTCAAATCAAATCAGACTTAATAAATTGGAAATAATCACTAAAAAAATTGATTGAGATATCCTTATGAAAACAAAATATTATATAAAATGTACAAACAAATATTTTTCATTGTGTAAAGATTTATTTTCTTATATTTTTCCTTGCAACTCTGTCTCTAAGAATTTTAGATTTTGATAAATATTGTTAATTAATATGAATCTTTTTCTTTTCAAATAAAAATTTATTATTTTTTATTATGTAAAAATTACAATTTTTATCTATTTAATGCATATACTCATTCATATTTAGGTAAATTAATGTATAAAATATACGGCGAGGGGTTTGATTCTATGCGCCGGCTATGTCTAAGAGGTGCCGACTACCACGGCGGTGGTTTAGAGATAATACGGTATTAATTTTGATCAAATATTTAATTAATATAGGTATCCTTATACATAATCTGATTCCGATTACAACAAAAAAAGTATTATTGGATTAACTATCTATTTACTTAGTTGTCTGTCTTTAAATACAAAAAATTTTTTGATATCAAAAAATAATTAATTGTTATCAATAAACTAGCAAAAACACAGCAAAGTAGACTTTAAAAAAAGCTTTAAAAATGGAAAGTGAGGAGTTAAAACATCAAGAACCAGGTACTATTACTGTACTAAATAGTAGTCATAGTCCATCTTAAAATTTTGATGAAAATGGCTTTTAGCCTTACTTGTACCAAAACCTCTAAGATGATACATAGACGGCTGGCTAATAAGATTCAGATCTTAATGCTTAGACTGATTAAACATAAGACAGGAGAAACTTTTACACAAATTCTTAAAATGGTATAAGATAGTAAACAGAGGATACCAGTTAACAGCAAACACCATAAACAATAAATAGCTAAACTTAAAGCAATAGTCATCCTAAGCACATTTATTAAAGATTGTACAGAGTCTGTATTAATATACTATAATCGGACAAAAAAGGTGCAAAAAAACTATTAGATAAAGCAATAACAAAGTAAGATAGTAGTGCTTGGAAGAAAAAATTAAAAGAACTATTAGGTAAGATATATCAATAATAAATAAACTTAAAAATTTTTAATGATTTGCTCAAAGCCAATTTAATAGAGGATTTCCAGTAAAGAATATATGAGATTCTTTCTTTCTATACCAAAAAAGCAAAAAGTAAGGATTAAATCATATTTTACAAGGGAAAATAATATGATAATGTTGTTTCTAAAATGTTTAAAATGATTTAAGATATTAAATAATAATAACCCAATTGAATTTAATTTTCTATTCAGTTTAATTCTATTTTAAGGTGATTGATTCTATTATCAAAAGATCTTGAAATCTAAATCGTTGGCATTTAATTATAAACTATATAATTTTATATTAAAAAACGAGAAAAATATTATAAAAAGTAAATGAAAAGATTTTTACTTACAAAAAAAATTATAAATTACAATTCCAAATAGAGACCATTAATTAAATTTTATAAAATTGTTCTATATTTTTACATAAATGACTAATTTGTAGCTGATTTTTTAGTATAAATTAAATAATAATTATAAATTCATTTTAAATAAATAATATTTTATTTTATACAATAAGAGAATAAATACATAACTAATAAAAATATTCTTTGAGCCTCTCTAATTGAATTTTTGAAAAGAAATGTTTTGATTCATTGATTAATTAATTAATTAATAAATAAATAAATAAATAAAGTATAATTATTATCTACCCTACTTCGTAAATAAAAAATAGGATTTAATTCCTAAATGTTAATTTTTTACAAGGATATAAACTCAATTCTTTTAGTTTTTAGAATATTTAAGAAGTGGAGTTAATAATTATAATTTACATTAATTTTTCAAAATTTTTGATAATTTTCTCAAATAATTTCAATCAAATTCATTCATTTATTTATTAAATAATTTATTTTTTTCTTTTAAAATAAACAAAATAAAATAAAAATCGATTAAAAAATTATAAAACAAATAATTTATGGTAAAAATTAAATAAATTTAATTAATCTATTTTATAGCAAATCCGGGAATTAAATTCTTGTGTTTCAACTTCCATAAGAATTTAGAACCTGGAAGTGCTCTAAATATTTACTTATGAATTGCAATATTAATTACTATTTTTTGTAAATTTATACATTTAAATATATAAGTAAAAATTACTTTAAAATATTATTTTTTCAATAAATTCATATTTATAAATTGCATATAATTTTTTGAATGAGTAATGATTTAGTAAAAAATAAACTAATTTAATACTAATTTATAACAAATAAAATCAGCTTTACAAACTTCTTTTAAAATATCTATTATCCTCAAAAGGAGCAATATTAAAATATGTTAATTTTTTAAATTTTAACATAATCTTTTATTACATTTTAATATTAAAATCTACCATGAAACTTTTCGATAAAAAATAAAATTATTTAAAATTTAAATTTGTTTGTTAATATTATTTACTCAAAATAAAGCTAAATATAGTTGATATCTTAACATTTCTTCAAACACTAAAAGAATCTCTTGAATCCTTCATCATAAATTTGAGTAATTTATTCCCCTTAGTAAATAACAACATCAATTGTAGGATGCTCACTTAAATAAGTTTAATAACACTTTAATTAAAATATTTTATTTTCAGAAAATAACTTTATTACCCAAAATCTAATATCAATATTTTTAGTTTAAAAAGTTAAGATAAAGCTTATCCAAGTTTAATTAATGTTTCATCATCTATAGATTATCTTTAAAGAATAAATTAAAAATTTTATTTTAATGAAATTTAATTACGATATAGCAAGATTTAAATATTAAATATTATAGCATTTAGAAAGTGCTTATGCTAGCCCTGATGTACCAATTTCATATGCTGAATTATATCTAATAATTAAAAAATTAAAATTAATTATTTATCTATTGTGCATATTCATTAATTAAGGCCATTTTTAAAAATTTTTCTAGAAAATAATTTAAAAGAAAAGGTAAGTTTTTGAAAAATAATTTTTGTCAGCTAGATGGTTTTAATTAACGAGAATTTAGGTTTAAGATGAATTATTTTTATTTTACTAGTAATTAAGCTCAAGTTAGGTAATATTTTAGAGAAAACTAAATGTATCTACTAATTTTATAAATCCACTATCTTCGATTCTCCAGCCACTGATAATTTGTTTAGTAATAAAAATAAGTATTCTAAATAAATCATTTATTTCAATTTACTATAAGTTTAGCCTAAGATTAATTAACTTCTTACTTTTTTCTATAAGTTTACATAGCTATATCATATTCTAATCAGGGAATGATATAATGTTATATTATCTAGAAATTATTAGAATATTTTTAATACTTTTAAAAATATATATTTGACATTTATTTGCATTTAAAATTCTTAAGAGAATTAATTAATTTTATATTATCAAAATAAATAAATATTTATTCAAATTTGTTCATATTTTTAAAAACCTAAAGGAAAATATCTTAGTAATTTATGAAATAATAAGGTCATCCACCATAATTTTTTAATGAATTAATTTTAAAAATTAATTAGATTATTAATTTCTATCTTTGAAAAAAAAACATTTTATCCAATTGATGTAAAAATAATTTAATCATAAGAACAATAAAGACTGAATATTTAAATAATTTTATTTATTTTAAAGTATGTAATCTTATATTAAATAATTTCAGAAGTAACATTAGTAATAATAATAATTTCTTTTTAATCAAATTTTAGTTACATTTATTTTTATTTTTTTTGAATTATAAAGACAATTAAGCTAAATAACTTATTAATAAATAATTATTCTTTTAAGCAAATATCTTAAAAGAAATGATTTAAATAATAGCTATTTCATTCAAAAATATTTTACAAGCTTCATAAAAAAAGAAATTTTAATCTTAATATTAACAAAAGAAACTTTTTTATTTCTTACTTTGGTTAATCTATGATGAGCGAAACAGTATATGTAGAATCAATATTTTCTATCTTTAAAAGCATAAAAAAGTTTAGAAATAAAGTCTAAATTATTTATTGTTTTACTTCAGAATAGCTTTTTAAAGTTATCTTTTATTAGGCCTAGGAATCATTTATTAAAATAATATCAAGAGTTTCTTCTTTAGGCTTTTACTTGTGTTGTGATTGATCTTCATTTTATTTTTATGGGTCTAATTGAATTTAGGAATAAATTTAATCTATAAATTTAAAATATATAAATTATTTAATTAGTTTAGATCAAAAATAATTCAATAAAAATAATTTTAGCACTTTTTTTATTGTCATTAAAATTCTTAATTGACTTATTTTTTGATTACTTTTCTCCCATATTTTTTACTAACTTGATTTTATTAAATGTAATATCAGAATTTAATATTTATTCTGCCAATCTAAATTTGAATACTATAAATAATTTCACTTCAAATAACATAAACTTATAAAATTTTATCAATTAAATAAAAAAAATAAATTATCTCTGCATTAATTTATAAAAAATTTACTACTTTATGCTAAGAGCTAAGTTGGTTATTATAGATGGTTTTAAGTTTTAACTTAAAAAGTTATTATTTAAGCAATTCAATTTTTTGTGGACAAAAATTAGAATAGTTTTTAGTAAGATTATAAAAATAAACCTTCTTTATCTACATTTTCATTTTATTTTTGAAATAGATTAAAAATATTTAAAAAAATAGCATATAAGTACTGATAATAAATATTAATTAGATTAATTAATTAGAAAATCTTTGATAAGAAAAAAACTAAAAAGCATAGGTTTTATAAAAAAGAATTAGGTTAAATGTCGATGTTAAATTCAATAATGTAAAACATCACTTTTTACAAAAGAAAATTAATAAAACAAATAAAAAATAAAATAATTTAGATACTTATTTAAGATAGTCATTCCAGCTTATTATTCATTGAAATTTTTAAAAAAACGCAATCAGTAATAAATATCAAATATATTGAAATTTTGGTGTGTCAATAGTGTTTGGACAATATTCGAAGTGTTAGTTCCTCTGGTTGTTGATTAGTAATAGCTAAATTTTCCAAAACATTTATTTAATATGAAAATATTTTAAATTTATTACTTAAAATAAATTTAAATTTAAATTAATATAAAACTAGATGGTTTTTCTTTGTAACAAATGTAATATTCTACGTAGCATTGACATTCCCTGAATATAAAAGGGCAGGATAAATTTTTGATTTAACTATTTCAAAACTTTACTTAAAGAATCAAGAAGTTATATCATAATATGCAGATATGGTAATAAAATATATCATAATTTAAAAAAGGATTTAAAATAGATTGTTGTTTTCAACAATTCAATCTAATTTTCTTTATGTAAATGATTTTTAAATAAAATAGGTAGAAAACAAATTTGATGAGGCTACTGGATCTGTTACAAATAAAGTTAAAGATGTCTTATCTGTTTCAGTATTTCCAAGTAATTTTTAAACTAGTGCATACCATAGAATAATATATTATATTATAATTTAAAAGAGCTTCAATTAGTATTTGAAAAGACTGTAAAAAAAGCTTTATTTTCTTTCAACTAAAAGTAAATTACAGCAGAAGAATAACAATCAGCTGATAAAAAACAAGAATGAACTAATTAATTAATATCAATATAAATATTGTTTAAAAGCAAAAGAATCTATTCAATTTTAATTTAAACTAATTTATATTAATTGTGAATAAAATTATTTTAATTTAAATTCATCAGTACTAATATTTTTATTAAAGACATTATAATTAATTTTAATCCAATTCTAAATATTGTGATAATTAGAAAATATTTGATATTTTTCCTTTTGAATTTTGAAGAATTTTTAATTTAAAACTATAATTAATGAGATGAATTCATTCAAATACAAAAAATAAATTAATAGAAATTTGGCAACAATCAATATTCATCTAATTTTAATATAATGTTTGCTAAATTGATTTAGTCAGAAAAATTAATTGTGAAATTTTAAATATTTATTTCAGATAAAAATATTGAAAATAAATAACTTTTTTAATTATTTAAAATAATTTTTATTTTTCTATTTTAAATAAATAAATATACTTAAAAAATAATCAAACTAATTTTTAGTTGTTTTTTAATATCAAAATGTAATAATCTTTATCCTCTAATATTAATTTTTATGATAATCTTAGCTTAGTAGAATTTGTTTAAAAAATTAAATTTTTAAAATATTTAAAATACTATTTGATAAAACAATTGAAAATAAATTACATTAATTTATTGTTTAAAATATTTTAGTTTTTTTATTTTAAATCCATAAATATTCTTAAATATAAACAAATTTAATTATCATTTTCTTAATTCTTTTTTAACATAAAAATGTAGTTACCTTCAAAAAGTTTTTTTTCAATTTTGTGGTTAGATTGTTGCTCTTATTAAAAAAAATGTATGTTTAAAATTGATTAAAACGGTGTAAATTATGCCAAATTATATTTTTTTTTTTGCTAGATTTTGTTAAAAAAATTTGAAATCAAGAAAAAAATCATAAATTCTGAATAAACAATATAAATTAAAAAAATCAACTTTATAAATAAATTTTTTTGGAAAATAAAAAAAATTAAATATTATTTTAAAATTTTTAAAAGAAATTGTAGATATTTTAAAAGTAACAAATAAGATTGAAGAAATATTTTAAAGATTTTTAATATTATTTATTTATTTATTTTGTTTGTGTTTGTGTTTTGATTAATATTTATTTATTTTCTTGATTATTTTTTTAGTTTTTCTTTAATGTGATCTCAATTTTAAAATTCACCTTTGACAGGGAAGTAATGAATTATATTTATTTACTGTATTTGAACAAGTCTAAATGTGTGTTTGAAAAAAGAATTTTGTTAATAAGATTCTGCTAAACATAGGCAGACAGTATATTGAAGGTTAAACAGCTACTATTACCTAATGTTTTATTAGGTATAGGGAGATGATTTTTTTATTATACAGGAGATTTTGATTAAATTTATTATTGACTATTACTAAATTTTTCTTAATTTTATGTACTGATTAAATTTTTTATTTTTTTCAGCTATTCGAAAGTGTAAAAATAGGGCTAGTAGATGTGGAATATTAATTAGCGCTATTTCCATTTGTCACTTTTGTAGTAAAATCTGCGTTACTAGGATCAGCTGTACTGTTTTTTTTTATTGGTGAAGTGTAATTTATATTTGTATTTGTTTTTACTTCTGAAGTATCTTCAGCAATTACATCTAATCCAACATCTTTATATTTATACGATTATAGAGTTGGACTACTAGGCATGTATTCATTGAAATGGAGATTATTTAATAAAGGATTATAGTCTTTTTTCTCTGGAGAACTATGATTTTTGCGCCCTTGGTTTAGTATTTCTTCAATTGTTTTTGCATTTTAATCTTCTTCATAGTTTGCTGGTAATTGATTTGTTTATAGTCTTTCAGATATGTTGTTTCTAAGATTTTTAGATGGGATCTTTGGTTTTGTTTAGTTATTCAGGTTTATCATTTATTAATTAACGAAGTCTTCTTCATCACTCACATTAACATTATTGTCATCAACCAGCCCCGTTGTAGTACCTATTGTGAACGTTGACAAATTTGAGGCTATTGGACGACGAAAGAGAATACGAGAACAGCTGTCTATTTCTCTTTCAGATAGCTCTGAGCACTCTAAAATAGTTTTTAGAGAAGTCATTTGATGGGACTCCCTAAATTTTTATAGCTTTTTATTTTCAGTAGGCTTGTTGGTGAAGTTTATAAACCAATGATGATTTAAAGCCATTGCAGCTGTGGGTCTTTTACCAGGATCTTTTTGAAGTAATTTTAAAAGGAAATCAATACCTGAAACAGAGAGATGCTAGTGTGAAGAAGGATCTTTCTTTTTTTCATTAAACATCTACTCTAAGATAGATATATCAAGATCATAAGTCCATTTATCTCCTACTTTTTCTATTTTGGCATAAGGGAATTTTTAAAAAACCATGTAAAATAAGCAGACTCCAAGAGAAAAAATATCAATTTAGCTATCAAAATCTTTTCCTTCAATGACTTCGGGAGCAACATAATTGTTTTATCCCCTCTTAATCAATCTATCTCTGTACTCGTTTGAGTTTTCTTCTATATATTTAAAGTTAATAATGAAAATTTCATTTTCCTTTTGACTTGTAGAAAAGATTATATTTTCTAGCTTTAAATTTCCATGAAAGCAGTTTTAACTGTGAATACTACGCAATCCCTTCAGGATATGGTAAGTCAGTGTAGCAACAGCTATTTCTTCCAAACTAGAGGTACAAACTATTTTCAGTAAATCATCGCCTTGAAAATATTAAAATGTAAGATAAATGTAGTTATCATCTTCATAAACCTTTTTAAGTTTTGGTAGTAAATTGCATGTGACTCGTCTCAAAATCGAGATTTCATTTTCTACAAATCGCTTTTATTCTGGTTTCAAACCTTTCTTGTTCACTATTTTGACTGATGCATAAGCCCTTTTTTTTTTATCTATGCAACGATAAAAGTGGTCAAATATTCTATTCTCCACCTTATAACGCTAAAGAAAATTCTGCAGTTTGCAAAATTTTTTAAGAGCCTTCATCCACATTTTATGCATTTGAAACTTATCAGTAACAAGCTTGACAATTTCGTTTTCTTCAACGTTTTGCAAAATTATACCAAATGCTACTTATTCTCCTATGACTTCATTTTCTTCATATATTGTGCAATGCTAACATTACAACTATTCAACTGGCGGTGGTTTTGTTTTATCTTAATACTTAATTAGCAAGTTAGGATACAGTTCGAAATAGAATGGCCTAAATTGCTTAATCATCTTTGAAAATGTGAGAAATTGTCCCTTCATAATAGGCTTTTGAGCTGGCTTTTAACCCTTTTTTTGTGTTTTAAATGGAGTCTATGTTTCTAAAAAACGTCTAAGGTGCTTATTGTCGTTAAGCACGAAGTTCATAAGCATGGTATTTCTCTCATCCATTTCTGCTTTGCTATCTTGTAATTGAGAGTTTTTATTTTAAATTTTTGAGCTTTTAAAAAAAATTCGTCTTTTATTGGTTGGCTACTCTTATTATTCTTATTTTCAGTAATTAAGAGTTTCTTTTATTAAAAGTGCGCAAACTAGAGGTGCAGAATTAAATGCGTGCTAATTTTTGTGATAAATACAAATTAGAAGTCTAAGTAAGAAATTATATTATCCTAGTTTTAAGCTTCTTGAAATAAAATATACTAGATTTTGTTCAATACTATTATATAACTTATTTACAAAGTTTAGTATTAATGCAACTAGTATTCAAATTGCTTGAAGAAAAAGAAATTCTGATTGATTGCAAATAGCTATCTTTAATTTGATTTTTTTTCTATTCTACAGATGTACTAAAATGGGCTCACTAAAGCTTTAAAGATCGCAGAAGGATATTTTATGCTATTAAAATTTAAAACCTCCTAAAAATATATTCAGCTATCTGAGTTTTCTTTTTCTTAATGTTTTCCTTTGGAAATATGGCTTGCTTTCAAAAATAAATCTGCTGAAACTGAATAATTTTGTTTTTTCTTACTTATTATAAAAAATTTGCAATATATATTAAGAACCCTTGATTACAAAATAATTTAATATTACCTATTAATTAAAATAATTAACAAATAAATAATCAAGCCAATCCAATATTTTATTTTCTTTCACTTATCCTAAGCTAATTGAAATAAAGCTAAATAATTTATGATTACTTTTTCTTTAATTATAAAGATAATCTAATTGCACTGATTTTCCTTTGTATATACGTAATCTTATCATTTAATTTTTATATAGCTAATAATGTAAAATAAAATCTTAGAAATTCAGCTAGCTATCAGTTAAATCACTTAAATTACCATAAATTTATAAATCAAAAACAACAAACTTATCTTTTGATTTTGTTAAAAAGAGATAAACAAAAATGTTTGCATAAAATAACAAATGAATAAATACCTAAAATCTTTGTTACTTTTTAAATAAAAATGATATAATACTTTTGTTAGCATTGAATTTGTTAATTAAATGTCCTGCTTAAATTATTGTTAGCAACTAAAATTACCTATTTTAAAATTTTTTAAGTTTAAAAATTTAATTTCAATTTTTATTTATTTTTTAAACAAAAATGTTTTGGTTTATAATTTAAGAAAATATTTTATAGAAATATAAGAAGCTTATAAAAAATATTAACTTGTTAGATGCAATTAAAAGTATTTAGAGTGAGAGAGTGAGACACATGACATTAATATGTTAAAATAAGAAATTAATTTTTAATAAATTTAAATTAAATTATTTATTTTTAAAAAAATAATTTTACTTAAATTCAAAAATATATCAAAAAACATTTTAGATAAATTGAATTAATTTTGTTGTAAAAAAATAAAAAATCTACTTATTCTTATTTTTTACTTTGTGTGAAAATTGATTAAATAAATTTGGGAGATCAATCTTCTTGATAAATATTTAATTAAAATTCAATTTTCAATTTTAATAACAAAAATAAACCGTTAGATACAAAAGGATGTTCTCCTTCCTCCAGCTAATAGTATGACAGCTATCGGGCTCCTCTTAACAGAAATGCTAAGAAAAAGCAAAAAACAGGTGACTTGAATTGATTAAGTTTTTAATGACTGGAAGATGTTCGCTAAGCATCTAAATATTTTTATAGTAGATTGATTTAGTTTTTAATATGACATTGATCTTGCATTGCCACCTACATGTTTATTATTCGATACTTATCATGACGTCGTTATAATATCATGCTTTGAGTGGCTTTTTTGTACATTTTTTCTCGACCTTAAAAAATGTTCAGGATTGGAATATAAGTTTTTCTAAAATGCAAGATCAATCCACCAGAATCATGGCAAAAGATATTCTTTTTGTTAAACGATTTGTATAGTGTTCGTTACTGCACTAAGAATAATCTAACCATCTCTGGTCCTTATCATACGCTGAGGTATGTAAGAAATCCCCTTAAAAGTTTTTAAACTCGAATAATCTAATAAGAAATCAATCTACAAAATCTTAGCCACCATAGCTAAATCTACCTTGTTTCAAGGATTTTCAGAACAACTCAGATATGTTTCTTGAAAATGATTTACTATATCGCCCTTTACTCTATTTTTGAAACACCTGAATCTGCGGAAGCCTTAGCCGATTGCTACTGGAGAAGAAAATAGGGTGAGTCATTGGATTAAACAGTTTTAGGAGTATACTAGTAATCGAGCCTTGGCCTAGGATCTTACTGGCGAAAAATAGATATTTTCTCGAGGAATCATCTATCTCCTACAACTTCCTTTAACTCCAACACCCTATTTTAATTTAAATTGGAATATCAAAAAAACCCAAAAACCCAGGTTAAGGTATAATGACCACGATCAAACAAAGATCTAAAAATAACCTTTAGCTCTTATTCCCTTAAAAAAAAATAGATAACTTCATGGAGATATATGTTAATTTGTAAAAAAAAATAAACAACATCTAACATTATAAAAAGATAAAAAAATCATAAGAAAAAACTATGAAATTTATTTAAAAATCAAATTTAGAAAAATCAGATAAAAAAAATATTAAAAATATTCAACTGAAATAAAAAAAAACCTAACAGCAAACAAAAAAATGATTAATCTATGAAAATAAAACAAAAAAAATTAAAAACTAAATAAAAACATAGCAAATAAAAAGCATAAATTAAACAAACTCAATAAATAATAAAAATAAATAAATCTTTATAAATTATATATGCTAACTTATTTTATTTAACTTTATCTAAAAAACTATACTTAATTTAAAAATTATATGCATCAGCAAAGGCTTTTCTACCAAACAAATAATTTGAATTTGTTTTTTTAATATTTAAATAAAATAAAACTATATTTTTATAAATTTTAATATTTTGGTAGTTTTATTTTTATTTAATTTTACATTTAATTCATTAAAAAGTATTTTATACTTTATTAAGCGAATAGTGTGAGAATTAATATAAAATATTTAGAAAACTGTTAAAATTTTATTAGTATGTCTCTTAACAATACAAAATTTAATATTTTGCCATTTTATTTGTTTTAGATCCATCCAATTTATTTCTTTAAAAAAAATTATTTTATATTTTATTTAGTGAAAAGTGAAAAAATGAAAATAAAATAAATAGAAAGCTGTTAATGTATGTTCCTAAATCATCCAATTATTAATTATCTCAAAATTTAAATGATATAAAAATATATTTAAAAAAAATTACAATTTTAGTGATTTAATTTAATTTTTATATCCAATTTTAAAGAAATAAAATATTTAGAAACTCCTAAAATGTTATTAGTAAGTTTTTTTTTGAATATAAAAGTATTAATTATTTGTTTAATAATTATTTTAAATTAATAATTAGAAGTTATTTTTATTAATTATTAGAGTAGCATCAAATTTTATTCGCACTTAAATTACAAACAAATAAAAGATGATTAAATAAATAACTTTCTTTTGAATGAAAGAATAGTAAATAAAAGACATATATAATAAACTAATCTGCTTAAAAAGTATAGCTATTTATTATTAATAAAAAAACTAGTTATCAAAAATTTTGTTAATTGCAAAGTTTGTTTGAGTACAATAGATATTAAAAGTTATTATTAATTCATGAATAGCTTAAATAAAGACTCCTTGAATTTTAAGGGTTAGGAAACGAACCATTTTAAATAATTCTTCAATAAATCTATTCCTAATGCTAGATACTCTTTAAGCATACATTCTAATCCTTAGTCAACACTAAGCATTTCATAAGTAGAACAGGAAAATAAAAAAAGGAGAATAGATTTAGATAATTTTTCAAAGCATATCACAGCGTCACCAAGTAGATTACACCTAAGCAGAAACGAAAACAGCTACATATCTTCAACAAACAATAATACAATTATTAACACAAAAAATAATTCAATTGTTTCAAATAATAATCCAACATATTTAAATGATTCCAGGTTGGCAAATTAACAAGATTCTATGATTAGTCTTAAGAATAATTAAGGATAACAAGACTAGTCTCTTATTGGGTCTATCAATAATAATTTAAGGACTTAAAATCAGTCTAATATCAATAGCCGAACACTTCAGCTCTAAAGATCATTTTTCTTTAATGGACCAGAACGCTTTGAGAACGATAAAAATCATAACTATTTTGGTCGCTCTTCAATAAATCCTATGGTCAATACCCATAAATATGAGACTAGCTAAGCTGAAGATATAAAATACTATAAAATATTTCAAGAAACAGAAAAGAAATTTGATGATAGCAAACTCTACTTAAAAACGGATTCAAATTATTTAAAAAATCCTTAGGAGAGGATGAATGAATTACAAGAAGTGAAGAAGAATTAGCAGTTATTATAAGAGTGGAAGGTAGAACATCAACAAAAGTCTAAGTAATATAAATTGGCAAAAGCAGCCTTCAAAAGTGGTATTTCTCATATTGATGGTCCATTAGATAACGACACTAGAATTTACTCAAATGAGCATAAAAACTTTGTTAAAAAAGAACATGATGAATTAAATAGAAGAAATGTGAGACTTTCTTACATTGAAAAATTTGTTACGACTAACCCAGCTATATATTTTGATAATTCAAAGCAGAGTACTTTATTTGAAAACAAAAGATAAAACTTCCCTCACTAGGTTGATGATTTTTAAAATAACTTTATGAGAAAACAGAAAAGTGAGCTAGCATTAAATAGGAACAAATAAACTTTTGATAGACTTTTTGGCCATAATCTACAAGATTAAAAAGATATAATAAGTAGTCAAAGAAGTAAATTTTTAATGTCTAAGGATTTATATGGCAAGCAACATAACATAGTTAACAACACATTAAATCCCTCATTAAAATATCTTTGATTTATTAATTTGTTATTTTAAACTGAACAAAACCATACAAACCTACCTAAATATAAAATAATTAAGTCCTTAATTTATACAATTATTTATTTCAATTTATTTCAGTTTTATAAAAATTTATATAATTAAATATTTTTTTTATATTATGTTAATCATAGCAATGTTATTTTAGAATAAACTAATCTTAGACTTTTTAGCATATTTCTTTTCGTCATTAATCTCTAGTTCTAATTTTAAAGGCTAAAGTGATATCAATATATTGTTAAGTTAATTTATTTTTATTAAATAAACTTACGTTATAAAAAATTTAAAATAAGCTAATTTTTTGTGATTCTTGATAGCCTTAGATAAAATAAGTACATCATCAAAATCAATTTTTATTAATCTAATTTATCCATATTTGAATAAAAATTATAAATTAGAATTTATATTATTTTACCCTAAATCAATATCAAAAGAAATCAGCTTTTGCAACTCAGTGATTGTTTTACATAGCTACAAAATAGACCTTTATCCTATTAAATTTTTTCTAAACAATATTTTAAGTATTTTTAAGTTTTTGATTAAAATTATATACTATAAATCTAATTATAAGCATTCTAAATTAATGCATTCCTTTATTCCTTAAAAAATTGTTATGACTCCATTTTCTTGTAATTCTAAATATCTTTTCAAATTTTAATTTATTTTTAATCTAATTATCAAAAATTTACTATAGTTTAAGTGAAAGTTTTTTCAAACATTATAATTTAGAAACACCTTCTCCTATTGAATAAGCTGCACTTTCTTAGATGAAATTAGCTCTTTATTATTTATTTATTTTAAGAAAATTGTTAAAATAAAATAATAGAAAAATACCCTAAACTTAAATTTAAAACTTGTAAACTATTAAGATTTCCTATGCACTAAAATTTTTAACTCAAAAAGCTATCATTGTTTATTTAGTTATACCTTTTAAATAATAATTATTTAAACTTTGAAATAAAATCTATAGTACTCTTAAGAAATATCTAGTTCAATTAATGATTTTATCTAAGAAATAGTCTCAAATAATCCAATGCTGCAATGAGAATCTAAATCATTTTAACTATTTTAAAAATTTCAATTTAATTTTATTGTACGAATAAAAATATTTACTCTAAATCTAATCTTAATTTTTTTAACTAAGGGAATCTACTTATCTCTTAGCAAATTTTTTGTGCTTGAGCTTGATTTAAATGATTATACCTTTTATTATCCTTTTTTTAAAATAAATTAAAATTATATAAATAAACTTACTCTAATTATATATCTAAAATCTAAATATTGATATTCTCTGCAATTTTATTGAATAAAGAAGCAATTATATCTTATTAATTATTTAAAGTTATTTGCCTATATTTTAAAAAATTTTTTATTTAGCATTTTTATAATAAATTTACTTTAAAATTAATTTTAATTAATTTAAGTTTTTGAATTATTTAATCATCTCTCCTAAATTTATTAACTCGTTTTAACTAAAATTATTAAACCTAATTGTTAAAAAATAAAGATCTTAAATCAGAAGCAATCAAATTTTGATGAATTTACGATATATTTAAATTGATTGATTATAAGTTTTATTGTTAGCAGAACTGTTCCAATAAATTTTACAATTCAAGATATTGTATTGTATAAGCTCTTAGTATAAATTATAATGATTATTAATTTATTTGATAAAATATGAATTATTTACTTAAAAAACAATTACAAGTGAGCAACATCATCAATTTATTTCAATTTTTCAAATGATTTTTTATTCTAAATTATTGATTCAATTCTATTTTAAAACAATAATTAATAAAATTATTCATTAAAGTTATTAAATTCAAAATTAAAATTGTAAAAAAGATTAAATTAAAATTAAATATTATAAAAATAAAATTTTACTTTCCAAAAACAAAGGTTTTGCTTTTTCCGTTTTAAAATTCCTTAAAAATTATAATTTTTAATAAATGTAATTTTAAAAATAATATTACATCAAATTAACTTTATTTAACAATTAATTATCCTAATTTATAATATTTTTAAACTATATTTTTATGAATTAATTATAAATATTTACTTTAAATGATAGAATTATAGAAAAATGTCAAATAGTCAAATGTACTAAGGATTATTTAATGATTCTTAGTATTAGTATGTTAATTTTATACTAATTTATCGCGCAAATCAAATAAAAAATTGATTTATTTATCGTTTTTGCAATCTGAAGATTCTTTACTCTCAAAATCATCTACTATTTAATTAATAGATTCAATATCGTATTCTTTAATAATATATGAGCTATCTATATATCTGAGATATGCTTTTTTCTAACTGCAACAAATTTCATAAAAATCATTTATTTTTTTTTATTATTCAATTGTTTCAAATGAATAAAAAATATTTTGAATTTAAAACTTTTATATTTCCTATTAAGTAAGCTCAAAAAACTTTAAGCTTTCATTTTTTTAATGAACTTTTATTTATCTCATTTATTTTTTTTAATTTTACTTTGTAAAAAATTTGTTAATTATTTTCTAATAAAAACTCAAAATTTAATAACACATTAAATTTCATTTGAAAAATATAATTTATAATTAAATAAAAAGCTTGTTTTAGATTTCAGTTATTAATTAATTTTTATTTTTAAAATAATTTATTATTTATTTTTATTTCAAATAAAATCTTAAGTTTAATAATATTTTAAAAAACATTTTAGCTAATTTAAATTTTTTTAAGTAAAAAGATATACAAAAATAAATTTAAAATTGAAAATTCATAATGGTTGTATAATTTGTTATTAAATATAAACTAAATTAAATATATAAATAATAAACCAGATTTTTTATTAAATTTAAAATTATTAATTAATAGTTGTATAATGATGTTTTCTTTCTTTTATAAATATTTATTTCTTAATTTTATTTTATTCAGAAGCTTATTATGTTGCATTAAACTAGCCTTTTAATCTTAACAATATGCCATAATTTATAAATTGTAAATTCATCTTCATCAACACCAATTTTACTATTTAAATAAATTCATAAAATCAAAAAAAAAAAATTCAATTACCGTAATTCCTTTCAAAAAGTCGAGGTCGAGGAGTCGAGGATCCCTCAATTTTTGAAAAATAAAAATTCCTTTCCTCGCTCCCGACACATGATGTGTCGGGAGCGAGGTGTCGAGAAAATACGGTATAAAATTAAAATACGTTAGATTTAATTACAAATTATTTAAATTTGTTAATTTTCTTAAATTTTTTCTCAGAGAAATAATACCTTCAGCTGTTATTGGGTTTTAACTTTAAAATTATTTATTTAGATTTATTTAAATATAGTAAATTTAAAATAGTTAACTTTATTTTTAAAGAAAGGCTTCTAAGGCTGATGAATTTATTCAGATTACTACTAAGATTATCCAAACCATTAGAAAATATAATGTTTTCACTAATTTATCAAGAATTTAAAATATTAAATTAAATTAAATAACATAATTTAAACTTTACCTTAAATCAGCATAAAGAGTTTCAAGTTAAGGAAGATGAGATAGTTCTTGAAACAAAATTTAGACACTCTAGCAATTAATTTGGTTCCATCTAATTAATTATTTTGAAATTAAAAAAATTAAAAAATATTCATGCTTATTGAATTAATTACCTGAGCTCTAAAGAAAGATCTGTAATCTTTTAACATTTTGCTATGCAAATTCCTAAATTTGATGTACCATCTGCTTCAATATGATTGCATCTTATAAATATTTAATATTTTTAAAAACTCACTACAAAGCATGTAAATATAACTCAATTTTTAAAAACTTAAATAAATAAAATAAAATAAAAAGAATTATACTCTAAAGAAAGCGATAGCTTTATTAATTGCCTTTAATTTGAGATTGCTGTACCGATTTCTAAAATACCACTTTTCCCAACATGATTATAACTTTAAATATTATAAATAATATAAAAAATTGAAGTAAGAACTTAATTTACTTTAAATTTAAATTTAATTATATCAGTCCTCTTAACTTATTTAATGCCTATCCTAAACCTCTTCCTCCTTCAGGACCTACGAAATTATCTCTGAAATGTATATTCAGTTTGGTTAGAGTAAATTTAAAATAAAATACTTTAAATTCAAATGTAAAAATCTCAATCTCTAACAGCTTGAAATACCTTAACATAAACTAGAAGCTCCCTTAGAACCTATCTCATCAAGACTAAAAAAAACTAATTAATGAGATATTTAGATTAAATTTACCTCAAATCTATAGTGAGCTTAACTAAATTTAAGCATTTAGATAACTCTCTTTTTAGTTTGAAGACAAATAAAAAAGATAAAAAGTTAACAATCCAAGGCTTTATTTTGGAAGAAAACGTTTAAAATGCTTCATTAAGGGATCTTTAAATTAAATTTTAAATAAATTAAATTGATATAAAAATCTAAATATAAATTTACTCTATCTATAAATTTTTTATTTCTTCATATTTTCCTTTTATCTTAAATATTTATTAAAATGATAATTTAGGATGAATAAAGTTACCTCCCTCAAAGATTTTACTTGATCAACTTGCTAGTTATAGGAGTCTTGTATTTACTCTCCTTTAAAAGTGTTGATGAAAAATAAATTGCAATTATAAATAATTAAAAAATATAAAAAATACCTTCTTCTTAAAGATCAATTTATTTAAATATAAATAAGATTTTGTTTTCTACCTTTTCATATCATTTTAAAATAAATTAAATAAATAAATTAGATAGATTTAATTTTACTTTTTGTTATAAAGTTTTATTGTTTATTGTTTGTAAATACTCATCTTCTTAAATCACTTGGAATTAACTTGTATTTTGATCATTTTAAATATCACAGCTTTATTAAGATTTTTGTCTATAAACTTCTAATAAGACTTTTTACTTAATTGAATAATTATAAGCACTTAATAGTATAGTATTATTGTCTTTTTCATAATATTATATCTACGAGTATTAAGAATATAATTTCTTTATCAAAAAAATTATCTTTGTTATCTCTTCAGAGTTTATTTCCATTAAATTATCTTTAATAATTTTGATTTAGCAATCTTTATCTATTTACTTTTCTTTCATCATAAATAATAAAAATTAATACCACTTTATCATGTATATAAATATTATTAATTTTCATAGAGTTAATAAAGGAATATTTAAAAATAAGTGAAGCTTTTAAATATTTTATGATAAATTAAAAATTAAATAAATTATTCGATTTACTTTTCTTTAATCATCAACAAAAAATATAGTTATCATGAATATAAATATTACAAGTTTTAATAGAGTTATTAACATAAAGAAACTATTAAATCCTTTGGGTTATTAAATAGATAGTAATTTATTTAATTAAAGCTTCTATGTTTTGTATATTTAATAAAATTAAATATTTTATGAAAAAATAAAATATAAAAATAAAATAATTTTAAAAATAATCTCAATGTTTATGAATGAATAAGTAAACAACATTAGTATTTATATAAGTAACTATAAGTTTTAGTAAGTAATTTATTTATTTTTATGAAATTAGTATCAATTAAATAACTATTAGTTATAAAATTATTAATTGTTAAATAAACAATAGTAGACATGATGGGATAATTTTAATCAAATTCTTTAAAACTTTACTTTTCTGTTTAAATTATGATAGAGATAAATTGTAAAATTCCAATTTAGTTTTAAATGAAAAGTAATGTTTGCCTAAATTAAATTAGTTAATTGCTATAAAAGTTTTATAATTATTTAACAAATTAAACTTTTATCTCAATATTAGCAAACAATTAAGTCATCACCTTATGATGGATCATTTAAAAATTGTAAAGTTTGATTGAAGTTGAAATGGAATCCTTGATGGAAGGTATTGTTGAAAGGGTTATGGAAATCAAAGTTATTGAAATTATTTTAGAATATAAAATTGTTGTTCATTTAGTTTATATTGTTATTGTTGTTATTATTATTTTAATTATCGTGATTAACGATATTATTCTATTATAAAATATTGGTTCTCTGTTTGATAGTTTTTGAATTATAGATCATAACTCTACTCTTTTCAATCCAGCATAAAGCAAACCTTTCAGTGGAATACTTTAATCTGGACTCCACAATTGGGAATTTTTGGTCAAAGCTTATTTTCATAAGTAAGACCATACCTTCATGACCAACAGTGATAAAAAGAGTGTCATAAACTATCATAGCTGAGTTTATAAAATCAACAAATTCTTACTTTTTATACTCTTCAAGAGTGTTCGCATCTAAAATGAAAACTTTTTAAGAGGCAACTGCTACAAGAATTTGCTTATTTTAGATTTCTAAAGCTTTCAAAAAGAATACTTAGTCATTCATCTTTTTGGTTTTAGTAACTTGTTTTTCTTTTAAGTCATAAATAGTTATTGAGCCTTCTTTTTCGCCATAGTATAAGTATTGCTTTTTTTGTATTTCAGTGCAAGTTATAGAGTAAATTTATGATCTTGCCTCCATAATGCAATAAATGAGCTCTCCTTTCATTATATTCCACAATTCCACCTTTCCTATGTTGCCTGTGGAGTATAAGATATCGTTTGTTTCATCATAATACAACCTAATAATATGGCTATTGTTTGACTTCAAAATCTTCATCACTCTATAATTCTACATATTTATAATTTTTATTATTGAGTTCTCACAACATGCTAGATAGCGATATTTTTAAATGAATATGCCATATTTAATTCCTGGAATGTTCCTTACTTTTTGACCCTTTTTATTTATATTTTTAGTTAATTTAATTAATAAATCTCTGATAAAATTTTTAAAGTAGTAATTTATCTTAAAAAATATTTCTTCCAGTAGCAAAATATCTGTAAAATTTAAAAATTAAAAATTACACTTTTGTAGTCCCAGATTTGCATTCCTGCATCTGTTATAGTGGCAAACAAAGATGAACCATTCGATGAAGAAATATCTCTAATAGTTGCTATCTTCTACTAGGTGGCTTTGGAAATTATTTTGATCGATTTAGGTTTATTCTAAAGTAGATTTACAATATCCTAAAATTTATCATTTTCAGGTTTGTAAGAGCAAAACATTTTCATTTCATTTAGTAACTTAGGATTCTTATAGTGGTATAATTCTAATCCATAATCTTCTACAACCATTTCTTGACTCTACTCTTAATTCTTTTGAGCTTTAAGCTTATAGAAGTTGAAATGAGTATTCATATCTGAAAAATACTGCTCGAATCTATATTGCATCTTTTAATCTATTTTAACAATTTTCTTGCGTAGTATCTTGGAGTAAGAGTGAACATTTTCATATTTTTAGAAAAGTTTTGCATCTTTGACAATCTATTTGCATTCTAACTTATATTAGTGATTATAATCTAAGTTTCTAATCTAACATTCTAGAGTTCTGTCATATTCAAAAAGCTAAAGAGTGTCTTCAACATATTTATTGACATATGAAGGAGGTAATTTCTCATCAATTTTTGTCCTAATTTAATTAGACTATGAGCAAACTCTATGATACATTTCCTAGTTTTTATAAATAAATTAATGAATTCATATTTTGCAAGAAAGCATAAACTATATTTTTAAATAAAAATGAAAGCAGTGACAAGCAATTGACTTCAAAAGCAAGCTCATTTTACAGTTAGTGCTTGTAAAATGAGAAATGTAAAATGTTATAACAAGATACTTATTATATAAAAATGCAAATTAAATTGAATCATTCGTTTGAATGCATTTTTTTTTAGGAAGCTTTCTTATTTTAGTTAGTAAAGAATAGTAGGATAATTAACATTTTAAAAAATATACTTTGATGCTATCCAAAAGCAAAGAGAAGTCTAGCTAAAATGTAGTCATTTGCTAAAGGTATTTCTCTATTTAATTTTTAAGTGAGTAAATATTCTCAATCATTTACCTAATTTCACTATTAACATTTAACTAGTAGGCTTCAATACTATTTAATAGCTTTTCTTAATTAGTAGATGACGTGAAGACTAATGAAATTTAGTTCATATACTACTCAAGGCTAATAACTTTATGATCTTTGTGTTCTTCGATTTGGCACCATTCACATATTAGCCCTCTTTTTGGGCAATCTTTCTCATAGCAAACCATGTTTTTTGTTGAGTTGTGATTGCTCGCTACACAATACTAATTAGCTAGAGTAAACGGGTACATATTATATGACTTGCTTAAAAGTAATAATAATTCCAGGTTTTAAAAGGTTGTTTGATTTGATTTGATTTTTTGTTTGTTTGTTTGTTTATAATTTTTTATAATGATGTAATTTTTAAATATTGATTAAAATAAATTGGTTGATAACAACGAAACTCCTCTTCTACTTACCTGTTGATCCCTTTAATTAACTTTGCTTCCACATTATAAACTGGTTTATTTTTTTATTAATTGCGTAATATTTCAGATCAAAAACTTTTTGAACAGGCAATTTGAATTAATTGCTTATTTAATTTATTTTTTGATTCTGATTCCATTTATTAATCTCTTTATTTGTATAAGAATTTTTGAAAAATTCCATTTATCTCTATGTCTATCTATCTATCTATCTTTAGAATTCTTATACATAGATAGTAAAATAAGTAATACTTTAACATTCAATTAAAAATAAATTTAATATTTTCTATTATTTCTCTAATAACAAAAATATTACAAAAATTCTATTCTACATTCTGGTATGCTTTTTCTAAGCAATATCTAAAATATTTGATAATAGATTAGCATAATTTTTAAATGTATATAGCACTTTAATCAAAGATAGATTATTATTACTATTAAATTTAAATTTCATAAAACTAACTCATTCAAGAAAAATAAAATTTATTTACAATTTTTATATTCAGATAAATAAATAATTTTTAAAATACTTAAAATATTTTTATAAATAAATATTCTGAAGCTTGATTAATTTTTTACTCAGTATATAATCTTATTTTATTTGTTTGTTTGTTTGTTATTGGTATTAAAATATTCATTTAAATCAAATGATTAAACAATACGTCAAATAATACTAATATTTATTATTCAACTTTAAGCAAGAGTATGTTGAGACCCTTAATTTGAATCTAATTTTTTTGAAGAAGAATAGCTAGGCTTAAAGTGAAAATTATATATATTATTAAAAGAAGGAGTGTTAAGATTATCAGTGTTAGATATATTACTATTTATTTTATCAAAATTAAAGTTATTCTATTCTTTTTATGAGCTATTTTAAGAATTTTGGTTTTACAAATTCTGTTGTAATATTATGGGGGAGTTAAAATTAGATTCATCTTTTTATAAATGAAATTATGATTAAGGTGTTTCTACTTTTTATGATTATTACATAAATTAACTTTTATTTGTGAGCCTTTAATTACTATTAGTCATCCATGCACAATTTGTTTTTTTATTAGTCTTTAATGACTTTTCAAATTTAGTTAGTTCATCTTCGAACTATTGAAACTCAACACTTCTCTTTAAATCATTAATTCTCTCAAGAGAATTGTAAGATGAAGAGTTTTCAAATTGTTTGGAGGATTTTAGTTCTGGATGTTGCTTTAAATCCCTATTTAATCTAGCCAAGGATTTCTATTTTTTCATGGAGTTTTAAATTAATTCTTTGTTAATATCGTGTTCAACTTTATTAATATATCTTGGATCATGACTCAAATATTAATTTCTTTTTTCTTCTTCTAATTTTTCATCAACCTCATCATTTTCTTTGAAATTAGGAGTAAAGAAATTTGATTTTTCCATAAGCATGCTTTATCTTAACAATATTGGTTTCGTTTAATATGAATAGCTATTTCTTTATTTCTCATCTGAAGATATATCAAACTAGGAAGATATATTATTAATATTATTACTTAAATAATAATCTTTATTTGAGTAAGACTAATTTCTTAACTTAGATGGAGTTTTTACATCTTCGATAATTGGTTTCATTTTATTTATCTCTTTGATCTACTACATAAATGGTCCTGAAATTCTCCTAAATTCCTTTTTACATCCATCATTTAATGCTTCTTTATAATACTATGGATATAAGTCTTTATTTTTCATAAAAATAGTTTCTCTTGGAACTGTTTAAACTTAATCTAGCACACAATCATATACTTCCACTGGTGAAAGAACCTTTTCATCTACTAGCTATACCCAGTTTTATTTGACTTCACCTATTTTGAACTCTTATCGTAAAAATGGATTCTTTACTTGAGTTGAAGGCAAAAAGTGATACTAATCGCTAAATATATTTTGATGAGTATTCCTTTTATGATTAAACTCTACTCTCCTTGAGGGAGTATATACTTGCTACTTTAATATGTTTTACTAATCTTGCTTATGGCTTAAGTACTCAGGAAACCCTTAACTTAACTAATTTACTTTCATTTTTAATACTTAATTAATTTACTTTTTTAATATTTTTTCAGTTTTTTATTTAGATTCACCACAAATTTTTACTCAAATTTAAGTGTTTTTAATAGTATGCTAACCAGTTTTTATTTAATTTTACCGAAATAATGTAATCAAATGCTGACTCTTTTGAAGTGTATAAGTGCAGTGCAATAATCGTTTTTTTATATAAAAATTCAATTTTTTTTTAGAATAAAGTATTTCTTTCTATACTTCTTCTATAAAGCATTTTTTAAAATATTTTTTGTTTGTTTTATGAATAACCAAAAATAAATATTTTTGTTTGGAAATCACAAATATTTAGGAAAAAAAATATTATGTATTTTTAAGTTTGTTAATTATATAAATAAATGACAAGTAAATTAAATGAATCGATTTACATATTGAATATTTATAATAATTATTTAGCAAATTTCATAGATCATCTTTTTCCTAATTTTATTGATCAATTTAGCCTAAATTTATTTCAGAAGCATTGCTTTTTGAGTAGTCAAGCTTGGAAAAATAATCATCCTAGCTCTTATCAATATCTAAATTTAATGGGTTTTCCCCTCTAACAATAAATTGGTTTCTTTTTAATAGCATGTGCTTCTATAAAAGACCTATAAAAAATATAAAATCAGTAAATTTAAACTACAAACAAAATTACTTTTATCTTTGTTTTAATCATCTTCTAGAAGTTCGCTTAAATCCTTTTTTTTATTTTTTATTAGACTTTAATCGTTTTCAACTAGTAATGCCTGCTCTTTATATGATCGGTTACTGTTAACGATTTAAAAATATTATTTTTTGTTGATATTGATGCAAAAATCAATTTTACTTTGATAGAATAGACTTAATTGTGAAGCTGCCATTTTACAGTGAAGATTTTAATTTTTAATCAATTTCTAGTTCTTCTTATATCAAGTCTTAATTTCTTTATTAAGTATTCTTTGAAAGTAAAGGATTTCCTTCTCTTTTTACTTTTTGCTGTAGCAGTTCTCTAGCAGATCTATAAACTATTTCTTAAGTATCTTTCTATGTTTTGCTGCTATTCTAGTTCTTTTAAATTTACTTTTCTTTTTCAATTAAATCTAAATAAGCTTGATTGATTATCTATTTAAAATTATATTATTAATTAATATCAAATTTCATTTTAAATTTATTTACTTCATCTTATTCTGTAGATCTTATTGCTTGAAGTCTATGGGCTTATATTATTGCAGCTCTATCTAGCTTTGAAAGTAAATCACTAAGTTCATTGACTAGCATTTATTTTTGCTAAGAGCAATTTTTCAGACTTTCTCTAAACCTTTCTACGTTCTTTCTTATTACACAAACATCATCATCTGTGATATCCTATGGCAAAGATTAAATCGCTAACTTCATATTTTATTCGTTTATCTAAAGCAGCTATTCTATATATATTCTTTCCTTTTCAATAACTAATATACTTCTTGCCCTTGATACTATTTCTTAAATAAGTTCTTAAGTGTCTTAACTTGGCATTAAGTTCACTAACCTTTAAAATAATTTTTATATTTAGTTGAAATTACAAATTATTTTACTTATTCATGATTTCATCTAAAAATTAATTTTCTTTTTACAGCTTTTCAGTTTCAGATTTTAGTTAGAATTACTCTTCTTAAGCCTCAATTGTAAACTTTTTTAATATCTATATTAAATTAATTTAAAAATAATAATTTATTTAAATATATGCTACCATATTTTTTTCTTAGAGGTATTGTTCTGCTAATTCTTCTATTTAACTTTTTAAATAATTATTTTCATTTTCATATAATTCTCTTGCATCAAGAGCATCTTATAATTATTTTTGCATATTTTCGAATTATAAATATTGTTATTCATTTTCTGAATCTTTTAATTGCAGCTAATCTGATATTTCTACATATGATTTTTTTAAATTTAAACTTGCCTTAATCCCAAACTATTTTAATTAATTTCAATTTAAAATTACAGATGAACTAATACAAAATTTTATTACTTCTATCTAATTTAATAAAGTTAAAATGGTCTCCTAAATAAGTTCATTGCTAATAATAAGAGTATCGCTATTAAGGCTGTTTATTTTCTGTGAAAACTATAAAAAATTAGTTGAAATTAAGTCACTTTCTAATTATTAATACACCCTTATTTCCTCAAAATCATTAAAAAATCCTTACAATATAGCTTGTATTTTTTTAAAAGAAATGGTTTATTGATCAAATATATTTTCATATTTATCAATTTCATCTTAAACTTAGTTAGCCTTTTCAAGTTTTGCTTACATTTCTTCTATCACAGTATTTAGCCTAATATTTTCTTGAATAATTTCTTCTTTTTTGCTTGTATCAATTTAAAATTTATCTTTATAGTCTAAAATCTTTCTCCTTAGCTTCTTGAAGCTTTTTTCAGGAGAATCTTTATTAAAACCTGAATTGCTTGTACAGCTATGAACTATTTCAATATTATCTATTTCATTTTCTAAAATAGTAATCTTATGTTTGCTTAATTCTAATTCCTTTTAATATTCTAACTTTTATTATCTCAATCTCTTCTTTTAATCTTCTAAGTCCTTTATGTTATTAGTAAGAATGATGTTTTCTTTTTAAAGTTGGAGAATCTTTTTTTGGTAATTTTTCTCTTTTAACTCAAGCTTTTCGATAATTTTACAGCTTTCTTCTGTGAGTTAAATTTTTTAGTTTGGTATATCGTTAAGAAAGCTATAGTTTTAATATTCTTACATATATAAATGTTTATATTATTATACAATTTCTGATAAATAAAAGTAAATTAAATATCAATAAACTCTTCAATAGAGATCTAATATCTTTTTAAATTGAAATTTATTGCATATCTCATATAATAATAAATTTAATAATTGATTTCAAATTATTAGCTGATTGAATTCATTATTATTTGATAAAAACATTAACTATTTTTACTGGTTTTTGCCAACAAAAAAGACATTATAAATTAATTTTTAAGAGATTTTTATTTTAAATTTTTAAAAAAATATAATTTTAATTAAAAAGCATAAAAATTTGAATTACTAACATGAAATAATTATCTCTTTTGCTCTTTTATATTAAAAAAGAAGATTTTAATTATAGTCTTTATACAATATTTATTCTCAATTAACAATATTTTACATTTATCATCAGTTAATTTTATGTAAAATAAATAAGAAATCAATAAAAAAGAAAAATAATATTAAAATTTTAAAAAATATTTTGAATTTTATATAAATGTATTCATAAAGTAATACAGATTATTAAAAATAAGATTGATAAAATTTTTAATGGTATTTAAAACAAAGATTGAATTAAATATTATTAGATTCTAACTTATATGATATTTATTCAAGAAATTAATCAAAATTTTCAGAAAATTAGTTTAATAATTAAGATATTAAGATTGTGATGCAGCCAACGACTAATTTTAGGCACTTTACACCTTTAAAAGAAAGGAATATTAAAATTAAAGTGCTCAACTAAAATTCTTTCCATATTGAAAAGTCTATTGGAAATGGCTCTTTATACTCAGAAAATAAACTAAATTAAAGTTAAAATCAAGTATTTGTTTAACAAAGTAGAGCTTTAACATAAGGATCTACAGATGCAGGAGACTATTCTTAAAAAAAATAAAGGTCTATATCATAGTATTTGAATACGGAATAGATAGAGTTAAAGCAAAATTCTGCAATATACGTGAAAACGGATTTTCCAAATATTGCACAACAAAGTGTAACTTAAGATATTAACCAGTTTAGAATTAAAAAATAGGTGTTAATCAAAACCAATCGCCCTAAAAGTAGTTTTGCTAACAGAAAATAGGAAAATAAAGATTTAAAATATGTAACAAAATAATCGATAATCAATTCGTATATTTAGACTTAATATGGTAACTTATTTTTTTAAAACCATTTAAAAAAAGTTAAATTCATTAATCTACATGAATTTTTTTGTTTCAAATTATTTTGTATTAAAGATCTCCATTTAATTTATCAAAGTCTTGAAAAAAATTAATATTTGTTCATAATAATGCAGGATAAATAGGTATAAGGGAAAGTTCTCCTAAATTAGCAAGAAACATGAAGAAATCTAAGTCAAAAAAAAGAAATGAAAAATCATAAAAAAGAATAAATATTTCATAAAACATTGTAAAACTTTAAATTAATTTTTAGTTTATTAATTTAAACTATTTATTTATTATAGGAAGCTTATAATCTTAATAAAAGTGCAGCTGATATAGATAAAAGATATCTAGATGGCAAAAGAATTAAATAATCAGGAGGATTTTTGATAAGAAACCAAGGGATTAATAAAAAATATTTATAAGATGCTGAAAATCAATTAAATGAAATTTAGAAATATATGAGTTTTATTGATGATAAGTTTCAAAATCAAACAGATTCAATCCATAATATTTACCAAGAAATTAATGATATTGATAGAAAATTGATGAGCATTGAATAATAAATAAGACTTATTTATCAAACAAATACAGAACATGATGATACAATAAAGATATAATCCTGTTTAATATTGATTAAAAGTATTTAAAATAGAATTTAATACTATTAAGAAAATCAACAGCAGTAAATAAATGAAGAAGCTTAAAGCAGTGAAGCTAATGTCAGTTAGCTTCAAGAATAAAAATAAATCAATTAAAACAACTCTAATTAAAATTTAAAATAAAATTTTAGTAATACTTCTGATAGCGATGGATTTAAAAACAAATAAAAAATTCATTATAGAGCACAAAGCTAATAAATGCATAGATCTAGCAATTATGATCTTAGATAAAGCATGTCAACAGAATAGCAGACAAATTATGTAGAATATGTATTTAATATGTTTAATAAAACAATTAGATAGCTTTCAGATGTAAAAAGTAACTAAATTAATGGAGCATTTGAATTAATCCTTTAACTTAACTATGATTTACATAAAATAAGTAATTCTTAAGATATTAATTATAATGAAAGAGCATAAGCTCTTTAGTATCTCTATGAGCTAGATTGTTAAGTACCAAATTTATTTAATCTTTTAGTCAAATTAGTGAATAACTAAACAGATAACTTTTATAGCATTTAAGAAGATATTTCAGAATATAAATCAACTATTGAAAAAAACAATAAAGAATAAAAGCCAAATCAATTTACTATAGAATCCCCGTCAGCATCATAAAAATCTTTCATAAAATAAGCTATGATGAAGAATAATTAAAACTAAACAAGCAGCAATACTTCGAACTACAATATAACTTAGGATCATATAGAAGAGTCTATTTAATAACTTGATAATAGTATTAATCAAAATAAAAATTCTAAAAAAACCAGTTAAAAAAATTTTTATGAAAATAATCATTCTAGGTAAAAATCATCGTCTAAATCAATAGAAAATAAATCTTCAAAAAAATTAATAAATGAAAAATAAGTTTATACTTCAAATCCAAATTTAGTAGATATTTAAACCAATTCAAAGGGAATATTGCAAGGTAATAATTCTTAATAGAATGATAAAAGCATAAAACAATTAGATAATAATCTATCCATCAAAGATTAATTAAATAATGTTGAGAATAACTCTTCTTAAGTTTAGTAAAATTATTCTTCTTTTAGTAATAGCAAAATCGAAGAAGCAATAGAATCAGAAAAAACTAACAAAGCTGATATTATTGAACACTAGAAAAGTGAAATAAAGAGTATAAACATATCTGAATAAATTTCAAATAATAGTAGCTTTATTATTGATAAATAGCAAGAAAATAAATAGTAAAATAATTAACTGTGCTCTTAAAAGTCTTAAAATTAAAATTTAAATGATAAAAATGAAATTAACGTTAAATAGGATAGTAAAAAAAATGAAGGGATTGGAAAAAGTAAAAGTGAGGCTATTCAGAATTAAATTAAAAGTAATGAAGATCAATTAATTATGAGTAAATCTGAGTAAATAAATTTGGAAGTTGTTTAGGATATTTAGCATGAAAAAATATAAAATGAAGAAAAGAAAATTAGCTAAATAGATTAAGAATAAAAAGAATAATAATAGAAACAATAGGAAGCAAATGATTTAGAAGTTAAAATGAAGACTATGTTCACTTAAATGAAAGTTTTGATTGATCATTAAAATAAAGAGTATTCTTAATAAATTATTAAATAGTTCATTGAATTTCTTCATTAATAGGACTTCAAAGAAAAATAAAAAATTATTGAAATTTTAAATGAGTCTCTCACTCATTTTAACAAAATGATAGGTGTTTAAGCCTAACTAAATCAGATTTTTATTTAATATGATTAATTTATTATTGATAATGAAATGTACTGGAATGCTATCCATTTTACTCATACTCATAAGCGGAGCTTAGAGTAAATAAGGTCGTCCATTTACTAACAATTTAAAATAAGAGATTTGATAAAAGAAGACCCTAAGTTAAAAGAGGAAATAAAAGATTTTCTAGATTTAAGAAATGCTGTATTGAAATTATCTGAGAAATCTGACTTTCCTTTGCTTAATATAGCTCTCCCAAACAACTTAAACGTAGAAGAAAATATTATAGAGGAAATGAAATAGAGAAGATTTTAAACTATTCAAATAATTAAAGAAATTATTGAAATTATACAAGAAATAACTATCATATGTTAAAGAAATACATTTAGTATATACAAACTAATCACTTTCAATAATTCCTTTTACACTCATGCTGACAGAGTTCTATCCTTGCTAAACGTCTCTACTACTCCTCATTTAACTATTATAAATCTACTTGATGTAAGTTTATCTAATTAATAGAAATTTAATTTTAATTTAAAAATGAAAGACGCCTTCTTACTTTAAAAAAATTATTTTTTGTTTTATCAAATTAATTAAATATAATTAGAATATTAATTTAATTATTAACATTTATATTTAAGAATTATTTTTTTCATAAATATAGACTTTTAATAAGCTCAAGAAATTGTTTTAGAAAGACAAGCAAGTATCAAAGCTAAAATAAATAGTAGATAGACTATTGTATATAAGAATTTATGATGAGCTAGTAAACAAAAACTTTAAATAGCTAGAATAAGAATTAATTAACTCAATTTAGAGGAAAGAAATAAAATTAAAGGTACTAGAATAGAGACTCAAAAGACTATTTTCAAGTACAAATGAAATAAGAATAATTTTGTTAGACAATAATTATGATTTTAACAGAATAGATAACTTCAGATCTATCTCTAATTAATATGTTTAGCTAATATAGTTATATACTTCTATTTATAATACAAATGAAAGCTCATTTATTACAGGAAGAGATTAAGCATTTGAGCTAGTAGAATAATTATATTCTTATATGTTTTTTACTAAATCTCTTAGTTCAAAATCCTAAAATTACAATAAAATTAAATCTTCTGTAGGACAAAACCTTTAACTTACATAAATCAGCTAAAGTTAAGATTCTTTTTATTATTAGCATATCAAAAAAATACCACAATAAAAAATGAGTGATATTAAAAAAAGAATACATATTTATTAGTAATAATTGAAAGCGTCTCAAGAAACACTCTTTAATTTTATATAACAACATTAGCAATAGCTTCCTAGCGAACCTCAAGAAAGATAAGGTATGAATTAAGAACAATAAAATACTCCACCTTAGATTTAAATAAAATAAATTTTTCAGAAAAATTTAATTGAATTGTAAGAACAATTAGAACACTTAAATTAATAAATAGAATAAATATTAACTAAATAATAAATTTAAATAATTGATTTACTTTATCTTGTTTAAGGAATAACAGAGTATTTAATAGAAAAAAAAGAAGATATTGCTATATTATAAAATAATTATGAAGCAACTATATTTACGATGCCCTATAATTTTGGAGCAGACTGCTAAATGATAATTCAATAATTCAGCAATTTTATGCACCATAATTGCTAATAAAATATTGATGAAAGTGTAAGGACACTAACTGTTTCATCTTCAAATACGGATTATCAAGCACCAAGTGGTCCAATTATTTTCAATTACTCTTAAAACAAGCCTGACTAGTTGGATAAAAAGTAGAATCAGCAATATTTCTGTGAATTATTTATTTATAACAACTATGTTAGTGATTCGTTTTGCTTAGGTGAAATTTTAGTTTAAAATATTTTGACTGGTCAAATAATTTATTCAGATTAAATAGACACAAGCCAACCAACATTTAAAATAACATTTTAAGCAGATCATCCATATTTAATTGTTAACATTAAATATGCTGATTACAAATTGAAGTAATCAACATTATTTAGTAGTGATACTTCAATAATAGAATTCTCTAAAAAAGATTTAATAAGTAACGAGAAAATCTACAAAATTGTGATACAAGCAACAGATCCTACATCTATTTTAAGACAACAATTATAGTTTTTTATTCATGCAAAAAGTAATACTCAAAACGAATATATAATTAATAAGGATACCAGTGACCATAATTATTACGTTTAATAAGAAATAAATATTCTACCCACCAGTGAAATAATTACTTTAACAATAAAATAAAATAATCAATTTGAGTACAATTTGTATGCTAACCTAATATCATCAGATACTTTTTAAGTTTTTAAAAATGGATAAGTAGTACTAAATTAAATAAATATAACTTAAATAAAATAAGGTAATTTAATACAATTTCTTTATTAAAAAATTATTTTAAATGTTTATTAATTATTTTTATAAATAGATAATCCTCATTCTTGGAAAGTTTTCTAAATCCCAAAAATTAAATAAAAGAGTTAATTGTTAAAAAAAAAATAAGATTGAATGCTTTTTAAATTCTTTTTTTATTTAAATTAGAATTATTCATAATTTAAATAAAAATAAATTAATAGCTTAAAAAATACATTTCAATTTTCTATTTTATTGCTATATTCATTAAATGTGAAACAAGAGATTACTTTTTTATAAGTTTTATTTATTAAATTTTTTAAATATTCCTATCCGTTTATTTATGCATATAGTACAAAATGATTATCCTGCTAAAGTCGGCAAATTTATCATTTAAGAAAATTTGTTTTCTAATTTTATTTATTATAAATTTTTTAAATTCTACTTATCTGATTGTATTTTTAATTAATTTTAAAACACCTTAGTTAAAATTAAAAATTTTAATAAATTACTCTGATTCTATATTTAATTAAATATAATATTTAAGAGAGAAAAGCAATAAAGTAAAGCATAAATAACTTTATGAATTTATTTTTTTTCATTTATTTTTTACTAAAAATAAATGAGATTACTGCTGTAGGCTGCCCTTTTTGGTAAGTAGGATGTTCTGCTAAATATTAAGTTATTTAGAATATGGTAATTATGAAATCTAATCCTTAGATCGCAAATGATGATATTGCGATTGTTTTTTATAATACGTAAAGCATTGAAATTTATAATCTGATATCAAACAAAAAATATATTCTGTAAGAGGCTTAAGAAAATGTTTAATATTATGGCATTGATAAGGATGACAGAAATTAAATTTAAATTTCAGAACTTCACACTCTGGATTCTAGTGGCAGTATAATCAGTTGGAATATAAATAATGGGGCTAAATAAAAAAAAGTATAGATTCCTAATTAACTATTAAATGTTAGTCCTTATCCTTGTTTAAATTCTGAAGAAAAACTTGTGTTAACATGGAATAATAACAATGTATTACTTTATTAATTATTTATAGTTTATTTTAATCATTTGGAAAAATTATTTCCTTTATAAAAATAGATATTTGTGATAGATTTTTCTGGCTCTACCTAGGATATAGCAGTCATAAATAAATATTAGCTTCCAAATAATTATGAAATTCTAAATTGCTAAAATGATAAATCAAATAGAAAGATGATAATTTTTTAATCTAATGGTGACATCTACTAATATGATATAGCTTTGAATTAATTTAAAATTTTATTTACTTTAAATGAATTTTAAGCACTGTAATCCTCCTTTCTATCAAAAAACCTCATTACTATATCATATTAAAAAACTTCTTAACAATACCTTTTGGTTTCATTTAGGCAGTCTTAGATAATATTTTCATAAATCTTACCAACTTAAGCAACAAGTGTTCTAGTAAGCTCATTTGAATAGTATATTACAGTTGTAGGTGCATCTAATTTATTTTAGGTTTGGGATTTGTAAAAAATTTAAAAAGTATACGTACCTAATTTCCAAAATATTTACTGTGATTAAAGAGATGCAAATCAAACCAGTATAAGTAATTCAATTAATTTTATTTATGCTTCAATTAATAGCTTAGATCAAATTGTAAGTGTATCAAAAAATTATATATTTGCTTATTCTTTAAAGGAGTAAAAACCAATTATCTTCAAAAATTAAAATTTTGGTTTTAGTTGGTTGTAGGCTTATATTTCCCAGAATAATATTATATTATACTCTGAATTTTCTATTTCAATAGTTGATATAAAAACATCCAGATTTATTTATGTCACTGATTATTTCTAAAGATAGCAATCAGCTTATGATGTTCCTATAAAAATAGAAGTTGATCCAGATTTAAACAGGTAAACTAAACTAAATTAATCTAATAATTTCTTTTTTTATATGAAAATTAGAATTATTAAAATAGATAGAGGAGGTAAGATATAGTATTGGTCATATTTTGATGATATTATGGAGAAATAAATTTTTGTTTCTGGTATTTTTGCAACTTTTATCATAGATAAATAGTTAAATAAGGTATAAATCATTAAATTTTTTGATAATAATTTCATAAAAGTATTTTACATTATTTAAAACAGCTTGTTTAGCAAAGTTTATACACAACAACAGGAAATAGCATTTTATTTGTATTTGATTACCGATAAGGAGTATTAATAGATAGTATAAAAAATGCTTTTCCTGAAAGTAATTTACAAAATTATTACTTACACTATGACAAAACTAATGGATATCTAATAGGAATTATTTAAACTTCATAATATATGATATATAATTTTAACTCTAGTCCTGATCATTCGCTTGTTTTTAAAGGAACATTTCTCCCAAATGCTTAAACATAAGGAATTGCTTTATTATTGGAAAACTAAAAACAGATGTTTATTTACATAAATGGTGTACTGTATTTATTTAATTACTTCTATAGTAATGGAGATTATAATACATGCATTCCTTTTGATGGAAAAAATAATAATTTTAATAGCTTCTTTTTTAACTTCTAAAAGTAAATTCTATTTAACATTTAAGAACAATAAATTATGGTAAAAAATAGTTCAATAAAATATGTTTGTTTATAATTTTTATTTTTTAAAGAAATATAACTATAGCGTCAAATCCTTAGATCTTATATAAACTATAAGTTTTTATTCAGGCTAAAGTCAATCAATCTATCTTATAGAGTCGTTAAATATTTTTCTAATTAATAAGGTGAGTTAAGTCTTTATTAAGAATCACATTACTTTGTAAGAATAAGTTATTGATTTTAAGCAAGATAATGTTAAAAATTTGGTTTTTGATGAACAAAAATCAATATTAATAATTTTAACAAGTAGTTTTAAATTAAATATCTTAGACTTATAAACTACAGCATTGCTGAATTCCATCCAAATATAACCTTAGCTTATAATATAAGTATAAATAAATACAGATATGTAAATTGTAATCATTAGCTATGATAATGGAGACATCCTCATGTATAATTATAATATTTTCTCGATTGTGTCTTTATTTAATAATATATAATAAAATGATTTGGATAAAATTTTACATAATTATAATACAATAACCTATTAATCTGGTCCAGAAGTATATCTTAATTAGATTAAATAATTTCAATTATTTACTTACTTATTTTGTAGGTTTACACAAAAAGGTTGGTTAATTTTGGATAGATTACATAGATAGCTCCTAAAAATAATATAATAGATTTCCATATTCACTTGCAAAGCGGATTAACATTTATACTTACTAACTAAGAAGCTCTTATTTATAATCATATTAGCAATTAATATCTTCCGCCCTTTCCTAATAATATAAATTTATCTAATGCTTAAATTATTAGAGGTATACCTTCGTAAGATACCATTCTTATTGGCTTTCTTACTTCAGTTTAAAATAGTGTTGTAGCTTATAAGATCAGTAATTATAATTATATTAATACTATGATACACGACTTAGATAAATGTAATTCTGTAGTAGAGTTATATTATGATGATTATTCAAATAGACTATTTTCTGCTTGTGGTGGACCTGGAACAGTCATAGTATGGGATGTTTCAAATTAATTCTAATTGATAAAGATTTTGAATCAAATAGTCTCTGTTAATTTAGTATCAGACATAGTGTTCTATCCAGAAAAAAATTAAATCATGATTTTAGGAGTAATTAATTTACTTTTATTATTTATTTAATTTTTTGAGTACTTTACTGATTATATTTAGTATTCATGGTGGTCAATTTTGATTGATTATAAAAACCTTTCAAATATATGTGCTATAGAGGGTATATTTGGGAATTTCGACTACATTAATTAATACTAAATTATATGGGATGTAATTATTTTAAATTTTTAAATTTCTAATAAAAATAAAAAAATTTTAATAAGCATATTGGGTATATTTAATTAAACGACTTGAATTGTACATAAATATCAGAAGTTTAAGCTCATAAATATTGGATATTTGAAGTTCTTATTGATTCTTAGTCCTATATATTAACATCTATAAGGTAAAATAATCTAATAATTACTATATTTAAAGTATTTATAAAAATAAAGTGAAGATTTATTTGTTAAAACATGGAGCTATTCTAATGGAATTCAATTTATGTAATTTGATATTTTAAAATCTTTTAAAATTAAATCTCTTTTTTGCAAAAAAATGATAAATTAATTAAATAATTTATATTTGAAATGTCTATCACATAAAATATTAAAGCAAGTCAATCAATATATATTATATTTTTTAATAATAAATTTTATAAGAATATAATTTTAAAAAAGGAGCTAGTTAGAATTTTAAAATCCTTTACTGTCTGGAGTATTAGATAAAGATAATAGTCTTGTTTTTGTAGGTGATTTTAATGGATTTATTTATATTCTTAGATACCCAAATTTATTATTATTGAGAACAATATAAGTAGCATAAGAATACATATATCAAATCTATTTAGATGTAAAATATAACTTAATATTGTTAGGTAGTGATACAATTAAATATTTTGATATAATTGAGCTCTTAGTTCCTAATGTGTATACAAACTCCTTTTAAACTGAAGGTAAATATAAATATTAAATATCACTTTAAAAATTTTATTTTTTATGATAAATATAAGGTATATTATCGACATTATAAGTGAATTAAAGTATTATTTTTCATTAAGAACTAAATATAGTTTAGTAATGGAATTACTCAAGTTAATAATTAAGTTATGGATTTTTTGTTAATAGCAATGATCCATTATATGAAGTTTAAAGTAAGATGATTTTACTACAAGGTTAAAAAAATATAGGCGTACTATTAACCAGAGAGCAAACAATATTTTTTGATATAAATAATTTAAATTTAATCAATGTTCAAAGTATCAAGTGCTTGAGAAATAGTTAGCTTACATCTTATTTTATTTGCTCATAATTAAACATAATTACAATAATTGATTTATATGATTTCAAATAAATATAATAGATAACAATTGATCAAAATTCTAGTATTATTTAACTTGAATCTATTAATGAATTAAATTCTTTCTTTGTTACAACTACTTTAGGAGGAATTATTTCTTTCTAGCTAAACGATAAAAATCTTGTCTTATTTAATTAATAATTTAATATAAATCTTCTTCAGTAAGCTATCATTAACTTTTCATTTACTTAATTAGATAATGTTTATATAATATTAATGGCATCTTTTGATGGAAACATAGCCTGTATTAAATTTAATTCTAGCTTTGCTATTTTAGAGTAGTAAATTTTAACATTATATGGTCATAAATCACATGCACACATAATTAAAACATTTTAATCAAAAGTAAATAAATTATTTGATGAGTTTATTAATTTTTTTTTAAATTATAGGTTTTCATTAAACGAATAAGTGACTTTTATATTGGATTGTATAGTTTAGAAGATTTTACTCTAGTACAGTAAATATCAAGTCCATGCCTTGGTTATGTTTATAAACTTGATTTGAATGTGGAGTTGGATTATATTTTATAAAGCTGTGTTGGTGCTTATTAAATTAATTTGCTATCTAATTTTAAATAATTAGCAATGGGAAGATTCTTTTAAAATTTAAATTTAACTGATGTTTACACAATTAATCAAAATTAAATCATTTTTATAAACAAAGATTATTTTATAGATGTATACTAAAATATTATTTTCATATATTAAATAGACTAAATATCTTAAACAATTAAGATGAAGGGATAATTCTCATTGGATAATGAAGATTTAGGATTTGTTTCAAATTATGAAATATTTAATACCCTTGATAATATTTATATAAAACTTATTCTTTACTCTTCTTTTCAAATAGGTTAATTGTAGCTACCAATATACGGATAATAGATATGCTAAGAAACACTATATATTGATGAAATCGCTTCCACTTTAAATTCTATTGAGAGTGTTTACAATAAAATTTTAAAATACTTTCCAATAAGTGAAATGGATTTCTTAATTTAAATTCAATCAGATACAGTACTTTAAAGACTTCCTAACTTTGCTTACTCTAGTTAGTCATCAGTTACTTATTAATCTCAATCTAATTTAACAAAATAAATAGAGGTTTATGTAAATGCTGATTTTTTTGAATCATTGAGTGGATACAGTTAAATTATTATGAGTAATTTAACTCTTCAACCCTAGTAATAATAATATATCTCCAAATATATATTCAATATTTAAAATGTTAGATACTTAGTTTTCAATAATATCAATTTAGGAGACTTAGCTATTTATTGTTTTGAAATTTCTTAAATCTATTAAGTGTTATTCAATCAAATTTAAATGATAAATTTGTATATGCAAAGTAGTTAATTACTGAACCTATTTAGCTTATAAGATATTAATTAAATTTAGATAAACTTAATGACTGTTTAAAATTGTACTTTTAGTTAAATTTAATTATTTAGCCTTTACAATAGCTAAGGTTAATAAAGTATATCTTAACTTTAACTTACAAATTTGACCATTGATAATTCAAATTTTTACTTTTCTTCATCAAATAATAATAATAATATTAATACAATTTTTTACTTCTAAAACTTTTAAAGTGTCTAAATGTCTTCTATACTTATCACTACTTGCTAGGGTTCTCCTACTCTAATTTTTAGACTTTACTTAATTGAGAATTTAATATTAAATAACATAGAATATTATAAAAATTAAGATATCAGCTTTATGGACCACAGTAATAGCTAATAACAAGTGCAATAAAATTACAATGTTAACTATGAATTAATAAATGATAATGTTTTACTTAAAAATATAAAAGTAATATCTAATACTTATACAAATATAATCCTTGAACCTGCAATTAAAATACAGTGTCATTATTTAACTATAAATGATACTTTATTTGAAAGCAATATTGACAATACCAAATATAAAACAACAGTTTTACTATATATTTAGCAAGGAATATAAATTTCATCATAGAATATTTTTTACATAATGAATATTGGCTTTAATGCTTTGATTTAAATTTACCAATCTAATTTATGTTAATTGTTTAATTTACAATTAACTTAAAATTAAATCTAATAAGGACTTTTAATTATGTCTTCAAGCGTGCAGTTAATTGATTCTACAATTAAAAACAATACATCTAGTGGGACATAATCAATAATAACTGTTTAACAAAAATCAAATTTTTCTATTAAAAACTCATATTTCTCAAACAACTTAGCTTAATAAAATGGAGGATCAATTTATATTTCCTAAAGCACACAAATCATTCAGAATTCCAAATTCGAATAAAACTCTTGCTCTGAGAATGGAGGATCAATTTATTCAACACAATCAAATCTGTTAATATTATCAACAGTTTTTTCTTCTTGCTCATCTTTAAATGGAGGATGTATTTATGCTGATAATGGTTCTCTTAATTTAACACAAGTTTAATCTTAAGTATCAAGCTCTACTAATAAAGGAGGATTTTTATTTATGTCATAAATAACAACTTTTACTATATAAGATTCAATATTCCAAAATAGCACTGCTTATTAGGATGGGGGCTGCTTTTATATCTAAAACTCAGGAGATAACAAATCAATAATTACTAATTCAAGTTTTTATTTCAACGACGCAAAAGGGTAATTAAATGTATCTAATTTACAATTCTAATTCATATTTTTTTAAAAATAGGAGTGGTGGTGCTATTCTTCTTGATACTTCTAACTTTTCTCTATAGAATTCAAATTTTATAAAGAATAGAGCTGGTATTGGAGGTGCTATAAGATATTTAACAATAAAACCTTCATTTATGATGAAAAATTTATAAACTAAGATAAATACTAAAGATTCATGCAAAACATATTTTTCTAATTCATGTAAATAAAATAAAGCAATAATATTTGGTGATTCAATAGCAAGTTATCCCTAATATGCTACAATTTTTCCTAGTAAAGACTTTGATGTAGACATCTAGCTCTATCCTAATATAACTTTTAGTAATTTTAGAAGTGGTTTAAGTAACTTTGATCTAAGCATTTAGTTTTTAGATGAATTTAAGAACCCTGTGAATTAAGTTGATTTTTAGAATTCAAGTAAGTACTTAAAATATTTAACAAGATTTTTACCATATTTTACATATTAGCATTAACAGGTTATCTAAGTGAAAATTTGCTTTAAGAAATAAGACTATATAATTGCAGAGTTTATATAACAGAAAATATAGAATCCTTTTAGAAACAGACCATTAAAATTGAAGGAGCTACTTCTATAGATTATACATTTTAACGTTAAAATTTAGCTGGGTGTTTAATGAATAATTTTAAAATTGCAGGAGTTCCATCATAAAGTGCAAAAGTTTATTTATAACTGCAAGGAATGAAATAAATAGGAATAAATAATACTTTTTAGGATGTTAATCAAATATAAATAGAGATATATTTTAGAAGCTGTATCACAGGAGAATATTATAATCCTACATGTGATGGTTGTTTGATTTAAGAATGTACTTAATGCTAAAATGGAACATATTCTTTAGTTGTCCCAAAAATTCATAGCTAAATGCAATGTTAGCCTTGCGATTTATCAGTTGCTGTAACTTGCTAATTGGATTAAATAGTACTCAAATAAAACTATTGGTATTTATTTTTTTATTGATTTTTATAAAATTAATTCTAATACTTCTCAACTTCTTTTATATTAATTACTGATATTTGGTATGAATGCATTTAAAGACGAATAAAACATCTATTCAAAAAGTTTTTTAGATAATATTGAGAAGGAATTTGAGAGGCTGTTGATAAATTAAATATACATTTCTTATAAATTCTATTTTTTAACATTTTGAGTTAGATTAATTTAGTTCAATATTAGTTTATTTAAAATATAAATAATATTTAGGAGAAACAGCAAGTTTAGTGATATTATTTATCAATGTGATAAAAATATTTAGTCTTGCAACGGAGATGAATAAAATAATTACTGTGCATAGGGTTATACTGGAGGATTATGTTAAGCTTGTGATAATTATGGAAAAGTGTGGGGAAATCGCTATGGAGCAGTTTTATCGATATATGACAAAGGAGTGGTATGTATGGAATGTTCTGAAATTTAAGCTAATTACTTTAAATAAGCACTAACCTTTGTTGGTGTTTTAATATATGTAGTATTTTTAATGATTGATTCTTAAAATAGTAACTGTAAGCTATGTCAAATACACACTTTAAAGCAGCTCAACATTGTCAATTTTGGAATTTCTTCTTTTACCCTATAGACTTCAACAATAGCTAAAATATTTATAAATTAATTTTAGGTATTTGCTTCATTACAACAAAATATTGGAATTACATTTCCAACCCTATTTTCGAATTTAATTTCTTTCCCTAATTTCTCATCTCAGCCAGTATACTTATTTATTTATTCTTTAGACTGCAGTTTAAGTAACATAAATACTTAAATTCCAATATAATATTTAAGATTTATTTACTTATCTATGGCATTACCTTTATTCATGCTTCTTGCATTAATGTTTCTCATAAAAGGAATAATATTTATACTTAGTCTATTCAATAACAATTAATACTTTAATAATCATATGTACAATACTAGAAATATGACAATAAGCTCATTGATTGTATTTATGTATCTTGTCATATAAAATATATACTAGGCAGCTCTACAAATAATATTTTGCTAGTAGCTCGATAATAAATATTACATGAAAAGCCAAATGGATTAAATTTGCTATACCAAAGAACACAATAAATATATGGGCTTACTTATATGCCCTATACTCTTGTTAATTGTAATAATCTATCCTCTTATACTTTTTTATTTAGTCTTACACAATAAAAACTCTTTATTTATCAAACACAGAATAATAATAATTAGAAGATATGGATATATTATTTCAGGCTTAAAGTAAAATAGGTGGTGGTGGGAGTTTATAAGAATATATCAAAAATTCATAATTATCTTTCTAGCAACATTCTTTAATTCACAAAATCTAATATAAATATAATCTATTTTGTTTCTACAATCAGTATATTTAGCACTATTAATATACTTTAAGCCATACGAAAACAACAAAATTAATAAACTAGAGCTAAAGTCAGTAACTTTAATGATACTGATTTTTTGGATTGCTGTATTTGATAATTAAACTGAAGAATCTAGCATTAAATATATTTCTTCATTTCTCTTAGTTTTTTTATTTATTATGCTCTTTGGTAAATAATTTATTCTATAAACAAATATTAAATTAATTTGTATTAAAAATAAAAAGGTTCTTTAATTGCAAGTTTTTTGAATGCTTTACTTTTAAGAAGCATGTTTAAAATGGCAAAATCTAATATTTTAAATTATATTTTTACTAAATTCAAAAAATGCCTATCTATAAAAAATGAGAACAAACTAAAAGAATACCTTAAAAAATAGAGTTACTCTTTATATATTTTAATGTTTAAGCCAAATCATCAATCTTTGCAGGTCTTTAAAAAGTAAAGATATTTTTTAATTTACTTCTTTTAAATTTTTATTATAAAAAGCTGGAAAAGGGTAAGATAATTACTTTAATCTATGAGTAGCACAAAAAAATAATAACTTGAAAAAGAAGTACTAAGCCCAAATAATTCGATTCAAGTGCTTCGTAGTTCATTTAGTTTTAAAACAGATTAAAGTTTGCTTGGCCAAAAGTTTAATTTATTGTCGAACTAAAAGATTTTTAAAAAACCAAAAACTACAGGTTTTAGACTTAGTTTATTTTAATAATAAAAAAGGAAACATTCAATTTAGAATGTATGAAACCTAAGCATCTGAAAATCAAATATTTTATTTTTATTATACTCTATAAATGGATAAGCTAAATAAAGATTATTGATTGCTCATTGTTTTTATATATTTTACTCATATAATCTTTTAAATAAATTTAGTTTTTTTTTATTGATGTAAACTTTTAAGTTTAGAAATAAAATATGTTTTTTTTCATTTTTCTAAATTTAATTGATTATTTTTGATAGCTAATTAAAAATCTTTATAAAAGCTTAAAATAAATTTCTTATTTTACCATTTTATAAAGTTAATAATCTTAGCAAAGTATTTAAATAATTATTAATTAACTAATTTATAATTTCATATTTAAGTTAAAACTTATTTACTTATTGGCAATTAATTTTAAAGTAGATTAAATAATAATTTTTTAGTTTTATGAATTTAGATAAAATCATTTAAAATTTTGACTATTGAGTCTTAATTCGTCTTTAGTAAATTAATAAGGGTTTTTTAGTATTTTAAAAAGATCTTGAGAAAGATAAATAAATATCAATATTAAAATATTATTTTTTTCTCATACAGCTAGAAATTTGCTCATTTGCCTTATTTGAAGAAATAAATTTTATAGTGCTTGGAATTAGGCTCAAAATTAATTTAAAATTGTGTAACTTAGTTCTAATGTAATGGTAAACAATTAATTAATATAAGCAAGATGTTTAGAAAAAATTTTATATATAGCAAATTCTTTTTTATTTTTGAAATTTCATTAAGCAATTCTGAAGAAGATTCTAAAGTGCAGAAATATGATCATAATGTTAGTGATTTTACTTAAAATGGGTTTTTATCTAATGCTAAATAATAATGTTTAGCCTTAAAATTTAAGACTCGTTTATATATTAGGGTAGAATACCTAAACCAGAATCTATCATTTTACTTTGACTTTATATTTTAAAAATATTTTTAAATTATTTTCAACACACCCTAATTGTTTTTAAATAATTTCTTGAAAATTTAAAAAAAAATATTTTATGAGATTTTATTTATACAATATATTATTTTTTTATGGATTTTAAAATATTTACTTAATAAAATTGGAAATTATAGTATCACTTTATTTTAAAATTTACATTAATAATAAATAACTTTACTTGCTTATTTAAAATTTTTTTTTAATAAAGTAGATTCTAAAAATATAAAATCAGTATAAATTTTATACATTTAATGAATTATATTTTGAAATTCAATTACAACTATGGTTTTACAACTATCTTTTAAATTATAAACTCAAAAATTTATATGAAAAAAAGTGCTTGATAAATCAAATTTTTAATTAAATACAAAATTTAAAAAAAATAACAATAAGGTAGAACACAAATAACTTAATGAACTTACTTTTTTTAATTTATTTTTTGTTGATATATTTAAAAATAAATGGGGTTTCTGCTATAGGCTGTCCCTTTTGGTAAGTAGGGTGCTCACATTCATATTAATCTATTTAGAGTATGATAATTATGAAATCTAATCCTTAGATCGAAAATGATGATATTGCAATTCTTGTTTATAATCCTTTTAGCATTGGGATTTATAATCTGATATCAAACAAAAAATTAATTCTGTAGGAGCCTTAAGAAAATATTATGTTTTATCGCATTGACAAGGATGACAGAAAATAAATTTAAATATCAGAACTGCACACTCTTGATTCTAGTAACAGGATAATTAGCTGGAATTTAGATAATGGAGCAAAATAACAAATAATATAGATTCCTAATTAATTATTAAATATTAGTCCTTATTCTTGTTTAAATTCTTAAGATAAGCTTGTGTTGACATGGAAAAATAACGATGTATTAATTAATTATTTGCTATTTATTTATTTATTTTGTAAATTTGGGGAAATTAATTCCTTTAAAAATAGGTCTTTGTGATAGATTTTTCTAGCACAACAATCATAAATACATATTAATTTCCAAATAATTATGGAATTTTAAATTGTTAAAATGATAAAGCAAATAGAAGGATGGTAATTTTTTAATCTAATGGTGATATCTATTAATATGATATAGCTTCCAATTCATTTAATATTTTATTTACTTTAAATGAATTTGATGCATTACAATCCTCTTTTCTTTCAAAAAACCTCATTACTATATCATATTAAAAATCTTCTTAATAATACCTTTTGGTTTCATTTAGATAGTCTGAGATGATTTTTTCTTAAATCTTACCTACCAAAACAACAAATATTTTAGTAAACTCTTTTGAACAGTACATTACTGTTGTAGGAGTATCTAATTTATTTTAAGTATGGGATTTGTAAAAAATTTAAAAAATTTATGAACCTAATTTCCAAAATATTTATTGTGATTAAAGAGATGCAAATCAAACCAGTGTTAGTAGCTCAATTAATTTTGTTTATGCTTCAATTAACAGCTTAGATGAAGTTGTAGGTTTATCAAATAATTATATATTTGCTTATTCTTTAAAGGAATAAAAACCAATTATGTTCAAAAATTAAAATATTGGTTTTAATTGGATATAGGCTTACATTTCCCAGAATAGTATCATATTATGCTCAGAATTATCTATTTCCATAATTGATATAAAATCATCCAAATTTGTTTATACCATAGATTCTTTTACTAGATAGCTATCAGCTTATGATGTTCCTAATAAAATTGAAGTTGATCCAGATTTTAACAGGTAAACTAAATTAATCCAATGAATATTTTAATTATATCAAAATTAGAATTATTAAAATAGACAGAGGAGGTAAAATACAGTATTGGTCATATTTTGATAATATTATGGAGAAATAAATTTTTGTTTCCGGGACTAACTCAACTTTTATAATAGATAAATAGTTAAATAAGGTATAAATAATCATTAATTCTTTTGATAATAATTTCATTAAAATATTTTATATTATTTGAAACAGCTTGTTCAGCAAAATTTATATACTACAACAGGAAGTAGCATTTTATTTGTATTTGATTACAGATAAGGAATATTAATAGATAGTATAAAAAATGCTTTCCCTGAAAGCAATTTACAGTATTACTATTTATATTAAGATAAAACTAATGGATATCTAATAGGAATTATTTAAACTTCATAATATATGATATATAACTTCAACTCTAGTTATAATCATTCTCTTGTTTTTAAAGGAACCTTTCTCCCAAATTCTCAAACATAAGGAATTGCTTTATTATTGGAAAGCTAGAAGTAGTTATTCATTTACATAAATGGTGTCCTATATTTATTTAATTACTTCTACAGTGATGGAGATTACAATAAATGTATTCCTTTTAATGGAGAAAATATAAATTTTAACAATTTTTTTTTTAATTTCTAAACATAAATTCTATTTAACATTTAAGAACAACAAATTCTGGTAAAAAATTAATTAAATAAAATATATTTGTTAATATTTTTTATTTTTTTTAAAGTAATATTAGTATAATGTCAATTCCTTAGATCTTATATAAACAATAAGTTATAATTCAGGCTAAAGTTAATAAATCTATCATATAGAGCAGTTAAATATCTTTCTAATTAATAAGGGGAGTTAAGTATTAACTAAGAATCATATTACTTTATAAGAATAAGCAATTGATTTTAAGCAAGATATTGTTAAAAATTTGGTATTTGATGAATAAAAGGCAATACTAATAATTTTAACAAGCAGTTTTAAGTTAAATGTTTTTGACTTAAAAACTACAATGTTGCTGAATTCCTTATAAATACAACCTCAGCTTATAGAATAAATATAAATAGATACACATTAGTAAATAATAATTATTAGCTATGATAATGGAGACATTCTTTTGTATAACTATAATATTTTCTCGATTGTGTCTTTATTTAATAATATGTAACCAAACAATATGGATTATTTTATACATAATTATAATACAATGACATATAAATCTGGTTCAGAAGTAATTTTTGTTAATTTTTATTCTATTAATTAAATAATTTCTATTATTTATTTACTTATTTTATAGGTTTACACAAAAAGGCTAATCAATTTTGGATAGATTGCCTAAATAACTCCTTAAAATAATGTATTAGATTTCCATATTCACTTGCAAAGCGGATTAACTTTTATACTAACTAACTAAGAAGTCTTTATTTATAATCATATTAGCAATTAATATCTTCCACCCTTTCCTAATAATATAAATTTATCTAATGCTTATATTATTAGAGGTATACCTTCATAAGATACCATTCTTATTGGTTATCTTACTTCAGTTTCAAATAATATTGTAGCTTATAAATTAAGTAATTATAATTATATTAATACTATGAAACACGATTTAGAGAAATGTAATTCTGTAGCAGAGTTATATTATGATGATTATTCAAATAGATTATTTTCTGCTTGCACTGGACCTGGAACAGTCATAGTATGGGATGCTTCAAATTAATTCTAATTGATAGAGATTTTGTACTAAATAGTCTCAGTGTTTTTAGTATCAGATATCGCTTTCTATCCAGAATAAAATTAAATCATGATTTTCGGAGTAATTCATTTACTTTTATTATCAATTAAATTTTTTGAATACTTTATTATTTACATTTAGTATTCATGGTGGTCAGCTTTGATTGATTATAAAAACCTTTCAAAAATATGTACAATAGAGGGCATATTTGGGAATTTCGACTATTTTAATTAATACTAAATTCAATGGGACGTAATTATTTATTTATAATTTTAATATATACCAAAAGTATAAAAAAATATTAAATAAGCATATTGGATATATTCGATTAAACGATTTGAATTGTAAATAAATATCAGAAGTTTAAGCTCATAAATAATGGATATTTGAAGTTCTTATAGATTCTTAATCATTTATACTAACATCTATAAGGTAAAATAAAATAATTATTATTTTATATAAAGTATTTATAAATATAAAGTAAAGATTTATTTGTAAAAACATGGAACTATACTGATGGAATTCAATTTATGTAATTTGGTTATTTTAAAATGTTTTTTATTAAATATTTTATTTGCAAAATAAAAGATAAATTAATAAAATAATTTAAATTTCAAATTTCTATTAGAGAAAATTATGGGGGTATTTTAAGGTCAATAAAAATCAACCTCTACCAATATTTATTTTATCCAAATATTATTAAAATATTATTCAAAATTTTGTGAAATTTAGCCCTCTACATTAAAGATTGATTTGAATGTAGAAAAATTGGCATGTAAGTCTTCATTTTGAACCTATTGCCCTTAAAATTTCTCTATTGTATTTTTCTTCTGTTAAACATAAAAATATTAAAGTACATAAATTATTGAAGAATAAAATTTAATAAAAAGGAGTCAGTTAGAATTTTAAAATCCTTTGTTTTGTGGGATGTTAGATAAAGATAATAGTCTAGTTTTTATTGGCGATTTTAATGGATTTGTTTATATCCTTAGGTACCCAAACTTATAATTATTGAGAAAAATATAAGTAGCATAAGGATAGATATCTAAAATATTCTTAGATGTAAAATACAATTTAATATTGTTAGGCAGTCAATCATCTGGTACAATTAAATATTTGAATATAATTGAGCTCTTAGTTCCTAATGTGTATACTAACTCCTTTTAAACTGAAGGTAAATATTAAATACCACTGAAAAAAATTGATTTTTTGTGATAAATAAAAGGTATATTATCGACATTATAAGTGAATTAAAGTGTTATTTTTCATCAAGAACTAAATATAGTTTAGTAATGGAATTATACAAGTTAATAATTAAGTTATGGATTTTTTGTAAATAGCTAAGATCCATCCTATGAAGTTTAAAGTATGATGATTTTATTGCAAGGTTAAAAAAATATAGGTGTATTATTAACCAGAGATCAAACAATATTTTTTGATTTAAATAGTTTAAACTTAGTCAATGTTTAAAGTGTTAAATGCATGAGAAATACTTAGCTTACATCTTATTTTATTTGTTCATAATTAAACGTTATTACAGTAATTGACTTATTAGATTTCAAATAAATATAATAGATTTAAATTGATTAAAATTCTAGTATTATTTAACTTGAATCAATTAATGAATTAAATTCTTTCTTTGTTACAACTACTTTAGGAGAAATCATTTCTTTCTAGCTAAATGACAAAAACCATGTCTAGTTTGATTAATAATTTAATATAAATCTTCTTCAGCAAGCAATCATTAATTACTCATTTACTTAATTGGAAAATATTTATATCATATTAATGGCATCATTTGATGGAAACATAGCATGTATTAAATTTAATTCTAGCTTTACAATTTTGGAATAGTAAATTATAACGTTACTTGGTCATAAATCACATGCACACATAATTAAAATATTTTAATCAAAAGTAAAAAAATTATTTAATAAATTTAATAAAATTTCATTTTTCTTAATTTTAGGTTTTCATAAAACGAATAAGCGACTTTTATATTGGATTGTACAATTTAGAAGATTTTACTCTAGTCGAATAAATATCAAGTCCATGTCTTGGCTATGTTTATAAACTTGATTTGAATTTGGAGTTGGATTATATAATATAAAGTTGTGTGTGCATTTATTAAATTAACTTGCTTTCTAATTTTAAATAATTAGGAATGGGAAGGTTCTTTTAAAATTTAAATTTAGCAGATGTTTACACTACTGATAAAAATTAAATCATTTTAATAAACAAAGAGTATTTTGTAGATGTATACTAAAATTCTATTTTCATTTACCAGATAGATTAAATCTCTTAAACAATTAAAATCAAGGGATAATTTTCATTGGATATTGAAGATTTAGGGTTTGTTTCAAATTATGAGATATTTAATACTCTTGATAATGTATATATAAAACTAATTCTTTACTCTTCTTTTCAAATAGGTTAATTGCAGCTACCAATATACGGATAATAGATGTGCTAAGAAACTCTCTATATAGATGAAATTGCTTCAACTTTTAATTCTATTGAGAGTGTTTACTACAAAATTTTAAAATACTTTCCAATAAGTGAAATGGATTTCTTAATTTAAATTGAATCAGATATAGTACTCTAAAGACTTCCTAATTTTGCTTTCTCTAGTTAATCATTGATAACATATTAAGCTCAATCTAATTTAACAAAATAAATATAGGCTTATGTAAATTCTGATTTTTTTGAATCATTTAGCGGCTACAGAAAAATTATCATGAGTAATTTAACTCTTCTACCCTAATAATACGATAGGTCCAATTCTATATTCAATATTTAAAACATTGGATACTTAGGTTTCTATAATATCAATTTAGGAGACTCAGCTGTTTATTCTTTTGAAATTTCTTAAATCAATTAAGTGTATTTCAATCAGATTTAAATGATGAGTTTAAATATGCAAAGTAGTTAATTATTGAATCTATTTAGCTTTTATGATGTCAATTAAATTTAGATAAACTTAACAACTATTTAAAATTGTACTTTTAATTAAATTTAACTATTCAACTTTTATAGCAGCTTAGGTTAAGGTATATATTAGCTTTAACTTACAAATTTGATCATTGATAATTCAAAATTTTACTTTTCTTCGTCAATTAATATTAATACAATTTTTTACTTGTAAAACTTTTATAGTGTATAGATGTCTTCTATACTTATCACTAACTGCTAGGGTTCTCCTACTCTAATTTTTAGACTTTTCTTAATTGAGAACTTAATATTAAATACAATAGAATATAATAAAAATTAAGATATCAGCTTTATGGATCACAGCAATAGTTAATAGCAGGTGCAATAAAACTACTATGTTAACTATTAATTAATAAAAGATAATATTTTACTTAAAAATATAAAGGTAATATCTAATATATATACAAATATAATCCTTGAACCTACGATTAAAATATAGTGTAATTATTTAACTATAAATGATATAATATTTGAGAACAATGTAGATAATACGAAATTAAAAACAATAATTTTACTATATATTTAACAAGGAATATAAATCTCATCATAGAATATTTTTTACATAAGGAATATTGGTTTTAATGCTTTGATTTAAATTTACCAATCTAATTTATGTTAATTATTTAATTTACAATTAACTTAAAATTAAATCTAGTAAGGACTTATAATTATGTCTTCAAGTGTGAAATTAATAGATTCTAAAATTTAAAACAATAATTCTAGTGGATAATACTCAATAATAACTGTTTAATAAAAATCAACTTTTTCTATTAAAAACACATATTTCTCAAACAACTTAGCTTAATAAAATGGAGGATCAATTTATATTTCTTAAAGTACACAAATTATTTAGAATTCCAAATTTGAATAAGACTCTTGCTCTGAGAATGGAGGATCAATTTATTCTACACAATCAAATCTGTCAATATTTTCTACAGTTTTTTTTAATTGCTCATCTTTAAATGGAGGGTGCATTTATGTTGATAGTGGTTCTCTTAATTTAACACAAGTTCAATCTTAAGTATCAAAGTCTACTAATAAAGGAGGATTTTTATTTATGTCATAAATATCAACTTTTACTGTATAAGATTCAATATTCCAAAATAGCACTGCTTATTCGGATGGAGGCTGCTTTTATATCACAAAATCAGGAGATAACAAATCAATAATTACTAATTCAAGTTTTTAGTTCAATAATGCACATGGGTAATTAAATGTATTTAATTTACAATTCTAATTCATATTTTTAAAAAAATAGGAGTGGTGGTGCTATTCTACTTGATACTTCGAACTTTTCTCTTTATAATTCAAATTTTATAAAGAATAGAGCTGGTATTGGAGGTGCTATAAGATATTTAACGATAAAACCTTTATTTATGCTTAAAAATTAATAAACTAAGATAATAACTAAAGATTCATGCAAAACATATTTTTCTAATTCATGTAAATAGAATAAAGCAATAATATTTGGTGATTCAATAGCAAGTTATCCCTAATATGCTTCAATTTTTCCTAGCAGAGACTTTGATGTAGACATCTAGCTCTATCCTAATATAACTTTTAGTAATTTTAGAAGTGGTTTAAGTAACTTTGATCTTAGCATTTAGTTTTTAGATGAATTTAAGAACCCTGTGAATTAAGCAGATTTTTAGAATTAAAGTAAATTATTGAAATATTTAATTATAATAATACGTTATTTTACATATTAGCATTAACAGGTTATCTAAGTGAAAATTTAATTTAAGAAATAAGACAGTATAATTGCAGAGTTTATATAACAGAAAATATAGAATCCTTTTAGAAACAGACCATTAAAATTGAAGGAGCTACATCTATAGATTATACATTTTAAAGTTAAAATTTAGCTGGGTGTTTAATGAATAATTTTAAAATAGCAGGAATTCCATCATAAAGTGCTTTAGTTTATTTATAACTTTAAGGAATGAAATAAATAGGAGTAAATACTACTTTTTAGGATGTTAATCAAATTTAAATAGAGATATATTTTAGAAGCTGTACCAGAGGAGAATATTATAATCCTACATGTGATGGTTGTTTGATTTAAGAATGTGCTTAATGTTAAAATGGAACATATTCTCTAATTATTCCAAAAAGTAATAGTTAAAAGCAATGTTAACCTTGTGATTTATCAGTTGCTGTATCATGTTAATTGGATTAAATAGTACTCAAATAAAACTATTGGTATTTATTTTTTTATTGATTTATTTAAAATTTATCCTAGTTCAACTCAACTTCTTTGGTTTTAATTATTGATATTTGATATGAGTATATTTAAAAATAATTGAAATGTCTATTTAATAATGTTTATTTTTAGATAATATTGTGAGGAAATTTGAGAGGTTGTTGAGAAATTAATTATACATTTCTTATAAATTCTATTTTTTTGTCATTTTGAATTAGATTAATCAAAATAAGTTATTAATTTTATTTAAAATTTTACAATATTTAGGAGAAGCAACAAGTTTAGTGATTATATTTATCAATGTGATAAAAATATTTAGTCTTGTAATGGAGATGAATAAAATAATTACTGTGCAAAGGGTTATACTGGAGGATTATGTTCAGCTTGTGATAATTATGGAAAAGTGTGGGGAAATCGATTTGGAGCTGTTTTATCGATATATGACAAAGGTGTGGTATGTACGGAATGTTCTGAAATTTAAGCTAATTACTTTAAATAAGCACTAACATTCATTGGTGTTTTAGTATATTTAGTAATTTTAATGATTGATTCTTAAAATAGTAACTGTAAGCTATGTTAAATACACACTCTTAAGCAACTCAACATTATTAATTTGGGAGTTTCTTCTTTTACTCTATAATCTTCAACGATAGCTAAAATATTTATAAATTAATTTTAGGTATTTGCTTCATTACAACAAAATATTGGAATTACATTTCCAACCTTATTTTCGAATTTAATTTCTTTCCCTAATTTCTCATCGCAGCCGATATACATATTTATATATTCTTTAGATTGCAGTTTAAGTAGCATAAATACTTAAATTCCAATCTAATATTTAAGATTTATTTACTTATCTATGGTATTACCTTTAATCATGCTTCTTGCTTTAATGTTTCTCATAAAAGGAATAATATTTATTCTTAGCCTATTCAATAGTAATTAATACTTTAATAACCAAATGTACAATACTAAAAATATGGCAATTAGCTCCTTGATTGTATTTATGTATCTAGTCATATAAAATATATATTAGGCAGCTTTACAAATAATATTTTGCTAAGAGCTCGATAATAAATATTACATGAAAAGCCAAATGGATTAAATTTGCTATACAAAAGAACACAATAAGTATTTGTTCTTTCTTATATGCCCTATACTCTTGATAATTGTAATAACCTATCCTCTTATACTTTTTTATTTAATCTACCATAATAAATAATATATGTTTATCAGACACAGAAGTGTAATAATTAGAAGATACGGATATATTATTTCAGGCTTAAAGTAAAATAGGTGGTGGTGGGAGTTTATTAGAATATATCAAAAATTCATAATTATCTTTCTTGCAACATTCTTTAATTCCTAAAGTCTTATATAAATATAATCTATTTTGTTTCTGTAATCAGTGTATTTAGCACTATTAATCTACTTTAAGCCATATGAAAACAATAAAATTAATAAGCTAGAGCTAAAGTCAGTAACTTTAATGATACTGATTTTTTGGATTGCTGTATTTGATAATTAGACAGAAGAATCTAACATTAAATAGGTTTCTTCTGTTCTTTTAGTTGCTTTATTTATTATGCTCTTTGGTAAAAAAACTTATTCTATAAATAAAAAATAAATTAATTTGTATTAAAATAAAAAGGTTCTTTAATAGCAAGTTTTTTGAATATCTTACTAAGAAGAAGCATATCTATAATAGCAAAATCAAAATTGTTAAATTATATATTTATGAAATTCAAAAAATGTCTATCTACAAAAAATGAATACAAAGTAAGACAATACCTTAAAAAATAAAACTACTCCTTATATATTTTAATATTTAAGCCAAATCATCAATCTCTGCAGGTCTTTAAAAAGTAAAAATATATTTAATTTACTTATTTTAAATTCTTATTATTAAAAGCTGGAAGAGACTAAGACAATTACTTTAATCTATGAATAGCACAAAAAAATAATATGTTGATAAAGTATCAACCCTAAATAATATAAGTTCAATACATCGCAATTCATTTAGTTTTAAAACTGAGTAAAATTTGCTTGTCTAAAGGTTTAATTTATTGTCTAACTAAAAGCTTTTGAAAAAAACAAAAACTGTAAGTTTTAGACTTAAATAGTTTGAATAATCAAATATAAAACTCTCATTTAAAAATGAATGAAATTTAGTATCTAAAAACTAATTATTTTATTTTTATTCTACTCTAATCAATATAAATGTATTAGTTAAATAAAAGATTACTCACTCACTTTTCATTAATTATATATTACTCATTTTTGCATTAATATTTTAAATAAATTTAAATTTTATAATAGTCTATGTACAAAATAAATATAAATGTACAAAAAAATGTGTTTTTTACTTTAATTTATTTAATTCATCATTTTTGGTAGTTAAATAAAAAATATTTTGTAAAGTAAAGCTTAATAATAATCTTAATAATATTTATAAAATTATTAATTAAAGTTTTATTTCAAGTTAAGGATAAAAATTATTTCTTCACAGTTGATTTTAAAGTAAATTTAATAAAAATTTTAGTTTTATAAATAAAAATCAATCAATTAAACTTTTGACAATTGAACCTCATTTCAGAAATACATTCATTTTACTCATCATTAGTTAATCAACAATTTTTTCATTTAAGTCTGTGAGGTATTTTTAGTATTTCACAAGTAATTTTTCTTTAGAAATCTAAAGGAAATATTTAATTTTCTTAGAACACATATTATAATCTTTAAAAAGTTTCTGAGAAAGATAAATGTACATTTAAAATAATATTCTTTTTCCCCTACACAGCTAGAGATATGTTCATGCCTCTAATTTGAAGCTAATGCTTGACAACAGACTCAAAATTACTTTAAAATTATGTTAGTTAATTCTAATCTAATGACACACAATTAATCAATATATGTGAGACATTTGGAGAAAATTTTACAGTCCTTAAATAAATAACAAGTTCTTAATAGTATCCGTTTTCAAAGATATATGTCAAATTTTTTTTTATTTTTGAAATTTCATCAAGTAATTCTTAAGAAAATTCTAATCTGTTAGAAAGATGATCATAAGGTATGATCATAAAAGTGATTTTTACTCAATAAATCTTTATCTAATACTAAATAACAATGTTAAAAAAACCATAAATTATCATTTTGCTTTGACTTTAAATTTATTTTTAAAATATTTAAAAATTTTTAAATTCTATATAATTTAATTAATTTAACTTTTTTAATTTAAAATTCTTTTTAATTTATTCAATTTAAAAAAAAAATAATTTTTTGAAAATATAATTTTTAATCTATAATACTATTTAATTTTATTTTTAATATTATTTTTGAAGTTAATTTATCAAATTTCATTAGATTAAAATAATCATCGAAATAAATAGATAACAAATCATCAAAAAAATTAATAAATGGAAAATAAGTTTTTTTAATAAATTATTAAATAGTTCATGAATTTCTTAACTTATAGGAATTTAAAATATAAAAATCATTGAAATTCTAAATGAGTCTCTCTCTCAAAATCAAAATCAGATATTTATTTAATACCATCTATTATTTTTGATAATTTAATGTACTTGAATGCTATAAATTTTACTCAAATCCCTAAAAAGAGCTTAGGAAAATAAGGTAAGCCATTTGCTAACAATTTAAAATAAAATATTTTATAAAAGAAGATCAAAAGAAGAAATAAAAGATTTTCTGGATTTAAGATGTACTGTATTGAAATTATCTGAGAAATCTGACTTTCCTTTGCTTAATAAAGCTCTCTCAAACAATTTAAAAGTAGAAGGAAATATTATAGAAGAAATGAAATAAAGTTAAACTATTCAAATAAAAGAAGAAATTATACAATAAATAACTTTCATTTGATAAAAAAATGTATTTAGTAAATATAAACTAATCATTTTCAATAATTACTTTTACACTCATTCTGACTGGGTTATATCCTTGCTAAACATTTCTACTACTCCTCATTTAACTATTATAAATAAAATTGATATTAATGTAAGATTTTCTAAATAAAAGAAATTCAATTTTATTTTTAAATGAAAGAGGTCTTACTTACCTTAAAAAAAAATGGTTTTTTAAAGTTTTATCAATTAAATTAAATATCAATAGAATATTAATTTTATAAACTTAAACCCTGCAAATTTTTTATAAGCCCAGCCATTTTATGCTTATAGAAAAATAAATGAAAAAATAAAAATGTTGAATAGATTAAAAAGGTTAATTTGAAAGGAATATTTTCTTATTAAATTTTGTAAAAAATTCAAATTCATTCAATTTTCTAGCTCAAGCGAATCAAATATCAAAGAATTTTAATTTTTTGCAAAATTTAAAAATAAATACCTTCCTTTTAATTTAATTTCTTTATTTTTACTTTTAATCAAAAAAAAAAAGACAAGCTCCCCTTTTTATTTTTTATCAATCAAAAAAAAAAAATAACCAAGCTGCCTTTTTTAAATTTGTTAATTAATAGAACAATTCCAGAATATATTTTAATCGATTATTTATTTTTCTATAGACACATATTATTCAATGGTTGTTCTTGCAAAATAGGTGTGGAATTTAAGTATATTTATTTATTATTTTTCATAACATAAACATTTACAAAGCTCAAGAAATTATTTTTGAAAGACAAGCAAGCATTAAAGCTAAAATAAATCGTAGATAGATTGTTTTATATAAGGTTTATTATGAGATAGTGAACAAAAACTTTAATAGCTAAATCATAAACAATAATTCAGCAATTTCATGCACCAAGATTGCTAATAAAATTTTGTTTTTTATTCATGCAAAGAGTAATACTCAAAATAAATACATTATTAATAATGAAACTGTGGTGTGAGTATAATTTGTATGCAAACATCATAATGATAGATACTTTTTAAGTTTTAAAAAATGGATAAGCGCACTATATTAAATAAATATAACTTAAATTTTCTAAATCATAAAAATTAAATAAAAAAGTTAATTGTTAAAAAAAATTAGATTGAATGCTAAATTATTTTCTTAAATTTTATTCAAATTTAAATAAAAAAAAATTTAATCTTCTATTTTATTTCTTTACCATTAAATATATTCAATATGAACTAGTCAATAATTTATTTTATAGTTTCTCACAAATTTATCTATTAAATTTTTAAAAAAGTAACCACCCATTTTTGTATTGCACCAAAATAATTAATCTGCTTTAGTTTACAAAATATTACTTAAGCTAATTCATTTTCTCATTTTATTAATTTATAAATTTATTTTATTCTACAGATTTGATTTTATATTTTACATTTTATTAATTTTAAAATATTTACTTAAATGGGATTAAAAATTATATTATTTATTATGTTTTAGGATTAATATTGATAATAAACAACTATGCTTGTTTAAATAATAAAGTTTTTTAATAATTCGAGTTGAAAGAGTAAATCAGTATTATTATACATCTAAACAATTTTATATTGAAATTCAAATAAGAATATTAAAAGAAGGATAAATTAAACTAAATTTTCATTTATATTTAACATTGATAATAAACGGCTCTAGTTATTTATATAAGGCTTTTAAATAAATTGAGTTGAAAAAGTAAAATCAGTATAATTATTATAAATTTAATCAATTTTATATTGAAATTCAAATAGGAATATAAAAATAATAATTAAGTAAAAAGCTAATAACTTAATGAACTTACTTATTTTAATTCATTTTTTATTGATATATTTAAAAATAAATGGGGTTGCTGCTATAGGCTGTCCCTTTTGGTAAGTAGGGTGCTCTAATTAATATTACTCTATTCAGAAAATGATAATTATGAAATCTGATCCTTAGATCGCAAATGATGATATAGCGATTCTCGTATATAATCCTTTTAGTATTGGTATTTATAATTTGATATCAAAAAAAAAATTAATCCTGTAGGAGCCTTAAGAAAATATTATGTTTTATCGCATTGACAAGGATGACAGAAAATAAATTTAAAGATCAGAACTGCACACTCTTGATTCTAGTGGCAGAATAATCAGTTGGAATCTAGATATTGGAACCAAATAAAAAATACTATAGATCCCTGATTAATTATTAAACATTAATCCTTATTCTTGTTTAAATTCTGAAGAAAAACTTGTGTTGACATGGAATAATAAAAATGTATTAATTTATTAATTATTTGCTATTTATTTAAATAATTTGGGAAAATTAATTCCATTATAAAAATAGGTCTTTGTAATTGGTTTTTCTAGCTCAACCTAAAGCACAACAATTATAAGTACACACTAGCTTCCAAATAATAATGGAATTCTAAATTGTCAAAATGATAAAGCAAATAGAAGAATGGTAATTTTTTAATCTAATGGTGATATCTATTAATATGATATAGCTTCGAATTCATTTAACATTTTATTTACCTTAAATAAATTTTACTCAATATAATCCTCTTTTCTGTCAAAAAACCTCGTTACTATATCATACTAATAATCTTCATTAAATTACTTTTTGGTTTCATTTAGGTAGTCTTAGATGATTTTTTCCTAAATCTTACCTGCCTAAACAACAAACGTTTTAGTAAACTCCCTTGAACAGTACATTACAGTAGTAGGTACATCTAATTTATTTTAAGTATGGGATTTGTAAAGATTTTAAAAAGTATATGAACCTAATTTCCAAAATATTTATTGTGATTAAAGAGATGCAAATCAAACCAGTATTAGTAACTAAATTAATTTTGTTTATGCTTCGATTAACAGCTTAGATTAAATTGTTAGTGTATCAAATAATTATATATTTGCTTACTCTTTAAAGGAATAAAAACCAATTATGTTCAAAAATTAAAATATTGGTTTTAATTGGCTGTAGGCTTACATTTCCCAGAGTAGTATCATATTATGCTCTGAAATGTCTGTTTCGATAATTGATATAAAATCATCCAAATTTGTTTATGCTATAGATTATTTTAATAGATAGCTTTCAGCTTATGATGTTCCTAATAAAATTGAAGTTGATCCAGATTTTAACAGGTAAACTAAATCAATATAATTAATACTTTATTAATATTAAAATTAGAATCATTAAAATAGACAGAGGAGGTAAAATACAGTATTGGTCATATTTTGATAATATTATGGAGAAATAAATTTTTGTTTCTGGAGCTAACTCAACTTTTATC